CACTAACGCTAACACTAACACTAACACTAACACTAACACTAACACTAACACTAACACTAACACTAACACTAACACTAACACTAACACTAACACTAACACTAACACTAACACTAACACTAACACTATCTCTAGGTCTCGATGTCAGATCAATCCCCTAGTCTTATCCCCTTCTTTCTCTCTATTCCGATCTCCTTGCCCCCTCTCCTCCTACACTCTCTTCTTTCTTTCTATCACTCTCACTCTCTGTTTCTTCCTTTCCACTCTCCGCGCCTCGCTCTCTTCTGCTTTTGCTTTCTCTTTCCTTCCCTCCTTCCTTCTTATCCTTGCTTTCTCTTCCTCCTTCCCTTCCTCTCTCCCTCCTGTTTCCCCTTCTCTCCTTTTGTTCTTTTTTTCCTCCCCTCTCCACTTTTCCCTTTTTTCTCTCTTCTTTAATCCGCCCCTTTTTTACTATCCTTCTCCATTTCCTTGTCGCTTCCTATTTCGTCCTCCCTCTCCTGTCCGCTTGTCCTTCCCTCCACTCTTTTCTCTATTCTCTTTCCCCTCTATTTACTCAGTTCCACTCTTCCCCTATTCTTGGCACCTGTTATCCTATCCTTGTTCCCCTTTTATCCATTCTCTATTTATCTTCACATCTTCTCTGGTTACGTTTCATCTTTATTTACGTTCTCTTCATTTATTCACAGTCTTGCCTAATTATTCGCACCTTCCCGCCCATCCATGCAGGTACTGAATTATTCCGTCTCTGCTGTCCCATACTTATCCTCCCCACAATTCGCGTCTGCTAGTGCTTCTATCCCAGATCATATATACACCAGTACCCTAATGATAATTTTCTCTTTCTAATCGTGTCATTAAGAACTGCATTAGCTGCATCGTCTCCTCTGTCTTCCTACATTTCTTCAGTGTCTTCCGCTTCTTTCTTTGTGTTGGCTTTCGATCATATCATCGTTTTCCCTACGCTCCCTCTCCTAGCTCTTCTTTCCATCACGTCGACATCGTCACACATTCTGGTGAGTCGTTTGCTACTTGCTCTTGTCCAACGCAGTGATGTCCTGTCGTTCCATTCAAATCCGATGCCGGCGATGTGCACTCGTAAAACTAATGTGCCACTTCCCGTTCGCTTGTTTTCGGCATTGTCCCATTCTTAAATTTATAATCAATTAGTTTACGGTAGCGACGGCCCCAATAATACTCTTTACAATCGTGTCCGCCTGTCCAGACGGGTCAAAATCCAGCACTCTTCTCATGTGCTGGCGTGGTCTGTGCGGCATATAACAAACCTGTGTTTATCCGCGCTGTTGTCGCATTTTTCGTGTCTTGCAAATGTTGATGTGGCCAAGTAGTACGTCACAATCCCGTATATACAAGCTCTATGCCGTATTCGCTTACAAGTATCGTGCCGTTCCTGAACGTTGGCGTTGCGTTTCGTCAGTTTCTACACTTTCCTCCTCAACCTCGTAGCTCCTTCGTTTGCTTGCTATGCAGCTGAGCGATTGGCTGCGTTTCAAGTTTATTTTTTTCCCTGCAGCTTTCTATGTTGGTTATTCGGCTGAGGACTATTTCATCCGAAACGTGTTCCACATGTCCCATCTTTATGTCCTTGGACGCTGCCATCCTGCACTTGCAGCCCATGCCGTTGCCTGCATTCTGCTTCAATTGTCTCCGCATCGTCTCGTTCAATCGTAGTTTGTGCTGAATATGTAGAGCAGCATCAGCTGATTTGTTTACTCTGTGTAATCTTACATGTCCTTCTTCCATGCCTTTTCATAGCACTTCTCTCACGTCTCCTACTTCCCAGACATTTATCCATACATATATCATTTTTTCTCTCGTCCACTTGTTCTTATTCCTATGCTTTTTCTTTTCTCATTTTCCTTCCACCCCTTTCCTTCTCCCTCTCCATTCCTCCCACTTACTCTCCATCCCTTCGGTCTAACCACATCGTTCTCGTCTTCTCGCTCCCCGCTCTGGCTCTTCTATTCTGTCTCCACTTCTCCCATCTCATTCCCTTCCTCTCCACTTGTCTTACCTTTCTTGCTACCTTGTCTCGCCCATTCCTCTTGCTCTTCTTTCTCCCTCCTATTTTCGTGTCGTGCCCCTTCTCGTCTTCCCTGTACGTCATTAAAATGTAGTTCGCTCTTCCGACTGTATCACCGTCTTCTGCTCACTTTATTCCGCTTCTTTCCCCCCATTCTCCTTTCCATTTTCCCTTTCTCCTCTCCACCACGTCCGGTTGGTCAAACTCCTATAGTCAACTATCGCCGTGTCTTCCTCTTCCTCCAGTAAGCACCTATGTCTAGGCTCAGAGCACGCTAAATCTCAATTTTCCACAGACTAACACTGCTCGCGGATCTATCGTGTCGTCTATAGCGCATCATGTTTTCCCTGTCCGCCGTCTTCTTGTTCAAGTATAAAATGTTTGCCTGCACTATCACCGCAAGCTGCGCCACGTCCTTGTACGCCTAATATTTTCGATCAATTTACTGTTATGCAAGTATCTCTTAACATCGTCCCGACGGCACTCGCCCTTGACACTGCTGCACTTGCCGCTCCTGTCCACATGGAGCCAAGGCCTACTTTCATGCCCGGCCCCGTTATGCCTGATGAATCGTATACTGGCTACAACCCACTCAAGGCAGCGGTGACGACGACCGAATTTGACAAAGAAAACTTGCAACCAACACGTACTCAAGAAGTCGACTGATGCTTTCATATTCACTTGTCATGTCGAACACGATTACGATGTTTTCCATTTCCTGTTTGATTTTTCGCAGCATACTAGGCCTGTACTGTTTGTGTGCTGTAATATTTTTTATGCGAGTTTGTGTATTTGTCTTCTATATCCTGAACGTATCACCGCATGCCACTCTGTAAATCAATTACCGTGCACTCATAGCTTAGATTGTTCCCCTCTATACAGTCATGCGTTAGACACCTAACTGTGTTGTTTGTTTATTTTCCTTACTATGTCTCTTCAATCCTTCTTCTTCCCGATTCATATCTCTGCCGCTGTGTACTTAATTTCATTGCATGCACTTCTGCCTTCTAATCCCAGCCTCTCTGCATTATGCCCTCTATGGTTCTCGGTGCGCGTGTCTATATTTAGGATATTTCTCCCACTTCATCGAACTCCACACCCGCATTCGTTCCCTGAACCTATTCACGTTTTTCTTGCCAGGAGCCATTTTCTCTATTCCTCTTCCTCTTCCTTGCTATTCTATTTCCCTGTTGCAATCATCTTAAGCCTGTCTTCTGTCACACCCTCCTTTTCCCAATAATCTTAAGCTCTCATCTCTTTCATACTCTCTTGTCCTTACTTCCCTTTTCACGCGCTCATCATCCTCAAAGCCGTGCCAATTTCAAGTTACTTTCGTCTTTTCTGTAGACACTGCTAATATACTATGTTTCATCTGATTTTCACGCCGTTTCCATTTTGCCTGGATCTAATGTCACACATATATATTTACATATATTCCTAGTCTTCGTAGGGATAGTCTCCTCAAGTTTCTTTACGCTAGTAGCACTACATCATGTCTCTCTCCCGTACCAATTGCTTGTTTATGCTTGTCTCTTATTTCGCACATTTTCATTCTCACCACCCTTCTATCCCTTTCATCCATCTGTTTTGCCAGACCATTCCTCCACCTATACTCTGACCCCACATTCGACTCACTTCGGTCGTGTCAAATATTAATTTTAGGGCGCGAGGCTATCTTGACACCTGATGGCGACGGCCTAATGTCAATCTATGGTTTGTGTACCCTGCCCTTCCACTTCACTTGTCTGACTGAATTGTCAAAGGCAAATATGTGATTCGCCCAGATCAGCCGAGTTCTATCTTGGATTTCACGATTCTTTCCACCTCCACCAAATCGTTCGGGCAATTTGCAGTGATCGAGCGAAGACACAGTACCCCATCATGCATCACCTGGTCGGAGCAGGTTAATGCTCGTAAATTTGCAAGCCAATTACGCTGGACGAGAAGAAGTCATATTGGAGAACAGGAAAAAGTCTTATCTTGTTGTGCTTCTGTCCATGTATAAAATGGCTGCTCCGTCGGGATACTCCGCTCGGTAGAGCTCGTCATTGTTTTTTCCCGCCACATCTGGATTGTACGCTACAATGCAATTATCACTCAAATTCATTTCGGTTGTATTGGCACTGGTTACGGCTGCTTTAGATGCACCTGTTGACTTAGGAGCACGGCCCATGTTTATGCCGGGCCCGATTGTGCCTGATGAGTCGTACACGGGCTACAACCCATTCAAGGCGGCGGTGACGACGACTGGATCTGATAACTAAGACATGGGAATAGCGTCGATGCAATCGACCTTCAAGAGATCGTCTGAGAATCTTTTCCACATGTTTTCAGAATCGCTACAACGATGTTTTTCACGAAAGATGCCTGCCGAGCTGCGGGGTCGTAATATATGGCGCTACACTAGATGCGCATTACGACGAAAAAATCCCTCGATCTACATACGTATATTCCCCACAAGATGTATTATAGCTGTCATGCACGCATAGCTTGAATCATCAGTCTGTCTGCATTCATATCTTATTTCTGCGCCTGTTTATCGTGTTTCTCTGCTCCTCTTTCTCATCTTTTTGATCTTGCTCACATTTCATGCTAAAGTTGAATTCCAGTAGCTCCTACTCGTGAAATCCCACCTTGATGTATTCTTTCTGTTTTCCTCGTTGCTTCAAAACTGACTGATACACAGTTTTGAAGCAACATTTTTCCTACTTTGTTCTCTATGTCATCTCAGTTCGTGCCAGTAATCTAATATCACGCATACTTGTCTGTGTGAATTTCCTCTTCGCCATCCTTCTTAATTATAGGTCCTCATTAATTTTTACGTGACTCTTCTAGCTTTTGATGGAAGGCATTCTAGTTTGTTGCTTTGACATTTTGCCACATAATAGTATTCTGTTGTAAACACACTTGTCCTCTCCTAGCCCAAACACCCATAACATATGTTTAAATATCCTTGCTTATTGGATGACTTTCCTACTAGATACGTATTATTTTAAAACCAATGAGAATACGACTATGGCGTAGTCAACGTGCTTGGGTCAAGGATATCATTAAATATTACTCTGAAAATACTACAACTGGCTTGATAAGGTCGTCCGCCTTGTTCCTCATCAACATCAAGGCGTCCTCCATATGCTCAAAGCCGTCGAACCGGTGCGTCAACAGCGGCTTCACGTCCAGTCTGCCATACGTGATCAAGTCTGCAAGCTTCTCAATACGACGCCTACCTCCGGGCATTAATCCTCCATTAATCTGCTTGTGTCCCATACCGACACCCCACTCAACTCTTGGGATGTTCACATAATCACCCTCTCCGAGATAATTCACGTTGCCGATCTTGCCGCCTGGTTTAAGGCACTTGATGACAGGATCGAACGTGTCAACACCGCCTCCTGCAATGACGGCTTTGTCGACACCCTCACCGTTTGTCAGGTCCAAAACATGCTTATCGATTGGACCCTCTTTGTACGTGATAATGTCAGTCGCTCCGTAGTACTTGGCCGCTTGTCGGCACACCGGACGCGATCCAACAGCAATAATCTGCGATGCACCCCGAAGCTTACAGGCTGCGACCGACATGAGTCCTACTGGTCCGATACCGACAACCAAGACCTTGTCACCAAATTGGACGTCTGCTAGCTCGACACCGTGGAAGCCTGTCGGCACCATATCTGAGAGCATGCAGGCCTCGGCCGTCGAGATGTTCTTAGGCAGATGGGCCAGGTTCGCATCCGCCTCATTTACATGAACAAATTCCGCGAAAAATCCATCCTTCACATTCGAGAACTTCCAGCCTCCAAGCATGCCGCCTGAATGCATCGGGTAGCCGCCTTGTGCCTCTACGGAGCACCAGTCAGGTGTAATGGCCGTGACCATCACGCGATCGCCGACTTTAAAATCTTTGACTTGTGAACCAACCTCATCAACAACACCACAGCCCTCGTGACCAAGCACCAGGTTGTGCCTTTCTCCGATAGATCCTTTCCAGACTGTGTGTGTGTCTGAGGTGCAAGGCGAGACGGCCAATGGACGTAGGATCGCGTCCATAGGTCCACATTCCGGGCGTGGCTTCTCAATCCACCCCGTCTCGCCAACCTTAATCATAGCAAAGCCCTTCATTGTGCTTAGGTTACTTTTCGTACCCCACACGTCCCTTCATTTATACGTGTGTGCCAAGCGGCACTCATCGGCTTGTCCGAACCGAATTTACACGATTCGGCCCGCTCGTGCACGTACCCGCTGTGGAGAAAAACTCAACGTTCACTCGAACGCGCCAAGCCATTCTAGTACCGCTAACTCCGCGTCATTGCAATTTCCTATTTTGGTTTACAGTATATCATTCGCGCACACTATTCTTTTAGTCTACCCCTTAAAGACAGCAAGGGTGTCGAGTTTAAAGTTGTAACTAAATTAGGGTACTAGAAGCTTATGGACAAACTTCGGAGTTCCGGTGATTCCTGGTCCATGCGTCTCGAACATTTGCCATGGCGCAACTATCATAAATATATGTCTATCAGATTTGCACAGTCCGCGGTGGAAGCACTACTTCCCGCACAAGCCCCTTACGAGCTAGGGGTCCTATGTGACTAGATCCGCATATCGCTTACCACCATCGCAATGTCATGTTTTTATTTTAGCAGTGCCTATTCTACTATCTTTTTCAGACACGGGCTAATGCCGGGTTCTCTTTGTTTCAATAGCTTATTTGCTTGCGACCTTTGCGCTGCATTCACGCGCCATTCATTGTGGCTCACGGTAGGGCGGAATTAAGTAAAGCTAAAGCTTCTGTCATGAATTGAATCATGTTTACGGAAACAAGTCCTAGAATTCTCGTTTGAGGTGCCAGATATCAAATTTCATAGATGGTGTCTTGATGAAAACGATTGGTCGACTAGCGCAATTTCGCTGATCTTGCTAAACGTCACGTAATCTCTCAAGCGAGTTCTATCTGCCTAGAATTGCTGAACCAATTAGGGAATGACTATGTGCTATATGATTCACTGAATTTGATCGGTTAGGGTTTCTCGTTGAAAACGGGCCTCGGTGATCATGCTTGCTTACGATGCCACAGGGATATGCCAGGCACAAAAATAGTGGACCTTAGAAGCCCGCTCTAATGTCAACCACAATGCGATGATTTGAATGAGTTTCGCATGACCTAAATTTCAACTGATCAGGATTATATACCTACTATGAATTTACCTGAACTGATTGTTGCAAATTGCGTTTCAATTAATGACCGGACTGATCTTGCTCAGATTAGAATAGTTAAAAGTTTCGTTTCGGTTTCGTTCTTGTCATTTCTACATTCTAATTTCCAATGATCCACTTCAGTTGCCCCATTCCAGCTAACATAAAGCAAGTTGTCTTTCACTGCCACAGCAGGCTTTGTCAAAGGGTAGCCTACCCAGGCTTTTTTCGTGACTTCGTATCCCTGAACCTCTCCACGCTTGCCAAACCACACGACTTGAATTGGTTTGCCGTCTTTTGTATATTCAGCCCACACCGGCACAGCTCCATAACCCATCATCACATGATCAGACCATGGATCATCCTCTTCCGACATTAGCTGCAAGCACCCTTGGCTATCGGCAAGCAGATCATTCTCCCCTCCTGGATTTTGATATAGCTGGACAATAGTTGCATTCATTGATGCGAAGTCCAACTCAACAATCAATCCTCGGCTGTGAGTGCTTTCTTTTGACCAACCAGCGCTCTCGTTGTCGAAGATTGATATTCTTCATTTCCCATTTTTCATTTTTGCTGCTAGGTCTTTGGCCTTCATTCCTTTTCTCCCACATAACGCGCATAGTGCTGCCATGCAATTCTGTTACCGTTGCCTGAAAAGCTACTATTTCCCCCCCCTAGTTGCCACAGAACTTTCTTCGTACGACCATCCACATAGTAGATCGTATGAGTGTGTCTGCTACTCACCATGTAGTTTCCGAGCTGGTCGCGACTCACGGCATTCATGTGAAACCAGTCCCAGCTGTGTGACTTCGATGTTGGCAGAGCAGCAGCATTGTTGTAGGCGAGTTCAAATGGAAGATGCTTGTGCGGACAGAATCGGGATCGAACGTCGTTCTCGTCTTTCACTTTCACGTCCATTGCACAACTGTTTGTGATCCATCCAACACTAGTATTTGAATTACCTGCACCATTAATTCTCACGTTTGGTAGATACTCGTATGATGTAGCTGTGGCGTATCCGTCTTTATTGATCCAAAATTCATGAATATCAAGCATGTGCTTCGTAGTAATAGTATTGTTCAGTGTGTAGTCTTGGTTCACAATGTATGCACTTCCGTTTGCGTATCCTTTCGTGAAATGCCCGTGATGGTGTACGAATACGCGAGAACCACCCCATGTGAAGGGCCTGAATTACGTGGAATCGACCGCAAGATCCGAGTTATTGAAGTAAACAAGCTCGAGATCTTTATCAAGAATCATTAGTCCTCGAGTCCAGAGACACGCGGGCTTAGAAAGATATAGCCATCGGCGACATCAATAGATTTGTCCCGGAACGTTTCATTGAATCTAGGAATCACAATGCCGGGCTGCGTAATAAACTTGGCTAGGACACGAGGTAAAGTTTCCTGGAATGCCAAAATATATAACAGGACAAAGATCGTCAGCATACTAGACACGTCTCAAAGTATTTTTGACTCTGCCCACACCAATCTGTGGATTTTTTTTTACTTGTAGGCTTAATGCTCTATGCTTTATAGCCCTTTTTGCGTCACTTCGATTTGCATATCCCGGTTCGCCTTTACCAAAGACTTGTACCAAACGCAGAAATTCGTCCTAACGCCTACTTGCACAAGATCGCCAACATTCCGATCGACCAAATCATATCCACCTGTATTCAGTGTACCATTTGCGCAACGCCCTCGACCACGTGTGGGCGCAAGATGCCTGCAAGGAAATTCCGCATTCGACGTTATTCAGCTTGGCACTATCGAGCCGGAGGGTGCACCCCCAAAGTCGCGCACAAGCTCGAGGATCAACATTTTAATGATTGCAGTTGTCATACTCAGTGTTCGCTTAAGCCCAAGTGCCGTGATGTTATCAAACAATGGGTGCAGGGGAACAAAAATAGGTATAGAGTTTGATCAACATATCTTGATGTTTTCGTTCACCGTGCAGTAGCGGTAAACGCCCATACAATTCCTCTAGCTGTCGATCATTCCCTTTTATCGCCCTCGCCAAAATAGTAATCCTAGTTCTGAGCATGGCCTCCACATTGAAGCGCAATTCATCGCGCTCACATGGAGATTCCAGGCTCTGACCAATGCTGCGACTACTATTCCGCCTAACGCAGCACTTTTCCCGCGGAAGTAATCTTGTTTATTTGCTCGAACGCCTCGCTACTCGAGCGGGGTCTGCTTACCTGACTCTCAGACTTTAGATGCTTGATATTATGCATGAGTTTGCTAGACCTATATGCTTGCGTGGTACGCCAGTATCTTGCGATACTTATTTCTGAAGAGCAATACCAATGCGTTGGTTGTCAATGTCGAACACCAATGACGTAGACTGGAAGAAGGGATCAGCAAAGTTCCAGTCTCTAGCTCCGTTCACTTGAATGATCGGCAGCTTGCACCAGCCTTCATTGTCGTGCTCCCTAGTCATGAGCCTTTCTGAAAGCGTAATCTCTTTACCAGCCACCTTGAATGTGATTTTCGGCAAGTCATCACACTTGAACCATGTCTCCCTGTCGTCCTGTCCACGATATTGGTGTTGTTTACCGAGGCGATTAACAATTGCTCTAACTTCATCCCTGTTACCCCAGATGTAGTAAGCACCACCGGAGTCAAGTGTCGCAGACACCCTCTTGCCATTTACGTCGATGTGCGTGTGCCAACCAACACGACCTGGAGTGATACCGGTATAACCGAGCTGACCCTCGAACTCCGTCTCATCAATCTTGCCGATATTGAGCGTAGACGGCCCATTGCCACGCAAAGTCAACTGCCAAACATTCTTATCAAACACGTGCTGATCCTTCGCCGCCTTAGTGAAGCTTGGACCAGTACCAAAGACGTCGTCCGCCAAGCCGACACCGAAAATGCCATCTACACCGGAAGCAAACTTCAAGTCACCTCGGACTATGCGTCCGAATGCCGGATTTTTTACCACAGCGTCACCGATCTTGACGATGTCTTTGTAAATGTGTGACGTGAAGCTACCAGAGGTGTAACGAGCTTCGCGTTCGAACTTCAAGTCAACCTTACTCGATGACTTTGCTGGGTCATACTTCGAACCATGTAGAAGTATAGCCATCGATCCTGTATCGATTAAAAGGTTTGCTTTTTGACCTGGAGTGCCAAATTCGAATTCGGTTGTCCAGTAGAACGACGGGTGCTGGATATCAGCCGTCACTTCCGTCGATCGCTTAGCCACTGTGGCATTCTGCAAATGGCGCTGTAGCTTGAGCGAGATACCGTCACTAGTTGCGAATGCGCTCGTGAGGAGAGCGGAAGCCAAGAGTAGAAACTGAGCCCGGAACTGCATTGCCTGGCTTGCAATGGTGGAGTCCTCTTACCCATTTTTATAGTTTGTGTTAAAAATTGAATGATGTCCGTGAAAACAAGAATTCTCGTTTGAAGTACCAATTATCAAATTTCATGGGTGGTGTTTTGATAAAAACGATTGGTCGACTAGCGCAATTTCGCTGATCTTGCTAAACGTCACGTAATCTCTCAAGCGAGTTTTATCAGCCAAGAAGTCTTGAACCAATTAGGGAATGACTATGTAGTGAACGATTCACTGAATTTGATCGGTTAGGGTTTCTCGTTGAAAACGGGACTCGGTAATCGTGCTTGGGTGCCCTGCGGCAGATGCCAGGTGTAGGATCCGAGCGCTTTTCGACTCCACTTTCATGTCAGCGACATTGCGACAATCCGAGCGAGTTCACACAACTGGAATTTCAACTGTCTCCTATACTTCGTAAAATTCACATCATTTGGCCTCTGCAATCGTGTGCATTAGTTGATAACTGTGCCAATCTTATTGTTCAAATTAGACTCGGTCTATATACCGTGGCTAAAGCGAGAAAACGACATTACTGTAATGAAGCTTACACGTGTAGTACTTCTATTTTGGCCCTTGTTTTCATTTGGACCTGTACTTTTCCCTTCCTGCGGTCCAATTTGCTTCGGATATGTCTCTAAATCCGCTAGACATGTCTTTGTCATTCCCAATACAGCATAATTTTTACCAAACATGCCAATTCCATAAAACTGTCCTTTAGCATCTTCACATTCACTTATCGTGCACTTGTCCTTTGTAATTCCTTTTTCACATAAATAGTAGGGATTTGTTTATTTAGCACGCTCATCTCAAAGCCTTGTTGGACAATTAATTTCCTTTTGGTTTCACTTTAATCATACATTGACTCCAGTATCGTTGGTTCACCTCTATCGTACCATTACAGCTAATAAAAAGCAAGTTGACTTTCGCTATCACAGCAGAATTGTCAAAGGGTAGATTGTCCAGGCCATTTTCATACCATTTCGAACCTCCTCAAGCTCCCCTGACTACAAGTTGTTTGGGTCTTTTCTTTTCGTTCTAGCCGACTAACGCGTCTAGAGATCATGCGACATGTACGAAGCATGCGGCACCACTGCATTGCCATAGCCTAGCGAGGGGTTTCAAATTTAATGCATGCTGCATCAAGGGAGTTTCTTCTCTGCTGGCTGCAGAATAGACATGTCACCTTCTTTATATATTCATCTATCCACTCTTCAAAGTCTTCGCCACGACCTCCTTTTCAAGACTTCGCGCTTGGTGTTCGCAATTCAAGCACCTTTTCACCTTGCTCATCAATTCACGATAGACAAGTCTTTTGTGTCTATCTGGCATGACGTATGAATCCCAAAAATGTCACGGTGGCTCAAGTGGTCTTTGATCGGGGGAATCCGATGACCACCCTTTTTACTGTTTCAGGATCAACGCACTTGCAGTCATAGTACAACATCTTCATATTAAACAGCTTCAGATGCCTCAGAATATGGCTTCCCGAAATGAACAAAGCCGTCAGTGCTTATGAGCTTGTTTTCGATGTCACACGAGTTTGCGCAAATTTTATTACATTACAGTCATTCTTTAAAAGACACCGTGTCTGCGCTGGCGCAGAGTTACGCACAAGAACAAGCGATATCATCACGGCTTGCTCAGCGTCAGATGTTACGTTCAAAGCCGCCACTTTATAAGCATTGATCTTACACTTGTTTTGTCCGTCAAGATAATAGTACTCTTATTCAACATCAGTTACCGTGCAGGCATCAAGCTTCCGTGTATTCGTATTCCATTCAGTCCTGCCATAATTTGAGCGAAACCGCGTCATAATCGCCATATATGTACTTTCTTCGTCCATTTCGAATTTTGGCACTGAACCATACTTGTAGTCGGTGATAACGAGAAGTCTTTGTTCTTGATCCACTTACATTAACCAAGCTCGTTTTTAGCTGTTACAAAGAATTTGTCTTATACCCTGACAACTTATTCACTGTGGTACAGAGCAGAAAGAACAATGCCGGAAAACGGCGTATCAACATCGAAAAGATGCGCGCCCGCAAAGCACGCAAAACACAAATGCGTTGATCTTGAACATGGCCGTCAGTTTAAGCTAGGCGAAAAAAAACAACGAGGATGACGCAGCATCTGTCATAGAACAGTATCAGGACGTAGGTAGTGAACCCGTTCACAAGAGTATCGTGCTAAGTTTCCGATTGGTTGGAGAGAGATTCAGATTATCCACCGCATTAGTCTCGACGCCGTTCACGGTACACCAGGGGATCTTGATGGTACAGAATGAAGCAATCTTGCAACTTGAACGATAAAGGACCTGCTCAGAGTGGAATCAGAAAATTAGAACTACACTAGACACACTTGGATTCAGACCCGAACATTTTGTTTTAGGGGTTTGGAAAGAATTCGGGTCCGCAGCATACATAGTGTGAAATCTCTATCGTTTCATTATGATGCGAGCTTATTATGATTCTTAGAGAATCCTCCCCAAAAATACTTCCTCCATAGGATTTTTCATTTCGTACTTGCAACAGTAGTGTTTTGTCTACCCCAGGATCTAGCACCTCCAATTACGTTTTCGATTTCATCGGAGTGGTCCGTGCCCATTCCTCTGTAAGGAGAACCTGGCGTGCATTTCTGAAAAATTGGCATAAAACAGTCTATAACTAATGTGTTAATTGCCTCTCCGTGTTTGTTCACATTTAACGACATAAAGATGAACTTTCTACTACAGCTCGTTTCGCTGGCTCTGATCGCCTCATGTGGCCTTTCTGCAAAGCCAATCGATAGCTTTTATCCCAATCTGTCAAATCCCTCTAGCATTGTCAACCCGAAGTATGATCCCTTAATGAAAGGCGGCAAGCGCGAGACCAGGAATGGTACATCCGATGGCTCTTATTCGTATTGCTCCATGCCGCATCCTAACGTGGCCTTCTACGAAGAGCCTACTCCCATTAAAAATGGAAGCATACACGCTAACCTGACAAAGCTTTTGTACATCCAGCGGCATCAGAAGCGCACAATGTACCATGTCTTTCCCAATGGTGAGAAAGAAATTTACTTTTGCAACGACATTCGTCCGCACGTATATGTTGCTCCTTCAGCTGATGGCGAAATCCAACCGATGCCAGTATTTGCACAAACTTACGTCGACTTTCTTAATCCCTTGTACCGCGCTTTTACCAATTCCACGTGTCAATTCCCCCAGATCACTTTGGGTGGCTTCTTGGATGGAGTGCAGCATGGCAAAGAATTGCGTGAGCTTTATGGAGACAAGTATCATGTGATTCCGGATCAACCAGATCCGCATAGGGTGTGGATGCGATCCTCTACGGCTGCTCTTACTCAAGATTCAGCTTCGGGCGTGCTTCGAGGTATTTGGCCCGACGTTCAAGGTCCCCTTCCATTGTTCCAACAAGCCGATCAAGTTGACACACATGAGCCTTCATGCGACCGTGCAGACTCGCTTCTGAGTGCTGCCAAGAAGACCGACGTATGGAAAAAACATTTGAGTGTTACCAAGCATTTGCGCAAAGAGCTGGAGGCCATACTGCAGACGAATGTTAGCGACTGGCAGTCTGACTGGGACCATTACAATGATAATTTCCAAGCCCGCCTGTGTAATGGATATCAGCTCCCTTGTTCAAATAATGATCCAACCAAATGTGTCACAAAAGATCAAGCTAGGAAGGTGTTTGCAGCTGGTGATTGGGAATATAATTATTACTGGGTCGCTCGTGACAATGTTACTGAGGCCATCAGGCTGACGAGTGGACTCTATATCAAAGACCTTATTGAACAGTTAAAGGAAATGAACTCAGGAAATTCAGACCTCCAATATGTTCACCACTTCATGCATGACGGAGACATTGGTCCCCTAGCAGGTTCGTTAGGTATCAAGTCCTTGCGTTGGCCTGGTATGGCATCCAACATTGCTATTGAACTTTGGACTGCGAACGATGGGAAGAATTATGTTCGAGCGCTTTACAGTGGCCATACAATTCACTCTAGATACGGAAACATGGAGTGGATGCCCTTTGATGATTTCATTTCCTATTGGAGCAAGTTTGTACCCGCAAATTTCGTTTCGCAGTGCAAGAAGTCGCTTTAAGAAGCCGCGCAACGCAATAGGGAGAGACGAATGTTGATGGATTCACGTGTGGAGATTCTTTATTACGATTGGGTAATACTAATTTTTTCGTACTTGATGCTTGTTCGCAATGTTTCGTTATTAATTGCCCCGTGTGTTAGATTCCTTGTTTTGGCCATTTGCCATGGTGCTGACCGTATACTTCGTATACATAACTTTATTTATATGTGCCCTAGATGCACATGCTGCGCATTCGTCACAGCCAAAGCAGAGTTGGTCTCTCCATGGCCAAGGATCACCCGTTTACACAGCGTCTAAGTTATTCCCCACGGACAAATTTTATAGCATGTACTTTTCACCGAAAGCTCAAGAAGCTGAACCGCGTCCCGTTGTAACAAAGATTGGAGGGAAGACATTTGCTGATTCTCTCAATGATCCCGCTCGCATGCCCTCTGAGCCTCCATCTAACTCGGGCGTAATCCCTGCTCCTTCATCTACATCCTTACCATTCAATTTGAAAGATCAGACTCATCAAAAAGTTTCCAAAGTAATTCGTAACAGCTCTATGTCCAAATGTGATCGGTGCAAGAATGCGCTAAAGCTTGGACAATCGCTCGCTCATGTTCAGCCTGAAAGTGTCCCTAACATTCTTATCGAGTTGTGTAAAGAATTTCAATATAAACAATTTGGCAGAAATCCAGACGTCAACAAGACGTGCGAGTTATCTTACACTCAAGGCGGCCAAGGCGGGGTCTTCACACAAGTGCTCTCCTACGCTGACTTGAGTGATTCGAGCTCTGATCCGGATTTGATCTGTGCGCAACTGTTTTATAATTTTTGCCCGATGCCGGAGCCCAAGACTTTGTCTGATTCATTTTTAAATGATTGGTTCCACGGTCAGCGAGAGGAGTCAATTAAAATAAAACAACGATCTAAGAAAGTTGGAAAACCCGCATCATCAGATCTTCGAGTCTTGTGGACGTCCGATATTCATGTTGATGGACGATATGCCGTGGGCTCTGAGGCCAAGTGTACCTATCGCTATTGCTGTCATTCCAACTCGTTTAATGTCGAATCTTTCAACTCGTCTGGCTATATAACCGGTAACACTTCTGTCCCGTCAAAAAACATTACATTAGCCGCACCATATTGGGGCTACGAGGGGTGTGATGCACCTTGGTCACTTGTGGCATCGGCTTTCCAGGCCATGGAGGATCTTGGTGGTAAGGATGGTTATGATATTGCTCTTTACACCGGCGACCTTGTCGCACATGGTCAAACATGGGAGGAGTCGCAAGAACTAGTGCAATATTCGGAATCGGCATTGTTCGACATGATGCATCGCTATCTTAGAAACACGACAGTGATTTCTGCTATTGGAAATCATGATACAAGTCCTACAGAGTACGCTGCTCCAAATAACTTGCCGGATGGCCGAGGAAATCAATTTAGCTGGGACTGGGACTATGTATCTAAGTTATGGAATAGCGAGGGCTGGGTCAATGACACCGAGCAGACTCAAATTCGAACACACTACGGCGGCTATTCAATTTCTCCTCGACAGGGCTTGCGCGTAATTTCTTTCAACACTGATTTTTGGTATCGTGGTAATGGCTTCGCCTTCTTGCATACCTCCAATCCCGACTTTAGCGGTGTCTTGCGCTGGGTCACGGATGAACTGCAAGCGGCTGAGGATGCCTACGAACGGGTGTGGATTATTGGTCATGTTCTTCCAGGCTGGGATGGGTATAGCTCAATGGATCTCCCAACAAATTTGTTTTATCAAATTGTGACGCGCTATCAAAGCACAATTGCTCACATGTTTTTTGCACACTCGCATGAGGATACTTTCAGTGTATTTTATCACAACACCAACGGTAATTCGAGCAGTGCATCACTGCGCACACAAGATGCTGTCGGCATAGCGTTACATTCTCCCTCAGTGACACCATTGACCAACATGAACCCGGGAATTCGCATTCTTCAAGTTAATCCAGAGACGTACGAAATTATGAATTACGACCAGTTCTACACACCCTTACAAAATGTGCAAAATCAGACAGAAACTGCCAAGGGCCTTGTTTGGTATCATTTATACAGCGCGCGTGAGGCTTACGGTAATTTTAGCGCAGCAAAGGCAGCTGGTAGCTATCACGCTCCTGTTCAGCTCAATGATGATGGAACGTGGCCCGCTTTTGTGCCTCTTAATGCATCTTTTTGGGCTTCAATCTCCGATGAAGTTCTTGCTCGACCAGAATTGGCAACACAGTTCCAAATATTCCAAGGTCGCAACAGTCCATTAAGTCCACCTTGCAGCAATAAGGCCTGTGCCAAGGCCAAAGCTTGCTTCATGCGAGCCGGCTCGTTCGCATTGGGCAGGGCCTGCGGAAGCTCCTACTCAACAGTTCAATAGTCACTTAGAGACATGCTTTCGTTCTTGTTAAAGATGCTCTTGAGCATGAGAACTCGACAGCCTGTGCCATGGCAAGCAGTTTCTCCTCTTGAAATCGCCGGCCCATGAGCTGAATTCCAACTGGCATTCCTCGAGACATGTCCGGGTCATATGCATGATATACATCTTCATCTATACTTGATAAAAAGTTTTGGCGATGAGTCTGCGGGACCGGTTCAGCCTTTGCGAGTGGCATTGATATGGATGGAAAATGCAACACATTGGCGGGTGGGGTGTAGCCCTGATACGTAACACCTCCTCGCCTCCAACACACCACACCAGTATTCGGCAACAAGATCCCGTCCATGGCTCGGCCACAACGTGATTGTTGTGCTGTTTCATTCCAGGCTCGCTCGTACTCCATACGGTAAGCTTTAAGTCCCATTGCTTGTTCATGTGCTTCTGCTACAGAAATAGCAGACCGTTCACCTTTCTTTGAGCCAAAAATCGCGGCCACTTCTTCGATCAGCGGTTCTCCAGCCTTTTCGATTAGCTCATGTATTTGCTCGCCAGCGCATTGAGTCATTATTTCAAGCCAAAGTGTCAGAGCTTGGAAATGAGATGGAGGTGAAAAAGAAATTACCTCATGACCATCTCTTTCAAGCGCATCGACCACTTGCGTGAGTGCTTGCTCAATAGGAGGTTGTGGGTGAACAATTCCGTCATTCAGCATTACACCGAAGACCAAATTTGAGGGTAGGTCACAATTTTTCCATGGTAGTTCTACTACAGATGGATCCACGAGCCAGGGTTGAGATGAGAGCAACAATTTTGTACAAATCTCCAGTGCTTGTAGTGAATTGGCCATTGGCCCAACCACAGATGGAATCAACACTTGTCCCGGATCTGTTGACCGTGTTCCTATAATTGGAAAGCGGCCAGGTGTTACCTTGAGGCCCCAAACGCCAGCAACACTGGCAGGAAGGCGGATCGAGCCCCCAATATCAGAGCCGATTCCTAGCGGGGATCCGCGTAATGCAAGCAACGACCCTTCGCCTCCTGAAGACCCTGCAGCTGAGCAAAAACGGTTTATGGCGTTATTTGTAAACCCAAAAATATTATTAACTGTTTCTGCACACATCATACTCGTTGGAACGTTGGTTTTAACAAAAAAGACAGCTCCTGCATTACGAAGAATTTTCACAACACCAGCTTCATCCTGAATCATGGCTTTATCATTTAACCATGCAGCAAATCCGACCGTGGTATCTGTCCCCTCCAAGTAGAACAAGTCTTTAAGAGAAACAGGGACCCCATGCAAGGGTCCCACTGGACGACCTGTTTCCTTAAGATAAATATCCAACTCATCAGCACGCCTTAACGCATCTTCCAAAATAAATTCAGTCAAGCAATTCGTAAGCTGATGGGCAAGAGCTGCGCGGTGTGCAAACGCAAGTGTCGCTTCTTTGGAAGAAACTAACCCCGCTTGCAGCGCTGGACGCAGTACCTCAAGTGGTAGCTCGGTGATTTGACGCTCCTCAGGCGATAAATTCGATTCAACAAATTCCACTCCATTCTGCAAATGTTCTGGAGAAGGTACCTGTTCAAGTCGCCAATTCTTAGGGATAGAATTCTTAAGTGCATCTCTTTTAGCTTGGGCAAGATCTTGCCAACTCAGAGAATCGATCATTAATGAAAATTCGATCTTAGCGAGTTACAAGCATCTTCAGTGTGGGTGCGTGCATGCATTACATATTTTCTAAAATATCCAGAACATGTGCCCCGGAGAATGCGGGGTTCTGGCGTTTCTCGGGCGTATCAGCCAAAATATTGGTTTAGATTGGTTGGTAAGAGCTACTTTTTCAGTCTCACGAAAGCCCAACATTCAAGTATTATTTGCCTCCCAACAAACTTAGATAAAACAACTGAAATACTGACTTGCACATTTACTGGATAAATCTCATTTTAGACCAGCACTCTCTGCTCTGCACCTTTTTATTTTCCGATCGCTCTCAGAGGTGAGCTAGATAAAAGGATTTGTCAAGGGGAGGTGACCCGCTATGCATCATATCTAGGAGCGACTTCAGATTTTTAACGGTTGCATGGCAGTCTTAGGTACCGTGAATAAAAGCAAACTTTCTGCATCCATGCCCAGTTCGGTACTACTGGTCATCGCACGCATAAACAAATAGCAAAATTACGAATCGCTACGAGCATTGCATTGGGAAACTTTCCTGAAGTATGTGCACTAAGCTGATTAAAGCCAACTCTTTACTGATATGTGAACGGAGCAGCACACTTTGAGAAGCATTTATACGTCGTACAATGATATATGTCAGTTCAAATCGAGACCCTTACGGCATGTTTGGGTGCGAGAAAATATAATCACGAGACATAGTTTTGATTTGCTAACCCCATGTCTATTGACATGCTGTTTGTGCGCCGAGTTTCTTGCGTGTTTATGCATAATTACGTTATATGGGCTCATACTAAATTGGTTCTTGATGCACGTATCAAGCGCCGGTTGCGACAATGGAAACATCCGTATCAAGTACCAAATGGAGCAAGATCATCTACAGAGATTTTTTACTATAGGTCTTGCTTTACGCTTGGAGCCACTGCCAAAACTTAGTTACGATCTTGTCAAAAGAAACCAAGAGAACAATGATGCTAGAGATGCATTTGATATTGGGCAAGGACAGCGGCTTAAGCCACGCATCTCTACATTTTCACCAACTACATTCGACCATGTAAAGGAATTCCTTTCCGATTCAAGATTGTGTGAATGCGTTAGAACATGGTCTGAAATTTTTTCAATTCTAGATGCTGCTGATGATGATCCTCATTTCAGTAAATTGCGGCATTTTTTTGATGCTCGACTTAGCACCTTAATGGATCTGTACCGACAAGATGATGGCTTTGAAGAAGAACCAGATGACATAACACCGACTCGATTGGAGCGAAAGAGTTCTGTTAAGAGTAGTTCACGCGCACCCAAGCGACTTCAATGGCCACGTCGAGCTAGCGCCTCCACTGCCGATCAAAGTCTTCACCCAGCGCGCTCCATCTTTGGATCAGTAAGGAAACCAAGCAGCTCTCACAAGCCAAATGAATTTGAGAAAAGTTTCTCCGATAAATTCGACCTTTGGCTAGATGATCATGAACCAAGGCGTGTGCGGTTTGGTGTACGCTTGGACCTTGATCGCGTTTGCCTTGCAAACTCTCGTAACCAAGCATCTGACATGAATTCTAAAAAGCCTTTTCACGTGTCCGATGCAAGGCTTAAATTCACAGAAGGTCTAGATCCTGAACATGAAGAACCCTCTATAAGAAGTGATGACAATGCTGGATCTATTACTTCTCGCCGTTCTTTCGTCCAACGCATGTTTGAGAAAGGACTTCGTCGCGAGAGTCAAAATTCTTCAAACCCGCCCACATGGCTTCAAAATCATGAAGACATGACTAACGCATCAAATCAAGCGTTTGATGATTCAGATGAGGAGCAAGAGGCTTCGCCTTTTGGTTCGCCTGGTTGCTCCACTACTCGCCACGGATCGGTGCCCAGCAATGCATCTCGACCCCAGCTTAATGGGGCTTCCAAAGCAGCAGAACTTGAACGCGTCGAAGAAAAATCTGCCGTTGATTTAAATGAAAAGCTCATACGAGGCGTGCATTATTTAGGATTGAATGATGCGCAGCCTGTCTCATATTTCAAGGAAGGGCAGGATTTTATTAGTTTGCTTCGCAAGGCATCTGTTCAAATGCAAACTCTTCCATGGTCTTACGGCCAACAAGATCCACTCTCTACAATCATCACGTATGCTTTCGCAGATGCTTTTGGATGGGAGGGCATTCTTCATCTGTGTTACGGGAAACACAGTGCATGCGAACGTGAGCAGATTTTCTCAGCACTAGGACGTGCCGCAGATATGGAATTGCATCGGAAAGAGAAATATGATGCTGTTCTTTCATGGAGAGATAAAGTGTGGAGTAATAGCGACAAAGAAACGCTTTGTGAGGACGAAACTCCCCAAACTCTCCCGTCTTTTAACTCCGAATCCGACCAAATTAAATCAAGCCAAGAACCTCAAAAAGATGAAATAATTCTAGATCCTTTGTCCAAGGATTCGGACGCTAGCTGCTACAAGTCTTCTCACGATAAATGGAGGACTTGGGAAGATTGGAGACTGTTATTTACAAGTCTCTCGGCGTGGGTGTCAGAGTACGAGACTACTCGTGTGCAATCTTGTCTTTCTCATGAATACAACCTAGAAAATGTATTCCAAACAAGACCGTGTGAGACATGTCCTAATGTGCTCCCTTTGAGTGTCGAAAAAGATGCGATTAGCAGTCAATTCGGCTTTTGGCGTCTTTCTGGAATACCGAGTGCTCTTCGGCTTGAATCAAACCAAGAACACATGGACTATCGATGGGCTCGCGTCAGGCTCGAAAGCAGTATGATTGGGACGCCGTTGGTCATGACTACGGCGGGGGTTCAGTTCTTTTTGATGCAGCTAACTTCAGCCCCATGGGTGTATCACGGAGCGTGGGAGTTGGACTACTTGGACAAATGCATCTTCGAATCATCCATCACAAGAGAACGTTTCCCTCCACCTGGAGACTCAGTTGTAACTCCTCTCAGCCCATCTTATTCCAAACGGGAAAATCGCGTTGAATGCCCTTATCCAAGCGTGAGGGGAGCGTGGAGCCCGGACGAATGGAAGAAATGGCTAGGTGGTTTGAGAGAAGGGCATATCATCACCCCAACAATCTCTTGGCAAGGATGGTGGACTTTGATCGCAGTTTTAAATGGAGCAGACCATTCTGGGCGTCCTTTTGATCTTCAATTGCGTGCACCCGGGGATCCCGTTCAGCCTGATGAAGATGGCTCAATTTATTTGTAACCATTACCAACGACAAAATTTCAAGAACTAGGGACATTTATTGGCTCCACATCTTTCTGGTTCAGGAGCGAAAGATACAGTGTCCACGCAATACCGCAAGAAGCAGAGAATGGCACACGTAACCTGCGCATATTAGGTCAAGACCTTAACCGTACGAACCTAAGTGGCATCACACCAAAGTTGAATAATTGTAATGCTGGCCATATTTTCCAGTTGGCTAAAAGAGCTGGAATGTATATCTGGAATAAGTGCTTTCCTTACGCACATCATTGTACTTTTCCTTTAGGGTCTCGAAACTATGGCGGCCTTCCATAATTCCCATAGCCCCAACGAATAATGCAAGCCCAAATGGTGCAAAAACAATTTGGTCAGTCATAACTCGACGCATTAGTCCGCTCCAAATGAGTGAGCCAGAAGCCCCGCGGATACGGAACTTGTGTTCAATGAAATGATTCCACTCAGCTAAGAGTGGTGCCATAGCTGAACCAAATATAAGAAAGCGGCTTGAGCGGGGGAAGTCCCACTCTAAGAGCGGCTTACCCTCAGAGCGCCGATCAAATGTCTGAGCAAGTCCATCTGCGACCGCCGTGAGCAATCCATTCGTAACTGCAAGTGTACCCCAAGGGTATTTTTCAAACATTCGATTATAAAATGTGCCCAATCTCATCATGGTGTGCAATGAGCCAACACGGATGATGCTCAAGACAAATTTTGCCGAGCCTATTTGTTAGTATTATTCATGCGTTTACGGCATTTTTTTCACGTTTTTGACGCAAATACACAAACGAGTGGAGGCCAAAGTGTATAGTCGTCAAGTTCCTCATGACAAGTCACTGGCTCGTCAAAGCCGAGCCTCTTTCACGCCTTGTTAAGGGGATAGATGTAGCATTCAGTGTTGACCGCTTTGAAAAAGAAAAAGTTTGTTCTTGGGAAGGCGTTCGGAACTATCAAGCACGCAAGTATTTGCGAGACCAAATGAAGACAGGACACCGAGTTCTTTTTTATCATAGCAGCTGCAAAGTACCCGGCATTGTTGCATTAGCAAGTGTTTGTAAAGACGGATATCCTGACAACACAGCATGGGAGCCAGGAAATCCATACTTTGACCCAAGATCCGATCCAAAGGCGCCTCAGTGGTACATGGTGGATTTGCAGTTCGAGGGTCGACTCACACACCCCGTTCCGCTTGGAGTCCTAAAACATCTCACAAGTTCAGACCTATCGGATGCACAACGCGAAGATGTGAAGTATTTATCAGAAGACCATTTGCTAGCTGTGGCAAACATGCTATTACTCAATCGATCTCGTTTAAGCGTGCAGGTAAGAAAAAAAAAGTGTTGTCTAACCTAGCCCGTTGAATATATGGCATTTGAAGCAATTACGCTGCTTGGTCAGAGAGGTGGTTTCATGAATTGGCCAGGCAAATGGTCACGAACCAATACCCCAGATGAATCCATCCCTCCGTCGCGCAAGCGTCGACGCAGTTAGTCCATGTAAAACAACCACTGTAGCCACGTGTCCCGATAGCGTGCCTTGCTGACAAACCATTTTGGCCCTAATGTGTCCGTTGTTGCATCGTGGCTTCAAGGCGATCTAGAACCTTGGTGCTGGAGCGGAAGAGCCGATTTGCATCACCCCTAACACGCCTTTTGAATTCAGGTGTCGTAATTCGCATGGAACTGTGTGAATAAAAATGCCTTTAGAGCACTTTGGCACAGGGTCATGGCAAAAGTTTCACAAGCGTCCTCTAAGTGATATCAGCCACGGTCATGCCAGCACTTCAATGACTCGGGCTACCTCCGATTTTCGAGATCGCGGACAGGTTCACTCGCCTTTTGAGGGTCTCAATGGAAAGGATGCCCAAGAAGGTCGTGGAAGTAACGAAGATGATGATGCAATCCTGTCAAAACTTACTGGGGTGAGTCGTTCCGTCAGTTGGGGCCGCGGAACATCTAATCGACAACAGACTTCAAGGCTACAAACAAATTTTTTACCGGGTGAAAAAAGGTGTCATTCAACCCCTAAAAATTCTTCACGCCCAATAAATCCATCATTGGCTATGTCGCCTTCCATGGCTAAATCCGCACTGACATATGACGACGAAGACAGTCCGAATGACTCGACTTCTAGCCCTGCCTCCTCTGCCGCTTTATCTTTGCGTTCCTTGTCAGCATGTGACAATGAACGCACACATCAAGGGATTTTAAACCAAGCAAGTCCTTTTCGCTCGACATTTCAGCCACAAGCACACGATTATAGAGCCCTTTCTGACCCTGCACCATCAAATTCCCGGTTGCGTCCTGGAATCACTGAACAGGATCTAGGGAGTCCCAAGTCCCGTTTATTATCGTCACCAGAAATACCGGATTCTCAGCTTTACTCAACAAGTTTTCCCACTGTCTCGGTTGATGCACACGAAATGCCTATTTCAGCTGAATTGGCAAGTGCAGAGGGGCCCAGAATCTCACTTCGGTCACCAGTTCCCCAAAGACCTTTGCCAGGCTCTCGGCGCGAGAGTGGTTCTGACTTGGATACATCACTGAATGATGTGCCTGTTCGAAGACATATGGGTTCCTTTTATTTGCGAAAACAATCTTCAAATCCGGATCTATCGCATTCCATCCGGTCTATCGACTCCATAATTGATGACGATTGCAACAGCATAGGGCAAGGAGAATCACGTTTCCGAATAGGCCCTATTCGGTTCTTTTCACGTTTTTTTCATGACGACGTGCCACGGGGCACAAGAAGCGGAAGTACCTCACCAAATTCTTTCAGTCCGCCTTCGTCTTCCTTGCATCCAGGCGCATCTTTTCGAGGCTTGAACGATTTACGTCGAAGTTTTAATATGGGTCGACCAAGCAGCTTGGCTCAGACTTTGGGTTTATCAGCTAAACAGGCTCTTCCGCGACCCCCGCGTTCTCCAATGGTTTCGGCGATTGCTTCTAAAAACTTGGAAGTTGATGATGATGACATTCATGAGATCCACGGCCTCACGACACGTAGTTCTACCCCGGTTCGTTCATTATCGCCTCCAACGATGCCGAATCAAGTTTATACAAGTTTTTGTCCGGAGGCGGGACTTGCCAAGTTGAATATTCAAGATTCACACGCATCTGATGTGCAAAATATGAGTGCTTATGAACTCGGGGAAGAAATCGGGAGTGGCGCATACGGATTCGTTCGACGGGCTCGTTCTCGCGACCGAGGTGAGGAAGTTGTTATCAAGTATATTTTTAAAAGTTCAATATTTGCAGATTCGTGGCGTCGGCATCGCATCTATGGAACAATTCCTGGAGAGATATTTGTGTTATTACAGTTGCAACACACATCCTATACTCCACCGCCATCGCCTCCACGTTATATTGCAAATAAGTCGCGTTGGGAACAGGTTCGCGATACGGTGTTAGCAGAGCAAAGTCAAGGGCACACCACTGGACATCCTGGCATATGTAAACTATTGGAATTTTTTGAGGATAATGATTATTATTATATGGTAATGCCTCGTTTTGGAAATGGTCAAGACTTGTTCAATTATGTGGAATCATCTCCATATGGGCTAGAGCCACGAGAAGTTCGCAGCTTCTTAGGTCAGGTTGCAGATGTGATTGCTTTCATGCATTCGAACGGGATTGTCCATCGGGATATTAAAGATGAAAATGTAATATTGGATTCATACGGCATGGTGCAGCTTATCGATTTTGGGGGGGCTGCACGTATTCGCCCTGGTCTGATGTTTGATACGTTTAGCGGCACGATGGATTATGCAGCACTTGAGATACTTCGTGGCGAGAAATATTCTGGACCACCTCAAGATGTTTGGGCCTTCGGAGTCCTAGGCTATGTGTTAGTTTGCGGTGAGTGTCCATTCGCAAATGTGGAAGAAGCAAGTGTGGGCATGTCAGCCGGGGCGCGACCTTTACTTGTGCTTCAACATTTTTGCCTCGAACAAAGCCCTGGCGTTCACAGCCTTGCTAATTCAGACTCGTCTCAAGACGAGAATATACCCCCGCCAGATAATGGCGGTCATTTCTCTCAATTATGTGACCTGATTTGTCAGTGTTTACAACATGATCCCAGTATGCGGCCCTCAGCTAATGATATCCTTCATCACGCGTTTCTGTTCGGTAATCAGGGATGGATGGGTCCGTGCGGCTGGCGTCATTAATATAGGGGATTTCCAGAAAAACCACGCTTACTCGGTATTTTATAGGCTAAATGCACGCACATGTCAGAGTCTCTTATGCACGCCCTTGTCCTAATTAAATTAATGGAGGGTTGTTCTAACGACATGAAAATGTGCCATGCTTCTGGATCCACGTGTTTCTAGTATAGGTGCGGCTGAGTGTGAGCATGATGAGAACACGACATAAATGACTACGTTTCAAGTATTTACACAATTTCAATGAGGCCAACGAATGTCACTTCTACCATGGTGTCCCGAAATCCTGCTAGCGAAAATTTCCCGCTAGTTTCTTCAGCGCTCTCGCCGATTCCTTTCACACCTAACCGGAGCTTATCGCTCCAGTTTAAGGGTGAGAGGATTTGTGATGAATCTGTTCAGCGACAACTCGAACAGAGAATTGACTTGTTAAAGCACAATATAAACTCACAGTCGAAACTAAACTTTTTGCTGGAGAGCGACATAAGAGATCTCGATAGTCGAATCGCCTTACTTATTGCCAACCGCATGGCACTAGATGAATTTGACTACCCACAAGTAGGAAAAAATGAGTGCCGATGTCACATCTTGGACGATAAACGACTTCAACTTTATTCCATCCTTTTTCACATATTGGTTACTGAACCCAGGCATATCGCAACATTGTGCTCACTTGTATCCCTAACTGAGATGGACATGTTTCTACAAACGGTAATGTTTACAATTTATGCGAATCAGTGCGATGAATATGAAGAGCACTTGCTGCTCACTGTATTTCAGTTTGTGCTCTCTACTCAATTTAAAACATCTCATGATTTTAGCACCGTTATGAGAGCCAACACGCCTATCTCACGTATGATGTCAACCTACACAAGACGAGGGGCTGGGCAAACATATTTAAAAAATGTACTATCAAGGCACGTTCATACGGTTTTACAGACTCCGACCAGTCTGGACCTCGATCCTGCGCATGTATTACATGAGCTTGTGCGAGAGGGTGCGATCAGCGGCAATCCTGAATGTGTCACTCTAGATCATCCCATGGTGCAAGAAAGAATCGAGGCACGAAGCTCCTTTTTAATGCACATCGCCAATGCAGTCGTGAATGATATTATTACTTCCGTCGACCTTGTGCCATACGGTATTCGCTGGATCTGCAAACAAATTAAAAGTCTCACTAGAAAAAAAGACCCCGATGCCTGTGCGGACGTTATTTTCTCTTTAATTGGTTCTTTCTTTTTCTTGCGTTATGTAAATGTTGCTATCGTATCACCCCAGCTATACTTGCTCAACGTCGAATCTGGTTCCAAGCATGGTCATCGCGCCTTGGTCCTTGTAGCAAAAATGCTGCAGTACCTTGTTAACAATCCATCACATGAAAAAGGCTGCATGATGAGGCTTTTGAAATCATTCACAGATATTAATCGCCATCGATTAACTATGTTTCTGAATTCGCTTTGCAACGTGGATGACTTTTATGGGTCACTGGAGATTCATCATTACATGGCTCTGTCTAAGTCCGACAGGAGACTTCACATCTCGATAAATGAGCTATTTTTCATGCACGCCCTTGTGAAGAAATACTTGAATGTTTTGGCTCCAGATCGTGGCACCCATCTTGGACAAATCATTGAAGAGCTGGGTAGATCTCCGAATCAATTAACGCGGAATGAAAATTACACTATTGATTTGGCACTTTTTAGTCGATGGGAAACTCCAAAGCATGACCTCGCGTCTACCTTAATGATCGAGAATAACATGACATCAAGTGACATACTTTACATTGAAACCAAGACGCTCTTCGTCGAAATAATGAGACTGACTTCCTGTCGGACTAGGCCCACTAACCTTTCAGAATTGGCGAGGAACGCAGCAAGATCTGGGATTAAATATTTGGAAGCTCTTGGCCGCCGTGCATCTACAAAGCTGAATGAGCTTGAGGAGCTTCGAATTCTCCATGAAGACATTCAGAAAGATCTGATGATTGACGAAATTCATACTGACTTTACGTGCCTATCACAAATTAATGGGTTGAGTAAACTCACAGAGGATGAGAAAAATCTGAATTCTGTTCTCAATGCTTTGAAAGAGCATCATGCTTTTTTGCAAATGCAGCTTAAGACATACAATGACTACTTGAAAAATATCTGCCAAGCTTCTAACACATTAAGAGGAACAGGTGCAAACAGCGCCTTTGGGTCGTGGTCATTCTGATGACGACAGAGAAGAAAATAATAATAAATTAAGATTATCGTATAGTTCATCAATACTATTATTGTGATTGCTCTTGCCTTAAAGGCCTAAAAGAGTCTAGACCAAGCTGCTCCCTTTTGAACCATTCTAGCATTCCTCAGATTTTGGTGCGTATGCTAGTTTCAGGTTCTGTATATGGCGGTCCTTACTTGTTCACGAAAAACAAAACAAAGCTCGTAACCATTTCAAAGCTTGCCGTAGACTTGTGCAAGATTCATCCACTGTCTTTATGTCTTAATTACTCGTCCCCATGGTGTTATGATCTTTTTCATACGCTAATTCATGTGAGAAAACTACAACTACTCTCACGGGCATAAAACACACACTCACAGCCTAGTAGAATTTCGCAGTATTAGGTTCATCATGCACCCTTTCTCATGCTAGTTTTTCGCAACATACTATGTCGAGTAGGGCAAGCAAATTGAATTGCGGTATGGAATGCCCAAACAGCATTTATTTTGGGGGGTAAAGAGTATCCTTTCTGTATACATGACGATGCCAGTCCACAACTAAGACAGCAAGTATGGCATAAACCAAAATAACATGTTACTTCTTTGAGTTGGCGGCTTCCTCGTCACGCTTGGCCTGGCGGGCCTGACGAGCACCTTCGTGACGGTGAATAGCCCGAGCCATACGGAGCGTTCGGAAGGCCTCACCCTCCTTCTCCTCGGCAGTGATGGCACGAGGAGCCTCAAGAGTCATGCCAGCGGGAATAGGGAATGCATCCGAAGTAGCGCGCGTAGTCGTGATCGAGGAGATGTCAGGCATCTGGCCCTTGCTCTTCTTCGTGCGACGGGGGAAGACAATCAAGCGTTCCTTGTATGCCTTGAGACGGTCAGTGTTGAGCTTGAGACTTTCCTCGCTCCTGTTCTTACGACGGTGGTCGACCGGAATACCGATCGAGCGAGCCTCAACCTTGCGGATACCAGCAGCCTTTAGCTCTTCGAGCGTGAAGCCACGACCCTGACGCATCTTCGTGTTGTACTTAAGGGTCTGACCACGCACAGCTGGGCGAAGAGGCTGGAGCGGACGCATACCTAGGGCAGCGGCCTTGGCGGCACGAGCATTACGACGGCTCTTTTTGCGACCTGCCTGGTCAAACCAGACCCGCACACGGCGCTGCCAGTCCTTGTGGAAGTGATTGTTATGGAGGAGGTTGTTGTGGCGGAAACCCATACTGAAACACGTTAGCAACCATTCAAAGAAGCTATACAATAGCCTGCCGCATCCCACGCAGACCCATGACGATAAGATGCGCGGACTGTTGCGCTCATCAAGCGTACCTTGCTAGGACTCACGTCGGTGGAAGGTGGATTGGTTCGCCTGGAGCATGTCTAGGACAACGAAAATGCTTCGCGCGATATTGGTCACGTGTGTACAGTTATACACGTGATCATGGCGTTCGACAGTCCGTGCGGTATATCGCTCCACTTTCACTCCACACTGGTGTGGCATGTAACTGGTGCGACACTATGACTGACGATACTGCTGATCCATTCGTTGTGCGATGGTTGACATGGTGTTCTCAAGCATTGCAGTCACATAAATATCCTATCAGATCTCTTGTCGATGTGTCGTCTCCGCTATCACCAGACACTGAAACAAGAGAAGATGTCATTGCGCGAGGGCGTTGTGAACAATGGAAAGAAGACCTTCTTCGGACAAGCCCCATGGTTCGGTTTATGGTCAAGCATTTGACGCTTATTCAGTGCAATCCACTCTCCCCCAGAGAAGATTCTGCGAGTCAAGGAACCCCGCCCAAGCTGTTAATTGCTTCTTGTCCACCCGACATTGCTGGAGGTTTCTCACCGTCGCCTCCCGAGAGACCCACGGCCGAGTCGGGAATCTTACTGTGCGCGAATCGTATCTTCAGTAAGGCACATCTTGAGGATACGATTTCACATGAAATGATACATTGGTGGGATCACTGTCGCTTCAAGGTTGATTGGGGCAATCTGCGACACCACGCATGCAGTGAGGTACGCGTGAAGGAGAGTGAGGCTGAAAAATTACTAACAGCTTCAGATTCGTGCTGCGTCCTTGTCAGGAGATTGTAATTGGACACGCGAAATTAATCGGCGCCACTTTGCACTTTCTAAACAGCATCAAAATTGTGTGAAGCGACGTGGGATCTTATCTGTTCGTGGGAATCCGGCTTGTAAGAGTGAGGAAATGGCAATGAAGGTGGTTGAAGACGTATGGGACAGTTGCTTTCATGATACCCGACCATTTGATGAGGTACGTTTAGTCTCTGTTGCGTTAAACCGGACGCTGACCACTAGATTTATTGAAATATGAGGCTATGGACAGTATGAATTCGACTCTATCTAAGAGTTTCAAGTCGTTTCGTACCAGCGTATATACGTGTATCCAATGCGGTTGTTTTGTCTCCCACACGTTGAAGACGTTTGTTTTGAGCGTCCACTTCTTGGCCCATAGCACGACCTAGTATATTCATACGGGCGCTCAAGGCGGCAATTTCATCCAAATTGCCATCGAGTTCATCTTCAAGCTCATCATCGCTTTCAGTGGCTTCGAATTGATAGCGCTCACGCTGAGCTTTAGGATCGACCAATTCTGAATTGTTGTGCGTAAATTTGTTTCGCACTTTTGAAAACACGTTGTCGTTAGAGACAGTTTCCTCGACCCGACGTTGTGAGGAAAGCATCTCAGCACGTGTGAGCTCACGTTCTTGGCGTTCATCAATGTGACGTTGCACTGCTCGAGCTTCCTCCGCATCTCGCTTGGCCCTTCTGTTCCGACTAAATTTGGGTCGGAAAATAGACTGATTCAACTGAGAAATGCGTCTAGCATTATCCTCAGCGCGAGATGCATGCGCCTTAGCAATGTCAAGACTTCGTTCAGTATCACCGATGGTATCTTTTTGTTAGTTATGCTTTGTCAGACATACCGCTTTGTTCACCTAGCTTGACCATAGTGTTAGTAGCCGTCTCTTCGGTCTCGCGAGCAAGACGCAATGCGTTGCGCGTACTACTCAGACTTTCCTGCTTCGTGCTTCGAATTTGATACTTCAACCCTTGAATTTCTTCCTCTTCAGGATCAAAGCCTTGAATGCCATTCTGTACAGCATAAGGGTCACGGTACGCTGATGAATGCGATGGCGCTGATTTTTGATAGTACGGGGTCGACTGGTTATAAGACTGCTGCATTGATCCACTTCCGTATTCAGCCAAAAGCTCTGCATCAGTGGGTTGAGACGAAGACCCTATTACATTACGTCCAGCCGTCGGAGTGCTGCTGTTTGTAGAGCCATATGGGTCACGAGGACGATTCGAGCCCCGCACTGACGTGTAGGCATCCAGCTGTCCACTGTGTGTTGGATCATTTGAAAGCTCTGGCTCAGAAACGGGTGGGATCTTGGGTTTCTTTCAAATTAGTGAGTCTCTTTGTTCGACGTACGCGTCTGAAAATCGGTTTCATGGTAGACTAAAGACTGCCCGTGTGTGTTGGACGCAATGGGTGTTTGTATCGCTGTGGAGGCAAGGCTGTCCGCACAGGTCAAGCGTCTCTATCTTATATAATGCGCGTTGTCCGGCAGAGATAAACTTTCTTTCATGGGCGCTCAAAGCTCCAAGCCGGCTCGTGTGCTTAGCTCACGGGTGACATCAAGTAATGCAAACCCCTCGTCAAAGCCTCCAAGGACAACATCAGTACGACCTGCTCAGAGCACAGAGTCGCATGAGGGTACCTCTCCCTTTTCTAAAGATAAATGTACGTGCCATCGCTACTTCCGGACCTGAACTCATTTCTAAGCTATTCTTGATGATGCACGCGATCCCCAATTTCAGCGTAACCTAGACATGTTAGGGCCTGTTCAAGTGCGCACTAAACGTGACACATTGCATCGAGACGGTCCGATGCTTGGAATTCTACACGCTAGGGTGCAGAACGAGCATTTAGAGTCAAACGAAGGAATAGCTCCAGGTCTATCGGCAGGAGAATTGTCGCGCCTATTAGAGGAATATCGAATTGACCCGACAAAACTGAATCAACTTGCTTTGGAATATGACGTAGGTGCTGACAAGCTACGCAGACTTGTGCGATACGTTGCCGCGCCAACTTATCTACAGTAATAAGACAATAAGTTATTTGTGCATGCTCAAAAGTTGTTTAATATATTCGAAGTCCATGCCTGTGGTTATTAGCTTCATTTTTGACGTACATTGTTTCGTATACGTTCGTCAAAGTCACGCATACATGACTCTAGGGCTTCAAGCTGAGCATGCTTGTCGTCCTTCCGCTGTCGTTTTGTGATTTGCACGCGGTCCTCGTATGCATGCAGAAACTCCTGCACTAGAGCTACGCCATTGTGTGTCACATCCGAATCCATGCGTGTTATATCTCTTTTATCTTCAATGCCTTCGAGTTCCTCAGCTTTACGCTTCGCTAACCGAATTACATCTTCGGGGAAATCGGCGAGTTCGGCAATTTGGATACCATAGCTCTGGTCACTTGAGCCAGGTTCAACTTTGTACAGCAGCGTGATGTCCTTGTCGAACTGCGAGCCATTTTCTCTGGGGGTGACATGAGCAACCACATGAAGGTTTTCAACGCCTGGCAGCTTTCGTGCAAGGCTAGTCATCTCATGAAAATGTGTGGCAAAAACACATTTGCAGTGAATTTGTGTGACCATATACTCGGAAATCGCCCACGCCAAGCCAAACCCATCATATGTCGACGTTCCACGACCCAATTCATCAATGAGAACAAGTGAATCTCTGGTTGCACTCTTGAGTATGGTGGCAGTTTCTAGCATTTCTGCCATAAATGTGCTAATACCGCGGAGTTGACTATCGCCAGCACCAACACGAGCAAGTATGCAATCACAAATCGGTATTTGAGCGCCAGCGGCCGCTGGAACGAAACAACCAATTTGGGCCATAAGTGTGATTACGCCAATTTGCCGCAAATACGTAGATTTTCCACCCATATTCGGTCCGGTCACGACGAGAAACTCGGATTCATTGGGCACCATGCTCACGTCGTTTGGAATAAAATGAATGTCATCCTGAACTTCTAAGCAAGGGTGGCGGGAGTCACGCAGGACGAGGGAGGAACCGCGTTCCCTAAGTTCAGGTCTCGTGTAAGGAATTGGTGCATTGCTCGATACATGGGCAAGGCTCACAATCACATCCAGATGAGCTACAACAACATTGAGATGTTCAAGAGGTGGCGTATATGAGGAGGCGATGTCGATAACGTCTTTTACGAGCCGGCTTTGTGTACTCGCATAGTCCTCAGAAAGAGAACGGAATTCATCGTTCAACTCACGCACAGAAGGTGTCGTAAAATACAAACCACCCTGACGATAAATACTAAAAAAAAACAAGCCACGTACCTTTACTGTACTCAAGTCCAAGTATCCGTTTCGATTTTTGACAACGCCTGCATCCTGTTGCATGGTAAGCTATCATAATAACACATACCGTACGCGTCACGCGAAAGCAATAGCCGTATGAAGAGTGATTTTCGAGATGCAGCTTCTTTTCTGTATCAAGGCGCAAATCATGGCCGACCTGTATATGCTGTTCATCCAGCTGATCGCGAATTACGTCCAGCTTAGTTCGAATGAGGCGGAGGGTTTCATCGAATTCGGGCTTAATGACATAATTGTGGTACTGTAACTCGTCCAAATCCAGTGTCATTTCAACCATCTCGACAAGTTTAACGAGATGCTGGTACAGTTCATCCAATGGGGCCACAAATGTGCTGTGAAACAGCGCGCAGTCAGCTTCTGATACAATAGCAATGGATCTCAGCACTTGTGTGAGATCCGGAATTTTTATCACAGCTTGATAACAGCGCACCACATCTTCCAAAGTCGCAACACCTCGCTGAAAACGTTTTCCAATTCGCAACATATCAGGCATATATTTGAGAAAATCATCTTGCAGCCGATGTCTTGCTTCAGGGTCGTCAAGCAAAATAGATAACATTGATTGTCGATTTTGGATGGCATGCAAGTTCACCAGTGGCTGTTTTAACCATTGGTTGAGCATCCGAATACCTTGGGCTGTTTTACAGTGATTTAAAAGACCAAATAAGCTTGCGCCCTTGTTGGTGCCCGATGCTTGGCCATGAGGATCTGGGAACAAATTCAGGGCTCTAAGAGCCGCGTTATCCATTCGCAAATATTCGGACAAATCGTGAGAACAGAGAGTAAACTTGCCAAAATTGGACTCGTCGCCCAACAAATTAAGATACGAAATTAGCGCAGATGCAGATGTCATAGCTAGCTTTTTGTTCAAGTTGGACGTCAATGTTGCCTGTTGCGAGGAGGGTAAAAGGCGCAGTATATCTTCTTCCACAGATTTGTTAACAAAAAGACCACGCCTAACCTCTGTAATGACGCAACCACATCTTTCAATCATAGAACGAAGTTTTTGGAGGTTATAATCGGAGCCAGCCTCATCAGTAGGCAAGACGCATTCTTTCACGCCTAGTTGAATAATTAAAGACTAGAAAATATTAGCGCGCAAGCCATACTAACCTCAGAATTTGAAAAAAGATCGGTTTCTGCATATTCAGCGATGCCGAATTCTCGATTTGTGGCATCAGCAAAAGCTGCTCCGACTTGGTTTAAACCATCTTCAACCTTGATGCGCAAGGCTAGCACAATAGGACTTGAAACAACATCTGATTGCAAGAACAGAAGGTCCTCCAATTCCTGCAGATTTCCAGGTGATGCTTGTTTAGCAATAGCCCATGTGCTACCGCGTTTGCCTGACCCATCGCCGCTTGTGGATGCCCAGATCTCGACACGCAGTTGCTTCGTTGTGAGGGCATCGCGCAAAAAGCTCTTAGCTGCCGTCAAACTTAATGAGCATGAAGGAAGTCCTATATCCTCGCGAGATTTGCCACCTAAGTATCGTAAGACGGATTTCGTCTTGAACACTGTATCAGCAACATATAAAGCATCGTCACCGTACGCAGCATAGAAATCCTGACGATTGAATAAACGAACCGTTCCGGGTACAGTTGCTGGTAAGTTACGGAAAAACGATATAAATCCAGTGTCAACTTTCTCCGAGTCAAGACACGAGCCACTTGGTCGCGACTCTTCCGTTGGATACATCAATCCTGACATGGTTGGAGCCAGAAACATGTAGTGATACGCGTGCGCTAGTCATGTCTGCTGGCGCGTAGCGCGATTTCAAGGCCTAGAAGGTGTATGTCTGAAACAAGTGGAGACTGCCGATAGATGCAGCATTGAGGCGAAGAAGAGACAGGGGCATGATCAACTGTGTCGACTACCATAGGATTCTACTCAGGACGTCTAGGTGCATCAAGGGGAACACGGACACCAGTGCCCTTCCAATTTGATGGCGCACAAAATTGACAAAACCATTTTCCCTTTGGCGGATGGTTCAAGCCAATGCAGCCGATGTGGAACTGCTTGTAAGGATGAACCAAACGTACCCATTCGCATGGACAGTCATCATTATCACAAGCTACCATCTGCACTTGATTAGCCAACTTCATTTATCGATACATACCTCACCATATGATACTCTCTGACAGTAGCAATATTTTGGCTCACTTGGATCAGCGTCTATGTGCTCGATAGGCACAGAAGAGTCAGAGGACGTCTTAGGAGAACTTGGTTTGGCGTCACGAGGGCGCTCATGACCTTGTACATTATGCGGCATTCCTCGATTGCTTTGCATGTGCTCTTTTAGGTATTCAAGGCAAACGAGTGGATCCAAAGAAATGAGGGCGCTCCAAAATGTCAACAGTTGACCGGAGGGCGAGAACCTGTCAGAGTCTTTGGGGACTGGAGTACTGGACGTTGAGGATTCCATAGAGTTGGAAGATTCAAGCTCTTTTCGAAGTCCTGCGTATAAGCTGCGTTCATTTTTTAAAAGGTCAATGTCTAGACGACGAATCTGTCGATCCACAGTGTCGTATGCAGAAAGAGCAAGTGCGAGTTTTTCCTCAGCCAATGAGCAAATGAGCTGGGATTTGTCTCGAATCTTTAGCAAATGTGACTTGCATGTTGCTGCACTCAACTCAGATGTCAAGCAAGAATGATCCTCTAATGATCGATGGTGCGTGTCAAAAAATTGCTTCCATGTGGCGTTAAGCTCGACTTTGGCATCTTATCATGAGCACAAGAGTCACTAACCTTCGCTTGTCTGATCTAGCTCCTTCATAAGTATAAAAGTACGTTGAAGTTCTAGTGGGAGATGGTCGGCTACTAAGAAACATGAGCATTTTGTAGATGGCACGCACTTTCCGAATATTCCTCAGTCCATTTCCCAATACGATTTCCTATTTCGACACTGAAAATTTGCTGCTCATGCTCCGAAATGACGACGGGCCTGTCATTCTCTTCATCTTCACCAATAGCCTTTCGCTTCTTGGATGATACTTGGGCTGGAGCTTGCTTCCTACGCGACATTCCGTGCAACACTCGCACCTACGAAAGCAAGACGGATGGTTGTGTGGAGAAATATTAACAATTAATTCGTAATTGGTCTAGCAAACAATTAGACAGCATCAAAGCATGTACTTCACAAGTTTGGTCAGGAATCGTGTGACGATATCGACTTTTCTTTCGGGGGAATCAAAAGTTTTTGAGTTCATAAGTTCGCGAGCACACTCGCGCATTTCTAAGACTTCTTCTGCAAGCACAGCCTTTAAAGGCGTAGCTTTGGTCGTCATAAACAAAGTGCATTCCAAATCAAGTTTTTCTGAACGCGACCCAAAATTAGAAGAGCCAATAAGTGTTGTACTAGGCTGGAGAGCCTGATTGTTGTGTGACGGTAAAGAGATCCAAATGCCCTTCTGGTGGTACGTCCACCCATACTTGCTCCATTCCCGCAATTCCACTGGTGCTAGGGAGCCCTGAGAAACTGGATCCGTTAAATCAAAGATGGATGAGCCACCGTCCGGCTTCAAAGGCTCATGAAGACTTTTCGCAACTACTTGTTTCCAAAATTCTTTTTCCAGAAACGTGTAGGCAGCAGGAATGCGGCTACTCAGTCCTTTACTACCATAAAAGCCATTAGCCTCAGGAGACGCCGCAACCAAACGAAACACGACCGGTACACTACTCGGGGTCGTGCCGAGTGAATGGATCTTGTCAGACAATACTAGGGATCTGTAAGTGCCTGAGAGTGTAAAATAACCTGAAGTGAGATCCACGGTTGTAAAAGGTCTTGCGAGATTAGTTTGCATGGGCTTTATTCGTGAGCAAAGTGCAGATAGATAGTCAGTTAAAAGGGGTATCATGTCTGTTTCTTGAGTGATAGAAAGCTGCCCCATCTGGAGAAGTGGAATCAACCTTGTATCGCCATTCCGATGAGATCGTTCCGCTTTTACTCGTTCATGCCAACGAATTGTAAAATCTCGCAATGTTTTAGAGGCCACGTCTTTCCAATTTTTTTCTGGAAAAGTTTCTGATGATGGCCAAAGACCAGCTGCAGAGATTGTTCCATCAGTGTCCTCCGAAAGAAGAAGACCATCCCCTCCATCCCAGCCTAAGTGAAAAGAGCTTTGACTGAGTGCCATGTGTTCTTTGGAAAAATCGTCCATGTCAAAGATATGCTCTCTGCAGAAGTTGATCAGCTGTTTATCGCCTTTGTATTGCAACTCGTAGCTGAACCTGCTAATTAGCAGAATAAGGCTATGCAGATAGTTGGCAATTGACTCATGGTTTTGAATAAGCATGTAGCGATCCATCCGCCGAATAAAGTAATCTCTTGATAGATTGGCACCACTGATAATCACATCATCGTCGAACCCATATACTTTCATGTGCTGTAGACCGAGACCTTCATTGAATCGTTTTCCAATAAGACGCGCTTTGAGGCTTTTCGGACGCAATGCAGGCGTGGCATACAAACGTATATCAACTTGATTTGGAAACATGGCTGCGAGATGCGACAGAAGAGATGCGCTTGACACGCTCGATGGGCTTTCGCGTGTTGCACGCATTGCATCCATGAGAATTGTAAGCTGAAGCTGGGGCTGCCTTGCTAATGCTTGACCAAGATAAATGGCAAGTTCACGTTCCTCTCTCCCAATATACAAAGTTGAAATAAAGATGCGCCTTTTGGCTTGCATGATTTTGTTTTTTAAAAGCCCATAGAACTGTCGTGGTGTGCGCACAGTCACAATTGATTCTGACGAGACAGAAAACATGGGTACTTTGAGTATCTCTGATACCATTTCAGGTAGTTCAAATTCATCCCAAGCATTGGTTTTCGTACCAAATATTCCCGCCTTGTGCGTTGCAATCGCGGAAGATCGTTGGGTAGACATGTTCAGACGGCGGCCAAGAACTTTAGGCTCAAGGTGATTTCTAAGAATGCCTTGTTTGGAATTTGAAACCAATGAGTTAGGTTGCCAGGCAATAGAATTCAACAGTGATTTATGACGCCCAAGACGCCTCAGACTTGAGGAAATGCTCCAGTGTCTCATAGTGTAGTCAGCACGCTAACCTTAATGTGTCACAACAAGTGCACGAGATGCCACAGACAATGAGTCGACACGTGATTCAGGTGAGTGTACGTGTGGATATTGGGGGAGGGGGGAATTTCTACACTGGGGCGGGGATGCAGTTAAATGAGTTGGTTATTATTCTGTCGCTCCATCGGAGTGGGTGAGTCAACAACCCTCCGAAATTTGTTTGCCGTTGGAGAACTGGGAATTTCCGGATCTCCATCGCGTACTGATGTAGCAGGCGACGATCCAATGGTTGCAGATGAGCTAAAAGTGCGTTGAGGTAGGGATATATTTACTTGTGGAAGAGAAACATGGGGAGGTATAGGGCCACCAATCCCTAGCTCGCCACCGGATATTGCGCGTTCCCGCATCCTCTGCTGTTCTATAGCAAATTCTTGCTCCCGAACTTCGGCGTTGAAGGGCGTTGCATCGCTAGTGATACTCCCAGCTTCAGAGTTCGCCACGCTGACAGAATTGGCCCGACTGCTGCTCGCCGTCCCAATGCTCATAGGCCGGAAAGGAGTCGTAAAGCGATAATTAGATACGCTCTCACCCATAGACGAATCCATACGAGAGGATATCTGTGAAGAGGTGACCACACCAGAGAGATCATGCGTCCTATCGCCAGACTCCAGGGTAACGCTTTTAGGTGAACCGGGCTGCACAGCTACAGAAAACACAGATCCGGCACTCGGAATTCCGGGACGAAACTCCGATGTGCGCGGATCAAGCTCAGGCGGTACACTTTCTTGCTCCACTGGCTCGTGCTCTAGGCCAAAGATAGATTGATTGCATTTGGAAGCGTCTTCAGGTACAGGAATACGAAGTTCGCACAGTACTTCATTGAGTATGGGCTCATCTAGGCGAATTCCTGGAGCTAAATGCTCCGCCTCGGGAATCTGCTCTAGATTGTCAGCTGTCAACGCGACCTGTGTTGTTCCTTGCGGAGCGTAGCTTGAACCAAGTTGAGGCTCTGACTCTTCAGGTGCATGAGAATCAAGCACTCCATCAGCAGCAAGCTTTATTAAAGCTGTTCGACGGTCCTCATACATGGTGCCTGCGCAATGCCACAGGATATGCTTTGTTTTATCGTAAGTGCACGTTTCGCTTCCACCTTGAGCTCTACGTGTCCAGAGAGCCAACACTTCCTGAACCTGTGGACATGACACGCGGTTCGGCCGACATACCACAAAAAGGGCTCAGCACGGGCCATGCGGGGTAATGTACATGTCTTAATCACCAAGGAGAAAAGAAAAAATTGCTATTGCGTAACATCGTCTTCGTTACAAGGCATCGACACTGCTAAAGGATTCAGAGTCACTATCAGATATTAATGCAGGCACCTCGACATCGGAGGTACGAATAAATGCTTCCTGCATGTCAGAACGTTCTATCATCTTTATCTGCCATTCATGGGCCAGACTTGGACCACGCGTAGTGGAATAATCGAAAAGCGTCGGAACCCGCCGCAAAGAACTTTTCGGTGGCCTTGGAGGAGGGCAGATTGGCAGCACTTGCCCCAATTCCAGATTTTTGCCTGTGTGATTATCCAATGCTCTGGAATAGGTCGCATCAAGGATTGCAGCACAGTGCTTCGATGTCGCTTTCTCGTGAACATCTTGTGAGTTCACGACACAGGGTGGTGGTTTCCTGAAAGGGGGTGCTTTACTCTTCGACGATTCGGAATGTGCGATTTTTGTACAAAGAGGTGTTTCAGTGCGCCATGGAAGACTACCAGGCATATTCGGCGTATCATCTTCAAAAGAGAAACATTCTTCTCTTGAAATTTGTGGCTTGATACGAATAGATCCGTGCTTTCGACCAAATGGATTATGCACAGAAATCACGCTCGATGTTTTGGTCTCACGAATATGTGCAACTCGAGGAAGTTGAGAGCCCCATAAACTTTGTTGGGGTTTGGATGGTAAATGACTTGTCGAGCAGCCAAATTGATTGCCTGTAGAGACTCGCTCGAGTGGTGACATTTCAGAGAAAACGTCCTGCGTTTTATTGTCAAGCGCATATGTTTGTTTCAACTCACCAGTGCTAATAGGCACAACATTGCTGTCGATCATTGGTGTATCGGAGGTGAATCGTGCAATGTCGTGACTAAGAATTGGACTCGACGCGAACAGTCGATTCAGTACGGCATCGTTTTCCCGGCATTGTAACGAGGTAGCACGAGGCGCTAACGCTTCCGTCATGCTAGTTCTTCGACCTAATATTTCAAATTGACAGCGATTATAATATATAAGTGATGAGGAAGAGATGAGATTTGTGTAGAATAATTCGCACGCTTGAGCACGATGGGGAATCAGCAGGAGAGAAAACCGCTGGTTAGAACTTATAGGGCCCTTCAAGGGTTGTTGTAATGTTGCGAGGTTAATTATGCGGCAAGGATTGTGCGGACATTATGTTTGATGGGTTCTTGCCGCATATGAAGTGCTACTCTGATGCAACATCTACTACGTATTCCACAAGACAAAAATTAGTCCGAATTCAACTTGGTGGAGGCAGAGTAGGACAAGGCACACGATGCTGACTACTCCAGAATTCTGATTGCGTGGAGAATGTATCCACCACTCGCAGATGTCGTCATGTCTGGATGTGTGCGTGCTGGCAGGACTTGATATCGACGCAGCCATGGCTCTGTAATCGAAACATTCACGAATGAATGGTTAGCGCGCAAACGAGCTTGTGTTTCCACAAGAGGCTTTGGTAAGGGTCAAAAAAGCACACGTACCTGAAGGTGGGGACTATGCACGACGACATTCGCAGAACCAGATAGATAGGGAGTAATCCGATGAATCACCGAGTATGTCTCATAGGGACAAGCTATGATGGCACTAACATGTGGTAAGCCGCTTGCTCATACGTACGCGTCAAACTCTCCTTCAAAGAATTGCTGACGTGTAGCCAAGAAGTCCTCAATAGCAGTCCGTTTCTTCTTTGCGCGATTTCGTTCGCGTTCCGAGGTGTATTCGCGCGATAGCTCCTCTGACATATGCGACGCTATCGTTAGATGAAACGAAAACGTACGGAGTGTCCATCGTGACTCGGTCGTAGCCCAATGTAGTGTTTTTAGGACGCCAGATGTATGCGCCGACGTCAAGTTGAACTGCGACATGAGCTCAAGTGCAGGTGGTGAGTCTGTGTCGTGTACGAGATAAACAGAACCAGAACCACCCATCCGTTCAAGAACTGCACCTGCAAGCAAACCACCAATCCCATCAACAACCAAATACTTGCCACCTGCTTGGACGTTGGAGAATGAGAGGCATTGAGAGAGAGAGTCTGCTCGCATGTTGCGAATTTTCTCCGGGCACCGCTCAAAGTTGTACGTGGCAACGTGAAATGCATCTGGTGCAAGCGGGGTAAAATATTTGAGGTGCTTTGACTCTTTACGCTTCATAATTTTGGTTTGGCTGTATGCAGTGCGCAGTTCATAACTTTTGTTCCCTTCAAGTTGTTTTTGGATGATCTCTCTGCCTGTCGCACCAGCTTCTTTAAGAGCCTTGATGTCGTCATATGTCAATGACTGCGACTCGCCATCATCAAAGATATTTTCATTCGTCGCCTCGCTTTCAACTTAATGTATTGTGAGAACAACCAGTATACATACCTAATGCCTCGGCAACCGCTTGGTGCATGATTTCGAGTGTCCCGTCTGGTCTTATTTCATAAGTAGGGCCAAACGGTTTACCAATAATACTGTTTGCATCAAAATTACCAAACTTTCCAATGGAAACTGTTTTTCCTTTTTCTAATGTGACAAGCTTCATCATACCGGATGGCAAGCGCAGAAAAACGTTCATGCCAGGTACTATGATAGTCGTTCGGGCACGCAACTTATCGTTTGTTAAGGTGATATCATGGGTGATTCGTGCTTTTTTTGAACTATTCATGGCATTTTCAGCGTTCTCGTTCTCATCAGTAAGCTCGTGTTTCTCTGGGCGCGAGTCGTGCATCGTTCTGAGAGACTTTGAGCTGTCAGTGCATCCCTTGTCCCAGCACCATCACGACCCTCAAGTGCGGCACCATATTTATCACGTGCGCCCCATCTCTCCACAGGTACGGTTTTGACACTCAACTTCTTTTAACATGGCAACTTCAAATGTGTTGCAGGGTCAACCAGAACAAGATCCAGAGTTCCAGGTACGGCTTGTCATAATTTAACCTGAAGGCTGGCATCGAAGCCATAGTCAGACAGCTAAAAGATCAAGGCGCATCTGTCGATGACATTGAGCGCGCTAAGGGCCAGGCGGTGCAGTTCTACTTGCAGCGGAAGTACGTCTCGTTACCAGCTCTAAAATTATATCCAAGAACCCTGACCCAATTCGTTTAAAGGCAGCAGAATACAACACAAATAACATATGACTCCTGCACAGATCAGGGCCAAACTCCCAATGGGCATGTTAAGGATGTCAAGCCCAGTGAAGGGCAACAAGAACAATATCCCACGTCATTCCACAAAATTGTGGAGCTCATTGCCACTGGGCAAGAGTCTAATATACCTGGCATTCGTGATATTCCCCTTCAGATCAATTCTCAGCTACCCAGTAAGTCGAAGATGGAATGCCCCAAAAAGCCATGGGAGTAGACTGTTTATACTCCCGTCACATATGTTTTATCTCTTCAGTTTGTACGCAATTTTCCATAGAGCCAACGGGATGGTAAAGTCGTAAGTGAGCTCAAGCCGTCCTAGAAAGTTGAGATCACATGACTTGGAAAATTGGCAACGTTTAAGACGGCTGTAGACCGTGTGCCAGGTGCTCTGAGCTATCTAGGAAAGGTTGCGTCGTCTTTAACAGGGCAAGGAATATGCTGGCACCAGAAGACGCGTTAGTGCAAAAACTACAAAAAGAGCCACATTTGCTGGCAGCAGGCGATGTGAATCTTTTCCAGCTGGCACAGCGTGCCACAAAGTCGCTTTATGACCGAGGTATGTACTGTCGTGAGAAGACTTGCTCACAAGACTAGGTGTCATCGACGAAAAAAAATCCTTACCATTTATTTCATCCTTATTAGATTCATGCGTACCAAGCAAGAGAAGTAATCATAACATGGGAAAGCGTAAACGTGGTCAACTTAATGACTCTACTTACGAACACCATCCATTAATTCCTCCGACTGAGCTTAATGAACTTGTGCTTGAAGGGATGGGAAACGATCAGATTTGGAGCCAGCTAGAATTGCGGAGTGCTAAAATTGCGCGAGTACTTGATCACGTTATTACGAGCACGGCAAATCTTGAAGAAGAAGATGACGAAGACGAGGAGAGCAGTAGCGATGATGATTCCCTAGAGTATGCACGCGAGAATGATGCAAATGTCGAGTGGGATGAAGATGAGGACGATGTGTCTGATCATGGATTCGCAGGTGCCTCTGATTTAAGTGACGTTGATCCTAACGAAGTATTTTATGAACCTTTGCACACGGAAGAGATGCAACTCAAGCGCAGGGAAGAAAAAGAACGGCAAGAAATGATGCAGATTTATGGGGTGTCTGATCCTGCATTATATGAAGCACTACTCCCAAATAAGTCGAACGATCAAGGGACGGATGATGACGAGGAAGAAGAGGAAGAGGAGGAAGACCATGATTCGCCTACATCTTTCTCTAAGCCTAGGCACCCAACCTTAGATGATGACTTTTTCTCTATTGACGAGTTTAATCGTTTGACAGAAGCAGAGGAGCGCAAGAATCTAACGTCTCGCGCGAATTTGTCTGGTGACGAAGATGAGAGTGACTCCGACAACATCGACCTGTACGCTCCCATTGAAGAACAAGATGAGGGCGACGATAACGACACACCAGTGGAGGATATCCATTACACAGACTTTTTTGACCCGCCGCCTGTTTCTGCCGTGAAAAAGAGTAACAACAGTTCCCGTTCTTCTCATGTGGAGAACAAACCTCCTGCCCCACCACGCAAGTCCCTCGTGCGCTTCCATGACCAAGTGCGTGTCCGCCCGATCAAGAAATGCAAGCCTCAGTCTTCCGCTGGCCTCTTAACTGATGGTACAGAAGAAGAGGAGGAAGAGGAGGATGAAAATAGCGAGAGCGATGCGGAAGATACGGAAAGTGGGGAGGAAGAGGAGGATGAAAGTAGCGAGAGCGATACGGAAGATACGGGACGTGAGGAGGAAGAGGAAGAGGATGATGACCGTATCGATGACGAGGAAGATGAAGAAATGGAGGGTGAAGATCGTGTAAATGAAGAGTCCATGGAAGATGAGAGTATGGACAATGAATCAGATAATGAAGCTCGCATCGATGATACAGCTAATCGAGTCGCTCAGGATTTGTTCGATGATGAATCGGATAAGAACGAAACGTCTATGTCGACACACGAACGTCGCGTGGCTGAACTGGCTAAAGAGATTGCTCAATATGAAGATGAAAATGTGCAAAAGAAAGACTGGGTGTTGATGGGAGAAGCCAGCACACGGGAACGACCTACCAACAGTTTGCTAGAGGAAGATCTTGAATTCGAACGAACTGCCAAGTCAGCGCCCGTTCAAACGCAAGAGCATGGTGAAGGAATCGAAAGTATGATTAAACGTCGTATCCTCGAGAGACAATTTGATGACGTGATTCGACAACGGGATCTTGACGCCGTCCCATTTTCAGCTTCGCGTGTTTTAGAGCTGTCGGACGCCAGGAGTTCCAAAAGCCTGGCCGAGCTGTATGAGGAAGAGTACCAGGCTTCTCGGGGCGAAGAGGCAGGCGAAAGTGCTCCACGCTCGGAAGCTGAGACAAAGCTTGATAATGAACATTCAGCTATCGCTGCTGACATGGATGCCCTCTTCTCAAAGCTCGATGCTTTGAGCAATGCACATTACACACCGAAAGCTCCTAAGGCAGCTATTCAGACCTTGTCTAACACACCAGCGGTTGCTATTGAATCTGCCCTTCCTACGACCATGTCGGCCGGTACTATGCTTGCTCCAGAAGAGGTTTACGAAAGACCCTCACATAGTGTGGCTCTGGAAGGTGCCAAGAGTGAATTATCGCATGCTGAAAAACAGAAGCGACACCACCAACTTCGTCGTGAAAAGCGCCAGCGCAATGATCGTATCAAGCGTACGGAGGCAGCCATTGAGCGCCAACGGGGAGGTCCTCGGAAAGGCGATGTTAAGACTGAAAAGGACAAGGCGCTCAAGAGTCTCGTTGGTAACAAGGGTGTGACAGTCGTTGGAAAAGATAGTAAGCGTCACGATGTCAAGCGGCCCAAGTCCGATCAATCGGCTTCATCGTCAAAGTCATCGTCTGCATCGCAATGGAAGCTGTAGCAATAGTATTATAGAAACTCACGTTCAAGGGATTTCTGGACACTCCTCAGTACATCCGATGATGTGTTAAGGCTCGTCAGAATGTACATGACATTTCCCAGGGAACGAAGATGTAGGGGAAATGTGTGGGAAGAGAGGGAGGAAGTAGTATCATGCTCCATGATGCCTGTCTGCTTGCCAAGTTTGAGCATGAGGTCATTCGCTGCGTCCGATGCATAACCACTGACGGAATCTGTTTTCAGCTCAATCTTGAGTAAGGTGCCAAGAGCCATGACACCAGAAACTCGATCCGCATGTGATAGGAGATTGACGAAAGATTTGTCCCATACGCTCCAATGCTCCGAACTCCATTGCTTTTGGTAAGGTGTCCAAGAGCCATTTAAATCCATCTCTTCAAGCACATCTAATGTCTCAATCGCCACCTGGCAGCCGACGGGGTGTGCTGTATAACTGTGCCCATGGAGCAAAGCGTGCGTCTTTTCTCTTGAACATGCAAATGTCGAATAGATACTCTCTGACGCCAGTGTGACTGACATAGGCACAAGTCCTCCAGATAGTATTTTAGCCAAGCAGCTTATGTCAGGCGTTGTACCAAGGATGTCGGCGCCCATCTTGCAGCCCAGACGACGCAATCCGGTAAAAACCTCGTCAAAGATCACAGGCAAACCGCGCCACTCTCCATTTGATCGTGCTGCGGTTACACGCCCCATGTGGGCGTGTCGAAGCGGTGGATCCGTAAGAGAAAACAAATCTTCTCTTTCACGCACGACATCCACGAGACAGCGTTGGAATAGTGGATCAACAAAAATCATGCCCCCTGCACCCATAACTAGTGGCTCGAGTACAAGAGCACCGAATCGTCGTCGTTCCACAATGACTAGATTTTCAAGCCGCTCATGCACCACGCGCTTGTAAAAAGCCGCAAGTTTCGTGTCGAGTCTCTTTTGTACATTGAGTACTTCCTCGATTGACGAAAATACACCAAGGCACTGGGGCTCTTTACCCCATTCTGCTGAGTCACTTGTTTCCACATACACTTTGCCACATTTCATTCGGAGTGTAGGGGGCGAGAACCAATAGCCCCGTCCTCGGTACCAAGCGACATGTTCACTAAACACACTAGGTTCGCACGCGTCCATAGCACCAATTGTATCTCCATGGTAACTTCCCTGAAGTCCGAGTATCTCCCATTCGCGCGGTGTGCGCCCTCCGAGTGATGCCGACTGGCGCCCTGGCTTGATTCGTGCTTCTGTTGTCGGTGACACAACCGCCGCGCTGTAGCGCCGCACACTTGATTGCAAGGCCATTTTTATAGCCACTTCCATGCCTGTACTTCCGTCATCAGAAAAAAACACTCGGCTTGCCCATCCGCGTCCAGGCGCAAGCCTACAAGGTTCGTGGTGACCGAGCAATCTCTCTGTTAGTGTAACTGCCGGTGCATGTGCTATTCCCGGAGAGAGAACATGTCCATAACGGCCTGCCGCATAGGCCGCCGCAAGTGCCAAGCGTGGATGGCCGTGCCCAATGACTTGAGTCCACCAGGAGGCAGAACCGTCCAAAACAGGTTTCATCGTCGACGATGAGGGCTCGTACGTTTGGAAGAAGTCGCCATGTGCACTGTCGATAACAGTTACATCATCTGGTGCTATTCGGGTGTGCTGTGTGAATGGCCACCACATGTGCTGATGCGCACGCTCACCAAGAGTATCAAGAGACGCATAACGCTTTGCATGGCATTCACGCAAATGATTTACTACATCGAGCATGCAATCATCGCGGCCGTTACCGTGGATCATGCCAAGATAGTATTTTTGTAACTGCTCGGCATCTTGCTTGGTGCTAGTATGACGAGCCGGTGGCATGCCCCACGAATTTACATTGGGGCCACCCAATGCAAAAACTCTAATTCCTTGGTCGGCGAAGAATTGAGCAAGATATTTATCGTTCTGGTAGTGAGGCGATGGGAATAGAAGTACGGCATCCACATCGTATCCCCGCATGCGCAGACTCTCGTATGAGCAACGTGTAGTGCTAATTCCGCCAAGCACACTGGACCCAATAAGGATCGTTGGTAAGCGCAAGGGCCGTAGAAAATCTGCCTGGGACGAGCCGCTAGGCGATGGTGAATGAACGCCACCAGCCGACTCAAGGATTGCAGCGTTAATACGAGGCTCATGTTCGCATAGCAGCATCCAATCTTTAATTCGACGAACAAGAGAAGCATCCTCAGCTTGCCAATCAAGCTTTGATCCAAGTTGCTCTGCGGCCAAATGAGGCGAGATAGGTTCGGTGAACTGGACCAGCGTTTGGCTCCATACGTGTGGTGCAAACTTGCTCACATGTGTCGAGTCCATATCTTTTTCATCTCCTGTCGAGACAGGCTTCAAGTATGCAACACGATCGCCTTCTTCGTGTGGTGTCAGTGTACGTGGCAAAGGAGCATGTGGGCGGGAAGGAGCAATTGTGCTTGCGAGCGCTAACGCTGTTGAAAAAATGGTTTTTCCAACATCTGTGTCTGCACCAAACACCTAGGATGGTAAGAGTAATGTCAACGGACCTGGTGCACACGAAGTCTCCCAGCTGCAGAAGCCGCCATGGAAAAAAATAATCTCTTAAAACAGGTGAATGTTATTTCGAAGTCTTCCACAAGCTAGCTAGCATTGGCCTAAATAACTCACTCTCAGGTCGTATCAACCAGCCGATATCAGCCCAGCCAACCAGTCAGCCCATGTTGGCACGCGCGCGCGCAAGACGCGCGCTTAAGACCAACTCTGAATTTCCGGTAATCACGTGCGGACAACGTGTTTGTCTGGCACGCAAGTGTTGCGGCTCCCACGCGCTTCGCTTCCGTTCCCAACACTCCTTCGGATTGGACCATGAGCGATGGGCGTGACGCATCATTAACTAGTGGGGATTCGCAGTCACGATCCGCTCCAGATCTAGGCCAGCCAAGCAGGCCTGCGAGGCCTATCAAAGGTGCTTGGGCTGCGATGAAACCTGTGTCTTCATCCTCCACGACTTTGGAGGCAGACGAGTCTGACCGCAGCCAGCAGCGTGACATTTATTCTGAGGCACTGTCGCCCTGGCTTAATGCAATACCTGCTTTCCATGCAGCTGATGTATCTATAAAATCGAAGAACGAAGAATACGTTAAAGCATCCCCGGCCCTTGCAATCGCATCGCCCGCCGGGTTGGGAAGACCAACTGATCACAACGGCCTAGTGTCCTTTTCCGTGAGCTCTGAGCTCGATTCTACGACGGCGATTCCACGTGATGTTAATGAATCCGCCTCTAATGTTAACATGAAAGATGTCACATATCGTGCTGAGGCCCGCCCCGAGGATGGCTCAGTGATGCCGCCGGCTCTCCCAGTTTCTTCGGAAATGAGCATGTTGGGGAAAGTAGTTGACACATCGTCCGATCAGCAACAGAATAATGACATCAAAGAAACTCCTTTGTTACCGAATGCACAAGAGCTCTTTGTTTCTTCCCCTGGCGACACAAGCGATTTGCACCGCGAGGACAAAAGCCATCTCCAAGACCAGCACTCCTTTCCGTCTGACACCCAGCTTCCAGCACAAGATCAACCGGGGATTTTAGGGCGAAAAGCGAGTCTGAAAGGTCAATCAGCTGCACAGAATCACTTTCGAATGCCAAGTATTCATGAGCTGCGGATCAACAAAGCCTTTGCGAAACCCAGGCCAACGAAAGGGCTGGACTTGCGCTCTTCGAGTGGTGCGTCTTTTGTCATGTCTCCTGATACAGCTGCTCAATACTACACGAAATCACCACCTCCGCCCCTGACAGGCGCTCGAATTCCATCGGCAAAAGGTCCTATCGTATACGAGACACATGAATGGACTATTGCTGGGTTTGACCAACAACGTACTCCGATTCCAAGTGACACTCATTTATCCCCTGATTCCTGGGCCTCAGCCAATATGGATAGCGCGGACCCTTCCAAGTTGCCTCACGCGGCGTCACTGTGGGCTCGTTTGCCTGATATGTGCACGTTCTCGCCTCCTCTTCAGCCCATTCACATTGTGCGTGGTTCGCCTCCCGCTTGGGCGAATGTATCGCCCCGCACGACGTCATCTACCTCACATACGCCGTTACTTGTCGAAAGGCATGGTACTGAAACAAAGGTGGATGCGTCGGAGAAGGACACAGCGCAGGACGCACCTCGCCATACGAGTACAGATACGAAGGATGAGACTTTGGCCAAGTCACCTGCTGCCGTGCCTTTGGCATCTAATGAATCGTTGCCATTGGCACCTGTCGCTCGTGTGCCACCACGGTCGTCTCACCTCGATGTGTCAGACTCGAATTCCGCGGAGGGGCAAGAGGGTGCACAGACGGTGGCGCCTCGTGTGGCAATCTCAAAGGGGCATGTCCCATACAGCAATGAAGTACGTCTTTCTTATCTGCCAGAGGCGCCTCCTTCAGTTTCCGAGGCGCCTCCGTCTGTGTCTGTGCCTTCGGCTATGTCCGTGTCGACGCCTGCTAGTCAGTCTGTGATTATGTCCCCTACGTCAGTCCGTGAGAATTCCGACTGGGAAAATGATACGACTCTTATCGATCTATCTGACCAGCAGAAAGTTCACGAAGTCTCGATGAAATTCTGTTGAAACAGAACTTTTCTCCAGTTTCCCATTCAGGCTTCCATTCAAATTTTCAGTCACAGCCCCGTTCTCGCTCGTCCTCATGGATGTACAAGGCTGTCGAAGGGCATGGCTCGGCATTGGGCCTACATGTTCCTCCGCATTCCCCTATGCGTACCGATCCAGATACACTTGCTAATGCCTCAGGTTTCTCTAAGGGAAGGTCGTTTTCCCTGTCAGATAATGCCCGCCTTGACAATCGTCGGTCCTCCATGCCCATAAACTCCCCTGAGATGTCGCCTTACCCCGAAAAGCCAGCGCCAGTGTTAAAGCAGTCCCAGTCTTGGCTGCATGCAACTGAGCCTCAAAGCCACTCTTGGACCTACTCACAATCAGGTGTAGGTCATCGTCATTCATCTTTACGGCGCCCACGTCAAATCAAGGCTCCTGCACTTCAGTCGTTTGCGCTACCAAGCACGGCGCGAGTGGCTGATGCATCTTACGCTGCTAGTCCTCGCATTGTCTCGTATGGTGCTGGTGTTGTCGACGATTCCTACATTAGCCCGTTGGATCCACCAGCCGCGTTGGTTTCCAGTGAGCGTTCAATCGGTGCGACTCATCCCTCCCAGCACAATGTTTTGTCTGGCTTGGATAAGTCAGACACCCTTCAAGCTCCCGACATGGGTGTGGTGGAAGCACCACCACCTACTGTGCCAATGTCGATATCGTCTCAGCCTCTTATGCCTGCTTTGCAATACACCGTTCCCTTCAAACTCAGCTCCAAGCGCCGGTTTAAAGCGAAGTCTGTGCCGGCATCCGATTCGTCGCCTTCAGTGCCAAGGAATACAGTATCTTCCCCTATTCCCCCTACTCCTTTGCCAAAGTCACCTGTGCCAAGGCAGCCAAAACCACCGAAAAATTCAACGTATCGCAAATCCGTGCCCGCCCCCACTGTGGCTGACGAAAACGAAGAGCTGGACTTGATGGCGAAAGGATCTGCACGCCCGACTGTCCTCGCAAGTTCCTCATCCCCATCATTCCCTACTAGATCGCCAGTCCAGGCGGCAGTTGAAGCACCGGTACATGTGTCAGCTCGTCCACCAGCCGCTCAATCTGCTACTCTTGTGGGCCCGTCTACCTCAAGCTATGGTCGTCTACAGCCGGCGCTAGCGCCTGAACTATGTGGTCCTGTGCAAAGTGTGGAAGGCAGAAATGTCTGGCTCGATGTAAGTGACAATGATGCTGCTAATACGTCGCATCTTTCGATGCTCGGTGCAGTGACGGACCGAAGTGATCTCTTCAACTTCGAGACATATTTTGAAGCATCCCTACAACGTATTCGAGAAGAAATGTACTTGCCATCTACATCATCAGCCCAGATCGCAATAAAGCCACCTGCCAAGACGCATCGGAATTTGGTTGCGAGACATGGCGATCCGGATTTGTTTCACAATGCTCCGCCAATCAATGCACGTACGTTTGGTTCGCCTGTAACGGCGCTAGATGAATTTTCCTACGTGTTGGACGACGATGGCTTGGTCATGCGGGCATCACAAACGGATTCATATACAACAATGCAGCCATCCCTTTCCACATCCAAGCCCATTCCTGAACTTCCGCCTGTCGATCCGTATCTTCCGGAGGAACATGAGGTTATGGGTGATTCCCAACCAATTTCGTCTGAGGCGCGTGATCGCCGGTGGACGTACGACGGCACCTACAGTCCTATTCTCTCTGATGAGTCTATGCCATCGGATGTCAGGCTTCCATTGGAGTTTGTTACGAAACCGAACTCAGTCTTGTCGCGTGGTCGACCAGTGAAGAAAACCCAGCAAAGTATTTTCTATTCAAGCCTTCCAGAGCATCGCCGACATCGCAAGCGTCGTCTCGAGTCTGACTTGCCGCCTTTCAAAATGTGGAACTTTGAGGAGGCGGATGTAGACTCAGATGCCTTTTCCCAATCCATGTCCCAATCATCGCCCCGTGGAACCCAATCAAAGACCGCCTCGCCACCCCGACCGGCGCCTCCGCCTCCGCCTGCACCCAAAGCCACGCTTCTGGGTGACTACGCTGCTGTGACACCCAAGATGCCAACCCAGAATCTTTACCCGTCTTCGCCGAACTCAAAGTACACACCTCACTCGGCTTATAACAAACTGTTTGAAACACCGCCACCCGATCAATACGCCAAGGCCCATTTACAGCGACCTGCGCGCCCGCGTCGGCACCATGAAAATCACGAAACATCATATAATGAACAGCAGTCTCGGCAAACTGAGCAAGAGCCACGCGACCAATGCGACGCACAGACTCAGCAAGCACAGCTGAACACGCCAACCTCCCAAAATTTCCCCCCTCAGCGCGAAGTCGAAGCTGAGGCCGCTTCGTTCGACGCAGGACCACGAAAGAAGCGCGGCAAAGAAGCTGCCGAAAGCAAATTCTCAACGTGGTTCCGTCGTAAGGCACCCCACGTTAGCAAGCCTTCTTCGTCTGCACCTACACAAAATCAGGTGCCGCAGGTGTCAAGTCCTCCGCCTAGTGATCGTCCACCTTCACCTCGCACATCAACGTCTACGAATAATACTATGAAGTACGGCCGCCGAAAAGCGCCGCCTGGCTTTGAACCATCGCAACCAGGCAAGTACCATCTTGCTGGCACCGTCTCGCTACCCACTTTGAATGTGGCACGTACGCCTGAGCAACGTGCGCGCAATGAGACCGGCTTGCCAGAAACTGAGCCCGCTTTGATCCAGTCGCTCCTTGCTGCGCCCTCCAGCTCCACTGTACGCGCGCGTGCGGGTATAATCAAGTCCATACCATTCGTTGAAGAAGCGGCGCCGCCCACTGGCCAAGTCCTAGTAGCTGAAGAGCGCAAGGTACTTGTAAGGCCAGTTATGTAGTATTATCATCATAACCACGTTCCTTTCGACCACCAAGTTTGATAAGTAACTCTTCCGCGACAGGCGTCATTTCTGTTCCCGCAAGAAGAACTTTTTGGAGGTAGTCATGGGCTTTTACCATGTCCCCCGTCGGCATACTTGCCTGTGCCGCGCGGCCCAGGCGCTTGTCCTCTTTCGAGTAATAAAGCCTGCCTTTCAATTCGCCCATTTCCCATCGTGCCGCAATGATGTAGCTGAATGCAAACCGAGACATAAGCGCAGGATCCATTTGCGCCATACTGCGGTCCACAACTTGTACCAGCAGGCAATGGTACATAGTTGCATGAACCGAGTCGCCACCCTGTTCATACAGCTCGATAATCCGTGCAATTGCCTCCACGGACTCTAGATGCGTGAGTGGACATGTGAGATGGCGTTTAAAGCACTCAATTGCTTGTGCATTCCGCCCCAATCTGTCGTAGCACACGCCTAGCGATGCCCACATACGAGCATCATGCGGTCGAATCATGGCACATTGTTGGTAGTAGTCAATAGCTGCAGACCACGCTTCATTCAGCTCGTAAACATGTCCAAGTCCATGCCATGGTCGATAATCGTGTGGATTCAATTCAATCGCGCGTCGGTACATCTCAGCTGCTGCGTGGCTATTTTTCACCTCCAAGTATTCGTGCCCGAGAAGAATCCATGCAGCCACACACTCTTGATCCAGGCGCAAGGCCTGCTTAAAAGATTCCACAGCGCGAAAATGCTCACCACGTTGGTTGTAGAAGTTGCCTCGCATACACCATATTTCAGCACTGTTGGACACATGCGCAAATTGCTGCACGAGCTGCGCTAGCGTATCTTCACGATCTAGGACATACAGCGTGTTCGAATATTCGCTAATTCCATCGAGTCGATATGGTTGGAGTTCCAGGGCATGTTGGAACGTATCTGCAGCATCTTCAAGCTCTTGGTGCAAGTAAAGTGCTTGCGCGCGACACGTTAGAAGGTACGCTGACCTGGGAAAATGCATGAGAAGCGCATCAATTCGTTCAAAGTGTTCCAAGTCAATCTGCGTAGACTGGCGCTGCGAGTATTCAAGAAAAAAAACACTCATGAACGAGGATGGAAGAAGGTCCAAAATCTGTTCTCGTTCTGCATTCTTTTGGTTCAGTGTTCGACTCAACTCTTTCCACGCACTCCAATTGTATGGAAATGCCCGCAAACTTGAAATAAGACAATCCATTGCTTCAATTCGTTTGTGTAGTTTGCGGAGGATGACCCCTTTAAGAAAGAGGAGAAAAGGGTCAGACGGTGAAATTAGGTCTTGCAACAGTGAGACAAGGACTGGATGTGCACCGTCGATAGCACTCTTATCGGCATATGCTAGTGGTGGTAACAGTTCATTTGGTTTTGTTGGATGCATATCGTACATAAGCAGTTTTGCGTATAGCAGTAAGAAGCGCGCCTTGTCCGACAGGTCTTGCTGCTCCTCAAGGTGCGCAATACATGCCTGAAAGTTCTCGCGATCGAAAAACGTCTTCGCCAATAAGTACACATCATCGTACTGCATGCTATTTTGATTTCTTTGTGATGGCTCGCTTATCCGTACATGCAAATGCTCATCTGGCGATGTGGGTGGATCCATGGATCGCGCAGGAGATGGCATTCCGCGGCTTTGTCCAGAGGGCGAGGTATTCTCCCAGCTCATCCATGAGGTAGCACCTTCTCCAACTTGTTCTTCATTGGCCCAGGAAGGAGATTCTAGATTTAATGCTGGTGTTGAATGTACAGGAAACTTGTGTGCGAACTCATCAGTACCTAAGCGAGGCGTGCTAAGGGGGGCGCCTTGCGGGTGAGGAACACATGATAACAATTCAAGGCACCATTGTGCAGCATCAAGTAGACCGCGTTCAATCAGCTGGTGGCTTGCATCCCGTAATGCACTGCGAGCTTTCACAGGTGCGATGTCGTCTATGCCATCCAATGTTGCGAACCTATGGTTCATGTCACGACGACGCGATGAGCAGCAACTGTGTGTCGCTATGCCACGTGCGAGCTTGTCGTCATAGGAATAGGATTTAAGTATTGGCAAGTTGACGACAGCTGGTGTCTTGACAGTTGTCAACAATTTGTTCTGAGAGCGATATGTCACACATTCACATCCTGTCGTAGTCGATATATCGGGTAGGTTTGATGCATATTGTTCATTGAGTTTTAATTCTAGCGAAACAAGTTAATCGTATGTAACCTTCGGGTAAAGCTGCGAGGATGCATGTTCTCGAGGGTGTACTAGCCATCGACGCGGCCGGCGCATTGAGTAATAGGGCGTGCGAGGTCGTAGCTACTGGCACGTGAGTTGAGTGCTTCCTGAATATGCGTTTAAATCCACGACATCAATATGTGGACAGTGTTCGAACTCGCCGCTCAACCCGTCATCATTAGCTTCAGTAGCTCAGACGTCCATTTTCGGGGTCAGACGGTTTCTGTATCCTGCGCGTCTTGAGCTCGATGACTGAAAGGAGTAATACAAGGAATCAGGGATTTCTCCCGCAAAAATACAACTCTGGGTCAAGTGCTGGAATACCTAAACAGGCGGGTTCTTCGCAGGAGACTCTTGTTTGCCCCGCATTGCATCTTTACCCTCTCAACGATACATTTGTACCCAAACAAATCAATTTGGCCCCGGCAAGCTCCAACAATCGCATAAAGATTGGAAGGTATTCGAACAACAAAACTGTGCCTAGTCCTGTCAATGGATATTTTGATAGCAAGGTCCTTTCTCGCGCACACGCCGAAGTTTGGTGTGAAAACGACAAAGTCTTCATCAAGGACATCAAGTCATCAAATGGCACATTTATCAATGGCACACGTTTGTCGCCTGAATCACAAGAGTCCGAACCGTTTGAACTACACAGTGAGGATGTGGTGGACTTTGGCATTGATATTTTGACGGATGACAATAAAGACATCTTGCACCGTCGCGTAGCCTGTCGAGTATTCTTGGTGATTTCGCCAGATGATGCCTTGAAACTTCGAAACGACTTTTCGAGCCTTTATCGTGGAGGTGTACACGGCGGCACGCTTGGAAATGCTGGCCTATGTCCTGGTGCCGAGGGTGGCTTTCGACGTGGTAAACCAAATATTAATCTCGATCAGGTTCTTGGTCGAATACAGATCGAGCTACATAAAAGCAACATGGTCGGCAGTGAGCTACGTACCTTGAGTACAGCTATCGAACAAATCCATAACACGCTCGGCGGTGGCGTTGTGCCCGTTCAAGATGCTCCTCATCAAGAGTTGGTTCCCCCCAAAACTAATGGGCTAAGAGAATCTTCTGTACCCACGACTGAAAAAGAGTCTATGGATGCCAACACACTGGCGAATCTTGAATCGCAGCTCGCAAATGCACAGACCTTGCTGGCTAATCATATGGAAAAAATTAAAGAATTGGAAGCCACACTCGCTGGGTATGAACATGTAAAAGATGAAGTCTCAGCTCTCAAGGCAGAAATTGCTCAAACTAAGCTCGAACTTATTAACACTCATTCTTTGCAGGGTGTAGCGCGCTCCCCTGACCGTTTGTTAAATTCGGTCCGCGAAGTTTCTGATGGCTTTAACGATGCTGCAAGTACAAGTAGTACTGATACTGTGGTGCCTGTTTCAACGGGGGACAATTCCGATGCTGAACGAGCAGCAGAGGTGACAGAAGAGTCTGCACCAATGTTTTCTCAACGTTTTTTGTCAGGATCTGAAAACTTTGCAAGTTCTTCTTTGCTTCCGGACGTCTTGGCTCGAATTGAACGACTCGAAAAAACTTTCCTAGAACAAGGGCAGCAACAACAACAGCAAAAACAGATGCAGCGAAAAAATGACACGTTCGTACTTACCAATTCGGATGAGTCATTTTTGCAAGACTGGCAACAATGTTTTGAGCGAAAGTGGGAGCAACAAAGGAACGAATGGGATAAAACGCATCAAAAAATTAACGATTCTATTGCATTTTTAAACAGTCAACAAGCATATCAAACCAAGAAAGTATCCCCATCGTCGGAACCCATAAATCCTGAGATTGTCCTGCAAGAGAAAAAAATATCCAAGCATGCCCCAGATTCGCTCTTTCAGGACTTTAAGTTAGTTTTGGTTATCGTATCATCCCTTCTTGTCAGCTCACTTATCACCCTTTATTTGTCGAAACGGTCCTAACGCTGTCACGGAGTCTTCAAGGTTGCTTTTCGACATACCCTATCATCTCCCATCTTCATCTCAAATCCATATCTTCGTTTAGAAGGAAACATGTCCATACTCTGTGTATATCTCTCCGGCCCTCAACATACTAATGTAGACTTCTGACTACGAACTCCTGATGTACAGAACATCATCGAAGTAGAGAAATCGTTTTGATCCTGGCTATGTGGAAATTGACAGCCAAGACTGATGGTGAAGTGAGCGCAGATCGCGCTCTAGCTACAAGTGACCTTTCAGGTTTGGCGTGGTATGAAGCAATTTCTCAAGCGTCAATGTACTAGCACAGGTCACATTTACTTGAGCTGCTTAGAGCCGACCTCAACAACCTTAAGACCTAAAACTGTTAATATCATATCTCGAACCAAGCGAATTCCGCCTTCGTACTTACCAGGAAGGAGCGACTGCTTGAGCTTCTCGGCCTTGTCCGCATCGTTGACAACAAGCGTGTACAAATAGCGAGCGCAACGAACCTTGAACTTGGTCTGCACGTTGCGGTTAGCCAGCACTGTCTTTTTGACGCGCGCAGACTTGGCGTCCTTGCGGCTGGCAATCGCCAAAAACTGCTTAATGTCCGTCACCTGCTTGGGCTGAAACAAGTTAGAAAAAATCTTGAGCTATTGTCGCCATTTCGCTCGCCGACAACGAGAAATAATCTGTGTGCTACTTACCATACTTTGTTGCGATCGCGGATAAAGAACTTCCCTTCTGGCTCTACATCCAGGTTGTTGTTGAGCCCCCACTAGTCTGGAGGACAGAACGTTCCGGTCACGTGTATAAACTGTATCATATACACGTGACCACACCACCACCTTTCACGAAAACCTCCTCTCATCACACTCTCACACCTGTCCATTGTGAATCGGCAACGTAAGTACGCTAGTGTGACTCGTCACCTTTTAGTGAAGATCCAACGCTAACGTCTAATAGATGGCGCCTAAGGTCCGCTCCGATAATCAGGAAGTTTCTCTCGGCCCTAGCGTCGATGATGGCAAGATTGTATTCGGCGTTGCGCAGTATGTATTGCAATTGGCGAATATCGTGAGGGGATAATGAGAGTCATATGACCGCGAACTTGACACTCTCCCATATGCCGTCCACCTCACGCGCTAAAGACACGAAGGAAAATGTACAGAGACTAACTAAGACAGCATTTACGCCAGTTTCAACGATACCTTTGTGCATGTCACCGATCTTACTGGCAAGGAAACCATCGTCCGTGTGACTGGCGGTATGAAGGTGAAGGCTGACCGTGACGAGTCGTCTCCCTACGCAGCCATGCTTGCTGCCCAGGACTGTGCCGCTCGTTGCAAGGAGGTTGGCATCAACGCCGTCCATATTCGTTTGCGCGCAACTGGTGGTGTTGGCCCAAAGATGCCAGGTCCCGGTGGCCAGAGTGCTCTTCGTGCTCTCGCCCGTGCTGGAATGCGTATCGGCCGCATTGAAGATGTGACACCTATTCCAAGCGACTCTACGCGTCGTAAGGGTGGTCGTCGTGGTCGCCGTCTGTAAAGGCGCTTCCGCACGTTTGCAATGCATCTACTTGGTTCAATATGCTGTTTTTTTTTCTGGTATTGCATTGTAGGCACTCGACATTATATGTTGTATCACTTGAAGATGCATCAACTCTATGATGGCACTTGGTTCTGCGTGCCGGTTCATACGTATCGGAAGCTTTTCCTTTAGCCAATACAAAATTGTACTCGATTGAGAGCTTGAAATTCAATCTCTTTCTGTGTGAGTGGGATCTTATACTGCTTGTATGTTTGGATGTGTTTAAATGTTGTACTTGTCGTTTGAACAGTACCGAACTGCAGCGAAATCTGAAGTATATCGGAGGCTGCCTGTCACCCTGCTGCTTTAGCACATTAAGTGTTGTGCGTAAATATGGCTGCCAGGATAACGAATCATGATTGCGAGCTCAGGAAGATCTCGCTAATGATTTTGGACCTTTTGCCGGTTCTCTATCTGGTTCGTGTTAGTGGTGCGAACGTAGTATTTCGTACAAACCATCATTTTCTCCACCATTGCACTTCGGTATAAGTATCAAGGTCCATATACGTACCGCGTTTCACCATCCAGATCACTTAGCTTTGACTCTTCAGGTACAATCTTAGTAGTGTCAATCTTGGGATGATGCGTCACCACATGCGGCCACCATTCATTTTGATTTAGTTTTTCCAGGTGTACGGATAATACTTTGGCATCATCTTCATGTAAGCTAGTAAAGATTGCCAAGAGCGTACCAATAGTCCAAGTACAGCCATCTGGTTGAATTGGCTTGAACAGTGCTCCCTAACGCATTAGTTTGAATACAAAGACTTACTTCGACAATACATTCCTCGCGCATCTTGACTGAAATCCAAGCGGGCTTGAATACAACTTGAATTTGTCGTGCGCGGACGTCTGGAGGAAGCGGTATGCTCACTTCCACATGGTCTAGCATTTGATTCCATCTATAAGGCAAACCTTCTTGCTCTGATCGTTCTCGTTGTCTTTCCTCATTATCATATTCCCTCTGAGCATCTGGGGAAAGTTTGGAATACTCGTCAACACTGAGTGTCATGCTCTGAAGAACCGGTGTGTTGGGAAGTCTAAACCACGTGATAGCTAAAGCGCACGAAATATATTACTTGTCGGGTTTTGCGAAACAGCCACTCGCTATTGACATTTTCCTTCAACATTCGTATCATTCCTTTCCCGTCGTCCCGGGATTTGAAGTGAGAAATGGGAGACGGCTTGACAAATACATAGCTTAGGTTAACCCTTTGATGTATTAGTCTGGGTTTCAGTAAGATTGATAGGTTTATTTACAAGCCCCCTTGTAGTACATCAGGGTCAGATAAGCAAGCGTCGAGTTTGATCACCAATGGCTTTTGATTAAAGCAAGTAGCCCGTGTAGTAGTCCCGCTGGGTAATGGAATGGCTCAAGATTTTGAAGAACACGGTCATAATCAAATTTGTTGGCATGCTCATAAAAATCAAAGTGCAAAAACCCACCAAGTTGGTGCGCGAGTTTCTGCTGTCGAGTCTGTTCACAAAGATTCTCTTTCGCAAGTCTCGATGCAGTCACAAATCCGCATGTGGTAGGTACATGCTTAACTTCCTCTGTTTTGATTGTGTATCGCGGTCGGGATCCGTCACCGTTACATGTACATCCAAGAAGATCGTGAGACAAGCATTTTGTATCGGGGTGGAAGTTGAAAATATCCTTCAATTCTTCTTGCGAGAAAGTATCACTCGCACTGACTTGATCAGATACTTCCGTTGATTCTGTACTCATGAGTGAGTCACTCAATTCAATTTTCGTCGTTTGTCGTTGATAAATTTTTTCATCCATCGATCCCACAAGCAATAATCGGTAAATAAAGCAAGGCTTGGTTTGACCATCACGATGTATTCTGGCCATAGCCTGCCGATCGGTTGCTGGGTTCCAGTCACTGTCAAATAAAATTAGTCGGTTAGCTCCAACCAGGTTCAGACCTAGGCCACCAGACTTAGAGCTTAAAAGAAATACGAATGGATGCCTTTTCTGATCAGACGTTGACGAGTTGAATTGTTGCACCAATTTGGGACGGGTTTCAGCCTTAGTACGCCCATCAAGTCGCACAAAGGGGAATTTTTGCCGAATACAGTACGCTTGAAGCTTGTCCAACGTTGACGTGAAATTAGACACCACAACAACGCGATCTTGAGTATAATTTCTTATAGTCATCAATATTCGATGAAAAACGAGCAGCTTACCACTCAGCAGCAAATAATCTTGAGAACTTCGTTCTGCTTGGAGTACAGCATGTATCGCTTGAATCAAAGACTTCGACTTCCCGTCAAATCCACGAGATGTGCCGCTGCAGTCAGGCAATACGAGCTCTGGAGTATTGCAAAGTTGCCTTAGCAATGAAATATACGGAAGATACGACTGACTTTCGCCAAAATTTAATTGATAATTCACAAACTCCGAGCAAATACCATAAATGCATTTCTGGATCGATGTCATTGTGCAAAAAACGTCCATTTCCAATTTAGGCGGAAGATAAGAGTGCATGATGTCCGCCGTTCGTCGTAGTATGATTCCTTTGGTTATAGTAGAGAGCTACTCGTGAGTCGTTCAAATACATACTGCTTTGTTTCGCTTTTTCCCTAGTTCCAGTGCTTGAGAGGAGCAGTGCTGGGCCCTACTACGCATAATTGGATCTTCAAACACCCGTTTGAAGACACTATACTGATCAAAGAGACCCGGATACACAAAATCCACCATGGTATAAAACTCGCGCAAGTCATTTTGAATAGGCGTTCCGGTGAGCAATATACGACGTCTCGTTTGAAGAATATCGAAACATCGCGTCGTTTTTGTGTCCCTTGATTTCAGACGATGTCCCTCATCGCAGATCACTAAACCAATGGCCGGTATAGCGCGCGATAGCCGCTGGACCGAGCTTCGAAGTCGTTCATACCCAAGAATCAGAACTTGGTATTGTCTGCTGTTCACAAATTGTTCCACCTCAATTCGTCCATCGCCTTCTACGGCCAAAACCCCAATAGAATTTCTTCCCAACCACTTGCGAAATTCGCGCTTCCAATTTACAACCAAAGTCAATGGACATACTATCAACACTTTGTCCACTGTACCGGTGCGAAGAGGAGAAAAGTAACAATTTTGATGAATTAAAATGGATATGAGAGCAATTGTTTGAAGGGTTTTACCAAGGCCCATCTCATCAGCAAGAATTACACCTTGTCCAGGCGAGGCGTGGCCATTTTCAAGCGAGCTTATGCCAGTCACGGCTTCATACATAAATTTAACACCTTCAATTTGATGGGGTCTTAAATTCGGAGCCAGTTCAGGATCGAGAACGACGTCAACAATTGGACAGCCTTTACCGAACAGCTCGTAGTGTTTGTCATTTGGACGTTTCATAACAACTGCGTCTGGAGAGGACGAATCAAATTTTGACTGCGGCTCTGATCTTGAGTATCTGTAAGCTGATAGAGTACTAGACGTCGATGTTATAGCCGATTTGGGTGTTGAATAGAACTGTGAAGCAGGAATAGGTTTTTGGCGCGGCGGTAGAGAGAACATGGAAGGGCCATGCCGCGGTACAGATGTGGCGTGTGTCTGAGCACCGAAATTTTGACCTTGATCGCCAATTAAGCCACTCATGGAGCGCTCAATTAATACCTCCTTGCCTCCAACATAAAACTCGTCCCCTTCGTTGACAGTTCGTTTTCGGAGCGATGCATTTGTTATCAGCATCGAGCCATCATGAATAGATCGAAGTGAGCATGTCTTGTTATTCTCATGAACAACAAGAATTGCATCACCGTCCCAAGTTTTATGTTTACGCGTCTGTGGCGCTCGCCATTGACACAGATAACTCGGCTCCTGCGCTGAAGGTAAAAGCGGCACGGGCAAATTCGACGAATCGATTTCAATTGGCGAGCATTTTATTTTTTTATGGGTATCATCAGATTCTTCGGGCTCTTTCCTTTTGGTAGGAGTATGAAACTTCGAGAGAAGCTTACCCTCAGCTACTTCAGAAGAAAAAGTCACCATCTGGAAGGAGCTTAGATGTACGACGCGCGCCATGCGCAAATTGCACAGGCACGTGATGAGGTCTCGATAAAACATGACGTGTGTGTAACCAGCTCAAATCACGACTATAGAAAATCGATACCAATCCCGAATTGGAGCCCTTTACGAAGACCATCTCCACATCGAGCCATGATTGGTAAGCCAAAGTTGAGCTCAAGACGAATAGGACCTTGTTGGAAAAGGAGACCAAGTCCTGCAGAGGCAGATGGTTGGGCCAATTCCACCAGACGCTGCATCGTCCAGAAACTGCCTGGTGGTGTGAGGACAAGATCACACGTACTTTGCTGTAGCTGGGAGAGTTGACCTAGATTTAAAAACCCATGCAACTTAAGAGGCCAATTAACTCGTCCAGGGATAGGCGCCAAAATGCTAGCCCCCACTGCCCAGAAAGTATCGCCACCTAACGAGTCGTCTGAGGCGGTTAGCCATCCAAATACATACGTTTAAATTTCGGCCCCAGGCTGTTTAAGCGAAACATTCGAATACATGTGGGACCCCCTAGCATGAATCGATCATTAAGGCAAGGCGTTTGACCATTCAAAGGCACCATCATACCGAATTTGGCACCCAGAGACCATGAACATCCATCCGCAAATATATCGGAGACACTAGAGTGCGTCTCCACCTTCATGTATGAGGTATCGCCACCAAGACCTGCGTATTCCCATAAGGATCTAAAGTAGGTGCCCGCCATTGTGGCAAATGTATTATCACGAGAATCCCTTTCAACGGTATATGATATTGCAGACTTGAAAGAAGGCAGGGCAAGCCGCCGAATTGCAACAGATGCATCAGGCATCATATGATGGAAATGGCGGTGACTTGCCTCATAGGCGAGTTCGTGTCGTGTACCATCGTTTTGTGCATACTTGTTCTGTTAAGATCGAAAAATGCGTACCATAAGAGCAGAGCGCAGCATATGTTGGCCTTCATGAGCGCTGATGAAGCTAGTCAAATCACGATGTTGAGACACGGCAGATACATTTACCCAAAGATCCGGACAGGCAAAAACGGGAGAAGCAAAAACAAGCTGGACCATCAGCAGAAAATCAAACGTACGTTATAAGAATGTTTAGTACGAGTCCCAAGCATAGCACTTCCTTCAAGACTCTCAGCTCCTCCGAAAAGGTTTCGGATTTTTCCTTGTATCGATGCAGTACCCTCACTGTTTCCAACACTTGTGCTAGTCTTCAAGAAAAAGCGACTTGCTGGCTTTATGTCTAGAATTAGGTCAACATCTTCTGTAGGATGTTCCTGGGATACACGCGATGGCTCCATATGAACAGAAATATCCTTTGCAATATCCATACGAGAAATATCGCTACTAAATGAAGTTGCTGCTTGTAAAATGGTGTGAACCGTCGTCGGTTCCCCAAGCGGAGGGAAGTTCATGCGATGTCCGTATCTCAAGTCCGCCATGAATGTGAATGGCGCTGTTGGATCAACATAAGGCCTGCATAGAGATGACAAAAATCCATGGCGTGTGTTTTTAAGACCATTGAGACGAATAGCACTCAATCGCAATATGGGAATATCATTAGGATCAATCAATGACATCTGGAGCTGTTGCATAGCTTTTATCAAATTATGCTCTGAAACTCTTGTATCTGCATTATTAGGTTTGATATCATGTTCTTCGGTACCGATTTTAACATCATTTTCTATTGCGCTCGGTGCAAGCGTGTGCGCCGCGTCGCTCATGACGTCATTAGCGCCCATGTCTTGTCCGACCGCGTTGGATGGCATGGTAGAGGTGCTGGCGATAACACGTAGATTTACGTAACCACCACGTGGCAAATGCAGAAATATATTGGGATCATTCATAGTGAGCACAGGTAACGACGGCGAGCTTGACGGCATGTTCGTGTTGTCGGAAATTGAGGTGAGTTGAGTTATGCTCTGACCCCTATCCTAGGATGTGATCAAAGTTGAGCCGCGTCATTTTAGCAGACCCAGTGCGAAAGCTATCGCTGAACAAATTAACGTCAAATATGCCAACAAGGTATGTCTTGTGGAAAAGCCGAGCGCTAACCGCTCTCAAGGTTCTGCAGGACATTGGTCTCTGCATATGTGTGCATGATATTTTAAGGTCTAGTGAGGGTCGTGTTCGTTGGGGCGATGGGTGTCTCTACTACACTGTTGTATTCCGACTTGTTGTATTTCGGCCATTTACAAATGAAGTACTTGTCGGTCGGATCTCATCGTCCACGTCCGAATCAATCCGTATATCTGTGGGCTTTTTTGACGATATATTCATTCCTCCTCATTTTCTTCCCACTCCTTCGGCATTTGACTATCAAGAGCAGGCATGGTTTTGGCTTCTCGATCCTGCTTCCGAAGCACATGTGGCTGATCCTTTACTTTCGGCTCAAGAAGAACGCATGTACCTGGACATCGGCGAGGTAATTCGATTCGCGATTGAATCCGACAGTTTCTATGATTTGGAGCCTGGGCCATCCCTTGGCGAGGGAATGCTTGGTGAAACTCCCGCGGTTACTTCGAACTTTTCCGGAGAATCTGGTTCAAGAAGAAGTAATTTCTCGTCATACAAGATTAATGCATCTATTGCGGGCCAGGGCCTTGGGCTTGTATCATGGTGGGCCGGCGCTGAACAAGTTTCTGTAGAATAATTTTTTGCGGAGTGAGATACGGTATTGAATCTTCATAAGGGAATGCATTCAAGGTTATAGAGTCAATACGTGTACGGAACAGCAAGTTAAAAGACTAATGAGTAGATGGCTGGCCAGATATAGTAATTATCACTTTAGCATGATGGAGTTCTGGTAGTGAAGGGCTCGCCACCTGTGATGAAGAAAATGAAGATTGTAATTGGTCTTGGGTTTGTATGCCAGTATCTTGCGAAAAGCCACTAGATGGATCAAACAGGTGTGAATGGGAGGTGGGGACATCCACATCTGAATTTAGCAGCGGTTTTGGTGATACAGCAGGGGCAGCATCTGCTTTGGGATGTGAATCAATATTGACAAGATACGAAATAGGAGATGAATCAACGCGCATCGCAGGCTCGGCGCCAGCAGAAAGCGAACGGGTAGAAGTTTGCATAGGAGCAGGCCCAGGTCTTACGACAGGTGCCAAACTTGACAAACGAGGGTCAGACGAATAGGCGCCACCGACGTAAGAATCGAGAGATGCCTGCAACTGCCGAGGTTCATCCTGATGTTTATTATGCGATTCCGTATCTTGGATATAAGACAATGGCTGTGCTGTAGAAAGATTTGAGGTTTGTTGCAAATACGACATTGGCTTATACAATGAAGTAGAATTATCACAAGGTGAGAAAACAGTTATCTCAGGAGATATAGGCAGGACTGGCGTCGTAAATGAAGAATTGTTCGCCCTGACTTGGGGACCGGGAGGAATCATACTCGAAGATTCATCACGAACGTCATGAACCATGGCTGGTTCTTCTTGAGAAGCAAGACCATTCAATAAAAAGTCATCTGATTTAGCAGGTACAAAGTGTCCTGAGTAGGGTCCACTATTAAGCGATGTTGCTTGTGCGACACTAGTGGCAGAAACCGAGCGCTTTCCAATAGGTGGACGAGACGGCAGAGCACCGTTTCCATTGACGACTGAATCACGCATCTTATGAGACAGTTTGCTAGCTGTCCTAAACGGACGTTGCTCATTGTCTCTTAAGGGTGGTTGATTATTATCAAGAGTTCTTGTTTCGGTATTAGAATTAGCGCGTCTTCGAATAGATCGTGTCGGCATGAGTAATCGAGGTGATTGCCTTGCGTTGCTATCAAACGCAATATCAGGGGAACTAACGGGTGGCCGCAACTCTTCTTCTGACACCTGCCGCTGTTCCGCGCGTTTTCTCCGTTCCCTGCGAGCGAAAATTGTACTTGCTTGACCATGGCCAGTTGTGTTTGAGCGAGCCAAACGAGCACCACCTCCAACGTGAACTCGGTATTCAACAACTTCCTCGTCCGAATCAGAAGGAATCATAACATAGTCTTTCACATCAGGTGAAATAGATGACGTCAATTCCTCGGGTCGCTTGTCTTTTGGTGGTGGCTCGGTGAGTCCAAGAACGAAGCAATCTTGATGGGTGATCAAGAATTCAATCACGCTGACAGCCGTTGTGTGCTCGGTTTTAGACGTTAAGTTCTGAGGGTTGAGAATGGAAGGCTGGAAGACAATGGCCAAGTTTTGTGCAGTCATCTTTGTTTTTTGACGATTCCGTTCAAACACCGCCAAAAGGTCCAAGATATAAAGTAACACATATTGATTTGCCTGAGGGCATGTCTTAATTAGCATACGAAACTTTTCAATCTTTGTGTCCAAATCCAGATCGACCTTGTTTTGAACACGACTAAAGTGTTTGAAAAGATTATAAGGAATGATAGGTTCCTTGTACATGTGAGCACAAAAATCCTTCAACTACGCACCGGCATGAGTTTCAGATAACGTCGCAAGACTCCTGCAACGTCATGAACAGTAAATGGAGACCAATCAATGATTTTGCCATACTAGAATGTCAGCTATTACCCAAAGCACGTACATTAGGCGCAGAATCGAATATATCTTGAAGCTCACGCATGCGCTTTTCAGAGCCGGTAATACGAAATACACCTTCTACGTCGGTACCATTCTGTTTCAGGAATAAGCCAGTTTTTGCGACCAATGCAGGCACATAACCCCAAATGTACTGCTCGCCATTTTCTTTCGCAAGACTGATAGGTACGGTTGTATACTTCAGTGCTTCACGGAGGGGTGCGCCGAAAATAGATGATGGTTGTTGCTCAGGAAACTCTTCACGAGGAGACATAATAGCATTCCGACCGCCGAAAACCGGCGGCCACCATGACTTGAACGTCGCAGAATTGGCAAAAATATCATCAGCCCGCGGTGAGGTCATCTTGTGAACTCCGAAGCTGTATTGACGGGCCTTTCGATGGAGCAACTGGCTAATCGAGTCGTCGTTGTCTACAGATCTCCCTGGCGAATTAATCAAATCTTACTTTTGTTTTGCAGATCCAGTCGTAGAGAACGTTCAGATTGGCAACAAAGCGAGACGTGTAGCTTTGGATCGACAACAACCGTTGAAAGAGGCCGTATGCGAATAGTTCTGACCTGGCAGCGATCATAAAAAATACTCATTCGAACAAATTGTAGCGACCCCAGGCCGCGATTATGACTAAAAGGCTTTAGATATGGTTGAGCCGGAAGGGATTTGTTATGCTTATGCAAGATTAGAACCCCAAACAAGAAACGCTACACCCCAATAAGCCCGTTTTGTGTGACGCCAATGTCGGAATATTTCCCACTTGCATACCTTACCCACCCCATTTTACGGAAACACATCAATTCACTTACATAATCTCAACCGCATCGCCACACCCAGCATGGAACGTATGTCCCTGAGGTGTCAATGCCACCTTGTCTGATGATGCGTGCTTACGCACACAAGACAAATCCATAAAGGCTTTGTCGCAATGAGCACAAGAGGGTCGCGTGGCTGCCACGAACCAACCCATGCCCCGCTCTTTAGCGAGCTGTTGAAAGAGGTGCAATGCATCTGATTCATTTAAACGCACGCCAATCATTAAAACATCACAGCGAAGCCGATAAGCCAATAACATTGCTTCGACAATCACGCGTACTTGAGAATACATGATATTCGCTTGAGAAATACCATGGACAAGCCGTTTAAACAACTCAGCAAATGAGATTGTCTCAGAGGGCACAGATGTCACAAGAGTTGCAAGTGCCTCCTGCGTGAATGTTTGCGAATGAGACAAAGCAAGCGCAAGTAACGAGTCTTTTGGCGCATGAATCCTAGAGGAATCATAAAATGCATGTTCCAGTCGAACAAGTGTGTACAACACGCGGAACCACAATTCGTGAACAAATTCAACAGAGGCACTAGATGATAGAGAGTTCTCAACGCACAATCGGAATGCCATAGTAAGTGCCAAGTGAAGCTTTTTGAACCGTTTACAAACTCCTTCTCGCGAACTTTCTGCTTCAGAATCTGCCCTATCGTCCACACCATCATCTAGAACCTGGTGAGTATGTTGGGCCAAATCCATCGCCAACTTGTCTAATTGGTCCATTGCAAGTGTCGTAAGACCTCGTCGATCCAAAGCCCAGAATAATGCATCATATACGTGGTGAGTGCTAGCCTCAGAACAGACATGCTCTAGATCAAAATACTCGTATCCGTAAGCATCCAATTGCGGCACAAGTAAAGACGGACATTCTTCACACAGCCTAGTTATCCAAACACGGCGCAAAGTTTGCGGGTTTCGACCTTGTATATCGTGCTTTAAAATAAAAAATGCCTTCAGATACAAGAATTGTCGATTGGGCGTGATTTGTAAATGTGTCAAAACTTCGTTTCCTCGCGAGGCAAAGTACCTAGTCACAATGCGCGCCACATCGCAAAGCAAAGGATCAGGTATGTCATTCAAGCATGACAGAAACAAGGAAAACATCGATTCTCGCTGGCTTGATCCCTTCAGTCCAGGAAGCACAAATATCTCGGATACGCGGTCATACAGTTGCCCAGGCGAGTGATGTTCTCCATCCCGGTCTTGCAAGAAGAAGCAGAGCAGCTCCGGGTATCTCTTAGTTTTTCGCAGGGCGGTCTCATAGATTCGCCAAAATCCTGCTCGTTCTAACATCTTGATCCGCTTCTCGGTAAAAGCGATGGGATGTGCCGACAAAAGACACTCAAGAGCAAACTCAGAGTCTTTATTATGTACTTCATCATTCGTCAACGCATCAAAAATTGTTTCGCACTCAGAATCAGACAGAATGATAAATTGGGGGTATTTGGCAGAATTCCGCGCAACAAACATTGCCAACAAATGGTGCACAGAGTTTGGAAGTGATTTCATGCGGTTAACTTCAAGTAACGTATCAATGACGTCGCGTCGACTAAGAAGTGGCAACTTTTCATTAGTGAAGAAGTCGCTTTCGAATGCCAAATCCAACACATCAAGAAATGGCTCAGCGTCAAAGTTCAAAATTGCTCGCAGGTAAGGGAAAATGTTATGATCAAGCGTGGGAACATCAGCAAGGTCTGGTGCTTTACAAGCATGTTTGGAAAAAAGCAGTGATTGAACAGCGCGCACAACATTTACAGCCTCATTGTGTTCAAAAGCCTCCATTGATGGGTATCTTAACCCACGAAGCCTTGCATTTAGAATTGGAAAAATCGCATAAAAAGACGCTCGACTGTCATTATCAGAGCAAGAATCTTCAATGAGCACGGTTTGATGACTCGAATCAGCGAGTGTGTTTTGGGTTGGTGTTTGAGCAAGTCGCTTGAGTATCTGGGCAATTGGGGTGACATAATCATGGAATACACGCTCGTAGACAAATGATAAAGCATCCCAAAGACATTGCTCATTACATATGGGTAACACTTGATCCAAATCGAGGCAGAAAGGATCAACATGAAGAATTAGTTGCTCTATTATCGCATATTCGTGGGTGCGACAGCGATATTCCAAAAGTCGCTGTATTACCGCTGTTGGAGGTGTCCGAATCTGCCCATGAATGATATGACGCTCAAGCTCGAGAACAAAGACGTCGACTTTGTCATGGTACTCATAGGAAAAGTATATTTCACCAAAAAGAAGGTCAAAATTATTCATCTCGACCGCAACTTGAGTACATAAACGAATTAGTTCAACGTCATCACTGTCGCTTAAGAGCCGTAGAGCTTTCCGCTCAATGCACTCGATGCGCTGAGCTATAACAGCCCGTTGATCATGCCTGAGACTCGGAAGACCTATGCCTGAGCCAAGGCCAGTTCCTTGATACAGTTTCACAGCTTCTCTGAGTGCTTCCAAATACTCATGGTCAGACTCCAACTGTGAAAGATAAGAATCCCATGCCACAAAATCACCAGCATAAGCGGTATTATGCGCAAACATGAACACTTTGCTCCGCCAAATCTGTAAAAAAATTGGGTCGCCTGGCGTCACAGAAGCCACGAGCGGGTCATGAGGCTGCCACTCTGTGAATGAATGGCACCGAAAATCAAATAGTTGCCACGAAACTGTAGTTACGACCAGCAAAAGTTGTCGATGGATCCAATGTAGCTGGACAATTGGATGCGCGGTAGTGCTTAGATGTTCTTCTGACATCTTCATTCCGGAAGTATTTTCGTCACCGGGTGTGCGTGACTTCACGCGCACTGAGGATACACGAAGAACCCTAAGCTCATTGCCAAACGAAAAAGCAAGCATAGGCGGGTATACCTGGGAGAAAGCGTGTGTGGCCGGAAACCATGCCAAAGAGGCTGTTTCACTGTTCGATGAAGCTCTAGACCGAAACCACGTACGAGCTGAAGGCTTCAAGCCAATAATAAGAAGTTTGTGCCGCAATATTAACGCAACAAACTGATGCTCATCAGCGGCATGTCTCAGGGTTCCTAGGGGCAATGGTGCTGCGTCATAAATATGAGACGGATCTGTCGCATTGTATCGACCGTAAACACGCAAGGTGTCGTGTGATGCCATGCCAAGTATACGACCGAGTGAATGGTAAAAACATAGTCCATCCGCGTCTGTGCTAATAATGGCTGTCTTTCTTGCACCAACAAACTTAAGTTGAATTATAGCCACTGAAGCAAAGTGTCCCTCGCCTTTTCCAGACGATACAATCGCAGGATCAACGGGCGGTACATGCCGAGCAGGTACTGAAGCTTGAAACATATCATATAGGTATATGTCACCGGATGCGTGCCCTACAGCGAGATACGTCGCATCGTGTGATATGCTCAAACATGTGACACGACTGGATGAAGCTTTGCACATGCACCTAATGCGCTGAGACATATCAAACACAACCGTGGCGCCAGATTCGAACCCAACGGCCATCAAGCCACCAGACACGTGCATACAAGAAAACTTACCGTTGTGCACAATTTCTGTGGTCACTTTCGCAAGTTTTTGAAAAGAGAGAAAAGGACGAGCGATAGGTTCGACAATCACGCTCGCGGGTGGATTTTCAGGTTCATTCGCAGACAACCCGGCTTGCATCAAGCATGAAACATTTTTTTGGAATCCGGGAGTCATAGACTTGTCAGAGTCAATGCTGCGAATTGAAGTGCAGTCACTCTCTCGAGGAAAGAAATTTGAGATTTGGGACCCATCCGAGTCGACAGTCAATGGGGATCTAAGTCTCCGCAACGTCGAGAAATGAGCAGGTCGTTGTGCATCCAAAATAGGTCCATCATTTAACAAGTGCTTCGACCTATCACGCTTATTTGATGTCGATTGACTTGTGTCTGCAGGCTCATCGTGTAAGAAAGTGTTTTTCATGTGTGAATGTTTTTCAGGTTCATTAGACATGGGGCGGTAACAGGTTAAGCATTGTTGGCTTAGCGCGTTTAACCCCTTGTTATCAGAAAAACACCGAGGCTCAGGCGCTTCTATGCTTTGCACATCTTCCATGGATATAGGCTTGTAGCCTCGTGGCGTCGCAATTGGGGCTTCACCACCCAAAGGCTTCAGAGTCCTATACGATTACGCTTACGATCACAACTCCCAAACGACACTTCAATACGCCAAGTTGGATCACGTGCTCCACATGGACAAACAGGTATGTTAGATGTAACTACAAGATAACTTATGGCGGGGGAATCCTCGATTCGGACGTCGTAACGTTAGGGTCAGGGTTCACTTCATCATGAGGTGGTGGCGGTGCACTTGCTTCACCGTGACCTGAAAGACGCCCCTTTTTATCAAGATATTCGTCTGCTTCATCTGCTTGCTTGAACGGCCGTTTCCCAAGCAGATTTGTCATATCTTCACGAGTAATGACTTCTCGTTCGAGCAGCAGCTTGGCCACCTTCTCGACATCTGCCTTGTGATCCGTCAAAAGGTTAGTTGTACGTTCGTGAACTTGCAGGACCATTGCACGAACTTGTTCATCCAAAAGTTCTCCAGTACGCTCAGAGTATGGTTTATGCATCGACTCCTGGTCTGTTCGATACGAGATGGGTCCAAGCTTAGTATTCATGCCGTACGAGGCACATATTTCAAACGCTAGGCGTGTGATCTTAGACAAATCGTCCTGGGCACCTGTGGTAATACGACCAAAAAAGATCTCTTCGGAAACGCGTCCGCCCAGCATCATGCACATGCGGTCTGACAATTGCTCAGTGCTGAACAGATAGCGCTCTTTAGGAAGGTACTGAGCATAGCCCAATGCACCAACGCCACGAGGAATGATTGAAACTTTTAGCAAAGGGTCGGCGAATTCTAAGAACCAACCGCAAACCGCATGACCGGCCTCGTGATAGGCAACTGTCGTCTTTTCCTCGGGACTAAGCACACGGGACTTGCGTTCCAGCCCAGCAATCACACGTTCAATAGCCAATTCAAAATGCGTTTCCTCAACGGCAGGAGCTTCCGCACGAGCTGCAATCAAAGCCGCTTCATTGCAAACGTTCGCAACATCTGCACCGCTGAAACCCGGTGTCAAAGTGCTTAGTTTCTCGGCCAGCAAATCCTCATTCACTTTAGCACTCAACTTGAGCGGCTTCAAGTGAACATGGAATATGGCCCGACGACCGCTAATGTCAGGACGGTCGATGGCAATGTGGCGATCGAATCGACCTGGACGCAGAAGGGCTGGATCCAGCACGTCAGGTCGATTGGTACCAGCAAGGACAACAACGTGTTCATTCGTACCGAAACCATCCATTTGAACCAACAGCTCGTTAAGGGTACTTTCTCGCTCGTCATTGCCACCAAAATTGCCACCTTTTCCACGAGATTTACCAATAGCATCAATTTCATCCACAAATATGATGCAAGGAGCCATTTTTTTGGCTGTGGCGAACATATCGCGAACACGCGATGGACCAACACCCACGAACATTTCGACAAATTCTGAGCCAGAAACGCTCAGAAATGGAACGCCAGCCTCTCCAGCAGTGGCCTTAGCAACTAAGGTCTTGCCGGTGCCGGGAGGACCGCTCAAGATTGCACCGCGTGGGATCTTAGCACCCAGGCGTTCGTACCGCTCTGGGTTTTTCAAGAAACTGACAAACTCCATGATTTCCTGTTTCGCCTCATCCATTCCAGCAACATTTTCAAATTTCACTTTGACATCAGTCTCTTGATTGAACAGCTTAGCACGACTCTTGCCAATACCAAAGATGCCACCAGGTCCACCACCACTGCCACCGCCCATGCCACCGCCTGTGGCACGGCGCGTCAGATAAAACAGTAAGCCTGCGAGAATCAGCGTCGGAGCAAAGTGAAGAAGAGTAGATGCCATGCTTATTGATTCGTGGTAAGCAACAGGAATGCGTTCATTGGACGGGATACCTAGCTCACGCTGAGCTTCTTCAAGATGACGTTCAAAAGCCTCGACACTCCCCACACTAAACCAGTATTGCGGAGCGCCAAGCATGGACGATCCAGCTTGATGTGGGTACAGGCTATCTGTCGCACTGTTGTGCAAGTAAACATTGACTTTTGCGCGATTCACCACAACTAAACGATCGACAAGTCCTTTGTCGAGAAAGGCGGAGCGGAATTCTTGCCAAGTAATTTCACGTGTGGATGCCTCGGGCGATGTGAAGCGATAAAGCAAGTACGTCGAAATAATCGTTGCAATGATCATGTTCATGTTAGCACGCATTTCATTGTTGTTATTATTTTTGTTTCCTCCTTTGTTGCTGCTTTTCTTGTTTTGATCCGATGGGTGCGAGTTTCTTGCTTGAGACTCGTCGTTGTCAGCATCGTTTTTGGATATCTCTGGACCGTTGTCGGAATGAGGAGAGCGATTGTTTTTTCCAAAAAAGTGCTTCAGCTCATCAGGAACATCATCTGCCTTCTTTCCAGATTTCGCCTCGCGAAGTCCCCGCTCGATAGATTCATGGAACTCTCTTTTCTTTTTTTCATCATGATGAGGACCGTCACCTGATGATGTGGCAAACAGGCGTATAGACACGAAATTTGGGTATGCACTGTCAGTTTTCAATTTCCTTGGAACAAAAAGCACACTTGGTCTCGTTGGATGCCGCGACACCGAGCTGAAGGTGCGAAGTAATAATGCTGAGGGCACGAGCACCTTTGACGGTGTGGAGCGAACCGTGACTAGTGGACTAGAAACGGCCAGCATGACCACGACTGATACCCTAGTTACGGTAAGCTAGTTCACAGCCGTCCGACGAAAGACGCCTGAGCCACGACACACGGGAGTGCAATCTAAGTCGTTCAATGCGACGACAAAGCAAGTGGCGTTCGGATCTGAGCGTTCCAGAGCCTCTCGTGCGAAGTGACGCGTACCTCACGTGAGGTCGGCCGAGAAGAAAATTCAATCTCAGCATTTGCGCCAAGGGCCGCTTGCGGACTTCGCGCTCTAGCCACGCGTATTTTTCTAGAGCATCGCGTGTCGCGCACTGATCGCCAATAAGCGACACGTCAAACAGTCGTGCCGGCAAAGTTTCTTTGGACTGGGGATCAGCGCTTCGTGTCAAACGCGTGATCAAAAATAGGCTCCTACATGGGGCCAACCATTCGGACATTTTGTTTGCGTGATGGATTTGTCTACTTGGTTTCGAAAGCATACTGAAATGCAGCAGCAACAAGAGCAACAACTGCAGCAAACATCTTATACTTCCCCGTATCAACAACAACAGCAACAGAAAGTACAGCAATTCATGATAAATCAGACACAATCCTCTCATATGCAGCAGCAATCGTTTCAAGAACAATCACAAACCCCATCAACGTCGGTTCCACAGCTTGAGAGTTTGCAGCTTCAGGCCCAAACGGAATTGCAACAGAAGCAGCTGCTCGATAATACATTGTCGACACAGCCACAACAACCCCAAGTACAGCCTGTGCTAGCACCTCAGCAGCAAACCGGATTTGGTGTCGCACCAACTCTGAGCGATACCCCACCTGCTCAGCCACTTCCTATGCCACATACGTCGAGGCAAAGTGCTACTCCTACGCAGGCCATTTCATCTGCACAAATGCTTCAGTTACTGCAGACTAATATGTCGGTACTCCAACGACAATGGACTATCACCAATGCTCAGCCTGATGGTCCCAATAAAGTTGCTGCTCTTCAATATCTAACCCTACAAATGCGCCGGCTTATGAATACGCAAGAATCTATCTTACAGACCGCACGAGACCCTAACAAACAAACCGAAGTAACCAGGGATGCAAACTCAGCCCACATGAGACTGACAACATCATCTCCCCTGGTTTCTGCTCCGGCTGCATCTAGTCAAATCCCCATGTCGACTCTAATGCCAATGCATGTGACACAGCAATCTCAGAATTCCTCACCGGTGATGCCGCCCTCACAGTCTACAAGTCATGCAGCCAGTTTTCGCTCATCTATGACACCTGGGCCAAATCCGACTTTCCAACCGTCGGTTAATATGATGCACACCCCGGATCCGAAACCAGACCCGAATCACTCCGTTTCGCTTTCGTTTCAGAATCACAATGCGGGAGAACCAACGCCTCAACTCATGCCTCCGCAGTCAGATTCTCAGTCTATAACATCTTTGCCTCAGTCACAACAACCCTCTTCTTTGACACAGGTCCAGTCGCAGGCGCCTCCACAACCTCAGACAAAATCAACTCCGATGTCAGCACAACAGACTACCATACCAGTGAACCCAGTGCCTCGTGATTTCGTGTCTACAGTATATCTCTTCCTGGCCCAACGGGGAGTCGCATTACCACCTGACTGGTCGTCACCTTTCGTGGGTCCTGCAGCTAACGGCAGGCCCGGTGAGGTGCGGTCGATTGACATGCAATCTCTTTTCGCGAAGGTAATCAGCTATGGAGGGTCCGAACAAATTTTCTCCATGCCGAATGGATGGGCTTTTCTTGCACAACAATTGAACCTAGCGGTCGAACCATCTAATAACACGGGCTCACTTAACGCAATCCCCACTCCAAGCGAAGTGCCTGGCCGTCTCGCTGCTTACTATACGCAACGACTTTCGCTTTTCGAGAGATCTTGGATTGCGTCACAGCGTCGCAACGTGTCTGATTCATCTTGTTCAGGGACAGTGATGCCTGACAGGCCAGGAAGTGATCTTCATGGTAATCTGGCACCTCGTGCAACTTCAAATCGGGAATCGGTGCCTCCGGATTCACGGTCATTGAATGGTGCTGGTTCACCTTCGTCAGCCCAGATTGGGATGTCCGCAACGACGGTCGGTGGTTCTCCTAGCATGCCAATTCAAAACCATCCGTTTGGGCATTTAGAACCTAATCAAGTCCACATGGCAATTGGGCAGCACCTCAATCAGCTCCAGGCTCTAGTATCAGCCGGACAATTAACGCCTCAAATGGCTATGGCGCGATATTCAGCAATCCAACAAGCCCTTCAGGCCTATAATAACGAACGAGTGGTGAATTCAAACTCGACGAATCCAGCTTATAACTTGCAATCGCCTTCTTCTGTAACTCTTCCTGCAACGCCTGGGACTACACTATCCCAGTCTTCCCCTAAGGTTTCATATCAGCCGCAACAGCATTATCAGCAACAAAAACCTGTTCAATTATCGCACCAGGAGCAGCCACCAAAACAGCCGACGCAGCAACCATATCAGCCGCAACTCCAGCCACCACAACAGCCAGATCCAAAAGTCCAACCACTATCTCAGCAGGTTCCGCCGCAATCACAACCTCAAGGCCAGCCGAGCTTGCCACCGCAGTATCAAACGCATTGGTCGCAGCCGCAAGAGCTGCCTTCCAATATGCCTAACACGCAAATTCCAAGTGTTTTACAAACTGCGGTGCTTCCTGTTTCGTCTGTGCCCCCGTCAGAACGTATTTTGAATGCGCATCTCTCTAATGGACCAACTAGTTTGGATAAATCGAGCTCAAACTCCGGTTCACAAGTACCGCAACAACATGCAAAGTCAGATACATCATCACATTCTGGAGCCACAAGATCAACGCAAACACACAAGCCAGCGGCGTCGAAAAATTCGCTGCCTTTACTCAGTACGCCACCAAAGCATCCAGCACTGGGACGAGCCCAGTCAGAAGCTCCAACGGAAAGTCCTGACGTCATTCATTCATCTCCGACGCACAAAGTGAGCGCTTATGTGACAGATATGCACTCAAGATCACAAGGACGTACTAGTATGGACACTATCGTGCCTAATAAGTACAAGATTGAGTATTTGCCAAGTGAAGTGAAGCTTCATACATATGGCGGCCGAGATCTGGATAAGATGGACCACGAGCTTGCGCCACGGCTTGCGGAGCACGCTCGTGCTCTCAGTGTGAAGGAGTTGGGCATGGTGGATATATTTGGACTAACCATGTCGCTTCAGTCTGGCATGTCATTTGAAGTCGCATATGCTCTGAATACCCTCTTGATCTTGTCTGCTGGTGTCGATGCACCAGCGAATTATCAGTTTCCTCTAGCACCATGCGAAGATTTGCTTGATGTCCTTCTCGACCTATTGGAGCAAGTCATGCCGCCTGATTCGATCGAGAGTTCCGTTGAATACATGGACGAAAGGGACATGCTTACATACTGCGATGCTGTGGACATGGCACTGCAAGACGAAGGAGAAGTCCGCAAGTGGCGTCGGCAAAGCGTCTCTCTATCGGAAGAACATGCGGCGGATCAACGTGTTGCCGTGGCTCAAGCGATTGTGACGATTTTTCGTAACTTGGCTATTATGCCTGATAACATGCTGTTTCTCAGTACGCATCAGCGATTCATGCCGATGATTGCGTCCATATCGCGGTCTATTCTACACGATAAGCGCTGGGGCCGGTATGCCAACGCTACAAATTCAATGTTTTCGTTGCGCGAATTACTGGATATTGAGAAGGATTTGCTTACGATTTTGCTAGGTGTTTCCGGCGAATCATTTGACTTGACGCGGTTTTCCGTCGATAGCACGGTGGCATTAGTAGATATGCTGCGATTTTTCATTCTGGATGCACTCGAGTTTGAGAGCCGGCAAGGTGCGTCGCCAATGGCATTAGAACGCATCGGTTCGTTATCTTCCAAGTCTGCATCAAGTGCGTGGTCTACAACGTCGTCTTCTATTGTCTCATTCGGAGCATCTGACTTGGCACAATCATTGTTTCTATTTTACCAGGCCCCGCATCACGCTTTCCTGGCTTTGCAGGCCCTCTCTCGTTTGTCCTTACCCGACCACAATCGAGAGCTGTTGGCACGGCAAGTCCCAGCCTATATTCAAGTGCAGTTGATCCACAAGCTTGTCGCCTTCCTCCCAGTTTCATCAGCAGATTTTCGCCGTCTTGCCAGTTTCACTCGACTCGAATACACGGAGACAGTCGCGTTCTGTTTATATAACGTCGTATATCTCGCGCCACCATCCGTCAAAGTGACTATCCGAGATCGCCTCGGTATAACTGGTACTCTCTTCCGCGCGGCGAAGCATTTGTTGCTAAGTGGAAAAGACTACACGCAGAACCCATACAATGTCTTATCTCGTCGTCTAATCGAGACTATGCGTTTGCTGAGCGATGGCAAAGACTATTTTGGCGTTCCACCTCTACTCGGCATGAACTGGCCGTTGGAAGAGGCAAGCACAGCACCATCTACTGGTCAAGACGCTGTATCGTTGTCACCCTCCCCTTCGATGACGTCAAGATCTCCGCCTCCATCCTGCTCACGAGCCGGCGTGCTATGTGGACAGGACGACAAGATTATCGAAGTCCTTGTCCGCACAGCCAATTTAGATGCCAGCCTGACAAGCGAGCTATTGGCTCTGGTGTAGGGAGGAAAAACAAAAAGCGCGTGCATCGTAGTTTGCGCATTTGCCGCATGCTATGTATTCGATGGAACCATGTATGCCTACATAGCAGGCTCGCTTCCAGGATTCTTGCGGAGCACCGCAAAGCCCTCCATAACTGATTCAGGTTAGATTCACGTGTACAATACTTACTGGGTGTGTAGGATAGATATTCTTCCGTTGCAATAACCCCACGCTCGCGAGAACCAAGTCGGACTGGAGTCGTATGGGTTTGGAACCCGGAAATGGTACGTGGCTTACCTGCCTGGCCCACCACATCCACCGCCTTGCCCACGCGTACGGAAACAGGCAGGATTTCAAGTGATTCATCCAGCGTAATAAGGAAGCGGGGTCGCATGGCAGCCGTCAGCCAGAACATCATCCAATGGTAGCGACCGAAAAGGAAGCTGCGCGCATTCAAAAGTGCCAAGAGCGTCGATAGGAGGCCAGCGATACCGGTCTGGCTAAACATTTGCCGATCTGTGTGATATGGGTGCGATGCCGAGAGTACCTTTTCCCATGTGCACAAGACCTTGCGCTATACGCACAGCAAAAAGGCAATCAGGCTCCTTCGCATAGTAGTTTGCTAGCTGGCGAAGCCGCTGCGTGATACGGGCGTTATTTGTACCTGCACCAACCAAACCCATAGCAAAGATCGAGTTCAATGCCACATCCAGGTCGCTGTCGTGTGAGTACTTACTCAGCGTGTCGAGAACAGTTATCACCGGATTCGAAGGATTCAGCAATGCCAGTGCGAGCGGCACTGTGCGCCGAATCACAGGGTCACCATAGTGCATAAGATGTGACATATGGCGAAGAGTCATTTCAGCACCCACATCTTCTCCCATAGCCACGAGCGCAATTGCCAACACGGAGAAGGCCTGGTACCAATTGCGTGCACCCTCAGACTCGTTATCCGTTTGTTCAGAACCACCCTCTTTCTTTGAGTCGTGCGTCACATGCTCTGCACAGTCGTGCAAAAGAGACTGGATCTTCAGTACATTGCCTGTTCCAGCATAGCTACAGGCATCCACTAGGATCTGAGCTTCGCGCGACACAGGATGCTCAATCGCTTTCAAAGTTTCGATGGTCGCGTCAGACGCGTCTTGCCTGCTTAGGAATAGCAACGCCAGGCCTAGAGATATGAACTGCACCCAAGAATTATCCAGCTGCGACGGTTCGCGCTCCATCAGCATTTGCAAAACACTCGGCACAATCTCGCCATGCGCGGAGCCAACAAACACAAAGCCCAACGATAACACACACAGCGCTGCAGTTTCAATCGAAGTGGTTTCATCCTGAACATACGGCAGCAGAAGTGCCACAATCTCCTCACGACACGAGCCAGCATAGGCCAAGCCCAATCCAACAATAGCTGAATGCTGCAGCGGCGAGCTCTTACTTTCTACATGCTCGGAGAGCAGAGCTAGCGGCGCATCCATCTCAGTGCGCACACCCGTGTGCAGGATACCATAGGCAAGTAAAGCACCCGCCTTGATGTATTCGTTTGATGAATACGTGAACTTATCAATGTGGCTTAAACCCATTTCCGTGTCCCAAAGCAGGCTCAGTCCAGCACTAGCCGCAGCTGAAAGCTTACCATGGTCTTTCGCCTTGTAAACGTAGCTGTTCCCTTCGTCTGCACCCACGACAAGAAGGTCGTTGCCGAAACCAGCATTGACAAACGCATTCACAAATATATTCGCCAGATTCCCACGTGCTGAGTCCACGACAGGGAAACGCGCTGTTTCAAGATGAGTTTTGTAAACATCTTCGGGGCTTTTTGGCTCATACACGGAAAGCTCTTTGGCAAAGTTGATGAAATGCGATGAGAGATGTGTATTGAACAAGCAGTCTAGCAGAGCCTGGTCCTTAATAGGGTTGGATTCATCCTGCAGCCATTCCACAGGAATTTGTTGTCGAGCGAGAAGAAATGCCATTTGTTTCTGCATCACTTCATTCTTGGGCGACTCGAAGTCCTCACGAATGCGCTCAGGGTCCATTAACCGCACACTGATGACCAATGCCTCGAAATAACGTTGGAATTTACGATAAATTTCGCGCGCTGTGCGCAGGAACATGACATCATCTGGTGGGACCAAAAGATTCACACAGCTCACAAGATACAAACACACGCGCTCAAATGTATCTTTGTCAACGAACTGGGGCAGCTGGTCCACAGCCTCCAACTCTAATAGCAGGTCAACCGCGTCAATTTCTGCATGGTGTTTCAAGCTAAATTCAACCACGAGAAGTGCAAGTCTGAGAAGTTCTGATGTATCCTGGTCTTTTTCCATACGTGCATTGTATTCTTCGCCCAATTCCGTGCTTAAGTGACGCACGTACTCGTGACCCCAATGACCCAAGTCCTCTGCCGTGGTATTTGCACCCCGCATAGAGTCAGCAAGGAGGCGAAACACGAGTGTATCATGCTCTCCTGTGTTTGAGTAAGTCATTCCAAGTACACTGAGAATTTCTGCAAGTAACACCTTTTCATCAGTTGGTGTAGTCCATTTTTCATGAACAGACTTAAGCTGTGCGTAATGGGGGCGCAAGAACTTAAGAGGTTTTGGAACAGACGTCATAGAAGAGGTACTGGTGCGAATAATGCTTCGCATCGCTTCTAAAGCGGGGCGGTGCATCTGTGTATGGTCTTCACCAAGCCGCTCGACCAGCATTTCCAGCTCCGTCTTCAGCTGCTGATCTTCTTCGCTAAGTTCGTTCGCCACCTTATTATTCGAGGGACGCATCTCTTCCGTGTGATGAGGTCTATCATCCTCCTTGACTTCAGGATCCCGTGAAGTTACGGAAAGCTTCTGGGCCTGCGATTCGTCGCGTCCCATGCTGTTAGCTTGTCCAGAGAGAGACAAGTGCGTTCGAGCTTTTGTACCGGGCGACGCGCAATCCTTGAGCGACTGTGTCACGTGATGCTTCTGCTGACATCGAGCGTACGTGAATAATGAAAGCGACTCGCCCCACTTGGTTTGGTGAACATGACGACAACGTGAAGTGCAGAAAAAAAGTAAGCTATCCCTCTATGGACCACATAAACATACATGCAACAGAGCGGTATGGTGCCCAAGGCGCAGCTAAAACAGACATTTCTTCCGGGTCCAGATACATGTGTTTCTTAGTCTTATTCCCTTGTGAACGTGAAACAAGTTGTTCCAAGGACAGGCTGTTTGAGGGTAGAAAGCCTGGAGCTTTACTTTCATCATGATGAACGTAATCATCCTTGCGCTTACGCTCAGAAATTTTGGGTCCGGCTGAGTTTGAGAGATAAAACTTGACTATCCCACGCTGCACACCCAAGTCACCCACAGGAAGGATATCAGGACTCCGTAGAGCGAACATTAGAAGCATTTCGGCCGTCCAGCGGCCTACGCCCTTGACTTGCGTGAGCTCTGTAATACATGCCTCGGGGTTCATATGAATGATTTTTCGAACGTCAAGACGGCCATCAGAAAAGCGTCTGGCGACATCACGCACATATTTTATTTTGGCTGTGCTTAGACCTGCTCTCCGCAGTTCATCATCTGTGGCCTTAAGTACCTGTAATGGTGTGGGAAAGGGCAGCTCATCTTTGTTTACAGCGTCCAAATTAGGTTGTAGAGGTAGGTCAGGAGCAAATAAGCGGCAAAACTTATACATGATGCTTCGTGCAGCAAGCCAAGATATCTGTTGCCCAAGAATCGAGGTGGTTAATACTCGGAACAGATTCAGCTCTTTCACTTTCCCGCTTCGCAGTTCATCGTACACTTTAAGATCTAACTGCGCAAAGAGCGATGCAAATCTTGAATCTATACTGCAAAGATGTTGGCGGGCTTCCTGGATAGAAAACGACAATTTGGGTTGATTTAAAGTGGTGCAAAGTTTTACTTTGTCCTCGGGAAGTAGCGGAAGTTCACTGTCAATCACTCGTGGCTCAACCTTGGCCTTTTTATGAGCAGACGGCTCAAACTCTGCCTCTAGCGGTGGCCCAATCCGCTTTTCTTTCAGAGAAAGACGAGATGATCTGCGCACAGTGTTAGGCTTGACCCCTTTCATGGTGGCCCAAGCGCTCGTAGAACGCGCCGATGCAGGAGGTCGAGACATGAACTGTATAACACAAGCTGGGATTGTTAGACAAGACCGCGAGCGAGTGATTGCATTATTGTGGAGGTGAATGCAACACGTTACGGACATTCTACCAGCGCAAAATATATCGAAAAAGAATTCGTTCGAATTTGGGACCTGACGATCAACACCTATCGACATTACAACGCTTTGAAACGCGTGCACATACAGAGACCAGTCCATCCTGAAAAATTACACCATCACTTCAATTTAAATCTCATACCATCGCACGAGGCCCTAGCGGCGTATCTCGAGTTCCAAGCTTTTCTCCATGCACTTGGAACCACGCTTGGATTGTCTCCATAGGCGATGCTAATAGTGAGCTCGGCGACATGAATGGACGCGTATGATGAGAACCATGCTCAGTAGAAACAGACTCCGATGAGGCCGTTGATGCGGGCGAATTTGGCCGCACCGAACCGGAGCTGAGCATAGGCACTCCCCCCTGTGTTACGTCAGACTTCCTTGGAGTGTTGGGGTAACATGGCACATGTGACTCTGGAGATGTGTTTGATGCACGACGCGTATGCATGGCACGCAATATTTGGGGCGTTTGGGGAGGATAAACAGCTAGTTCAGGTTCAGTGGGGTCGTAAGCATATCCCATAGCTTCAACATCCGTAGCAGCCGAAACATCGCGTCTTGGAAGCGGAACTGGTAAGGCAGGAGCAGAAATGTCATGCTGAGCTGTTCCGTGAAAATCATGTTGCTGCTGATCTGGAGTATGTGCTTGTTGCGGGTTAAAACCATCGACCTCTGCGTCTTTGGACATGACAGCAGGACTGGCCTCTTCGACCCACGTCAGTTCGGTGGACATGGTGCCATTGGAAGAATGTTTCCAGTCTTGTGGGAACTCGACAGACAGTCTTGCACTGCTTGGATAAGACGAACGAGACGAGGTAGATCCTGCCTGGGAAATGCGCTGACGCTGCGTCGTGGTGACAGGATGCAGGTAAAGTTGGACTTCTGTTGATGGGGTCGGCTCAGCCATACCCGCGCTTGTGGGAGGCGGCGTCGTTGGCAGCAGAGCTCGAGATGAGCGTTGTGGCGTTTCCTGCACATCTTGACCACGGACAAGATGAGAATGTGAAGAATGCACAGAATTCGACTCCGGTGCCCAAGGCGATGGCGTCCGTCCAGAAGCAGCTACTGCCTCTGCAGACAAGCCGCCCATAGGGACTTCTTTAAATAGGCTCGAAGGGCTGGGCGATGGAGTCGCACGTTGTCGTCGAACTTGGACACGTGGGTCGCTTGGTCCAAGCCAGCTTTCAAGACTTGTTTCTGCCATAAAATGAGGTCTGATCGATGGAATACGCATGAGCGATGTTGGCGTGTTCGAGCGCATGTACGGATTGATGACATCGCTGAGGGTCGTATGAGAATAAAGAGATTCCGAGCCAGAAGAATATGACGAAGAAGGAGTCCCATAGCGAGCGATGCGTGTCTTGTCTGTGCGCCACTTGGAAGGTGGAAGTTCTGCAATGTGGGAATGTCCATCTTCGCTCTCGGGTGCGTCAGCGACGATACTCTGTTCTTGCCACTCTTTAATCCGCTCATGTAGTTTATCATTTTCATGCTCTTGCTCAGACTTTAGCATGGCAGGAGGTGGCGGCATTATCGAATCCGTCTCGGGCATATTCCAGCCATCTTCAGGAGTTGCGACAGAGGATGAGTACGAGCTCGAGTCATATTGGAAGCGCTGTTCTTTCCGCTGGATACGACGAGCCATCGGGATTTGGTTCTCTGGCATACCCAGCGATTCACCCGATTCCAACGAAATGCACCGACTAGATCGCCCGGAACGAAAATGCGAGGGCAAGCGCGAGAGCATCGAGTGGCTGAGGCGCGAATAACGAAGGCTTGTATTCCGCATTGACGGTCTAGACAGACCGAGTTTATACTTCGATGACATGGTCCCTGTGCGACGAAGTGGACTGCCAGGACCCTCGGCAATGGTCGCCGGCTGCGTTGCATGCTCCGGGATGATACTTGGGAAACGCACATTGTCCGTTTCTGTCGAAGACAGTGCTAGGTTTGGAGCCGAGCAGTGTGAGGCTGCCGATGGACGCAAGTGTGTGGGGTGTATATGTTTGTACGGGTTCCCTGGCGCCAAAGAAGGCGGATGTTGTGACAGACTTACGGGAATATTGTGCAGGACTGGGTGTTCGGGCCGTACGTATGGCCGGAATCCTGTGGCCGATTTAGAAACCATGACGGGGTGCGATGCATGGATTCGCGCTCGTTCAAAAGATTCATGACGTTTTGCCATCCAGTGGCGTCGTAAAAAGTAGCCACATAGCAGGCCCAGGGCAGTGATGACCAGCATACCGCCGCAGAGCCCGACTACGAGAGCAATTGTTAGAGTTGTTGGTCCAGACCCCATGGATAAAAATGATAATGAATATGTAAAAGAGTGAAAGCGACGCACGCCAGCGTGCTAGGTTAGATGAGAAAAGGGAAGAGAAAGAAAGGCAGGAGGGAGGTTCGTGAGAGCGAGAGGGTAGGTGTGCGTTAGTGGGGAGGGGAGGGAGTGAGGAGAGGGAAATAGGAACACAGAATCGAGTCCAGACTCGTGTCAAAGATGGCAACGTGAGCGAAGAGGTGTGAAAAGGAGATCTGGGAATTGCGGGAACAAATGGCCTTGAATAAGCCTAAGCAAGGGAGTAGATTGTATGTCAATCAAATGCGTGTGTCTCAAGATACGTAGAAGTTGCAATGACATTTGACATTTCAAGTTTATGCGCGGGTGCCACATCGGGTGTTGCAATAGATCAAATCGGGTCTTCATCGGCAAGAGACCTGGCCATGTAAATTTTTCAAACCCTATCTAACGCTCAGTGTGCCCTGCGAAAAAAGGTAGTCCGGCCACTTATATTGCCTCGAAAGTGCCACATCAATGTGCGTGGGGATGTCTCATGCAAGTAAAAGAGGTAGTAATTACTGAAGAGGAGTTCTAAAACACACCAACATCACTAAGGAAATAATGGAATGCCGAGGAAGAGAGAGAGAAAGGGTATCTACCTGCAATTTGTCACAAACATTTCCTCAATCGACAGAACGAATAGACGAAATTGTGCCCAAAATACAAAGCAAGAAGGACACGCTTAAAATGACGCAGTCGACCAAAATGGAGAGACCAGATTGCTCCGAAGCAAAGACGGCCATGTTTGCAACGAAGGGACCTAGAATACATGTGGAGAACGCGAGGCACGCGCCAAGGAAGCTCATTACTCGTTCCAAACTCGGGAAAACAATGGCCGTCATGAGCACCAAGCCAGAAAGTACAAGACCAAGAATAAGGCGACATAGACGGGACCCTAGCATGGACGCGTAGCGTTTAATGAGCGAGGGATGTGTGACCACCTCTAGGCTATGCGCTGCAGCCTGCTGAATGTGCGAATTGGATTGAAAAAAATTGCTTCCTCTTTCGTTGCAGGCGGGATGACTCATATCGCTCTCTTGTTCAGACATAGATTGCGATACGCCTAAAAGGGACTCAAAGAGACCTTGCACCGGTCGAAGAGCGAGTCCAAACTTAGTGACGGGATTGATGACGAGAAGGCACACACATGCCGTTGTCAATGCGGCAGGCATGCCGGGTGTGCGCGCCAGATCAGTACTGACTTCATCAGACACTTGATCCCCGAACATGAGATATCCGGTGGATGCCACTGCCATGTACAAAAATGCCGTGGTAGCATATGCTACATTCAACATCCGATCAAATTTGCTTGGGTCCTGCATGTCACGATACAAAGACGGGATGATGGGATGCGCAGAATACCCGGACATAAGTAAGCCAAAGCCAAGGCCCATCCCGGACCATTTAGGCATCCAAGTAGTTGATGCAGGCTCCCACAAACTCCCAGGCGCCGAACGTTTCATGAGACCATCCAACAACAGCACGGCGAACAAGAAAAGAATGCTAGACAGTCCCAGAAGCGAGATAGGCGATAAGAACGAGAGCGGAAGAAACAAAGTTGGCATTGCCACGACAAAGCCAACGACCTTGAACAGTATCATCGTGGCAGGGCTCGGTTCTTGTCGGTAGCCATACACAAGGACAGCCAAGCTGTCACCAAACAGGATAATTAGTGCCACAGCCACCATAAACATCTCCATACAAAATAGAACGCTGATCCACACACGAACGCCCGGGCCTAAAGCATATGTGCCAATGTCCACATATGTTTGTAATTTCGGATCACGACGTAGGATACGCGCAAGTAACTTGCCACTCCAATTCGTTACACCACCGCACAGCATAAAAAGCATGAAGCCACCTAGCCACCCACACTGTGAAAACACCAGAGGCATCGAAAGAATACCCACGCCAATGAGAGCATTTACCGTATTGAACCATGTCTGACAAAAAGTGCTTTTTTGAGACTGATCCCGCTCTTGAACGCTTTTAGGTGTCATAAACGTCTGTTGGTATTCAGAGCCTCGCCCATGCATCTGCAGAAGCGGCGACCGCTCATCCACATGGTACGGATCACGCAAATGAGGCGCATTCGCACGAAGTGGGAGACGGTGCGTTGATGCCATTGAGTTCTTGGATGATACAAGGCGCGGAGAACGTTCATTTTTACGTCCTTGTATCGTGTACGAAGAGAACGGTCGGTACTCTGTGACCGTCGCATCAGGATCCATGTGATAAGCGCTCGGACTTCGACTACGGCTGCTCCCACTGCTTTTGCCGCGGGGGCCAAACTCCTCCGCAGCCTCATCACTAACGCCCTCATCGAAGTCACTCTCACGGTGTCCAGACGGATTCACAGACGAAGCGTGGTATTTTTCTGTCGATAACTTCCCTTTGATATGTCGAGAATAACGTGGTTGCTGTAACGGGGTCATGTCATCAGCATGGACCAGATGATAGTACCTCTGTGACTCAAGAGATGCTGGTCCACGATCACGCACCTGCAATGTTTGTGGCTCATCTTGTTCTGAAGACGAAACCTGTTCAGCGGATGCCTCAGTGTCAACACTAACGTAGCTTCGGCGGCCACCGTCGAAGCCTCCAATCGTCTCGCTGTCGGTATCTATAGGAGCATCATCACTCCAATGCTTCTCAACAAAGCTTGGAGAGCTCATAAGATTGTCGCCAAAGTATGCCTGAGATCTTGAGTACGACCAAACCAGGTCCCTGAGTGAGTTAGCGGGTGCGAGACGCGTATCACGTACAGGCTACTTCGCCAAGGCTGGTTCGACGAGGGCTCTCCTCCCCCAGCGCCGCTACCACCATTTCTGTCTCCTTGAAACTTCCGCGCCTGTACACTGGCTCCCTTCATTGGAATCGCATGGCGCGTTGGCATGACACCCGCTGCCCCCCGTAACTTGGAATTAGAGTTGGCCTACAGTGTCGGCTTGTCGTCAAATCGTGCGTTGCTCTCCTGCATGTCACAAAAATGCGTGTTGAAACGGACAGATCGTGTCACGTGATGTAAATGAATGGCATCACGATGCCACGCCGCCCGTCGCCAGCTTCGCTGGGGTCGAATTATTTGCGTCACCTGTCGCAGGACGATACCAGTGCTGTAAAGCATGTGTACGTACCGGTGGAATGGACGACAACTCACACACGAAACAGCGTTCGGAGGCACAGGAAGCTCATTTTCCTTCGGCTCATCCGCGCAGAGTGCGTAAATATGTTGCGCCGCTAACAACTTTCTAGGCACGGCGAATAAACCCACATTCTCCTTCGGAACGCAAAGTACGTGTTTGTGGATATCGCTAGTGATCGGTCTATCTTACAACAACCAGATACAGGGCAGCAAAACGCAGGATCTTCGGGCATCAGTTCATCAACTGCGCCGTCCTTCTCGTTTGGAAACTCGTCCTCATCGGCAGGCACAACAGCTGACCAGAAGCCACCCGCCTTTTCTTTTGGTGGCTCAACGACGCCAGCTGCCCAACCACCAGCTAATTTGTTCGGGTCCAAACCGTCTGCAACTTCTGCACCTTCTTCAGGGCTTTTCGGTCAAGCCCCAAAGCCCGCTGAATCATCCAGCTCTGCCCCTTCGCAGCCATCGACTGGTTTGTTTGGTTCAGCCAAACCTAAAGATGAGACCAAACCTGTTGCTTTCTCATTTGGTGGAAAACCGGCATCTTCAGGAGGCTTTAGCTTTGGAAACCCCGTAAACTCTAACGCGTCTTCTACCAACACAGCCGCTGAGAATACGACATCCTCAGGCGGAGGGTTTTCCTTCGGCGCAAAATCTACGGATAACACTGCACCAAAGCCAGGTGGTTTTTCATTCGGCTCAAAACCTGCAGATAACAATGTTCCCAAGCCGGGTGGGTTTTCGTTCGGCACACAGCCTGTCGACAATAATGCGCCTAAGCCGGGTGGGTTTTCATTCGGCTCAAAACCAACTGAAAACAACAGCCAGTCCTCTGATCCGTCGAAGCCCAGCGGTTTCTCATTCGGGAACAAGCCAGCTGATGGCAACAGCAACTCCAGCACCACGACCTCTACGACACAAAACTCATCGGAAGTACCTAAAGGCACTGGTTTTTCTTTTGCCACCAAGCCCGCAGACTCGACCAGCTCGTCCAAGTCGACGGGCTTCTCATTAGGAACCCAACCGGCGGCTGCCACAAACAACACACAATCGGAAGCCCCGAAGTCCACCGGCTTCTCGTTCGGAACCAAGCCTTCAGAATTAAAACCGGAGGATAAAAAGGATGATGCCAAGCCAGCAGGTTCTCTTTTTGGCGGCAACAGAACGACTGACAGCTCTTCTGCTACAAGCAAACCTGCTGAAAGTGGTGGCCTCTTTGGTAAGCCGCCAAGTAGTAATACATCATCCATTGGTGGCTTTTCGTTTGGTAAATCAGCGGAAGCGAACAAGCCCGATACATCCTCTACATCAGCGGCAGCAACAGCAACCAATGCTGCTGGTCCCAAGCCAGTATCTGCGGCACCTGTATCAGCCCCATCTCTTCTTCGGGGAAAAAGCATGGAAGATATTGTGAAAATGTGGCAAGATGAACTCGATGCCTCAATAAAAGAATTTAGTCAACAGGCCGGCGAAGTGGCCGCTTATGATCGGGTCCTATTGAAAGGAGGGGATGAAATTAGCAAACTCGTTACACAAATCACACAAGCGGAGGAGCGGCAGTCGGGTATTGACCAAACGTTGGACTATGTGGAGCAACAGCAAGCAGAACTTAATGCTCTGATGGACACGTATGAACAGCAACGGAAAGACTTGCTCCAAGCGAGTGGTGCACAAACACATGGGCGAATGGATATGGGCGTCGCAGATGTGGAACGAGAAAAGGCCTATCAACTCGCCGAAAGCCTTAATACCCAGCTTGACGATATGTCGCGAAATCTTGTTTTGATGATTGATGAGGTCAATCAAATGTCAGCGCCCACAAGTGCACGACAAGGCTCATCCAGAGATACTACTGATGCAAACCCGGAATCGCTTGGCCCCCTTCGTGTTGGCTCAACAGATATTTTGGCTGGTCATGAAGATCCCATCATGCAAATCTCAGCCATCCTCAATGCGCATTTCAGCAGTCTCAAGTGGATTGACGAACATACTTCGTCCCTGCGCGATCGTCTTGAAGCTCTGCGCCGTGGACAGACGGAAAAGGCACTTATCCATGATACATTGCGCTCCAGCGTTGGTCCAGACTCGCCACGGAGCTCTACACCAAGCCGTTCACTTCGCGAGAGTAGCACGGCGCCTCGATCTCGATTCCTGGGCGTATAGGCCGAGTTCCATAGGAGTAAGGATTTGGTCACGTGATTCTAAGGCGTCGTAAGCGCTTATCGCGTGGGCATAGGTAGCAAGCAAGACACAGTGAGTTGGACGGCCGCGGCAACGCGTACAAACGACTAGTGACTGGTACATCATCTTGTATCATGTATGCATACCCTGGTCAGACCTGGAGCTCGAGGCCCCAAGCCGATTGTGTCTCATCACAAACTAATGTGTTTGACATGCATGCACCTGAAAGAAGACCCGTAGATGCATTCGACGGTGCGCGGCAACACACTCAACAGCCCATTGTCACAGGCACATCAGTGTTAGGCCTCACGTACAAGGACGGCGTAATGCTTGCAACAGATACACTTGCATCGTATGGATCTCTTGCACGCTTTATGAATATTCAGCGTCTAGCTCAGTTCGGCGAGCGTGTCGTCATTGGTGCTAGTGGCGACATGAGTGACTGGCAAAATATCCGGCACTCGTTAACCAAGTTAATGGAGAAAGAAGAGATGGAAAGCGATGGGCACACTCTCACACCTGCACAGATGTATGCTTATCTTTCGCGCACTATGTATGAGCGGCGGTCGAAACTTGACCCGTACTGGAATGCACTTGTTCTGGGCGGGTTTGATACGAAAACCAATGCACCGTTCCTTGGCTATGTCGACCTGCTCGGCACGACGTATCAGAGTAGTACAATCGCTACAGGGTTCGGTCTACACTTGGCACAGCCAATGCTGCGCAAGGCGGTAGAAGGACGCGAAACACATCTGACGGAAAATGATGCTCGAGCCATTTTAGAGGAATGCATGCGTGTGCTATGTACGTTCAAAACAGATGACTTACATATTTAGTTTATCGCGATGCGCGCAGTTTAAACAGAGTGGGTACGATTTTCACTAACGACGCAGTTCCAAATCGCCAAAATTACAGCAGATGGTGCACATATTTCGGAACCGTATAGTGTACCAACACACTGGGGCTTCGCAGAGGGTCTGCGTGGTTACGGTCCTCAAACACAATAGATTTCTTCCATAAGCGGGTTCAATCGCGTTTACTTATGCGACTATATGAGAGAAGCTTCAACTCGATGCATGCATTAGAATGTTTTCCCTCACTTCTTGCTTGAGACGGCCTCCGTCTACAGTCATTGGGCTCAAGACACTATGCGGGCTGACTTGAACGGCTGTCAGGATGGTGCTGACTCATCGTCGACCTCCACCTAATGTAGACGCGTCGCGTGGTCCGGCCAATTGATCAGCCCAGCTCGTTCTACCAGACGGTAGGAATGCCCCCACACGCCTTCTCGACTCATATTATGATTCAGGTGCGCCCGCAATGTTTCTTTGCACTGCTTTTCCTCTTTTGCTACATCATAGAGCATGTTTATTCGCTTGTTCTGACGCCACAGCTTCTGTTGGAGGCGCCAAGGCCTAGCTCAAGTATAGTGACCAACGACGCTGGCAACCAAGCTGTAATCAGTGTTTCGTATCCCTCCACTTCAAGTGGCTTGAGCACACAGACTTTGTACCTTGTTCCTCTGGACCCCATTCGTGCATGGAATGAAGACCCACACATTCGAGTAATAACACATGGTGCGAAAGAAGCTATATTTTTGGATGATTATAGGCTCGCGCTGTTGATAAATACAACACTCTGTCAGCGCTTAATATATGATGACGACATCACGTCGGGGTGTGAGACGCCTATGCTTGTTTTCCCTGCACCCGTTGAAAATTTGAAGCAGGTCTCTACATCACAAACTACTGCTACACTCGTATTTTCTTCACGAGTGTATGAGGATGGTGACTTGAATACAGTTTCAAAGCACGACGCGAGTCCCGAAACAGCCCAGTGGAAGCGCACACAGGGTACGTAAACCATGCATGCAAGACTCACAAGCAACAGTGTATGATAATGCGATGGTCCGACATTGGGACCAGTGGATTGATCCTCGCAAAAGGACGCAGATCTTTGCTGTGGATATTCAGAAAAACGCACAATCAGGCAGCTGGTTTGTGACAAGCGCAATACGGAATTTGATGCAGCACACGAAACTTGAGTCGCCAGTTGGTCCCCTAGGAGATGCGACTGACTTCAGCGTTTCACGGAATTATGTTGTTTTCACAGCAAAAGACCCTGATGTGCCTCATTCTTGGCATACACGTCAGCAAATGTACCTGGTGCCCATCAACGGACGCGCGCCACCGCGTCGCATGAACATAAATGAAGGACGTGGATGGGCCGGTACGCCAGCGATATCACCCAACGAGGATGTCGTGGTATTCTTACAGCAGCACAAAGATGGGTTCGAAAGTGATCACAAGATCTTGCAAATGTACGACATTAACCAAGCTCGACAATCTGAAGTCCTGGCGGATTGGGACGTTTCCCCAACATCGCTCGTTTTTTCGCATGATGGACACACCCTATACGCTGTGGCGCCAGAGGACGAGCAGCGTAAGCTTTACGCTATTTCCGTACGTGGCAGAACATTGGAGCAACCAAGCGAGATGGTGTCCACGGGTTCTGTATCGTCGCCGATTCCGCTACGGAACGGAAATGTGCTTTATGTTTTATCGACTCTTCAAAGTCCCAATGATGTGTACATGCATATGTTAGGCAACAATGTGCGTCTCACAAACTTTTTGCATTGGTCCGAGTCGCACCGCCACATTGATCTGGGTCCCACGCCAGAGCGGTTTACATACAAAGGAGCAGATAATGTCACGATGCATGGATGGCTTATCAAGCCGCCATCGTTTGATGATGATGTTTGGAATGGACGTTCCTTCCCACTTGCCGTGTTAATCCATGGGGGGCCCGAAGGGGACTGGAGCAACGGATGGTCTACTCGTTGGAATCCTTTGGCATTCGCGGCAGCAGGATTCGTCGTGGCTACGCTCGACCCTTCTGGTTCAATTGGATTTGGTCAACGCCTCACGGATCGCATTCTTGAGCATTGGGGTGATCGTGCAAAAGACGATCTCCTCATGGGCGTGCGCCATGTGCTTGACATACAGCAGCTACACGTGGACCGCGATCGCATTGTCGCAGCAGGTGCAAGTTTTGGCGGGTACATGGTCAATTGGCTACAGGGCCATAATCATGATAAACTCTTTAAGGCGTTCGTGACGCATGATGGCATCTTCCATCTCACAGGCATGTATTACTCAACGGACGAACTATATTTCCCTGAATCGGAAATGGGAGGTACACCTTGGACTGCAACGGATCGTTATGAGGCTTTCAGTCCGCATCGCCTCGTACAACACTGGGAAACGCCTCATCTCATTGTGCACGGGGGCCGTGACTTTCGACTCAGTCCGGCGGAAGGCATCTCGGCCTTTCATGCTCTCCAGCGCCAAGGGATCCCTTCTCGTTTCCTCTTCTTCCCTGACGAGGGACACTGGGTGCTTGATCCGCGCAATTCACTCGACTGGCACATACATGTCCTGAATTGGCTCCGTCACTGGGTCAACCTACCACCTCTGGAGACAGAGAGAGCCGCAGGTAACCAACCAGGTGCCGCCCTCTTGCACTTCCAATTGTAGCACGTGATTTGTCAGTGGAAAGCCCTGGAGGTTAGTGTTGCGTAATCATCACAAGCTAGAATTTCAGGGCAGCAGCAATGGCAAAATAGCGACGCGCGTCCACAACGCGTCTACTTATCTGGCGAAAGATGCTGTATGTAGACAAATATCGACCGAAAGATTTGAGTGAGCTACATTACCATCCGCACTTGACGGAGCAAATTGAAAGCCTCGTACGTGTTCAACTTGGGTTGCTTAGGGCGCATACTGAAACCACAGGTCGCTTGCGAGGACGTTCCACATGTTCTTTTTTATGGACCGACCGGGGCGGGAAAGAAGACGCGGATCGCGTGTCTATTGAAAGCATTGTATGGACCTGGCGCACTCAAGGTATGTGTAGAAATCTATTTCTGTTTCAAAGAAACTGACATTTGCTAGCTTAAAGTGGACCAACGAGTTTTTCTAAACCCAAGCAAGCGCAAGATTGAAGTCAACTTGATCAGCAGTAACTACCATATGGAAATCACACCTAGTGATGCTGGTTCATATGACAGGCTCGTAATCCAGGACATATTAAAGGAAATTGCACAGACGCAGCAGGTGGACCAAAATGCTGCTCGTCGATTCAAAATGGTAGTCATCAATGAAGCAGACTCGCTTTCGCGCGACGCACAAGCGGCGCTACGTCGGACAATGGAAAAATACATGCGAAACATGCGCATGATTCTATGTGCAAACAGTACTTCTCGTATTATCGCTCCAATTCGTTCTCGTTGCTTGCTCTTGCGGGTTGGTGCACCAAGTGACGAGGACATGTCACGGGTCCTTCGTCATGTAGCGAAGCGTGAAAAGTTTCAGCTCCCTGATCGGATATCGAGTGAAATTGTACGCTATGCTGATGGAAATATGCGCAAGGCAATCCTGATTCTTGAGACGTTGCGAGTACAGTCGTATGTATTATTTTCTTATGTTGTGTTCAGAACTCATGCCATCGTATCAGACCTGACTTCTCTGGACCCGTTTCAATTGCCCAGCCTGACTGGCAAATGTATTGTGAACGCACTGCCGATATGATCGTGAGCGAGCAGACACCTGCCCGGCTCCTGGCAGTACGTGGTCGGCTGTATGAACTCCTTGTCCATGCAATACCGGCCGCCTTGATATTCAAGACTCTCACACACTACCTCGTTAAACGAGTTGATGAGACGCTTCGTGCAAGCTTGGTTGAAAAAGCAGCATTTTATGTACGTCGAAAGGAAGCTAACGATGTTTTTCAGGAACTGCGCAGTGCAACTGGAAACAAACCTATTTTTCACTTGGAAGCGTTCGTGGCCCAAGTCATGTTTCTTCAAAAGTCACTGTTGCTGGGGTTGGATATGCAAGACTAGGTAATTAGCAAGGTAGTTACGCTTCTTTCTCACGACATGAAGTTTTTCCCCCCTCAGATTAGTAGATCCTCGTATGCCATCCATCCTGACATTGTGAGTTGATAGAGATTTCTAGTTTCACTTGGCAGTATGCGTGCACGTGTGCCAAGAATCTGGGGTTACCACCCGATTTGCACATGCAAAATCTGACGCGCAACGTTATCTGACTGTACTTCGATGTTCCCCCGCACATTGATGCACAAAGCCAAACAGCACGTGATACAAAGACTGCACCGAAGACATGAGACGCAGCCGGGTATCTTTTTTTGGTGCACATTATGTGGTTCCATCACAGGGCGTGGCATCATGTATGCCGTCGAACGTTCCTTACGATGTCACGGCCTAGGCAAACATTTCGTAAAGATACCATCAATCCTTCTATCTTAGAAGTAGAATACGCCGTGCGTGGAGAAATCCCCACAAAAGCCGCGGAGTATGAGCGGCGCCTCGAGACAGGTGAAAAGCTCCCATTTGGATCTATCGTGTGGACGAACATCGGCAATCCACAACAACAGCCAATGCTAGGACAAGAACCTATCACTTTTTGGCGTCAAGTGGCTTCACTGACAGAGTATCCCCAGCTGTTAGACTTGCCAGCACATGTTCGTGATGCTACGTTCCCAACCGATACACAAGAGCGCGCGCGTCAATTGCTTGATGCCTTTGGAAGTGTTGGCGCCTATACGGCATCGAAAGGTGTGCCGCTGGTGCGTCAGCATGTTGCGGAATTCCTAGCAGCCCGTGATGGATTTGACGAAGACTTAGAAAACATCTATCTTACGGCTGGTGCGTCCGCGGGGATCTCGTTGCTATTCCAAGTGCTGTTTCGTGCGAAGAGAGATGGTATTCTGATACCTATCCCTCAATACCCGTTATACTCGGCGTCTGTATCGCTACTGGATTTAGTGCCAATGCACTACCATTTGAATGCAGAACAACATTGGGACCCGTCTATATCCAACATCAAGACACAGATCGACGAAGCACGTAAGAATGGCATTGAGCCGCGCGCTATTATTATGATCAATCCCGGAAATCCCACTGGTAACTGTATGACACGTGAGCAGATTGGCAATGTGATCAGGTTGGCTTACGAGGAGAGCTTGGCTATTTTTGCCGACGAAGTGTATCAAGAGAATATATACCAGAACCGGCGCCCGTTTGTCTCATTCCGCCAAGTACTTTTGGATCTTAAAAACAGCTCTGATGCCACAGAGCGTCATATTAGTGAGACCGTCGAGCTTGCATCGTTCCACAGTATCAGCAAGGGCATGGTGGGAGAATGCGGTCGACGTGGGGGATTTTTCGTTTTGAACAATTTTGACAGAGAAGTGGAAGGACAAATCAATAAGATTGCCAGTATTGCACTCTGTCCACCCGTGCAAGGCCAAATCGGAGTTGATTTGATGGTTCGTCCACCAAAGCCGGGTGATCCAAGTTACGAGCTTTGGAATTCGCAAATGCAGTCGATTTTCCAGACCCTCAATAAACGGTCAAAGCGAATTGCTGAAAGCTTAACCAAGCTCCCTGGTATTGAAGCAGACCCTGCTATGGGTGCTATGTACGTTTTTCCTCGTGTGCATCTTCCAAAGTCTGTGGCCGAAGAGGCGCAAAGAAATGGGAAAAAAGTAGATGAGTTCTACTGTCGTAAACTTCTGGATGAAACTGGTATTTGTGTGGTTCCTGGTTCTGGATTCGGCTATGAGCCAGAAGTGCTGGACGATGGATCGACATACTCATATTTCCGGACGACCGTTCTAGCGAAAGAGACTCAAGCTTTTATCGATCGTTTTACAGCATTCCACGTAGCCTGGATGAAAAAGCACAAAGATTGAGGACGACCAATCAGTGCAGATTTGAGAGGTTTGTTTTCACTTTCCATCCTGCCTGACCTGCCTCACACTGCATCGTCCCTCTTCAACAGATGCCGCGCCCTGCTTTTTAGCATTTGCAGATAAAGATTTTGCTCGATATGAATGTGTTTAGACATAGTGTCATTACATTGTCTTGCGCTGCGTGTTTTGATTGGTTGCATGGAATGCCCCCTACATATGCACGACAAATAGCTTGCAGGACACAGGGTTTGTGTAGCTGCACGAAGTGGAGAGACTAGGCGTAGACGCGTATGTCAAGTCGCACTCACGCAGGAGAGGAAAATGAACCCGTACGACGATATTCTTGTACGCCACATACTCTCACTCCTCTGCTCACAATTCTAGCCATGTCGCCATGTAATGCGAGTGCGACAAGTTCCTGGGGGAGAGAAATACCCACGCCACCCTCCTCAGGTGGCTCAGAAAGTGTGTTGCTTCAAGATAAGCAAGGCGCAGTGCGACTCCGTGCGGAGGAAAAAGAGCCGAAAGAAACATTACAGTCACTAATGGATCATTCTCAAGAGGACGCGCACCGTACAGATCTTCCACACCAAAAGAATGAACATCAACAAGTATTTTGTCGGCGTGATAGCCGCGTATTGACGCCTCCAAGCACGCGTGGAAGACGCATGTGTGATGTACTGTGTCGAGGTGGAGTTGCCGACAAGTACCATCGACAACGAATACGCCATATCAGGCACTTGAAGGACATGTCTGAGCCTCCTGCGTGGATGCTAGATGATTTGGAGTTGTATTCTCCCTCTTCGTCGCGAGACACGCTGAGAAACCAAGGTAATGTACCTACCTGCGCTCCACTACCTAGTGCTTCACGACCCATTCGCGATGCATCTCATAATCCATTCATTGAGGGCGGGCCCGCCGATGTTGGATTGTCAGGTCCGCATGGTCGCGGTCGTCTCAAGCATGCATCTGCGCGACCTCCTAAGGACCCAGACTCTACTATTTATGTCTTGTACGTAATAGAAATTGAGAAACTAACACTTCATTTTAGCCGCGGGCAGCGTGTCGTCTACACTGATACCGACAAGTCCAAGCATACGACTTCACCTTTGCATGATGACTGTGCGTCGCCGCCGCGTCCGCGCCTGCTTTTCCCCACGACGCATCGTCAGCATGCTCCCTATGTGATACCAGAGCGAAATGCCTCATCAGAGGATGACCTTTCTAATTCGATTGGAGGTTTGCCTTCAGGTGGTCTCTTTGCCGAAGAAATATGGGCCAGAGCTAAGGACTCATCAACTGAGCAACATGATCACACGCTTGGAGACTCTGACGCAAAATGGTTTGCCTCCAATACTCACTCACGATCAAGATTCGTACTACCCGCTAAGAACCGCGAGCTGCTCGCAAGACTGAATCATGTGAGCTGGGTGGACCATGAAGAGTGAACCAATGACTCGAACACGCCATTTTTCTTGTATAGAAATGTCCCTTTAGTGCCTGCCTAATGGCTGCCCTGTCCACCCTACCTGTGCCACTTACACACACACTCACTCTCTTTCTTTCTTTCTTTTCAAAGCCTATGTAACGTAATGGTTGTTTTCATTCGTTTGTCAATCCACTTAGAATTGTAATCGGTCTTCCGATCGGATCAACTCTAGTAACTTGAAGCGCATGCATTCTCCGCTCTTTCATCGTTTATAACCCCATCCTATCCTAAGATTCTTTTTGCGTCTGTCCATGTCTTTCCAGGCGACACGAGCAAAGCGAAGTGCTCGCACGGTATCATGGGTAACAGAAGCGGCACCGACAGATGACCAACCAGATATAATATATGCTGGACTTCATGGCTCCTCTTTGTGCGTCACACACAACGCCACTTCGGGACGTGGTTTGGTTGCAACGCGCCTGTGCGATAAAGGAGACACGTTGCTGGTCCATGACCCATTGATTCGCGTGTTGGGCACGTCGCATGCATCGCAGCGATGTCACACCTGTATAGCCGAAGCACCCACAAGAACCTGTCCGTCGTGTGGCTTCGCGCGCTATTGTGACTCTGCATGTGAGACAGCTGCTCGAATACAGCATCACGAAGAATGTCTCGCATTACAAAGATGGTTTCGAGAATGGAGTCCACACGAACCAGGTGCTGATGTTCGTGCGCTTGCGCGATTGCTATGGTTGCGCATGAGACATGCGTCTGACTGGTGGCGCCCTATAGCAGCGATGCAATCAAATCGGCAAAAGATGAGTGCCAGTGTACGTGATGAAGCAGCCACATTGGCATATCGCCTCGCTCGTTACATTGGCTCGGAACAAGACCTTCGTGCTCTTGGGCTTCCCAGTGCCGATGCTTTGATGGAGCTCGTATGTCAGCACGAAACAAACGCCTTCACGTTGGCGGATGCACATCTGAATCCTCTTGGCGTATGCATTGAACCAACATTCGCACTTATAAACCACTCTTGTGATCCAAATGCAGTTATTGTTTTTCCTGACCGCGTGCGTGGCATGCCAAGCAAGATGCATTTAGTGGCGATCCGAGCAATTAGTGCCGGTGAAGAGGTGCGAATATCGTACGTGGATGTGGCTTCGTGCCAAGCTGAACGGCAAGCAACATTGCTAGAGCGATACTGCTTTGCATGTGAATGCCGACTCTGCAAACGTATGGGCTGGCGCGACCCCCGCATGGCACTGTGGTGTCCCCAGCCGAAATGCACTGGTTGGGTAGTGTTTCAAAACGCAGCATCCTCTTGGACAGCCTGTACACAATGCGAACAAGTGCCGAACTACGTGGATACGCGTGCCCTAGATGCAGCACCTGCACTTGTGCGACATGTGCAACAAGCGATGTACGCGCAAGACGAAAGCGCGACCCTTCCATCGAGCTCCATCATTTGCGATACACTACGTCAGCTATGTACGCAGGCACTTCCATCGCATTATAGTGTGTGGCCATTGTTGTACGCAGCACATACACTGGCAATCGAGGCACACGCTTGGCATGACGCTGTGCAATGGACGATGCTCTTGTGCGTAGGAATGCAGGCGGGAGAAAGAACGTCGCAAAATGAGATTAGCACAGCTCTATACCCGGCTGGGCATCCACAGCGAGCCGTGTTGCTAGCTACGTTAGCTCGCCTTCTGTGTCAAGACGCGGTGTTGGGGCTTGATTCGCTTGTTCGTTCCGTCACACGCGCACTTGCATGGCCACCGATCCATCTCGATGCGCCTGACGCACGTGGCAGGTTGGCCCAGGCAGCGTTGGTCCAGGCTCTACAAGAGGCCATGGTGGCGTTTGGAAAAGAAACAGGCGGGGGTGCAATCGGTGCAGAGATCCGCGAGAGCCTTGGAGAATAAATAGAAAAAGATGGTCCATGTGCTATACCAATCGGCTTTGGGATGACGCGCCTCTCCCATCAGGCGGTGCTGCTGATGTGGTGGATCCATTTTTGCCGATATCTGCGAATCCCAGGTTGTCCATGGAATCTCGCTCCATGAGCTGGCTTAATAGGGTTAGACAATTTTGCATTTTCATCTCATGAATGCACGTACTGGTCCATGCGGCACTCAAGGTATGCCTTACTCAAATGGCGGCATGCTCCATTGTTGTTCTTGTTGACTTTCAGGCACATAAGATACTCTTGCATAGCGCCCTTGCATTCGCCTTGTGATATAAGCATGTCGCCTTCGTGTACGTACCATAGTGATCTAAAGGAAATGATCCTCGCTCAGGGGGAAGCACCTGAAACGATGAGAATGTCGGTGGCCGACCAAACGACATGACAACTAGGAAATCGGCTGAGACCGCGTCGCAAGTCCATTCCACTTTGTATCTGCACAAAACTCGAATTTCTGAAACTTGCTAATTTGGTGCGAACTTTTTCTGGGGAACCGAAATTGTGCCTATTTTGGGGGTGCTGGAATTCATGGGTCGCATCAGCAACAATCCGACGCGTAAATTCCCTGGCCACGAACGTGTGGTCGAAACACACGCGTCAGTTTCAACATGCCACGCAAAACGCGATCAGCGCCGCCTCTTGCGGGAGTCTTGGTACTTGATACTGGCGCTGCGAACATTCATATATCATGCAGTGAAGGGCATAAGGACGATGTATGCACTATGCCAAATGCAATTGCTCGCACACGACAAGGAGTCCGGCGGCAAATTCTGGTGGGCGACTGCATCGAGACAGAATGTCAGGATTATGGCGAACTGCAGCTGCGTTTACCGATGGACCGAGGCATGGTCGTTGACTGGGCAGCACAAAAATCAGTGTGGGACCGGGCACTCGCCAGGACACTGGGGTGCGGAAGCGACACGTTTGGCGCATTGCACGGACGATCGGTAATCATGACTGAGCCATATTTCGCCTTGCCTGAGCAACAAAAAGCATTTGATATGCTCATGTTCGAATGGTACGAAGCGGAATTGATATGGCGCACGATACGTACGTATGGAAAGCTCGCACCGACCTGGATAAGAGCAAGACAGGAAAGCCTTTCCACATGTGTACTAACAATGTTTATGTGTAGCTGCCCAGCTGGTGCCCTGGTCTTTAACACCACCAAGGCCTGAAGTTGTGCTAGTGGTGGATATTGGTCATAGCTACACACATGCTGTGCCTATTGTAAAAAATAAAGTGATCTGGGATGCAGTTCGCCGCCTTGATATTGGCGGCAAAGTACTTACGAGCCTACTCAAAGTCATGTTCTCATATCGCCAGTGGGACATGATGGATGAGACATACTTGACAGATAAAATGAAAATGGCGTCTTGCTTCGTGGCAGCATGTGCACGGGACAACGATCGGCGACGCAAGCCTATGCGCGGCACATCGCCCAGCAACTGGAGCTTCGAGCAATTGGTCGAATTATTCCATGACGGTGACGACGATCTCGATGCCGATGCACTCATCCAGCATTATGTTCTCCCGGACTATGCGACGCCAGAGGATGTCGCTGATCCTAATACCAAGTATGGCTACGTCCAAGCAGGGCCGCGTCTGCCAGTGACAACGACAACGACAACGACAACGCCAGTGCTGCCTGAAGACCAGCTCGATTCGTTTGTTGCTGACTTACATCCTCCGACCAAAGAGCAACGTGGCAATATTACTGTCCAGTCTGATCATCAAGTCTTATGTCTTGGGCAGGAACGATACCAACTATTTGAAACCTTTTTCGCACCTGACCGAATTGGTACGTGGGGCAGCTCTTGGAGCACTTACCGCTCGATGACGACAGGCTTAAACCAAGCGCCTTTACCAGAGCTCATTGCTTCGTCCATTCAACTTGTACAGGAAACAGATCTGCGCAACATGCTGTGGAGTCACATTGTGCTCGTCGGTGGCTCAGCTCGTGTGCCTGGCCTTCGTCGTCGCCTGTACGTGAAGGGAATTGCTAACATTCAACAGTCAACATGAACTACGGATGCTGGCTCCTGACGACGTCTCTGTGGGTGTCCATGTGTTTGAAGAGTGCGTCTTACACTTTGCATGTGCTTGCTCACCTTTAGTCCGATCGAGGCACCCGCGCGTGGAGCGCTCGCGCTTTGGAAGGAATCGACGACATCATCAGAAGCCCGCTCATTTCTTGCAGCCCACACCGTATCAAGGGATGCTTGGCTCCAAGCAGGCGGTAGCCAAGCTTCACCAGGCGAACGTGGTGGCACAGCACTATGTGATGCGCGCTTTGGCGGATGGAATGCTCCACGACCATCAGAAGTCGACGACGACTGAAACTCAAGTCCGCAACCGTCGCCACAGCAATACATAAACGCGCGGCCGTTGTAACCCTGTAGATTCATATAGCGTTCATGGGCACTCTAAGAAATCTGTGATTGGTTGAAAACTATAATCCCATTTAGCACACACCGCACTTGGCGATCTCAATGCGGCTGCGGGGCTTGCCACTCGAGGTGCCCTCGGCCTCGATAGCCTTGACGACGTTCATGCCATCAACAACCTCGCCGAAGACGACGTGCTTGCCGTCGAGCCAGCTCGTTACGACGGTTGTAATGAAGAACTGCGAACCGTTGGTGTTGGGGCCCGCGTTAGCCATCGATAGAAGACCAGGCTTCGAGTGCTTGAGCTGGAAGTTCTCATCGGCAAACTTTTGGCCGTAGATCGACTTGCCACCAGTGCCGTTCCCAGCCGTGAAGTCACCGCCCTGAAGCATGAAGTCGGGAATCACACGGTGGAAGTGCGAGCCAGCATAGCCAAAGCCCTTCTCGCCCGTGCAAAGAGCACGGAAGTTCGCGGCCGTCTTTGGCACAACATCATCGAAGAGCTTGAACTTGATTGTACCGAGAGGGGCTCCGTTCTTGGTAATGTCAAAGAAGACGTTCGACATATTGCGAGTAGAAGCTGAAAATTGGCGAACAGCAGAAGGAACAATGGCCATCCTGTATTAGGCGTGAGGAACACAAGGTCACACTTATGTACGTACACTGTTACTCAAGCGAGTTGTTTGTCGCTAAGAGTCGATGGGAGTGGGGTTTGTCGGTCCCTTTTATACGCCTTTTCCAGCGTATCCAATCATTGTCTGTGCGCTTGGATCGGTGTCATTCTACGGCCTTCGCCGAACGCCGTCCCTATTATTCACGTGGCCCACATCGGCCTAACGCCCTTGAGACGTCGGCCATCCATCCCATTAGCGTTCTCCAGCTGCTGCCAATCTTGGCCTATGCTGACATAAACCAACAGTGGCAGGGAGCTCTTGCTGCGAGCAAAAACAGTTCTCGATTCATTTCTCCCCGGCTCTTGAGAGCTAATCCAGTGTACATTTATCATAATTGGATCTTTCAGTCGCATGCCTCTCGGTCGTGCGACCAAGTTTGGTTCTCAAGCTGCTCAGGATAGTGCATCTCACCTGAGCAGCAGCCCTACGAGCGAACCAGTCTCTCATGTCAGCACGTCGCCACAGTCACATTTGCTCTCGCAAACCCAGTCTCAAGCCCAGAGCCCGAGTGCTATCTCCCCGTCGCACTCCCAGCCCCAATCACTGCCACCTTCTAGCTCAGCGCAGCCTGTGAATGTACCACGGTGGCCATCGGGTGTACCCACATCTCACGGCCCATCACGTGTTGAGCATACGAACTCACGCAAACACTTGAGTCGCGAACACAGCACAAACTTTTCTTCCTCGCTCCGGAGGCAGCGAAGCAACTCTCGAAGCGCTAGCAAGTCATCTTTCACAATCGACACTCTACGCCCTGATGAAATACGATCTGCTATCGCCGTACTTGGATCTTACTTCCCACGTGAGGAGACTCCTAGCTCCTCCCAACTGAGTGCGCGAGTTGATCGCGCGCCTCATCTTACGTTAGGTGTGTTCGTTTCATTGCCACCGCCTATGGTGGCTGGGCCTTTATCAGTGTCGGGTGACTTGAGGCGCCGTCTCATTGGCGTTCTGAGTGCCACGGCAGCACCAGCGCATATCATGCAGAGCATGTATGGTCACAGTCAGTCATCACTGGCTCGAGTCGTTTGCATTCAAGACTTCGGGGTTGAGCAAGGTTATCGGCACCAGCGCATTGGGTCGCGATTGCTCTCTGAATTTATCCGGCGCTTACAAGTGCCAGAGTATGGGAGTGCGCCGCATCAACAAGAATACGAAATTGTTTCTGTCGTTTGTCCGATGAAAAGGCGCTCGTTTTTCGAGGAGTTTGGCTTCCGCTTCCACTCTTTCAGCTATGAATCGCGAGCTATGGACCCGTGGATCGAAATGCGTCGCCATGTTTCTGGACATGTGCTCCCTAGTTTAGATACATCATTTGCACAAGAAGATTGGGCAGACCAGCACTCTTTGTTGTCAGCCATAAGTTCACCAGCAACACAGGGACTTTCATTCAACACAACACGGGCAGACATGGCCGCACTATCACTGTCTACGTCAAGTGAACGCGGCTTGAACACACGTCCGGCAAGTCCTCTTCCGTTTGGCGCCATGTCTTTCTCACCCGCGAACATGTCGCCGCTTGACACGACGTCTGCAACCTCTAACGAACAGAGCATATCATTTTTGCTGCACAAGGCACACATTGGTGACGGAGCAGCGCGCGACTTGGGCCTTGCTCCCCCCTTATCCGCCCGACCTCAGCCAAAGCGAAATCCCGGCAAAGCGTTTGAGGCCATTTTCGGTGAGGCAATGGCGAGCAAAACATTTTCGGAAACTTTTCAAACAGCTCTCAAGTCACGTATTGTGGATTTCAAGTACGGCCTGAATTTGTATCCTCTACTGTGCCCCAATGAAGCTTGTGATTGCACGCTCGTTGCGCGTAAATCAGCGGAATGGACTATGCGTGAGACCGGACCATTGACCGACACGGTGGCCTCTATAAAAGGCGAAGACACTTCCTCACATGTTGACAATCCCGAGGTTGCCCATGCGCCTTGGGCAATTGCTATGAGCCAAGCGTGCACAGAGTCTACCGCGACGATTGGACCAGTGCGAGGATTCTGGCATGTGCCCAACCCTATGGGATTTGACAATGTGACCTTCACACGCAACATGGAATGGACCGTTCCAAGCCCAACAACGCCGCTACCGACATCCATGGCGCGTACTTCATCCTCATCTAATCAACATTCACGACGACGCGATTCGCGAAACAGCATGTCTACGTTGCGGCAGACGCTTCGCATGCATGAAGCTCCTCAACGTGAAAGTTCTGACTCGGCCGTCCCAGATATGCCCGATGATTGTCATTGGGACGTTACACCTGGTGAGGTTCGAACCATCAAGTACATTATGTGTCCCGATTGTGGTTGTGGCCCGCTTGGTTTTTCGATTTTACCCAGAGGAACCACAGAAGAATCACAGCAATCGGTGATGCAAAACAATGACTGCTATTTAGCAGTATTTCGTGTTAGATACTACGTATAGAGAAAGTCGAATTCGTTTCCTTCCTTTAAGTGGTCATTGGAACTCAGTACAAGCTCGGCAGCTGGAAACATGTTACACAAGAATGCCATGGATGAACATCGTTGGATTAGTACATATTGAATAGATTTGCACTCTCTCATAACAAGATCGGGCGCATGGTCTAGTGGTATGATTCTTCTTTAGGGCATAGCTTCGGGCTACTCCTACATAGAAGAGGTCCCGGGTTCAATTCCCGGTGCGCCCCGGAGGATTCACTTTTTGCCATTACATGACTATATCACGTGACACATACATGTGAATGAAGAATCCGTGCATGGGAGCGTCTGACGAACTCGTGGCATGGCTTGCACGCTATAAAGTAACTCAACGGTGCATACATGTCTACATAATTATTCTTCTTTTCCATGGTCATCTTCACCTTCCTCGCGCGTGTCGCCGTAGACGCCGTTAATTGCACTTAGCCGGTTAGATCAAATATGTGCAACGCACCGGTATAGGATTCGCCACATAAGGGCATACCAGAACAAATTAAGAAGAAGGAGTAAGAAGAGCGGAGCAAATACCTGCGAACCAGTGAGTCAAAACATCGTCCACTTACATGGCACTGCATCCACCAAACGAGCCAATGACCCTGGGATGGATGGAATGTTCGCGCATAAGCAGGAATCTTGGTATAGTCAGCATAGACGGAGTAAAGAGTGAGAGCGCTCAGGAAAATTCGGAAATAGCTGATGCCGGTGAGCTAATCGGCATGTATACGTACGACCAGACCACCATAAAGACTGAGTAAACCGCTGCTGCAGCCATATTTTTGTTAAGATAATTCAGCATTTTTGAGAGCTAGGTCTTGTTAGTCAAGTAATGGCGCGTTTGGAAGTCTAGCAGGCATGTTAGCAAACGTACAGCAAGCCATGTGTCCGGAATATCCATGCAGACAAACACGGTAGTGCCGATCATGGACAAGTTGATGAAATACGACCATCCAATCAACCAGAGCGTCACTAAATGGTGTGCAACAAGCTCGTAATAATCTTTACGGGGACGCTCAAGACCCAAAAGCATTACGAATGCTTGTTGAAGCCAATAACTGGCCTGAAGCAAGTAATATAGCTTAAGCTCAGGGCGCATTTGCCAATGCGGGTATTGGTACCAAAGATGGTCAAGGTTGTACCACCAACTATCCTGGAATGCCATAACGTACAGACCAAAAATACTCATCACTCCCCAGTAAGTTAATGCATAGCCCTGTTCGGCGAAGCGCACACACTTGTTTTCAGTTTTTAGGTTCCAGCGCGCAGCCAGAGGCTTGAAGATGTGACCCGTAATGACCTGGCGGAGAAAGCTAAAAACAATAATGTAGAACCCCATGAAACAAACATCGAGCCAACCTTTACCGTAGCGCAATAACTTGGGCTCATTTGGAAAGAGCTTCGCATGTGTCGACCGGAAAAAGTCTCGCAAGGCAGTAGTAACAGGGTTGTCCAGAGAGTAGGAAGGTGTAGGGCCGTATATCGGGTTCTGTGCAAGACGCAAGACAACCTCGGACTCCGGGATTCGGTATGATAGCGTTAAGAAAGGTTGGAATGGGTTCACACTGAATGGCAGCGCATATTCAAACATCATGTAGCCAAGAACAAAGATCAACGCAATCTTGGCAGCTGATGCAGGATACACTAGCCACCTCATTGTCACAATGTCCTTGAGCAAGCTATTTGCATGTTTCACTCCGTTCCGTTTCTTTTCCAGATCTGCGCGCGTTTCTGCAGCCTGGTTCACAGCTGCGGCTGACATGTTGATGTGGGACCAACGTATCGTTGTAGTTTGAACTCAATTCTCGAGGCACTGTGTGTCGTGTATGCGTAAGCATGCATTAATTATTCGCGCAATGTTGGCGGGTGCTCGAAGGAAATTCTTTCGTTCGCTGCGTGTGGATATCCTTGTGTCATTTTGGATCGGGCGCCCTGATCTGTGAGTGCCGACGAGCCAAGATTGTTGTCTCGTTCGATTGTACATTCGCTACGAAAAAAAAATTATTCTGGCGACAACACGTTTAGGAGACAAGCGGGGAAGTGAACTGGCGGCAGGCATCTGGACGGATAGATTTCGACAAGTTCGGAGCAGGAGCTGCTGCTAGGTGATGGTGATGGAATCACCCCAAAAACCACCTGGACCGCCACCGCGTCCGCCGCCGTCACTCCGGCAGCGGACGCAGTCGCAAGAGGCCAGAATGCCTAAGCCGATCGACGAATCACAACTGTCGCGTACGTATATGAGTTTGCACTGACTAGATGCAGCGAAAGAGCGATATGTATTGAGTCAGCGACGTGAAGTGGACCGGGTGCTTTTAAGGGCCTTCCGCATGAATCCCTACGACGTGCTGGACCTTACACAGGATGCTGATGACAAGTCCATCCAAAAAGCCTATCGAAAAAAAAGTCTGCTGATTCATCCAGATAAGATGGCTGACGACCAGGCACGCGCCGAAGAAGCATTTGATCTCCTCAAAAAATCACTGGATCATCTACTCGACGCCGATCGACGCAAATTACTTGATGAGACTGTTGTGAGTGCGCGGTGCCTTGCATTACGGGAGCTAGGTCTCCCAATGACACTTACACCCGAAGAGATTGAGTTGGAGAAAGTGCCTGGTGGACGCTTGGATCAGCTTGCTCCTTCTTTTGATGACCGGATCAAGATCTTTGTGAAGGATATTGTGTTGGACGAAGAGCTGAAAAAACGAAAGTATGTATTGTTTTGTTCAGAAAGGATGTGGACGAGTGGCGCTTACACGATACGCTGCAGAGCAGTCCAGCAGAAGCAAGAAGCTGAGATTGATGCCGCTAAACAACGCGAAGAGGCGGAGACAGAGCGCAAGCGACGTGCTGAAATCGATACGGCTTGGGAGGAGTCGCGCGAAGACCGTGTCCAAGGCTGGCGCTCGTTTCAGCGGGGTACGAAACGAAAGAAAAAAGGGCCGACCGTGCTAGGGTAGCAAGCAGAGTCTGCCCAGTTCTCTGTGAGCACGGCGTATGCCATTTGAGGTGACGCAAGTGGGTTCCGGCTGGACCAAATAATATATGGCGTTCCTATCGCTGCTGGCTGTACATGTGCGCAAGACGAGCCAGAGCATCTCTGTAGCATGGTAAATATGTATCAAAAGCATCCGACTTGACCTTGTGTTTGTGCATGTGATCAAAGTGTCCCGCTTCACGTAGCATGCGCTTAAAGTGGTACACTTCCTGTTCTTCAACAAGACTCCAAGCATCACCAGCACGTCCAGCACGAGCTGTGCGGCCAACACGATGTACGTATTTAGCCATATCAACGGGACATCATAGGAAATTACATGTCGAACGTGAGGCAAATCGATACCGCGCGCGATTAGATCTGAGCACACAAGCAGGTCGATATGACCATGCTGAAAATCCCGCAGAAGCTGAATTCTTTCGCCCGTTCCCAGATCCGACGAATAGAATCGGACTTGGAGCGCCGGCGTGTTTGTGTGCCGCGACCATGCCTCTTCAAAAAAGGCCACGAGACGGACCAGCCGGTTGGCCGTCTCGACGCTCTTCGTGAAACACAGAGCGTGACGTAAGGGCTCCGTATCTGCGCTTGGGGTATGAAGCAAGTGTAAAAGATATAGTACTTTTTGGCTCGTCGGTGCCACGAGCATGTGCTGCTGCAAACCAGCAGGTAAGGCAAAGTGCTGCTCGTGTACGAGTCCCTGGCCGTCGGAGATGCCAGGATCCCGGACACGGATAAATTGTGGCTGCCGGAGACGCAGCGCACCGACCTTGGCTGGATCTCGTGTGAGTGTTGCAGAGAATAATAGTTTTTGCACACTGGCTTGAGGCACTTGCATGTCATCACGAGTCCATGTATGATTGTGCTCCTGACCCGCCTCCTCCCACAAAGACGGCGGTGCACACGTACCCGAGTGAGGACGTGGCTCTAGTGCGTCGAGCAATGTGGGTACCCACTGTTGAAATGATTGACCTAAAAGGCGGTCAGCTTCATCAATTACAAGGTAACGTAGATGCTCTAGAGTAAAGCCACGCGTGCCTCGAAGATGATCGACCAGACGACCAGGCGTTGCAATCAAGATATCAGTGGGACTCCGATTCACATCGCTGTCGGAACGCACCAGCTGATCTTGCTCGTGTCGGAAACTGTGGTTACCTGTGATCATCGCGTAGCGAAGTCCGCTACCTTTCCCGACGGCTTCTAGCACATCGCGGACCTGCACAGCCAAGTCGCGCGTCGGCACCAGAATCAGCGCGCGGAGTTGAGGGATCGTCCGCTTGTGTAGAACCTCGATAATCGGCACGACATATGCAAGTGTTTTGCCGCTGCCTGTTGGTGCTGAGATGCACAGGTCTCGAGGCGGTGCGTAGGGCAAGTACAAGTGATGGGCGTGGACATCGCGAAGGAGGGCAGGAATCACAGCCCCTTGGACGGCGAACCACTCACGAATGCCAAGCTGTTCAAGCTGCCTGTGAACAGGTGGACTAAGACGCACGCCGTGCGTATTTGGGGTATCTAGTGCCAGCGTGTTGGTCGTGGCGACATCAGTGGGTCGAAGGAGTGCCTCGGGAATTCCCTGGAGCGCGAGCAGATCACTGTTGGGATCCGTAGTCTGTTGAGGCCGTGGGAACCGATACAGGTAACTCGATGAAGAGTGTGCTGCTGTCGATGTTGATCCATCTTCGGGCTTGTCAGATGCATCCTTTTGTAATGGGTCGGCATGAATGTCATCTGGTAATGAACTTTCTCTCTTGCCCAAATCATGATGAACAATTGTGTCTGTGTCAATATCAGCAGTGGGAACACTGAGATCTTGCTCTGCGTCGGTGCTGTCCTCTCTTTCGTTCTCGCTTGCGTCACTAGCATCATTATCGCCCTCTTCGCTGCCATCTTCTCCCTGGTCACCTTGTCCTACTACTTCTGCGCTTGATTCTTCTTCTATTTTGTCGCGCTTTCGGCACTTATACAGCTTCCCGTCATTCGACACGGCAAGCCGCTTTTTCTTGCCTTCTCCGAAGGGTTTGGGACCCGCATGCCTGCGAGCTTTGCGCCTGCCCTTTTTAGCCTTTAAATATCGCTGTTTGGCCTTAGTTTTGGGCTTTCCTTCTGGCCCACCTTGTGGTGGCACACTCGCTTGTACTACCTGGCTCATGTACGCCCTCTTCTTTCGGTCAAACGTGCGGTCAGTACGTTCCTTGACTCAAAGATCCTAAAAGAGGACAAGTTTTGTGCTATTCCCCATCCTTGGCTTGGTGGAGGACATTGCTCTCAATGGGACCCCAGTCGCGCGCCGAGAGGGTAGAATGAATGCTACCGACGCAATCTCATCGCTGACTCAGCACTGCTGCCATGTTCTTCTGACAAGCACCATATCTATCCCATACACAAGTCGTTTCTTGGGCACCATGTCGTCGAGCGCATCACACGTAATGAGCAACCGAGAGTTTGAGGCGTTTATGAAGGAGAGAAAACTCCAGGCTTACAAGAAATGTGACCCAATTGTGCAAGGTACGCACGGCCTCGCGCTTGTACTAAGACATGGTTGAGAATTTGTGGAGTGCTCGCGGAACCGCTTGTTTTCCGTCGCTTGGGCTTGTCGGGATCAGAGCAGGAGGATGAATCAATGTATTCGAGCCTAGTACGTCTTTTGAACTAGAAGCCTTATCGTGCTAACGCATGTGCGCTTTCCCCCAGCGCAAGTGACGATGACATCGTTGAGGCCCAGAATGAGTATCTACAAAAGCATCGGGTGTAAAGCACGTCCATACTATGGTGCAGGTGACAGGCGCGACCTCACTCTATCATAGGTGCGCATAGTGGATCCAGCAGGAACGGCAGCTCAGTCGTATTCTATGTACATCCGTCTGCGCATTCCGAGTCCCACATCTGCAAGTGATCGGGAGCTAATGCGCATGCGCATAGGTTGAGCTCATAGAGTTCGACCCCGGTCTGCCCCTTCGTTCCCGCGCTTCAGACAAATCGGCGGTGGCAAAGCGTGCAGCAAACGCGTCCATGGCGGATTGATCACCATTCCTTTCTTGTCGGCCGGCACGCGAATGCAGCCACGTGATTCGCTAGCGACCAATTGTTGTTGAAGTGGCGTGAAAAGTGACGTGAGGCGCACCTACACCAACAAGAGCGCACGCAACACAAAGTACGTGTCGTGTCAATCCAGTGTCTGACACAACGGCTTTCCATTCATAAGAAGCAACTACGAGTGTACGATGGTCGACGCCTTAACTACGTACACGCGCGCGGAAGTTGCACAGCACAACAAAAAGGAGGACTGCTGGGTCATCTTCGATAAAAAAGTGTACAATATCACCGAATTTATCGAGGATCACCCGGGTGGCGAAGATGTGGTTCTTGAATATGCTGGCAAGGATGTGACGGCGATCATGAAAGACTCACTCTCTCATGTCCATTCACGCAGTGCTTACTTGATGCTGATCGACTTTCATATCGGCTCCCTTGCACAGTCTGAGATCGACGAGGAAGACCAGTCTCAAGACGGTTTGCCACCGCCCTTCCTGCCGGCTGATGCGCATATTGCCGACGATTTCCACCCGCAAGAGACAGACATGGCCAAAGACTTCAAGCACAACAAGTTTCTGGACCTGAAGAAGCCGCTCATTCCGCAGATGTGGACGTCATCGTTCACGAAGGAATTTTACCTCGAGCAAGTACACATTCCTCGTCATTGCAGAGAGCCAGCAAAGCTTATGCCTTACGACTTCCTCGAGGTGTTTACAAAAACGCCATGGTATGTGATTCCAATTCTCTGGCTGCCGATTGCAGCTGCTTTCTTCCATGTGTCTGCCACACAGTTCAAGTCTCAGTTCACTGCTAATGGCAGCACTGTACTCGCCTCTACGGAGGGATACTCTGCTGCATTTGGTTGCTTTGTATTTGGTGTAGTCTTCTGGACGTTCTTGGAGTACTTGTTCCATCGTTTCATTTTCCACATGGACCGCGTGCTCCCGCGACACCAGTTTTTTTACCTGCTGCACTTTCTGCTGCACGGCATCCACCACTTTTTGCCCATGGACCGCTACCGCCTTGTAATGCCACCAATTCTCTTTGCCATTCTCTCCTTTCCCATGTTATTGCTGGCCCATGCCGTCTTTCCTCCGGCTATTGCGAATGGTGTCATCTCTGGCTCGTACTCGATGTATGTCGTGTACGACACGATGCACTACGCGCTGCACCACTCGAAGCTGCCTGAATATGTGCGCGAACAGAAGAGGTACCACCTTGAGCATCATTACAAGAACTACGAGCTTGGCTTTGGTGTGACAAGCAAGATTTGGGACTATGTGTTTCACACTGTGCTATTGTAGATAGATAGTGAGCAATCAGGTTGGCCGTAAAATACGTGAAAGAGAAAGAATGGCCTTATGGCTTGCTTTCGTGCATTTGCAGCTGCTGTTGGATCCAAGCACGGCTCGTGTTAGACCGGAGTGCCCCTACATTATGTGATGTCCCGCGCACCGAGACACGCATCTCTTCTTGCTGGCCAGTCATTGTGGCGTGCGCCTGGCCTTGGATGCTGGATAAAGCACTTGCCAATGTGTCGACATGCTCAGATGCTACACGCAGCACCGCCTCTCCTACGGCTCCATCTGGTGCAACAGATGGATCTAGAGGGAGGCCTGCATACATCACGTCAACAGCCACAGCGCCGCCGATAGAACCGAATGCACTTTGCAGTGCGCGTCGCGTGCCTTCACTCACACTCAGTTCCGATGGCGGACGTAATGCCTTGTTTCTTGACGTGAATGTCAGTACAAGATAGTGAAAATTGAATCGAGTCTGAGAGGCATACAAGTTGCGCGCACGCTTTGTCTTTGGTGGGGAAAAGGCTGTTGGCTCTGCTTGGGCACCAGCTAATAACGCTGACAATGACGACGACGACGACGATGACAAAGCTGGCCCCGTTGGCTCGTCGATTGCTTCGGGCTCCGTCTCCAAAAGCAGACTCATAGCTCGATGTCCAGCTACCATGCGACGAAGCTGCGCAGGGGTCATTCGCATCATGTCAAAAGCAATGCCGATCGGTGGCACGTCTTGAGACGCCATTCTGTCATCTCTCTCTTGGTCCTGATGCTGGCAATCGTCGACTCCTTTGTTCTCACCATAGGCGCCACGAGTGCTGCCGCCTACGTCTAGACGTGCGAGTTTTGGATACCGCTGGGAAAAGTGAGTTAGCAGCAAGTGTTCCGCTTTCATGTCGCGGGCAACCCTGCATGCTTGTCCAATTGTGCTATGCCCCTTGGCTGCTGCGAGCTCAGCCTCATCGTCTTGCATCGTTGCCTCATGCACCAACAAGGTGGCTCCCTTGCCGGCCTGCACCAGTGAGTTGCAAGGCATGGTGTCACCACTGAATACGAACTTCCATCCACACTTGTGTGTAAGAATCAGTCCGTAGCAATGTCCAGCTCGATGCGATACGGCGGCCGTGCGGACACCAGTCAGGTTAGTCAGGCGCTTGAGCGTGGCGAGATGTCGTTCCGTCTGCGCTGCAGCGTTATCTTCCTTCGTATTGCTGAGCCGCCGAGCTGTAGTGGCAGTAGCAGTCGCTCGAGTTGACAGAGGATCAGGATCTATGCCGTGCTCCCAATCGAGCGCCTCGTTTTCCAACGCGAGCACACTGCCGTCTCGAACACCCAGTTGCTCAATCAAGTCGTACTCATACAGGTAGAAACGAGTGAAATTGTTCGTCACAAGGACAAGAGGCTCGCTTGGTGAAAGTCGGCGGCGCTCTAGCAGAAGACGAATCACACCCATGTGGTGGTCGCCATGAATATGGCTCACAAAGATCATTTTGAGTTCACGCAGGACCTTGTTGATGCCTATGCGACCGTCCCAACCAAGCTCCCCAGGCCCAAAGCGGCGTGCGAGTTGGAAATATGTACTCTCGCCCGCATCAAGGACCAGGTAGCCATCTCCTGGCATGTAGACCAGAGTGCTCAGCACATTTCGGTACTTGGACGGAGCAGAACTTCCCGTGCCGAGCGTCGTGAGCTCAACTTGGTCAGCCAACCCCGCCTCAGGTGTACGAGGTGGCACAGATGCACTCTGTCGCACTTGTGCAGCCATTGCGCAATATGCATCCCATGTGGCTTTGGACCCTGGCGATGCACTATTCTTGGAGTCATTGTCATCGTCGTCAAGTGTGGCGTGCTGGTGCATCTCATGTAGTGGCTTATCAAAAACAGGCGCAATGATAGGCAGCTGCGTCGGGGCACCTCGTGGCTGCAAGGGGATGTGAGTGTTAATCTGGGTGGGTAGGGTGCTCGGGTCCCTAACGCGCGGCTCAAGTCTGTACCCTGGCACAGAAAAAACGTCTGGATCCATGCGTGACAGGCGCAAAAGGGATATGGCATTTGATGTATAGGTCAAGGTATCTGCACACATGTCTCTGTTAACCACAGAATGATGACATGCGGGCCCGAAATCCCGCCGCCATGCCTGGTAGCGCTCATCTTGCCAAACTTCTAGCGGCACCGCATGTAAGATCATATGTGGTGTTCGTCGCTGCTCCTCTATAAGCGACTTGTTGGTTTCCCAAGTGTATGGTGCAAATGCCGCTCGAATCTTTGGATCGTCAAGAAGCGAGTCCAAGTGTTGGAGCGTCGGTACGTGCATGTAGAAAAACACAGGCCCAGCACGCGCACTCCCCACAACATCTTGACTTTGTATGTCGACGTATTCCACGTCCGTATGGGAAAAATCTTGTTGCGATGCCTCTTTTCCTGAGCGGCTGTGATTATTGTTATTGCTGCCGCTGCCGTTCCTGCGGCATGAACGGAGCCATTCTTGTCTTTGCTCTGCGTCCATCGTAGACCACGCGACAGGGCGTATAATGCGCACTTGTTCGCCGCGTGAGAGGCGTGCAAACTCAGGACCAGGTGGGATACCCAGCTCACTCGCACGCGCTGGATCAAATTTTCCCCGCTGCGTGTGGCCTGAACAAATGTATGCCATCACTGCTGCTTGGCGTCCAGCGTCCGCCCCCCCTTGAATACAGGGAACCAATGGCGGAGGAAGAGCATATGCGCAACGGGCCGGGCTGGTCGCGAGACGCGCAGGTATATTGCCATGAGCGTTGCCGCTGCTAACAGTATCAGGCAAAATTGTCGATGCTTCTTCTGCTTTCCACGCATCCTGAACAATGCACCTAAACCATTGCAAGGCATCCGCTCCGCGGAGGGACGATGGGCGCCAGTGTGGCTGATTCCATGGCTGCAAGACTGGATCAAAGGATGGAAGATCACTACTTTGTGCAGCATACAGTTCGCGATGCTGTGCGGGCAAAAGTGGTATGGCTTGTAGCTCAATGTGCTCATCTGCAAAGCATACATGCGGCTCAGTTACCGGAATTTCATGCGGCTTCACGCGCATCGACTCTCGCCGCGCATACAAACGTGTCGTGGCCAGCGCATAGAGCAGGTTCGGTGGCGCATACACATCAACCGAGGTCCGACCGCCATCAGCTAGTGTCATTAGCAGGCCGGGAATGCCACCCATGGTCTCAGACGCGACACGCGTCAAAAAGATGTGCTCAACACGTGAGTTTGATGCTCGGTATTGTGCCGAGATTCGTGTCGTGCCTTCGCCTGCATTGAACATATACTTTCGTGAGTCACATTGCAGTACCAGTGTGGGCGTCTCACTCGTGTCAGATGACGGAGGTGCGAGGACGCGTAGGCTCATAGGAGCCATGTTCGTTTTCTTCGACTGGTAAGCTGCACGCGCGCTACTTGTGCGCGAACGACGCACAGCTTGGATCCACGATGTGTGCCTCACGGCTGTCTGCTAAGATTAGATAGAGACAGAAGGTGCTGACGTGTGGTCGAGATCGTCTCGAATGCAACAGAGAGGGGTGAGGGAGTGGGGACGTCGGGACGTGATCCTTCCACCAGCGCACACTTGCCCACTAACCAACTCTCTTGCAACACCCTGCAGCACTACAGCGCGCACGGATGAGAGTCAATGCAACCGTGTTCTTCATTGCTCACGGCACACTCCTTGACACGATGACGGCACGTGATCTGCATGACGATGACCCGTACATCTAGACATGACTAGGATCGTTGGATCGATGGCGCAAGGGGTGTGTATGTACGCTCGGAGAGATGAAACCATCGCTAACACGACACTCAAGATTGAAGCCAGCCTATGGGACTGTCCTTACTCTCAAACTCACGACGTGGCGTTTGTATCTTGACTCTTTTTTGATTTGGATCCAAACATGTCCGGCGGTAAGGGTCGCTGCTCCTCGCCCAAGTACAAGCGTTTGTATAACATATCTTTTTCCACTGTCAGTAGTTTGTTCGGCTCAGCATGTGCGTACAAGAGGAAACCACCATGATGGGGATTGTGAAAGTAAGTACCTGTTTGGCCACTGTTAGCTACTGCAACAAACCACAGGAGAAACGCACCCGTAATCTTTGTTGGAAGGCTGTGTTATTGTTGTTCATACCAATGGTGTATTGATAGGCAAAGTAGCTCATATGCAATCTTACTGGTCACTCTTTTGAAAATGAATAGTTCCTATGTCACGCCCTCTGTGCCATTCGAAAACTTCTTACTGCGAGATACTAAGCTACTGTTCCTACGAGCAAATCGCGTACATGCCTAGCCTATGAAATAGTTTCCTACATATCTTTAACCACAGGTGCGGATGGTTTCCTGTACGAACAACCAAGCACGAACGTCTTCCACCAAGTAATGCGATGGTGGTCCTTCGGCAGCCCGGTTGCTAATCTCTGCCAACCAGCGCACACACAATTCTAGTCGCTGCCGACATACACGTGAGCCTCGCGGCCATGCGCGCGTGAACACGACGGCGGCTTAAGTAAAATTGGGCCTGACAAGTGAACGCACACGCGCACTCTTCACGCGTGGCATCCTGGAAGGTAGAGTGCTTATTGATGGAATTATAGGCTCGTGGGACGTTCGTTTTTATTTTCAGTTCAGTTCTTGTCGGTTCGAAATCGAATAAAAAACATCCCCGATCGATACACTTATCCGCTTATTACCTAATCTATGCATGAGGTCGATTTGTGTTCAACCGGAAAGGCTAATTTCTGCATCGAGCATGGGCCATGCATTTTCGATTGGCTCGTTTTTGGCTCTACACAACAGATGTGCATTCTAATTCGGGTCTATTGAAGTTCTGCATTCGTTCAGCTGGGCAAAGTAAACACAGTCAGGTCACATAGCAACGCCACCCCGTATTCCGTATACACGTGCCCCTCCGTTAGCTACCACCACACTCGTGATGACGGACACTCACTCGACCCTTACCCGGGCTACGACCGCGAGTCGTAAGTCCACTATTGCTAGCCGCAATGCTTCGTTGATCAAGAAGAACACTGGTCCTCTGGAGCTGCGTCCTTCGGATATCCTGATCGAGCGTTTCACTGGTACGTTTTTGCAACCTTTCAATTCCGGGATTTCTTTCTTCTCCTCATTCTTCCGTACAGATGTCCTAACTATATGCAGGTTGGAAGAACATTGTCAAGATGCTCATCTCGTATTTCGAGGGCATTGCCGACATTGAATACAATACCGCCAAGGAGATGAACAAGCTCGGTGGCGTTATCCAGGTGCCTTTCCGTGAGGGCAACCAGTTCTTGGGCGAGGATGGTCTTCAGGACATCTTCTACAGCATCCGTGAAAAGACTCGCACGATCGCTGATCACCACTCCAACCTGGCCAAGACTGTTGAGGGCTCTATTGTGCAGCATCTCGAGAAGCTGCGTGCTGAAATCAAGGCTCATGTGCGAAACGTGCAACAGGACACGGGCAAGTTGGCCAACACCGTTGCTCGCGAGCGTGAGATCTCGACGAAGATGATCTCTGACCTTGCCCGTTCAATTACTCTCCTCAAGAACACGCCAATGAGCGTGAGCCCCCGTGAGGACCCATTCACGGCGAACCAGGCTGTCTCGATGCAGCTGCAGCGTCAGGTGAACGAGGAGAATGCTTTGCAGAAGAGCATCATCATCATGCAGCAGAACTCGGCGCACTTCGAAGAAGCTATTGTGCGCAGCATCCAGAGCGCCTGGCAGACGTTCGACGAATGGAGTGGCCGCATGTCGGCGCAGGTTCAGGACACTTGGCTTGGTCTTGGTGTGCACATGCGTAGCCTCGAGCCAAACGCGGAATGGATTGCGTTCGCGTCTCGCTCAGACCACCTCCTTGACCCCGACACGCCGCTTCGCAACCCCGAGACGATCGATTACCCAGGCAAGGAAGACCCATCTGTCATTCCCGTGCACCAGGGTATGCTCGAGCGCAAGAAGCGTTTCACCAACGCCTACAAGGAATCGTTCTACGTGCTCACACCGGCTGGTTACTTGCACGAGCATGCGTCGTCCGACCCAGTGCGCCACCCCGTGCCCGAACTCTCACTGTTCTTGCCTGAGTGTACGCTGGGTGCGCCATCGACTGCCGCTGCCTCGACACACAAGTTCCACATTGAAGGTCGCACTGGTCAGCAGAGCAACATGTTCGGCACGAACGTGGCCTACACGTTCCGTGCTCGCAGCCATGACGAGATGATGGAATGGTGGAACGACATCAAGCAGCTCTCTAAGGTTTACCTCACCACGAGTGAGCAGATGGATCGCTCTGGTCCTGTGCCTGCCGCCGTGCGTGCCGCTGGCTACCGTGACGAGGAGGAAGAAGAGGAAGAAGAGGAGGAGGAAGAAGAGGAGGAAGAGGATGACGAAGAGTACGACGAGGGCGAGTACATCCAGACTGTCCCAGCCGCTAGTGTGCCCCATCACCACTACGGCGCCGCGCCTCCGATCCCCTCCACAGTCACATCCGCCGCTCCTGTCACCGTGCTTGATGATATGAGGCGCCGTGAACAGATTCCTTCGTACTCTGCTCCAACGCGTGACTCGGGCATCGAGATTGGCTCGAACGGCTACGCCATCGAAAAGAAGGCGCAGCCATCTGAGCCTTTGGCTAGGGAGGGTGCCGAGGAAGTGGCTCATATTTCCTCGTAAATGCTACTCAATAAACGCATTCTGCCTGAACCCCTCTGCCTCTGGTTTTTTTAATCGTTTCGAGATACATATCCCTATGCTTTCCTAGGGTCGAACTTGATTCGTTGCTCTGTATTAGATCGCTTGACCCAGGTTAGATTTGTAGTTCTGAGGATCACATCTCTTTCTCTCTAATAGGTCAGTTCGCGATGTTTCTGAGCGGTGTTGGAGACCCATCGATGCTGCGTGCATTTTCTTTTAGATGATACGTCCGAGGAGTGAGCAGCGCACCTGATAGACTTTCATGTCCTCCACACGTGTCTTTGATTCACGACTCCTAGACCATAACCATACAAACACCCAAATTCTGGTTAACCGTGTTTGCATTGCATTCCAATGTCGCTTGACGTAGGGCCTTCGTCCTCACAGTCGCAACATCTATCACCTAATCTAAGTCATCAGGTGCCGCACAAGCGGCGATGTGTCACCTACTGGAAGCCTAGCAAATACCTCGATGAGCCTAGGCCACCCGCGCCGGATGCGCGCGAGAGGGAAGAGGAAGCTGCCACAGCGACGGCCATTGCTGCTGGCTACGAAGGGAGACGTGCTCGGCGTTACATGCATAGACGGACTGTTGATTATTGGGGTACTATTTCCGTGTGGAAGCGGCACCGTGGGCAACAATGTACTCCACGACATGATGCAGTGTTGCGTCCCAGTCCCCACCAAGTGATTCACCTACTCCCACCAGCAGCATACGCCGAGTCTGCATCATCTGTCGCAAATGTTCCTGTACATACATCGACTAACAAAGTGCGGTGCTCTGTGAATATTGTGCGTTGGTTACCTGAGGCTCGGCGGCTTCTTACGGGTTCGACTAGTGGCGAGTTCACACTATGGAATGGCCTAACTTTCAACTTTGAAACTATTCTTCAAGCTCATGATTCTGCCGTGCGAGCGATGGAGTGGTCCCATTCTGGCTCATGGCTTGTGTCGGCGGATCAGAATGGCCAAATTAAGTACTTTCAAAGCAATATGAATAATTTGCAGGCATTTCCTGGCCATCGCGATGCCATCCGTGGATTGAGCTTTGCGCCTGATGATCAACGTTTCGTGACAGCCTCTGATGATAGCACACTGAAAATCTGGGGGTTCGACGAGGCCCAAGAAGAATCGACATTGAAGGGACACGGCTGGGAAGTCAAGTGCATTCAATGGCATCCAACACAGGCACTTCTCGTCTCCGGCAGCAAAGATAACTTGGTCAAGTTTTGGGATCCACGTTCAGGTACCGATCTGGGAACATTTCATGGCCACAAAAACACCGTGCAATCCGTGCGCTGGAATCCGGATGGTCATGTTGTTGCGTCCGCGTCGCGTGATCAGTCGATAAAGCTTTACGATATCCGAGCTATGGCAGAACTTGACACATTCAAAGGGCATTCGAAAGAAGTTTGCAGTCTAGAGTGGCATCCCTTTCATCACGACTTGCTTGTCTCCGGCGGCTCTGACGGATCTATTCTGTACTGGTCTTTGCGCTCGTCGATACCCTCTTCGCCTATTCATACGATTGAAGCGGCCCATGAATCCAATGTATGGAGTCTCCAGTGGCATCCGCTGGGTCATCTTCTAGCCAGTGGCAGCAACGACCATACCACACGCTTTTGGAGTCGAAGTCGACCTGGGGAGCATGTAGAGAGTCAAGACGAAGGGGACACCGCAGCCTCTGATGATCGGTGGGGTACATATGTGACATCTTCATCCTCATCTGTACCATCTGAACAAGGTATGTATAGATTACCTCTGCTTGTTCACGTACACACTTACACTATCACAGACGATGTTATTCCGGGTCTATCTACACGAAAGCCACTTGCTCCGAATCACATTTCCAAAGAGTCAGTACATTTAATGACAAACAACGACGACATGATTCCAGGCCTCGGCAACTCAAGTGCCTGGGCCCGTCAGACACATCGCCGAGCTGAACGCCGACGGGCGAATCCTGGCGGTTGGTACTAGCACGTGACGTGCCACGTACACACTTCCGTGCGAAGATCGGCCGGCGCTGGCGCGGCCGCGGTTCTGGTACTGGCCTGGGCGTACGCCCAAGCCATTGAAACGGGAATTGATTTTCTTTACGCGACCATCGCGACCAGCGGTATGTATTGTCCCTATCTGCCCCTTTTTTCGAAGTGTGAATCTTCGTCCTTATGTGATGAACGGTACGCTTTGCTGGCACCAGTCGTATCTCTGATGCCGAGATCTACCCCGAGCGGGCATTTTACGCTATTGGCCTTTGCTCCTGAAACCGCTTCCCATCCTTCCCCCACCTGATTGTTCCCTGCTAGCATGAAGCTAACGTGCATAGATGTCGCAAAGTTCTTCTGCAGATCGCACCTTAGGCACAGACAATGTCGATAGTACAAACGATGAAATTGTGCCCTCGACTAGGGTTGATACGGTGCTGAAAGACCGGCAAAATGCCCAGGCGCTTAAAAGGTTGGAGCGTAAGGAAATGCTCACTCATTTACTGGCGATGTTTGCGCCTTATATACGGTATGCATGCATCCTTGAGTAACGTGATCTTACAAATGACAGAGCTCTGCTGATTTTTGGCGCCCTAGTATGGTTATTCTTGCTGCCGGCTCAGCGCAAACCCTTCTCGCGCCCTGTGTATGTGGATGAGAATGCACTGCAGCCCTCTCAAATGACGCTTTCATGGTCTATGGACCAGGTGCTAGTTGCAAATCGAATATCTGCGGAGTTGCACGAATTAGCTAAGCGGGGCGACAAAGAGGCATGCATCTCTTATCTGGTAAACGAGCTTCGCTCCTATGGTCTGAATGCACATACACAAGCCTATGCATACTACGTGCCCGGCTCAGATGAGCCCTTGCGCGGCGTCAATATTTATGCTCGCTCGCATACGCCGCAAATAGATGGGCGGGAAGCTTTATTATTAGCTGCGAGCTGGAGAAGTCACTGGCAAGGGAATGCAACGTCCGATGAAATGGAGCTGCCATTTGTCCCAGATGATGGTCAGCGACGTGCCATTAACGTGCGAGGCATATCTCTTTTGTTGGCACTTGCCAAACATACATCGAGCATTCCATTCTGGAGCAAGGACCTAATGTTTGTTATTAGTGATGGCTTCTTGGATGGTATGCAGGCGTGGGCAACGCAGTACTTTGGACTTGAGCAACCAAACCTTGATGCCGAGCCTATCCTTTGCACGGGTGCACAGATTTGGAATGCGCTTGCTTTAGACTATCCCGCTGACTCATTTTCGTCGTTTGCATTTCTTTTTGAGGGTCGTGATGGCCTTCTCCCGAATCTCGATACCGTAAACACGATCTCAAACATCGCTCGTTCTGATCTATTGTCGCCAGCCGTGGAGCTGCATGGTCTATCGACAAAGGGCCCACTGCGTTTCTTGCGTGCCAATGCACTGCCGTCTTGGGTGCCTGTGGCGTGGATCGAGCGCAAATGGCTTGGTTACAATGGAGTTGACAGGTTTTTGGTTGGCTGGAGAAACATTCTTGCACAGTTACGTTTACAACTAGCGGGTCATCCTAGTGGAATACATGGTGTGCTGCTACCATTCCATGTCGATGGTGTAACTATCTTTGGTGAACCCGCCTCCGGTCCTTATGGATTTATCGAGCTAGGCCGCATATCAGAATCAACGATGCGCTCTTTTTCCAACCTACTGGAGCGGCTACATCACTCGCAGTTCTTCTATTTGTTGGCCTCGCCTTGGCGGTTCGTCCAGATCGGCGTTTTCTTGTTCGTCCCGCTCTTTCTTGCAGCTGCTCTCACGCTCAAGGGTATTGCTGTATGGAGCCAACTCGGTTCCTTGCGACAAAAACAACGCAATGCTCTGCGTCGCCAATATACCAAAAGTGTCCCACTATTGGCTGAGCCAACGTATGATGAATTCGCTCAGCTATGCAACGATGAGGAGCAGCGTGCTCGTTTTCGTTCTTATGACCGGCCTGTCATAATGGTTCTCTTGCTCATGGGCGTTTGCCATGGCATAGGCGGTGTCATTTTGGCGCTTTTGTCTCGCACCCCCATCGACTGTGCCGCAGCACTTGGTCTTGGCTCATGCAGGCCGCTGCTATGGATATTGTTGTGTTCATTGCTTTCACCAGTCATCATGGCATGCTACGCACGTTTTTGGAAAGGTGCTACACTCCTGTCCTTGGCCATGTGCTTACATGCATTCACGCTCTTGAATGCAGGTATGGTGATTAGTGTGCTTGCGACACTTAATTTTGCGCAGGCTACTACTATGGCCCTGCTTTTATGTGCAACGCTTTATCCTGTGTGTGTGCTGCATGATCGTTCCTTTTTTCGATCTGCCTGGTACCTTCTTCAGGGGATTAGTCTCGTGCTAGTATCGCCGCCAATTCTCACTATAGCAGCGACATTTCTTCCTCGTGCATGGCTTTCAGGTCTTGATGTCGAGCATATTCTGCGCGCTGCCTTGTGGGACTTCCATGTCCTGCGCACGTCGATGCTGCATATTTTATGTCTCGGATATGCACCTATGATTCTTCAAGGCGCTACGGCTTGCCTTTTGTATAGTCTCAGTTAACGATATTGGCACTCCCATCCAAGATCGTTCGATTTCTTGCTGGTTGGTGGCTTATAGCAAGACAGAGCCATGGGTTTGGTCTGGTACGGCTTTTGTTTTTCTTCCTCCACAAAGGGGATGCGCATGCAAACAATTCAGCGTTTCCAGCGCTCAGTTACCGTGCCACAATGATGATAAGAGCCGGCTTGGTGCGGCCAGTTGCATTGGCGGCGCAACGGACGCACATGCATGTAATGCGCCAGCCTATTTTCCGCATGCTTCACACAGCCTCTTCAGTTGATCCCAACGACATCGCGCATTTTTCGCGCCTTGCTGACCAGTGGTGGGACGAGAGTGGTGAGTTTGCGCCTCTGCATCGCATGAATCGCGTGCGAATCGAATTCATGCAGCAGAAACTAGAGGAAGTGAGAGGCTGGGATGCTGCTGTCGCAGAGGCCATGGGATACGATACCATCCCGACTCCCCTAAACACGCCAGATTTCCTTTCCGGTTCTCGTATGCTCGATGTAGGATGTGGTGGTGGACTACTCGTTGAGTCAGCCGCGCGACTCGGAGCTTGCGTTACAGGAGTGGACGCGTCGTCGGAAAACATCCGAATTGCTTCATTGCACGCATCGAAGGACCCGGGACTGCGCATGCGCACATCAGAAGAAGACGCGCAAGACGCGTCACTTGCTTACCTAGCGACATCTGCGGAGACTCTACGTAATGCAGGGCGTACTTTTGACATAGTTACTGCCATGGAAGTTGTTGAGCATGTAAACCAGCCCGCGGAATTTCTTCGATGCCTTGGTTCGCTCGTCAAACCTGGTGGTCACCTATTCATGTCAACCATGTCACGCACTATGTTCTCGTACTTTCTCACCATTTTCCTAGCAGAGAATGTGCTGCAGGTCGTTACGCCAGGAACACATCGCCATTCACAATATATCCATCCGTTTGAAATGGTTGACTTTTTCCGAGAACTCGGCTGGATCCCCTCGGATGCGTCGCTGCTTGCGAACCGACCGCGACTGAAAGATGGCTCGCCCATTGCACCTGTGCCGCCGCGTCTTTTGTTCGAAACGCGTGGCACCATGTACGTGCCTGGCCTTGGGCGCTGGATTCTCGCTCCACCATCTGTTGCCGATGCTTCGGCTCGTGGCGAGGCGTCCCGTGCTCTGTCTTCGGCATGTCTTCCGTCTTTCCTAGGTGGCGGCATGCGTCCGACAGAATTGTGCAACTACTTCTTCTGGATTCGTCGACCTACTCACACACCCAGCTTGTCCAGCAGCTAGGATATACAGTTCCGAAACCAACGCGTGTCTTGCGTGCCGCATTCGTCACGCACAATCGCACCTGAAGAGTGTTCAACACCTTCAAGCAACTGTCGAACAAGTGGCACTGGCATCTTCTCGAGCGCAGCCACGTCCGGCGTGGTCAGCCCCGGCTGAAGTCCTGGCAGCAGCTGGCCACCGCCTTGCTTGGCGGCGGCCTCGTCTAGGTAAGCTAGTACACGCGACTCTACCGCTGCATCGTCAAAGTACGGCGTATGTAGCACTGTTACACCCGATCGCAACTCGCGTAACTTGACGCATGGTGATGTGACATCTGGCAGGTAGACGGCTGCAGAGCGCAGGAGCTTGGGCGACACCAAGGCAACGCCTCGTGCTCGATTCCATAGACCCCATACTTCGTCGAGTGGCATAAGTCCTCGCCCCGCCACAGGGCCAGAGGCCATTTTGATGTCAGCCTGCTGTCTCAAGTCTGGGTGAGCAGAGGCATCTCGGACAACGCGTCCCGGGCCCAAAAGGCCATGCTCTCCCAGCAGCACTCCTGCTAGCTCGCAGGCTAGCTCACGATGGTACGCCTTTTCATTCTTAACCATATCAGGAGTAACGGCTGGATTGGGTAGACCCAGTTGTACCAGCGCCGATTGCAAAAGAGTCCCAGCCTCTTCTGCCTGTCCTTCACCATTCGGCGTTGCTGCAGCAGAAACACCCCTTTCGTGCCGCTCCAGCTCTGTGCGCAGCGAATTGGCAAAATCAACCATTCTACGTGCTTGACGCATCAGTGAATCGAGATCTTCAAAAGCCGTGGTTGGCATTGCATCACTCGTGGCATTGGGGCTTGTTTCCGCCATGCCCAAAAGTCCGGCACCTGTACCACTTCGCGTTGTTACCATAGTCCAAGGCTTTTCTTTGAGTGTGTCACGTAGTATCGAGTACACGAGGCGGTCACCACCCTGTCGAAAAGAAAGCTTGCATATACTCTGCATCAATGAAGCCGGCAAATCCAGCCATGTGCCACACATGTCGCAGTTGCGCCTCTCGGCGTCATTTAAATACGTACAAGTCGGACATGCGCGTTGAGCGAGAGTGTTAGAGAGCTGTGCTATCACACCGCATAGTTGGCAGCGACCATCCAGCGTCATACTATTGTGAATGGTTCCACATACATGACACGTCCATGCCACATGTCACCTGTCGCGCACAGACCAGTGTAATTTTTGGAATGCTCCTCAAAAACCCTGCATAGTGCTCCGACTGTCGAATGCATGGCAGGCGAATAAATGCAGAGCATTTGCGCGGGCTATGCTCATCAATGTAAGCTAGCCTGTGTGTTGTGATGACAAGCGTGCCTGCCGCTCGATCTGGCACTTTCATTTCGCCATCATACATGCCGACACCACCTTGCGTCATTAGGATTATTTCACCATGCACTAGATCCGACTCCTTTGGCACTCCATCGATGGTCCATGGCTCCCATGCTTCCATTGGCCATGCAAATCCGACAAAATGTATGTCGCACCGACTCTATTTGGTTTCTGAGTGCGAATGCGCGTCGAGTGGCCATTCCTTGTCGCGGCAGATGCTCCACAGAAGGTTTCGAAACCCCCTTGACTTGTCGGCCACACAAACCAGGTATGTGGAAGGAATTTGCATGTGGAGTCTGTTGGCCAGCACAAGTGATAGGTGATGGTGTGTTCGTTAATAGACTTTATGTCATCACCTCAAGCAACACGCGCCGCAGTTCGGAAGAAGCGCCAAGCCAAGATTGTCCGACTGGCTGTACTTACATTACTTTCTTCCTCCGCTTGACCGACTGAGACTGTTCTAGTTGGTGGCATTTCGCGCGCTATGGCAGAGCCAGAAAGTGAGCCCAACGCGACGTTTGAACTAGAGCTGTTTCTTCCGGGAAGGCCACTCTTGCCGAAAGATGTCAAGTCACTTGGCCTTCCTGAGACTCCGCCGTCTCTCAAGGTTGCTGTGACGCAGCACGAGACATTGAACGATCTACGCATCACATTAAACGACAGCCCAGAGGGCTACTGGCTCGGCGCTTTTCGCTTCCGACGTCCCGACTCACATACACGGAAGGGAGAGCTCGTCAATGAGTGGGAGGAGCTACAGGAGGTTTTCCGTCACGATGCTCCTCATGACAGGATCTTGCAAGTATCGCACGAACCTTACAATGAGACCGAGGTCCGTCTGCATATCCAGCGCCTGCGGGATCTACTTTCTGGGACTCAGTCCGACCCGGCAAGTGTGAGTGTCGACGCCGGTGCTACTGTGCATGATGCCATTGTGCACGCGAACGAATGGGCACATGATGCGCATATGCCGGCTCCTCCGAAGCCTTCCTGGCGCGGATGGCCACAAGACGGCACAGCACAGCTCCTTCCTGCTCTCGCCCGCTACCCACGTGTGCTCCCCAAGTGTGTGCGTGGCATGGCTTTAAGCGCTTGGAATCCACCCCCAAAGTCGTGGGCGCTCCGGGGCCATCTCTTGTACCTCAGCATCGACACATTAGAAGGTGATGTACTTCATATCACCGCCAGTGTGAATGGCTTCTTTTTGAATGCATCATCTTCGCAGAAGTTCCAGCCGCAGCCGCATCCGTCAAAAGCATTGCACTCGTCCTCACTTTTTGATCTGCTATGCGCTGCATCGCCGTTGTTCCTCCAAAACTTCGCACTTCTGTTCAACGACCCAGTATCTACTCGGGACTACTTCTCTGCGCTGCCTGTAATGAACTCTTTACCGGCGGCTCCATGGCTGGCTCGAGAACCGAAGCACGAATCAGACCCAATGCGCACACAGACTGCATTCTTGCTTACGGGCGCTATGTCTGCGGACACGCTCGATGGAAGTCGCGATTGGAACGAGGAGCTCCAATCGTCGAGGGAGCTTCCTCGTTCTTCCCTTGCCGAACGCCTCATGCGGGACCGGGTACTGAATCGCTTGTATGCCGAGTTTACGCTTGCCGCTGCCCGTGTTGTGCCGCGTGTCGCTGCTGGCGAAGTGGCTCCGATGAATCCCGCGGATGCTCCAGCTGCGCACATGTATCTCTACAACAATTTGTTCGTTACTCGTGGTACCGACAGCGTCGATATGTATCGATTCCTTGGCGGAGATGCTGCTGCTCATGTTGCAGTGGGCAAAGACTTGCAAGGTGTGCGAAGGCTGGGTAACTTGGACATAGAGGGCCTCAGCTTGCTCGGCACTGTTGTCATTGACTGGCTTGGTGAGCGCTGGGTTGTTCAGACGGTGCTCCCAGGCCTGTTCCGCCAAGTAGCGGCCGATGCAGCAGCATCGCAGTCTGACGGATCTACAGCGTCTCATGTCGCGTATGGTGGTGTGGAAGGCCCTGACACGATCCACACAGACCCTGCCTTCCACAAGGTCTTGAGTGTCGCAGGCAAGTCACTTCATGTGGCGGAGCACAAGATGCGCGATGCTCAGGGGATGGAACATGAGCTTTGTCTAAGTGTGGACTGCAAAGGTCTGCGCGGCACTGATGGTCGGATGTACTTGCTCGATGTGTCGCGCCACACGCCCATGGATGTCACTTGGCTTGATCACGACATGGAAGGCTCGGTACTTGAAGGCACTGACACTGCTTCATACCCTCACCGCCTTCCTCTGTTGCGCCCTGAGCTGATCGACGCTTATTGGGACATGCATCTCCATGAGTTTGCACGTGATAAGCTCGCGAGACAGCGGGCATCGAATGAAGCTTCGTCGCCATCCACAGCGACATCTTCCCAAGTTGACGTGTCAGACTTCTCCCTCAACTTCCACCCAGATGCGTTCGCCGAGTTCCGCACTGGCTCAGGTGACGACGCACGTGTGATCCAACCCGCTACGGACGAAAGTATTCCAAGCATCGCTGCGGTGCGAAAGGTATCCGAGTACTTGCGCAAAGAAGTCATTGTACGGCTGATTAGCGACGTAGCGGCTGGTCTTACTTCTGCTGTGGATGGCATTGCACTTACGAACCGCATGCATGCTCGCGGTATCAACATGCGCTACTTGGGCTACATTGCGAATCTCAGTCAGCCATCGCAGCGTGATCATTGGGACCAATCTGTCGTATCAAAGCTTGGTTCGGGTCATGAGGCACTTGTTCAGGCCTTCCGTCGCGTCGTCATACATGAAATGGTGGTCCGTTCCGCGAAGCATTGTCTGCGCACATACTTACGTGCCCTACCATTGATGGAAGCCGCTGCTTGTATCGCCCACTTTGCCAACTGTTTCCTGGGCACGGAACGCGAGCCGAGCCCCGTGCCAAAGATGCCGGAAGTTATCCCTGCCTCTACAGCGTCCAGGTCTGAATCTCACAAGCCATGGATGTCTCTCACACCTGCAAAGCTCGTTGAGGAGCTGCGCATCGATATTCGAAAACGTTTCCGGTTCGAACTTCCCATGTTCTTCCTCGAAACGGAGCTCCGGAAACCTCAGGCTCTTCGTGCACTGTGCCTAAAGATGGGCATCCAACTTGCTGTGCGTGATTATGAATTTGAGCCGGAGGCGAAGCACGCAGAGGGCCAAGCTGCTGCACCATCCTCCAACGCGACTAAAGAAAAAACAACTACCTCAAGTCGATCTGGCTTGTCGAAGAAGGGCAAGCGAGCGTTTCCTCCGCCGCCTTCAAAACCATTGCGCACAACGACCTTCGTGCCTGAGGATGTTGTTTGCGTATGCCCACTCGTTAAGACTTCAACTCCGAAGAGCTCGTTGTCAGAAGATGCGTTTGAGGCAGGACGTATTTCGTTTGTTCGTGGCGAGCGCGAAATTGGCACAGAGCTCATGCTTGAGAGTATTGGTTTCTACGAACAAGTGTATGGCCTCGTACACCCAGAAACGGGCAAGTGCTACTCAAAGTTTGCTTCGTTCTTACATCACTACGCGGCTGAATTTGCCATCAAGGCCGCGAGGAAGGCTTCAGCTGATTCAAATCAAGGATCGTCCTCGGATGGCGACAGGATTGGGACAAATGATGCAGGAAGTGCAGATGGAAGTAAAACAGAACACGATGACCAACTCCCAGAAGTTGTTAAGGAGGTATTTACACTCGAAAATGCTTTGCGTTTCCAGCGCCAGGCTGTCACTGTGTCGGAACGCACTCTTGGTCTCGATCACCCAGAAACCATGACACAATATATGAACTTAGCGATGATGGAGCAATCATCTGCTAACTTGGATGATGCCTTGCGTTACCAGGAGCGTGTAATGCAACTTTGGCAGCTCTTGTACGGTCGTGATCACCCTGATGTGGTCCATACGCTAAGCTCCATCGCACTCATGCTTCAGATGCGCCAGGACTACGAGCCGTCACTCCGGGCATACGAGGCATCGCATGATCTCGCTGTGCGTCTCTTTGGACCCAATAGCATCTACACTGGCAACATGGCACATGAACTTAGCCAGGCACTCATTCTTAGCGGCGATCTCAAAGCAGCTATCCAGGTCGAAAAAGAGGCTTGGCGAATCTTCCAAGAGCGTCTTGGATCCGAAGATCCACTCACAAAGGAAAGTCAGGCGCTTCTTTCTGGTCTTGCAGCTACAGCTGTTCGTGCAGCGAAGCAGCAGCATGCGCGCGAGCTTGTGCAGACTCGGATGCCCTCCTCTGCTCGCTCGACACGATCATCTGCGCATCACCATCACCATCGGCACTTGCATCAGCAACAGCAGAACTCGTCTTCATCCCCGCACCCTATTCCAGCATTAGCCAACAGGTCGATAGACGACCTTGTTGAATATATTCAGGGTACGCCAGGCACTGGTAGTAGCCGTGCTGCTAGGAAGCGCGCCGCTCGTGCGAAGCGATCATAACTTTGTTTCACAACGGGATGGATATTGTTACATAGTTCGCATGCGCTGTTGTTGCGAAGCAAAAAAAAAAAAAAATATATATAAAAGATATTATCACTGGTCATGCTTTTAGCATCTATACAAAGTTTTCTCTTTATTAGGCCCCAGACTGTTATTCTTGAGCGAAACTCATTGCGCGCATCCGACAATTGTGTGCCTTGCTACATCCGCTCGTATGCACTTGGGCGAAATTGAAACCATTCGCTGCGTTGGTGGACGGACATTTTTAATTAGATTGGTATGTGTCGTTTGTTCCCAATCACGTGTCGACTCCCTCATGCGGCAGCCAATTCAGCTCATGCGCTCTCGTTTGTCAGACCGTGAAGACTTGAGCTTCGCAGATACCCAGCCGCTATTTCTCACAGTTCGAGAGCTCGATGGGAAAAGTTGAGCATTCTCGAGGGCGACGAGTGCCTTCGCCGTTATGCTTTCTCCTAGATGCTGTGTCGAAAGTGTCGCAGCATCCAATCGAGGTCATTGTAATGGTGTTCGTCTTCGTGACGTTGGCATATTTTGCTCTTGTGCATGCCATTACGAATTCGACCTTGTTTTCTAGCTTAAGCGATGTCGCTTCCTTGTCCATCGTGTCAATGCGGGCCGGCCATTCAACGTTGCCCATTTTCGAAAAGTCCCCTGAAGATGGCTGGCATTCTTTGAAAGAGCACATGTCCGGGTCGCCTGATCGAATTCCCGACATGGGCTTCGCTGACTGGCTTGTCGTTATTGACGAGTCTAGCGAGACGTCGGATTTGCAAGCCCAGCGTCGGGACTACCTTCTTCCAGCAATTACCAAGGCCCTACAAGAAGAATCTCAAGGTCGTTGTGAATGGCCTGTGTCGCGGTTCACGGATACCAACCAAACGGTCGGCGACGTAGTCATATGTTTCGATCCTCAATCTTCCTACGATACCTCACACATGCGTCACTTGCTTGACACCAAAACGCTTCAGCGTGTGCTGGCACACGCAATGCAAACGATACCGCCCGATATGGACCCAACTCTTGTTTCCCGGTGGAAACGCGGCGATGTATGGCTTCAGCCTCTCACACCCACGAGTCATGGACCCGAAGCATTTATGAAAGAAAGCGTGTCATTGGAATGGCTCATTTCGCTAGTAGGCAGCGCTTTCTGGCGTGCTTGGATTGTGATCCACCAGGCGGATCCGATCGACTTTACTGTTCTCTTGGCTGCCTACATCATGATGCATGGTTCTTTCGTGCACCTTTACGTATCTATGAGCCATTTTCCTAAAAGGTTCTGGCTTGGCACATGCGTTCTGCTCTCATCCTCATTTGCATTCCTTCTTGCACTTGTTAGTGCAAATATGCTGTCGTTGCCCGTGGATCCTGTCATCCTTTCGGAAGGTCTGCCTTTCTTGGTCATTACCGTGGGCTTTGAAAAACCATATTTGCTAACGAAAGCATTTTTCTCACAGTCAGCTCCCGAGACCAAGACACATACAGACATGACACCACACTCCCGGGGCACGCCCGAGGACGATTTTGTTCGCGCCTTGACGCAGCGTGTTCAAGAAGAACAAGAGCTTGGTATTCTTGTAGCCACTCCGAAACCTGTGCCTGATGTGGCCGTGCGTGCAGTCTCTGATGCAGGTCCAGGTCTTTTCCGCGCGTATGGTATTGAGATGTCAATCCTACTCTTGGGTATTCTGAGCGGCATCCATGGCCTGCGTGAATTTTGCTGCTTAGCTATGTTGATCCTGTTTTTCGACTCTCTTCTGCTGTTCACCTTCTTTTTGGCCGTGCTGTGTGTCACGCTAGAGGTGAATCGAATTCGTCAGCCTCTCGTGACGCCCGAGGTGCAGCGTGAAAGTGACAAAGATACTCCCACGGAAGCTCCTGCTGAGCCTCAAGTTCGCGGTCCACCGAAACACAAGTCATCACACCTCTCTTTATACCAACGCGTCTTTGGCTCAATGGATCATCCCTTATCACGACTGAAGTTCATGCTTCTTTTTGCACTTGTTGCATTGCATTCCTTAAACATGCTTTCGACCCTGTCTCTACCAACCACCATCGCTCGACACCATACGGCTCGGCCACGTACGATGTATGAGGAAGTCGTTTCCTCATCCGACATGTTCCGTGCTTCAATGACCCATCCGGCTATGTCTGCCTTCTTCCATGTATATGATATGTTTTCTGCGGCGCATGCGGTGGCCTTTATGCCTCCAAGTGTGCTGATTCTTACAGACAGAGCTCACACGGTATCTGGATCGTTAGCGGCTGCAGCCATGAAGACTGCTACTCCGCGGTATACTGCGTTTGACAGCTTCATGCACACGTGGACATCCGTTGCCAGTGATCCTGTCATTGGAAAATGGCTTTCTTTGGCACTCTTGCTAAGTGTGTTTTTAAATACGTTCCTTCTAAAAGGTATTGCTATGCGCAATCCTGCTGTGATCGAGGGCAATGCTGTGCGCGTGACAGCGCAGGCTGCAGCTCGTCTGATCGGTGCACATCTTGAGGAAGACTGGTATAAGACACCCAAAACTCGCGAAGAACCTTCCTCGACACCTCGTGTGACGTTTGCACCACCGCCACCGTCTGTGCCGCCGCCAGCTTCCAGCGATCCGCCTCGTCCTTACAATGAGTTGCGGACTTTGTTTGATAAAGAAGGGCCTGGCGCCCTCAATAACGAGGAGATCGTGCTTCTGGTGCAGAAAGGCGTTATCGCACCCTATGCTCTCGAGAAAGTGCTCCAGGATTATCAACGAGCCGTCTTGATCCGTCGCGCTGTCCTGTCACGAGCATCTGAAACACATATGCTGGAGAACAGCCTACTGCCATTCAAAGACTACGACTATGCGTCAGTATTTGGTGCGTGCTGTGAGAATGTAGTGGGGTATATGCCACTGCCGCTGGGCATCGCTGGCCCACTCGTTATTGATGGATGCATGACACCCATTCCCATGGCAACAACTGAAGGTACATTGGTTGCGTCTACAAGCCGTGGGTGCAAGGTGTTGAATGCAAATGGCGGCGTCACAACGGTCCTGACGCAGGATGCTATGACCCGTGGTCCTGTGATTGAATTCCCCACACTCACGAGTGCAGCACGAGCGAAGCGCTGGATCGATTCTGGTCACGGTGCCGATGAAATCAAAGCCGCTTTCGACAGTACTTCACGATTCGCACGTCTCACGTCGCTGCACACTGTTCTCGCAGGTCGAACGCTCTATGTGCGCTTTGCCACATCAACAGGCGATGCAATGGGCATGAACATGATTTCAAAGGGTGTTGAGGCTGCACTAGGCATGATGAAGGACAAACATTTCCCTGAGATGGAATTGCTTTCTCTCTCTGGTAATTATTGCATTGACAAAAAGCCTGCCGCAATCAATTGGATCGAGGGTCGCGGAAAAAGTGTTGTTGCAGAAGCTGTGATCCGCGGAGACTCTGTCCGTTCCATTCTCAAGTGCACGGTCGAGGATCTAGTTCGTTTAAACACGAAAAAAAACCTGGTTGGAAGTGCCATGGCTGGCTCTATTGGTGGTTTTAATGCACATGCTGCCAATATTCTCACTGCCATGTACATTGCGACCGGCCAGGATCCTGCACAAAATGTGGAAAGCAGCAACTGCATGACACTCATGGAGGCTGTCAACGACGGAAAAGATCTTCTAGTCTCTGTCAGTATGCCGTCTGTCGAGGTCGGCACTGTGGGTGGTGGAACAGGTCTGGCCCCTCAGCGTTCTATGCTTGAGTTGTTGGGCGTGCAGGGTCCCAACAGGGATACTCCAGGTGCAAATGCGCAGCGTCTTGCAAGAATTATTGCCGCTGCTGTTATGGCTGGTGAACTTAGTTTAATGGGCGCTCTCTCTGCTGGTCATCTTATCAAAGCCCATATGGCGCATAATCGCAGCGCACCTCCTACCCCTGGTACCATGTCACCCATGCCCCGAGATCAGCAGTACAAGCCCACCATGACGCCTCTTATTGCAACACCTATCGCTGATGTTAGCCAGAGGAAAGGACTCACGCCTATGACAGGGTCTCCTCGTTGATTACTCACCCCTTTTTTAGCTCGCATCTAGACACCGACCCGCTCCATGACTTTCTATAATGCTGCAGGTAGCTGTTAGAATTCTCCAACAGCCGGCCTTCGACGGATCTTGCGACTATGGAGGTGTGTTCTCCTGCACATAGTATCCTCTCGGCCGCCGCCACCGCCGCCGCGGCCGTTACGCAATTTGACGACGTAACGCAACATTCAACACCTTTCTTATTCAGCCAGCGGCGCTGATGCAGTCATCGGAGCCGTCGCCTGAAGCTCAGGCTGATGCTTTACTACTTCACTATCTGTCGCCTGATTCAGATGCCATCGAGTCGTGTTGGTCGGAAGCTTTTGGTGCTGATGTCAGACAGCGTCGATGTCGCGCCAAAGATGGTCAGCTTCTCTTTGATCGATTGCTTGAAAGCGCTGGTGTCTCTCCCTCGCTATTTCCACCCGTTTCACCATCAGATGCTTTCGTTTTAATTGTTGAAATTCTTACATCAGCTTCACCAGACCATGAAAAATTTACGCTCCTGTATTATCTAGGCCTTGAACATGGTCATCGCCAAGTATCCGATGGTCGCGTTGCCTCATGTCATGATGCAGCTGCATTAGCTGATCACTTGCAGATTCCCTTTAGTACACGTATCAAGGCAGAAGCATATTGGGCTTTTGATCATGGGAAATTCAACGTACGTCCGCATGCCCCTCTGTCAACGTCACTAACTATAGTAGCGAACTGTACTTGGTGCTCGTTCTACTTCATTTGCATCCGTCATTGCAGAATCTTTGTCGGCATTTCCTGAACTTTTGCTTCAGTTTTATGAAGTTCGTGGTTCGCTACCGGCGCCTGATGGAACGTCGTGTGCAACGGGAATACAAGATTTATCATTGATTGCTGTCGCACTTGCGCGAGTAGAAGGCTTGGTCTCTGCTTGGCTTACATGTCGTGCTATCGTAAATGCACAGCCACAGGACTCCACTGTGATAGTACAGAAGCAGTTGTTTGGGACCCTATTGCGCTTGTGTTTTGCCCCTCCGGATGCAGACATGATACGTGAACTACTCAGTCTTCCTTTGTGTTCCTCGGAGGAGGCTTTTCTTGAGTCTTACACACTTGAGTCACTTGATCGTGCGCAAGGTGCTGTGGCATTGGATACGTTGTTGATCAAATTTGTGAACCAAGGACGTTACATCGATGCCATCCATCTTGATCGCCGCGCGACATACCATGAACGAACATTAACGTTTTCTGAGCAAGAACAAGATACTTATTCTCGTGCGAAGCAACGTCGTAGAGCACTTATGGACGGAGTTTGGGCCGTTGTTCCATCTATCCAGCGTAATGCCCTTCTTGTTCAGGATTCCGAGGACGATCACTCCCTTGGTCATGCCAAGGATCAATATCGCGAGGAAATGGATATGGACTGTATTTCTAAGCCGCTTGCCCGTTCTCATACCCCGCTCAGTGTGTCACTAGGCTCCAAAGACGTTCAAGGACTGCGCAAGTCCTCAGCAGATGTAAACCTGTTACGCGCTTCGATTCGTGTGCCAACGGCTTCGAGCTCTGAGCCGCGGGGTGCCTCTCCTGTACACAAAGTTACTGAGCGCGATTCTCAATGGCAAAGTAGCACTCCTTTCTCGGGATGGAAGCGTTCGGGACTCGCACAATCAATGTCAGTCTCACCGCAACCAACGTGGAATCTTCCCATCCCATCTTCGTCTCGAAGCCCTCGGCTGTCTAAACGCGAACTTGGCACTGGACCCATATCTGATGTTGAAGACATTCTCGAGCAGAGGTCCAGTTCGATACCATCTCACAATGTCATTCCAGCTGAAGATGAATCTATGGCTACAACAGGACAGGAAGTAGATGCGCAAAAGCCTACGGAAGAACAGGATTCTATTGAAGAGGTCCACGCAGAGGAACCAGTACGACGACGCGGAGGCCGGCGCCGTGCTGCACGACAGGCAACTGAGGCACTCCGAAAAGCTTTGCGTCCGGAGGAAGAATCAAGTGGACCCAGTATCCCTGGCGGTTTCCCGATGGAAGAGGATGCGACACCATTGGCACAGCCTACTCCTCGACGCAGTGCGCGGCGTTCGACGCGCCGTTCACGGAAGTCAACTACAGCGGCCGCGGAGACTGCTACACCAGAAAATATAAGTACGTCAATGTCCATGTATCCCGAGCTGCCTGGGTCCAAGTCATCCAATACTCCACGTCTTCCACGGTCTTCGACGACGTCAGAGACTACAGCGTATCCTCAGCATTCTCTTGCACGCTTAGAGGCAATCTCGGACGTGCGACCCATCGCCCGGCGCACACGTGCTCAGACAGCTGAACTTGAATCTCATGGTTCGCAAATAAACATGGATGTTGGCGACGTGTCCGAAGGAGCTGATATTGCAACATCGGTCCCTGCCACTCCGTCGCGTGCACGACGAGGTGGCTCCACACGTGAACGAACCTCGACACCGCAACGTGTGACGCGCTCGACACGTCGATTACGTGATGCAAGAACCGCCACACCCGGCGCATCGCACACATCCTCCACGCGCCATTGAACGTCCGTGCATTCACGCATTCATGTGGAGATAGCTTTGACAGTCGCAGTCTTCATGTGAGGTATTTTGTTTTGGATAAATTGAGCGTTTGATGATTTTTGCCTCATCAGCCAAAAATAAAGGGATCGAAAAATCTCGCACGTTGCATTAACGCACGGATTGGCTATGAAAGACAGGCGTAAGTCACAAAGATGGTGCAATCTACGGGTACACTCTCTTGATAAGGTCGTGGTACTTCTTTTCCACTTCCTTGCGCTGAACTTTCTGCGCAGCCGTAAGCGGAAGCTCTTCAGGAATGAGTAGGACACACTGCAGCAACTCCATAGCCGCAAAGTTTGACTGTTTGCCGAGAGAATTAAGATCGCGAAGAACCATCTGACTGACTTCTTTCTCGTGGCAGAGGTCTGAGAGCTGCTTGTCTGCAAGGCTGTCCTTGCCATTTTCTCGAAGGGCACTGCGAAGCGCATCCTCACGGGGGAAAACTACAGCCATAGGCTGCTTGGCGTCCGATGAAGCAACGACACAAATGTTACTGACAACGCCAGATGCTTTGTACGCGCTTTCGAGACGCTCAATAGCAATGTATTCACCACCAGACAACTTGACAAGGTTCTTCTTACGATCAATAATGCACAACGTGCCATCTGGGTTCCATTGACCCACATCACCGGTAAGGAGCCATCCATCAGGGGTAATGGATTCCTTGGTGATTTCAGGCCGCTTGTAGTAGCCCTGCGTCACAGAAGGTCCGCGAATGCAAATCTCTCCTTGTGGAGGGTTGCCATTTGCAAAGTAGCCGGCCTCGGCGACATCTATGAGCCTCACTTCGACGGAAGGCATAGGACACCCAACGCAACCATACTGGAAGAATTTTGGAGTTAGAAGGGCGCACATGGCTGAAGACTCAGTCATGCCATAGCCCTGAATGATCGTAACAAGTGCCGTGTTCAGGAATTGATGTGTCTCGCGCGAAATAGGAGCACCACCTGAGAGGGCATAGCGCAAACGACCTCCCGTCTGGGCGCGCACACTCTTGAACACAACACTGTCTGCGAGCTGCTTCAAACAAGGCACTTCTTTGTCCTTTGCCCACATACTCCAATTGAAGAGCTTCTGTTTGGTAGCACCGCTTTGCTGGACCTTGCTGAGGATACCTTTGCGAATCAGTTCCCAGACAGCGGGCACACCCACCATTAGGGTGGGGCGATAAGCCTGCAGGTCGCCTTCACAGTTACGCACACTGGCAGAAGTGAGCGTTTTTACACGTCCATAGCCGATTCCGATACCAAAGTACATCAAAAAGCATTCGACGACAAACTCCAAAATGTGTGCGAGTGGCAAGTAAGCCAATAAGGAGTCACCTACACCAATGTAGGGGTTCATCAATGTACAAATGGAAGCAATGGTGGCCACCAGATTCGCGTGTGTAAGAATGACACCCTTGGGCTTGCCAGTCGAACCCGATGTGTACATGATACAGGCCACATCCTTGCCGCTGACCTTTGCAGGCTCTGTCTTGGTCTGACGGCCCAGTTTCATGACTTCATCGAAGTGAATCAATGCGGCGTTCGATCGGCCTTGCAGCTTCTGTTGGATACTTTGCAAAATTTTCTCGTCAGCCTCGCCGTCATAGATGATCACGCGGAGCAAAGGCGTTGAGTCAACGACCTTCTCTACGACTGGTAGCTGCGCAGCATTTGTGAATAGACCCTGTACTTCAGGCTCTTCAAGCGACACATGCAAACCCTCTGGACCCAGCGTGTCATAAGCTGTGCAGAACGTAACTCCTTGACGGAAACAAGATTGCGCCACAACCTGCCAGTTTACGGCAGTTGAGGCAAAAATGTTGAAATGAGTTTTGAAGTCTAGATCCAGCTGAGCCATACCGCTAGCAAACTGGTCCACCATGGTAAAAAATTCTTCCAAAGTGATGTATTTGTATGGACTCAGTTCAAAGTACGTCCATTTCTTCGTCTCCTGTACCTCTTCATCACCGATTTTCTTGGACACCACCTTTTCCTCGGTATGTTCGCGGATCACGTCACGCCAGGCAATATTTTTTTTCGAGCCATAGCGTTTCCGCGCCGCCTGCATCAACTCGGCCATCGTATTTACGTTGGCTTCGGGTCGCTCGAGCAGCTTATCAGGCGATTCGCTTGAGCGACGGACATCACCGTTGTGTCCCTCGCCCTTGCTGACGCTTACACTGGCCATGTCTGACTTCCTAAACATCTTTCGAGTGTTGGAACGGAAGGCCGATTAGAAGGGAAAGAAGGCTTTGGTCGAGGCCAGCTATGTATGCGAATTATGTGCGTCGCCCCGAGTAGTTCACATGCCCCAAGCCCACAACATTTTCGGATTCGGTACCCAACAACATGGATCGCCCGTGCGTAGTCACGTGAATCTATAAGGCTTTCGCGCCTCGTGTCGTCTGTGCCCAGCAAATGCGAATGAACTGTCTGTGCGCACTCGATCATGCCGAAAGCAATTGTATTTTTGGCTCAAGGAGCGGAAGAAATGGAATTTTCCATCACGTACGACGTGCTCGTCCGCGGTGGTGTGGATGTCACATCTGTATATGTTCCAGGTGCGGATGAACCTCTGTCGCCAGCCGATGGGCTTGTTGTGGCGTCTCGTGGTGTCAAGCTTGGTGTTGACACGACGCTCGAAGCGTTGACGAAGAGCGGCCATGCTGGCGACTACGATGCATACATCATTCCAGGAGGCGCAGGCGGCGCGAATACACTTTCCAAGGACCCTACAGTGCTTCAGATTTTACGTGATTCCCATGCTAATGGCAAAATCGTTGGAATGATCTGCGCCGGCTCTCTGGCTGCTTTAGAGGCACGTGTTGGGCTTGGCGGTCCTATTACGAGCCACCCATCTGTGAAAGACAAACTTGCTTCTTGTACGTATGCGCATGGTCTAGATGGATCTTCTAATTTGCTTCTTTAGCGTATCAATATCAGGAGTTACCCGTCGCTGTCTCTAACAACCTCGTCACAAGCCGTGGCCCCGGTACCACATTCCTCTTTGCATTAACTCTTGTCGAAAAGCTTATGGGAATAGACAAGCGGCAGGAAATTACTGGTCCTATGATGCTTACTCCAGAGCACTTGTGAATAGCGAAACTATCTGTTCAACGCGCATCAGGCATAGTCACGTCACCATCACCGCCATCATTCACACCTTCTGCTTCTTCATCGTCATCATCCGCGTCCTCGTCATCTTCGCCCCGCACAACGTGCAGCGCGGGCACGTCAAGCTCGCGATCGGCCCCAATGTAGCTGTCACACATCAGGTATAGCTTCAGTCTGTCATGCGTGCCTGGAGGCAACATGAATTCCATTCGCACTTGTAGCGTTTTTGCGATCACTACGCGTTTGATGCTCAGCAAGTTCCGCGTTCCAGGATCCCCAACCACGAGCCACCAGGCCGTCATCTTCGGTGAAGGATAGAATGGTGCAATCGCAGTGGGATCAGCCACTTCATCGTCCTCCTCATCCTCGTCCACATCTCGCTCTAGAGTCGCTTGCAGGACGATTGGCGTCGCGCTGTCGAGTGCCTGTTTGTCGAGGATATCGAAGTGGATCTCAACGTATGGGAAATCATTCGTCAGCGACGCCACATCCGCAAGTTGGCGCTTGTTGAGCTGAAGAAGATCATCCCGCTCTGCTTGGCTCATGTCTGGCAGAGCATCGGCGAGAGCATACACATCATCGATTCCTCGCGCCTGACACCGCTCAATGGTGGCCTGTGTGAAATGAGGTACTTGCCTCAAAGGCGAGTCGCGGTCCCAAACTGCCTGCACGCACATATGGCTCAGTTCCATTGCAACGATGGCATTCAGGAAGGCGCCGGAACTCATCACATCAACGCAAGCATTAAGCAGCGTCAGGACGCGCAGAAGAATATCACGCTGATCTTGAGCGAGATCGGCCGGCAATGTTAATCTCGAAAAGTGTGCCTGCAGAAGAATAAAGGTCTTGTGATGGGGACTCTCGAACTGAATCTTGTCGAGCTTGAGCGGCACGCGGTCGTATATTCTGCGAAGCAACACGTCTTCATGGTGCCGAATGGGCACTGTCTCAAACTCGGAGGCGGATGCGACAATCTCGAGCAGGCCACGGAGCTTCGTCGTGCCTGTGAGCGAGAGGTGGAAGACATCGATTGTGGCGTAACTGACATTGTAAAAGCTGGCAATCATACCCAAGTTGAGCGGACTCACATCCATATCATCTTCGATAGCAATGCATTTACTCTGCTCAAGCTCACCCAGCGTGTTTTCGACAAGCTCCGATAAGAAGTCCCCAATGTGTTGTATATCACGGCCCTGACAACCGTACGCTTGTGGGTTCTTCGGTAGACGCCGGTACATGAGTGTCCACGTCAGGATGTCCACAGCTCCTTGTTTGTCTTGCACAGTTCGTGCAACGATCTCGGCATTCAAAAAGTCTTGGGTATATGTGCCAAGACGGCTTTCGACCGGCAGGCCTTCGGCCAGAAACTTCTTGAAGTAGTTCTTACGGTTTGCCTGGCACAGCAGCATGCATCGACTGCGACCCTGCTCGTCTGGTAGTACGCACTTGCCGACCATCTCGAGCATGTCTGTCAGAGCATAGTCCACATAGCGGTGCTCACGACCCTCGTAAGTCTGCAACGACAATAACAACACAAGGTGCGCTTGAACAGGCAGACTCCATACTGTGTCCTTACTCGCGACCATGACCTGGATGGCTCCTGCATTGAATAAGCGTTCGACAATCCGACGATCGCCTTTGCTCAGCCCTTCGTGGTAAAATGCTATGCCGTACGCTAGACATTCCGCCAGTTCTGTGTCCTCCACACGATCTAAATGTGGCTGCAAGTCTTCTCGCTCCATGTTCAAGAAACAGCATTCTGTCTGCCCAGTTTCATCACCACCATCACCACTATGCTGGCTGTCTGCCAATGCGTAGGCTAGAATGTCGTGCACGGTGAGCTTTGTCTGTTTCCGCGTCGGGACAAACACCAGCGTTGGCTGGTTCGGCGCATATTCGACAATGGCCAGGTAAGCTGGTTTGGCCATTGCGATCATGAGCGACGGGAAGTGCGGAACGTTGAATGGTTGGATGTGCACTTCCATCGGCACAGGTCTAGCGGTTGGTGCAAATGACAAAGTGTGCGTAGCACCAAGCCACTCACCTACATCCGAAGCATTTGAGATTGGTGCACTGAGGCCGACGAAGCGTGTGGATCGCTCTGTTTGAGCGGCCACGAAACGTGCGCGAGACCCGACCACTTCGTACGTTGGTCCCACGTACGTGTCGGTAAGTATGTGCAAGTCGTCCAGAATGTAGAGTGCAACATTCTGGACATGCTTGCGCTGACGCCATCGACGCGATAAGACGTCCCACTGCTCGGGAGTAGCAACTACGAGGTCTGCGAGTTCTAGCAGACGTAAATTTGTGCTTGTTTCACTGGCAAGTGACACGATCTCTTTCGATGGGAAGCGAGACTTCCATGCAGCCACGCGTGGCGCCACCATACTCACGTATGGAACAATGCATACGGCTCGCGCGTTCTTACCACTTTTCTCTCCATTCCATAGTCGCCAAAGAGCCAGCTCCGCGCACACGGTCTTGCCAGCACCGACAGGCGCAGCGATGAGGACATTGTCATCCGTTTCATACAACGCATGGAAAGCTTGCGTCTGAATACGATTCAAATGCTCGAACGCATAGTGTGTCGCTGCATTGCCTAGCACGGACACGGGCTGTGGCTGCAGATCAAGCAAAGGCGTGGGCGGCGCGAACTTATCGGGCAAGATGAGATGCTTGAACGAGATCGGAAGACGTACTTCGCTGTGGAGCCAACGGTCGCTTAATAGCGAAATATAGTAGTTGGGCGGAAGCGGGTCCGTCAGCTCCACGGTGAATGATACTGTGTGTTCATCGTTTGCATATCGACGCAGCAGCACAAACTGGTCGTAAAAGAGAATTGTGTCACCGTCCACATCTTCAACCAGAAGCCAAAAACTCTGTGCACCGCCATGCACACGATCGTCCCACTCAAAGTCAGGCGTTATCGTGAGATGCACTTGTAGCAAGGAACGTGTGACGGGTTGGAAGTACGCTTGCAGGTCCAGGAACGGGAACTGAAATACCAGGCGATGCAGCAAACGGCCAGCACGAGGAATGCCAATCAGCTCCCCCATCTCATTTGGCTCTAGATCACGCAAACGCGCCCATGGAAACTCCTTGCGCTCAAGACGGCGGATCAAGTCTGGCGCCACGCCTGGGAACTGACGCAGGGGCGTCATGGATCCCCACTGCCGCCGCTCAGTCATCCGTGCGAGATCCAACGCATATCGCGTCGTTCGTGCGTATCCACGAATCACACAGATCTCGACTAGAGCGCGCAGGATACGCGATGCAGACTGCGTCACATACACCATGTCGGCAGCCAGCGCATAGCCTTCAAGAGACAGCTGCGAGATCCACGTCTGCAAAAGAACATTGATTTTGGCACTGGGTTCATCGATGCCCTCTTTCACAGGAATTGGCACCCGTTCCCGCAACTTGCCGATTTCCAACTTCTCGTCCTGTCGCACAATCTGGTGCTTGAACTCGTCACTGTAGCTAAAGACGCGCAACAGCTCGATCGTACTAGACGTGCTGTGCAGGTGTTTGTGGTACGTGCCCATGGACGTATGTGTTAGATAGTAGTGCGCTGCAATGCGCGCGAGCTCATTTGATGTAAACAAGCCAGTCTTTCTGTCGTAGCGTAAAAGTCCCGCTTTCTCAAGGAGCACTGCTGCACTGTGTACAATATCCGCCCGCTTCTGTTCAAGGAACGGGTCGTCTTCGATATAGTCAGGCGTCACGCAATACAGTGCAGGCGAGCGAAGCATACGCACATACAGATACGTATACCCAAGCCAAGTGACGGCCTCATCGCGGTTCCGGATCGTCCCAAGAACAATCTCCGCATTCAAATTGTCCGCCAGGCGCGACACGAACTGGCTCTCAATCGGAAGCTGTTGGTTTAGCAATGACAAATAGTATTGTAGCTCGTTGTGCTGGGTGATGATAATGCCTTCACCAATAGTGTCGAACTGAGGCCGACCCGCGCGGCCGAGCATCTGAAGCATATCTTGGGGCGAAAGTTCGCACCAGCGGCTTTTCTCTGGGTTGTAGATCTGCGTCCCTTTGATGATAACAGTGTGTGCAGGCAAATTTACACCCCATGCAAGAGTCGCCGTGCTTACAAGCACCTGAATATGTTTGCCAGCAAACAGATCTTCAACAAGCTCGCGGTCAGCCCGCGTCATACCAGCATGATGAATTCCAAATCCATACTGCAGACACTCGCGAAGATTCGCGTCCTTCGCCTCCTCAGCTGCTTCTCGCAGAACATCTCGGCTCGCACCTGTAGATGGCAGAAACACATCGAGTGTCTCACGAGCCTCAGCCGTGTCACGAAGAAATTTGGCTGTCTTGGCCGTTTCCTTGCGAGAATGCGTAAAGATAAGAATTTGATTCTTGCCCGCGTGCTCCATGACCTTGTCATACGTGACTTCATTCATAAGCTGCAGCCGCTTTATAGCCTTTGTTTCTGTGAGGCCGATGAACTCTTGCCGCAATGGGCATGGTCGCATATTCGACTCAAAGTACAGCAAGCCACTAGCTGGATTGACGCGTAAGAACGCTGCAACGTCTTGGTAGTTTGGCAGCGTCGCACTGAGACCGATGATTCGCACCGGATCATTCAGCTGCTCCATCCGTCGAATCGTGCGAGCAACAATAGCTTCTAGAACTGGCCCACGGTCGTCGTGCAGCAGATGAATTTCATCCACAATCAAGAGACGCACGAGATTGGTGTACGATGTGTCGGAACTCTTGCGGCTAATGACATCCCATTTCTCTGGTGTCGTCACGATAACGTGCGTTTCAGCAATCTGAGCCTTGGTCAGCTGGCTATCGCCTGTGAGCTCATTGACAACAACGCCATACGGCTCCAAACGCGAGCGGAATTGATTCGCTTGCTCAGCAACAAGCGCTTTCATCGGTGCCACATACACAATCTTGCACGCGGTCAAGTCCATGGTCCCGGACTCTTCGTCGCGCCATTTACTAAGCTCTCGCAGAATTGTTAGCATAGCCACATTTGTTTTGCCCGCACCTGTGGGCGCACAGAGGAGCATAGGTTCATCGTTGCCAAACGCCACCGGATAACATTTCGATTGTACTGGATTTAATGAGGTGGCTCCGGCAAAAGCGGCATGTGTCCAGCTCGGCAGCTGACGGATCGGGACAAGCTCGTCGGACGAAATGGTGCGTTTCTCAGGCGCCGGCACATGAATCTCATCGTAGCCCTTTTTACTTCGTTTGAAGCTTCCCGCCGGAAGACGAACTTTAGGGTTGGAGTTCAAATGGCCGCCCTCACTAAATGCCATGGCATCCAAATCAAGCATGGTGCGCGGGGCTACTGTTGAGCCGGGCGCTAGCGTCGCGCGCGACGTGAGTCGGTATGCCTCGCGCTTAGCTTCCTCGAGGTTGTCTGCACCAGAGGTGCTTTTGCCTGCATCGCCAGCGAGGCGTTTGAGGATCCAGCCTGCACTCTTCTCTCGCATAGCAACTTCAACATCAACCCGCTCGTCTTCGTTCGAGCGCGCTAGACGCGTACACCAGTACACGATATCGCGGTTTTTTGTCAATGTCTGTACGATATCGAAATGCTCATAGTCAAACAGCGCCATGAGGTTGTTCTCACAGTCGCGAATGTCCGAATCGGCTCCCAAAATATCGAGTGCTGCATCAGCCTTCTCACTTATTTCCATAGGATCAGAATAATGCGTGCTCATTAGGCGTTGGAGCCAGTATGCGTCAACGTCATGGACAGATAGATCGGACGAGGTATTGCCTGCTCGCTCACCCAGCAAGAGCTCTTCCCCAGTTGTTCCGGTGCGGTCCAAATGGGGATCATTGTCGTCGTCGCCTGCATCCTCTTGAACACCTAATGAAGCCTCTTTCTCTTCGGCCTCATCCTCCTCATCGTCCGACTGTTCACGAATCACGTAAGTTTCCTCGTCTGGGTTGCTCTCTTCCTCTTCATTGTCGAAGAGCACTGCAACACCAGCCTCTTCATCAACGGGTGCACTGGTTTCTGTGGGATCGCCGGTATCCTCTTCGTAATCCGTGAGGCGTTTGCTCAAATTCAAGTACTGCCCGAACGTCTCATCTGTAATAGGGCCAAGAAAGCTTTCCATTTCGCGCTTCTTGTCAAGGTCACGCATATCACTATCCTTCAGAAACTCAAGCGCAGTATCTGTCGCAGAGCGAATGACTTCACTGGTTTGGTCACCCAGCGCGCTTTGGACCATACTCAGAATCAGCTCATACACAGAGCGAGTCTCGTCTGTGCGCGGCATGTACCGGAGCCCATCCAGCTCCGCGCTGGCTTGGAGCACATTGGTATATTGGCCGGCACCTGCTACCCCAACTCTTTTTTTCGTGATGCCATGCTCGTCGTGCTCCGCAGCCTTGCGTTTCTTTTCGATATCTGGAACGTGTGACTTTACTACACGTGAGCCCATCGACTTGGGGTCAATGCGACCCACAAGCGATTCTGCCTCTCCAGTTGGCTCATTTTCTCCTTGTCTTCGTCCTGCACTCAGTACGAGCGACGACAGCGCCGAGTACTGATAGCCAGACAGGTCTCGCTGAGACTTCGGCGGCATGTCGACGACGGCAGTCAAATGACGTCGTCTGCGGTGGCTGCCTCCACGGCGCATCCGTTTCGTATCACGTGATACCAGGCCTTGGGTGGCGAACTAAGAAAGGCTAGCAGAAAAAGAAGGGCGGGGGCGTTAGTAGCGGCTAAATGACGTGAGGAAGCCTCGACTGGGATTCAAGCGCCGCCACAGGGTCACATACGAGTCAGCTGGCACTTGTGTGTCCTCTTCCTCCACGATTTCTCGTGCGTGATGGCACGGCAGAGCTTGGGCGTAATCGCATAAAAAGATTAAAGGCATATTGCGAGACGGTTGAGCCACTCGATCTTACATCGACCCAGAGTTAGTCCGACTGAACGCCCAAACACTGTGCTCCCAACGCTTTGCCAGTCACTGCATTCGATGATCACAGCGCCGGAGTCGCAGGTGCAAGACGAGTCTCTACATGGTGCACCAAGTACATTCGTACAGGGGCAGGATGTAGAAGGTAAATCATTCCCAACTCTCCCTGTCGCGCCCGTCATGGGTTCATTTGTGCGCTCAGAGGAAGGGTTTGTTGCACCTTCAACTACCGCGGGGCGTGCAGAGATGAATTCTAATACGAATCTTGAATACCACAATCATGAGGAAGGAGAAAATACTCATGACCAGGGAACTGACGAAGAAGCAGGGGTCATCCGGTGCATATGCCTGTGTGACGATGACGACGGGTTCACTATTCAGTGTGACCGATGTCTTGTATGGCAGCACTGCGCTTGCCTAGGCATGTCACATTCCAGTGTACCTGACGAGTATCTTTGTGAAAAATGTGACCCTCGACCTGTCAATGTTGATTACGCTCGGGCTGTGCAGCGTCGTCGTTTGCAGCAAGAAGCGCAGAAATCATTCAAAGCTCGCGACTTTGACATTTCTTCCACTTTTGCTACCAATGCCGCCGCAGCAGGCATGATGGAATCAGCAGCGAATGCTGCCACAGAATCCTCACTTCATGGAACAAAAACATCTGCGCCCCGTCGCAAGTCCCAGCATAGCCGGTCGCCGACAACACGCCCAATCCCAGATCGAGATGTGCCTGATGACATGGATCTCAATACGCCTCATGTCACACGTTCGAGGCCTCGAAATAAACGTTCACGAAGTGGCTCGAGAAAGTCTCTTCCCACGCCGTCGCGCCATAAAGGCAGTGATGATGAAAATGCACACACGAAACTCGAGTCTTGGCAGGTGGAATTTTCTCCCACGGATGTCAACCAAGTCCGAGAATCGACGACCATGCGCTTGTTGGCGCAATTCATGCTCGACTGGCACCGAGGAACTCCGTTGACGGCTGCCCAGGACGACGAGGGCTTCTTTATTGCGCCTCTTCGGTTCATGCAAGACTCGCAAGAAGAGGCATCGTCATTGGACGATTCAAGTCCAGACTTATGTTCCCCTAATGGCTTGGCTGCCGTAGGGAATGAATTGGTGCCAGTTGCTGTACACTGCTCTTCGCTAAGTGAGGCAGGCGTGAGTTTATCCGTCCGCTCCATATCGGATCACACAACGAACAACTTTTTTAACAATATCATGCACGTTCAACCAAGGTCCTCTGAACCTCAGAAGATATGGTCTGCGTCCAAAATGTTTTGTCGGCCCAGTATGCATGGCCTTTTTGCCGACACATCTATTCCTCCAGGCGCATTTATCATGGAGTATCGTGGCGAACTGTATGGGGCAGATACATATCGAGCTAATCGGATTAATCAGTACGACAAGATCGGAACCACGAAACCGCACGTTCAAATGCTTCCACACCCTTTAAACATGGTTATTGATGCACGCATGTATGGAAACATTGCGCGCTTTGCTCGGTCAAGTTGTCATCCAAACGCAGTACTGCGTCCCATTTTTCAGTACAGTGGTGAAAGCGACATGCCGAAACTTGCTTTTGGCTTGTTTGCGATTGCACCGATTCCTAAGTCCCACGAGGTTACGCTAGGCTGGAACTGGGACGATAATCATATTGTGCACGTCCTGCCAGCTCTCGTGCGACACTCGTCGCAGTCTGCAGACGATGTATCACACTTGAAAGGATATTCAGTGAGCACCAACATAGCAGCTGAGCGCGGTGAGTTTCCCTACGTGTCTTCGATTCTTGCGAACAAATGCAATGCGGTTGTTTCTATCCTGTTAAGCTATGCGACATGTGCGTGTCTTGGGCCTTCGCTGGGCGGTTCCAACACGAATGCTTATCTTGTGCGACGCCAAAACTGTGCTGTGACACAAATGCTCCGATTGAGTCAAGGCATGCCTTTGTTGTATACGACACAGTCGCCGCGGATCCCGGCAAAGGCGAAACCCATTATACTCAATCCGCTAGTTGGTGTCTTTCGCCAATGGTTGCCTCCTGTGTGTATGGATGAGGACTCCCAGTTGTGCACGAAGATCGCGCAAAATAGCTGCTATGTTCAGCGAGTCTCTGCGATGCCGCATCAATCTAATCCAAGTGTGGCGCCAAAGTCTCATGCCCCTCCTCATCGCGATGAAATTGAAGATAAAATGAGCGTTGATGATGACGATGTGACAAGCGACGCAGGCAGCGAAGGACAAGTGTCCTTGGCTTCGACAGATATCGTTACTGAAGAAATGCCGTTTGAGAGTGATCCAGAAGATCCATTAGTTTCAAAGGCCTTGACATGTATGGTCGAAGAGGCAAAGGCCTTACTACCGCTGAAGAAACGTGGTAATCATCATCGCTTTGGTAGTATTTCATTTCAAGCACATGAACACAAGTCATTGGCGCATACAGGTATGCATCGTCATGTATTGCCTCAGAATTCGCCCACGAAAGTAGCAGCTCATTCCGCCAAGGAATCCACTTCCAATGAAGTAAAACCGAAGCATTCTCGAGGTGAATCCAGCGGCCACAAGGACGACATGACCTTTTTCGATCGCAATAGGCCAGATGTCTTATTGCCAACCCATCATATTCATCACGACCCGTCCCAGGTCTGTATGCTTCAAGACAATGAAGATCATATTCAGAGTCATCAGCAGCCAAGTCCCAAGGCTGAAGATCAAGCACCAACAATTACAATACCCTCTTCATGGGAACATTCGGCCATACGAACACCATCCGGACTACCACCGCAATCTCCACTGCCGCCTTTGCAGCCACCCCCGCGTCGAAATGGCACAGCGGCTCTTGAGTCTGGACACACTGCCCAACAAACTTCATCACATCTATCAGACTCACGCATGTCATCCGACGCGCCGTCGTCCTCGTCAATGGTGTCTTCAGGTGAGCTTCCATTCGCATCATCGTCGAATGAGGCAGTTCAAGACGCGTCCAATGATGCAACGATGCCAACGCCCCCAGCGCCACCTAAACGTTTGTCTTTGGCCGAGTACAAAAAACGTCTCTCATCTCGGCGTAAGTCAGAGAATCAGTCGCAGGGCGAGACGGCAGATCCAGTGGCGTCTGTGACCATGCCTCCTTCGTCGAACCCTTCATCATCAATCGAAAGTAGAGGGTCCACTTCTCACAAGAGCTCTTTACAATCTCCGCCAATCAGTTTCAGTTCTACTGCAGACAGCCCGGCTGCCACCAGAGAGGCTGGAGAAGTCTCTCATGTCCCTGAAGCTACCCCGGTTGCAGCACCTAGCTCCTCGCAGGTCTTCCTGTCTTCATCTTCGCAAAGCGACAGGCATGCTTCAGTCCCTAACCATCAATCATCATGGACTCGTTCACTTCAACAGCTGGGAAAAGACGCTTCACACTCGGAACAGCATCATGCTTCTTTGGGCGAGCCTGGCGCGGCAGCCATGAGACATGAACCATCATCCGTGCGTGCTAAGTCTGATATGTCTCACGACTCTTTGTCTGTTACGCATCCGCAGCAGTTCACTACGTCTCCTCTTCTGCCTGCGTCACCTCCTTCAAGTGGCTCGGTGTCAGTCAGAATGTCTGAATCTATACACGGCCCTGCATGTGCACCGGGATCACCACCTCTTCCTGCAGCCACACGACCTTCAGCTCAAGGAGCTATGTCATTTTCGAAGTACCTGGCACGGCCAACAAGCAACTCGAATGCACTTTCACCGCCGGCTCCGTCATTTTCCCCGCACCTGTCTTTGGCGCCTCCTCCATCTCAGTCGCTACACAGAGTCTCTACGGGTCCAATGCGCCTGTCACCGCCACCACCGCCAGGCCCGCCGCCGCCTATGCCGGCCAAGCTTCGTGCGGCTCAGAATCGCGTTGACGTGCGAAGCAAACAGGTTCATTCGCTCCAGGTGACTAATCGGTCGCCTGGACCACCCCAGCTTAAGGCACCGACTGGTTCATTAACGCCCCATGGGTCGCTAGCATCACAGCGCGGCCGTAGCACCACGCATGGACGGAGCAGCTGGCGCCCTGCTCAATAATGAATGCGTGGTTTTTTTTTTTTTTTTTTCTAGTATACAGCGTGTATGTATTTCTATCAAATTAATTTGGCCTTCTTTTCACGCGAGCGCTTTGGTTGCGCCTGCTGCTGCAATAAGTCCCAAACCTGTTCGTCCAGCGCACTGGGTGCGACGGAGTTTGTTCGCTGCAAGATATCAACAGGGCAAGGCACCGACGAGCTGGTTTCATCATTGTGCTGATCCACAGGGTGTAACGTCCAAGCCTTGGTGTCAGCCCAGCGTTGAATCGCAAACAGAGCAAGTTCTGCCATCGCATGCAATGGCCGACTTGCCTCAATTGTCTGCTCTGGTGTGGATAAATCAATATATGTCCGCACACTGGCAGCATATTTGGCTAATAGGCTTATATTGTTTTCATTCGCGACGCACGCAAGGTAGAAGTCCACATACCTCGTAAACGAGCATTGGACCGAGGGTGAATCTGTTGTGAAATCAGGATGGTGCGCGAGTACGTAAAGAAGTCTGACCAGAACACGCTCCAATCGCTCATGTCGCAACGAATCGGGGAGAGCTTGCAAGCGGCGCGTATACGAAGCAACCTGAGTTCTAAGTTCATTCTCTGGATCAAAAGCCACTAGAAAAATGATCGCATGGAACGCAGGTGCGAGGTCCTCACAAGTAAGATGTAACAACAGATCATGCAATAGCTGTGTGCGAACCTGGAAGCACTCATCTTGCAGTCCGTATGCCAGGCGCCCCATACGAGGTAAGACCAATGGGCTATATGTGTGACAGGACGCAAGCTTTAGGATACTCTGTGCGGCGCACAAACGCAAGCATGCACGAGCTGCGGTAGGTATTTGCTGACCACGTTGTGCCTCGCCAGTGCCAAGCATAATCCACAAAAGTTTGAGCACCGGTGGCGCCACTTCTGCCTTGTTTTGCACCGCGCAGCATAATGTCATAACACGCAGAGCACCAAGACGCGCGCGCAGTGCGACTGGTAATTGTGCTTCATCGATCCAGTCTGTGTCCATCAGGGCCTCATTGTCATCGCTATTGGCTGTCCATGGCGCGAGAATCAAGCGATGTAGGATATTTTGCATAATCGTGTCGACGAATGGTACAAGTATCTCTCTCGCATACTCAAGACATGCAGCCAAAGCATCTAAAGCGTCAGCACAAGACTCCGAAGAGCCTAACTCGATGTGCTTTTGGATCGTTGGGATGAGTGGCGGCACACGCTCGGGTGCCACGCATGCAATCAGCTTGGCTGTTGCGTACGAAGTAAAAACGCAGCTCCCGCAGAGCTGATCCAGAAGTGTCTCTGACAACTCAAAGTCTGCTGCACTTTCACTGTTATTGTTTGAATACACAGCCAGTGCGGCAAGCAATTCGATCGCTAGTGTATCATTGCTGTCTCGGAGTGCTTGCCGTTCAATGACACGAGTGTACGGCTGTAATAGGAAAGGAGCATGTTTTGCCACATACGTCAACAATTTCTTTGCACGCAGTTCCAGCAAAGGCTGAATACACGAGACATTGAGTATAGGGAATGAGCCTGTGTAGAGGCAGGCAGACAGGATATCAGCCGAACCAGGTCGTGTCTCTCTGAGAAACGCGGTGGTTTTGTGACGTGTGTTAACGCTCACATCTAGCGGTGTGTCAGAATCATAGCATATTCGCATCGATTCAACGACACTTTCATCTGGCTCGCTGGCAAAAGCCGCAAGCGTTTCAGAGGCATTCGAATCATTCAACAGGGCTGTGATGGCCCGAATGCATGACGACAATCGCGATGGGTCATCGCCTGCGCAGCAGCTCGCATATATATCAAATGCTGTGGGTCGGGGCAGGCGCAGATTTGTTAGGTGCAAAAGAATCGTATGCTCATTTTCATCCAGCAAACACGATACACGGTAAAGTCGTCGTGCATATACATCAGGTTGACTTACGGGCACGATGAATGTTTCCCACGAGCGAATAACACTGCGCGTAACATCACAAGAACCAGTGAGGTGACAGCTAAGAACCACGCCTGGGATCCAGCTAAACTTTTCATATAAGGTCGACTCGTCAGAATCTGCGTATGCCAATGAAAAAGTGCGGCCTAGAGCATCTAGCGCCCGGTCCCTTACTATCCTTCGACGATCCTTTCCGCGTTGTCCAATTTCTCGGAATAATCTGAGTGGGACGCAATCGCGCAGCATTTCATAGTCTAGTGTCGCAATCAGCTCAGGCAGTCTTGCTCGTACATGCTCGTCAGGATCCACAGCCCGCGACACAAGAGGAGGTATCAGGGCTGTTTCAAGTTCTGTATGTTGCACAAGCGATTTTATTGCGTACTCAACCCAACAAAGTCGGATAGACAGCTGTTTATCAACAGCACGACCAAGCCACATTTTCCACACATGCGGGTGTAGCGAAGCAAAACTCTCTGAAGCACCCGACGGCGGCATTGAAAATAGTTTGCCCAAAGTGCGCGTTGCTAGCAAGCGCACAGGAACGGAATCAGACTCGAGTTCAGGTCCCAACTGTGGTATGACACTTGTTAGGAGGGACGGAACAGCCTCGGCAAGACGAACAATCTGTATGTGTAAGGTTCGAAGTGAGATACTTCCGCTAGTTCTGCTGTCTTCATCTTCATCACTATCATCCCTGCCTCCATTACCAATCTCTTTGTCGTTCTCTTCTTCATCACTGCTCTCATCGGACTCGAGTACCTCCTGCAAAGCTTCCGAAAAATACCGCGCGACGTGCTTCTGCAATCGGTCTTGTGTTGCTTGACATACTGCTGTCGCCATATTATTACCGGCAGAGCCTGAGCCCCCTGAATAGACGCCCATGAGGATTTCCACTACAGCTTGTGGAACGGCGACGCATTCATCCACGAGCTGAACCAGCACATCGACCAGAGCTAGTTCCACATTTTTAGCCAGCGGAAACCTATCTTGTAAGAGATACTCTCGTGAACTTACGATGCAAGACTCCACAACTTTTCGAAGAATTCTGTAATAAGCTCATTTGCCGAGGGCACATCACACACTAAGACAACACTTTTCACAGTGCTAAGGCTTTCCAAGACATACACTGAATCTTTATAAAGTGGATCATCTGGGTTGGCCAGTCCGTGTGAAGGAGAGACGAGTTGAGCCAGTAAGAAACGAAAAAGGTGCTATCGTTAGAGAATTCGTCCACTAGAGACATGCAAGCACGTACCTTGATCTCTAGACTAGAAAATGGAGCATTCGGTGCGTATAGCCTTAGCATGTCTGCTAATATACATGCTACAATAGCTTGAATGCCTTTGTGTTTATGGCGCAGAAACGTAGGCTTGATCAACTCTTGGCAATACGCGTCAAGTTGTGATGTGTCAAGATCGCCTTGCGCCGTCTCTGAAAGTTCCTTTTGGAACTCTCTTAATCGTTCATGTAACTCGGCAGCAGATATACCAGTCTTATTGAGCGGACCATGGAACTGGAGCTGTCGCATGTCAGCCACCTGACACTGTTAGGCGGGTTCAATTTAGCGTGTTAACTTGATTCATTCGACGCGACGCGCGTCGTGGTGTGTTACGTGACAAGGCCGCGTAATCGCGACCAATCACGTGAACTTTAATCCACGATAAAGCATTTTACAGTTATTGACATGTTAGGTTAATGAAGGATGGGACGTAGTGACTGGGAGACTGGACTCGAGTTTGTGACGAAGGCGCTATGTTCTAATTGTATCAAAACTCATCCCATCGTCTTCCTCGAGAATTTCAGCCTCAGGGAGAGATGTTCCCGAACTGAGAGACAAAATTCTGGACATGACTGCCGGTGATGTCAGGAGCTGAGCAAGATCATTCTTGAGTGACATCGAGGCACGTTTTTCTAATGACCCTGCGGCTTCCAACGTCTGCGCCATGTTTTGGATATTAGGTCCAAGCTGGAGATTAAAGTGTACGATACTATTCCCAGCATCCATGTCGATTGTTCCACCTGGAACGGGTATGGCGTGAAGCTCTGCAGAAAGCTCTTGTTCGATCACATGAACTTCAAGGGTCCCTGAATTGGTCAGTGTGGTAAGAGTTTCAATCACATCGTGTTCTTGTGTCTCAAGAAAAGCAACAAGGTGCCTTAATGGGAAAGTTTTGTAGATACGCGCCAAAGCAAGAATACCGTGACGCATCCGAGCAGACAGGGTCCAGTGCACGAGGTCCAGAGTGCCATCATTAGCAAATACAGTGTTATGTTCCTGCACAAACTGGTCGAGTGCCAATTTGCTTCCAAGCACGTATTTTTCGTACATCCTCGCGAATTCTAGGTATGCTTCGCACTCTCGATGATAAATTGTGCGAACAGTGAGAGTCTGAAGCGGCATCATCTCCTCTAAGGAAGGCGTTGAACCATCGCGCAAAAGCCGGAGTAAAATGGATTTTTTGGCTGCCTTGTATTGCATAGCATGCACGGTATCTGTCGGAATGGATGTAATCTTGGACGGTCAGTGGCCGTACATGTATGCCTTACGCTTACGCACCGTTTCCCACATATGAATGGCATCGTTCAGAGCATGTGAATGCGCAAAAACAGTACCTGCGTGATCCATATACTCAAAAAAATCTGTTATTTTCGCCATCGCTGTGGAAAAATTCGTCATGTATATGTCAGTTTCTTGACACAACCGCAGAGCCTTTTCCATTTGTGAAGTACGAATATATTCCTGAGAATAAGCGAGATTGAAAAAAATAGCATAACATACAGAAAGTAATGGAGCATGGGCGCTTGTAAAGCCTTGATGATCATCAGCTAATATGTGAACGATTTTTTCCAACGTCGATGTGGCAAATAGATTCTGATGTCAGAAAGACGCTGGCTCGCACACGGCCCAGGAGCTGCATGAGGCGTGTAATGAACGTACAGGAAACATTGATGACTTATCGAGAATAGCGAGTGAAATTTGCGATACTAGAGGTTAATGAGTCTGTATGCAAAAAGATAAAAAAACACGAACCTAGGCGGGGCATGCACACGAGGTGCATGTAAAGATCTGGATGGTCTAAAACTTCCCTCAAGGGCGCACAAACGGAGGCCGCGTTGGCCGGCGACTTTATATGACGGATTTCAGCAGCACTTCTTTATTAGCATAATGATGACATACATGCATACTAGTGAAACGAGGGGTGATGTACTAGCGGCGAACAATTCCACAGTGCGACCCGTGCATTGTGGTCCCAAGACTGCTTGATCAACCTCTTCACGAGGCGGTTCTGGAACAAATGGCAGCAAGAGTTCAGAAGCTGTTTTTGGATCACAAGCACGCGCAGCCGCCGCGAGGAACGCTTCTGTCGTCACCCCTTCTGACTGCATCATTAGCTGAGCAATCCGTCTTATCCTGGCGACGTATGCTCTGATGGACGTGCGTTGTTTAGCTACACGTGCTGACTAAGCATGTCGTGTGCACGCGTTCTCCTCGTGCGTACGTTCACGTACTATTACAACCATACAATACACGTGTGATCCTACATTGCGTTCACGACGCCACTCCAACACTCTGGTACTCGGCAGTAGCGACGACGCGCATTCAAAATGCATGTGTCGGAGCCGCTGAGTACTAGACATGTACCGCGTCTCCCGATGATGTCAGTGCGCGATCGCAATGCTCAGCACGCATCCAAGGACAAAAATATGGCAACGCGCACGCGTCAACGCCGTACACTTCTTGAGTGTATGTCGCGTCGAACTGTATTTCGAACTCTCTCATTCCTTTCATTTCATGATATCATTAACTTGCTATGTGCAGATAAACGACTGCGTCCATTCGTTCACACCTCGCAGTTCTCACCATGGCGGAAACGGTTCCTGAAGTTTCGTGCGTGCGAATATGCTTACGAACGGCATGTATGTGCCCCTATCGATGAAGATTCGCAAAACTATGCAGAGGATAATGCATTTGTACATGCATATGAAGAAGCTGTCAGTGCTTTGGGTCTGTCGGTAGCACCCACGCATCTTCACGATGTTATTCCTTCTTTGCTCTCCACTCAGCACGAATCGTGTATTCCATCGAGAGAGGCTTGTGAATTCGTGATCTCTTGGATACTTGGTCGTGAGCCAGCGTCCAGCGCATATGTGCGTTTCGACCATGAGCACGCGTCGGAGCTATTGTACCATATGCGTCTTTTTCTTAACGTTCTGCGCCTATCGCGAAATCTGGACCCATCGTTGTCGTCGTCCTCGTCCTCGACGACAATCCCATTATGTTCTCAAACAATACTTACCTTGGACGCCGACTGTGCCAGCACACTTGTTGCTTTCTATGGACCACGCGCCCCTCTATCTGCGCCTGATGAGCTCACCGAAGAACAGGCGAAGTTTGTGGATTTTCATGTGCGTCGTACAGATCTTGTGTGCGTTCAGGCATATGCTGGTACAGGCAAGACTCGTTCGCTTCTTGCATATGCTCAGCGGCGCCCACACCAGCGGTTTCTCTACATCACTTTCAACGCAGCTGCGGCCAAGTCTGCAAGGCATGTATTTCCCCCTAATGTCGACTGTCGTACTATGCACTCCGTCGCATTGCGACATGTGTCACTACCAGAGGGTCAAGAGCTTAGAACATTACGCCCCCGAGACGTGGTCCGGCTTCTTGGAGCACGCCTGCCGGAAGGTAAACGAATCAAGGAGGGTACTCATCCACGCAACAGTGCGTTAGCACCAACTACCGTGGCGCTGTATATCCTTCGCACCTTGGATCGCTACATGCAGTCGACGGATGAGCACGTGCGATCAGATGCCCACATCCCTAAGAACATGGCGACGTCGACTGACCTTCGCGCCCATGATGTGGCTGAGGCTGCTCAGCAGCTGTGGGACATGATTTGCTCACATGCGTCGCCATCGAAGGACAAGCAAGTACCATGCCCGCATGATGCGTATGTTAAGCTGCTCCAGTTGCAAGCACATGCGGGTATGCGCTTTTTTGCTGACTACAATGCGCTTCTTCTGGATGAAGCGCAGGACTTGTCCGCCTGTCAAACGGCTATATTGTTGCGTGCGCGTGGGCATTGTGGTGTCATTGTTGTTGGTGATGTACATCAAAAGATATATGGATTTCGTGGCGGTAGTGCAACTGCATTCAATGCTCGCCTATACCCCCCAACTGCCACGTTTCAACTTACTAAAAGCTTCCGCTTTGGACCACAAGTTGCCAAGCTAGCGACCAAGATTCTGCAGCTTAAAGCGCCGCCTCCGTGGCATAATGAGAAAGAACATGGGCTTTGGCAACGACCGCAGCTCTCTGGACACGGTGCGGATATAGTGCATCGCGATCTACGGGCGGTTTCTCGCCGCCATACGCGTGTGTACCGTACGAACTCTTTGCTTACACGCGACTTGTTGCAACTCTCTGCAACTCTACCCGAGAATGACTGTATATACCTCAAGACGAGTCAGAACTTGTCGCACCAAGCAATCACGAGCTTGCTTCGTGACGGACACAAACTGTATCATGGTGACGTATCAGCGATTTCAAGCGGCTCGCCGTTGCGTGAGTTCGCTGCATGGAAGGAGCTCATCGAGCATGTGGAAGCTGAAGATGCTACTGATAGCAAGCTGACACTCGTCCTCTCTCTGGAGGAAATGATCTCTGCACCTGATTTTCTCGATAGGCTCCAAGGCCTTGAGCGTCGTTTCTGCACCAGCGAAGACTCAGCTACGATTGTACTAACGACCGTGCATCAAGCCAAAGGACTCGAGTGGAAGTGTGTTGTAGTTGCCGATGACTTTTCGCCCACACTCGATGCTTGTACCCCGTCTTTGCGCCCACAAGTATCACAATTCTTTGCGCAGGACGAGCTCAATCACATGTATGTTGCTATGACACGAGCTCGTAGCGAGCTCATAATACCACCATGCATACTTCAGTGGCTTATTGCGCTAGATGGTTTGTTTCGATATCGGTTTTGTGAAAAGAGGCGCACGTCGAAATGCCCTCGATGCCAGCAAGTGTCAAGTCTGGTGCAGATGTGTGAGCCATTCTTCTGCACACTCGACTTTGATGCTCGTGTGGAGACCTTGGGTTGCTTAACTTGCGTGCGGTCCTTGCTATCGGTCGATGATGATTTGCACGATTTTGTTCGTTGGATTGACGAGTGCGGTGTAAGCACTGTCACTGGGAAGCTTACGCCTGCGAGCATTGAGCGGCACAAACGCAAATACGAAGCCAAACCAGCGTCTCAGCGAAAACGCACCCGGAATGCTACGAATCTTGTAATTAACCATGGACGCTTATCGGCATTACTACCTGCGACAGGACAGGATGCCGGTCCGGAATCAGCACCTGCCCTCTTAATGGCACAGACGCCCATGGGCAATGTTTCACGCAGTTTACGGGCACAAAAGTATTTGGACATGCTCGACGCCAGAAAGGACAGTGTCGAGAGATGGCTCGAACTTGAGCAATATTGGCTGTCAGACACACAAGCGGCCTCGTCTGCCTCTGGGGACTCTACATCTACAATGATTTCTTCTTTCAACTAACTACTCATACCATGCATTCCAGTAGCATCACGGATCCGTGCAATGTCGTTTGCACTCAGGTAGTTCTTCTGACTAAGGAAAAAGTCTTCAAAAAGAGTCTCAACCTCAGAAGCACCGACCACACCTGCACGTAGCCGTGGTGCGGACTCACCATCGATGGCCATGACATCCCCGCCTGCAGCTGTTGACTCCTGCATGAACTCACTTTGCAACAGCTCACGCAGACGAAGCCAAAACTGCGGGTTCGTGATATTGGCGTGGTGCAAGCGAGAAATATTCACATTTTCCAGAGTGGACGGGGGCTGGTGAAGATCGAATGTGCTTGAACTTGGGCTTCTTAATTGTGGCTCAGTCTGAGGAGAGAATGGCCCAAAGCGTGACTTGGACTCAGACACAGGCGTAAGGGTCAATTCTGGGACGCTTATACTATCACTTGTACGAGGTGGTATTTCAACTCTTGTCACGCGCGCACTGGCAGACTCTTTAGCGTTTGGGAAGGCCTTTGTCGACACTGCGTCGATACTTGTGGGGGAAGTATTTTTCTGCGCAGGCTGCGCATGCTGAGGTGTCACGACTGCCTCCGATCCTGTCGCAGTGCTCGTGAGCGACGGCGACGGCGACGGCGACGACGTCGGAGGCTGTTGTGAATATTTAGACTTCAGCTCTCCGAATTGCTTTGTCGTGTATGTTTTCTGCGAGAATGCATGCATCGAGGCGATCTCGTTCTTCAGGCGGTCGTTCACAAGGCGATGCCGTTGAAGAGTGCTCTTTCCATCGAATTGATCCGACACAATCACAATATCATAAGCTTGACCGCATCCCCCAGACACATCTGACACAAATAATGTATCGACTTGGCCAACTTTTTCGTGGATTGCATGCTCTAACTCTGTCTGGCTTACCATGGTTTCAAGCCTGATGGTGCGATTGACACAGGGAGAGAAAGGCCATGCCTGAGTGGAGGCTGTGTTCATGGAGCGAATCAACGGAAATTGGGAAAATCCGTTCACGAGCGTTGGGTAATCATATCTTGAACCAATTTGCTGGTTTCCGCCGCCCGTCTTGGCTTTGCTCTGTTCTTCTTCACACAGGTGCTATCAGCCAAAATTTCGAATCAACAACGAAGATGCGCCCACAAACCTTTTTTTTCGAGAACTCTGGCCACCGGCATCCTGGCATCCTTCTTTGAATATTCTCGGTCTCTCTCAGCCCCTTAGTCACATTATACCTGATCGTAGCAAATGATCACATACCCTCCCCTCATGGTTCTTGCGTTCTATTTACTGAGCAACATATTGTCGCGCTCATCAAACACGGACTGGCGTCGGCGAGAGTGGGATTCAGGTTAGACGTAATAAACATATGCGCGCACATAGCATGATTCTAGCATAACTCGTTTTCGCAGTTCCTATGTAGAGAGGCTATGTTGGACCATCCAAGTGGCCTGAGTTTATCTGCTTGGCCTGTGTGGACACTCATAAAGCCCCACGCTAGGCACATGATGATTTGTAACGCTATTTCTCAGCAGCTTTCATAACTAATGGAAATGAATGTAAGATAAGGCCGAGCCTGATACGATTTACACAAGATGAATTGGAAGCGCGGATGAATTTGCTGGCCTCAAGGGAGGATGGAGGCGAGCGGCAGACAATGTCAACCATACAAACGCGACAATTTTAGCACACAGGTCAAGATTGTCGTGCCCAAGATAAATTCTCCACGATGTTGCGCTATTCCCCTCCACAACCCGATCCGGCTATGGGCCAGTGCGCTCCAGTCCACGTCCTAGTTGCAACCAGGATTGCGGTCAAGTACTAACAAAACTGTTACGAATCCGCGAACAACAATGAAGGTTGCGTGTGTCCAGTTTTTTCCACAACTGGGACAGGTTCAAGAAAATGTACAGCGCGTACGGAATCTTACAGCAAAAATCCGGGCTGAACAAGTTGATCTCCTTGTGCTGCCGGAAATGGCATTGACAGGTACGTCTTGTGTGTTAACCATATGGGCTATGCATATGAATCGCTGGAGGATATCGATCCATTTCTCGAAAACCCATATGAAGGCAACAGTATGACACTGTTGCTAGCACGTGAGTTATCTCAGCGCCTCGATTGCTATGTGGTTGCAGGGTTTCCAGAGCGAGCTTCGAGTCACACGTTTCGAGAGCTTGAGCCGACCGAAAAACGCCACGACGCTCGTCATATTGAGGAAAAAAATTTGGAATCGGCCCATCTACCCCGCATATCGCGCAAAGCATACAATGCGGCGCTACTCACAGATCAGAAGGGAAAACTTGTCAAGGTGTTTCGCAAGCACTTTTTGTACGAAGCTGACACACCATGGGCGGACGAGGGGCCTGGATTCGAGTACGTTGAATTGCCCGGCATTGGACGCCTTTGTGTCGCTATCTGCATGGACTTGAATCGTGCGTACTATTTCTATGAATATCGCAACGATTAACGTCTTTTCTAGCTTACGCTCTGGAAACGTCCTTCGACAAGTACGAGCTTACCTCTTACTGCGATCGCAATAAAATTGATGTACTTGTTGTGCCGATGAACTGGCTTCATCCAGACGAAAACCTCGAATCGGAAAGCAAAATTGTGTCAGACGCGTCAGACCCTTCCTCGCCGAACATTTTGACCCTCAACTACTGGGTCGCAAGGTGTGTACCGTTGTGGGTGCCGGGCCTTTGCCAGCCAGGACATGATGGACACAAAACATACTTTGTTGCATGCAACCGTGTTGGAACTGAGAAGGGCATTACATTTGCCGGATCGTCAAGCGTGATAGAATTCACGCTGTCGGACAAGGCCACTTTGCTTGGCGCGTTGGGGGTCCAAACGGAAGGTGTGCTTCTCGTTCCGACGCACACCAACTAGCTACGTGTCGAGATCATGAAAACGATACTAGTTATGATACATTGATTCTATAGACTCATTCGTTGAAGACGCCCATGAAATAGCATCGTCATCAACAACGAAAGAGTCCTGCGAGTACTCATCTACATGCTGCGATGAGGCCTCAAGCTCAGAAGACGGTTGTGTGACATAACGCTTTTCCAGCAGCTCGACAAGCCGATCACGGCGTCGAAATGGGGTCGGCGCTTGTTGCGACAGCATCGATTGCAAGTAGACTGCTTGTTGCTGGTACCCAGTGCGCTGTGTCGGTTCAAAGTCGCCAACAGCAGCGCGGTCATCGTCATTCTCTTCCGAAGTCGAAGGGCCATCGTCGTCTTCGTCTGATTCGCCGTGTGCTTCGGAATCAGTCTCGCGTTCGGCCTCATCAAGGACCCAAGAGCTCGCATGCAAGCGGCGCGAGGGCCGATCTGATTTTCGCCTGCGCTTGTGCGGCGAATCAACTGGAAGCTGTCGACGGCGCGGCTGGCATTGCTGGTGTTGCTCATACTTTGGCTGTGGTTGTGGCTGTTGATGTACGCGTGCTTCGGTCTGACATCGGCGCTTGACTGGCTCGCCCAGGCCACAATTTTGTTCGACCTTAGTGTGCATCGCGGGTAGACGAGAGGGCGAGGGCTCAGACGTGGACTGAGACGATAACAAAAAGAGAGGAGCTTCCTCTTCCGATTTTGTGGACGCATCCAGTTCTGCCATGAGGGGATGGGGTGCAAACCGAGTCAAGTGTGGCGATGACGCAGAAGTTGTTGGAATGATGTTCTGGCTGGAACGAGACAGTTCGGCATCATCTGAGTCGTCAGAGAGATTTGCTGTGCCGCTGAGTGAAGACGAACGCATAAGCAAGTGGACTGCGCGAAACTGACGATGCGGCAGCGGATGCAGAGGATGAGGATGCTTCGAGTGAGGCGCGAGGTGGCGCCAACATGGGCATGGCAGGACGAGTCAGTAAGCTTGTAGGTTCACCCTCCCGGTGCTCATCATAGCGACGATGAAGCTCGGCTGCTGAGCAGAAGCGTCTTCGTTCATCGTTCGGGACCGGCTGTCCACGCGGTTTGCGCGGCAGGCGTGACTGCTTAGAATCGCGCTTAGGGTGTGACAAACGAAGTTGCTCGGGTTCTTGCGGTGGCTGCTCAACCTCACACATAACAGGCTCAGGCTGCAAGCTACTTGGCACGAGACGTGGCACGTCTGTGTACAGCTCGATGGTATTTGCATGTCGGACCAAGTTCTGGATATTCTTGTATGAAGCCTTTGACTGATTCCAATTGGACTCTTCACGCTCTGCGGTCGTCATCACAACGACACGGCCATCCCGCATTCGACCTGTTCGTCCAATGCGCTGAAGGCCACGGACGGAGTCGCGCACTGCATCATAGCACACAATTAAGTCGACTTCGCCGATGTCAAGACCTTCCTCGCCAATCGAGGTGGCTACAAGTATTTGGACATGGCCGTCTTTGAATGCGCGAACGACCTGCTCTTGCTGCTTTTGCGAGAGGCCGCGATGGCCTTTTGAGTCACTTGCTTGCCCGATGAATGGTGTAGCACGCAGATCAATTTGGTTGAGCAACTCGACAATCTCATGCACAACCTCACGGAACGTGCAAAATACGATCGCGCGAGACGTATGAGTGAACTCGCGAGCAAAGTGCGATTGAAGGATCTCGGCAAGTCTCTTCATCTTTGGATGCACAATAAGTCCCGAGTCGTCCCGCACTTGCTGAATGTAGGTGAGTAATTTATTGATACTAGTGCTGTTTTTGGCACTGGCATTGCCTTGCATGCGTTCATGGCGGTTTTTTGACGGAGTTGAAGTAAACATGTCGATAGCACGATCGCAAAACAGACGCACAGACAATTCAGTCAAATATTGCATATTTTGTGCCATGTTCGCGAGTTTTTGTATGGCACCGTAGAGAAATGGTTTGCTCTGTAAAATTGCACGTCCATGTGGCTGAGCAGCGATCGACCGAACGGTGAATGCACGGACATCTGCTGGGTCATTCACATGCAAAAGCCCGTGCTTTTCCAGCGCTTCGTAATGGGGCCGCATGAGCGCAGCCCACGTAGAGCGAAGTTGTGCGTGAGTTTCAGAGAGAGGCACGTGCACGACATCCTCTCTTTTCCTGTGCAGGTACGGCTGAATATCGAGAGCGTCCTCTGTGCGTATTTCAATGCGACTAATATGTAGATTAGTGACGACTTCTTGCACCCGCTCAGGCCTATTCCCTGGGGTTGCTGTCAGCGCAAGAACACGGAAATGCGGGTTATAGTACATAAGATGTCGCATGACTTTGCAGTAGGCGTAATTGCCTGTTGCACGGTGCGCTTCATCGACGACGACGCATATCACATCACTTGGGTCACATGTGCTTGAGAGCAAGTCGTTTTCAAATGTCTGCGGCGTCATGTAGAAGATTCGCTTTGCATGCCATTCATCATCTCGTAAAGTGCGTTTCTTCGAGCCTGTGAGCTCGATGGCCGTGTCCCATGGCAGACCGCAGATGCTGTGGCACGCCTGCTGCTGCTGTGCGACAAGTGGGCGCGTTGGGGCGACAAAGATGATCTTGCCTTGCGGAAACCATCGAAACATATTCAGAATGACAACAGCCGCAATAAACGTCTTTCCCAAACCGGTGGGGAGTGCCACGAGCACATTGTCAAAGAGAGCCTTTTTTACAATGTTCAGCTGATATGTGCGGAGAGGCTTATTAGTAGGGTATATCCAAGTTTTGGCCTGTTCAACATCCAAAACCAGTTTCATGGGGCGCGGCTCGTTTTGGTAGATAGGGTCTACGTCGTTGTCCGACTCCATGTCGCCAATAGGCCGCTTGACAACACGATTGCGTTGCTGCAAAAATATGCGATGGTCCCATAACTTTTCCGATGTTCGACCAAATGAGAATCGAGGTGCAAGCGACACCTGTCCTTCGGACGAATTGATTTGGGAACAAGATAAAGGAGGAGCCGTGGATGGTCGAGTACAAGGAGAACATGTTGCTGAGGGCGACGACGAGGAAGTACGCTGGGATGTCGATTGTAGTGATGGAATACGACCCCATAATCCCTGCTGGATTAACGGCGTGCATGATGGGAATTGGGTCTGCTGATGACGGAGGGGGGCTTGAGAGCAACCGTGAGGAAGTGGGGGTGTTGTTGTGAGTGAAAATGTGGATGGTGGGTCAGATGCGCCTCTCAGCTGCAACGCAGGCGAGTCTGAACCTTGAGTTGTATCCATTTCATTCATCATAAGTGCGTCAAGAGACGGATCGGCAAATTCGTCGTCAAGCTCCGCTACAGACTCCATCCTTGCCGGTGGCACATGCATGTGATGCGCTTCAATGGCATCAATCTGCTCGAGCAACCCATCATCGAGTTCTCCTTCGAACTCATCGAACTCATTCATCGACTATAAGAACGACCAAGCAGTGCAGAAGACCCGCGGGTGCTTGCTTGCTTGCCTCTTTGCCACCCACCCACACACCAAGTTGCACCGTGTTGTACTCTATGCAACCTCAGCTAACCAACGCGCGTCTCGTTAAACAGCGCGCGTGTGTTGAATTGTGTGAAGTGGTGTGAGATTCGGCCGAAAATCTATGAGTAGTGGAGGGAGAATAGGCGTCAAGCACCAACGCGCGAATCGTAACCCGGTTGGCAGGTGACGCGAATGTCGAACTGGCCGCGACTTGCACTCTGGGGACAATTATAGAAACGCTAAACAGGAATGCTTGCAACATGTTTGTTAGTCATATTATAACATACATTACATACATTGGAGTTTGTAGGCTTACATTTTAGAAATGATGCAAGTTAAGTGACTGTGATACCTAGTCGATCATGCGTTGACAAAGCACCAACGGGCCGATGTGCCGACCACGACAGCGGCGACAACTTCGTCCACGAAATAGCTTGTTACGGATGATAGAAATGAAGGAGATTGGCATCAAACTCTGAGATGATGCTCTTGAGATCTCGGCGCCGGATCTTTTCTCGAGCGATAATCTCATCCACGTTATGCTTGCCGTTCAGGTAAGGAAAGAGGCGGATGAGCCACCGAGTGTGCCAAGGATGCTTTCCATCGAAAAGGGCAGAAATCCATTCACTTTCCGTACGGTTAGCACGAGCAGGCTCCTGGATAATGATGGGATGTGGCCTTCCCCCAGGGAGCAAGTCATCGAAACGGTCTTCCTCCAAATCCATGTCCAGCTCGTTCCCGCTGGTCGGGTGGAAATAGTCAGAACCGCCACTATAGTGCATATGACCCGATGGCCAGTCGTCTATACTGGAAGTGCTGCTCGCACGAGACGTCGCGTGTGATGAGTTTGCATGAGAACGATCCTTGGCTGGACGCTGTGGGATATTCAGGCCGTGTTCCATCTGTGTGCGAAGTCGGTCAATGAGCATTTCCTGGTCAGAGCTGGGCGGAGCATCAACCGAATGTGCAGCCCTATGCTTTCGGGCTAGTTGGCGCTCGCGCCGCTCACGTCGCAAATCAACGGCGCGTAACTGATCGCGTGCCGTGATTAGCAGGCGCAAATACACATGGAGTTGGGTCAGCACATTCTGACGCAGGAGCCAGATAAGAATATCAATTGGCGCATACTCCCTCGGTGCTACGACGCAATGCGAAACAAAAGGACGTAGACTGGACGAAACGATCGTGAGAAACTCTGGAAGAGACATCATTCGAGGGAATTGACGCGTCCAGCGCTCGCTCAAGCCTGCCAGCTCATGGGTGTCGAATGTAGGATTAATTGCATACAAGCTCTGTATTCGTGGCACATCAATGACCTGAGCATCCGCATAGTAAATCAGATGGCGTACCATGGGATATACATCCTTGTATAAGTCCCACTGCAAGGCCTCCGCCGCCTGTGCGAACGTCATGCATCCTTGTGGCGATGGACAAAACATGTGCGTGAGTGGCTCAGCCATCTTGAAAATGGAAGACTGGCGGTAAGGCAGAAATGCCTCTTCTGGCAGGAGCAGGGTCTTCCATGGCAACAAAAATGGGCCGGTCGTTCGAGACCACTCCTGTAGAATTGAAGGAAGCGATAGACTCGACGCATAAGGGCGGACGAGAGGATTCGTCAAGTCACGAGGCTCTGGTAGATCACCTCGCTGCACGACGCTATCGTGCATGTCGTACATGGGCTGAAACTCAAAAGCACGTTCCGCCTTATTCGGTTCTTGGAGAAGTTGTGGGAGCTTGAGCGTGAGACCAATATTCTCATTGATGAGCACGTCGATATTGTGTCTGCGAGCCATGGAGCGTTGAATATCTCGAAGCGTCTGTGCAAGAGAGGAGGCATTCAAGCTCGCCTTCAAGTATTCGTGAAAATTCGAGCCATTTTGCAAGTAGTCCTCACGCATCTGGACCAACAGATGTGCTTGCTCTGACACATACTGGACACGCGCCTCCTCCCAAGCAAGCATGGCAGTCAGCTTGAACAGGATGGTATAATATAGTTGTAGCCAGTGTTTAGAGTCAATGCAACGCACTGATGGATACATATTCGATCTGTCCAAGACCATGACGACATTAAAGATGGTCGATTCAACGGTTCTGGATTGCGGCGCGACATGCTCCTGTGTGACAGGATGGCCGAGAAACGTTAGATCATCAATGGTCATTTCAAATCGCTGGTGACATTGTTCCCGTCGAGGAATGAGAAACGATGCGAGCATACCAAGCTCGAAGCCAAGTAGCGACGTGTATGGACTCACACGCTCATCCCCTTCATCTCCATTCGTGTGTGATGCGTTAGAAGTGTACGAGTGCGTCAGCCGTTGTGACGCCCGTGATACGCTTTGACTGCGTCCAGACGATGGTCGAGCATCAGGTGAGCGCGCGGATCGATGACGTGTTTGTGAGCGAGCACGCGATGATCCAGAGATAGTCGGCGAGTATCCTAACCGGGAGAGGGATGAATCACGCACCATGCGTGATGAGGAACTGTCGCGAAAAGCGCTTTCTTCATCATCACAACCAATGCGAGCTGCTTCTTCGTTGAAGCTATCTTCCGAAGAGGCTGACATGGAATCGGACAACACGTCATCACTATCGCTTGCGACATTGCTCCTGGATTTCGCTTCATCTTCATGTACGAGCTCGCCATCTGTACTTGAATAGTAGCGTACATGTGAATGGTGCTTCCCTCGTCGAATGATAGCGGGCCAGTGAAATGCAACATTAGTACCACGAACAGTCGAGACGACTAACAGCATAGCAAGAAGCGGCGAGTTCTTCATGGTACATGCAAGTCTGCAGCCGAGCTGGTGCGTGTGTGTCCCGAATCAATAGGAGAATATAGACGCGAAGACAGAATATGGCAAGGGCGTGAAGTACGTCGTCGCTTGATCTGAATCAATGGATGGATGTCCTATCTGCGAGTCCCCATGGACCTGCTGACCGAATCGCTCCCAGAACTTTTCCCCTTGGAGAGCGCCAACGGCTATGGCATCCGCAGACGATGCGCGCCTCCACCTCCATACGGTCGGAACTTGCGCCGGTGGAGTCGGAGGTTAGAGTTGGAGTTGGAATTGGATTAGACGCGAGCTGAAAACGTAAAGGTGCCATTCTTGGACTAATCTCAACAGCAATAAAATGTAACCAAGATGTTCTTTAACTATGCCTGATAGTTAGAAGCCAATATTGGCAATGTCAATATCATCAAGCGTATTATTTACGGATGATGCTACGACTCCTTGCCCGGAATTGGGGCCCGTGTGCTTGTTCGTGATGGTGCTGTAGTTCGTTCGAGGTGACACAGGAATGGAAACACGCTCTGTGCTAACGTGACGAATATGTGATACGGTGCGATGTGGTCGTATGGGCTCAGATGGCAGCATGGGGGTGAAGTAAGGTGTGGCAACAAGGGCAGGCGACGTGGCCGCTTCCAATGCGGATTGCTCCACCTGGATCATAGGCGGCATTGATGTTGGTCCTGGTTTTGGCCCTGATGCTGGAGTCGAGGTCGAGACGGGTAGTGGTGTCGGAATCAGTTCTGGCTCTGCAGAAGAGCACGGGATTGGGGAGAACGGCAGAGCTTCTTGCTTAGACTGCTTTTCAAGAGCACACCAATGAGCAAGTTCAGCGTGCATGGATGTATAGTAGGATTGAGATGCCAGGCGCAGCGTTTGAATGACAGAAGAGAACTGTGCGAAGTAAAGCTCATCCACAAAAGCACGCGCCGCTTCCGCGCTTGATTTTAAGAAGGATGCAAGAATAGCATTGATGAGACTCAAGTTCTCAGTCAAGTACATGATTGCTTCCCATTCAACACTGCCCGTCATGCCACTCGGAACACGTGGTGCCATAGCTGCCTGTGTATCGAGAGAGTCCCAGTCCCAAATTGCATTGTTTTCGTGGCAAAAGATCCAGAAAAATTCGCCACACACACGCTGCAGCTCCTCTACATGTTTACGCAAAGGTCGGTGCTCGTGAGCGCATTGCAGGAAATCAACCTTGTTCTCCATTGTAGAGGGTCGTGGCGTGTGAAGCAGCATGGCAGCAAGCGCTGCGCCGTCATGCTTCTTTGAAGCGAAGGATAGGCACGGCACATCTTGCACAGGTACTCGATGGACAGATCGCTTCTCCAGCACAGTGGGTGGCAGATCATGGCCGACGAGCATATGCAGTAGAAGAACGATCATACGGCGCATCTCAAGCTCTTTCGGGATCTGGTCTGAGTACAGAGCAACACACAACTGCTCAAAAGGCGCAGGAGCTTGGTCGATTAACGCTGAGCGCCCAGACTTCGACGAGCCAAGTGCGACAATGCACCGCAAGATTTCGTACAAGAGGGTATCATCGTGTTGTTCCTCACGCCATTCCATGCGCAAAAGCGAGTCAAGATGTGCGAGAAGAGTGTCGTATCCACTGGCATCCAGGAACTCATCTAGCCATGCCGGAGATTCTGTAGCTAGAGCCACACGAAGCTGGCGCATAGAGTCAAGAGGGATCCGGTCCACTGGCTGCCGAATCCGCTGCAGAAGGGCTGTGGGAGTAATAGGCTGTGCACGCTTTGACCATGCCGAAGAACGTGCGAAAAATGATCGTTTCGCTGGTCGAGAAGGTAAGGTCAGCATCTTTTGGTGCATGCCTATAATTCTCTCGCGGGTCTCGAGACCAACATTTAAAGACTCCAGCTGGTCAAGCAGGGAGCTTTCGATATTGCAAGAGGTTCTGGGAGCGAAGGGAATAGACGAAGATGAAGCTCTTGCTTGTTGTTGGTAAGTACGAGTCGCACGTTTGGGCGCAGCTAACGTCAGAGATCCAAGTGCGATTCGCTTCGATCCCTTTTGCGGTGTTCGAGGAAGGGGCTTGATATTTTCTTGATTAGCAGTACGCATCGAGAAGAAACAGAGAAATGGGAATGGGCACTAACCCGGTCGAAGAAAATGTGTGTATGTAAGTGATGGGACAAAGAGGTTGGGCTAGAGGGCGGCAGAGTGTGAGCGAGCTAGAGAACGTGACAGAATGGGCCTGAAGAGCGGTATGTTATGAAGAATGGATCGAGAAAAACAAGCGTCTCCAATAAAGAAAGAGAGCACGGTCGTCAGGTGGTACGACTCTACGAAGCTCGTTGGCACCAAGCACAAAGTAACAACCCACAGGACGACGGTGCGCCTACTCAGGCCGTATGTAGGTTGGAAGAGCTCGACATTGAGTGGAGGAATAAAACCCAACACATAAACAGCAAGGTAGATGTTGCTTTTCGCGCATGTGGAGGAGTGACTGGCTATGTATCAACACGCGAATCAACACGACTCCCAGTCCCATCCACACACGCACACAGAGGCACGCCACAATCCAAAGAAAGGACTCAATCACCCAAGCAGCGAAACCTTATCCTCTTTATGCCGCCGCCTTTATGGGACGGAGCAGGTTCTTCGGGGCCAGGAAATCAGCGCGAAAATGTTGTGGTGTGTGTGCGAGCACGGCCACTCAATAGCGAAATGGATGCAGGGATTTGGCGCGTTGATCAGACACATAACAGCGTGATGCCGACCGACCAGCATCCATCACTTGCGAGACGTGCAGGAAGCAGTAAATCGACAAGCTCAGATGACGTGGATCCTTGTTCGATGAGTGCGAGTACGAGTACTTCGGGCTTAGCCACGTATGACTTTCGCTTCGACAACCTTGTTCTGGGCGACGAGCAAACGAAGGCGCTGTACGAAGCCAATGTGTACCCGGTCGTCCGCTCGGCCATGGATGGATACAATGGCACAGTGTTCGCGTACGGCCAAACGGGAAGCGGAAAGACATACACAATGTCCGGCACAGACAGGGAACCAGGTGTGATTCCCCGCACAGTCAACGACGTGTTTGAGATTATTCGCGAGAATCCATCGTGTGAGTACTTATTGCGTGTCTCGTATCTGGAAATCTATAATGAAACACTGCGCGACTTGCTTGTGGATCCGAACGCCAAGCGTGCTGTGCGTCCACCACGGATCTTTGAAGAGAAGGGGCGTGTCATGTTGAGTGGCATGGAGGAACAGATCGTCACGACGCCGCAGGAAGTCATGGCGTTGCTTCAAAAGGGCCAGCGTGCGCGGCATATAGGTGCGACGGACTGGAATACACGCAGCAGTCGAAGCCATTGCGTCTTCCAAATTACCATCGAGAGCCGCGAGCAGGCAAGCAAATCCGAAGTGCGTGTCAGTCAACTCAACCTCATCGACCTGGCTGGTTCTGAGCGAGCAGCATCTGAAGCTGTGCGCCGCAAGGAAGGCGCTTTTATCAACAAGTCGCTCCTCACTCTCGGGACGGTCATTGCGAAACTGACAGAGACGTCCACATCCTCAGACGTACATGTGCCGTACCGGGACTCGAAGCTGACACGCCTTTTGCAGACTTCGCTTAGTGGTGACGCACGTGTTACTGTGATCTGCACGGTCACACTCGACAAGGAACATGCGATTGAAACGCTCTCGACACTCAAGTTCGGACGACGATGCAAACTTGTCGTAACCAAAGCACAGCGCCAGACTGTCCTGGACGACAAGGCTCTGATCGAGCAGTACACGCGTGAGATTCAGGAGCTGCGTGCTCGCCTCGAGTCCAGTGGTGTGGGTTCCCTTTCCCCCACACCGTCTTCAAGCCATGGTGCCGATCGTGGAGAGTCAGATCCCGATGACCATCTCAGTGCCGAACGTGAGGCTGCCGCTCAAGAAGTGGCAGCGATGGAAGAAACGCGCCAGGACTTGCGGCAGCAAATTGATCATCTGACACGACTGATTCTCACGAGTCGTTCGGTGGCTGCACAAACGCCTGCTCGTTCCCCCTTGCATTCTGTATCGCAGGAAGGCTCGTATGCATCGCCCGCTCGTCGTGGACCGCGTATGAGCGACCTGCCCCCACGGAATGGTGACCTCGATCTGCATGCGTTGCGTCGCGAAATACATGAATTGCGCGTCCAGCAACAAGCTGAGCGCGAAGTGCATAAACGCACCGTTCGTGCGCTGGAAGAAGAGGTGCGCGAGTGGGAAGAAGCAGCTTCTTTTGCGCAGAAGCAGAATCAAGGCGCCAAGCGTGAACTTGTTCGTCTACGCGAAGAGCATGCCACAGATGAAGCGCACCGCGAGTTCCGCGAGCTAGTCTCTGTACACCGAGCGTCAGAACTGGACGATGGCAAAGATGCTGTACATCTTCAAGCGCGTGTCGCCGCGCTGGAGCGCGCTTTAAAAGAAGAAAAAGCCATGCGCGATCTTATTTCATTGCCCGAGCGGCCGCTTGCTCTGCCGATGGAGGCTCGCTCAGGTATGACGCCGCCGCGTGTTCCTTTGCGCTCACGATCTCAAGGAGGAAGCCCAGTACTGACGCCCGTGGACGAAGTGCACTCATTACGGCGCGAACTCGCAGAGCAAAAGGCGCTTGTGTCTACGCTGAACGCATGCGTGCATGGATGGGAGGCTCGTGTGAGGCAGCAGGCTACCATGATAGCCAAGCTGGCATCGCTCGTTGTGGACGATAGTGATGAAAATGACGATGACCAGAAGCAAATGAACGAATCCAGCACCACAGAGGCTGAGCGGAGCCCAGCACTTCCCGATACCCAAGCTAGGAAACCTCGGCTCAGTGGCCTCCGACCTAGTGATGTGGCTCAGGGCAAAGCGAAAGTCGGACAGGCTGAAAACTCACTTCGCCTTGAGCGTCCTGCGACGACCAAGGCTCTGCCTGGCAGACTGAGCACGTCGACTTTGGGTCTGCACGGTGTGCCAACCTTGGATGACAAGGCGCCGTCGAAGACCACGGGAACGAGGCAGCTGAAAAACCCGTTGCAGCCACAAGAAGCATCTACACCACACTCACACCCACGACCACCAACCCCATCTCATACCTCTTCATCGCGCGAGCCAGAAAAGCCCAAGTTTTCCACGTCAGTTGCGACACAGTCAGCTCAACGAGACAACACACCGGCCTCATCGCCACCACCCACAACTATGACCATTCACTCACCACGCACGCAGCGATCAAGATCAACACACATCTCACGCACGCCACCACCATCTCAGTCAACCACAGTAACAGCGCCCACAGCCACATTCCTACCCAAGTCACCTAGTCATTCTTTCACCCCAGAGCGCCGACGTGTCAAGGATTTCGTCAGCATGATCAAGCGGCCAGATGCCACGCCCATGCAACCCGAGGTGCATATCGCGAATCCTGTGCGCCCAGAGCCGCGCCTAGCTACGTCAGCATCATCGCGACCGACATCTACAGCAACTCAAGGACGTGCGCTGCCGAGCCCTCCGAAGGGCTCGCAGCCGCTGCCGACCCCGCCCAGCGGCGCACCCACTCGCTCTCTGCCCACACCACCAAACACAAGTGTTAAAGCACTGCGTGCGAGCTGGCTCGCACCCGCTGCAGATACATCCGCACCGCCGTCGTCATCGGTGAAGCCACCGCCTTCATCCACCACAGCAACATCCCGTCCAAAAGGAATAGCAAGTGAACGAAAGCGACCACCTCCCTCGCCAGCCGAGACGAGATCGAATCTTCCGCCATCCATGACATCCGCAACAACGACTATGTCAGCCGAGTCTCGTGGTGAGCCGCCGTCGAAGCGGTCGTCGAGCGGTGCGGCCGAGTCGCAAGCCAAGCTACGTGCTCGCCTGTCAGCCTACACCGCCGTGGCATCTGAACAAATGGCCCCAACGCCCCAGAGCGGCGTCGTGCGTGGCTTGGCACTTAAGCCTGTGCAATCGATGATGCAAATTCCGCGGGGACGCAAATCGCATGACACGGCCATCCTTCGTGAGCTGAATGAGCTCAAGTCCATGCCGCGTGTCGAGAGCAGTCGTGTTATGTACATGCCACAGACCTTGCCTTCGAATGCAACAATGGAGCGCCTACCTGCGACGGGCTACAAGACGGATGCTAGTGCCTATTACATTTAGTTTTGGGACCACAGCGCGCAATTTTCGCGCTGGCTGCGAGATCAATATGCGACTGTATGCCCCCATCACGCGAGAAGCTGCGAGCCACGATGATCACGCATTGGTTCTATTTGCCCTGAGGTGTGATCGTGGACGTAGCTCGGCAGCTTCATGTACAAACCATTCCTTCCCTGTTTCCCTACAGTTGCACTGCCTGTGGTTCCACTGCGGCTGTTGTATACACACATAAATATCTATGTAATGTTGATCTAATCATGGCCTTCATAGACTCATGGACTGGGGTTCTACTTTGACCGTCGTTACATTGCAAGTTAGAGGGCACCTCCATTGAAGTGGGACCTGCTTCTCATCGTATATATATATATGTATTGACACAACATGCCAGGATGCACGGATTTGTTCCACGTAGACTGGGAAATATTCGTTTGCTTCTTGTGCTCGATTTGTCTGTGTAGACGAAATGTCTTCTGATTACGAGAAGAGTGTTCATCGGCCGATGGATGACTGAAAGACTCCAGCCTAGCTCTAGAAGCCCCATCCTATTGATTCGTGTCATAGTGACAAGCTCCAGCGCCAAAGAGTGGATTTCTCATTTCACCGGCCCAGTGTTAAACAAGCGAGTGCGTCTGTCGCAACAGCTTGATTCCTGCTGCGCTCTGCACTGCACCGGACGGTGTGTGGAAATCACGCTGTCTTTCCCCACCCCATCGTCTCCCTTGCACGGGTCTTACAATGGATGTCGCTAGAGCCGGTGGCCTCGAACGCAGTCAGCCAGCAAAGGCCTCAAACGCGACGGGAAATGGCCTTGTTGGAGTCAACGAGGCTGATTATGGCAATCCCCGACCTATACCCAACTATGAGGAAGAGTCCAACCAAGAATTGCGTGTGTCTCAAGGCGTCGCATTTCCTTTATCAGGCTTGCCGACAGAGCTCAACTTCTCTCGCATATACGACAACCAGGCGCCTTCTTTGCGATCCGTCTTACTTACCAATCAATCTTCTCATCCTCTAGTGCTGGACCTGTCGCACTCCCCGCCGGGTGTGCGATGGGCACAGATCCGCGCGTCAGCAGGCGTGCAGACGGTGTCTTGGCCGCCTGATGTCGCTACGAATACCGTTGCTTGGGCCTATGAGGACGGTCTGCTCCCTGCCAATCTGCGTGCCGTACGGCATTTGGCTGCCAATCTTGAGACGTGTACGATAGTGACAATGGAGCCCCATGCATCGGAACAATTCTACGTTGAAGTGCAAGTGCGTGAAGTCACCAAGGCCAGCGCCAGCTCCTGCACAGGCACCGAGGGCAAGCCTTCTTCGCCGCCCTCCGAAGAATGCATTACAACAGCGTATGACCTGCCGATGACCATATTCGTGCACCATACGGAAGCGACAGGACATGGGCAACAGCGCATTCAGATCCCTGTCAAGATCAGTGCGTGCGAACCCGAGCTGCTCGTTGAGTGTGCGGATGCCGACGAATCAAGTGCGGGCCGCGATCGTGTGCTGTTACTGGACGTCGGCGATGTTGTCGTACACCAGCATGTTGTCCGCGATGTGCGCGTTACGAACAGGTCCGACATAGAGTGCTTTCTCCAAGTTCGCGTGCACGACGGTCGCGAAGTGAATCCACTTATTGCAGTTGATCAAACGACTCATGCACGCGTCGACGCCCGGCCAGCGGCGCTCGCGCCGCACGAACAGCGTATCTTCACCTTGGTGCTTGAGCCATGGGAGTCGCATGCTAACTTTGAACAAACCATCACCTTTGAAAATGCTCACATGCCCAACAGTGACGTGCGGATCTTGGTGCGCGCAAACCTGCTAGGTGCTGCCTCTGATGGCGCTTTATCGTGCTGAGTGAATGTCCCTTGGACTTTGGCGACTGCTGTGGCGGCGAATGGACGCGCCAACTGCTCGTACTGAAAAATGCGGGTGACAAGCACCTCGATGTTATGTTCCATACAGACAAAGATGCCGATGTGACGTTTCAACTGGCCGAACTTGCCCTGCAGCGCGACAGTGCTGACGAGGGCGATGTGCCTGATGATGGCGTGCCGCTAGGCGGCACATCGACATCCACGGCACGTGCGGCTCTATATGAGACCCACGACTCGCCACCAGCGGCCGCTAGTGCAACTCTAGCCTCCAATACAGTGGATCCAGCTTCTAAGGGAGAGGCTCCTGCTACACCACGCGTGCCGGACCACATTCCCCTGGTGGCTAATGACTCAGATCGCGATTCAGACATCTCGTCTAATGCGTCGCAGGCTGGCTCACGAGTCGGCAGTCCTGAACCGCGGCTGGACCTTGCGTCGCAGTCCAGTGAAACCGATGCAACAACGCATCATACATCTACCGCGGCAAGCACAACGAGCTCGGCCATGCTTAGTGGGAGCGTGCCAAGCATTTCACCCAGTCTGAACACGCCGGCGCCTGTGATGGGCCAGCGTGTAGCCTCTTACTCTGTCAGTGCACTAGCGACATCCCAGCCGAGGCACCGGCGTCACCACGACCCTGTTGCCATGCTGTCTGGTGTCGGTGAGTCGCAGTACAACCAGCTAGAAGAGCTTGTGATGCGTCCTGGTGCCCAGTACCGCATCGTTGTGTCGTATCGACCACCTCGTGAGCCTGTGGACAGCGAATACACGGGTGGGCGGCTCAAACACTCGTCATTCCGGATCTATTTGGATTATGTGCATGCAGCAGAAAATGCGCATGGTGGTCGTGAGCGGCGTGAGATCCAGTGCCATTTGCGAACATGTACGCCTTTCATCTCCGTCGAGCCACGTGTCGTCGATTTCGGCATGGCCAGCGTTGGTGCACGAATGACGGCCCAGGTGGCCATCACAAACCACTCCGAGCTCGAGACCCGTATCCTTCTGCGCTTTGTGTCCAAAGTCCTGAGCATGTACATGGATGAAATTGCTGTGCCTGCCCGGCAGACCGTTGAACTGAAGATGGAGTTCTTCCCGCGCCGCATTAATGAGTCCTACCGAAAACAGATCACCGTCATGAATCTGCTGAATCGGAGTAATGACCAGATCCTCGAGGTTCGTGCGCGCAATGTCGACCTGCAGCGCGTGAGTTTCCACTCGTTGTTCTACCGAATCCTCACGACTTCCGGCTCAAACTTCCTCGATTTTGGCGACGTAAATATTCATTCGCCCAGCGTGCGCAGTTTCGGCATCGAGAACTTGTGTGCGACACGTCTCTCGCTTGAAATGAGTGTCGCGCATCCCGAAGATCTACAGCTGTATGTGAAGGCGCCACAATTGCACACAACACGCTCTGACCACAACCGTGTGGCTGCGCTAAAGGAGCAGTTCCTCGAGACTATCTCCTCCGACACGCCGTCTCATTGCTCTGTACCAACGAAACGGATCCAACACACGCCTAAAAGCCACGCGATTGCCCTGAAACGTGGGAGCCGCGGCCGTGCCTCCTTTCAGTGCGGCTCGTCTATGGCTTTCCGCGATCGTTCCCTATTGCTTCCACTTGCCTTTCTTGACCTGGCTGCCGGATCGCCTGGTGCTGACCCTCGTCGCCGCTCAAGCACTCGGAAACACGCGTGCAAGTCGCCGCATGGAGCTGGACACAGTCCGCCACTGCGTATGTCTGGCCGCAAACCGAGCGAAACAGGCCGAACCGTCGCCGGCAATGCATCGGGCGCAGCCGGCACAACACTGGCCGCAGAGACAACCGCTGCCAACATGCCTACCAAATCAGGAGTACAAGGCGTGCACGCTGTTACGTCCGCCGCTAGAGCTAAAGCTGACATAGGTCTTGGATCTGGCTCGAATGAAGGCGTAGGCACGGGCCCTAGCACATCGATGCGTTCAGCCGGAGCTGCAGGCCACACAAGACAGCAAACACAGTCCCCGGCACTAACAGGCACATGGTATCGAGCAACGCGCTTTGCAGACCCACAGGATGTCGCTGCACTTGATCTCGATGCGCTCATATCAGCCCTGGAGCACCAACCTGCTTCCTTATCGACCTTCTTTGTGCGAAACGTCGAGGCGGAAGAGCGATTGGTTCGTACGGAAATCAATCTGCATCGTGCGCTGCATGATGCAATTGCCTCCGGGCAGCTCATACCGACTGGCTTACTGAACGTGCCTCCTCACACGGTCATGCAAGTGGTGGCTGTGTACACGCCACATGGCAGCACACGACCGCATATTCAGGGCAATGCGCGCAAGCAGGATTCAAGAATCTTTTTGCGCTTGTTGGAGTTTGATATGCGTCGTGCAGAAGGCCTGCCGGAATTTGAGGCGCTTCGGCAGCGCGATGTCGACGAGCTGCCCGTGCGCGACCTGATGGTACGCTCCAGTGTTTGCCGAAGCATGCTCGAGCTGGGACAGCCGCACATCAACTTTGGTCACATGGACAAGGGGGACCAGCGTGAGCGGAAGATTTGGATCCAGAACAGGAGTGAATGGGCGTTGCGCTACTGCATTCGGAAGAGCGGTAGTATTGCCTCGGGCGACATTCGCTTGGGCCGAGGTCGTTATGGCATTGTGCCTGGCTACGGAAAGCGTGGCGTGGACTTCACATTCTCGCCCTCGTTGTCAGGCCCCTTTTACGAGCGCCTGCTTGTCGAGAACATTGCGGACCACGATAATGACCAGGCCATTGTGCTCAAAGCGAATGTGCGCAAAGTGGCAAACTTTGCCATCGATCCCACATCGCTTGACTTCGGTACATGCAGCTCGCAAGACTTGGTCTCAATGCCAGAAAGCGTGTTATTATCAAACACGACAGCAAAACAACGCACGTTCGTCGTGCGGCTGGATGATCCCGTCTCACCCATGCTCGACGTGCTTGTTGCCATGAGTAACGACAGTGCCACACGCCGGGCGCTTTCTAGTGAAGAGGAGGAAGAAGTAGAGACACTCTTCCAGAAACTCAAAATCGCCAGTCGCAAGGGCAACTTGGACAAACTAGCCAAGTACCGCGACCGCCTGACCCAGCTCGGTGTCTCCATACCCACCGCGGCGACTTCGCCATCGACTGAGGAGCCTGCTGCCATTCCCACGACACCCAGCCATGATGAGTTGAAACACTATACACTCTTGACGAGTGGAAGTGCTCATGACAGGAGCGCACTCACGGTGACGATTGGGGCTCAAAGTTCACACAAACTACTCGTCCGTGTGCGTGCGTCATCATCAGCGCTAGTCTCCTCCTCGTCAATCGCAAATCCCAAGGCCAATTCGACTGAACACCAGCCGCTCGATGCTTTGGTGTATTTGCAAATTCACGAAAATAAAAACAGCGACGAAAAACGACACGTCATTGTTCGTGCCCGTATAGAATCGTAGATGCATGCAGCATGCCAGCGACACGAGAAATAACTCATGTATTTCAACGAAGAACTAGTCGAATGACATCGTACGTCCTTGGTGTTCGAGATTACATGCTACGTCACGGTCTAGCCACCCTTGCCGCGGGCATCATCCATTGCGCAATAGTAATGCATCGTCGCTCCAGTGGCGGGCATCACCGCTAGCACGGCTTGACCCAAGCGTCGGTGGCATCGCACGCATGTCCTGCCTTCTGTTACAAGGACATGCCGTTGCTGCAGCGCACGCAGATCTTGATCGAGTGCCGATACTTGAGCCTCACACAATGCGCGTATCACTCGCACATTCGATCGCTCCATAGTTTGTGCCTGTAATGCGCGCTCCAGCAGTCCATACACGTGCTGAACGGGCAAGTTCTGAGGGAGGAGCGCGAGAACCTCACCTAAGTTTAGATCCTGCGCATGCTGCGTCAGGATAGCGTATACATGATGCAAATGCTGTGGCGAATACGTCCGCGCGATACGCAGGAGCTTTGAGAGGAGTGTGCCGCGTTCAGTGTCACGCGCATATGTGACACAATATGCTTCAGCTCGTGCAATATCGCGAAGCTCGACGAGATACAAGCGCAACGCCTCGTCATGACGGCCAAGACGACCGAGAAGCACAGCCCTGACTTCAGGCCACGCCGGCTCATCAGGCAGGCGATGCAATACAGCGTCGACATCGTACAGTGTCGACTTGCACAAAAACTCGAGCAACGCCGCATGTGATGCACCTCCTCGGCACGCATCCAAATACAGACACGCACGGAGCGTGTGCAGTGATGGGTCAACACGCCGAACCTCCATCACGCATTCCAAGTACGTGAGACAGAGCGGAGGACGAAACGAAGCCAGATCATGAGCGATGCGTTCCGGGGGGAGCGACTCAAGATGAGACTCGGACGTGAAAATGCACATGCCCTGTTCGGGATCCATATCCAGAACCCAATGCGCGTGCAGCAAAATCAAGTCCAGATGCTCGGGACCAAGGGCTTCCAAGTAATCAATCGTCGATTTGATGGGATCAACAAAGTACTCGCGTTGAGATTGAAGGAGTTCAAGTGCAGCCGCATGCATCTGCTTGCTCCGGTACAAGGACACAAGCGCATCAAACATGTGTCGCTGCTCAAGATGCGGTCGAACGCGCTCGACGTCACACCAGTTATCGACACGACACATGGGGCCCAGTAGCGCAGGTTTTGTCTGCAAGAATACGTGGAAAAGAGCCGTATCAACCACCTGCGCCATAGCCATGAGTTGCTTTTCGTTCATCTTATCGAGTGTGCACGCGCACATTGGCAGGTCTGCAATGCAGTGGGTATCAACGCAAACAGTGTGCTTTAAGTGCGCTGTCTTAGGGCGTAAGACACGCCGACAGTCACTCAGATAGCGAGCCAGGGCATCCAGTGCTTCTGACGAAGTTCGTTTTGTTTCATCGACTGCATGATCCCACGGTATTTGTGCATCAAACAAGGTGGCCCACGATGACGGCGGCTGCGCATGAGGCCCCGAGATCGTTTCTGGGTATAATGCTAATACATAGGTGGGATTCATGTGTGTGTCGATGAACAGGTCCACGGCGACATCAAACTTGCCATTTACGAAAGACGCCAACCCCACGAGTGCTTGAATGTGCAGTCTTTGGTTATGAATATCATGTGGCCATAGAGCTGGGTCAAGTGCATCTAATAGCGCGAGTGCCTCATGATAGTTGCCAGAGGATGTCAATGCCGCCAGTTGGTCGTTGACGGGGCTCGGTTCTAGCGCATACAAGGAGCCACTGCTACGAGACGACGAGGCAATCATTTTTGCGCCCACCGTCACTTCGTTCGGCATTGCCACACAGGCCGATGTGCAAACAACCACTCCAAGTTGCGGTCCTGCCGCAATAAAACGAACAGCTCCCGCCTCGGATGGCAGCTTTACGCTCTGCGCTCGGCGCAACGTCGTCTGCATGTAGACACCAAGCGTGCCATCAGACTCGTGCAGCACGAGATAAGGCGCAGCAGTTGTGCCATGCAATGGTGGAGCATCCCATTCCAGCACATCTTTACGGGATGGTCGCCCATATGCATCCACAAATACACCTTGCCGCATTGTGCTGACCAAGACATCGTGCTCAAGAGCGAGTACCAACGGACGCCATGAGCGGCTCCACCAGTTCGATTCTTGAGCTGCTGATGTCGGCAAAGGAACAGCATATGTATCCCATCCTGCAGTGTCTGTCCATGTGCCAGAAGTGAGCGCATCGCTCGGGGGGGTTCGCCATGCAACACTCGATGCATGTGCTGGCCGTATGGCGACACGCACATATTCATACTGTGCATAGCCAGCAAATAGGGATGTACCTTGAAACAAAGCGAGTGTCTTGGGCGTACGTGGAAGCGAATGCACTTTACAGTCCCAAAATGCGCCATCAACCCAGCGATACAGCACCACACACCGTTTGCATGCGACAGCGAGCATGGATACACGCACATCATTCAACGCACGCCGCTTCTCACGAGCAACATCGTCCATACTTCGCAGTCCAACAGCTCGCTCTGTTTCTGTTCGTGAATGTGCATCTGCGGCGTCCGAGCGTGCTTCCAACCAAGTCCCAGCCACGAATAAACTCGCGCCCTGCGTGAGTGGCAACCGAGTAGGCGTGTCGAGACTCTCATGCGTACACAAGTTCACGTACGAATCTCAAACATAAGCTGGTCACGAAGCGCAAACGTACCTGCCAAGCATGCAATATATTCTGTGCCAGGAATGCCGCCTATCTGCTCAATTTTCCGTCGTGAAGGCGAGAAGCGTGGCGACACTTTGGGTGCCGGCTCTGGCACGATCACATGTCCACTAGACGTGCCAACATACACATGTTCGGCTGAGCCTAGCGCTGTAGCATCAGGGACATGCGTGATGAAGCGTGCCTGATACACTCTATGCATACCGTCCCGTCACGTCAGTGCACGCCACCCAGAAGAAAGTTCAGCTTGATCGCTTGTCAAGACTATATGTTGGACCCTTGGTGTGGAGGACATTGATCGTCATCATCCGGCACACCCACGTGATGACAATGAGACCTTGACACTGTGGCACGCACAGACACTTGGAGGGAAAAGGGGATTATCACCCATAATTCTCGCTCGGCTTGACATTCATGCTTGATGACCAGCTTAGCAAAGCGCTAGATATTCGTGAGCGGCAAGGTCGGCGCCGGCAACTATTGCTTCAGAACCCGAAGGAGGCTGAGCGCCTGGCAAGACTTGTCGACTTTTCATCAAACGACTATGTATCGCTCGCACGAAACACACGCGTTCGTGAAGCATGGCTCAAGCGCCTACACGATAATGGCGAATCATTCGGTAGCACAGGAAGTCGACTATTAGACGGCGACTCTTCCACGCACACGCAGCTGGAGCAGCGACTAGCAAAGTACTTCAAAGCGCCTGCAGCGTTGCTTTGTAATACTGGTTTTGATGCCAATGTGTCTCTTCTTTCGACGATACCACAGCCTGAAGATGTCATTCTATATGATGAGCTTATTCATGCAAGTATGCATGATGGCATGCGGCAGTCGCGAGCCAAAGTCTGCGTGCCTTTCCAGCACAATGACCCCGTTGATCTTGATCGCCAACTCTCGAGCGCACTAGGCTCCAACCTCCTTCGCGACATTCAGGATGGTAAGCGAAACGTGTTTCTCGCGTTAGAGAGTGTATACAGCATGGATGGCACAGTATGCGCGCTTCGAGAGCTGGCGCATGTGTTGGAGAAACACGTTCCCTGTGCATCCACGAGACATATTCTTGTGGATGAGGCACACGGTGTTGGCGTATATGGACGCGGTGGGCGTGGTGTGTGTGATGCATTGCGATGCACAGACTTGCCATCAGCGCGGCTTGTCACCTTTGGAAAAGCGTTTGGTTGCTCGGGCGCCGCCCTCTTGGTGCCGAGTCTCTGGCGAGAATACTTGCTCAACTACGCGCGCCCGCTTATCTATTCAACAGCACTCTCACCAGCCCAAGCCGCGGCTGTAGACGTTGTTCTTACTGCATGGGAGCGTGGTGAGTTAGAGGAGAGCGTACAAGCTCTGCACGCACGCATCGCTGAATTGTACGAGTCATTGGCACTGCCGGCCCCAACAGCAGCTTCGCTGCCGCCAGCGCCAATTGTCCAAGTGCAAAGCAAAGAAGTAAAGAGACTCGCCGCGCAGCTACAAGATGCTGGATTCCTTGTTCGTGCCGTGTGTTATCCCACAGTCCCACGCGACAAAGAACGTGTGCGTATCTGTGTTCATGCCCACAACACGTCCGATGAGATCGCTCGTCTGAGCCTCGCGGTACGTGCAGTGACTCATGCGTCTTTGTGACGTTTTGTTTGCTCAACGAGCGTCTGAACATTCCATTTGCCAAATCTTTGGTACTCGTCGATTGTACCTATACCGCATATATTTCGAAGTACTTCAACGATGATAATGACATCGGCTTGTGCCAAGTCCACGCGGTGTTCAGCATTCTTGGGTACACATGAAGCAATGAGTGGAATGAGCATATCTCGCGATAATGATGAATGCGCTCGAATACGTGGCTCAATGCGATACTGTCAACATGTCAGTCAGCCCGATTGGCTCTCGTGTTCACGACCAGCTCAAGTAGAGAAACCCAATGACATACCGTTCGTGCATGGCCCTCAGGAAATGCTGGCGCCAAAGCAGCCGTGGCAGCAGTGCGAATCGATTCAGTATCCGTGCGACAAAGCACACGGACAGGCGAAAGCCGTTGGACGAAGCGGCTTCGCGATGCACCTGTGGTTTCCATGTCGGTTAGCACACGCTTGATTAGCCGATACGGATCAACTGGTGGTAGACACTGGATAAAGCATACTGCATGTAAGAAACAAGAACTCGGAAAGACATACAGCATTCTGTATCGGTGTCCAAGGCAGTAAAACGCGACAATGATGGCGTCGAGCGTAGCGCTTGTAGCTCCTGCTGGATTTGTGTCTCAATATCTGATGAGGAATTCACTGAGGTTGGAGTGGCCGCACCTTTAGCGCGAGTCGCAGGCGCAGGCCCATTTCGCAAAGAGTCCATATCCTCTTCGTCTACGTCACCGTACATGCATTGAGCTTTCTGTTTCAAATAAGTGCCCATTCACATACTTCTTCCATAACTTCAATGAGTTCAGATGCAGCTTTTCGTTCCTTCCCACGGGCACACGACATGAACACGCCGCCACAGCGTGGATAATCGAGTGCATGAACGATCTTACGCGTATGTCGTTGGTGTGCACTACCAACTCTTGGACCTTGTTTCCGCCGACGTTTCGAATGTGAATAATGATGCTGGGACTCCTGCTCACGTTTGGTCATGGAGAACTAGTATCTATCTAAACAACACCTGGTGCCCAACACTGGTGGCTTATGGCATCATCACGAACTGTCCGAGCAACTAATGGGCAAAAGCGGGTCCAGGTGGAGTGTAAATCCATAAGTTTCAACGTTGAGTGGATGTTGGTGCATGGGCCAAGGAGGGACAAAAGTTGAAGAGGAACTTGTGAAGGGCGGCCCCGGCTGCTGCAAAATCTTATGCCATCTCAACCTCAGAACGATCCTGGTGGGGTGCAGGCCTTGCTAGCTAAGCTACGGAGCTTGCAAGACCGTGTCACAGACACTGATCCAAATCAATGCACGCAGTCTGGTCACCTGCGCCCGTGGGCTGTGTCGTCGCGGCCTCTGCCAGCGTACCTGCGTCGTTCAGGCGTGTTGGCCTCAGGAACCTCCAATCCGCTTGCATTGTCTAAGCAGCAGCAAGCTGCTCCAAGAGACGTAGAGAATGAACAGGCCGTCAAACACACACTAATGTTGTGTGAAGACGCATCGTTTCTCAAAGCATTTGGCAAGGTACGCCATTGCCCTGTACTTATGCAGCTCCAAACTGAGCAGGATGCGCTTGAGCTGGCGCTAGCTAAAGAGCGCACAGCACTCGTGGGAAAAGACGAGGAGCATCTCCGAGGACCTAAGTATGTAATCAAGCCTGTCATTCTGTTCTCAAGTATGCAACTAACCAAACCAAGTGGTGCTCGTACGCAAGCAGCTTATGCGCATTGGACTTGGGAAGCTCTACGTCGATGGAATCAGCTAAGGTATTCACAGCAGCAACAGCTAGAGCAGGTATGTATTTCGTAGATGCACTGACTCTCAGTTGGGTGTACCATGGTTCTACGACACAAATGACCCTGCTGCATTGGAGCGACAATACCGCCTTCTAACCGTTTTGCTTGAACGAACGCGAGATATACCAAAGTAAGGAAATTACAGTATAAAAAATTGTCGATACACCATGCGTCCGCCATGATCACGTGCTCGAGTGGAAGCTAGCGACAAAGTTTCCTTGCTCATATGAACTCGTTACCAACATATATTTCTCGTTGGCCTGTGCATTTAAGAACCTGCGACGTCCAGCAGTGGATTTCTGGCGGGACATATCCTGCCCATAAAACGCTCAGAACGCGGCAAGTTATCCTTTCTGAGTACAAAAGCTGAATACGATTTTTTTTTGAAAACACTCTTTCTCTCTCTCTCGCCCTTCTCAGGAGTGTGTGCGATCATGTGGGCAGCGTGCACAATCGTAGTAGCGTCACTTTGGGTATTGGTGCAATGGATATCCCTATATGCTCCTTACACCCCGCCCACATTATTGCATGCTCTTTCGAATCTGGAACGTGCCGGAACACCATCCCGCTTGCCAAGACAGGTCCTTCCTCAACACTACAATGTGACTATACTCACGGATCTGGATGCGCTCAAGTTCCAAGGGGCGGTAAATGCATCACTTCAGGTTATGAATGACACGAATGGATTCACATTCAACGTGGGTCGTGACCTAAATTTGAGCTCTGTGCGTGTCGCAACACACTTGGGCACTTTTGTCTTGCGTCCCCAGCGCGACTTGGAACACGAGCGTGCCTCTGTTCATATACCTGTGGTTCTTCGTGAAAATACAAACCTCTCCATCCTCATGGGTTTCAGTGCTAAAATGAAATCGAACCGCATGGGATACTACTACGCCGATTGGACACATAAAGATACCCATGGCCACTATGCCTTGACGCAGTTTGAGCCCACAGCTGCGCGCACGGCCTTTCCTTGTTGGGACGAGCCGGACTTGAAGGCTACGTTCGAGGTGCATCTGCTCCACCGAAATGCAACAACCGCCTTAAGTAACATGCCCAATATCACTGCTTCGTACAGCGTAACGGCCGACCAAGTACTCAGCGCCTTGCATGTGCACCCGCTACGATTCGAGAAGCCCGTACTCTCAAATGCTACATGGGTCCGTACGGATTTTGAAAAAACACCTCGCATGTCTACCTACCTTTTGGCCTTCGCGAATGGCATGCTGGAGCACGTAGATGGCTCTTTCTTGTCGTCCAGTCGAAGACCAGCCATCTCGATCCCACTCCACGCTTATGCAACGCCTGAGTATGTCTCCAAAACGCATCACGTTGTGGACGTAATGAGACGCGTTATGCCATTTTACGAGCGCGTGTATAGCATCGCTTACCCGCTCCCAAAGTTGGATATGCTCATTGCCAAAAGTTTTGACTCGGAAGCAATGGAGAACTGGGGTCTCATCACTGGACGCAGCACAACCTTTCTCGTCGACCATGCTATATCAAGCTCTAGTGCAGTTAATACGGCTACACGTATTGTGGGTCATGAAACGGCGCACATGTGGTTCGGTGACATCGCCACGATGGCATGGTGGGATGATCTCTGGCTGAACGAAGCCTTTGCGACGTACATGGGCGAAGTTGTTTCCATGTCGGCCGTGTATCCTGAAACAGATTGGATCGGTGAGTTTGCTCATACAGAGCTTAATCGCGCTTTGGATCTCGACGCCAAGCGATCGTCACATCCTATTCAGCTCGCTCTGAAGGGCGAAAATGTGGAAGACGCTATTGGTCAGGTCTTTGATGCGATCTCCTACTCCAAGGGTGCTTCTGTGTTGCGTATGCTTTCACATATGATTGGACAAGACACGTTCATTCAAGGCGTTAGTCAGTACTTGACCAAGCATTTGTATGGCAATACGATTACCGAGGACCTATGGGAAAGCATGAGCAATGTATCGGGCGTCAATGTGAGCATCATCATGTCCGACTGGATTCAGCAGCAAGGATTCCCTCTCTTAACAGTGACTGAGGGACAAGACTCGATTCATATCCGACAAAGTCGCTTCTTCGAGACGGGCGATGCACAGCCCGACGAAGACACGACTCTCTGGTACATTCCCTTGGCACTCAAAACGATTCGACATGGCCTCGTGGAAACACATAATTTCACGCTCGATCGTAAGCGCTCGATCGAAGTACCCATTCTGCCTGACACGATATGGAAACTGAATGCTGACCTCATTGGCGCGTATCGCGTCGTGTATTCGAGCGAACACCTTCGCAAACTAATAGAGGCAAAGGCCTTGCTCTCGCCACTCGATCGCTTGGGTCTCGTGTCAGACTCGCTGCGTTTGGCCATCGCTGGCTACGCCAGTACGCCAGATGCTCTAGATATCTTGCTTGCTTTTAGGAACGATTCAAGCGCGCAAGTTCAACGCACTATGGTAGAAATTTGGGTCCATGTGAAAAGCATGTGCTGGGAGCAACCAGCGGCATTGCAACACGCGCTCAACAAGCTGGGCGTAGACTTATTTGGATCTTTCGCACGAGTACTCGCAGGTCGTTCAGATTTGGAAGAGCCAAACGAGATACGTCTTCTTCGCACCTTTGTTCTCGAGGCTGCCTCAGACGCTGACGATCCATGGACGCTTACATATATGCAGGACCTGTTTGCCGAGCATGTGCGTAATAACCGACGGGTACCTTTGCATCCCGACCTCCGGTCAACCATTTTGAAACATGGAGTGAAGAACGGAGGACTCCGAGCCTATGAAGCCGTCCTTCGTTTTTACTACGAAGCAGACGATCCATCATACAAATTGGATGCACTCCTTGCATTATGCTATGCCCAAGACGACACCCTTGTCAGGCGCTCTGTGGATTTGGCATTCAGCAATGATGTGCAAAAGCAAGACCTGCTCGATGTTGTGCGTGCACTCTCTATGAATCCAAAGAGCCGCCGGTTGCTATGGACATTTTTGAAAGCACGGATGCATGAGCTAACCGAGTCATTCTCCGGGAACCTGACGCTCGTTCGTCTCATAACGGCAGCATTGAGTACTTTTACAAGTGATATGGATGCCGTTGACATCGAGCAATTCTTCGCCCATACTCATACATCTCAATTCGACATGGGCTTGTCTCAAGCTCTAGAAACGATTCGAGCGCAAGCGCAATGGCTTGAGCGAGACGTGAAGGATCTTTCCGCATGGCTATCAATGCGAGGTTATTTGTAGCACGCAACTACGTAGCTGTGTTTAGAGGCGATTTGTAAACGATAGATCGTGAAACGCTGATAGGGCCTGCCGTTTCTTATGATTGTTCCCCGCACATTTCTTGCTTTCAATTTGTTCTTGGGCCAACGACAGTGCATGTGTGCTTCGCACGCACCATGTGGGCTCCTTCATCTGTTGCGACTGCATTCCTGTTGGCATGGAAGGCACTCGTGCATCAAAGGGAAACGCATGTCCCTGCAACACTGTTGCCATCAGTGAAAATTCCCTCATCCTCACAGTCTGTTCATCTCCCTGATACCGCGCGTCCAACGCACTATGACTTATCGATCATGTCCGATCTACAGGACTTGGAATTTGCCGGGGGCGTGAATATTACACTCGACATCCTGAAAAGCACTTCTATTCTCGAATTTCATGCTGGTAGAAATTTGCAACTTGGACGCGTACGGGTTCAGACTCAGGATGGTGACATGTACACTGTGACCCCTACGATCCATCATGATCGTGAACGTGCAATGGTCAAGCTGCCCAAAAAGTTAGGTGAAAATGAGCGTGTCTTCCTATCAACTGGTTTTCGTGCTGCGATTGATCGAAGCTTGCGTGGTTTCTATTATTCGACATGGGCGCATGAAGGCCAGATGGGCAGGTATGCATTGACGCAATTTGAGCCCACGTCGGCTAGACGCGCTTATCCAGGATGGGATGAACCCGCCTACAAAGCAAACTTCACGTTTCGTATGTTGCATCGCGTCAACACCACCGCTCTGGCAAACATGCCGAGTGCATACGAACGATCCGTGGATAAAGAAGAAGTCCGTCAACTTTTGCAAACAAGATCGTCTGGACTTTCATTACACCAATACAACCTGGACGAATGGCTTCTAACGGAATTTGAGACGACGCCAAAAATGGCTACGTACCTCGTAGCATGGGCCAATGGAGCTTTTCTGCACGTCTCCAACACGACCATATCCCCGTTGACGGGACGAGTCATCCCGCTCCGCATGTACACAACACCAGACTTGATACATCAGGCTGCATTTTCGACTGAAGCCATGGCCAAAATACTGCCTGAATATGAGAAGGTTTTCGACATCGCGTACCCGCTCCCCAAACTCGATGCGCTTGTCGCCGCGGACTTCGACTTCGGTGCTATGGAGAACTGGGGCCTCATCACAGGTCGGAGCTCTATATTCATGCATGACGAATCTATGGGCCTGCGTGGAATGAAAAACACCGCTGGCGTCATGAGCCACGAAATTGCACACATGTGGTTTGGCGATATAGCAACAATCGCATGGTGGGAAAGCCTGTGGCTAAATGAGGCGTTCGCGACACTCATGGGCGAGGTCATTGTCCTTGACCGCGTATTTCCCGCGTGGAAAAGTGCGAGCGAGTTTGTTGTCATGCACTGGATGCGTGCACTGCAACTGGACGCGAAGCGCTCCTCGCATCAGATTGAGATCCCACTCCAGAGTGAGCGGGTCGAAGATGAAATAACACAGGTTTTTGATGATATTTCATACTCCAAGGGCGCCAGTGTCTTGCGAATGCTATCCCATATGCTAGGCAAAGACGTCTTTCTCCGCGGGGTAAGCTTGTACTTGAAAAAACACCTATACGGCAGTACTGTCACGGCGGACTTATGGGACGGCATCAGCCAGGCAGCCGGTATCGATGTGAACACGATCATGTCAAACTGGATCCTACAACAAGGTTTCCCTGTCATTAGTGCAACAGAGAAAGGAGATTCGATTTACGTCGAACAGCATCGTTTTCTTCAAACAGGAGATCCGACACCTGAAGAAGATTCCACGCTGTGGCATGTGCCCCTTGGTCTCAAAACAAAGAAATACGTGGATTCAAAGTCCATGCTGCGTGGTCAGCGATCGATGCACATTCCTTTCGAGCGCGCTAATTCCTCATTCTGGAAACTAAATGCTGACACGACTGGCGTATACCGAGTCGTTTACACACCTGAACATCTGGCTAGGCTAGGGGAGGTTGCGTCATTAGGTCCCTCAAGCCCTCTCTCTGTGGAAGATCGTGTCGGTCTGATTGATGATGCGTATTCACTCGCACACGCAGGATATTCTAGAACGTCCTCAGCACTGACGCTGACTCACGCGCTGCATGGCGAGACGAGCTCGCTAGTTCTGCAGGCGCTCGCTTTGAAGCTGGAGCAGTTATCAAGTGCATGGTGGGAACAGGCTGCTTCTGTTCGCGTAGGACTGAACCAGTTTCGTGCAGACCTGTTCGGTCCATTAGCCCGAAAGTTGTCGTTCAATGTTCGTGATGACGATTCGACAGAGACACGTGAATTGCGCACGACCGTGATTAGTGCGGCAGCTGCAGCTGGGGATGCATGGACACTCGGTGAGATTCATCGCCGTTTCACCCATTGGCAAGATACTGGCGATGATTCGCTCATTCATCCCGATGTGCTTCGAACCGTGCTCAGTGAGGCAGTCAAGCATGGCGATGCGCAGGCCTATAAGACGGTGCTTCAGTTGTATCATGCACCGCCGACACCCTTACATCGAACATGTGCGTTGATGGCTCTGGGTTCTGTACAACGCCCAGACCTGATTGCACGTACGCTATCCTTGGTCTTTGATGGTGACATTAAGACTCAGGACTACACGTACATTTTCAACGCGCTCTCGAGCAACACCTTCAGCCGACGAGCGCTTTGGAATGAGACGAAGAAGCACTTTGACGAGCTCTCAAAGAGACTTGAAGGCAATTTCTCGCTTATGGGTGTGGTAAAAGCCGCTATCAGTGCTTTGTCTAGCGAGGAAGACCTTGCTGATATTCAGCGGTTCTTTGCTCACCGATCTACCACTATGTACCACATGAGTCTCGCGCAAGGACTTGAGTCTGTTTTGTCACAAGCTCGATGGATCCAACGCGATGCAGAGGATGTGCAGCAATGGCTTTTCCAGCACCATTACCTCCCAACCTTAATGTCAGTGGTGTAGTCCCCGTCAGGTTCGTGATGTGAGGTTTGGAGATCATCGTAGCAAGGCAGAGTTAAGTAGCAGCGTCGGCGTGCAGATCCTACCCCTACACAGGACAATGCACCAGCATGCATGCCTCTGCGCATAAACTTGTTGAAGGCCGATCCAGAGTATCGTTTCGTGAATCGTACTTATTGGTGCAAGTTTAATGAAGGAAATAACGTATTGGCTATATGCATATCAATGCGTGTCTCCCATGTTATGAAATGAGCTAGTGGACGAACACCAAGCCAATCCAGGCCTCTTCCTGTGACGCGAGCCCTTTACGTATTGTACAAGCCTCGCGCAAGACCCATAGCTCATTTACAACCAAAATCGCATGCTTGAGAGACACAAGAACGAAGCGGAGGATTGGCTACCTGATGGACTCGAGTTGACGATGTGTGGGCGTCTGCGTCTGGTACATGATTAGTTTGGGTTGAAACATGACAACGGCAACTAGGTTGCATTCCCCGCATTGCATGTCAATTAGGAGACGGCCAAGTCATAAATGCGCCGCAGTGAGGTGGAGGTAACGACAGCAAGACGGTGCGTGTGCCCCCGGCGTTCAGTGTCCGGTGTCAGCCTCGGTATTTGTGTGTCGGCTTGGGCGACAGACTAAAAAAAGGAACATCCAGGAGGCGCTTCAATCTCGCAAGATTTCTTGTCTCGTGACGTCGACCTTGCATTGATTGGGTACGTGAGTGTAGCGACCGGGTTGCTAATACCAGATGTCCCTGGCGCTCCGTACGCTTTGTCATCCTGTCCGTCGAACGTTGTTTCCGAGACTAGTTGGCCAGCAAGTTGAGCGTGCTTATTCTGCTTTACGACCTCGTATACCGAAACTGAGTGAGCCAAAGGTGGGCTGATACCAACAAATGCTGGAAATAATTACTCACACCGGGGTTATACCTCTCCTACTTTTCTGCACCATGTTTTTTCTACAGCCTATCTACCAGTACTTTAATCCACAGTCAGCGCCGCGATTCTCTTCCATGAGTGTGCCACAGAACGAATCCAAGTGGTTCCGTCTACCGACGGATGTGCGTCCCATACACTATGACCTTACACTTTTTTCAGATCTTGAACAGCTTCAATTTCAGGGCGTCGCGGACATTGCCTTGGATGTGGGACGCGATACTCAGACCCTCTCATTCAACATCGGTAAGGGCCTTGACCTAAGTCATGTGCTAGTATCGTACAACCATCAGCAGCACGTTCTGATACCATCCATTGACATGCCGCATGAGCGTGTAACGGTGTCCCTTCCGGAGCCTGTCACAAAAGGCACAAACCTTTCGCTCGTTGTGGGCTATAGGGGTGCTATCGACCAGAGCATGATGGGCTATTATCAATCTACGTGGCATCATGAGGGACGGACAGGAAATTATGCCCTCACACAGTTCGAGCCAACTTCAGCGCGCCGCGCTTTTCCATGCTGGGATGAACCTGAGCTCAAGGCCACATATTCATTCCGTATGCTGCACCGCGAGTCCACGACGGCTCTAGCAAACATGCCCAGTGTGCAAACCAAAGCCGTTGAGAAAGATGCTGTGGCAAAACTGCTACGCGTGGATGAACTGAAGCTGGAGGCGCCGGATTTGGGCAACGATGCTTGGGTTCTGACAGAATTTGCTAAGACACCAAAGGTATCAAGTTATCTAGTGGCATGGGCAAACGGTGTCTTTGAACACATTGACGGCTCTTTTACATCACCTCTCACTGGTAAGAAGGTACCAATGCGAGTGTATACGACACCCGAGTATATTCATCAGGCCCAGTACGCGCTCGAAGTGAAGCAGAAGGTGCTACCTGAATATGAGAAAGTGTTCGACATTGCTTACCCGCTGCCCAAACTCGACACACTTGTGGCGTCAGACTTTGATGCTGGTGCAATGGAGAACTGGGGTCTGATCACTGGGCGTACATCCGTGTTTTTGTACGACGAAAAGTCCGGTCTCCAGGGTATGAAGACGACGGCCGCTGTCCAATCACATGAGGTCGCACACATGTGGTTTGGTGACATCGCAACAATGGCATGGTGGGACAATCTGTGGCTTAACGAGGCGTTTGCCACACTCATGGGCGAGGTGATTATCCTTGATCGCGTATTCCCCGAGTGGAAGAGTGCTAGCGAGTTTATCGTTTCGCATTTGAACCGAGCGCTTGATCTGGATGGAAAGCGTTCGTCACATCCAATCGAGATTCCACTCCAGGGCGAAAATGTCGAAGATGCCGTGAACCAAGTCTTTGACGCCATCTCCTACTCAAAAGGTGCGAGTGTATTGCGCATGTTGTCGAAGATGCTAGGCGAAGATGTGTTTTTGAAGGGTGTAAGCCTGTACTTGAAAAAGCATCTCTACGGCAACACGGTCACGAGCGACCTCTGGGACGGCATTAGTCAAGCCTCTGGTCGCGACGTGAATGCCATCATGTCAAACTGGGTTCTCAAGCAGGGCTTTCCAGTACTGACTGTGTCTGAAGGCTCAAACTCGATTCGAGTTCGTCAGAATCGCTTCCTTGCGACAGGTGATCCAACACCTGAGGAAGACGAGACCCTGTGGCAGGGACCCTTGGCGCTCAAGGTAGTCAAGGACAGTAAGCCCACTACAGACTATGATGCAATGCTGAATGGGGAGCGCGAAAAGGAGATTCCTTTGCCCGATGCGAGGAACAGCGTTTGGAAACTCAATGCCGAAACCATCGGTGTGTATCGCGTCGCGTACTCTCCTGAGCATTTGGCGAAGCTTGGCAAGGCTGCCGCGCAGAAAGACAGCGCGTTTTCCCTTGAAGATCGTGTCGGCCTCGTCAGCGATGCATTCACGCTTGCACAAGCTGGCTACTCCAAAACGTCTGGTGGTCTGGCTCTTATGCACGCTCTTCGCGGAGACGACAGCTCCTTGGTTAATACGGCTGCCGCACTCAACCTTGCAAAGCTTGCTAGTGTCTGGTGGGAACAGCCTGAACCCGTGCGTGAGGGTATTAACAAGTTCCGTGCTGATGTGTTTGGTCCTATGGCTCGCGAGCTGACATTCGAGTTTGGAGGGAATGACTCGAGTGAGTTGCGTGAGTTGCGTGAGACAGTCATTTCGGCAGCGGCTTCAGCTGGTGATGAGTGGACAATCAGCGAGATTCGCCGTCGCTTTGCGCCTCTCCAAGAAAAGGGCGATTACAGTCTAATTCACCCAGACTTGTTGCGGACAGTACTGGCACAAGCCATTAAACATGGAGGTGAGAAGGAGTACGAAACCGTTTTGAGTATCTATCGCTCGCCACCGACGCCTGCACACAAGACATCAGCGATGATCGCACTTGGAAATGCACAAGATACTGCATTGCTTCAACGGACATTTGATTTCTTGTTCAGCGGCCATGTGAAAACGCAAGACTTCATGTACTTCTTCGCATCCCTGTCATCGAACCCACGCTCACGGCGCACTCTGTGGGAAACTGTCAAAGCACGCTTCGACGAACTTGTTAAGTCGTTCGAGGGCAACTTCTCTCTGGCGAACTTGATCAAATCGTCCATCAGCACGTTCACATCAGACAAGGATGCAGCCGACATCCGGCAGTTCTTCGAGAAGCGCGATACGTCCAAGTTTAGTATGAGTCTCGCTCAAGGTTTAGACTCTGTTCACGCCCAAGCGCGCTGGCTTGAACGTGACGTGACCGACGTGCAATCATGGCTCCAAAGTAAGGGTTACATGTAGGTAGCTGGTTATCTAGAACTCGCAACGCTCGATTTTAGTAGTGCGAAATTGCCAGTAGGACCCATGCGTGCATTCCTGACTCAGACAATTTGGGACTAATTTGCTCTCCGAAGGAGTCTTACACCTGCTCGTTCGGTTCAACCCAGCGCCTAAGGGAATCCAAAGTTTCAGGTCTTTCGTCCTTGGAGAGCTCCAATTCTATTCGTGTGCCAATGGCAAACAAGCTAGATAAACTTTCATTCAACCAATGCATGCAGACGCATTTGCTTTCCTACTTTCCATGCTAGCATATAGTGGTATGCACGAAGCAATGTGATGTGTGCATCCTGTCTATTCCGACTCGGGCGTCTTCTGCAGGGGTTAATGAGACCGAACTTTCAAACTTTCATTTTCTTTACTCTTACGTACCTTGAAGAAGCGGTGGCGCCTCTCTTGCGAGAAGGTTTTAAGCGGGCTCTCCTTGTCATCAGAGTCGATATTCCGAAGCTCCGGGCGGTAGCCACGCGTGTTCAGCAACGAGCCGCCAGCAGCTTGGAATGTACCGACGAGCGCACCTAGGCCAGCACATGAACCGGCCATAAGGGGCATAGAGCGAGCTAACGGGTTAGAATAAAATCACATGCACGATAGATGAGGACAAGTCACTTACAAGCAGCACCCATGACCAGACCGGCAGCACATCCACCTGCGGCGCCATTCCATCCATCTTCCCGGTGCCGGAAGTTAGCGACCGAGGCATCCGAGTATGCAAACAGACCGCCGACAAGCGCTGCATGGTCAGCTGGTCAACGTGAAATACGCACTAAAAATTGCAATAGTACCGCCCGTGCGGGAAAAGATACCCATAGCGCCAGCTTTGTGCTTTTGCAGACTATTTTGCACAGCACTCACAAGCAATCCAACAGCTGCACTAGCAGCTGCAGCATTGAATGCTTCATTCACTGGCTGCCGCACCTGGAACTCCTTGGGGGCTTCTGAGCCTGCCGCTGTCATCACTGCAGTCACTGTGCAATGGATGAGACAACTTGTAACGACTATCCGATTGTAAGCATGCATAATTCCCATCCAGTTACCAGGCGACCCGTGCGCCGATGTGATGCGTGTCCTCACTCATACAAGCAAGCACTGACCATGGCTATGGAAGAAGGTATTTCACAATTTGTGAGCATTACAGGCGCATCATCCGAAGAGGCAAAGTAAGTTGCATAGCTCGCTTATGATTGAGACAATTTGTAGAGTCTGCCAACGGCGATGTCAATATGGCTCTATCGTCGTACTTTGAGGCAAGTGAGACCGGCATAACAGACGCACAGGAAGAATCCGTGGGCACTGCTTCACACGTTTCGCCTGCTCAGTCCACGTCAAGTGGGCCACGTACACTGAGTGGGGCATCTGTGTCTGATGATTCGCCATGGCCGTCGAAGGCGCCGACGTCTGCTCGAAGAACACAAAAACCTCGCTCAGGTGGCATCATGACATTTAATGACTTGCGGTCTGAGCAAAAACCGCGTGACAATAATAACGAACCCGTGAATCTCTTCACTGGCGGCGAGAGAAGTGGTTTGAATGTCGAAACCCCTGAGCATAGGCTTGGAGGAACTGGCCGAAATTTGGTAGATGACATCCTGTCGAAAGCGGCATCCTCGTCTCATCCTCCTGTTTCCGACGATCCTGCTGCTGTGAACTTAGGACAAGGGCACAGTGATGCGAAAAGGAGCACGGCTTTCTCTGGTACAGGATACTCGATTGGTGGCGCAACTGTCGGACAAGGGAATGAGAAGCATGACCACGAAGATGGAATTTCTACTCATGTTCCGGACCCTCACATGCCTGGCTCGGTGGACCTAGACGAGCCAGGTGATGAGGAGCCCGCCGTTAGACATCTCACTTTCTGGCAAGACGGATTTTCTATTGAAGATGGTCCCTTACTGCGCTATGATGATCCAGGAAACCAAAGCACTCTTCAGGCCATAAATTCGGGTCGAGCTCCTTTAAGCTTGCTGAATGTGCGTTTTGGTCAACCAGTCGAGCTGCTTGTTGCCAGGCGTACGCATGAAAAGTATATACCGCCACCACCACCCCCTTCGAAGCCGTTCATGGGCCAGGGTAATCGTTTGGGTGCACCTAGCGCAAGTGGTCTGGGTGATTCTGCTCATCGGTTAACAGCTGACGGTACTGTAACAAAGGCTACCAACAAGCACGCAGCTGCTTTAGATGCCTCTAGAGAATCCTCAGCAAAGTCAGCTAGTTCTAGTTCTACTGACGTGGATCTCTCTAAGCCCACGGTTCAAATTCAAGTACGACTAAGCGATGGTCAGTGCCTGATTCTCAGGCTAAATGAGAGCCACACTATATCCGATCTGCGGAGAGAAATAGAGGTGTAAGTGATTCTTACGCTATGACAGTCACTGACCATGGGATACAGGCATCGTCCTGATTTGGCCAACCGGCCATATACGCTTCGGACTTCTTTCCCACCCAAACCCCTGCCCGATGAGTCAGTCTCAGTGGCTCAAGCTGGACTCGCCAATTCGGTCGTGCTACTAAACTAGCACAACAAATTTACTGCCATTGGTTCGAGGCCTCAGAATTTGTGCTACACCCGATCCTCAGCAAATACCCACGTGTACATACATGTAGATTTGGTGAATTAAATGGCTGTGGTGGCCGGCATGCATGTATGCCATTGCATGCACGGCCGACAAATAATGCGAGGATGTGTGCCGAAAATGTCCGAAATGCATGCGCGAACGCCTGCCACGAAGTAAAACGCTGCGGATCGTGTTCGGGAAGCACAAAAATGCCGGCCGAGCACTAGTGTTCTTTGCATAAGAGTACGAAGCTGAGAAAACCTCGTCTTCTTACCTCACCTCTTCCTTCTAGTACGTGGTCTTAGGTTAAGCGCAGCAAAGATGGCTAACACAGATGCAGAACAAAATGGCTAGCGACGGCAAGTCTGGTAAGAGCATGTCGGGTTTCTTGACCGACTTCATGATGGGTGGTGTGTCCGCCGCTGTCTCGAAGACAGCTGCCGCCCCCATTGAGCGTGTGAAGCTGCTCATCCAGAACCAGGGGTGAGATGATCAAGCAGGGTCGTCTCTCTGGTCCCTACAAGGGGTATTGGTGACTGCTTCGTGCGCACTTACCAGAACGAGGGTCTCGCCTCGCTGTGGCGTGGTAACACTGCCAACGTCATCCGTTACTTCCCTACTCAGGCCCTGAACTTCGCCTTCAAGGACTACTTCAAGGCTATGTTCCGTGTGCCTAAGGACGCTGCCTACATGAAGAAGCTCGGCTCGAACATTGCTTCGGGTGGTGCTGCTGGTGCTTCGTCGCTTGTCTTCGTGTACTCGCTTGACTACGCTCGTACCCGTCTGGCTAACGATGCTAAGTCGGCTGCCAAGGGCGGTGAGCGCCAGTTCAACGGTCTTGTCGACGTTTACCGCAAGACGATCGCTGTGGACGGTATTATGGGTCTCTACCGTGGCTTCTTCCCCTCGGTGGTTGGTATCATTGTGTACCGTGGTCTGTACTTCGGTCTCTACGACTCGCTTAAGCCTGTCCTCCTGCCAGGCAAGCTCTCGGAGAACTTCCTTGCTTCGTTCTTCCTTGGCTGGGGTGTTACCACGACTGCTGGTCTCGCCTCGTACCCTCTTGACACTATCCGTCGTCGTATGATGATGACATCGGGTGGTGGTGTCGCCTACAAGAACATGCTCCACGCCGCCTCCTCGATCATTGCTGCTGAGGGTGTTTACTCGATGTTCAAGGGTGCCGGTGCCAACATTCTCCGTGGTATTGCCGCTGCTGGTACGATCGCTGGTTACGACAAGCTCCAGCAGGTCATGTTCGGCAAGGTGTACAAGGGTGGTTCGGGTTAAACAAGCTAGCCCAAGCCTGAATTGATGCACGCTGTCAGATGTTGGTAGTGCACGTACTATATGGCAGATCAACTACCGTGGTTTCTAGATAGCCATAGATCTAGACATGAGGTAGCTTTCAAGTCCTAAAAGCAAAATTATGAAAGCTGATGTACAAGGAACTTATGATTGAATTGCTTATAACTATATACGATAATAGACATAGTCGAGATGCTCCGACCATTTGTCAATATAGCGTGTTACACCGGATCGATTTTCAAGCAGAACACTGTGTAATGTCTCAGTTCATTCATGCGCTGCAACTTTCCGAACAGTCTCTAGTTTGTGAATTTCTGTAAAACAAAACTTATGTACTATGTAAAATTGATTTCATTTGTGAAGGGTTGAGTACTGTGCAAGATGAATTTAACAACTGCAGCCATCGCGTCCAGGCACGTTGGTGCGACGCTGCAGATCCACAAGTTCGGTCCGTGCATTTCCCGAAGAAGCTGCTTGATGGTGTTTAGGCTTGGCATCGACTGGGATATGCTTGGCTATCTCAGTAAATGCTTCAAGAACACCTTCTCCAGTCTTTGCACTAGTCTCAATGAACAATAATCCCGCTTCATCTGCATAATTCTGAGCTTCAGATTTGGGCACTTCGCGCTTTACAATCATTGATTTAGCCGAATCATTTTCTTCATCATCCTCATCATCTCCTTCACCAGACTCATCGACAGCTGTATGCGCGTCATCTGCAACCAAGTCAATTTTATTTCCAACTAAAGCGATCACGATATCAGGATTAGCTTGACGCTGAAGCTCTTTGACCCAAGACTTTGCTTTCTCAAACGAGGCTGCTTTTGTTACATCATACACCACAGCACTAGCCTGAGCGTTGCGATAATACATTGGAGCTAGGCTGTGAAACCGCTCCTGGCCAGCCGTGTCCCAAATCTCGAACTTTATAAGCCGGTCCTCAAGGCGGCAACGTTGCTGTACTGCATTAGCATCTAAAGTAAATGATTTCATCTTACCGTTAGAAAAGCGGCGCCAATTGTCGGCTCACGATTCTCTTGGAAGTCATCTTGCACGAAGCGGTGCACCACTGAGGTTTTACCAACAGCCGCCTCTCCAAGCAAAACTAGTTTCGTCTGTATAGGCGTAATATCCGCCTCTGATGCAGATGCAGTTGCATTTTGAAGTTCGTTTGCTCGTCCCTCTGTTGACATGTCAACAAAGAACCCAGATTCTACTCTGGTCGCGTCTTGGCCCTTGTGTGAGGCAATAAGTCTGGAGAAGTGTCTATGTCAATACGGCTATAAATTATGTAAGAATAAATCCCAGCCCAAATGGCCGGCTCAACTGGCAACCGATGGACACTCCAGTACCCTGACACGCTACGCGAATCGGCTGTTGGGGCCAACGTCTGGCGCGAAGCCCCCCCGCTTACGACAGTAGGATTAAGGATACAGTCGCAAAAACAACATATGCCTCATATGCAACAACAGCAACAGCAGCAGCAACAACAACAAGCACATGTACGCGCATCTGCTCAGACCCAAGCGCAACGAATTCGCGCTCGCAACCATTACGATATTCTTGTTGGTGAGGGATTCCGCGGCACCAAGCGTGACAAGCCCACGGACCGGAGTCTGCCGCCATTTATAAAGCGACAAGTGAAAGAAAGTGCAATCTATAATGATCTTCAGCGTATGGAGCGTAATCTGGACTGGATCATGGCATGCAAGCGCGCTGAATTGATGGACTCCATGGGTAAGCCACCGAAGGTGAAACGGACCCTGCGAATCTTTTTGAGTAATACATGTGCGAACCAACCATTTCAAGTCGCAGAAAAAGAACAACGCCGAGATGCAACGGAAATGACCGCAGATGCTGATGACGGTGACGGAGGTGACGATGATGACAGTGGAGCCGCTGCACCCAGACCTAAAAGCGCAGCGAAGACGGATCATACAGACGTGCCTTCATGGACTCTCCGAATCGAAGGGCGCTTGTTAGATCCAAGCTTTCGTTCGCGTGCCGGAGCTGCATTGTCAGCGCACGCAACAGCAGCGAGGATTGGGGCTCACAAGTTCAGTAATCTTATAAAGTCCTGCGTTGTCGAGTTCTCTCGTGATCCGAACCTCTATCCAGATGAGTCTCTTGGTGCGAGCAATATTGTAGAATGGCACCGTCCGTCGCCCAGTGTTGCACCCCAGCCATCGATTGGGGGAACAGGTGCAAATACAGCGACGGAGAATCCACTTATTCACAGTGCAGAGCCGGCCTTGGATGGCTTTGAAATCAAGCGCACAGGAACAGAGCCGGTGAAGGCAAAAATCGTATTGTATCCATTATATGTGCCGGAGCGATTCTCATTGTCACCACCGCTGGCACAGCTATTGGACATTCAGGAAGAAACGCGAGCCGGTGTTCTAGGTGCACTGTGGGGCTACATTAAGCAGCATCAACTTCTGGACGAGAATGACCACCGTGTTGTACGATTGGATGCACCATTACAAGCATTGTTCCGCACACCGACCATCAATTTTCACCACGTACCTGAGGTGTTGCATCGTTTTTTGCACCCGCCGCAGCCGATCGTTCTAGAGTACTACGTGCGCACAGATAAAGCCGAACACCGTAACCCTATGGCTTTTGATATTGAATTGGATATGGATGACTGGGCATTACGTATGCGGCAGCACAATGTTTTAACGCGGTTTGATGCCAACAGCTCGCTTAGCAACGAGATTGCGGCGCTGGATGATCAAATTGCACAGACGGCTCTTACAATTCGAAATCGCGCCGCCGCACGACAGTTTTTCACGGCATTTGCCCAGGATCCACAAGGTCACTTGAATGCATGGATCGCAAGTCAAGCTCGTGATCTTGATGCACTTTTGGGCGCGTCTCAAACAGGCCGTGGTGCGGATGGCGAGACCGGGTCATCTGTGCATTTTAGTTCCGAGGAAATGCGGCGCGCCGAAACTTTCCATGGGGCATGGGTCAATGAAGCGGTAATTGTGTCTGAGTCGCAACGGCTGGCCGAACGACTCCAAGAACTTCAGTCGGACACTGTTCGTACACAAACGTAACTGAATATCTCTTCTTGCCACCATGCTCCTTACGGAACTCTGTCTACGTAGAACAAACATTCCATACTAACTGTTGTAACATGTTCGCAAGGCTAAGCACACATACACATGAAGTCAAACACGGATAATATTGGGGTAAAAGGCATATATATTGCATGTCCCCGTTAGGAGAGCGCATTTTTATTCACCAGGCACTATTCAAAGTGATGGTTGTCAGTACCGGCAGAGCACGGAAAAGTTACATATAGAGCATGAAAATTCAACACAAGCTCCATAAACAGCATACAAGCAGGCCATCCAATCGAGCCAAATACATTCGAGACGCGAGGTTGCTGCCTGCTGCAACACACCATACACAATTTAACGGTACGACTTCTGGCGGCGCGCGCGTGCACCGTGACCACCGAACTTCTTTGGCTCGCAGCGACGCGGGTCAGCAATCAGCAGCGTGCGGTCGTACGAGATGAAGTGCTGGCGCAGCTCAAGGGCTGAAGCAGCGTCAAAGTACTTTGCGTAGTACGCAACGAGCGCCTTAGCAATAGCCTGGCGGATCGCGTACACCTGCGAGGTGTGACCACCGCCCGACACACGAATACGAATGTCAATAGGCGCAAACTTGTCCTCGCCCACCATAAGGATTGGCTCGTACACCTTCCAGCGGAGGACATCAGGCTGAATGAGCGAAATGGGTTGGCCGTTCAAGCGAATCTGACCCTTGCCTTCCTTGGCGTGCGCCACGGCAGTGGCGGTCTTCTTCTTGCCGAAGCATGAAACGAACGGCGTCGCACCCTTCGCTTCAGACATCTGTGTACTGTGTTACTTTCTAGCTCGTTGGGCTCACGTTTTTCTGCCACTGTACCTGCGGCGTCCAACGTACCTTGCTCGATATGTAGGATGGTGAGAAAGCCAGGTGGCAGTTGCTCACCCGCTTGCACCTGCGCGGTCACGAATCAAGCACTGGTATTGTGCACGTGATGTATTTCACATCATATAGTTTCAAAGAGACCGGCCAATTTTGCACTTTAGCACATTTGGATGACAACCTAGTTTCGTGGAGTGCCCAAATCCCCTATCTATTACATCATCAGCACGTCGGCCGACCGTCGCACGTCTGCTTTGGCGTTAGTATGGCAACTGGCACGATAGCCATTGTCGTCGCCGTTGTCAAAAGCAAGAAGTCGAGCTCAAGCATGTTGGGTCGTGCAGTGCACATGGCGCGCGCCGTGTGCTCGATGAGTACACATTCTTTGCGTAGACATGGTGCCAAAATTTCATCTGTGCGTTTCATTCATGGTCCTCAAGTCCCGCCAGCGGAGCCTGTGTCAGCTGATGCGAGCATCGGAAGTCAGGACGACACTTCGGAGCTGTACGCCCTGGAGCGATCTTCACCCCTTGTGCACACGCGTCTCACATACCTGAGTCCAGAGACTCGCCCGCAAGGAAAGAGGGCCATTGCATATGTGCCCATGTCCTCACACGTCTTTAATACGGCTCCGCATCAGCATGCGATGCACATGGCTGTCGTGTACTACTTAGATGCGCTAAGAAGTGGCACTGCCAGCACCAAGTCTCGTTCTGATGTTGCATACTCTGGAAAAAAGCTCCGGCCGCAAAAGGGTACTGGTCGTGCTCGCTTAAGCGACGCAGGAAATCCCATGCTGCGTGGTGGCGGCGTAGCACATGGACCCAAGCCTCGTGATTTCAAGACTGACCTTCCACGCAAGGTGCGTGAGCTAGCGTTGCGCTCAGCTCTCAGTGCGCGCTTCCGTGAAGGACGTCTTCATGTGGTGCCAAGTCTAGATTGGTACGCGCCGCCCATGTCGACCAATAAACTGGCGCGTCTTTTGAGCGCGAAGCAATGGACGAACACACTTTTTCTCACAGCACCGCGCGACCCTGTGTCCCCTGTTGCTAATGAGCGAGGTAGCATGCGTCCATCTTCTGTTAATTTGATGTACACGGACCAGCAGCTTACACGTCATGCACAATACATTCGGCACTTTGCTCTCGCACAAAGGAACCTGCCCGATGTGGACCTTGTGCGTCTGCATGAGCTTCCGCCCCATCCGAGACCACGCCTGGAGCATGCTAAGCAGCCGGGAGAGCTCCATGCATACCAAGTGTTAGAATTCCAGCGCATCGTATTAGACATGGGAGCCCTGGAATGGCTCGAAGAAAAACTAGGCGGCTCGCTCGTGCACCAAGTCTATGCCGAAGAAATGCTTCGCTGGCGTGAAGAACGTAATCCAAGCGCTTCCGACGAGGACGCTTTTTCACCATCAACTTCGTCCATATCGGAGTCCGAAAATAGCGCCTCTTCAGGCCTATCGTCAACGTCGGATACTGCTTCATCAATGCAATCGCCGACTCCTCCTTGATCAACACGTCGTAGATACCTGCTTTGCTTAGTAAGCTATACCTTCCCTCCACTGCTCGTTCTAGATACTGCGCCATTAGCATCTCTCGCTCATCCATGGTTGAGCATGTGCCGTCACAGGCTCGGCGCGTGAAGAAAGTAGCCCAATACGATGATTACGGTAACTATCTTGGAGATATTCGCGAGGATGAATTAATGAAAAAAATGAGCGCGCACGAAAAAGAGCCGTCCGCATCGACGATCGAGTCAGCGCCGTTACCACTACCTGCTTCTGAATTGCAGCCTTCTTTACCCGGTTTTAGTGCGTCATCGCAGCCGACAGATTCGAGTATACGCGCCATTTCTTCACAAATTCCACGAAAGCTTCCAGCACGTCCACGATGGAAGCCAAGTGGACCTGTGCTGTATTGTGGCGTCGACACGACCTTGCTATCGACGCCGTCGAGATGTACTTTCTCTACGCATTCTGAACTGGAACTTATGCTACACCGAGCTGATCGTCATCTCCTATATCCGCCTGGAGGAATGGAAGAACTTAAACGAAGAGACCCGATGCGTATGGCAGAAGAACGTGAGAAGCAAGTGCGGCTGAGAAAAGGTGGTACAAGAGCAGCAGATGGTCCTGCTGACTCGACAATATTTGGGCTCAATATCCGGCTTGATACACCAGAACTAATGGAAGAATGGATACGGCAACGGCGAAAACGGTTTCCTACATCTGCTGTGATTGCACAAAAGCAGGTCAAACATCAAGCCCGCCTACTCAGAGACAAGAGGTCCGCACAAACAAAGGATTTTGCATGTGCGACGAGTACTGGTACTGAACCGCATAAAACCCCTGCTCGCGATACAAGTGCGAGCCAGACTCATGATTCAAAGCAAAGCTTCGATCTTAATCGAGACATGGAACTGAAAGAGGGTCCTAATGGCCATGGGAAAGAAACCCCAGCAGCAAGCACTGAGGACTCGTCTTCTTCCGAAAAGGAATCAGACTCATCCTCGGCGAGTGGCGGTAAAGGTTCAGAATCTGGCGACTCAGACTCGAATTCTGATATGGACTCGGAGGCGGATGCCATATCTAGCAAGATTGAGCCGCGTGCACGTCCAGATGACGAGGTGCGTTCCGAAACTCGACAAGGGCAGAAGCATGCGGTCTCTGAGAATACGCAACCGGTACGTCGGGTGCGTCCACGAAACACTGCATCAAATCCGTTTCAAGTACCTGATTTACTTCGTCAGCTACTGGAGAGGGAAATTTTGCAGCATGTCGATGCCTTGTCTCAGTGTATTCAATTTATCCTAGATAATGACATGCTAACACATGTTGAACGTTCGCCAGGAGAAGCTCAACAGCAGCGGAAGCAACGATCGCGTGTAGTTGTCGTTGGCGAGCAGACAGAGGAGATTGGTGAGATGCGCGATACAAACGAAACAGCTCGACCAGCACTACCTAGAGTAGCTTCGCCCGCGCTGCGAGCGCTCGACGAGCTCGAATGGCCTGATGAGCCAGATCCACTTATATACCTTGATCCCTTACGTGCTGCTGATCCGAAACCACTTCGACATGAAGAACTTATGTCACTCGCCACAGATACCCAGCTCCGAGCCATTTTGCAGCCAATATCTGCTTTGCATCCATATGGCGAGGAGCATCGCCCATTGCGCCGCGCACTCGAGTCGTGGGCCGCACTGCCGACGCCAAGGCATCGAGAGGCCGCATTGCAGTTGATCCTGGGCGTTGGTGCAGACAGTCCTATGCACGCGCATGAAGCGTATGCACCTGCCTATCAACGTGCGCGTGTAACGTCGCGAGGCACGCCCATGCGGCAGAATCGCCCGATTGGCGAAACAGAATTGTTTCGCTTAGGCCTGCGTGTTGGTCCTGGCGAGGTGCGCTTGATTCAGCACATAGCAGAGCGTGTATCAGTTGTAACAGCCGGCTTGGAGTATGCCGCAACAGCATTGTAGTCATTAAAAGCTTTGAATTTGTACCATTGATACATTACAAATGCCTACGAGGAGGCGGCGATAGTCGGGGGAGCTTGACGTTTTGACGCTGCCTGTTTCGCTGCTTCGACAAGGAACTGGAACTCGGCCGGGCCTGTCTGCTTGCATAGGCGGTAAAAGTGTGATGATTTATCGTCGAGCAGCTTGGCAGGCTCATCTAGCTCCATGATTTTCCCATGATCCATATACATGACCTTATCATACCCAATGACGGTGCGTAGACGATGGGCAATTGTGATGACGGTACATTTATCGAACACCTGATGTACTGTCTCGGTGATGCGCATGTCTGTCGTATAGTCAATGCAGCTAGATGCCTCGTCAAACAGAACAATGCGTGACTTGTGCAGCAAGGCGCGTGCCACACACAGTAGCTGACGCTGACCCTGGCTTAGATTGCTACCATTCTCTGCAATAGGCATGTCCAGGTTAGAGAATGGACTTTTTCCAGCTGAGTTATCATCAGTTACAAGATGGACTGCTTCAAGACAAGCTAGAAGCTTGGCATCGTCGAACTCCCCCAACACATCCAGCACACTCCGAAGTGTGCCGGACAAGATCACAGGATCTTGTGGCACCAAGTACAACCGTGAACGCAAATCTTCAAGTCCAATACGGCCAATGTTCCAACCGTCTATGACGATTGATCCGCTTTGCGGCTCCAAGAGACGCAGAAATGCGTTAAACAGGGATGACTTGCCACTGCCTGTTGGGCCTACAATGGCAAGCTTAGAGCCAGATGGAACAGAGAAAGAGATGCGCTTAACTACGTCAGGCGCGTCGGGAGCATAACGAAGCACCAGATCACGGACTTGGACATCGCCCTTAGATGGCCACTCACTTGGTGGACGCGGCTCTTTAATGCGCGCGGCTTCTTGCTCAATGGAAGCAGCATATTCAAATACTCGTTCAACAGCCACAGCATTCACTTGCAATTGAGTGTACATGCGCATAAGGATCAGCAATACGAAGTTCAGGTCAATCAAGAACGTCAGAGAGAAGTCAATAGTGGCGGCCGGCGTATGTGGCTGAAGCAGCATAATCACACATGCCACGAGCATAAGCACGGAACTGGTTAGGTTGTACATTTGACTGACCCAGCGACCACCCTGTGCAGCCCACCAAACGAACCGGTTCGTGTTGTCAAGTAGGCCCATCATTTCACACTCAAAATGCTCTTGTGCACCGAAAGCACGGATCACTTGGACGCCATGTACAGCGTGTGTGAACGATGACGCGACAAGAGAGCGTGATGTAGAACGAAGGCGCTGGAGATCTCGAGCAACAGCGATGTACATTTGTGCAACAGCACCATACACGGGCAATAGCACAAACAGAGCAATCACGAAGCCGATTCCACCGACGATAAATAGCGCAATGCTAGTAGCTAGAAGCTGCGTCACACGGATTGCGACATCGGCAATTGCAGTGGCAAACTTCGAGTCAAGCACTTCCAAATCCTGGCCAAACCGATTAAGCAAGCGGCCTCGCGACATCGAGTCGAAGAATTGGAGAGGCGCATGCAATGTGCGCCGAATCAGCTGCTCGAACAGCTCACGCGACGCACGCAGTGACATCGTGTAGATGCCGATCCATCGCAGCACTCCAAACATGATCCCAACGAGGAGCAGTCCCGCATAGCGTATGAGCCACCACGAGCTCGTATGACCACGACCGTCAGACGCACTCCAGTCACGCAGCCACAGGTTCGTCACCAATCCCCACAAGTTCGTCAGAGCGAACAAGAGCACGGTGATCATACAAAGGGCCCACCCACTGCTTGCTTGGATGTACGCGCCCCACACGTGCGAGGCAATCCCACCTTTTTCACGTCGCTCAATGTTACGTTTGACGGCACTCGTAGACAAACGCGGCGCATCCGCAGCAAAGAAAGCAGGATCCTCATGCTTAGGCTCCTCTTGGTTGTCAGACTCCTGCCAGCCCATGTATTGCTTCGATGAAAGAAACTCTTTGGGAGAGCCGGCGAAGTCCACACGCCCCCCATCTAGATATACGACTTGGTCCATGCTCTTGGCCACTTGCTCAACATTATGCGAAACGAGAAGGACCGTTCTTCCCTTGAGGAGAGGTCCATTCAACAAACGCTCTAGTAAGTGCTTGGATGTATGTGCATCAACGGCCGAAAAAATGTCGTCTAATAGCAGAATTTTGGCGCGCGAATACACAGCACGAGCCAGACTCACCCGCGCTTTTTGGCCACCGGACAGTTCCATCCCATTTTCGCCAACGGGTGTCAAGTCACCCTGCTCCAAATACTTGAGATCAGGGGCGAGACCACAAGCCTCAAGCACTGCTTGATAGAGCTTTCCATCGCCCAATGGAAGGCCAAACAAGACATTGTCTCGAATCGTTGTATGCATAAGGAAAGGCACTTGTGGTGCATAAGCAACAAGATCCGATCGCAGCCAGTCAGGCGTTCCGAGAGCCCTAAGTGCTTCTGCCCGCGAATGTGCATTGTATGGCACGCCTTGTCGGGGTGAGCGTGGGCAAATCACCTCTCCCTTTTGGACTTCCACTTCGTGAAGTAAAGCATGCAGAAGAAGAGTCTTTCCTGCACCGACACGGCCACAAATAAGCGTCTTTCCAGGTGAGAAGACAAGATTGATGTCACTCAGCCTGAACGATGACTGGCCAGGCATAGTAGGCCATGACACCGTCGCATGCTCCATGCGCAGCGTGCAGTCGCTGGGACGAACGAAAAAGTTCGAATATGGCGATGGCGTCACTTCTGTGCTGACAAGGAATTCGCCCACGCGTCGCGCCGACACAAGCGTCTGCAAAAAGCTGGTGATAGCACGAGGCAAAAGCACCAGTGTCCAGCGCAGCTCTGTGAAAATAGCGAGTGACGTAAATGCAATCGCCGGCGTAAGAGTATGTTTCAGGACTTGAGTGTAGAAAGTGAATGCCACAAGCGTCACAAGTAGAGGATTTACCTCCAAGACCGTTGAGAGCATAGCCTCATATACGTACGTGCGCAGTTGCTGACCCAGCTCGCTAGAGCGCGTGTCTTCGACTTTCGTTTTATACACGCGTTCCCAGGCCTGGGATTTGATCATGCGTATGCCCAGGAAGCACTCATTTAAGAGCGCCATGCGCTTGTCACGAGACGCCATGAGTTTTTCATTTGCGAGGCGGAAGTGGCGACTCAGCAAGCCGATGACGGGCATCAGCAGCACTGAGGTGCCCAAGCCCACAATCGCACTGATCCCCAAAACTCGGTACGCAAAGTAGCCACCTACACACAGTTCCAATGGAGTCGTGATCCCAGCAAACAAATGAAAACTCATCCCCACGATGCGCTCTAGATCGACCAGCTGCAAGGCGAGGACCTGCTGCTGACCCTTGCCCTCACTACTTGTGTCGGCGACATGCTGCCGATTCAATGTCTTGTTAAAGAGCAGCATTGACAGTTGTGTTGATAGGCGTATAGCAAGCGAGCCCTCCAAGCGACTCCATAATGCACCTTGGAGAGTGCTACTCGCGATCACAGTTAAAAACAAACCCAATACCCACGGCATCGCATGTTGCAGTGTATCATATGGTGACAGTGACAAGTCCTGATCCGCCTCCAGCACGTGGAAAATGCGATTGGCGAAAAATGCTGGCCCATAATAGGCAAGCACAGCAATCATCGTAAGGATGCAGATAACGAAGAACTGCGTGGAATTAGCACGAACTAGAGCTCCCAGCAGGCGGAGAGCGATGGGTGACCACAATGCAGGTTCGTCGCTAGACTGCGATGTCGGCTCCCTCTGGGGCAGGAGCGGTGCGTTCTCATCTTCTACGCCATCTTGGTCATCAAAACCCTCAAGCTCAATCGCTCTTGGCTGCGTGCTGTGCGCATCGTTTCCGAAAGCGCGCTCGACTTGATGTCCAAGGACTTCAGCATGTAGGTGCGCGCCAAGGACAGGGACATCCAAGGAGCCCAGCATACCACGGCGGCGCTCACACCGAATGAGAGAGAATACATGCGTGAAAAAAAGCGCGCCCAGAACAGAGTTGTCCATCGTTTCGCTAGGAGCCATGTTCATCGGCCCTGGCGAGTCTTCTTCGTCACGGCCCGAGTCAATGACTGGGTCGCGCTCGCGATGAGCGACCTCAATGACTTTCCCGCCATGCGCTTCACACGAGGGACTCCCAGGCTGAGTGCCTGAAAGCATGCATATTATAGCAAGCAGTGCGACGCTGATCCAGTGGCCTGTGCTCATCTCATAGCCAAACGTGCACCGGAGGAGCTCGCACAACACATAGACTAGTGTGATAGAGAAAACCGTGCAGATTGTGTACCAACGAATTTCGAGAGACACTTGAGAAGGATCTGACGCACTGTAGAGCCAAATAGCTTGAAGCAAGAATGGGAGAAAGAGTGTCTTGCTTTCGGGGCTGTACGTGAGGGTCACAAGAATGCCAATGACAGATAACAAGAGATATACCCATTGCATCCGTTGTACACGCCTCCAAAATTGATGTTGGTTCAGTACGTGAGTATGGACCGTTGTGAGCCCAGGATGTAAGGCAGATCCATACTTCGAGGGTAGCGAGAACCACCGCGACAGCGACGAGCGGCGCAGAGGATGCGTGTGCACGCGACGAAGTTCATGTGAGTGTGATCCCAAGAATATGACGCAAATCCAGAACACCCAGAGCTCTGTGGCATCTAGGATGGCTCCAGGTGTCCACGCGTCGGGCTGTCCAGTATCCGCCATCAAAAAACGGATGTGGCAATTAGCCAAACGACCTGGGATCTGTAGGCGCCGCCGATTCAATCCATGCAAGTGTGTGTGGAGAAATTCTGTCGCCGCGGCGGCCCCGATTCCAATCGTATGTGTGCGTTTGCGCGCAAGAGAGGGTGGAGGTCTTCTGATGTGTGTCCGAGGCGCTGAGGAACCCGAGGGAGCCGTAGAAAGTGGAGGAGAGTAATTAGGGGCCAAGATGGCTAGCTGGCTGGCCGACTTGCGTGTAGACCGGGGCCACCGGTCAGCTTGAAAGTCGGTCGCGACTTGCCCGCAGCGGATTGGTTTGGAATCTCCACAAGCTTTTGTGGATTCATTCCATCAAAATTAGCAGTGGTTTCCTTCCCACTATCGTCATGTTGCGTTCTGTTCCGTTGAGAGGCCGAGTATTACTGCAGCCTCGTACTTGGTCTGCACGGTGCACCGCCATAAGTTGGTCTGCGATACCTTGTACCGCTGCACACATTCACTCCAGTGCAGTGCGTGCTGACAATGCAAAGACAGGGCTCTATGATTTCCATGTGAGGCATGGTGCAAAAATGGTACCATTCGGTGGCTATTCTATGCCTCTGACTTACGAAGGTGTGGGGCAAGTTGCGTCTCATAAGCACGTGCGTGAGCACGCTGGCCTATTTGATGTGGGACACATGGTTCAGCATATGTTTGAGGGGCCAACGGCGCTCGCGTTCTTGCAGCACATCACTCCCGCATCACTCTCAAATACTGCGCTCGAGTCATTCTCATCAACACTATCAGTACTCTTGTCGAAGGAGGGTGGCATCTTGGATGACTTGATTATCACGAAGCATAGCGATACAAGTTTTTATGTGGTTACCAATGCTGGACGTCGTACGGAAGACCTCGCGTGGATCGAAGAGCAGTTGCGCGAGTGGAACGATGCACATAAGAGTGAAGGCGAGACGACGCATCGGGTCATGGAAGGCCAGGGCCTTGTGGCTCTTCAAGGCCCATCGTCAGCTGCCGTTCTGGCTAAGCTTGTGCCAAGCGACTTTGACTTGGCCACACTGACATTTGGCCGGAGTGCGATGATAGCACTATCGATGAAAGGAGATGGATCAGGAAATGAGCGTGTTCTGTGTCATGTTTCTCGCGGCGGCTACACGGGCGAAGATGGCTTTGAGATCTCGATTCCTGCCGAGGCCACCGAAACCGTCACGCAAGCGATTCTAGACAATCCAGAAGTGCAGCTTGCCGGTCTTGCTGCTCGTGATAGTTTGCGCCTTGAAGCAGGTATGTGCTTGTACGGGCACGATCTCGATGAGAGTGTGAGTCCTGTGGAAGGTGCTCTTGCTTGGACTGTCGGCAAAGACCGTCGCGTGACAGGCGACTTCTTGGGCGCCGAGCGTGTTCTGCGTGAACTCAAAGAAGGACCACCGCGCCGCCGCGTCGGCTTGCTCGTATCGCCGGGATCGCCAGCTCGCGAGGGAACCAAGGTTTTCACCCCGGACGGCAAAACGCACATTGGACGCATCACGTCCGGCATTCCTTCGCCGACATTGGGCCAGAACATTGCAATGGCTCTAGTGCAGAACGGCCACCACAAAAAGGATACACCGCTCCTGGTTGAGGTGCGCAATAAGATGCGTGAGGCTACTGTGACACGTCTTCCGTTTGTGCCGAACAAATTTTACCGTGGCTGATGCTGCTTGCAGTAAGTGTTAACCGACATTCTATTTCGTTAGTAGTTGTCTATAGAGGGAAAGAAAAAGAGCGAGGCTAAGTGTATCCCAATCCACAGCAAACATGCGAAAACAATCTGTGCACTGCAATAGCGTCCGCTGCTTCCTCCAACGACTTGGCCCTCTTGACATAGATGCCACGTGCGTCTCCACAAACTACTTGAGGTAATGCGTGCACACCAAAATGCATGTGTGTGTGCCTTATTTCGGTTTCCCCATCTAAATGTGGAATCCGTGCTCATCACCGTGCGCGCACGTGGAAAATGGAGTCATAAAGTTGATTGATTGGCCCTCGTGCCCATGCTTTTAGTCATGCCTCCCACAGCTCATTTGTCTCGTGCGTGCCAGGGCCACAGAGTATATGCACCTGGCGACTCATTTGAGGGTGGTAGATGTGTAGTTCGTGCGCGGCACAGAACCGTTAGCGTGCTTCCTCGTCCGTCAGGCCACAGAGCGCTCCCCCGTGAAAATACGACATCCTTGTAGCGACTATGTCGCGTGCGGCAAAAACCGCTACAGAGCATGGACGGCGGGGACAGAGTCACTCGCCCAAAAACAAGTCCACGTTGGCGGCTGAGAACGGGGGTGGGCGTGAACAAGACATGGAACAAAAGCCCTTCGAGGAGTCGCTTCGTGAGGCGTGTGCTTCAGGTACGTCTTCATTTTGGTCGTTCGACGCAAGAATCCATGCGTCTAACACAGAGCAGGGCACTTAAACATTAGCTCTCGACAGCCTCCGCTCCAGGCATGCCCCGATTCTTTGTTTGACTTGGCATCATCTGAGCCACCAACCTGGTGGTTGGTGTCAGATGAGCGTGTGCATGACGGCTCCGCAAATGAGCAAGGTGATCAGCAAAAGGACATGGCACATACCATGTGGACACATCGACGACCATTGCACACGTTGATCATGTCCGTGAACGAACTTTTCGCGCTGGATAAGCGGGTATCAGAGTTTCGCGACCTTCAGAATCTCGATGTTCAAAGTAACCAACTCACCTCGCTTCCATCGTCGTTCTCACAGTTACAAAACCTCACAAGCTTGAATCTCGCACGGAATGCACTGAGCAGAGTCCCTTCATGCATCTTGGCTCTGACGTCCCTTGTTTCCCTCGATCTCAGCGACAACATGTTGGACACTTTGTGGTCTCAGGCAGATGCAGAGAAAGCTGGTATAGCTGCGTCTGATGTGCTGCGATCTCTTGCGACGCTGAACCTTGCGTACAATTGCCTGAGCACCTCGGCGCTCGTACCCATGCCGGCATCGCTCAAGCGGCTCCAGCTCTCTCATAATTTATTGCGTGAGCCACTGCCGATCGATATATGTGGCTCCGCCGTACATCTAGAAGAGCTTGTGCTCAGCGGCAATGACTTACCTGACGCTGTGTTCGCCCACGACGGGACATCATACGCATTCCCACACTTGCACGTACTCGACGTGCGTAAAACGCATGTGTCATCCCTATCGGCACTGGAGTCGCTTTTCGCGTCGGCACCCTCACTGAACGTGAGTGAAGCGAAAGACAAAAACCGTGCGCCTGTGCATGCACCCAGGCTCGAAGGTGCGCCAGTGTGCACGCCGCACCAACTGGTGCGTGTAGCAAATATACCTACGCACCCAGACAAGCAGCATGATCCGGTATGGATTGCCACGCATGACAATACGCTGCTCCCACCCTTGTACATTTTATCGGATGTGCAAGGACGATCAGAGTCTTCGCACCGCCGGCGGCGCGGTGGGCGCGGCCGCGGTGGCGAAGACCGGGCTCGCACTGCTCGCGATGAGCGCGATGAGAATGGGCATGCCCCGCCGAATGCAGGAAGCGCGCTTGCCAATGCCAAACTGTCGACGAAAAAAAAAGAGGCACTGGGCCAGGTGCCATGCAAGTTCTTCCGTAATAATGGCTGCTCCGCGGGTGAAGCGTGTCCTTTTGCCCACACGATGCCAGGTGAAGGCCAGCCGAAAGCGGTGTGCCAGTGGTACATCAAAGGCAGCTGCCGCTTCGGGCACCGCTGTGCATTGGCACATATTTTACCTGGTCAGCCGATGAGTGTACGTATGAACGCATCTTGAGACACTAACTCTCGGCAAGATGGACCGAAAGAACAAGCGCTCAGCACAACAGAGTGCGTCATCGAATGCCGCAGCTGGTGCTGGTGCGGGGGGGCAAGCTTCGTCGTCGTCGCAGATGCCTACGGCACCGGCGCCCAGCTCGAACCATACGGATGAACAGTCCCGCCCTGACGACAAACAATCTACATCCCTTTTAGCAGCGCATTTGCAGCCACCCCTCGCACCCACCACATCTGCACCGATACCTCCTAGTTCTTCAAGCGCCATGCTCATCCCGAATCGCAACCACAAAATGAGAAGAGACGGACCAGCTGCATCTGCCCTCACTCTCTCGAAGGACTTGGAGCCCAGCTCGCTATCTTTGCATGCCGGCTGGCATTCAGATTCATCTCGTGTTCGAAGCCAAGAGTCTACCGGAGCGACAGGATTCGGCTCGAGTCCCTTTAGCCACCCTGGTTCACATGGGTTGTTCTTTAATGCAAATTCAGACGCCCGCACGTCCCAGGACGCGACGGCTTCGCCATGGCGCACGACTAGTATGACATTACCTGACACGAAGAGTGATGATCTACTCGCTGATGCTGGACATGCAGAAGACTTTTTGCCCTCGAGCCTGAGTGACTTGCTGACTCCTGCTGAGCTGGAGCGACGTACGCGCAGTTCTCGTGATGCCGCAACGACCTCTTTGCTGCCTCTCGGCATCAGATTTGGTATCCCAGAGCTTGCCAGTGGGTACGGGATATATGAGTTCCGGGTTCGGTACCTCATCGCCAGGGCATGTGCCATCATTGGGAAACAGCAACCTCCGGTCATTTATGAGTGGGATCGCTCCCCATCGACGTCCCGGCACACACAGTATGCACGCGTCGCCGTTTATGCCGCCTACACTGGACCACGCTTTAAGCTCACCTCCTAATTTAAGTCCTCCGGGCGCACTTTCATCTTCATTGGGTGGCGAGCGCGTGCTGCCTGCGTCAATGTCTTCCATGCGTAAAGTGTCGGACGATGCACGCCGCCGTTCTGTCTCTGGCCATGGCACACCATTCTTTCATGGTCGCGGTCATGTGCCGCCCATTTCACCTGCGATTCTGCCTGTATCGGAAGAAGAAGCAGATGATGCCATATTTGAGCTGGAATAAAACTCACCATAGCTGGATGGTGCGCTGGTGATGTGTGTCTTGTGTAGCTAGTAAGACAAACGGTTTCTTAGTACATGTGCCAAATCAAAATGCAAAGAGAATATGGTGCAAAGAGAATTCGCGATGGCGTCAGCATGCACTTCGACATCATGCTTGCATATCGCGTTGATCGAGCACAAACAGACGCCTATCGCCAGTCCCATCTTGTTACGTATTCACTTTAGCATGCATCATACTTTCAGTCCTACTTAGATGCTAAAAAAAAGTCAGACGCAACCCTAGCTCATTCTTCACCTTAAAAGCTAGTCCGATCATGCGTAAAACACAGGCCTGGCTCGTACAGCTGAGAGTTCTACCCATCGAACGTTCTTCCACATTCTCCTCCACCCAGTAGAAGGACGCAACTACACTTTCTTCCTAATTAAAATATTCCTCCTCAGTATTGAAAGAAATAAAAAAAACCATAACTTTCTAAAAAACTAAAATTCACATGCACTGAGATAGATAATGTAACAAGATGCCATCAAGAGTCCAACAGAGCATTAATGAGAAATGGGCACTAGAAACCATCTTCAAATAGAAAAAGGACCCAGACATCAACCAACATACTAAGAGGGAGCCTATTGGCACAGCCAACAGTTACCCACAACGGAGACCATTATTATATCCTTACAACTGCTTCTCAAGCGTTTCGAGCTTCGAGTCGTGCAAATCATTGAAGTGACCGCCATTCTGAACAAACTTCGGGTCCTTCGAGAACTTGCTGCCAAGCTCGCTCGAAAGGAATTCACGCTGCTGAACAGTGAGATCCTCTTCGCCGTAGTGGCCCGAGCCCACAGTACTGTGGAACACCGTGCGGAACTCGGCCATCTTTTGCTGGGCATCCAGCTGAGGGTTGTAAGGCAAGTGCCGCTTCAGTACCACACGCTCAAAGAGCGACAGATGACGCGGGTGGATAGCCACACCATGGTAGTCCTGAGCATTGCCGTTCATGACATACTCCCAGTAACGCTCTTGCTCGCGCAAGTCAAGACCCGTAGTATCGGGAAGGAAGAGCAGTGTGACGAACAGACCAGCCAGACCGAACCAAGTTACAATATAGAACTTCGCGTGATCGCCAACGTAGTGGTAGATAATCGTCGGAAGCAAGGCACCAAGCTTACCACTAGCAGCGCCGACACCATGGCATGTGGCACGAATAGAGGCCGGGAAAATCTCAGCGGCAACAAGGAAAGTCGTCGAGTTGTAACCGAACTGGTTCCAGAAAGACGAGAAGAAGAAGATGAACTGGAATGCTTTCACACGAGGCATGTCGTTTTTGTCTGTCAGTTTATTAAAAGCAAAAGTAGCACCACAAAATAGGGCAAATGTGGCCATGAATGAGATAGCTTGCATCCATTTACGACCATAGAATTTGTTGTCCACAAGCAAAGCGGCCAGATAGTAACCAGGAAGCTGTACACCGACATTAATCAGGTTGTACAACCATGTCGTGGTAAACGTGCCACCCGGGTTGATAATCTTGATGAACTGACCCGAGAAAATCTTGTTACCATAAAAGAAGAAATCGTTGGCGAACCAACCGACGGTTGATGCAATCAGACGGTGCCAGTAGTGCGTGAGAGCAAGCGCCAATGATCGTGCGTCGTAACCGGACGTGTTCAGCCTTGCCTTGGCATCCCTCAAAGCGCCTTCGGCATACTGAATCTTGTAGTAACGGTAGTACGCGAGATAGAGAGTAAATGCGGCGATAATGCCGAACGAGACACGGAAAGTGTATTGGGCAGCAACCGGCGAGATCGGGGCATTCAGGGAGCTGTGGAAAATCAGGAGGAGCAAAATAAGCAAAACCTGGTTGACAAACTGACCCCAACCCTGCATCAAGAAAGCAAGCAAGACGTTCCGACCACGGTGAAGACGGTCACCAGTAGTTGAGGCGTACCGGTTGCTGTTGCCCTCCATGGCACGCGTCGACGTCATAGGATATTCACCGCCAACACCAATACCATAAATGAACAAAGACCAAGCGTAACAAATGACCCAGCCATTGAAGCTCGTACCCCACATACAAGTAAGCATAACCGAGCCGAGAGTCATGACCAAAGCATCCTGGACCATACCAAACTTGCGACCAACCCAGTCACCTTCAATACCGACAAGGATTTGTCCGACGATAATACCAACAATTTCAAGGTAGTCAATGGCATTCAACCATTGCTTGTCACAAATCCGTTCGGGCCCAGATTGCTCTTTCGGAATGTTGAGCTTTTTCTTCATATCATCCGAACTATTCCAGCACCGGAAAAATTGGCTCTGTCCGGAGAATGAATTGTCGGCTTTAGGGACATCCGTGTTTGCAAACATGGGCTTTAGGTTGCCGACGGAGAATAGAGTGTAACCCTCGACAAACATACCCATACCGTTGACAACATACGTAGAGAAGTATGCGGAGATTGGGCTGAATGGATCCCTCTTGAACATACGACCGACCGCGATAAGTTCATCTTTCAGAATCTGACCCGTCTGTCGGTTGATAAACTTGGCACGCTCACCCAAAGGAAGATCAGCCCAGTATGTGCCATGGTAGTACGAGTCCGGTGGAAACAAGATGTCGTTGAAGGCGGACTCGGCCTCCGATGGCATGGCAGGTGCGTCGTACGGAGAGTTCATGTCACCTTTATACATCTCAGTTGCGTCCGGATTGTAGCGTGTGAGATCCGACATGTTGGTATTGGAGGGCTCGGTAGGGACTGAGGCAGGTTCATTAGGCATGGCACCGCCGTCAGCAGCCTGCGCATCACGAAGACCAAGGGGCTCCGTGCTATGGTGGATATAGTGATCGGCGTACTCCTGGTTAGCACCCGACATTTTAAAGTGAGATTGAGTCTTCGAAGCCGGAGCCGCAGCCTTCAGATGAACGGAACGTGAAATCGATGGCGGGAGTGAATTGTAACTTCCTCTATTAGTACCTCAGGTCGGCCGGGATCCTCATTCAAAAAAAAATTTCTTTAGGCGTATCATGTTTGCAGTCGCGGTGCAGGTTCAAAATAAGCACTAATTCGACGTGATAAAACATTGCAGAATTGCCTAGTAGGCTGTAAAAATGCGCACGTTCGACGATTTATGCCGCTTACGGCTGCATTCTCAACAAAAGTGCTCGCACATGCACGTAGAGTGCTTAGAGCTTGGGATTACATGGGACAATTTGATTGGTCTATCTTGCACACGTGTTGAGAAACTTAAATTGACTGGTTTAATATATTCAGTGTGAAGTTGATGAAAATGTGGATGTCTCGTCTCCTACACCACGAATGTGCATATGCAAGATTTCTAATGAACGCCTATCAGATTTCTATTACGTCGCTCTGTACGTGAAGTGGATCATGCACAAGACTCGACGTATCTACGCGCGGAAGTTCATGCTTATGAAATCTGGCTCATTCTTCCTTGAGGGCACAAAGAATGAGGGTGGGGTCACATCTGTCTACCTGCTCGGTGAACCAGCCAAATTCCATTTCATTATGTGGTAACGGTGTAAAGCACGTGGCAGCTGTTCAAGGCCCCCCATATCTTGCTTGGTGTGAGGGCGCCAAAAACAAGCTTTCTCTCAGGGCAGATAGCAGTAATGCGTGCGTTCTAGACGAAAGGAGACGAGCGAGAACTAGCTAGTAGGTGCGGTGCTCTAAAGTAGGGCGGTATATAATTCAGACCTTTTTGCCTGAAATGTGCATTGACGCTCTTTTCAAACCACATAAAACATGTGAAATCGAGCCAAGATACTCTGTCTTGGCATAGAAAGCATTATGTAGCAACAGTTGGTCATAAAATACTCGCTTCGACTATAGGGTGTTTGTTGTGTTGAGGGAGACCCATACCTATTGGAATGATGAATGCTTATGGCAGGAGCCTGCACCCCTGCGTCGTTCCCAAGATTATAGAGAATTTGACATCCACACAATATTCATTCTCGCGTTGGAGATTATACTCACGTGCTCCTTCCGACATGCACAGACCTGGAGCAGCGTCGGCCTCAAAGCGATATCCTACACCTGGGTATGCAGGATACAATGTTGCTTGGTCGCCTTTCTTTCCGGATAGGCTTGCCGTAGCAAGCTCTGCGAACGTACGTATACTTTGGTGTTAACAGTAGTATGGCCTTGTGGGAAATGGACGGTTACATCTCTTTGGCAGCACACCTGCCCAGGTCAAAGTGTACGTAAATGCCATACCTGACATTGGAAAAGGTTCGATACACAAGATGGGATTTTTGATGTTGCATGGTCAGAGGTTCATGAAAATCAAATCGTATCTGCATGCGGTGATGGCAGCATAAAACTTTGGGATGCCACGCTCGATGACCATCCTATTCGAAATTGGCAAGAACATGCTCGGGAGGTGTTTTCTATTGACTGGAATAATGTTCAAAAAGACTTTTTTGCGAGCGGAAGTTGGGATGGAAGTGTAAAAATTGTATGTCGTGATCCTTCCACTGATCTGTCTAACCTTGCAGTGGACCCCAGAACGCCCAACGTCTGTTCAAACGATTCCTGCTCACAGCGCCTGTGTGTATAGGTGTGCGTGGTCGCCACACAATCCGAACCTCTTGGCAACAGCATCAGGAGATGGAACGGCTAGCGTCTTTGATCTTCGAGGCGGTGCAAGACCTGTGGCCACGATGTCGGCAGGAGGTGAAGTCCTGGCACTAGATTGGAACAAGTACAAGCCGATGACACTTGCGACGGGCGGCACAGACCGCGCTATAAAAGTTTGGGAGGCTCATACTGCCGCTCCGTCTAGCGGTGGTCTAGTGCCCGAGCGTTGTGTGTTGCTTGGTCATCAATACGCAGTGCGTGATGTTGCATGGTCCCCCCACAAGAACAGTGTCATCGCGAGTGCAAGCTATGACATGACGACTCGTGTATGGAGTATGGACGATGCAAGTGTTCCGGCGCAGATACCTATGGTGAACACGCCACGCCAGGTGTATTCAGGGCATCGAGAATTTGTTGTAGGCGTGGCATGGTCACTCTTTGAGCCGGGCGTGCTCGCCTCAGCTTCCTGGGACATGGAAACACACGTATGGCCGGCTATGGTATAGGTGTACTTCTATGGCTGAGATGCAGGTGATGCATGCTCGTCGGTAGATGGCGTCGTCTCTGTAGAGGAATCACTCGTAGCCACTTCAGCCGCGGCTGCTTCGTCAGCCTCGATTTCTTCCGCATAAACCTCGGGGTGGCGACGGAAACAGTCTTGCATGTGCTTGAACTGGTCAATGCAGTCGATACCCTTGGGCTCGGCTTCGGAGAAAACGAAGCAGCTGAATGCCTGCTTGAATTCCTCGCCACATGGGCCATCGGCCATGCCGCCAAGACAGGGGCAATCCCAGTTGATTTCTCCCGTCCGTTCATTGAAAGCGGACTCTTCCTCTTCTGTTGACTCAGTCTCGCTTGACTCTTCGTTGCCACTGTTCTTTTCGATTTTCGTCAAGACGACAGGCTGCGCTTTAGGCTTCATGCGTTCTTCAAATGATGGACGAGTGTAACTAGGTTGCAAGCACACAGGCTGTACAGAGGAGTACAATACTGCTGATGCAATGCCGATTGTTGGCACAGTGACTGCCGCGCGTGCTTGTGCTGCCTTAGATGCGTGTGCAAACAGCCCTGATGCAAATCGACCAAGCATGAGAATGAGGGTGTTGAAGTAGAGGGAAATTCCGCCACATTTATGAAAATCAATGTTGACGCGTCCCTCAAGGCAGGCATCCTCCACGTAGTGGACTCAATCTGTGTCTGGCTCATTCGCGATTTTGGTTACCTTGCAATCCAAGATAGCTACAATTTACCTGCTCAGTAGGCGGCTGCCGTGCGCCACACGGAATGGAACACGAGTCATGAGAGGTTGCCAATGCCGTGCAATGTACCGTGATCCTATATACTTTCGAAGGTCCCCCTTTTCCTTACTAGACAGAGACACATAGTACACTGGCATCATCCTAAACAACACTAAAAAATAAACTTCATCTAGTAGGCTATCTAGACCTTAGCGTTCTTACTATGGAGCATGTGCACAAAGCAGCACAGACGTGCAAAGCTTCTGCAGCACGCCATAGTACCAGATACTGTATAAAATGAGCATCAAGATAGTGTCATCACGAGATCGGCTTTATTCTCGTATGGGCTGACTAGTTGCTAGCGCCAATGGTTAGAATTCGACCTGGCAGCACAATAGCGGCTTCGTAGGTCAGACGCCCAGACGGAAGGCGAACCAAGATGGAATGGCATGTGGAGGTGGGGACTCACGCGTCGATGGTTGAGGCGGGTGACAACAAATCAGTCGACCCATCCACGATCATGGTGGAATTGGAGGAAGTACAAGAGTCTAATGCGCGCATTTTACACACGTTTGGGAGTCACCTGGTTTGTGTGTTTGCGGGAGCGACAGGAGGAATCGGGAGATCCACTCTGCTCACTTTTGTGAAGTATTTGAAGCAGCCCCGTATTTACTTGCTGGCTCGATCAGAGGAGCGTGCAGAAGAGGTGATCAAGGAGCTGCAAGAAATCAACCCTGATGGCGAATACTTCTGGATTCACGTGGATTTAAGCCTAGTAAATATGGTCGATGTTGCGTGCCGACGGATCCGGGAGCGGGAAGAAGCCATCAACGTACTGTTCATGAGCCAGGGAACGTTGGATGTGCTATCTCGGACGAGTGAGGGGATGCGTCTGATGTGGGCGCTATCATACTTCACGCGAATGAGAATGATCAATAATCTGCTTCCACAGTTGCGTCGAGCAGAAGGACTGCGCCGCGTCGTCTGTGTGATGGCCGGCTCCAAAGAAGACGTCGTGGATCCGAATGACGTTGCCGGTCGCAAGATAGCGATCCGGCAGGCTAGAGGGCACATAAGCTCGTGCATTACCTTTGGCCTCGAACACTTTGCTGCCTTGGCGCCTGAGGTAAGCTTTATCCACGATCACCCCGGCACGGTGCCCACTAAGTTGTCACGCAGTTTGCCACCAGGCATGGCTCCGTTTGCATCTACATTTTCACTCGCATCACCTCCCAAGCTTTCGCTGGAGGAGAGTGGTGAGCGTCATGTTTTCCTGCTGACAAGTGCACGGTATCCGGCGGCATTAGAAGAAAGCAGAGAGAATGCACGTGGCGTGTCGCTGTCGGCGGGACTGCGTGTAGCTGTCTCTTCTACAGCGCGCGTGGCCGGGGGCGTGTACTCGCTAGATGGCATGGGTATCAGTGCTGGTACGGCGACTGTGGGGAAGCTAGCGAAGATGCGTGAGCAGGGCATTCCTACGCTGCTGTGGGAATGGACAGAGGCAGAATTCCAGCGTGTGGAAAGACCTATACCTGATCCACCCATACCCAAGGAGCAGCCGAAGCCCGAGATGATGCAGCCAGATGACATGCTATTCTTGCCGCGGCCTATGCCTGATGGCAAGTACCCTGTGCCTGATCCTGTGCGGGCGACTCGGCCGCCTGTCACGACGCCTGAGCCTCCTGAGCCATTAGAACAGCCACACCCCGAAATGGTGCGCCCAGATGCAGTCATGGTCCTCCCTAATGTACTTCCAGATGGCAGGTATCCTATGCCGGAGCGTGTGCAGCCAACTCGTCCGCCTATCCCCAGTCCAGAGCCAGAACCAGAGCCAGAGCCAGAGCCAGAGCCAGAGCCTGCAACCACGTCACAGGGCAACGGTGACCCGTCTTCCTCTGCTGAGCCCGAGGCTGCTGATGAAGAGGCTTCGTCAAAACCGAAAAAGATGGTGTTTGTCCCTGCTTTTATACACAAAATCCATCCGAAGGCCTTCCGCCCTTTCCGTTCAAAAGATAGAGCGGCTCAAGCACCAGCTACTGAGGAAGACACTGTCCCGTCCGAACAAAGTGAGACTGTGACGACGGGCGTTGTAGCTGTGCCAGAAGATCAAGTACCGCTTGTGCAAGGCGCTGGTGCACAGCCAAGTCAGTCCATTCCACCTGTTTCGGCTGCGCCAGCATACCAACCTGATACAACAACTTCTAGTCCTAGAGTGCCCGCTACCACGTCTCTTCCTCAGCAGCAGGAGAGTACTGCACCTTCTGCGACGTCTAATCCATCGAACACGATTCCTGCTCCTGCTCCTATTCCTGCAAATGAATCGGCATCCCTTCCAACAAATATGTCATCTTCACACCCCATCGCGGCCGCAGCAACCCAACAGCCTGCAACCGTATCTATGGTGGCGCAAGCACCTTACTTGACTCAGTCTGAGCCGGATGCACTGAGCTCATCTGGCCCTGTGGCCGTGTCCTCTGGACCTACCTCCGATCCCTCAGCGCATGTGGCGGGAGCAGAATCTATGCCCGTCTACATGGCTCCCGTGGCTTCGGGGCCATCCGCATTACAGCCAACGGTACCAACAACAGCAGGGCATGCGTCGTCGTCAACCCAAGCACATGCCATGCCTTTTGTGCCCATGACCGGTCAGTCAGCGGCATCTGCAGCTGATAGTGCGCCGACAGCCCAAGACATCATTTCGTCGTACCAAGACTAAGTCAAGGGAGCAGCGCCTATCCAGCCATGTGTCGCATGATATGATTATGGGCTTGCAGCTGTAGGGATATTTTAACCATACCTTTCTCGCATTTTTTCTTTTTGATATATATAAGTGGAATGCTACACAAGAACCTGGTCATTATCATCAAAGGGATCCTTATCTTCGAGCACGTGTGTCTGTGGCGGCAGTGGCGGCGTTGTATTTAGCTCTCTTGTTGGCATTGACTGTGCATATGTGTTGGGTGCTTGTACAGGCTCCTTCAGACGAGAAGCCGACGCATGAAAATGGCTCGCGGAACCATACGGTTCTAGGGCAACTGCGTCGGCATCGGCATCGGCATCGGCATCGGTACCGGCATCGGCATCTTCATCAACATGCTCCAGACCCTGTTCCATGGCCAAATAAGAAAAGGGTTCATCTTTCGCATGACCCGCAGCCAAGCCGTAGCGACCGCCATAGCCAACATAGGTGTCGATCAGTACGTTGAACCACAGGAACAGAGTAAACGCGACGGAAAAGTCGATCAGCGCCCACGTAACGTGGTCGACACCCTTCGCATCGGCCCAACGCATCTCTTCATCGGTCGCGCTCATGAACAGGATGCCACTTGACACAAGAAGAAACGGAGGCAAGTACTGGAAAATGCTCACCGGGAACCATTCGCCTGGTCTCGGTTCACGAGGGATGGATCCCGAAGGTCCTTCGTTCAAGACGAAGCAAATCTCAATGACGCGACACAAGCCGCCCGCCATGAGTGTATAGCCAAAAAGAGCATGGATTTCTGTCGATATAGCGACGGCCTGCTTGTGCCCACTCATGGCCCAGCCCGTCAGCATGATGATGATCGCAGGGAACACGGAGCGTGCACCGCGACGGCTGACCCAGATACCCACGGCACCACCAGCCCACCATACCACGCCCATCAAGGTATGCTGAAGATCCTTGTGCGTCCAGGGTCCACCGTGATGCTCGGTAAATGAGTTGACAATACCCCATAGCAAAATGACCCACGAGTCCAGGTATTCCTGGGCGAACCCCCGTCTGCGGAGCCATTCAACAGCGCACTTCATCATAATCAGCAAAATCACCGAGTAGGCCGCAAATGCCGAGCCCATAATATAGTGTGCGAGACACTGGCCCAGGTGCCCCGCCATTGCACCAGGATTGCAACGTCGCAATACCAAACACCATTTGCGTCCACCCAATCACGGGGAACGCACGTCCAAGCACACCGTGGATGCCCAGCACAATGGGCCGCACGTATTTTTCCTTCGACCATGTGAGATGGAGTCGAAGATATATGCCACATGCGGCTTGTGTGAGCAGAGCAAAGAACAGGATGATGGCAAAGGTGCCGTGGACCGTGTGCGAGAACTGGCGCCCGCCGTGATTCTGACCAAAGAGAAAGCCTATAAGTGACACTGTGACGGCCAAGATCGAGAGCGAGACGTGAAATCGGTGGCGCACAAGTCCTAGGACCATGGCTAGTGGAAACAGAACTGCCCACGCAGTAGCTTCCATGCCAATATGGAGCCAGAGCCGTGCATCCACGGGGGCGCGTGTCTCTTGCTGTGTGGGTTTATGCGCGTGATCTCCATGTGCGACGACCGCGGTGAAGCACAAAGCGATGCTGGAGAGGAGTATGTGCCACCCGCGCATAAGGAACGAACAGATCCTTATCCCTATCTGGCAAGGCACCGGACAGCTACAAGGAGTGGCTGGGCATTGCAAGCGTGTGTCCGAATCCTTGACTCGCGTCAGAGTGTGGAGGGCAGCGAGTCTGGGTGGAGGGCCGTTCTTCTTGTGCCGATGATAAACCATCATGTACGTTGTGGTGGGCTATGTCATAGTCAAACACGGAATACGAGTGTGGGGTCCAAGCGTGTATCTATGTATCTGCGGTGAGCGCATATGTACAGGCAATGTGCGTGTGGGTGTGTAGGATCTCTTTGCGATCCTTGCATTCAAGTCGGCCAACCATACAGCACACCCTCTACCACTGTTGCAGAAACGAGCTGGACGCCTGTTCGGAGGGCCTCAGGATCACAGGGCTGCGTAGCGGAGCATCCCCACTGGCTGCCAGCACATGCGGCGGTTGCGGTGCAGCCACGGCTGCCGAGGCACCGACGGCTATCGGCTTCGTGTCGGGGCGTCGAGATACAAGCCATGTGGGAACCCAGCCACGCTTGGGCAGTGGGCCGTCTACAATACAATAGGACCAGGAATTGTAGCGCTTGAACACACGTATGCGGTCGGCTGCGGATACGGCAAACGAATGATCAGGTGTCGCAAAGTCTGTCAGCATGACAGCCGCTGTGCCACTGGTCGGCACATAAGCGAGTGACAGGGGCGCATACATCATGGTTTGCTGCCATTTTTCAGGTGACTCTGGCGGTAGGAAACTCGCCTGCAATTGCAGGATGGTGGCCATGGGCCGCGTCAATTCAAGCAGGCATCCCGATGGGGCCCAACCGGTCCATATTTCAACGCCAAGCTTCACGGGATCCAGCAGGAAGACATCGCCGCGCCCGTCTGCGACAGAGTCGCGACGCAATGCCCACCAGCCCTTGCACTTTGACAGCACGATGAACGTGTCACCAGGCTGAATGTCGAATTCGTCACCACGCTCCGACACGTACGGATAGATAGCCACGGCATGCGATATCGTTTTAAATGCAATGTCTGCCGCAGGTCCCATGGTTCGTGCATGGGCAAGTGATTCTGCGCCGCCTTGCATCGTCAACAGCACACGCACGGACATGATGTGCGAGTCGGCCGATACTGTGATACCAGGAGGTGCGGCGCGAAGGCGCATGGCCTCATGCTTCGTGTTTTGGATCTCACGGCGCTTCTCAATGAACTTGCGTTGTGCAAGTACTAGAGGCGACTCAATGTCGTGGACGCGCCGAAGGATCAACTTCGTCTCCGGCATGATTTCACGCATTCGCTGGAGAATCATAAGCGGTTTTTCATCATAGGCAATACACCGCTCTGTCGTGTTGCCTGCCGCAAACAAGACGAACTCGTGCCAATCATCATGGATCTCAAAGTGCTGCAGAGCCATCGGTAAGATAAAGCTGCATGGATCATCGAACGTGACTGTGTAATGGCATTGGGCTTTGCGCGGTGTGGCGTCTTGGCCACTTTGTTTGAGCATATCCGCGACAGCTTCTAACGCAGGTGTTATAATATATGGGTCCTGCGGCGAAATGTGTGCCACATCAACCTTATGTCTGCGGGCATCACTGTGTGCGGGGTTGTCTGGATTTGTTTGCTGTGCATCGACCGTTTCCCAAGGCCCTGGCATGTTTGCCCGAGCATGAATCGAGTCTGGCACAGGCAGCGGACGCACAATGTGCGGAGGATTCAGAGATTGGGCGATCACAGACACGTCTTCATGCAAGCGCAAGAGACATGTGCTGAGATGAGACACGCGCGACTCAAGTACGTGTATGCGTTCGTCTGTAGAGAGACAGAGCACGTGTGCGTAAGCGACCAGTCTAGGCAGGTAGGATGATCATTGCTGCGTACCTCGATGACGTAGCTGGCTCGCCCATTCATCTTGTTCCGTCGACGGATTTTGGTGTTCTGAGTTGAGTGTGCGTCAGTCGTGCGGCTTCACCGGACATACCTTGCGGGACCCAATCACCAGGTTCCAGGGGGATTTTGTGCGCGACTTTTAGCAGGTAGATCTCATCTAGTAGTGTGACTCGATGTCCAATGGAAGTGATGCCAATATCTCTGAGAGCAGGCTCATCCATCAGCAAGAGTGCCTCGCCATCGATGTTGTTATCTTCAAATGCGGCCAAGTACCCCTGCAAGTTCAATTTCTCCAACCATCGTCCCACATCCTCCGTTGTCCATTGCCGCACATCTTCATTCATGCTGTCGTGTGTTGTGATGCACTGTGCTTCGCTTTGGAGACGTCAATGTCCGTCTATGCGGCAAGCCTGGGGTCTTGAGCTCCACTCGCACACACACACACACACACACGTAAAGACGATTTCGACGTTTCCTTCCAGCAGAACTAGCCAGCCAGCCGGTCAGCCAGCCAACTTGGCCGTTTCTATCGAGACCCTGGTCAGTGAATGTGGAGGCGCCGCGCCGTCGGGCTGTGCATGCGGATGTCAGCCTCATGCGCCTTATAGGGCAAAACAAGTGTTGCGGATTTCTGTAAGTGCGTGCGTGCGTGCGAGTGTGTATGTAAGAGTGAATGCGTGTTCGAGGAAGCGGTGCCGAAGGGGTGTTGGTTGTTGTGGCTTCGAAGTACGAACGAAGCCAAGACCCTAACAAGAGCAGGTCACGGTCGGTCAGGAGCATTGACGAAAGAACAAACAGCTTGTTTGTTCTATGCGTGGCGAGGCCGCCGCGTCCTCGGAGACGGCGGAAACAAATAGTCCGCCCGTTGCGCTTGCTGGAGCAGGGACCAGTCCCGTCGGTGCGTCAACACGACTCGATGCCATTGCCAAGCTTCGGCGTGCTGCATCACAACGAGAAATCCAGCAGTCATCGTCACCATCTCGTACACCATCTTTACCATCTATACAACAAATTGATGACAGTGTGAAACGTGTGGACGAACCACACTACAAGCCGCCTATCGCTCAATTCCAGTTGCCATCGCTGGAGCAGCTGCGGCAGCGCATCATCCAGGAACGGCGTCCGACTGGCCTGTCTCGCTCAGCCAGCACTAGTGCGACGTCGCAGGTCGCTCGTGCTTACACTATGCAGAAGCTCTTGGGCGCTACGACGCCTATCTCTTATGCGGACATGTTTGCCTTCGTGCGCGATACGAACAAAAGCCGCGGTGAGATCGATACCGTCACTTCTGACGAAGATGTATCTGCTCATGCTGTGCCAGACACGTCAGTGCCGGGCGCTGGCGTGTCGCTCCTGAAACCCCGCCGCGCGACTCTCATGCGCAGCGTGTCGGCTCGCAACAATGCACGCATGCACCTGTACCGCAGGCACGGGCGAACGCCGCAGGAAAACGCACTGGCGCCAGGCGCGATCACCCCGATCCAGGGCAGTCCTCCGATGCAGGGGTCCGGCGAACTTGCTGCGTCCGATGACGGCAGCACAGTGGCGCACGACTCGAACAGCACATCGAGCTGGCGCGTGTCCTTGTATGACTATGACTCGACAAGTCCGATTGTATCACCACCATGTGGTCTTGCTCCTATATCATCTGCACCCATCGTTCCACGAGCTGTGGATGGCGTTGCAGCACTTCCGCCTGTGGGACAAGGTGGTGTGTTGTTACCAGGCGAGCGCTGGCTTCGTGAGACGAGCGTTGCGACAGCACCGCATCAACAGCCAGCCGCCTCGGACGAAAATGCAGGAACGAGAAAGACGTCGGAAGCCGAAGAAGCGAGAGAGGTCAGAGAAGCAAACGAAACCAGGAAGGCGAAGGAAGCCAAAGAAGCAGAGCCAGTCCGGGAAGCGTCAGAGGCAAGGCGTGCCGACAAGGCTGCGAATGCCCCCCATGCCCCATACGCTCCTGATCTTGCTACACCGCCATCGACTCTCGCAGCTCCCAAGCTCACACGAGTCACCTCTCATACAGCGCAGCTCGACACACAGGTCCCCCGGTCAGGCAAAATATCGGAGAAAAAGGCCGAGCCCATGCAGGGCGTATCAGTGACACCCTCACCGTCGACACCCACTATACCTGCAGCCGCCAATTTGCCCGCTGTGTCGATACCTTGGGGAGATCCCTCGCCCGAAGCACCTGCTGCGCATGTGATTTCCTCGGTGCCCAGCTCGCGTGTCGCGACGCCCGTATGTATGTCTCCATCGCTGTCGCATGACGATGGCGGGCAAAAGCCGCTTCCACGTTTGCCATCGTCTGCCCAGCTGCCGCCAGTACCGCCACTGCCAGAGCCACGGGGCGAGCATCGGCTTGGCGACTCACTTTATGGCGCACAGTTACGACAGAGTCCAACGCCTTCGCTCGAGGCGCTTCCGACCGTGCCCAAGCCTTTGCTACATACACGCTCTTTCAGCGCTGGTGGCAGCAGCAGCAGCAGCAGCGGCGGCTTCCCGCGGGAAGACGTTGCGGCGGACGACCCAAAGAAAGAAGCGCGAGTCATGCGTCTGTTCGGCTCTCTTCGGCGCAAAACGTCGCGTCGTGCTCTGGGCTCTCTCCGACGGCAAGCAAAGGTGCCGTCGACTGATCCTAGCCACGTGGCGATGGCGTCGATCGTTTTGCTGGGGGAATCAGGCGAGTCCGTCTTGCACGATAAGGTCGTGACACTCCCTGTGACGCCAGCAGCCCTAATGCGCTGGAACCAAACACTCCCACGCCCACTGCGGCATGTGCTGGCGCGCTTGCCAGCGGAAATGCCGCTGGACCTGGCTATGGATCCACCACGCCAGCTGCTGCGTGTCCTGCCGCTGCTTCAGACGGCTGGCGACGAGTATGTCAAGCTCCGGTATGTGTTTGTATTTCAAGACATGATGGTGGTTGCCAAGCCGGTGGTGCTCCCACGCCAGGGCGAGTCGCTCTCCGACTTTATCATTCGCAAGCTCGCGAGTGTGCCGGACCTCAGCGAGTCGTGTACGCCGTTCGCGGTGCTAGACCTGCATCACACATGTATTGACGAGGGATCGTCGCTCGTGGAGCGCACGGCCAAACTCGATGCGCTCGTTCGTCAGCGCATCACGCACCTGCATGTCAATCCGACAAAGACGCTGCACCAGCTGATGAACGACGCGCGCTTACGCGGCCCGGAGTCGCGTGCATATGCGCAGCTGCTGCACTCGTGCACGGCACTTGATGCAGGCTTTGTGTCGGACTTTTTGTTCGCGAACCATGCTGTCCTGGAGCAGTATGTGGCACAACATTGTGTTGCGGGCGCGCCTTTGGAACTTGCACTTCGCGCGCTGCTCGCCAGTTTGCGATGGCCGCGTGACATGCCGACATTCGAAGTGCTTCTCTTCGCGTTTGCTGCGCACTGGCACGCTGCGAATGCGAGTGAGCATGCTGGCCTAACGCTGGAGCTCACGACTGATCTGACGTTTGCTCTGCTGGGCTTGAATGACGCGCTCCACGATGCCACAGGCCTGTTTGCGCGGCCCAATCCAGCGCTGTCTGTCGACAAGTTTGTCATGCTGTTCCGCGTCCACGACACACAGAAGACCATCAGCGATCGTCTGCTCAGTGAAGTGTATCTCGCCATCAAGACATCGCCTCTCACGCCAGCCGTGTCACGCGACGCTTGGCGCGCCGTGTCGTTCGATGCCGACGCACTGTGTGCGGAGCCGCTCAAGCCTGGTGTACCCAGTGCACCAGTGCGCGTGTCGCTCGATGCCCCTGACTCTGACGTGCGCATCCGGCTTGTGGGCCGCGGCTTGTACATTGACCCGCCCGTGCTTTCCTTCACCCACGCGGCACATGCAGAATTCAGTGTGTGTGCGACGACGCCTGGCTCCTATGACCTGCTGTTCCTGCGCACAGGCCGCCATGCGGCCCGGTACATGAATCAACAGCACCAGCCGATGCAGTCGCCTCTGCCGCGCCACCTGCCGCTCGTGTGTGAGACCAGCACAGCCCGCCCGACCATCAAGCTCGTGCACATGCCGCCTGGCTCTCCTCGCACGGACCTGACGTTCTGCATGACGGATCCTCACTCGGCCGAGCAAGTGGCCTCATTCCTTCGTGCCAGCATGGAAACGGCCCATGCCGACGCGCTGCGTCTCACGCAGGCCGAACTGGACGTGCGCACACTGTGCCGGCTCGTGCTGGAGTCCGCGCTGCTTGCGCCGGACTCGAACGACACACGCAGGCGTGCTTGTCGTTCCAGCACAGGCACTCAAATCGTGCGGACAGCGCGCGAAAATAGTCTGCTCGCCTATGTGCTACTAAGCACCGAGTTGCGGCGTGTCGTCACATAGCTCGAACGCCCCTGTCGCTGGCGCCGGTAACTCGCGCACGACACCCTGTGCCGCCCAGAAGCGGAGCACGTCTAGCGCGGCTCCTTGCTCAAGCCCCAATGCCGTAGCGACATTATCGGCCGTGATGCTTCTTCGGCCAGCGTCCGTGTCGATCGTAGTCAATGCGCCGCTGTGGCCACGATGACCATCGGTACTGAAGCCCGCGACTAGCTCGACCACCGCTAGCTGCAGTGGCGTCACGCGCACCGAAATGACCCGTCCTTGCTCCAGCTCAATGTCCACGTCCACACTGCCGACATGTGGCAGCCATTTCACGCGCTTCGCTGGGTGCTGCGCCGCATAAAAGTCTGCATACTTCTCAAGGGCCTCAGCGAGTCGCTTCGGCAGCGTGTACATGCGGGTATCGAGATCTGGCCAAAACTGCCGTGAAATCACCATTGGATGAACATGATCGGCCATGCCGCCGTGCGCCACCGCATGGAAGTGTGTATCGAACCGTTGCGACCATGCCACATCCGTGAGCATCACATCGCAATGATGCAGATTCTGCTCGCCCAAACGCCGTTTGAAAATCGCATTGTTCCGCTGCACTCGCGATGTATCGTAGTCCATCGTCTTCACGAGCCGTTGCGCCGTGTGCTGCTCTAGGGCATGCAAGAATCCCTGCCGATCATCAAAGATCGACACGAGCAGGCCGACCACGTCTCGTGTTCGCATGTGGCTGAACGCAGGTCCTGCATCCACCGGCCGCGGTGCCCATGTGGGATCTGTCCAGTACTCAAGCCGCGTGTACTGCTCCTCTTCCTCCTCTTCCGCCGTCGCTGCGCCGACAGCATAGCCGCCACCACCCGGCACGTCAGGCTCGGCCGGCTGTGTATGCACGAGCTCCGTGCGAAGCAGCTCAAATGCCGCATCATCTCCCAATAGGGCATGCACCACAGCTTGAATCGTGTCCTTCCGCGTGCGGAGATAGTGCTGGACCGGTGGAAGCACGCGCGACAACACCACGCCCGACGTGTCGACAATCCGCAGCGCATACACAATATTCACATAGTACACGAGAATGGCATGCGTGTCGACATCGGGGTGCAAGAGTCGCTCATGCAGTGCCTGTGAGAAAGCACGCGCTAGTTCCGTGCGTTCATCCGTCTTTTCCAGCCACAACACCACGTCCTGCATCGCCGCTCGGCTCCGTGGATACGCACACAACCAGCGCATACAGCTGCGTCAGCCGGTGCTCACATACGGCTTTGGCTAGTGAGTACTCGAGTCGCAGATACAATGACTCTTGGTCCGTGTTTGGCGCGTGCTTCGAGTCATCGCGCGCCATGGACAGGCTCATATCCCACGCATCCGGCAGCGGCACTCCCGCTAACGACGTCGGCATCTGAGACGTCGCGGTGCCTGCGGCTGGCTCCCATTCACACATGTGGTCAGGCCGCGCGTCGAGGATCGCGCCGAGTGCCGGCATGAGCTGCTCGCACAACAGAGCCTGGAGCATCGGATACACGGCTTGCTCCAACGACGATGCGTGATGCATCGCGTGCCGCGTCGCCTGCTGCAGCATCTGCGTCGCTGTCTGCGTCATGGAACTTTGCATGAGTGCATCCAAACCCAGCGCGCGAAGCTGCGCACATACTTGTACACTCACAGGCTCCATGGTGATGCTTCTTGCATCTTTTACCTGCAACGTACTTGCCAAAAACGCCAGTATCACCTCATGCATACCAGGTGGCATGGCTGCTGAAAATATGGTCTTGCATCGTAATAGAAACTGGGCCATGTGTTCTGCCCCTGGGCCTTCTACCTCTGACACAAGCTCCTGTCGAGAACAGATCCATTGGAAGCATGTGTCGATAGCACCAGGGAAAGCTGCGGCTGCTGACGATGGACCTACGGTCGTATTCGACGACGATGCAGGCCATATTGCCAATGCTTTTGTGCAGACACTATGAAAAGCTGTCATGCACGTATCCAGAAACCACGCGAACCATCGTTCCTGCCTTTCCCCCGACATCGCAGCAACAGCGCGTTGCACCTCCGCTGGTATGATGTGAGCATATGCACACGACATTGTCCATGTACTCGCACGTACGCGCATGCGATATTGCGCTTGCAAGCACGCACATGCTTGTTCCTCACGTACACTGATGGCGTTCCTCCGTTGTCCATGGATTTCGTGGGTCGTACGCGTCCGACACAAGACTCCATGCATTTTCATCGAAGCCCATTTCTTGCATGCTGCATGCTCGCAGCGCATTTTCCCAGGCCACTTCCATCACGCGCGCCTGTCTCTGACTCTTGTAGAGTGGGAATGAGCCCCTCTACAACACCACCACCACCACCACCTTTTGGTAACAAAAGCGGGGATTGAGACGTGACCAGGTGGAGGTACTTTGGTTCCTTGCTTGGCTCGCACGATCGCTTGCTGGCTCGTACGAGAACGCGTCTTCATGTGTGACAACATTCTTACTCAACCACCACGCACATAGGAAGTGTGCTCGCTCTGTTTCATGCGTGTATCTGCGCCAACCACCCTTCGTTATGTGCTTTCGACTGCGCTACTCGTCGTCTTCGCATTGTACTCAACTCTATTCTGCATTTTTGCATACCGGGCCAGGCATGAATTGTTCCTGCCTATGTATATAGGTGCATGTGGAATTGCACTCCTTGGCATGATCGGCATGCTTTTTCCGAACCAGGAGCATGACTGGGTCACTTGCGCAAGAGTGTGCCAACATGTCGTACAGATCACCTGTCTTCTATATTTGGATGTCTTACTCGACCGCTGGCTCTCTGTGGTCCAAAATTGTCTGCGCCAGCTAATGCTACCCTTTCCGCTTCGACACCCGAAATTCAGGTGGATCTTTGCTCTTATCTCGCTAGCACTAGCTTACTGGGATCCGAATGGCGTCGTCTTGCCATGTCTACTCGTCGCCGGCGCACTCGGCTGCAGCGAGCGACTCGGCGGATACATGTCCGATGCACAGCTCATGAAAGATTTCCACCCTAATGGAACATACTCACTTGAACTGAAGCCAAAAATTCGCGATGCGCTCGAGTTCACGGCGCAAAAGCTCATTCACGCGGTCCTCCTACTTGGTGCTTCGAATGGTGCCTATCTATGTGTCCACCTTGTCTTTGTATACCGTCCGAAGCTGGGCGATCTCGATTTACAATATATCGGCTTCTTTCTCGCTAACTTGCTAGGCTCTATTCCCTTCCTCACCATGCTGGCCATGCCGAGCTACATGCGCCGGCTCGACGTGCTCCTAAGCCACATCTAGCCGAGTTTTCTCCCCTCCCCTCCTCACACACAAACTGCCCAGATGCCCATCCCAATTCGCTTTCTCATGCCAGGCGGTATGCATACTTACATAATACACCGCTGTCCGTTGGCCTTCGGCCCAGCACGAGCGCGGCGCAGCGCCGGCGTCATTTGTGCTTTGAAAGTCCCGTGCAAAGTTCCCTCACATCTGTTTTTGTACCGACATACGGACTCCTTCTGGTCGGACTATCCGACCATATGGGTATGAAGGTATTGGTGACTGGCGCCTCTGGCTTGCTGGGGCGTGCTGTTATGCAGACGTGCATCCGGGCTGGACATCATGTCGTGGGTCTGGCATTTTCACGAGCCTCTGACGCCATCCAGCAGCTAGATCTTACAGACGCAGACGCTGTGTATGATGTGGTGCGTCGTGAGCATCCTGAGGTTGTTATCAACTTGGCTGCAGAGCGACGTCCCGATGTTGTTGAGCAGAATCCCGACGCAGTCAAGAAGCTCAATGTTGAGGCGCCTGCTGTGCTCGCGAAGGCATGTCGGGAGCTGGACCCACCTGCCTACTTGATTCATATTTCCACGGACTATGTCTTTGACGGGCGCAATCCCCCCTATGCGGTCACAGATGCCACAAACCCATTGAACGCGTATGGAAGAAGTAAGCGCGATGGCGAATCGGCCGTCTTGGCTTCTGCATTGCCAGGCCATGCGACTAATCTTCGCCTGCCTGTCTTGTACGGCGAAACTCTCTTTCCCGGAGAATCGGCCGTGAATGTACTTCTTGAGGCAATTCAACCGCGGGAAAGTCGCATCCGCATGGATGCACACTCTGTGCGATATCCAACCAACGTGACTGATGTCGCGCGCGTCATTGAGCAGCTTGCCACTCTCTACCAGAAGCGACTCCATTCGTCCTCATCGCCTATGCCAAGTGCGCTGCACTTTTCTGCCCAGGAGTCTATGACTAAATATGACATGTGTCTCACCTTTTCCCGCCTGTGGAATGATGTGTGTGGCGAAGCCGTGTCTTCTACGGACCATCTGAATCCCCAGTATGAAGAGGATCCACGTGCTGCCACGCAACGGCCTGGCAACTGCCACTTGGATGTCCAAGCCACTGCCGACTTGGGCATCGATGTGCACTGTGTGCTGTTTGAAGAGTGGTGGCGCGACTACCTGGCTCGCTGCGGCCCACCGACGTCGTCATCCAAATCCACTGAATCCCAGAGCCAGTTGGAATCCAAGCCTGACATAAACAATTCCCCACCTTCAGCATCCGTTTCTGACAATGAGCGAACCAAGCCCACTCGGGAAGACATGGACCATAACCAAGGTACGAAGAACGTCTCTAACAGCGAGGACTCTAGTCTAGGTGCCATGGGTGATAAGGCGCTACCGGCGCCTGCAGTGGCGGACCATAACAGTCACAACGAGGACGATGATTTGGAGCGCTACGGCACAAGGACACCATCAGAACAGCTGCAGACCAGCGACCATACGAATGAGACGCAGTGCGATCCCCCTGTTGAGTTTACCGTGCGCGTGGGTGATCCGCAGCGTGTGGGTGATCCCGTGACAGCACATGTCGTATACACTGTTCGCCTCACAACAAATGCGCCTTGGTTTGCGCGGTCAGAGCTCTCTGTACTGCGTCGATACAGTGATTTCCGCTGGCTTCATGCTGCCATGGTGCACAATCATCCAGGCGTAGTCGTGCCACCGATCCCCGAAAAGGTCAAGTTGGGTCGCTTTGCACCAGAGCTCGTCGAATTCCGGCGCAGGTCGCTAGAGCGCGCGTTGCACAAAATCTTGCTTCATCCCATGTTGCAAAGAGACGACGACTTGAAATTGTTTTTGGAAAGCTCGAATTTATCCGCCGATATCCACGACCGTGATGCTCGGAAGGGTCGCGTCATCACACCTGAGTATAAGACGTACTTCGGATGGAGTCAGGCGCTACAGCAATACCGTTTTGAGGATCCAGATGACTGGTTTTCTCGACAGCTGGACTATATGGGCCAATTCGAAATCCGTATGAAGGAGATGGCTGAGGGAATCTCGGTCCTGTCTCAGAAACGCATGGCCCTCGCAGCTGCCCAAGAGCAGTTGTACCAGACTCTTGTGGCACTCTCTAGCAGCAACTTGTCCCGCAGTGTATCCACATGTTTTGCGGCGTTGGGAGACATGAAAAAGCGGTCGGCGCTGGCGTCGACAGCATTAGCAGACCACGAAGCCAATGTTTTGGGTCTGGTCGTGTATGAATATGAACGCATGGTCGGCAGCGTCCGCAAAGCCTTTGCTACGCGCGAAGAAGTTTGGCAGGCATGGCAACATGCAGACGATGAACTTTCGCGTGTTCGCTCAAAGTATGCGAGGCCAAATGACGCTCATATTGATACACAGAACCATGCTCTAACACACGCACAAATCGCACACGCGGCTCTTCATACTCGGTTCGAAGAAGTCACGCGTCTCTGCAAGTTGGAAGTCGAAAAGCTTGAGCGTGATAAGGTCGCAGATCTTCGCAAAGCTTTTGAGGACTATGTCCATAAATTTCGTCTTGTGCAACACGACCTCATGGATGAGTGGGCTCATTGCGAATCTATTGTCCTCCGCGTGACGAATAAAAGCAACAGGGTACGTACAAATATGAGGGCGAGGGGTGAGGAGCAAGAGTATGGTTTGGTATATTTTGATGGAATGTGAGCGAGCAAGTTTTAGTCCAAAGGATTTTTCTTTGTTGCTTCACAGGCAACATTTCGCACATGTTAGACTGCCGATCTGCATGACGGGAAAACATACTTAGAATGATGGACGAGAGCGCGCCGTAACCTTGCACAGCTGCCATCACTCCCTCATCCTTAATGTGGACCAACAGCATCACTGACGTATAATATATTAGTCGCAGCAGCAGCAGCAGCAGTAGTAGTCATCCCATGTCAAATAACATCAGGTTCTAGTCTTCTACGGGACGAAGCGCGACCAATGTGTCATTGGCGAGGCGACACAGTATATCATTTCGTAGTGACGTCTCAACTAATACATCCTCAATCCCAGCCATCGCATACATGATTCGTTCTGCGGCTTGTGCATATTGTTCATCAAGTGACGAGGCACGTGCATCGTTTTGTGCTTGCGAGTCTTCTGTTAGAGAGGAGAGCGGGAATCCAAAATACTCCTCTCTCTCTGCTGGTCGCTTGGTGGATGCCACTGCTCCACCATACACATAGTTAGGGCATCCATACCCATCCCGGCGCAGGACAGAAGACGATACTCTTGTGATGTAGCGCAGAATTAGCAACGATAGGAACGCCACACCACATGGCGTCGGTGGCTGTCCAACCATATGTGTAGGCACAGAGGGCGTTCGCTCAACTTCAAATTGAATCAGTCCAGGCCGTTCATGCGTGCCGGTAGCAGGAGGCGCAGAAGGTGCCACAAACACGTTGGCATCACGCGTTGGCGGTAAGTGCGTCGAGACATGCATGCGTAGCTGTTTACGTTGCTCGCCCTCATCGTCACTGAGGGCAACATACGCACATCCCAAGCACCGACACAGGCCATCGCTGGCCTGCTGCGTATGTGCGTCATAATGCTCACGAATCTGGGCCCATGTATGCACATGTGGTGATGAACAGCCAACCCACAAGCACATGGGTCCTCGACTCTCACGAAGGCGCGGTGCAATGCCTCGAATCACAAAGCGTGGTTGTGCACCAGCGTCAGCAGAAATCACCATGGCAGCGGCGCCAGGAAATGTTTGTGACACATGGCGGATCAGATTCGCTGCAGGCTGGAGCGGAGGACCACCCGCATTCGCAAGGGGTGTAAATTGGTCTCGATAGGCAATCCAAAACTCCATCTGTGTGACCTCACCATCAGGGTCGTGTTCGAAGAGAGTTTTCATCCATGCTGTGCCCCGCTCTGGCTCAGGCATCATTTCAATGCGTGCCTGAATTTCAGGCGGCAGCACTCTCCACCGGTGCCGCTCCATGGGCGACATTTTTTCCCGCAGCTCGACCTCTCGTATCTGTCGTATCCGCTGTGTATTCGGTATATGGCCAGCCCACCATGCATGCTGGTTTGCCGTTGACGGTGAGTCCCGCTCCCACACCGATTTTCCGAGATTCAAGTTCCGTACCAGGTAGCGAACAATCGCCTGTATGCGTGTAGATGCTTGAGCTGTTCGACACGCACCTAGGAGCATCACGTTATCGTCAATCGAGAGAAGCTGATATAATAGATCAAGCACCGCTTCCAAAAGTTCCGGGTCTTGCGTAAGCGGAAGCAGTGAGATACATCGCGACACAAGACCCAAGGACGTCTCGTGGAAATGCAAATCGATCTCTGCTAGCGCAGCGGCATTTGACATATTCGATGCGAATGCGCGGCAACAGCGCAAGGCACCAAGAAGCAGGGCTCGGTCATTGGAAGTGTGTATCCATTCATGCAGCATCACAAAGATCCGATCTTCTACAAAATGCGGAGGATGCACGGCCATGCCAAGCACGTATTTTTGGCGGACCCAATCACTCAGCACCAGTCGTGATGCGATGCATTCGAGCATATCGAGCACATTTGGCCGAATGTCAACACATTCATCCAAATGATCTTCTAGCGCAAGCGAGTCGTGAAGAACGTCCAAGATATATGGGATCTGGACTAGCGTCGTCAAGTTGGCTGGTGACAGTGCTAGGTTTCGTAGCACAAGCGCTGCTTCCATAGCTCGACGCAAGATCGCTGCATCCCGAGCATGCGCACGAGGGTGGAAGGCGGACTTGGTCCCGACGACAGCAGCAGGTAGCGTCAGATGAGCCAGTTTGACACTGGTAGCAGCAATCCCAGAATACCCGTACTCGGAACCGCCTATGCCTTGGTCAACGAGCGTCCCATTTACATTATACGCGCGCTGCATCGTATCCCATTCAGAACGTGGCAGACCACGTACCGCAAGACACAAGCATAACATAAAGCTGGCCAATGAATCAGCCATGCCAGGGTAGTCAGCTAGCAAGAATCTATCGGGCATCTCGTAAGTATATGCTGCGAGACGATCCAATGCCCAGTCCACCTGGGAGGGAATTCCAGACCGTAGCGACAAGTATAGGCGATTCATCGGTCCTGGCTCAAGGAAAGGATCTAGTGCAGCTGCCGTCGATGAAGCATACATTCCATGCGCCAATGGCAAACCCGGATGCGATACATCATGTGTGGAAGCCATGTTTGCTAACTCAAAGTGCCTGAGCTTATGAGGCCACCCTCCTCCTGCACCTCAACGAATATGTGTGTCGATCGAATGTGGTTGGACTGGAGCCGTGAGAGCGCGTGGCGTATGTGATTTACGCCACGTGCAGAGTGAGTTCGTGCAGACAACGCGCATTACATCAGCAAGAGCTACAGGGGATATCATGGGGCTATGATAGCTCGAGAGGATGACGTCGGCGTCGAGGAGGTGGATGTAGGCGTGGGTGGGGTGGTTGATCTTCTGTATGGCATGGTATCAGTACGACGTTTTAACACGCCTTTTAGCTCGTTTACCATAAAGTGGGGCTGAAATTCGTCCGCTCTGTCTGCGCGCTTTCGGCGCTTTTCGTTCATGAGTCGAATACGTTCGGCACGCGGCAGCATCGAAACAGGGGGAACGCGCCGCGTTCCAAAAGAGCGTGATGCACCCTCAAATACTTCCTCCTGACCTGTAGCTGCAGGAAGATGTGAGGGAGAAGTTGAATCTAATAGCAAGGAATGCAACATGTATGAATCATGCTTCCCGCTCTGAAACTCGCTTTTTTCGTCGCTCAGCATATTGATAGGTTGTGCATCCTCATCCAAATGAAGCATTGTACTTTTCGTCTCCGGAAAGTGAGGGATTTCGACTGCAGGTGGAGACAATTCTGGCGGCTTGGGATCCAATATACGGCTACCAGCCTCCCACTCCGATGAGAGCGCTAATAAATCCTCTCGCATACTCTCGAAAACGGTACGCACCTTGTCCTCATCATGAGTTGTTTCTTGACTTGGATTTGGCATGCCGTGCAAGCTGGGTGTCTTAAGATCCAGCTCTTCGCCACATACATGCAGTTTGCATTGAATCGTACGAAGCATACGCGCCATTTCTGTCATGCAGTCTCCCATGCCGACATGATGCAATAAAGTTGACGTGGATGGCATGGGAGCCGTATCTTGAATCATGTGTTGCTCCAGCTGGCGATTCATGCGTTGTGCGGTGTGCCGAAAGTGTGTCGTCAACGAATTCAGTACCCCTTGAAGAACTTCTGTGTTCCAAAACGACAAAAGTGATTCGTACGTCGAATGTACATGCATCCGATCCCAATCAAGACACAGCAGCGCATACAAAAGAGACTGTCGCGCGCTGTGCATACCCTCAAAACCGGTTCGAAGTGAGAGAAGTGTTAGTCGATCCTGTCCAGACGGTCGTTGTTGGAAGTATCCGCCAGGTGATTCGTCCGAAACGTCGCTGCGGCCAGGCAGCGGCGAAATGAGAGATCTGTGGTGCAGAATGTCACTTGGCTCCGTTTGTGACGAGTATGTAGCCGTTGGCAGCTGCGCCTTCCGATACGGCGTGTGCGTTGGTGTGCCTGTGCTTGTGAGTGACAACGTGCGAGGCGTCGGTGACGTCGATAGCGTCAATTCTCCCCTTTTCGGTTTGTGGCGCACTGTCGTCAGTCCTCGAGCCAGCTGGTCATCAACGACCTGATGCTTCTCGAGGCGCCTACGTGCTGCATCACAAAAATAGGTTGACTCTTCGAGTGCATCAACCATTTCTTTGCGCAAAGATACTAGGCGCTGAGGGTAAGTCGCTCGCCGCATCTGGGGCATTCCCTCGTCGCCCATATAAGCGGCAGTTTCAATGCGGGAGATGGGAGCCAAAGGAGACGTAAGTTTGTGACCTCGAGACACAAGCTCAACCTCTTGGACAGCGGCCAACGCATCATTAATAGAATGGTCCATCGCTTGAGCGGCAGCAACGAATTCTTGCACTTGCAGTAAAATACACGCTTGCAAACGAACACGCTCATCGGCCATCCAGATAGGGTTGGGTACGTTGGCAGCCAAGAACGAGGGATGTTTGGTGGGCGGCGAGGACATGTAAAACGAAAGAGTACGTGGTCGCCATAGTGCTGATTCTGAGACTACTGGCATCAATGTGAGTGCATCCAGTGCTACCATTATTAGAATCACATAGGCGATTGGCACACGAAATGCGATTAAAGCGCAGAACAGAATAACAGCTCCAGTGGCGTGAATGAGAGGAATGGCCGGACGAATCGACCCAGATACATGATGCTGTGCATTTGGAAAAGGGACGCGGTATATGTTTGTGTGTGGACATGAATCATTGGATTTAGACGGTCTCATCTGCTCGTCATCGCTCCGTCGTTCGTACATGGAAATTGACAATGTCGGTGCTAGAAGGTATGATGTAGCAATGGTATATTTGAACTTCTCCGAAAACTCATACAAACCATGATCTGGTGCATATGCAACAGCTTCAGCTTCTCGAATCAAATCTGTCATCGCCACTTCTGTGCAAGTAGGCCTCGGACACAGACAGCGTTTCACGCGCGTCCACATCGATTCCTGGCCGAACGGCGCTGTTGTTTCTCGTTCCGGCAAAGGATCCATGCCTACAGCTGCAGCGTCATATGAGACCAAATGTGTTGTGCGTACCAGCGAAGTACGAGGCAATCGGTCCATCCTGAAGCAAAGGTTCGGCCATTCGACATGCCAGTGCCAATGCCAAGTCAAACTATGAATGTTACATGAGACGCGAGGCTGACTGACATAAGCAATGAGACACAATTCTGCAAGATAGTTTATCAACTCGGATTCTATTCGCATGTCATTTTTGATTTCATAGATTTATTTTAACTGTTGGGGGTACTGCACTTCCTCGGCAGTCTCGACAGGAACGATGGCTATGTCGACATAGAACATGCACGAGAAAAAAAATCAATTCCTTAATTGCGCTGTCGAAGACGACGTTCCCGCGCCGCTGCTAGACGTGACTGCTTCTCGGCTTGGTTGAGTTCATTTGCTGCACTAGAAGCCCGCGATGTCTTGACGCTCTTGTCATCAGACATGAGCGAGTCTAGCGCGCGCGTACGTGACTGGCTCATAATTTCTGGCGTATCTTGCGGTTTCCGATAGAAAGCAGAAGAAGGACGACGTACAGGCGTCGCAGCGCTCGGACGAGCATTGCCGCTGTTCATACTTGAACGAATATTTTCCATGAATGTCTTTTCTTTGATATGAGGCTTGACGGGATGCTCAACCTTTTCAGGCAAACGCCAAAGACGTTTAAGGAAACGCGTACGCAAAGCAAGTAGCTGGAATAATGAAAAAGTGTTAGTTGTTGACCAATATAGCAGTACAGCCGAGGGGAAGCTGGAAATGAGCCATGCAGCCAACACTGTCACACCACGGAGCACGTTCTTCATAAAACGAGCTTGTGATGATTGATTCATCGCCGTTGTACCTGTTTCGGCACCAGTCTCAAGTACAAGGAGCGTCATAGCCGAACTAATGATAGGAAGAGCGTAGTACGGGTCGGCAAGCGTCAGATCCGGGAACCATGCAATGCCTCCTGTCGTGAGCGCCGGTAGTGGCGCCTTTGCCAGACCCGTCAATGCAAAGTAGAAAGACAAGAAAATGGGCATTTGTACGGCTGGCAAGAGGAGCGACTTGAATGGAGAGCAATTATTGTCGGACAGTAACTTCCGAACGTTGATCGCAGCGTTCTGCATTTCTTGTTGATTCCCCGTCGATTTCGCATATTCAAGATCCTTGATCATTGCCTGCATTTGTGGTTGGATGTTTGAAAGACGAATTGAGTTGGCTTGTACATATACCAGAAGAGGGGCAATCGCCAAGCGGATCCCACAAGTGACCACAATGATCGTAGCCCACCACGGCAAATTTGTATAGTACTGCACGCCGTCGAGCAAATGCTGGAGGAGTCCCGATGGCGACCAGCCTCCCAGTCCAAGTTCCTGCATATCCGTTGTTGCTAGTTGCGCCGCATGAGAAATGCTTTCACCCTCATGTGTCAGTGCACTGTGAACGGTCTCTTCGGCTTGTGCAAGTCTGTCATGCACAGAGAGACCCACCTCGTGAGCGCGCTCGTGAAAGTTGGAGGGAACTTCCTCAACTTTTTGTGCGACTTCACTCGCACGTTCAAAAACTGCTTTGCGAGCAGCTTCATTTCCTTCGGTTGCACTGCTCCAAAGCGAAAAGGCACGTGGTGCCGCTACGACACCAGCCAGCCTAGCTGCCTGCGTCAGAGGCACGTAAGACACAGCAATGCGGTTACGTGTATATAACGATAGTCCGTGACGCACAGGCAATGCTACCCTGAGCATATGGCCTAGTCGCTGTGTCGCCATCATTTAAAACAAGAATACGAGGTACACGTAACGAAAGACAAGCCATCCATGCATGGCGCCAAAGGTCACGTGGCATATCCTCAAACGGACATGCGTGAGCCCGACATGTACCTACTCCAAGTAGAGGCGTAATCACGAAACGCGCGCACTAGCACAATGCAGAGCGTACTCCGTAGCCGACATTAGAAGATGTACATTTTTACAGGCATCGTCTATGTTAACTGCCATTCATAATACAAACGTTGCAAGAAAGGGAGGGGATGGGAGACAGAGGAAGAAGAGAAAAAGGAAGCGGAGTAAAGGAAGACTATGGCGAGTAAACCATAGTCGGTTGATGCGGGCACCATGATCGTGGGAGGGTTCGGATAAAACCGAAGGCGAAACGATTGCTCGCTCACTTCAGGGCTTTCTGAATTCCGAGAGCACGGGAAGAATTAGGTTGAAAGCGGTATAGATCTCCTCACGCACTTTTGCTCCAGTCAGGACAATCTTCCCTGATACAAAAATGAGCAAGACGACTTTCGGCTTCACCATTCGATAAATCAAACCAGGAAAAAGTTCTGGTTCGTATGATGAATAAACACCATGACTGTACGCCAGACCCTCAAGGCGAATGGGGAAGCGGACATCGCAAGAACCCACGATGTTCTGAATCTTGAACTCACTGAAGCGAGCTTCAAATCCAAGCTTTTGAATAATGCGGGCATATTTTCTACTGGCGAGACGACTGTCGTCTTCACTTTTCGCACCTGTGATGACCATCTTCCCCGAGGCAAAAATAAGTGCTGTCGTCTTTGGTTCACGAATACGCATAATAACGGCCGCGAAACGCTGCGCACAGCATCAATACACCATTCACACGCACATGCATACCTTAGGGTTGTATTCAGCATTACGCGCATGCAACGCGATGGTTTTAAGATCGAGTCTAGCCTCAAGATTCACGGTGGCGACAATATTTCTAAAGCAGAGTCAGTAACACGCACGCGTTAGGATTGATACATACTGAAGCGTCGGCACAATGCCATGCATATTAGAGAGCGTTTGCTCCGTTATGGGAGCAGGAATGGATTGGGTATCCTTGACGGCGGACTTGTCGTCCTCATCAGCAGTGTTTTGTGAAGATGTATCTGGGTTTTTCGATTGTGTAGGGAGGGCTAAAGGCTTTTGTTGTGATGCATCGGAGCTGGTCACCTTCGCCTGCGCTTGAGGAAGTTGCAACGAGCCACTGCTTGACATGTAAGAAGAGACCAGGTCGCACGCGAATGGAGGCTTGTATTGCTTAGGTGGCTCCAATCTTAACGAGAGGGCCACACGGCGAGTCCGACTTTTATATGCATGAAGAATCTCCTCTCTTTATATATGTTTGCGAACAAATCCCTCCGCCACGTCCCGATGTGTAAGCACGTGACCTCCACTATTTGCAGGACAAGCTGCGGCCGGCGCTCACGGTGGTTGGTGCCCTGGTGTCCTTCAGGTGCTTCGACGAAATTTTGCTTGGAAGCGTTTGAAGAGTGATCCGCACTGAGGAAGGCGTCAGTTGGACCAGCACGTCTCATCTAGTGGAGACACGAGAGCTTCTGTTAGGAGGAGCTTAGGTTTTGAACAGTTCAAGAAAAAGAAACTCTCGTGTCATACGGATGAATCTAGTCAGCTACCGGTTCCAGCGATAATGTCGGACCCATCTTTGCAGACTAGGACTCACACCACGGATATACCCCAGCCAGCCGCTATGAATCGAAGTAATCCTGCTTTTCTGAACAAATTGCGAAGTATGGTAGACGACCCAAATACGGACGAGCTGATTCGATGGTCTGCTGCGGGTGATACCTTTCTTGTGCCTAACCATGTTCGTTTTGGCGAGGAGGTGTTGCCGCGGTTTTTCAAGCACAACAATTTTTCTTCTTTCGTTCGACAACTCAATATGTACGGCTTCCACAAAGTGCCTCACATTCAGCAAGGGGCACTGAAGTCAGACCAGCCGTCACAGAGCGAGCTTTGGGAATTTTCAAATCGGTGCTTTCATCGTGATCACCCTGACTTACTTTCAAAGGTTCAGCGTAAACGCAGTGGAAAAGAACGTGAGCATCAGCATACTAACTCGATCGATGAGTCAAATCGTGTCTTGCACAATATGAGTGGCGCGCTCACCCGTGGTGATTTCGATTCGGTCGGTGATCCGCAAGAATGTATCGAGCGTTGTAGGCCCTGTGCAGATGACGAATCTACTAAGTGCTATCCAAGGTATCAAGAGCAATCAGCGCACGCTGATTGAAGAACTGTCTAAGCTGCAACACTCCAGCCAGGCTCTTTGGCAACAAGGCTTAGAGAATCGCCAGCAGATCAGACGTCAACAAGACACGATCAACCGTATCTTGCGCTTCCTCGCTAGTGTCTTTGGGTCTTCGAATGTCGGAGATATGCTTCAGAATACTAGTGGCTCTGAGTTTTCACCCTTCAATATGCCCTCCGACGATACTGCATCGGCTCACCATTACCAGGGACGTGACGGAACATACGCATCTAATTTACACCGTGGCCCTGTTCGTCCACAAAAGCGTGCTCGCCTGCTTATCAGTGATGCACCTTATGCAGATCCTATGGCAGAAGACCATCCCACACCAGATCAAGATACCAACGTGGCTTCCCCACTGAACTCGGAGCAGCGATTCACCGAGGCAACAAGCGATACCGAGGGCTCCCCAAAGCAACATGGTCTTCCGACCCCCTCGACCTCTTCATATGCACAAGATTTGGTTGCACAAAATAAATTTGACCCCCCGAATGCATGGCCGTCGAATCAAGCCTTTACTGAACCCGCGTTCGAATCTAATGAAAATGTCGCGTGGCTTGGTAATCTTCTGGCAAATCAAGAACATGAATCAGCTGGACCTAGTCCTGACATGACGCGCATGGATCCCAATCTTTTTATGGCTTTGCAACATGCTATAAGTCAAGGTCAACCATCGACTGCCTCATCATCGCCTTCGCGAGCTTCTGCATCTGCGCAAGACACCTCTGGTGCCACGCAGGTGCCGCCGTCATTGACGAGCCCACCTTACAGCCAGGCTCTTATTTCTGGCTTGTCACCAGCGTGGCGCCCAGCAATGGCGAGTTCTTCTGCAGTCCCAAGGGAAAGCCCACTCCCAGAAGAACAGCTTTTGCATAACGTCAAGAGGCTGAACCAAGAAGCACAGGACAACATGGATCAGACCAATCAACTTCAAAATCAAATTCAAACGCTCGTACAGAATCTTCGTCTTGAACCCGCTCAGGCGCGTCATTTGATTGAGAACACCCAGTCCACTGCGGATACCCAGGTAGGTACAGTTCCCGTGAATCAAAACACGGGATGGACACCACAATCACTGTCTGGCACGCCGTTATCGCCTCCAACGAATTCTATCAATGGAAGTGCACCGAGCGATTTTGACTTGGACTCGTTCTTAAACCAGTTCGTCGATCCAATGAATCAACAAACTGCTTCGTTCAATCCAGCAACTTCGCCCATGACGGACGAGGCCTCAGATGGTCTCATATCCAAAAAGACATGAGCATACCACGCGTCGGCGCGTTCATTTCGTTTCAATTTTTATTGAAGGTAATACACAGTTGTACAGAAGATGAGTCTTATTATACATAGAGGGAGTTTGAACAATGGTTAACTATTCTAGAAGAAAAAAAAAAGGCGAAAATGGATTGTCGATTATGCACATGATTGCAACCAACATCAACGCAACAAACGACCAGAGCGTATGGCTGAAAGTTTCTCGGGTGATGTGTTTGTTGCTGCCGCTGCAGGATTTGCTCCGTTCGTTACGTTAAGCTTACGTGTCGTTCGAAGAGACCGTACTCGAACCGCAGAGCAAGGTGGCTCATTTTCATCCTTGGGCTTGGGAAGCGTAGCAATGACAGGGACGGTTGAAGTGGGCATTTTCGTGGACGAGTACAAGGCTTGTCGAAGCATGTTTGCATCAGCCACGCCGTAATAATCAGGATCGAGCTGCGGTTTATTGTGCTTTGAGCTTTTTGGATCTTTGTCACTCCTGTTTGGCAGAGACTCTCGCGTGGTAGCTGGAGATGACTCGAGGAATGATCGCATTCGACGAGCCATCTTCCCCATCGACATTTTAGAGAGCCTTTGCCTGTGCATTTGTCTTCCATCGTTCCTATCAACGTAAGGACGTCGTTTGTCAGCATCAGAAACTGATTCATGATATTGTTGCTCCAAATCGGTGCCGACTGGTAAGTCAGGGGTGAACCATTCCGTCTCCCGACTAGCAGACAAAGAGCCGACACACGCAGAGTGGCGCTGACGTACTGACATTTCCGACGATGCAGCAGCAGGTGAACGGGGCTGAGTTGGATAAGATGCGCGTATGCCCTCTGATTCCTGTGTCGACACAGTCGGATGTACTGTGCTAGCTGCAGGAGTGAAAGTATCAGAGCATTTTTCTTGCCCTAAACGCACCAAAGTAGGAGTTGGCGGCGTGCTCGATGCGGAACGTTGCGCAGATAGTGGACTGGTGTTAATTTGCTCGTCGACAGGTGTCTCGTTGGAGTTCGCGTTGGGATACTCTGGTTCATACACAGCGTCAATCAATAACTCGAGAGCATCTTGAGAGGCATTGTTGGCACAATCATCATTTTCATCACTCTCATATGCGCTTGTTGCATAATTCTCGTTGTCCTCATGCTGACATATAGCTCGTTTAGGTGTCCTTGCTGTCAGTGGTGGACTGATTTGATGGACTGGCTCATGCATCGTTGGCGTCGGCACAGAGTCATCCATGCTTTGCTTGGGACTAAACGAGTGTTGAAAAGGGCTCATCGGACGACTGTATCCACCCCTAGCTTCCATGCACACTTCAGTACTTTGAAGTGTTGTACGAGAGTACGTGCTTCCTGTTTCAGAGGGAAAATCCGCATGAGTCGTTGATGGTGTACTAGAAGCGCACGACGCATTCGGGTGAGGCCGCTGAATGCATATTCGCTTGTTAGGATTGGGACTTGTATTCGGTGACGTGTGCTGATCGTGATGGGTTGTAAGCGCTGGTTCTTTCATCTTGCTTTGTGCGTCAAAGTGAGAAGGATTCGATGGTGGTGGTACGAAGGAAAACGTAGCCCCTATTCTTGATGAGGGCGTGTATGACATATGCTCAGCAGCAGGGAGACCTTTTTTCGGCTGCTTTGCTTCAATGCTTTCGCGAAGCAAGTCAGCCATGTGTGATGACCTTCCCCCCGGCTTGATGCCGCGTCGCCTACATAAACTCACTAGTTGTTCGCGGCGCAGGCAGTAAAGTGCTTCACTTTGGATCAATGCAAGATCCACTTCGTCATTCATCACTAATAGTGCTACCACGTAGTGGGAATTGAAGGCAATGAAAGTATGTACGTCGTTGCCACGGCTCAAGAATTGAGAATGATCACGAAGGGAGTAGGGGAAATAGAAATTTCATCATCATGTCCATGTACATTCTACGCTTAAAGGAAACAGATTGCGAGTCGACGTGCAGATGCGCCAAGACAAGAACAACAGCAACAGCAACTAGTCCTTATGTGGAGAAATGCTGCAATAGAAAAACATCTCGTACAACCCGCGTCTCGGCCACAGTGATGGCTTCTTGGACGGATTGCAAAGAGGCGAGTTCTTTGCGCTCCCAACCGGTGAGCAAGCCAACGGCATCTTCACGAACATCTGTACGCTCAGACTTTTGGAGAAGCAAGGTGCGTTGCGACTGCTCGTAAAGCCTGCGACGGCTAAGTTGAACGAGGGTCTTGTACAACTGATCAAGGAGCCATGATTTGCACTTCAACACATCCACAAACCACAGAAAGAATGTGCGCTGTGGATTTCGTTCATTGCTTTTAGGAACCTCTTGTAGACTCAAAATTGATGCAGCAAAGAGACGCGAGCATATATCTCTTGTCTCGCTCATGGAAATGAGTCCAACCTTTGATATGTGTTTTTCTTCAAGTTTGCCCTTTTCCACGAGGATCGTGAAGATACGACCGGCCATCGAACCAAAACGCTCGACTACCACATCACGAATCATGCGCAGCTGTATTCGCTCAACGATGTTGACATATTCGACAGAAAATGTCGTCGACACACGCGTGCCGCCACCAGCACTGGTCATAGTACCTGAGCTGCATGGAGCCAAGAAACGTGTTCGGCGAACCGTTGACGAAATGCTGTCATTGCAGGATAGAATTGCAACATATTCAGCAACCAGCTCGGATGTTGATGGGGTGCTCGTCTTGTTGGACGACTCGTTGTGTCCCATGATTGAACGCCGATCCAAACCTCGTTGAATTCGTGCATCTGAGGGGATTCGATGTGCAAGTGCTGTGACAGAAATAGGCCGTGAACGTTCGTCTCTTTCACATGGCGCGATCCCTGGTCGATCGGCATCGAGCATGTAGCGCATTACGTCACCCGTCACAGCATTGTACTTGTTTGACACAGCACGAGTGATAATCGTATTCCGCATGCGAATGTGGAAAAAATCATAGTGCACGCGAAGCCAGACCTCAGGGTCAATATCCACAGTGTCGCGGGCGGCGCTTACGTCTGTATTAGATCGACGTTTCGCGCGCTTGTCTCGGCTAGGATCACTTGTAGGCTTATGGATGAGACCGAGTCGCAGATCGTCAGCATTGTCTGTAGCGCCTTCCCAATCCCGGCGGTCCTCTTCATGGATAATTGATGCAACTTTTCCCTTGATTTCTCGTAGCGATTTTGTCGTCGGAATACCCTTTCGCGACTTTCTTAACATGAGTTCGAGAGCGAGTTGCCGGTCTTGGGGCGACACGTGCTGGATAGGAGTGCTAGGACGGACCAGCGACTCTTGAAGCATTCTGACAAGCCGAGCCCGGATTTCTGCAGCGCGCTGCGCATCGAGACCTGCATGCTGGGACGTGGACAAATCGCCAAAAGCATGTGATGGTGTACTGCTTGTGCATGCAAGTGTATCAATCACATCACCAGCTCGCATCTGCCCATGGTATAAGAGGAGTCGAACAATGTCCTGTGCCTGTCGAGTGAGACCAAGCTTGTTGATGACGTACATCTTTCCCACCCCATTCTTTAGCGAGATACAAGTATGTTCCAAATCGCAGTCGACACAAGACTTCGTCTGTGTGAATTTCAAAATACTCTTCGCCACTCATGACCGAGTCATTGGCTGGGCGTGAATGCAGAACACAATGATGCTGGATAAGAACAATGAGGGCTTGTTGTACGAGGCGCACAGGAAGCACCTTCTTAGATCCACCCTTTTCTTTGGATGAGGACGTCGATGTCATTCTAGTGGATGAGCCCGCATTGCCAGAGATTGATGGTGCATTCAGGTACCGCACAAGCTCAGGCACAGTAAGACGCCCGCGTCGTAAAAGCACTTGCGCCACTTGCTCCGAGGGTCAGTAATACAACGCACAACACACCTCAACCACAGGACCAAAATGTTCGCGAATCACATGCAAGCACAGGTGCGCCGTCTCGCGCACACTGACGCTGCTCATGACAATCGCAAGCTCGCAGGCAAGCTAGGAGAGATATACTTGTGTGAGGCGCGCGCTGAACAAGTCAAGGACGAAAGAAAATGTTCAAGGGTGGGCTGACTAATACAAGACCTGCTGCTTCCTGTCACGAATTGCACCTTCGGACAGCACCCAGCAGTGAGCCAATATGTCATGGTGGTGGCGGTCGTTTGGACCTGCGACAGGAACAAGCGCAGATGATCCAGCCGCTTCAACTAAGGGATCCACAGCTTGCCCTGTAGACAGTGAAACTCGCGAAAAATACGTGTTGCATCAGCAGCAGCAGGCCAAATGTCCTGTAGACCACCATGCGCGGGAGGCATACCTTCAGATGGCCAAAGAGCACGCGCCACCCCCGCAGCGTGGGGCGCAGCAAAAGAATTTATCCGAAGAACGCGAGGTTTCGTCGATTCCGCGCTTCTATATGGATCAAGACAGCGACGCATCCCTCGAGTCCGCGCACGCACCGGCTGAATCTTCGTCTGTCAGTGGCGCGCGCGAACATCACTGGGTATATCCTTCGCCGCAGCAGTTTTATTCGGCGATCCGACGTAAGAATCATGCGGCAAGTCCGGAAGACATGGACATCGTGGTCCCGATCCATAATGCTGTGAATGAAGAAGCTTGGCGCAGGATACTCGAATGGGAAAGGGCTTGGCAGACAGACCCAAAAGCGACAGGCCCTCAACTCGTCAATTTCGTCGGGCGCCCTAAAGATATGACGTGGCGCGCCTGGTTCCGTGGACTTGCTGGCTATGAAATGCCCTTTGACAGACATGACTGGGTTATTGTGCGACCACGGACGGATGATGGCGCCCCGCAAACAATGCGATACATCATCGACTTTTATGCCGGCCGCTCCACCGTCACGACGTCGTCAAGCAAGACATCGCATCAGCAACCAGTCAGTTTCTACTTGGATGTGCGACCAGCACCAAGCAGTGTAGAAGGCATTGCGATGCGCATGCATCGTTGGTGGCAGGACTTGAAAGTGTGAAATTATTCATTTACATCATCTAATATAAAAGCTGTTCTTTCCTCGTCACTCGCATGTTCAGCTTCATGACGCAACAGCATGTCGGACGTTTTGCGCCAAATGAACCAGCTCGAGCCAACGCCCAGTGCTAAACTAACAAAGATAAAGATGGAATTCAGGCGCCTCGTCGATGGGTCCAAACTTGCGCGGATGTCATGGTCACTTAGTTCATACATCTTGGCTCCCATGAACAAAGGAATTAGCAACCGTGGGGCAGTGGACAACGTGCTGAGCACAAATGTCCCGAAAGACAAGGAGTCCAAAGAGGCAAGTAGCAGGTTTGTATAGCAATAAGGCAACGGGCAAAAGCGTGCTAAGGCGGCCATAAGGAATCCTTTTTGACAGATCGCATGCTGCAGAGCACGAAAACGCTGGTCTTCCTTCACTCGTGCAAGAAGGTCCCATTGCCCAGACAAGTGATACAGCACGCGCCGTAGCACGACAAACGCAATGGATGCACTGAGAATCAGTCCACCCGTGGCTACGAGCCAGGCGGACATGAGTTTTCGTACCTGCTCCAAGAATGACGCATGTGGTCCAGCTGAAGCAAATGCCATCCCGCACATCGTAAGTGCAGTCGTGAATCCATGAACCGGTGGCAGTGAACAAATGATCATCACCAAGTACAAGATTACGACTCCTAGGACATGGTGCGATATCCATCCAGCAATACGTGCAATAACTTGAAACTAGTTAGTCCATGCATGCGATTTGCATTCGATACGTTTTATTTCTTCGGTGGGTGACACGTACCATGTAGTATGCGATCGCCCCCGTAATAAGTTGCGATGCCCACAACGATCAGGTGCAACACCAAAATAAGCGCAGCAATCCCTTTCTGCAATGGTGACAGTGCCGAAATGCGCTGACGCGCGTCATGCAAGAAACGCGTCACATCCATCGAATCGAATCGTCTTGGTGCGTTGCAAGGCCTAGAGCCTGACAGTGAAAGCCCAAGCCTCTTTGCCACTTACTGCAATTTGTTCTGCAGGAAAACCCCGATGTCTGACTGAAGATCCTCAGGCCTTACCCCGCATGGATTGGAGTGACGCCCGATATTTATGACACGCCCGATCGCCAAGAGCACGACTGACCCAGCCTGTAGCAAACGGCTGTGTTGCCTGCCACGACTAAGCAGAGCCATGGCGCTACCGGCAGCCACACGGTATGGTATTTTACCTACAGAAATGGAATACGTGGCCAGCCTGGAAACCACAATTGACATCTTACCACTGGTCTCACTGGACCGAGTGCGTCTCTTGAGTGGGACGTATGGACCATTCCAGCCACCAGCGCATGCCACAGTGCCTTTGTGGCTGGCTTTCTCACTAAGAAAAAAGCGGAAATGCGTCATTGTGCCGCCCGAATGGCTCTCAATTGGTAAGTGTATCCGCACTTATGTCCAGATGTCTTGTCCGAGTATCTGCGTCAGGAGACCATGTCGCTACCTTTTGCTCCATTGCCGCTGCATTACGTGGCCATAGCCAAACTGCTACTGGAGCATGCGGCTGAGGATATACCCCATTCGTCGCGCATACGCGCCCTACTGAAGGACTTGCGCGAGGCTCGTCAGAGCAAAGTGCAAGCGGGACTCGAAATGATCAATCCTGCCCATTTGGAGATGACGAACATTTCGTCCATGGAGATCTGTGAACTTCGGCCACTCTTTGCTACGGCACTTGCACAACTTCATGCTGTCCAAAAAACTGAGGCTGCCAGTATGCAGCTGATGTCGGCGCCCCAGGCCTCAGAGAGCAATGCCCAAGATAACGATGACATAGCAATTCGTCGTGCATAATACATGTATAGTACTACTTACAAATGATTGGCCGTGGCAACGGCAGTAGCAGTAACGCCGGTACTGAGTTTTGTTGCGCGAGATTGTTCTAGCCTGTGGATGGTAGTATCCAGAGCGACAAACACACGCGAGAGCTGGTCCACGTAAGAGCCATATTGCTCCAGAATCGATACGATTCGAGCTTGAACAGAATCAACGGTGGTTTGCTGTACTTGTTGTTTCTTGATGCACGCCTGCAGCCTGTCCACTAGAGGCTCATAGTCTGTCTCGTTAGTACAAATTGTGCGGCGCAACACCTACCGCGTAGCTGTTTTGCACCAGCGATGCCCCGTTCGTCCAACTCACGGCACGTTTCCATAGTGCGATAAAATGCAAGCAAAGAGGATGCACCGCTCAGCACGACAGCGAGCTGCGTCTCGGGATCAGGGAGCGGTGACGCAGATTCTTTAACGAGGCTCTGAATGCGATCACCTTATGAGAACAAAAAAAAATGTAAGTACATAGATCGCGACTTGTCCCGACCAATCTGTTGTGATTGCGACAATGGAACATCACAAGGCTACGTACACTGGTTTAGCACGCGTCTCAGTGACACATGTGGTTCTACTGCTTGTTCAATGGCTTGTTCAATGTGCGCTAGGCGACTCTCAAGTGACACATCTGACGAAGCGAGATTTTCATCGTTCAAATGCGTGCTTACAGAGCGCAGGCGCAAGGAAAGGGCGAATGCGGCGTCCATGTGGACCTGAAACAACACTTCTTGATGCTGATCGTTTCTGGTCAGGCGAGCCACTTGAGACCGGTTTTTCATTGGTCCATTCTGTAACCCATATTGTTATTGCCGTCGCACCCAGTCACATGTCAAACAGAAATTCTAGAAGTGTCCCTGCGCTACCACAAACAATTGAACACGACTGGGCATGGATGGGGAGCCATCTGGGCCTAGGTCTTCAACAGACATTGGTCTAACAGAAAAACGATGGGCTGTTCCTCTGCTTGTTCGAAACATTTCTGTGCATGCAACGGAGCGAGACTTGCGCGTATTGTTCGAACAAGCAGGCCCCATCGGTGGCATGGAAATGATGCCGCCGGTCCTTGTGCAAGGACAGCCCAAACCCACGTACGCCTGGATCCAGTACATGCGCCAAGCTAGTGCTGATATGGCCATTACATACTTGCAGGGATTCATGCTGGCCGGCTTGCCTCTTTTTCTGGAGTGGGCGGGCTCGCAAGATGTCGGCACACAGCCTATCGCTATGCCAGTGCCGGTAGTAATGCCGTCTATAACCCCAGAAGCTCGCAATATGCAGGCACTTCATACTCCCACCACTTGCCTTTACAGTGTCTTTGTCGGTGACCTGGATCCTGAAATCGATGATACCATACTAGCTCAGACATTCTCTGGCTTTCCTTCGATGTACGACGCTCGAGTCATTCGTGACCTCCGGAACGGACACTCACGGGGCTATGGGTTTGTTCGTCTCCGCAATGAGCGCGAGGCTATGGAAGCTATCGCCAACATGTCAGGACAGTGGGTCGGCAGCCGAATCATTCGTGTTAACTGGGCTGTTCGTCCTTCTGAGCCATTTCCGTCCGAGACGCAGCGTCCTGCAGAACCTGAGCCAAAGGTCGCTGATTCATCCTCGGATTCTAAAACATTGTATGTGGGAAATCTCCCAGACAATGCCAATCTCCCAGACATTATGAATATTTTCTCGTCCTTTGGAAATGTGATTAATGCGCAGATGTTCCCCGGCAGACATTACGCGTTTGTCACCTTCCAATTCTCGTCGGATGCCAACAAGGCATGGGACGCCTCTCAGTCCAATCCACCGAACATGGCCGGTCAGACACTCAAGGTGGGCTGGGCTCGTTATTCCACGCGGAACCCGAGCTCTCGGCGCTAAAAATGCATGCAATCATAACAAGCTTTTCTTTGCTTCTTAATGGTCACCTCGCCTCTCTATCATTCTCCAAAGCTTTTTGTTCTCTTCTTCATTACACAAGCGATTCATTTCTGTTCCAACTTGCTTTTAATTTCGATGGTTTCATTTTCGCATATACACGGTTTCCATTTACATACAATTCATAAGTGCATGTCCAATCAATCATCATTACGGCCGACAAGATCTTTGAGGACCCGATACAATGCTAAAGAAGCAAGGGCACGTTGTGGTAAGTCATACATATATATAGATACTTTGCTTATAGTCCACGTACTTGATTCTGAAATAGTCGCGCTTTCTTCCGATTCACCATTTACACCGACGCACTGAATCCCAAGCTCGTTCAGCGCTTCGACGCACGGATCCACTGCCCCTTGTCGCACATAAACTACATGTGTGATAAAGTCAGTGTGAACAAAAGTATTACAGTCATTTGGTGTATCCACTTGCATAGTCCGTTTCAGCGACCGAACAATCGCGCTGTGCGTATGTGAGAAACGTGACACTGCAATTCATTACGCACTTGACAAAGTCGAGCCCAGTCATGTTCGCAGTTTCTCGATCGTGTTTCGAGTTGAGAAGCAAGACTTTAAATTGCAAGGTTGGCGAGCGGGCAATGGCCAAAGGAATGCCGCGTAGGACCAAACATGGTATGACACTCGTCCAAAGCGAGCCACATGAGTAAATGAAGATTTTGCTCCGTTGCAACCCGGTCAGATAGGATGGATTTGGAGCAGGAAATACCTCATTACGATAGGACTGCTGTAAGAAACATGCCTTGAAGAAAACGACGAGGAAGAAAAAAGCTGTTACATACATTGACATAGAAAACACCTGCTTGTAAGCGGGAATAGAACGTACGATCAATAGGCGATGGAAGAGGTGGGGCATCTTCCTTCGCCACATATTCAATGTTACCTGATGACTCAGTGAGCTCTGTGATTTCTCTAGGATCATCGTCTAGGACTTGGTCTTCTTCGCTGTGATCTGAGTCATCAATACTCAGTGCACTTGAGCCGGCGCGTGCAGCACTGTGAGATTCCATTTGGGAACCCAGACGTAGTTGGTCCAGCTGGTTCTGTGTCATCGACTGTGGACCGAACCCAAATACTGAATCCTGCAATTCAGAGACACGACGATTCATAGAACGTGAGTGTGAGCTCAGACGGCGGTGCCGCGTGCCCTCATCAGATGGATGTGAGATTTCGCACTGCCCCACCAACAACGAGCCATCCTTGAGATCCGCAGCAATTGTTGTGGTCTTATTTGTGTTGACAGCGGGCAAGACATCACAGCTCGACAACACGAAGGGAATCTCAGATACAGCAGCAAACATGAAAATCGCACTCTGGATCGAACGAAAAAATCGTTGCATCGACGCCAGAAAAAAGTTGCCGATGCATCCGCCACGAAAGTTGAAATTCCTGTGCGCACGGTGTAAGACTTCACTTTGAAAAAGCACAAGAAATCCACGAATGCATTCACGCTTATCGGGATCAATGCCCCGCCACAAACGATGTTTTCCCTCGATAATCTCCATCCATTCCTGCTTTACTTCTTTGTGTGAACCATGCAATGGAAGTCGATGAGACATAAGATGAAACACAGCCTCGCGAGAATCGGCATACCCAAGTTGTGATGTGCGATCTTTCTGAGTCATAGCAAACGCCGCGAGCCGGACAAGCCTGGAGCGGATGTCGCCTATAGAAGGCCCACCCATCACACGAATAATTTCTGCATTAGTGTATTTTGGATGAAGAACGTACCAGATGATGAGCCTGACCATGATGTATACCCCACCGCGCGAAAACATGCAAAGATATGTATTAGCCCTGCGGACCACGAGTCAACACATACCGCCATTGTCTGAAACTAAAAGAAGCGTCAATTGATCAAACCAGAGCGTGTATTGCGTACCTGGCAAAACAAAAATAGCTGAAGGAGTAGCACCCACAAGGTTGTTGTATCCGCTCCCACCACTGACCACAATCACTTGGCCCAGATCTCTTGCATTGTGCATCGTGCTGTCCAGGAGCGAAAAATTGATAAAACAATCTCAGGATCCAGGTACGTGGAGGCATGTGCACCCTGTGTAAAAACCAAATGAATTGCGTCAACACGCCGCATATGACGGACGCAACGAGAAATTCGCTTGGCAAATGCGACGAGTGCTTACAGCACCAACAACATTGGCTGTAGCGCGAGCAAGTATGTCAACTTCCGGAGCTATGCACGCCCCACCGAGTCCGCCAGATCCAGCAGCTTCCGCTCCATCCAAGAGAATGCGTCCTGATTCGCGTACAGTGACGAAGCGTGATCGAAAGCGCATTCACAACTTACAAAAAGCATACCAAAAACAAGTTTCAAAGCATGGTGAGCCGCCAATATTATTTGACATTCTCGACCTTATTGGTAAATCGCGTGTGGACGAAATTTTGTCAAAGAACCAAGAGTTCGAGCGCGTACCTCCCTTCGGACAAGAGATCACCGTGAAAATTGAACGCCTAAGTTCGCATGGAGATGGCCTTGCCCTGACACCCCAGGGCGACCGGCTTCTAGCTGTCCCATTTGCATTGCCAGGAGAAGTTGTGCGTGTGCTTCCATACGCGTCAGAGCGTTTGTATTTCAAGTCGCGTATTCTTGAGTTATTGGAGCCAAATTTGACGATGCGCGATCCGAGTCTCGTGCAATGTCGGTACTTTGGACAGTGTGGCGGGTGCCAGTACCAAATGATTCCCTATGCACAGCAATTGGAGATAAAACGAGAAGTTGTACGACGTGCCTATGCGAACTATTCGAGATTAGATGCTTCGCTTGTGCCGGACGTTCTGCCGACGATGGGTTCGCCTGAGACTATGCACTATCGCACGAAGCTGACGCCTCATTTTGATCTTCCCGCTGTGCTTCGCCGGACGCACGGCACAGACCTGCCTGTAGATATGTCTGTGTCTGTACCGATTGGATTTGACAATGCCACGACAGGCCGCGTTATGGACATTGAAGAGTGTCCCATTGGGACGCACGTGCTGAATGAGGCCATGACACACGAGCGACAAAGAGTGCGGGATTCAATACGCTCATACAAGAATGGTGCTACGTTGCTGCTTCGTGATTCGCTGTGTTCAGCTGATAGTGATGCATCGACTGTGGTCACAGACCACAAGGCAACAGTGCATGAGCGGGTGGGGGGCACTACATTTTCGACGCCGGCAGGCGCCTTTTTCCAGAACAATCGCTCGATTATTCCATTGGTCATGGACTATGTCAAGTCGCAGCTTCCATCAAAAAGTAGCCCGCAGTACTTGGTCGACACATACTGTGGCTCTGGTTTGTTTGCGATTTGTCTTGCACCTCTGTTCGATCAGGTGGCCGGTGTGGAAATCAGTACTAGTTCGATCGAGTGTGCCAAGGCGAATGCAAAACAGAACAACGTGCAAAATGCGACTTTCCTTGCAGGTGAGGCGGAACGTATCTTCTCGGTATGTATAGTATGGACTATGCATATGACTTACAGGTGATGAAGAATATATCGTATCCGCGTGAGCAGACAACAGTCGTCATCGATCCGCCACGCCGCGGCTGCGATCAAGTGTTTTTGGACCAACTTGTGGCATTACGCCCGCGAAACATCATCTACGTTTCTTGCAATGTTCATGTACGTTATGGTGACTATACTTACAGGTTAGACACAGGCTCGTGACGCAGGACTGTTGCTTCGAGCATGTCCATCGTATCAGATCCGAAGTATACGTGGCTTTGACTTTTTCCCACAGACGCAGTACGTATCGCATATTTGTGGGAATCGACACAGCCGTCCTAACTGACACTTGCGTGCGTCAAGCCATGTCGAAAGCATCTGCGTGTTGGAGGATACATCGCTTACCATGGCAACAAACACACGAAACTCACTGTAATAATCAGGTTGCCCAGCATACCTATCCATGAGAATGGGATACCCAAAGCTACGTCCGTGAGCTGGACAATCACAGTGGTGAGCAGACACGACATGGATGCTAGGACAGGCCCCCACAGAGAAAGTAAGATCGCGAAGCAGCCATTGAAAAGCACACCGCATACGACGCTAAGTGCAATCCACAGAAAAGTTCCCACGTGCTTAGGAGCTTCCAACGACTCGCCCCCTGTCGCATGCATGATGACCAGTGGGATCCATAGAAGAGCGAACGTGATAGCCCCAATGCCCGTGGTCATGGCAATGGGATGCAGCCCAAATGGAAGTTCGCCTTCAGGCTCCGTCTCTTGTTGCGAGTGCGTAACATCATCGTCTGCGGACGAGGGCAGTGGGGCGAACGAGCCGAGTGACTCGTCATGGGGTATCACAGTGAGCCGTTTGTAAAAAATCTCGTACGCAGCCATGGAAATGGCACCGACCAACGCAAGCGCATCGCCTAACAAGGCATAAGTAATGACCTTTCCACCAGTGAGTCCTGCGACAATCGCGGGTTGTGTTGTCCCTCCGTACGCGGAGATGGCCACTCCTAGTACACCAAGCAGGACAGCGACCGCCTGCAGGTAGGACCATGGTTCTTGGAGAAAGTAGACCGAGAACACGAGCGCCCATAGACTAAAAGTATTGTAGATGGAAGTGATATTAGCCATGCTGGTGAGTGGGACGGCAAGGAACCAGCTGACGGATGGAACTGTCAAAGCCACCGTTAACACAAGCAGAATGGCAAGCAGTCGCAGCACATCTGTGGATGCACGACGTCGTGGGGTATCTTGTGGACCAAACGCGAAATCCAGTTGCCTTCGAATATCACGGCGCAGCAAGGAGCAGCATTGCGTGGTCGACCGCGTCGTAAACACATGGATGAATCCCAGATAGATCGGCAATAAGAACACAAAGCTGCTGTGCGTTACGAACAAGAGAAAAAGTGGCTTCTGGTACCCAAGTGTGTGCTGAATGTACTGGATCGACTCTGTTTGTACCGTGTAAGCAGCAAGAATGCAAAGAAAAACGATGATCGAAGCAGGCCCACCAGGCAGGCGCTCCCACATCGTCGTCGTTGTCGCCCGTTGTTATTGTCGTCCGGGCTGGTTGGTGGAGAGCAACATGTCGGACCTAGCGAAAATACACCCAGATTCATCCTCGCCGCCACATGACCCAACAGCGGAGAGCGTGTCTGACCTTGACATTTGTTCCTTAGTTGCGGCATTTACGCTGCGCCTTGGCCCCATATTTGGACGCGCATCTAGGACGTTGAATCGGATCTTGTACGTGCGCGACCCAAGCACCTTGATCTTGGGTACGATGGCAAAGGTAGTGGGACCTGAGGATTGGACCGACCTTGATGACGAGGCCCAACGCAAGCTCCTAGACAAGTGGGGAATGATCGTTGAAGGAAAACGCAAGGCATTTCGCGCAGATCCAGCGTATACTATGTGGTCAAGTACGTGGACGCTTGGAGCCCGTTGCTTACTTGAGTGCTGCAGACATCCTGGGAGCCATATATTTGCGCAAACCAAGGTGTTCACAACAAATATTATGCCTGGGCATTGGATCAGCCTATACACCAGCTGCCTTAGATCAATGGGCATTTCTCGAAGACATATGTGACCATTTCACGCAGTACCGAGGATCAAGGCCTCACCTTACTGTATATGATCCACAGTTCCGCGCGGCTGATAAGGCATTTCTGCGTCGGCAACAAGCACATCTTCCGGAGGAAAATTACGTACGTACGGGACTGGAAAGCATTGACTGCATGCAGTGCGGCGCATATGAGTTAAGAGAACCAACGTTTGTGTACATGCCGCATTGTCCGAAGGACATGTACGAGGCTCTGTTGCGTGCGAATTGGCACATGGACAGGCTTGCACAACTCGTGCTATGTGGGAACGAGCTGAGTATGTACATGACAGACATGGCAGCTTATCCCTGTATTGAAAGAATAGGTGTGTGTGTGTGTGTGTGTGTGTGTGTGTGTCCGCACGCATGAAGGGGGTGGCTAATGAGCATGATCGCCGCCGATACTAACGGATGCTAGCACCCTATGTACGCTCGTACAGTATACCCACACTACCAGTGACCTGCACAGGGGCACTCGATGGCAGTGTACAAGTGTTCTTCACAGAGCTAGAGGGTGTCCAAGAGCCTACATCAACTACAAGTGCATGGACTTACCAGCCGGCCCGGCGGAAGGCAAGACCACGATCGCGTCGCTCCAAACCACTTGGTACTTCGTCAGAGCCACTCTCGCTGACTGAAGAGGCATTTTGGACACTACCACCAGCCAAGGCCGAGTATGGACCTGAGGTCCTCACGACACCTATCCCAATATCGCCCAAGCTCCACGGCACAGACGAACGCATTCCACAGATCGATCAGTAATTAGAGCAGGGAGAAGGGGCGAACAAGGGAATGGAGCAAGGCTTGAAGGCAACAACGTGAGAATCCTCAAAGTGGGAACAGAAAGAGAGAAATGAATGAATCTATGAGTGAAATCAAAATCGGCATGTAGAAGTACAACCGCTAGGTAGCAAGGAAAAGGAGGTCCACGTGCTGTATGAGGTCTGTGGTGGTGTGAGCTAGATATACTCGAATTTGTGTGGACTTACACTCAACGACTCGGGCATAGGTGGGCGTTTCAATGAGTTCCATCGCTGGCTCTTTGGAATGCATGATGGTAGCTGTGAACGGTCAGCGGGAGATAGGCATGACAAAAAAGATACGCACGTCCAAAAACGATGCCCAAATTGCGTGCAGTCATCCTAGTTGATGTATTGTGATCATGGATGACACGGAGATGCACGCACAAGCGGCGCAGCGTCTCGTAGTGAGGAACAGGAAGCTGACTCAGAAGGGAGCGCATCGATGCGATAGAAAGAGCGCCAGGTTTCTCCGCCAGCTCGACAAAGCTAGAGAGAGATTCGTAAGGAATGAGGGGGTCTGGTAGCTCGCGCAAGTAGCTCTTTAGCACACCTGCGATGGCCGACACATCGTTGAACTGATCAAGATCGCATAAATCAAACGAACTCCCGCTATCAAAGAGCTGGATGATTTGTCGCTGCTGCTGCGAGCTGCCTGACTTGCGGTACAGACCCTCGTCCTCAAGGCCATTCGCTTCGATCGCAACCACACAGTGACTGACGAGCGCAGGCACTGCGGTTCCCTCCAGCTCGACCTCCTCGATGAGCGACCGGCCCATCATGGAGTTCTTCGACCCGGGTCGCGACATGGGCAGCACACGTGGCGATGAGAATGACAGCGCTGAGGTCGAGGGAGATGAGGAGGACAACGGCGGATGCGCCGTTGTCGCCGCGGCAGACGATGCCGATGGCTGCGGCGGAGGCGATGTAACGCGACGTGCAGGGACAGGAGGTGGCTGCATATCCCGCGCGGGTTTGTACGAGACGGCAGGTGACGAGGTGCCGGGAGGATGCACGTCATTTACACGCCTGCCCGCCTGGTATGGCGGCGTATCGGCCTTGGGCGTCGACGCATTGTTCAGCACATATGATGGCGAAGAGGCGCCTTTGGGCGTTCGCGCAAGCTCATGGGCAGGTAGCAGGAGTGTCCCGCTGAGCGCGTTCAGTTCCGACGCGGCAGGGATGCGTGGCTTGATCCAGCGGAACTTGCGTGGCGAAGGCAGCGGTGGAAGAGATGCATCGCGCCGCACCGTCTGTGGGCCGGCGGAAGGGGCCGGCGGCGCGGGAGAAGCAGACGGTAAAGTGTCCATCGCGGCTGCGGACACAGGCGTCGCATTTACCGTCGGAGTGTACGTTTCAGGCGTGTAGGATGATATCGACGACGGCGCACTCGAAGGGCCAGAGCCCATTGTATGAGCGGAGGAAAACGACAAGCTGGGATCGCCCTGATTGGATACAGAGCCAGATACGTCGGGGGGGAGTTGCCCATCGCCAGTGGCCATGGGTGATACAGGCGGCAGCGGCGGCAGATCGGGTGACGTGGGCAGTTCTTGCTCCGGGAGCTCGGGCGACCCACCTGACTTGGGCGCGTGCGACGATAACGAGCTGGAGAGATGTACTTGCGCCGAGTGGGAGCGACTGTGAGACGGTCGCTGTGCGGCGTGTTCTTGGGAAGCAGGCTGCTGCACATGAGCTGATCCCTCAGGATCAGGGTGCACAGAGGCTGACGACGGCACGGACATGACGGACACAGGTGAGCCAGCGCTGGTTCGCAAAGGTGTGTCGCCATAGCTCGATGTAGGCGCCGAGGATGGGGCGAAGAAGGGCGCATGCTGCTCATGCTGTGGTGATGGACGAGCAGAAGAGGACAAGGAGGAAAAGAGCGGTCGTGGCTCTTCCAAGCTGGGCCGAGGACTCCGCGCTGGCAAGGGTGGGGAAGTGACATGAGGCGACCAGTCGGACAGGGACGTGTCATGGACCGAGAGGTCCGACGCAACAGGGCGATCAGATGCGCCGTGGTTCGGGATTGAGACTGGGTCCGTTGACGTTTTGCCGGTGCGTCCCCGGGGACTCCTTCCTGGACGGGCTGCCGCGCCGCTTCCCGCTGCGGAAGCGGCCGCTGGAAGTGACTCGGCATCGACATGGCGGACATCGTCCCCGCCAGGCGCAGACACATGCCAAGGCTGAGTGCGACTGGGCGAGACAGATCTCGGTGGAAGTGGTGGTGGTGGTGGTGCTGCTGCTGCTGCTGGTGCAAGCGGGAGGGAGGACGTCAACGACGACGTTGACGGTGACGTACGCATGACGGGTTGCAAAGAGGATGATGATTCCGAGAGTTCAAGACTAGAGAGATGAGCAGTCATAGCATCGATGCGTTCGGCCAAGGCCTGCGACTCCTGCATCAGAGTCGAGTGCACTTGGAGCATGGGTTTAAGTTCCTGTTGGATCGACTGTCGCGTCAAAAGCAGAGACTCGAGTTCCCGTCGGTATTCCCACTTGACAGTATCGAGATGAGCCATCAGCGACGACAGCACCAGCTTCACGCGGTTGTGTACAGACTTGTCATCAGAAGCCTCATACTGCTGGGCGGCTGATTGGATACCAAGCAGCTCAGCAAGTGCAAGATGCCGCTGCAGCTCCAGCTGCGTTAGTTCATCGATAGCAGCAGGAAGGACTTCGTTGGATGGCGACGGCGGCGCTGGTGGTACGCGAGGCGATAGCACCGATGGATCCTGAGAAGACGCATTCTCGTCGTCGGGATTCGGCGATGCTTTGGCACTAGACAGCCCCAGTGAGGCAATAGGGCTCCGAGATGGGCCACTGCCAAAGAGGGAGCTGCGGCGTGCAGCAAAGTCGGGCGTTGAAATAAGCGCCTCAAACTCACTGTCGTACATCGACAATGAGCGCAGGATCTCTGACTCTGTCACAGAGCGTGTATGTGACCAGAGATCGCTGATCGTACTCGATACTGTCGGCTGAGGTGTCATGCGATGCGGCCGGCTTTCTTCCACGGACGGCGTTGAATGGCCCGTCTGATTCGCATAGTACGCTTGCAAGATTTCTGACTGGATCACATCTGATAAGCGTTCCTGGGTGTGTGAGTCGTTCGACACGCGTCGAGAGACACCGCCATCTGAAAGGCCCATGGGCGTTGCAGACACCGAATCTTGTGCAGAGTCCGTCGTAAGAGCATCCACTGGTGCTAACGCTGGCATCGATGCTGGTGAAGATACCGGCGCTGATGCTGACATGGGTGCTGGTGCTGGTGCTGGTGCTGGTACCTGTGTGGGAATAGGGATAGGCGAAGAGGCCGGGTTTGGCTCTGGCGCAGATGTGTGATCTTTGCCAGGCGCTTGCTTCACCATTGACGGAGACGTGGTGCTGGATTCTGGCGAGGCATGCGAGGCACGACCGGGCGTCGTGACCGTAAACGTCGGCTCTTTCTCCATGAGTGGCGTCGTTGAATGCTGCTGGCAATGCAAGCAACGGATCCGCCCGTCGACAGTCGAAAATGTCGTCGAGTCGATGATGTTTTGGCACATCGTGCATCGGAAGCACCCTGTATGATACGGATCCTGGTCTGGGTTCGGTCAGTGCCAATGAGCAAAATAGACGCACCACATAACACGACTTCATCCGTGATGGGCTCCCCACACGCCGTGCAGTTGAATGTGCACCCACCACACATAGGTTGTGAGCCCACCAACAGGACATTGTCTCGTTCGAACGGCACTTGCCGTCCACATGTAATGCACGTAAAGCACTGGATATGCCAATACGCGCCTGCCATGTGCACAACGCCGTCCGCCGCTTGTTCATCGGTGATTTCGGTCCGACACGTCTCACAAAGGACCTTGACAAACGATTCCGAATGCTCTGCATCCATCTCGCTCATGCCCATTACAGACCCTTCGTGCTCGGCAGGCCGTCCAGGCATGGCCGCCACTTGCTGGTATCGTAGCACAGAGGCTGCGTGACGACGATGGGGAAAGTATGTCCCTTCTACTCTATACAACATTCCTACTTCACACGCGCGCATCGCAATTTACTTGCCCCACGCGCACACACACGCACGTACGCACGTACGCACGCACTGCCCCCATCCCCCTGGCCCTCTTAGGCCGCGACAGGGACACTTGCCACCCCAATTCACGCGCCCACATCCTATTTTCAGCCCGTTTTAATTACGAACGTCTCCCCTATTCCGAGTGTGATCTTATGCTCCACGCAGCATCGCGAGCGAATCTGTCGCCCTGCTTTGCATGGGCTGCCGTTCCAACCTCTCCTCTCGCCCACCCCTCCGTACCGGCTTCGTGCCTCGAGGGTGAAGCAGGCCCGACCCCATCTGCGGGATCCTGTTGGTTGCTGACATATGCATGCATACTGCAGATCCCCGGCCGACATCGATATAGAGATTCTCACTGGCTGCTCAGGTACGAAGCCATTTTTTCCCAGCTGCCACCGTTTTTGGCCTAATAGAGGCGACCACTCACCCGCGTGACCTGAGAGTCGTCGCGGTACAACTCGTGGCCCGTGACGGTCCTCCATTCTTTCGTCTAGGAGGCGGTGTGTGTGTGTGTGTTGGCGTGCGTTTTGCGTGTGAGTGTGTCTGTGTGTCTGTGTGTCTGTGTCTGTGTGCGTGCGTGTGCCGTTCGAGTGTTGAGTAGATACACTAGGGACCACCACCGCGTGTGTGCTCGCTCGGTCAACCTGTGTAGTTGTGTCTTTCTTGACCGACGCCTGTCTTGCCTAAGATAGGCCAAGTCTCTCCTTTTTCAAGTTTGCCTGCCGCGTGCGCTCAGTGGCGCTTCACGCTCCGCGCACAAGGCGGCGTCGCATGGCAGCCACCATGGACTTACATCTCATTGCATTCAGCTTTCCTCGTGATGCCACAGGCACCCAGGTCTCTGATATGGCGCCCACCACAGGCAGTGCTCTGCCACCAGATGCACGTGCTGTCGGTAGCCGCACCGTCAGTAAGGCCGTGCCTATCCCGATGACACCATCAGCCGCATCCTCAGCGAAGTCAGTCGCCATTTCACGCGCACCAGGTGCACATCGTGGTCCAGCGCCAACTTTGGATCGCCACCATGATCAGCACACAAGTCGCTTAGGGTCGTCACCGACGCCGGTTACATTCCGTCTCACTGCATACTCGGATGCTGTGATAGATGCATGCGCAAAGGCCATGGCGACACACCAATGTGTCGTTCATGCATCGCCTTCGTCGTCGGCGGGCCTGAGCCTGGGCGTTAGCAATAGCGCAGGTGGTATCGGCTGCAACAAGAACAACAACAACAACAACAACAACAGCAGCAGCAACAGCAGCAACAGTAGCAGTAGTAGCAGCCATGGCGCTGCTGCTGGCTCTGTGTCTGTCAGCAATAGTGGTGATATGGATCGTCCCACGCAAGGCCCGTCTCCTCGCATGCCATTACATGCATCACCCGCTTCGACACACCTGCCGTCAACGTCTTTAGCTCTGAGCATGGACTCGGCAGAACCAGCGACCAACTCCAGTGGATCGTCGTTCCGACAACCTAGTGCCGAGCCATTCATGGAGCCTGAGCTGCCTCGATTCAGTGCGAGTCTCTGTGGTACACAAGCCCAGGTCAATGATGCTCGCAGTCTGTTGATGCAAACGCTGCCGTTCACTTGGCGCTTGGACATGCTCCTAGAAGCATCTGAGATTCTGCAATACGGCCGAGACGCACTTTGGCCAGATGTCCGCATCCGCTTTGATCAGATCATGCAGGACTCACGCACGCGACTGAGTGTTCAACCCTCAGCTGATGCATCACTGACAACCGATGCACCGACATGTACAACGAGACGCCATATGCAGCGACCGGTCATCTTGACCATCACAGGTGGTCTCGAATCGATCGAATATGCTCGTGTTCAAGTTCTCGTGATGCTGGACGAAATGAGTGGCCTGCACACAGATACCATCGACTTGGACAACAGCAAGTTCTTGCATGTGAATGCAGGCCGAAAACGCTCCGCTATCCAGGCACTAGAGCGTGAATCCCGCGCTAATGTCTACATACCCACACCGTTCTTTGGCGTCCTGCAAAGCCATGTGCCTCCAAAGGTGCAGGAGCGTCGACACACCGTGTTTGTCACAGGGCCGCCGCCTGCCATCGCCCGCGCGCGAGAACTTGTCCTTTCACTGACCAAAAGGAACCGGAACACGGTCTCTCGTCAGGTGTCACTCATGCCGCGGAAACTCGACTGGCTACTCCTTGAACGCCACGAGGCACTCCGTGAGCTCATGCTCGATAACAGCACTTTCCTCGATCTTCCGCTCATCGGCAGCCCGACAGGCCAAGTGTGCGTGCATGGCTCGTCTCGCGTCGATGTCGAACGCAGCATCCGAATGCTGATGCAGATCGTGGCGCCCTGCTATGTGGCAACTCTTTGTCTCATGCCCAGTGTTCTGGATACGCTCGGCCTTTCTTCCAAGGCAGATGCGCGCCCGCTCGCTACGCTTCTCACCTCAGCGAGTGCCGCGTCAGGCGCAGAAGTGGGCTTTCGTAACAGCTGCGTTGACCTGTACGGAACCGACTCAGAGGTTCGTTCGGCCATGCGCTTCTTGCTCCGTCAACCGGCCATCAAGCACTGCATTAGCGAAGTTCGCTTCCAGCTCGAACTCGCTACGGACCACCGCGAATTCATCAGCGGCAAGAAGAACGGCAAAATCAACAAAATCATGGAGGGATGCGGCGTGCGTATCCGCTTCGAGCCGTTCAACGACTACAATTTCCTGATTGAAGTGCTGGGCCGCGAGCCGGACGCTGCGCTTCAAGGACTGAGCCAACTGCAGGAAGAACTCCCAGCAGAAATGTCATTTTTTGTGCCGGAGGCATACCACAAGCGTATCATTGGCGTCGGTGGCAAGAACATCCAACGCATCATGAAAAAGTTTGGCGTCTACGTCAAATTCTCCAATGCCGAGGAGTTTGCCGCGTTGGGCGGCTACATCGACAACGATGACAATGTCATTGCACGCACGCCGTCGAAGAATGCACCGAATCTCGAGAACCTGAAAAACTCCGTGATGGAGCTTGTGGGTCCAAAGGACAAGGACTTTGTGACAGAGGCTGTGCCGGTGCCGCGCAAGTTCCATCGCCTCCTAGTCGGCGAAAAGGGCCAGGTCCTGACTGACATCGAACACCGTACCCGCTGCTCCATTCGCCTCGCCCGCAGAGAATCAGGACTCAACACAGTCTTTGTCGTGGGCCCTGAGTCTCAGACGGTAACGGCCGTGCAGATGCTTCTTCAGCAGGTGCCTCTCGAAGCAGAGATCCCTGTGAGCAACTCGCACGAGTTCGCCAGTATGATCGATTCCCCCGAGTACCACACTCTTGTGAACCATCTGCAGAACAACATGGCAACTACGCTCCATCTGTCGCAACGGAAGAATGCATCGGCTGAAAATGTGTTTGTACTTCGGGTGAGTCATGCCGATGCGGAAATGTTGCCGCTGGCCAAAAAAGCGCTGGACGATTTAAGTGCCAAGTACCACGTCCTGCTTCACACGTCCGTTTCGCCGCCGCCCGCTCCTCCACTAACGTCGGCCGCCCCTGCTGCCGAGGAGGAGCTATACAATCTCTTGCCGCCATTCTCTACCTCGCACCTGTCCCCTTCAAAAGCGGATATCAGTGCGGATTCGGCAAGTATGCCCTCTAGCATGCTGTATGAAAATGTTTCCGTACCTCCATCAGCATCCAACAAGGACCTCAAAGCGCTCTTCGAGCATTCGTCGCTTTCGTCGTCCATGCCTTTTGATGGAAGTGCGGGTAACGTGAATACCCCGCTCGTCTCACCCTTCTATACCCCTGGCTATGCCGACAATGCTGCCCTTTCAGCCCAGGTTTGGGGAGCACCGATTCCATCTCTTCAAGACATGGGTGGACATGCATCGAAACCGAATGTATTTGGCGCCTTTTCCTCGACACCGATACCTTTCCCCTTTTCCCCTCCGACCGATTCAGCACGAGCCAAGGCTGACATGGCACGTGCGAGTCCTGCCGCACCGTTCTCCTCACCTGGTCAGCTCTTACGCCACGATGGCATGAGTGGCCTTGTCAACAGCCGGGATGTAGGTGCATTCGGTTCCCATCCTTTGGCACGCCCGAGCATGAGCATGCTGAATGCGGACATGGGCAACGACATCGACGGATTTCATCCTCTAAGCGATCCTACACCCCGCTCAACTCTGTCGATGATGGGTCCGCCAGGATCGACACCCGGTCCAAGGGGTCCAGGGTCCCACATGCCTCGTTCGGCTGTCTCACATGGCACAGCCAGCGATACCATGGATGAAGTATCGCGCGTGCTTGCACAAATTGCATTTGACAAGCAATAATTTCGCGGTATTTCTTCTTCTTTCACTCGTGTTGTGCGTCCTGAGTCATGTTGGTTCTTGTCTATCTTGCTTTTAATCGACGCTCATTCTTGGCTCCTTCCTACAACGTGCTCCCCCCCAGCGCCTTTCCCCTTAGTACCTGTTTTCTTTAAGAATACCAGCCATACGCAATGTGCATTTGCCCCCATGAGCATCTCGGATTCTCAGTGCAGTCGTAAATAGTGCGTATTGCGTATAGATTCCCATTCACCAAATATCTATCATTGATACTAATTAGGTCAGGATTGACGGCTTCGAAACGAGTCGCTCTTGGAGAAGGACCAGGCTGTGTGCAAGTACGTCGATATATGTACACGTGACTCAAGCCACGAGAAACGTCGACAATTTTGGTCTCCATCCATACATAATCCGTGGCGCCCACATCTGGCACCAGGATGAACGACGACCGTGAAACTGCCCGGCTCTGGCGCGTCAACCGCACGATTCATGAGCTAGTTGCTGATAGAGTGAGTTTCAAAAACACAAAATACAAATTATGCTCTTAACTAACACACATGTAACAGGGCTATGAGGTATCTGAAGAGGAATTGAATGTGGACCTCGATACATTTAAGGCAGAAGTCACATCGAATGGAATTGTCGACAGGAATCGCATGAACTTTTTCACACAGCACAAGGATAAGCCAGAAGAGCGCTTGTTTGTGTTTTATTCAACAGAGCGAAACGTGGGCGTCAAGACAATGCGACAGTTTATCAACATTCTTGAAGAGAAAAACATCACAAGAGGCATTATTATTTGGAGCGATAAAATGACAAGCGCTGCTAAGAAGGTATGCAAGTGCATATGGTTTCTTTACTGACTATGTAAGGTGATTGAGGCCATGCGTCTTCAGCTTGTGCTGGAGGATTTTGAGGAAGCGTTCCTGCTCGTAAATATCACGCACCACCAGCTGGTACCTAAGCATGAGGTGCTTACGCCGGACGAGAAAAAGGAACTCCTGCACCGCTAGTACGTTGCTAAATTGCTATACGTTGGATGCGTCGACATGCTAACATAACCTAGTCGCTTGAAGGAGTCGCAACTTCCACGAATTCAACAAAATGATCCCGTCGCGCGATACTTTGGTCTGTCTCGTGGTCAGGTTGTGAAAATTACAAGGCGTATGTACTGGGCTTATAAGTCGTTCTCGTGCTTGCTGACCATCAATGACAGCATCTGAAACTAGTGGACGTTACTGTTCCTATCGCATTTGCATGTAACACATAGAAATCTGTTCCAGTACAAAAAAAAAATGATACGCCGTTAGGAGAAGTGGATCTTTGGTACTCCCGTCACGCTCGCTCATTTGCCACTCAGCGATAGCGTCAATGCGAGCTAATCATGTACATTCGTACGCCTTCGCAAAACGAATATGCACGGAAACCAAAAAGCAAAAAGTTCGACCCATACTGGATTCGAACCAGTGACCTTAGAGTTTGCAAGTCGTAACCGACCAGTTGTAACAGCTCCACGTGCTAACCACTGTACCAATGGGTCTTCGCTGTAAGAGTTCGTTGTAATTAACATATATGAACATCCAACAGTGGAAAATAATGATTCATTGCTTGGCACCAACGCGTTTATTCCTCTCCGTTGCTTGCGTACATGAAGTATTTTGCATAACTACGAAATGTATTCAATCTACACACGCTTTAGAAACTTGACTCTAGTATGCCATACTTAGAATTTGAACACTTGCTCAGACTTGAAACCCAAGTCAGCAAGAGCACCAGACAGTTCGCCCTGCTGGAATCCCTTCTTCGGGCCAGCCACCGCCTTCAGCATGGGCGGAGGACCACAGACAAAGATCTTGGCCTTTTCGCCCTTGTCCGCACCAGGAAGATACTTCTGGATGTGCTCCTTGGTGATAAAGCCCTTTTCTGCCTTCATGTTCTTCGATGCTTCATCCAAAAAGTAGACAATCTTGAAGCGGTCGTCCTTGCTGATCTCATCGAACTTCTCGCGCAGAAGGATGTCAGCCTCCGTCTTGTTACCATAAAGGAGCGTGACCTTCGTCTTGTCAGCTGGGTTCGACGAGATTTCCTGAATCAGCTGCCACATGGGGGTGATACCCGAACCACCGGCAACCATGCCGATCTCCTCAAATTGGTTGGCCTTGTAAGGATGCTTGGGAATAGGGCCCTTGAAGTGCATTTCATCACCGGCCTTCAAGCTCTTGAGATACTGCGTCATTTGGCCCTGCGGGTAGTGTTTGATGAGCAACACAAGCTCGCCCTTGTCGGTCGGCGGGTTCACGGGTGTGTAGGGACGAATGACGGGCTTTCCATCCTTGTCCTTGGGCTCCTCACCAGCGCCACGGATCACAAGCGCAGATGCAGTAAAGATACCCGAACGCTTGTTGTCCGGCAGCTCGAACACGTAAAACGAGCTGTCGTGGTTGTATGGGCGCACCTCCTTGAGCTTCAACGCACGGAACTCATCACCCGAGAGAGCTACGTCACCCGAGTCGGCGTTCACCTGCTGGATCTTCGAGCGGATATCGCCATTAAAGCCGCCCATCGCGTACCATGCACCAAGACCAGCGACACCACCGGCCGAGAGATACAGACCCAAGTTCGACGATGGGGCGTTCGCATTCGTCTTGCCCGATGAGAACTGACGCATGTACTGGGCTGGACGAGCCGCGGACTTCATGGAAGCACGGACGGCTGACAGCGATGTTGTGCAAGCAGAAGTCGTGCGGAACATGTTGTTATGGGAAGAAGGTAGAAGGGAGGAGCCTTTGGTGGACGGACCACGTCCCGGTTCAACAGCCTGAGTAAGAAGGTCCGTGGGGATTTTATGTAATCAATCATGCCACTATGACGTCAGCGTTTCCAGGGTCCTGCATGCGCCCGCGTGCGCCAAAGCGATAAGTGTGACGCTTTTTTCTTTCGGCTGGATTAGGCACGGGCCCCAACTGCCATGAGTTGGCGCGGCAACTACGCTATCCGTGGGCGCGGCCGTGGTCGTGGCCGTGGAGGCGGTGGCGGAGGCAATGCAAGCAGCAGACATAGCTCGGGATCATATGGAATGGTTGGAGCTCATACGGAGAAACGGAGTCGCACCGACCAAGGAACAGCAGACTTTCTAGCGCATCGACTTCGTGCGCTGGAGAATAAGCCGTACCCGGCTTATCATAGTTTAGAAGGAGCATGGGCATTTCCCACATTCACGTTTTACTTGGATCAGGCGCAATCAGACCCGTATGCATCGCCCAGCAAAGTACGTGTGCGTATGTCGCATGCCCATGCAGGATTTCCAGCGTCGACGTACGATACACGGATTCATCGTACGGCCCTGGCTGACTACATACTCCGTCGGTTACACAAAGTGTGCACTGAACGGAGGTTTGATGAGAAGCTTAAAGGCTCCGGATGGTCCAGCGGGAAAGGCGGACAGCTGGAGATTGACGTCCCAGGACAGCAGGTGCTGGAGCGAACGGCTGTGGTCGTTGACGATGAGGGCATCGAAATGCGATTCATCGTTGGTCTGCCGGCACATGGCCGCCAAATCATGGGACATTTGGCTGCTACATTATTGTGTGAACATGTGCCGCAGCTTGTTGATCAGGGTTTGCTGTATGACAGGTACGAGCCGAGTGAGCTCCAGCATCACTTGGAGACCGTCGAGGATCAGCAAGTGCTGCGAGACCAGTTGGACCAGCATGGCTTGATTGCATTTGTACCAAATGGAGCAAGACTGGCACGAGCAAGTGGAGCGTCTGACAAGCTGATGCCAACTTGCGTTCCTTTCCAAAGTCCCGCGACGTTGCAAGTGAGTCTACCGGTGCCACACCGCGGCAAGATCATTGGGATGGGACTAAAGAAGCGTGCATTGCATGTGTGTATCGGAGGTGGATTCCATGGCAAGTCGACGTTTCTGTCGGCATTAGCGCTTGGCTCCTTCAACTTTGTGCCGAACGATGGGCGTGAGTTCGTGTGTACAAGCCAAGACGTGGCGAGTGTGCGGTCGGAAGATGGCCGATTTGTGGGCAGCGTCGACATTTCGGCATTCATTCAAAACCTGCCAAACGGCACAGACACAAGTGATTTCAGCACCTCGAATGCTTCAGGAAGCACCTCATGCGCAGCAGCCCTGATGGAAGCACTAGAGCTAGGTGCTGATCTACTCGTGCTGGACGAAGACACGACAGCATCCAACTTCCTTGTACGTGACTCGACGATGCAATCGCTCGTGCCGAATGAACCTATTACACCATTGGCTGTGCGCGTTCGTGCACTAATAGAAAGGACAGGCGTGTCGATTGTGCTCGTATGTGGCTCGTCCAGTGCTTTGCTGCCAGAGGCGGATGTGGTGCTTCAGATGGATTCGTACGTGATGAAAGACGTCACGGAGCATGCTAAAGACGTGTGTAAGGAGACCCATGTCCTGTCCCAGTCGGATGCAGATGCGCAACCTTTCGCAGCAAGAAAGAGCAGGACGCTAGCGCTGCCGCTGCCGTCTGTCAAAACATCCACACCGCAACGCAGTCTCATCCACGTCGGTGAACATGCATTAGACCTGAGCTCTGTGCCGCAGCTGGTACATAAAAGCCAAACGCGAGCAATCGAAACCCTTTTGCGTCGCTGGATGAACGGCGAGCCACGCTCGATCCGTGAGCTGGTTGACACTGTGGACAAAAACATCGAGAGCCAGGGCATCGACGCACTGCTACAGACTCGGATAGATGGGTTCCTTGCACGACCACGTCGCATGGATATTGGTATCGCATTAAACCGGCTACGGTGTGGGTCTTGGAGTATCGCATGATGGATAGAGACAAGACGAAGAGAAGGAGCAAGGATCTGCCCCCAAGAGCCCGTCATAGCCAATGAGGAAGAATCAGAGAAAGAACGTCAAGTAAGAGAAGCTAGACAGGTTATCGTGTGTGCGTGTGTGTGTGGTTGATTGTGCAAACGATGAGAATAGGACACACGTGCAACAGATCAAGAGTTCCGTCATAGACAAGTGCCTTGTTCAGCGCACCGCGCAAAAATTCTCAGGTAAAAAAAATTGATGACGATGATAATAACGATATGCAAATAAATAATTAGACATGACATTACACAATGCAACATGACGACAACCAAAACACCAGTGAACCTGATTACGATGGTGGTGAACGCACGCCCGTCGACCGGCTCCGTGCATGTGAGCGTCGCTCCTCTACGGCGGACGAGGCAGCAGGAGGCGTATCGAAAGGCCGGAGACTCTCGCTGAAAGACGGGATACTGGGGAACGTGGTGTTCATGTCAACGGACGAACGTGAAGCGGCCAAGCCTGCAAGCGGATCGCGCTCATCGGCAAGGGACGTGGAGGACTGATTCAGCACAGGCATGAACTGACCACGTGGCTTCAACGACAGTGACGAGACATTGTCGTCCCAGCCGCCCTGTAGCATAGACTCGAGATCATTACCTTCGACCACGCCGTCGCCGTGGCTTGCGAGCATGGAGACTGGACGCGCGGGGTGAACCAGCTCCGGCAGAGCATCGTTTTCGTTGTAGGCACCGATCTGATCCCCCCAACGGTCGTCCTCCGAGACGGCATTAGACCGCGGCGAATTGGATAGATCGAACGACGAGGACCTTGGGGCTGGTGGCGCTTTGCCGATCAGCGCACGCGATGATAGCTCAGGTGCATCAAGCGCACCATCGTTGTAAAAGCCACCACCATACTGGCGCTCAAACTCCTCGCGCCGACGGGCTTCACGTTCCTGCTTGCGGATCCGCGAGCTTTCCCACTCCGTCCACAGACGCATAGGCACATTCAACGCTGCCTGGTATCCTTCTTCGTCGGCATCATGAGCAGCGCTCTTTGTCTCGCCCTCGACACGGCGCGTCTCACCCCAAGAAAAGTCGTCAAAGTGCCAGAAGGAGTAGGCTGGCAGGAGGAAGTTCCACACGGGCAGGAAGATTAGATAGATAATCAGCCAGATGATGAATACCGGCTGGAACCGCACAAGCGTTATGACAAAGCCAGGGAGGAAAAGAACGGCAAGCAACATGGTAAGTGGGATGGCAGACGTGAAATCTTTCGGCGGATTCATCGCTGACTTGACAATCAAGTAGTATGTGAGAGAGATGGCGACGGGTAAAACTAACGTTCCAATCAGGTCCATTAGCACGACAAATTGCATAGAAAAGCAAAAAGTACCGCACAAATCCCGCACAAGAACCAGCTCCATGAGATTGTGCACGGTTGAATTGATCCAGCGGCGCCGCTGAGACATGAGCATCCTTAATGTATGCGGCACGACAGTGTGGCAGACGGCATGCGGCACAAATACCATACGCCGATGCGGGAAAGTCCGGAGCAAAAGCGTGCTGAGGAAACGGTCTTCACCGAGTAACAAAAGGTTTTTCTGGTGCAGTGTCGTCACAATTGACTGGCTGTATTCGCGCGTAATGTCCGGCTTTACGATCACAGGAATCCAATCTTCATAGCCAGGCTTGCGTGCCTTGATACGATACATGCTGAAGCATCCAGGTAGGCATGTCACACCACCAAAAACGGCTTCGAATGATTTCACCTGGTGGTGAGAGATGAAGTACTCGAACACCTGAATGGCCGTCACCCAGCTCTGCAGCTTGTTTTGAATCTGCGTCTCGCCACACGCGCCCATAATCCGATGGTCGTTCAACATGGCGTTCGCAAGATATCGCAGGCATGGTGGGTGCACTTTTGTATCTGCATCAACCATGAGCACAAGTTCGAAAAAGTCCGGCGTCACTCCCATGAGCGCATGCACTTTGCGGAATAGATCATAGTCCAAGGGCGTCATCGGGTCATTGTACGTGACGTGCTGGAAGAAGTTCATCAACACCATCTGGGAATCACGTTTGCCTCGGTTGCCGGCCTTTTTCGCATGGACTTCGTCCGGCATACCACACTTGACCACAACGACCATCGGCACAGGCTCGCCCCCTGACGGATTCAAGTAGTGGCCAGCATATACAAGCGCCATGTTTTGTGCCTTCTTGCCAGCGGCTACGGACCGATACTGCATTGGCGTCGGCGTGCCAAAACGGAGATCTGGGCACATGAGACTCACACAAATGTCGGGCGTGCTCATGGATTCGCCCTCGCCAGTGATCATGCCATCAGCGACCACAAATATAAGTTTTCGATTTGTAGGATACTCGGTCGAGCTGATGGACGAGAGCGTCGCTGAAATTCCATCAAGGCCTTCCGAATAACAAGTTACCAGGCACACGATGTACGGATCATTGCCAATGTCTTCTGGCGTCATCGATGCAGGAATCATGACCGAGGATGACGACATCTGGTTGATACCGTGGTCAGGTGCTGTAGATGGATGGGCAAGCACTTGCTTCTTGGCCCACGGAGCGACACCGCCCGCATTAGGCTGCGTTGCTTCGTTCGGGAGAATCACATGAGATTTTGGCCGCGGGCGTCGCATCCCTGTGGCAGAAAATTTGCCGGGCGCCGGTGGTGTACTTGCTAAACGACGCGAGCCAACCAATAGGAACCAAATCGCCATGATCGTGCGAGCAAACACAAGACCTAGAATGACAATCAACGACACATACAGGATCAAGTCGGCGACAAAACACCCAGGCGTCTTGTAGTTCACCTGCCCAGCGAGAAACCGCTGTTTAATACACCCTAGGGCATCGCGCGCTTGCTTGTCATGTGCAAACACACTCGTGGCGTCTACGATCCTTGGATTCATGGAGAAGTAGGTGCGGATTGTCCTGTCGACTGAGTCGTTCGGGATAGGTTGGGGATATGTGGCAAAGTATGTGTTCAAATTCAGCACATGCCCGTCAATGGCCATGAGTTTTTGGGTGTTGTTTAAAACGTCGTCCCAGTCAAAGCCGATGCTCTTGTTCTGCTTCTTGAGATGGAGCTTAGACTCAATCATCTTAAAGTCGAGTTTGTCGCTGCATTGAATGCTTTTCCCATGTACATTGGAACAATGCAAAGGCTTTGCAACGGCCGCATTCACATCCGCGCACTCTGGAAATGGGTACTGGGACGTATCAAGATACTGCGTGTAGTCCAGGCCGGGATTCGCCTTAATGTCCGAATAGATGTCAGTGCCGCCCAAATTAGGTCTGTCAGACAAGCTATACGCATTGCCCAAGACGCCGACGGCGCCGCTAGCATCTTTTACATTCATGAATAGGTTGTCAGCCTGGTTGGAGCAGAGCGATCTCTGCAAACCCACAGTGATAAAGGCAATGATGGCACTCAATGCACACGCGAACAAGACAAGTGTAACTTTTTCGCGCCATGCCTGGCGAACAGGCGCACTATGCAATCCAACGAGATTCAAGAGTGGCGGTGGCGCCCAAAAAGTAGCCACAATCGCTAGATAATGCCACCACATTCGCCACCAATGCGGCTTTCGGCCGTCTGAGAAGGGGTCGTCAGGCTCGCCTTCTGGATTCAGCAACGGCGCACGAGGGTGTCCTCGTTCAGGTCTCGACAGTGAACGCCCGCGATGCAGCAGCATGGACGGACGTCGAAGTGGCGGAGGACCAGTGCCGGGAACGTGGATGGACGTTTCATCCTCGAACGAAACGCTGGGTCTTCGAATGAACGACCTCGCTGTGTCCCTTCGACGATGGAGCTGATTCAGCATCACAGCTTGAAAAGGATGGTCAGCGAGAAGTGGTACGTTTAACAGCGGTGATGCAGGTTGTCAATATGCGTGTGGGCTTGGGAGGGGAAGAGCGCACGTAGTTGGCGGGGAAACGGGCCAGCGTTTCAAGAGAATGATGAGACCGTTGACGCTTGCCTGTCCCAAGTGAGATACGCAGCGGTCGCACTGTTGGCTTATAGCTAAACGACTTTTTTTTCTCTCACTTCCCGGTTCACGTCGCTCCTGTCATAGACGCACGCTGAGTTACGCGTCGTCTTTCCTACGCGCGTGCATGTCTCGCACACGATTGGACGCGAAATTGAACCACTCAGGCTCACGGACAGCCACGTGCCGTGCTAGGGATTGAGGACCACGGCTCGATTTGTGTGCTGGACTGTCTTCGCTTATTCGGTCGTTTGTGGAGATAAGCAGTTAAAGTTGCCACCACCGCTCAGACGGCGCGTACACCTTACTATCCCTAAAGCTTCTTGAAAGCCAAAGTGGCGTTACCTACGCCTAGACACGGTGGACCTGAGAAGTCGTTGCCGTGGATGAATGGCACAAAAGATGTGGCACCCACGTGTGTGGTAGCACGCGATAAGCTGGCGCATGACGTGTATCAGTCTGTGCTACGCACACGCCGCTGCGACTGGATCGAGCTGATGAACTGCGCACCGATGGCGAGTCAGTATCATTTGAGTGCATACAGTGTATTGAAATTTGGACTTTCTGGTGCACCGTATGCGTACCTTCCATTGTCGCTACAGCAGCCGGACCTGACTGAATCCATCCTCTCGCGCCAGCAAAAGAACGAAGTCCATTCATGGCGGCTCATGCCGCATCTAAATGCTCGCGTACCGATCCCTGACTCGCACAATGCTATCCAAATGGTTGAGAAACACACAGACGGGGCACATGAACGAATTGCACTGGACTTGGAAGTGGCTATGGTTGACAAGTCACAAGACCGCCACATGTCTGACACACACGACACGGCGCGTGTCGTCAAGACGAGCAACTCTCACCCGATCAGGTATGTATCTGCCGGTGTCGTACAGCTCACTATTTCTAGTTTAAGCCCCATTATCCCCGTCCAACTTCTCCCAAACATTTCTGCACGTGTGCTGGGACATTTGCCACCGGGCCTCAGGCTGATTCACACTCGCGACGAGCTCGTAGACCTTGCACATATCTCGCTCACTGATACTGTGCCCCGCTCGAGCCTCGGAATGCACCTCCAAAACAGCTTACAAGATGCGGACGCGTATGCCCTTGGGCAGATTCGGGGCGAGCATTTGATCCGCATGCCTGAAAGCGTGCCGCTTGAGCACATGCTGTCCGACAATGGTACGCCATTGGATTCATATGCATCGTCGGCACCAAAAACCGAAGCTCCTGTCCTAGGCAACTTGCTACTGTCGTCATGCCCTGGCAAAAAGGTCCGGCTAGACGAACCAGCGCAAGGTCGCAGCCCTATATGTCGTGACCTGAAGATTGATCTGGATCGCATCAAGCAAATGGGCGTGCGTGCCATCGTATGCTGTCTCGACGACGACGAACTTAATCTCTTGGGGGCACCTTGTCGTGAGTACAGCGATGAAGCCCAGTCTCACGGGTTGGACTTGATTCGTTTGCCGATTGCCGAAGGCTTTGCGCCCATACATATGGTCCGATTTGACATGTTCATGTCCATGCTCATTCTTAACTATACACTGCGTGGCTCGTCAATTCTTGTGCATTGCCGTGGAGGCGTTGGTCGCGCAGGACTGGTCGCTTGCATTTGGCTGCTGAAAATGAACTTGATTGCCGCCGATCCCGAAGCAGGCCCACGGCTGTGTCCCACGGCCGATGAATCTTGCTACGTGCGAAGCACAGTACTTCGCCTCATCGACATTGTGCGTAAACGACGCAGCGTTCGCGCCATTGAAACGGCTGAGCAGGTGCGTTTCCTTATGGAGTATGTCCGCTTTGTGTTTTCGCAAGAACGCGCCCATCACTGCTTGCAGACATGCGCTGCTACACACTCGTCTTAATGAATGTATATATGCCCTTTCCCCGATGCTTTATACTTGCTCTTACGCTGTGCTATGCTTTTTATGGCTTTTCGAGCCTCGAAAACATGATCATCATACCCCTTCCTCGTGCAAACTCGCCTCTCTTAACTCACACCCACATCACAAATTTTGGTATTCCACCGACTCATATCTTTCCTTCCTTTTTCTCTTCCTTTTGCTTTCATCGTGTTCATTCTGCTTACAGAGACCATGCCCGTTATGTTGGTCTTCCTGCTCGATTAGATGCACCTGAATTACCCCGATCGATTTTCGTCCCATGCAATTTGGGCGAAGCTTGTCAAGACCAAAATACTTCCGCATATGCTTTGTAGTGACAGCGCCATGGCTTGTCGAATCGCATCACCGCACACAGCCATGGGAATGGTCAGTGACAGACCTATGGTCGTCAGTAATGGTGATGATTTGAGCATTGCTGCAAGGTATGCAAAATCAGACACGACGGTGATACACATGTTGAACACAATACCCAGAGTTGTGAGTGAGTCGTGAGGCCAAGATATGGGCTCCATGCCCGTCACATGCAGCAAAAGACCCACTGGCCAAAATGCGACCAAATTGAATGCGCCTACGCAACCAAGGAAAAGTGGCATGGATATGCGATCTTCCGAGCCGATGCGGACCTTGAGCAGCGTTACGTAGCCCGCATAGCATAAAGCAGATGCAAGTGCGAATGCGTCTCCTAGCAGGGGTTTGGTCGGTGCCTGTGGCATATGCGAGGTGTCCTGATCGGCCCATGTCACGAGAGCAACGCCCAAAAAGCTGTGCGAGGTGTCAGCATCTGTCTAGCAAGTAGAGTTGGTATGCATACCTGAGTGCTACCGCAGCAAATTTACACAGAGAAAACCGGTCGATGCCTAAGACACTGCCAAGTACAAGAGTGAAGAATCCACTTGTGCTGCCGAGAGTTGTGCCGCTGGCCACGCTTGTATACGCCAAGGCGGCAACAAACGACCAGTTTGCGACGAACCATATCACAGCAAACTCCATTGAAAGCACCGCAGTTTCTCTAATCGAGAGTGGCGGCAGCTCGGATGCATGGACGAGCGCTTCTGCATGCGACAGGCTTGAGTTCTCACCCTGTGAAGGTACTTCCTCGTCTCTCTGCCCGATCAACGCCTGCGTCTCGGGCAGTCGAGAAACACTTTTTCTTCGCGGACTCACGGGAAGATCCGTTGCAGGCCGACGACCATCGATAGACGAGGGACGAAGACGAATCGCAGGCCGCCGTGTTTCCGCGGTATATGATGGGCGACCAGCGCGTGTAGGTATCGCGTTCGACATATGAGGTAAGTAGAATCCTAGCTTGGACCACCAAGTCTCAGCCTGTTCGCGTCCAGACCCCTGCCTTATCAACACAAAGAAGGGAATAAGATACAATGTAAAAGATGCTGTGCATAGATACGTCATGGCGAATGGTTTCTCGTAGCCATGCGTTAGTACAGTATTGGAGATGTAGTTGGATCCTGTCCAAAGCACATCTACGAGCAGGATCAGCACGGCGCCGATCGCATACTCTTTCGTGCTTGGTAACATTCACCGGGCCTGAGTGTCGGCTTTCCACGTCTCGCTTGCTCAACACTTGTAGCCAGACCAGAACCAGAGCGAGGAATCGACCTAGCTTTTGGTATAGCCAATGACGAACCAATATGCCGATGGACGCGTCTTGTCCACATCGGGGCAGGCAGGTCGTCGCATCGGGCGTCAAACGGCACGCGCCTCACACCTCAACCAGGAACGGTGGTTGATCCAATAATAAAGAGGCGTGAGTCCTCCGAAGCTGCTGACTCCCATGGCGCCATCATTTGAAGAGTCAGATCACACATGGCTGCAACTCGGCATAGGGAGTGGGGAACCAACAGAAGTGCGAACATCGCTCGCAGTTGATGCGCAAGATCATGCGCGCGACGACGGATGGGTCTATTGCCGTGCAAAAGATCCGGAGCACATGCACCGCATGTTTGCGCATATCCTTCACTTTCTACGCGATGTCGAGCGGCGGAGCATAGACCCTAGTACAGAAGGAGATGAAGTTGGTCTTCGTGTACTAAGTGACCCGCTTGAATCGTGCCCGGACCGGGCTGACAATCCAGAATACTACCGGATGATATCGCGGCCTACGTCGTTGCAGACGATCACTCACCGCATTGTTCACTGTGAATACGCATCATCAGCTCTTTTTGAACAAGATATGCTGCAGCTATTTTGCAATGCACGAATCTGGTATGGACTGGGTTCTGAGGGATATGCGGAGATGGTCACTCTCCTTCGTTTGTATAATGAATTAACGCCATCACAGGCTCGCCTCACAGATGCAATAGGCGTCCGTCATGGAAAAAGCCGCATGTCCGACGTGGATGTCGTGAGCGCACAGCGTTCTTTGGCCAGGGCATCGCAGCATTTCTCGTCATCGATCTACGGACCAGGACGTGAGCCACCATCCGAGGCCACTGTCCGTGACGTGGTCGGTATGGATGCAGCCGCGTGGAAAGGCAGAGTGTATCATGTTGGCGATTGGGTGCATCTCATGAATCCAGTGGATCCGTCACGCCCTATCGTTGGTCAAATCTTCCGTTTGTATAAGCAGCGGAAAATCCCAGGCATATTCTTGTCCGCATGCTGGTACTATCGCCCGGAGCAAACACACCACACTGAGACGCGTCACTTCTTTCCGAATGAAGTCGTTCAAACAGCTGTGTATGGCGAGCATGCCATAGAGGATATCATTGAAGACATCCTGGTCCTCTACCTCCCGATATTCAAACGGGCACGGCCTGCAGCTCCATATTGGCAAAAAGAGTCCCCTCTCTATGTGGTGGAGTCCAAGTATGATGTCACTCGACATACGTTCCACAGAATCGATGTATGGACGAGCAATGTGCCAGCGCAGGTGCGCGCCAAAAAAACACCCATGGATGTCTTTGTTGAGCCGGTGGAAATGCCTGTGAAAAGTCCATCGATCCTTTTGCATTGCAATGTACCAGGTGGCATGTTGATCGATGAGCAGAACTTTGCATACGACCCAGAAGAGTGGCCCGACCTGTTTGAAGGTGCTGTGTCTCTCGACCTACCATCGCGCTTACCTGCAGTGCCATTGCCTGCCCAAACAATGCCGCCCGCACCTGCTGCGTCGCAGACGGACAGGTTGCGTGCTTATGCGACGTTTCATACAGCCGCAATGGAAGTCGCGCGTCGTGTCTCGCCAGCTGCCTATGCAAAACTACAGAAGAACTTGATGACACGGCCACTGGCATCACATTCCGAGCTCGGAGCTATGGCATTGGAGGCCGGTGATGTCTCGCCCACTCTCCTGATTCATTTGCGCGATGCCGCCGTCGCTGCAGGTATGCTTACGAGTGTTCATGCTAATGGCGTCTCGTCATCGATGTCAATTCCAAAGGAATGCCTTCCTTCGTCTGCCGCTGTGTTTGCCACATACAAACAGGGCGCCGAGTTTAAGGCACTTGCGTCTGAGACGCGGCGGTTGTTTCGACAAGATCCTCAGGGCAATGTTTTATGGTATGCAGCACCACCGATCCCAGGCTGGAATAGCACACGACTGGTTCTCGATGGAACAACGCCTCTTCCTGTGCCATCCATGCCTTTTTTGGAGTACATCGTCCGCACGTCCCATAAGCGACCACGTACATGAGGTCGATCCGTGCCCTTTACATAATCTGTCTAGTACATATGCACATATGCTCTACCATTGACGCATTTTCCAGTGAGGGAGAAAAACAAATTTCAATAACGACGTGATCCCTCATTAGTTTTCTACAAAATTGGCCGGATTTCCGCAAATCATCCACCTCCACCATTTGCCAACCTGAGGAGGGGGTAGTGGCGCTTGCCTGCCCTACCGCTGCTCCAAATCTCACGTGGCCAGTGAACAGCATTGGACTCATACGTGGCTACTGATTGAGAAGGCATAGGCGAATTCTATCAGGCAGCCGGAGCCGATGTTAGTGTTGCCCGAACAGGATCGAAGAAGGGATGCTGCTGCGCCTCTTGAGCAGTCAGGCGCTCCTGGTGGTCATAGCGGAGCAGCTTATCGAGAAAATCGATAGCCTCATCTGAGACAAAGTGTTGATTTTCCGGCGTAACAAAGCGGGGCCATGGCTTACGTGGGTAGCGCCCAAGAATAACATCATAATGCGAGTCCAGCTCAATTTTGTATTTATCCAGGTACACGAAAAATTCGTCAGTACCAAGCACCTTGCATATTTTTACCAGCTGGTCATAATTATCGTGTCCATGAAAGAAAGGCTCCTTCCGGAAGATCATGGACGCAAACATGCAACCGAGACTCCACATGTCCAGCGAGTAGTCGTATTCCTGGAAGTCAACGAGCAGCTCTGGGCCCTTGAAGTACCGCGAGGCCACACGAACATTGTACTCTGTGTAAGGATGATAGAACTCAGCAAGACCCCAGTCAATCAGTCGTAGCTGACGTTTCTCGTGATCAATCATGACATTGTGCGGTTTCACATCACGGTGCATAATGCCACGGGAATGACAGAAATCGAGCGCTTTTAGCAACTCAAAGATGTAGTAGCGTACATCATAGTCAGAGAACGTAGGATACAGCACTTTAAAGTCTGTGTTGTTGATATACTCCGTGATAATCGACGGTGTCTTGGACTGTGGATCGCGCACCACGTCGATCAGCTGGACCACATTTGGTCCGCCCATTAGATTCTGCAAAATCTTAATTTCTCGCTTGATCTTCTTCTTCTTCACTGGCTTGAGCACTTTGATGATGCACTTGTCAAAGTCTGGCGATGCCACATTCACACCTTCAAACACCTCCGAATATTTTCCACGACCCACCTTTTGCAGGATTTCAAAGTTGTCTTGCGTCCCCCATTGCAGCGTGAGATTATCGTAATCCCACCACTCGCGACCACGGGCCTCGTTCGCATTTGCATACACTCGGGCCACGCTCAAGCCTGCCATACTAGCAAGCCGGATTCACTCAAGTCCACGTCCTTTCGAGCCAGGAAAAAGGTGGCAGCTTAGAAACAACTACTACACACGAGATACGTCCCCGTTGCGTTCTTGTTCTAAACGTTCCGCGCACACCGAACGTAATGCGGATCACGGGCGTTCTGAACCTTGGTTTCTACGTGCGCAACTGTCGCCGAAAATCCGTTTCTGGCTCGGTCGACTGGGGATGTGCTCAGTTCACGTGATCACACGCGTCCTCCTCGTTCCCCAATGGTACTACGTGATTGGCACCGCGTACACGCTACTCGAGTGAACCTGCGTGGATGCGCCCTAAGGTCCTGTGGAACTGGCCTCCGAAGCAGTCGATAAGCCAGCATCACTGCAAATACCTGCGGTGTTGGGCTTATTCGATGCACTGCGTGGAACAGGGGGCGTAGAATCGATCTTGCGCGATGCGTCCATGAATTGGCGGATGACGTCATCACTAACTTTGGCTTTGCGCTCTTGGAACTCGGCAACGACGCGCTGCAGTTCCTGAATGCAGCGCTTCTTCAACTCGCCTGTAAGGAGGCGACCGGCGCGGTAGTCTTTCGCAAGCGTTTCGATTTCCTCATCGTTGTCGACGAAGAATGTCAGGTATTGGAAACTCACATCAACGTCGGGATTGCCACCATACCGACGCTGCTCTTCTAAAGTCTCTTGACCACCAGAGACGGCATGCTTATTGATCTTATTTTTGATCTGGTTTGGAGTATCATGCATAAAGATACTTGACGATTCATTCGACGCACTCATCTTGGTCTGTGCACCCTGAAGTGCTGGGAAGAACTTGGAATGGATTAGGCTGGGTTTCGGGTACTTGAGACGCACAGCCACATCACGCGTCTGGCGGAAGTATGGATCCTGGTCAATCGCGCAAGGAATGAGACATGGCACATCCGAGCGAGTGCCATAGATTTGAGGGAACGAGTTGCTGAAAGAAGGCGCCGCCTGGATTGCGACAAAGTGCATCTTGCCCACGCTGTCGGTATCAGTGAAACCAAATGTGCCTTTTGACTGATTCGTTGTGATGTAGCGAGCAATGCGCACAATGTTGTGATAAAAGGCGCCGCCCACGTAGTCCAAGTCGGAGAAGACGAACGTCTTCTCTAGCTTGAAGCCACATGCAATGATGTCGCGTGCATTTTCAAACGCAAACTTTTGCACCTGCTCGATTTTCAGGTCATATTTAAACAGAAACTTTTCATCGTCCGTGAGCTGAATGACCAGTGGCACATCAAACACGTCTTGAAGCCATTTGGTGAACAAGAAAGGAATCAGATGTCCTAAGTGCATCGATGCAGAGCTGGGCCCACGTCCCGTGTAGAGATAGAAAGGCTTTTGCTGCTCATATCGCGTCAAAATCATGTCTAGCTCTCTTTATCCGACGCGTAAGTACTATTTACACGGAAAATCTTTTCTCGTACACACCTGTGGCTGAAGAAACTGCCTCGGCGAAGCAGGGGGTGTGGACGACACCCAGTCACTCTTTCGAACCGTTCCAGCAATGCACTGTCAATGCGCTTTGTCCCAAAGTCCTTGATGAGCTTGTCGTAGTCAATGGATATCTGTTTTCCATCCACGTAACCGCCTTCTACATCCCACGGTGTAACTTTTTGCTCAACAGAAGACGACAAAGACGTCTTCGTTGGTGCTGGGGTCGTTGGCGCATCTTTTGAAATCGATGCCTTTTCTATCTCGGGCGCTAACGATTCCATACTGTGACTTCGTGTTTCGGAAGTAGCGGTTGTTGTCAATGGAGCTGCCGATCCTGAATGCAATCCCTTAGCCAGGCTAGCGTGGAAATCCTGCAGAATGGCTTCCCAGCCAGCCTCTCCATTTTCTGACTCATCCAATCTCCACCCGCTATCATAATAAGCGGGGTCTTGTTCTCAGATGGGGTATCAAACTGCTTTCCCCTCCACTGCGGCTGCTTTGCCATTGTAGTGAGCATAGATTGTGTTTCATACTCTTCGTGACTCGGACCCGACGCCACGCCAATCATGGTACGCTGTAGATTTTGACTTACTGTAAAGTTGATGTTCTCAGCATTCAAGACATTGACCGGGCAAACCGTCACGGTTGAGCTGAAAAATGATTTGGCGATCCAGGGTACATTAAAGAGCGTCGACCAGTTTCTGAACTTTAAGCTGGATGATATCAAAGTGCTGGATGAGGCGCGTTACCCGCACATGGTATGTTGTTCTTAACTAAAACAATCAGTTGGCCGTCAAGTCGACATTTATTCGTGGCTCTGTCGTTCGCTCGGTGCACATTCCCGCAGCTGCTGTCGACACACAGCTTTTGGAGGATGCCACAAGACGAGGTATGTATTGACCTGTCGGATTAAACGCACTCACACATTCCCCAGAGTCTGAGGCACAGAAGAAGTAAAAAAAAAAAAAACGAAGAGGTCATCCTATTATGGGTATATAGGCAACTACATTCTCGTGTCATCGGTCTTTGCGCTATTTGAATGCGTGGAAGGGGTGCTAGTTTGGGATTATGCTTGATGGGATGCTTTGGTGCTCTCTGTCGACGTTTCCTTACTTGCAGAGTCATTTTCGTTGGATGAAGTAGTGTGATTGTCCTTCTCTTTCTCGTTCGGTCTAGTGGCGGCGGGCGCAGCAGAAGTATCTGACGCGCTAGCCCTGTGAGTCGGAGCAGCCTTCCCTCCTTCCGCTCCGAAGACAGATGCATTTGCTTTCTTAGCATCAATCATCTCTTCACTAGGTCTAGACGATGTTGGTGACGACTCAGCCGTATCTCCGCGCTTTGGAGTCTTGGAGAATGCACCATACCAGGCTCGTTGCCTTGATGACAGATATGAACCAAGCTGGCTTAAGGCTGCTGCTCCTTGCGCACCTGTTGCCTGCAGCGCAGAAAGCGTATCTGAGCCCTTAGATGCGGTTGCATCCGTGGCATTGGGGCTCGTGTTTCGGGTGTACGATGCTGTCATGCGACCCAAATCCTGACGCCAATTCATAGCAACGCGAGAAAGGCCCGCACTTCCCGCTTGCCAAGCAGCGCCGAGTCTTTCTCGTGTTGGGGCAAGATTTTCCTCAAGGTTCAGATCACTAATGCCAGCTTGAAGCCGAATGGTTACATCTGAAAGCGTGGTTGTTTTCCCCGTGCACGGATGCTGGTAAGAGATCAACTCACACAGCGACTCATCTGTGAACTGATGCCATGTCTGAAAAGCTCTTGTACGACGGAATGCATCAAGAAAATCACGTCCGAATGAAGAAATTGAGGGTAACTCATTCATGGTCGGATGCAGCTCACGATGCTTGGCTAATGACAACAGCCCAAACACATATTCTTCAAAGCGTGCACGCAAGTAGTCGTCACTTCCCTTGTACTGCATGAGTGTGGGTTGCGCTGGATCCGCACTGTTCCATGTCGTTTGGACCACGCCAATGACTTCATCCATCCATTTTCGGTCCGCCGGGGTGAGTGATACGAGACTTTGGAGGGCTGGATCGTGGAATGAAAGCTGCATCTTATCCAACTGTACTTGTGAGCAATGACAACAACGTACATCCACAATGACATCAGGTTGGGATGCTCGCTGGTGCTTGAAGACCTGATTCGTCGTTCCGATGAGCCATGAGTCGCATTTGAGTGTGTCGATCTGTTGCAGTGGACAGTACGGCTGAAAAAAGGCACCGCCGCTGAACAGAGGCAACGGAAGGCCCATGTATGTAAGTAGGCTCTGTCGATCTGACATGCGCAGCGAGTCCGCTTTTGATCGTCCAGAGGATAGTGTATCAAGCCCAGGCGAGGCAGCATCCTGCAAATGTGGCAACAAGGCCGGCACGAGTGATATGAGGCTGTATTGGAGTGTACAAAGGTGCTCGACCGGGTATCCATAGAACATGACCTAGTGTAAGATCAAGAGTACGTACACGACGTTGTAATAAAATCAACTTGAGCAGGATCAAGGTACGAAAGCGCCATTTGTAAATGCACTCACGGATAGAAGTGCCCATATACAGCGTGTTACTCCCATCGACCAAAGATGCATCACTTTTGACTTCTGGCGGCGCACATCGGAGGCCTGATTCAAGCGTGCCGTAGAATTCTTCGAGGAGTGACAAATTGTTCAAGTCACGCTGGGCAAAGAACGCTCGTGTTACCATGCCGAGTTTGGTGCGCAACGGCCCAAAGATGGGCTGCATGGCGAGAATCACAATCGCTTTCTGTACCATACTTCGTGTCACTTGCGACCCCTTGTTAATAAGCTCGTCCGCCTGGATTTGTCGATTGCATGAGATACCAAAGATCGTGCTTGGTCGTAGTGAGTGACAAAATAAGTGAAAATAGCAGTAGTCCTCGCCAGACTAGGTGTAAGTTGGGTATCACATACCATGTGACTTCCATCAGGAAGTGCCATAAATGGAAGTTGTGCACTCAAATCTTCATTCGACTCGAGTTCACGCGGATATGCAAATTCGACCTGCGGTCCGACCAAGTGGTTCTGGTTGTTAGTGAACATTGCCTCATCGACACACACACAGACGTACAAAGTCTACGACAACAACACCCAGCACTATGGGTTCATGTGTCTTCAGCTCCTTTTTCTCCATGGTTCTGTCGACCTCGATAGGCTTGTCGAAGTGGACAGGCTCTCAATTCTAAATTGCCAACGTGCGAGTCTTGTGCGACGCAGGGCCAGTGGATTTCACGTATTGAAAGATCGATGAATAAACAGCAGAACCGCGACTCGCTTTCAATTGCGGAGACAAGCGTGTCTTGTTGGAAATGCCTGCGCCGCACAGTGGGGAAGCGCAGATGGTATCGCTTCAGGATACATCTTCAACCTACTCACTTGATGATATTCATACGAAACAAACCAGAAAGTCCATGGATGAGGCCGAAGACGTGATGGTGAAACGCGCCCTCGGGCATGTAGCGTTTTCGCCACTGCCCTCATTGCAAGCCTCGAGCTTGACGGATCTACCTGATTTGAGTCACTGTGACGACAAGGAATCGATTGTTCGGTACGTTGAGCTAACCTAAGATGATCTCACACATCAGCATCCCTCGTATGTTTAGTGGCTCGGAAACGTGCGAATTTTCAACGCTGCTGCCGGGTGGCTGGGTGGATCTGGTACGTCTGAGTCCTCTGATGAATCTTAGATTGATGCTTTCACGTTCGCCACGTTTATCAACACGCTTAATGCAATGTTGGCAGATGCACTAAACCCTTATCATGGACTCTTTGACAACATTATGACAAACATCTCCTTTCAAATATGGCCTCTACTCTTTGGCACACACTATGGAAGGGTATGTCACCTGGATCTCTCCACTTGCTCACGTCCAGTGCATGAAGCAGTTCCGCACACAGCTTCGTGACTTTGAGCTACGCGTACTGAATCCAGTGGGGTTTGCACTAATTCCTCCCGAAAACACGGCTTATCAGTATTTAGAGTGTGTTCCATATCATTCATAGTGATGCAACATGTAAATAACTGGACGATTCGAACTAGGGTTTCGCCAAATGAATATAGTACTAACATAGGCCACAATCTCAATTATTCATATAAACATGTTACCTACTAGTCGTTCAACGAGGACCCATTGGTACAGTGGTTAGCACGTGGAGCTGTTACAACTGGTCGATTACGACTTGCATACTCTAAGGTCACTGGTTCGAATCCAGTATGGGTCGAGATCTTTTGCCATTCAAAGTTTTGAACCGCGAATATCGCGCACATGTCGTTACATCGCTGTTGTCCTATTATCTCAATTGCTTTGCGAAGCATCTGTCGCACCAAAACACGTACAAGGACTAATTTTTTGCTAATGCATCGTTCCGATAAATCAAGTTACATGGTAGAAACACACTACGGCAGTTTCTGTGCGAAATAGAGAGGAATACACAGATCCCTTTTGGGGTTACGCTGTTACTTGTGCTGCGACTTTGTCAGCTATCTGTTCCAATGCGCAGAGTGTGAGGACCTCCCACCGGCGATAAACGACGCAGCGCATAGCAGGAGGTATTTTTTTTGATACGTACTCGCTGGTATTGGGCCACGAGCATCGCATGGTCACGTTCGTATGGCTCAAGCGTCAATTGTTCCCGTGGTCGGAATGACTGCACAGGTCAGCATGGATCACATGCACCAAATCGGGCACATAAATACGTACACTCTTCTTCAGCTTATTGACTTCTTCAGCGAACACAGCCTCGGGCTGAGCCGTCGAATCAATACAACTGGCCTTGATCGAAATGACCACATGACCGCCATTCTTGAGGAAATACTCGGCATTGAACGCAACAATACGTGCCTGATCAGGCTGAGCAACATCGGCAAAGATCACATCGACCGAGCCGACCAGCATTCGGTATTTTGCGGGATGACGAGCATCTTCAATGATTGGAATAACGTTAGTGCGTTTCTTAGCCATATTGATCAAGTCACGTCCTGAGCGGTGCGAGAACTCCACCGCATATACAATGCCATCGGGACCCACAACATCGGCCACATGACTGACACTAGTACCGCTGGCGGCACCCAAGTACAGCACTTTTGCACCTGGCTTGATGTGAATGTTGTCAAGACCGCCAAGGACACCTGCAGCCAACTTGGAACGGAAGGGATTCCAAACGCGGTACTCTGTTTTGTTCATCGTAGCACTGCCGTCATCATTCGTGCCGGGTGTTTCAACAGAAATGCGCTTCTCACCGTACACGGATTCTCCAGGGACAAGGTTCTTTGTTACAAGCAAATGTTCCTTGCCTTCGGCCACAAATACACCTTCGTGACGGTGCGGTTTCACAATGACATTTGAGCCACCTTTGGCACCGCCACGGCCACCTTTGGCGCCGCCGCGACCACCGCGACCACCACCGCGACCGCCGCCACGACCGCCGCGACCGCCGCCACGGGCACCACCACGACCGCCACGACCGCCGCCACGCATTCCACCACGACCTGGTGGCCCACCGCGACCACGACCGGGTGGACCACCGCGACCTCCACGAGCTCCAAATGCCATAACGTCGATTCTAAGGGCTTAAGCTCGACGAGAGACGTTCACGATCTCCTAAACTGGGTGCTAGTGAAAAACTAAAAAAAAATTTCCCTGGCGACGACGGGGAGAGGGGCTGCAGCTATTGCTGACACAAGCAAGCAGCTAGTAGGGGTAGGGGGCTGGGTTTTGTCCTTTTGGTCAAATTTTTTTTTTTTCCACAAATTTGGCAAGGGCAGAGGCCTCATCTCTTGATGGGTGAGCATTGGATCGGCGGACGAAAAGGCAGGCGTGGAGCTCGTACATGAAGCGGTATTCACGTGATAACTCGTGAGGGCGCGTCGCATGTTGAATGCATCATAGTCCACAAGGGTGCAGCACGTCTCTCGGAGCTGTTTCGGCAGGGAGCAATGCCTCGGGAGCTCATAACTTTGCAAACTGGTCAATGCGGAAACCAGATTGGCTCACAATTTTGGGAACATTTATGCCGTGAGCATGGGATATCAAAAGACGGGACACTAGAGGAGTTTGCGACAGAGGGCCAAGGCGGTGATCGCAAGGATGTATTTTTCTACCAAGCTGATGATGAGCACTATATACCACGCGCCATTCTTGTCGACTTAGAGCCGAGGGTAAGTATCTTTATATGTGCGCGCGATTTTGTGCGTGTATGTTGGCGTGCAAGGGTTACTCATGGGTGACAGGTTATTAACAATATCATGACAGGACCATATAAGAGCTTGTACAATCCCGAGAATCTGTACCGCAATGTGAGTGGCGGGGGCGCAGGGAACAACTGGGCGCAAGGATATGCGGCAGGCGAGAAGGCTGCTGATGAACTTATTGAGATGGTTGACCGCGAGGCTGATGGAAGCGAAAGTTTGGAGGTGCGTAGAAGCATATGCATTGCGGCTACGATACTTACATGGCCAGGGCTTTTTTCTTCTACATTCGATTGCAGGTGGCACAGGGTCGGGGCTAGGCTCTTTTTTGCTTGAGCGGCTGAATGATGCGTTTCCCAAAAAGCTTATCCAGACATACAGTGTATTTCCGAATTCGGAAGAAACGTCCGATGTGGTTGTACAGCCTTACAACTCCGTCTTGACTCTGAAGCGACTGGTAAACAATGCGGACAGTGTAGTAGTGCTGGACAATGCTGCATTGAGCCGTATTGCAAGTGATCGACTGCATTTGCAGAACCCAAGCTACCATCAAACAAACCAACTAGTCAGCACGGTCATGAGCACGTCGACTACGACGCTTAGGTACCCGGGATACATGAACAATGACCTTTGTGGCATTCTAGCATCGCTCATCCCATCTCCGCGAGCGCACTTCCTCATGACATCTTATACGCCCTTCACTTCCGACAATGTCGACCGGGGCAAGGCGACGATGAAGACAACTGTGCTTGATGTAATGCGACGATTGCTTCAGCCTAAGAACCGCATGGTAAGCATGACGGGTGCAAGCAAAACAAGCTGCTATATGTCTGTACTGAACATCATCCAAGGCGATGTGGACCCACGTGATGTCCAAAAAAGCCTGTTGCGCATCCGGGAACGACACTTGGCGAGCTTTGTGCCATGGGGACCTGCAAGTATCCAAGTTGCACTATCGCGACGCAGTCCTTATGTGGCGAGTTCTCACCGCGTAAGTGGTCTCATGCTTGCGAATCACACGGGTATTGCTAGTATGTTCAAGCGCACGGCGGATCAATACGATCGGCTGCGCAAACGCAATGCTTTCCTCGACATGTACAAGCGAGAGGCGATGTTTTCTAGCGACTTGTCAGAGTTTGATGAGGCGCGAGAAACGGTCACGGAACTTATGGCGGAGTATCGCGCGGCTGAGAAGGACGATTATATTACTGGCGGGGGCGTTGTGGGTACCTAGGATTGACCACCATTATTGTTGACACTTCTCAAAGTCAATGCTTCTGTGTAGTTAGTAAGTCGGTGTGCATGGTAGATGGTTTGTAGGCGGGGATGTGGAGCTAGTGTGCACACTCGAAACATATGATTGGTTGGTTTTATGTGTGGGCTGTTCAGCTTGCGGCTTGACATCGGTGTCCACCTGCAGTCAGAGGCGAGTGAGAGAGAGAGAGCTAGAATTTGGGGAGCGCCCTAGTTGGAAGAGTGGGGCTCTTAGTGCAACGACGCGAGAGAGAGAGAGAGAGAAGAATACAAGTCTGTGGGTTTGTGTGTGTGTGTGGCTAGAGAAAGAAAGTGAGAGAGAGATTGCGATTGTGTTGCTGTAAGATGGGGCATCGTTTGCGATCAAAGCATGGCACGAGACCCTCCAACACATGCACAGCTTCAAGAATTGGGAATTTCTTTGGCCACCGATGAGCACAACCCTGCTGGTCAGGAGCGTCCGCTATCCAGAATGTCATACCCCGAAAGTGTAGATATGACACAGAACCTGGACTGGATGAGCAGCCATGAATCCATCCAGTCGCCCGTCCGGGTCATGCTAGAGGATGTATCACAGCGGCTCGATCACGACGATATGGCAGGTGATAGAACGGCGCATGCATGGGAAAGTACAAGCACATTACCGTTAGATGATGATGATGATGCCGATGAGAAGGCGTCGTTGGACATGGGTCTCGGTGACGTATTTGATACCTACCATCTGTCACGAGATAGCATCCATGGTGATACCTCAAGAAGCGCCGATACGTCTGCAGGTTGGCGCGCATATTTGCCGGTGGAAGAACCAGGAACCTTGTCGCTGGACGAGGATGCGCCGCCCGCTGACGAGGAAAATGGGCCTACCGAGAAGTCATCCGCGTCGCCGTTCCAACGTTCTTTCGCCACTTCGAGATTCATCCACGGTCACCTTGGAGCGAGCTCGACGGCGGCGGGAGCAGCGACGTGAGCGCGCTCCTAGCAAGGATAGCTATCCGATGCGGAATGCGGGAGAACAGTCATCCGAAGACAGCGAGTCAAGGAAACCCCCACCGCTCCCGATCTACGCACGTCTCCGGGGAAAATCTCTCATGTTGTTTGGGCCACGACATCCGTGGCGGGTGTTTCTCGCCAAGGTGCTATCATCTTGGTGGGTTGAGCCGCTTATTTTGGTGTTTATTTTCATCAATCTGGTGGTGCTTATTGTGTCGTCGAGCCGCGATGTAAAGCTGGCACCACGCACCGAGAATAGCTTTGTTAAGAGTGAAGAGATTCTCTTGCTGCTCGTGTTTGTTGCGTACACGATTGAAATGGCGGCCCGGATCATTGTGTCGGGGCTTATCATCGACCCACCGCCGCTGGACGAGGCGGCGGCTCAGGAGGCCTATCCCACCGCCGACCAAGAATATTCGAATACGTACGATACCCTATACCATTTGTATACATCGACGCTGGAGGCCGTGTATCGCTTCCTGCATCCGTACAGCAAGGTGCAACAGGAGCGTGCGGAAGCCAAGCTTGCGTCTCTGCATCCAACCGATGGCATGGCGCCCCTCGATGACCTGTTTATATCAAAGAGCGAGGACAAGCATGAGCTGCATGAAGAGCATGCGCATTGGTGGGATGCGCTATATTACAACGTCGTGTCGATCTGCTTGCATCTCTCACGCACGATCACAAACGACCCGAAACAGCTGTGTGAACACGCGTACTTACGGCAAAGCTGGAATCGCGTGGATGCCCTGGCGATTGTATGCTACTGGGTGGCGGTCGTGCTGGAACTGACCGGTGTCGAGCTCACGAGCAGTCACCACATTTTTGTGTTTCGCGCACTAAGTGTGCTGCGCTGCGCGCGCCTGCTGGGCTTGTGGGAGGGCACAGAGACGATTCTGCGCTCGCTCAAGCGGGTAGCGCCGCTCCTGTTCCGCGTGCTGTCGTTTCTCGTGTTTGCGATGGTGCTGTTTGCGGTGATTGGCGTGCAGAGTTTTGAGGGCTCGTACCGTCGGCGGTGTGTGTGGATTGGCGACTACAACCGGAGTCCGGGGCAGAACTACACGCTGGAGCAGATATGCGGCGGCAGTGTCGATATCCGGAATCGGTCCAATACGATCGGCCATGTCCAGTATAATGGGGACCTGGACTCGGCCCGGTCGCCGAAAGGCTTCATCTGTCCATACGGGCAACTGTGCGTGGAGCAGGAAAGCAACCCGTACAACAATGTTCAGAGCTTTGACGATGTGTTTCACTCGCTGCTGGAGGTCGTTGTGATTGTGTCACTGAACGGCTGGTCCGACGTGATGTATGATATGGTGGATGCTGACTACTACACGGCGATCATATTCTTTATCATCGGGATCATTTTGCTGAACTTTTGGCTCGCCAACTTGTTTGTCGCCGTCATTTCGCATTCATTTGCATCGCTCAGCGCGCAGACGGAGCGCAGTGCCTTTGCTGCGCAGGGCTTCCGGAAGAATCAGGCCGATGCTCCCGAGCCGCAGGGTCCTCGACGTCGTCGGCACCGGTTCGTCGTGTGGTACAAGCGCGTGCGCCGATATACCCAGTACTTTTGGCTCTCGCTCATCATCGTCAGTGTTGCGGTCCAAGGCAGCAAGGCATCGTACGAGTTTCCAGAGCAGAAAAAATGGCGCGAAGATGTCGAGCGGTACCTGGTGATCCCGTTCGACCTCGAGATCATCGTGCGCTTTGTCGTCGACTGCATCATCGGTGGGCCGAGTCTGTTTTTCCAGCAAAAGCGCAACGTGCTCGATCTGTTTCTCGCCCTCATCACGACGATCATACAGATCCCCGCCATCAGCTACTCGTCATGGTATCCGTGGCTGACGTTCTTCCAGCTGCTGCGTTTCTACCGCGTCATTGCTGCGATCCCGCGCATGAAGGGACTGCTGATGCGGGTGGTCGGCTCCATGTCGGCGCTGTTCAATATGATTGCGTTCCTGATCATGACCATATTTCTGGCTGCACTTGTGAGTATCCAGCTGTTCCGCGGCGACATTGAGCTCGACGCCGAAGATGGCGTGACCGAAAACTTCACGTGGAAGCAGCTGTTCAACGGCTTCCTGGGCGTGTATCAGATCTTCTCGTCCGAGGACTGGAAGGAGTCTATGCTCAATGTCGTCAGCGATACGAAAAAGTGGAAGCAGGGCGTCATCGCGGCGATCTTTATTGTGGGATGGTTCTTTTTTGCGAACCTGATCTTGCTCCAGTTGTTCATTGCCGTCATCAACGAAAATTTCCGCGTCGCCGAGGGCGATAAGTACAAGCAGCAGATGGAGAACTATCTGCGGCGCTCTGAGCCTGCGCAGGCTTCGCTGCTTGCGCGGATCATGCAGCGGCTCAGTCCGTTTCGTGCGCCGCCCGAGCCAAACAGCATGCCCCACCGCCTCGAGGGCCCTGCGCTGGGCGACGCCCGGCAGCATGCCGACACGAGCCAGGCGCGTCACGTAGACGACCGGCCGCTGCGCAGCATGTTCATGCAACTCGTGACGCCCGATCATGCTGGTCTTGCCTTCGGCACGCTCCAGCGTGTGCTGCGCCTGGACAAGCCACACGAACATGCGCGCTTGCAGGCGCTGCGGTCGCAGGCCGAAGGGGGGCAGGCGTCCCAGACGATGGACGAGCTTGAGGACATGATCAATGAGCGCCAGGACGTGCGCATGCTCGGACCGGAGCATGTGCGCACGATGCGCACGGACCTGGGTCTCGTGAACCAGGAGGAGGGCCAGGAGTTTTTGAACAACTACGTGCGGCGCAACGAAAACGACCCACGCATCCGTATCGCGCGCCTCATGGCCGAGCACCCATCGTACGACCGCTCCTGGTTCGTCTTCTCGAACCGGAACCCTGTGCGCCGCTTCTGCCAGAGCCTGACGCCCACATCCCACGGTGAGCGTGTGTTTGGACGGCCCGTGTCCAAGTTCCGCAACCACATCTTCCAGGCCATTGTGTTCGGTGCGATTGCCGGCTCCGTGATCCTGGCGGGCATCGTGACGCCCGCGTACCGGAAAAAGTACCTGGCTGAGCATCGCGCTGTGTTCTACGCTTGGTATGCCGTCATTGAAGTGAGCCTGTCGCTGATTTTTGTCCTGGAGTTCTTCGTCAAAACCATCGCGGACGGCTTCATGTTCACGCCCAATGCGTACCTACAGAACGTGTGGAACCTGCTCGACATGTTCGTGCTGATATCTCTGCTGATCAACGTCATTAGTGAGTTGATTGTCCCCGGCGGTGTCTCGCACTTCACACGTGCACTCAAGGCGTTCCGCGCGTTGCGTCTCATCAACCTGAGCTCGCTCATGCGCGACACGTTCCATGCCGTCATGATTGCGGGCGCCGGCTACATCCTCGATGCATCGATTCTCGCTCTTCTTTACATTATTCCATACGCCGTGTGGGGCCAGAACCTGTTTGCCGGGCTCCTGTACTCGTGCACGGACTCGAGCGACAACATCGTCAGCAAGCTCGACTGCCACGGCGAGTACATGTCGCAGCCCCTCGCGTGGTCGTATCTAGCGCCGCGTGCATGGTCGAATCCTTCTGAAGGCAGCATGTACTCGTTCGACGACTTCAAGAGTGCACTGCTGATCCTGTTCGAGGTCGTGTCGCTCGAGGGCTGGGTCGATGTGATGCGCCAGGCCATGAGCATCATTGGCCGCGATCTCCAACCCCGGCCTGATGCATCGCAGTACAATGCCATCTTTTTCCTCGTGTACAACCTGGTCGGCGCCGTAAGTGTGCTTGCGCTGTTTGTCTCGGTGATCATCGAAAACTTCCAGCGCTACTCGGGCGCCGCCTACCTCACGACCGAGCAGCGCCAGTGGCTCGATATGAAGCGGCAGCTCCAGCGCCAGGCCGCCTCCCGGCGCCCGGCGAACCCGCCTTCGAATGCATTCGTCCGCTGGTGCTACCAGGCATCTACACACAAACGCGGCTGGTGGTCGCGTGCCATGTCCGTGCTGTACCTCGTCGTGTTGGTCCTCCTTATGTCGCAATCATTCTCAGACACGTGGCCCACAGAGCAGGCACGCTCCATCGTGTACAGCGTGCTTGGCTTTGTGTTCGCGTGCGACTTGTTGATTCGGCTCATTGGCCTCGGTGTCTCGAGCTTCCGTCGCAGCTACTGGAACTGGTACGATATCATCGTCATCGGCGGTGTCCTCGGCACGAGCATATCGCATGCGCTGCGTCCTCGGCATCGCAGGTGCATTCTCAGCTGCAGAAGATCTTTGTCACTGGCATCACGCTCAAGCTCATCCAGCGCAGCGACTCACTCGACCTCCTTTTCAAGACGGCCGTCGGCTCCGTGCCTGCGATTATCGCGCTCTTTCTTCTGTGGCTCACCATGTTCCTCGTGTGGGGCATCATGCTTGTCGAGGTGTTTGGACTGACCAGATGGGGCCCGAACGAGTCGCATGCCAAGAACTTCAGCTCCCTTTGGCAGACACTCATCTTTCTTTCCATGACTTCTACCGGCGAGGGCTGGAACCAGTACATGCATGACTATGCTGTCCAGCCGCCACTCTGCACGCCATCCAAGAACTACCTTTACTCGGACTGTGGCAGCACAGCATGGGCCTATTTTCTCTTCATATCGTGGAACATCATCTCCATGTTCATTTTCCTCAACATGTTTACCGGTACCGTCGTAGAGAACTTTTCCTACGTGTACCATCTGCAGGGCAGCAGTGCGCTCTCGCGTGAGCAAATGCGAATCTACAAGGATGTATGGAACCAGTTTGACCCCCAAGGCCTAGGCTACATTTCTCAGCAGCAGATCATCCCGTTCCTTGCTCGTCTCACCGGCATGTTCGAGGTCAGTCTGTACCCGCCCGAGCTGCGCATCCACGCCTTGCTGGACCGGTCGCGCGTCAATTCGCCCAGATACGGCCACTCGCTCTCATCGCCGTCCTCCTCCTCCAAGATCTGGGGCCGTCGCTCACCTCGATCGCCACGCTCACCGCGCTCACCTCGATCGCTGCGTTCTCGATCACCTCTGTCGACGCGCTCCCAGCCTTCGCAATCTTGGCACTCTCCGCACCGTGCGCCGCCGTCGCCGCGCTCTCCTGGCTCCCTCCCTTCCCATTTGTCTGACAGGCTGAACGCGCTGCAGAGAAATGCCTCGTCCACCTCCCTCAGCGATCACTCGCCGTTCGATGACGACCTGGTGCCGTCTGTTGCGCCACGCATCGAGAGTGGAATCGACTTGAACGAGCTTAGCGATGCATTGAATTCCGTCAACATCCAGGACCTGCGTATGCGCCGCCAGCGCCTGAATCGCATGTACTACGAAGCCAAGATGTCCGACAAGGGCAAAGGTGTCTCGTTTTCATCGATGCTCTTCATCCTTGCATACCATAAGATGTGCGGCGCGCCCGTCAACATGGAGGTGTCCGAGTTCATTGAGCGGCGCGAAATGATGAGCAAAATCGACGCTAGAATCAATCTCGAGCGTGTTCGTGGTCTCCTGCGTGGCGTTTACCTGCGGCGCCGTTTCCTTGCCGAGCGTGCGGAACGTGAGCGTCAGAGTGTGATGCATCTCGTCTCAAGCAACAAGGAGGGCGGCTTCCCATCCATCACCGTCGAGCGCCCCATGTCGGAGGCGCAGCACGAGTCCTCCGATGCTGGTATGGCCCTGCACCTGCACAACGACCAGGATCCTTTCGGTACACACGCTGGCGCTCTGTCCATCCTGATCCCTCAGTCCATGTCTGGGTATACGAGCAGCGACGATGTCGAGTCTGCGAATGCCAGTGATGTCCAACTCTCGCCCGGATCAGGATCTGGTCCTCGGCGTCGTCTATCGTTCCAGAACCAGGACGAAAACCCTTTTGTCGAGCAACATTCTCGTGGAACCCATGCTTCCTCTCGTCTCCAACCCCCTTTTGAAATGGACACATGGACTCAAGTTTTGCACCGTCTCTCGAGTGACACTCTCGACTCGGACGGTCGCAGCTCGTAATGACTTCATTCTTGACATGCATTCACTCTCCCCTTCCCCCCGCAACCTTACCTTACTTTCGCTTTCATACATAGCAATGTTATGCACGTGATTTCTCCTTTTGCAGCGGTCGGTAGCAGTGTAGCATTCTCGGCGGCCGCGGCGGCGGAAATCGCTGCTGCTTGCTTGTGGCGCATCTGCACACCCACGCTCGCTCCACGCACGCGTGCGTGGAGCATGTGCTAAACCTGTGTTAATCACATCGTGACACATTTCTTGAGACCTTTCTCTACGCCGCACCCGAAAGTCCGTCGTCATCGTGCTCGGCTCTTTCCACTCATCCTGTGTGAGTGAGTGAGTGTGTAAGCGTTGGTATTTGAGGCCGTGGCCATGTCTCTTCGACCTGACCTCATCATGGGCTCGACCAATGCACAGGCTAGTGTGGCTCAAGACGGCCCCGACTCGTTCATGGGTTCGATCTTGCATGGGAACCCCATCTTTTCTGCTGGTTTCGGACTCATGCTGATGGGCGGCGCCTTGGCATATGGTCGTTCGGCTTTGCGCTGGGGTGCTAGCGCCGCACAGCGTCGTATGCTAGTATCTCTAGAAATCCCCTCCAAAGATCGCGCACATCCGTGGTTCTTGCATTGGATGGGCGCCCAAGCGGCAGCACAAACTCTTCGTCGCAAAGCAAACCATGGACACTTGCCGCGTGAGACCATGCTGGAATTTCTCGGTCTTGTCCGGCCTCAGATTCGCGATGATCCAGGCGTCGACAACCCACTGCGAGCGGCATCTGGTCAGATCATGCCACCAGTGCGCATTGTTTCTCGAGAACTGGCCGTAGAAACACAGTATGAGGAGCCCGTTGCCGTGCCTGGTGCTAGCCGCCATCAAGATCGAGGCCACGCTACATTTTCACTTGTTCCAGGCCCAGGAACGCATTGGTTCCGTTACCGAGGCGTTTGGATGCGTTTACAGCGCGAGCGCAATGGCAAGCTCGTCGATCTTTCCACTGGCGCACCCTGGGAAACCGTTACTCTTACCACTCTATCGTCATACGAGCATCTTTTCTCGCAGTTGCTATCAGAAGCGCGTCAGCTCGCTTTGTCCTCAACACAGGGCAAGACCATCATCTTTACAAGCTGGGGTGCTGACTGGCGTCCATTTGGACATCCACGCCGCGTTCGCGAACTCGATAGCGTCGTGCTTCCCCACGGAAAAAGAGACGAAATCGTCCATGACGTGCATCGATTCCTCTCGCGCAGCGCTTGGTATGCGAAGCGCGGCATTCCGTATCGCCGCGGATACCTCTTGCATGGGGCGCCTGGCTCCGGCAAGACGTCATTCATAACTGCTCTTGCTGGGCATTTGGATTTCCATATCTGCTTGTTGAATCTTGCTGAACGCGGCATGACCGATGACAAGCTCACTCATTTGATGTCAAATGCACCTGAACGCAGTATTTTACTGCTGGAGGACATTGACGCAGCATTTCTTGGACGCACGGCGACCTCGCAGGAGCGGCAGCCGGATGGATACCAGCCGAACGTGACATTTTCCGGCCTGCTAAATGCGCTCGACGGCGTTGCCTCTGGCGAGTCACGCATTATTTTCATGACGACGAATCACTTGGAGCGCTTGGATCCTGCGCTGATCCGACCCGGGCGTGTTGATATGATTTGTGAACTGGGCGATGCAGACAATATACAAGTTCGCGAGCTACTTATGCGCTTTTATCAAACAGATCTCATCGATATGCGCGTCGAGGCAGCGAGACGTGCGAATGGAGTGGATCCGGAGGAATGTGCACGGGCGCCGCAGGCACCAGATGCAGACGCTCCGTATTACCGGCGTGCCGTGCGTGAAACGACGCAGGAACTATCCGACTTGGGTCATAGGCTCGTGGGGTATGTGCACACTGTGACGCAGCGCCGGCGTGAAGCCCTCGGCTTGGATCATGCTGGGTATGAGCCAGGGACCGATCGTGCAGTAGATCGGCGTGCAGCACGTGGCGGCGTCAGTATGGCAGAATTGCAAGGTCTATTCATCAGATTCCCGGATGATCCCCGTGCTGCTGTGGATGCATGGGCCGCAGAACATGGGATTGTTTAGAGTGTGGTCGTAATACGATCGCCCAAAAAGATCGCCACATTGTAGGTAAGAAGCAGTATGAGCTGCCCACATATATCGACGAGTGCTGTCGTGAATGGCATACACGTTGTGTCAGGATCATAGTCCCAGTACCATAGGAAGAGACACAATGTGTGTGCAAATACCAAGGCGAAGCCGGCCAGTAGCGAAATCGAGAACACAAGGCAGACGAAGAAGGCCAAACCGAATTGCATCACACCCGTCATGAAAAGCACGGTAAAGAACACAACTTGGATCATCACCACATTGAACACAAGCGTCAGGGGCACGATCCAATCGTCTCCTTGCGGTGATAGCGACTCGATGAGCTGCTCGGCCAGCTGCGTCCACCACGACACCATCCACGGCGATAATGAAGAAGCAGCCAGTTGCGTAGGCGGATCGCATTCATTGGATGCAGCAGCCGTTCCTTCTTGTCGCTCATCTTGCTCGACCAAGGGAACATACGGGGCATGAACAGGTCGAGTGCGTGCTTTGAACGTGTTTGCGTGCAGCGCAGAAGACAGACGCGAGGTATGAACAGCGGCAGCAATACTCGGCATACCTGCAACAACAGGAGCTAGAAGTGGGTATCCCTCGTAGTGGGACGCATTCTTCTCCAGCACAAGGCCGGCCATAGAACTTATTGCTGCGGCAGCAAACAATGGGCCCCATCCATAAGCGAGCAGTTCACGCACGTATACGTTGCGCAATGTAAAAAACATGCATATGACGCACAATATAATCAGACCAAGAAACACGATTGTAGCGATGCCCGTGCCCTCAAAGTACAAAAGTGCCGCACTTAACAGCCCTAGTAACGTCAGCGTGGTCAGGTCGCCGAGAGAGCCTGCAATAGGAATCACCATGTTGTCAGGATCAAATCCTAGCTGGCGCGCCCAAACCACCAAAGCGCAAATGAAGGAGCCCTGGACAGCTGATGAAAGCGACGCCGCAAGCTGTGAAACGGCGAGAACCAGCGCAAACTCAAAGTAGCCATCACGAAGCTGAAGCGCTTTGTCAATGGGCGGTTTTGTCGAGTGGACAGGACCTCGACGCATTCTAAAAGAGAGCTGTGATGGGAAAGATTCCGGAAGCGGTGTGTCTCGCTCATGGTTGCCTAGGATAAAAGACATGATGCCAGCGGCGCTTGCGACGATGAGCGCCTGTACCTGCAAAAGGGTCATGTTACCTTTGACTATGAGTTGCCGCGTCCTGCGATGGTCAATCTCTCCAATATTCGCTTCTGTTGCCATGCGCATTGAGAGATTCATCTCGAGATTGCCTTTCAGATTCAGCATGATGGGGACCAGGATCAAAAATTTGTCGACTTTGACAAAGGCTCTCCATGAGGTCATGGTGTCGAGCTCCAGTCCAGAGAACAAGAGTCCCGCAAGTGCACACAGCATCACAGGAAGCGTCTCGCGTGAGAGATGCCATGCACCTCCCCACCGCGACATGAGAGGATGTCGTTAGCGCTTAGTGTGAGTCAATGCCGGTACCTGGCGTCCAAAAGCAAGACGTGACAAGTGGCATGTATATCAAGCCCCTTGGCTCCACACGCGTTTTAATGGGTAAAAAAAATGTGTTGCTTTTAGAGTACTGAATCCAGAGCAACAACGAATACAGTATAAGGATCATCACCACTGAAACTGCTTTCGTGAACACGCATGTAGCGCACGCCTCTGTGCACCTTAGAAGCAAACAACCACTTGTTTCAGATTCAGCTTATTATTCATCCTGCATGGGTGCAATTTCTAGTTGAGTGCTGCCTCTCGAGAGTGTAATTTTTGTGAATGCCCTGGACCGACTTGAAGCCGAGCATTGTGTCTTCATTACATTTACGCTTTTTGGTTTCAAGTTTTATTCTTTTGTAGGAATCGTACAAATGTGAATGTCTACAAACTATAGTTGATGCAAGCGTTGAAATTCGACGATTCTCTCGACGTACAAAGGGAGAGAGGGATATGCATCCCAGAGTACGTTGAAAGATTGACTTCCACGATCCTAGATGCATAATGGAATGGCATGCAAACTGTTCTTGTGGAATAACGAGGACGCTCATACCGACAGGTAACTCCGCGCCCCACACAATATGCCTGAAGTATACGCTCAAATACATCGTCATGTGCGAGTTCGCAGCTCCGTCAGATGCTTACATGGATCCTTGACGGCAGAACCCTTGCATCAGGATTTGCTCGAGATTCGAACAATGTCTATTACAATATCATTGATGCTCAGAAAGTGACAACGGCGGAGCCAACACATCGTAGTATTTGAGTCTGATGAGGTTTTCGTGTACGAGAATCAGACAAAAGCTTCAACGCGGGCTCGTCAGGCGCCATCCAAGGCGCAGGTGCGTTTGTGTTATAGTCGCCAAGATATAGACTGTAGACCTCGCTACACGATCGTGGCGGTACAGTTATACAATTCCAGTGTCTTACCAATGAAGTGTCAAACTTGACATATTTCAGCAAGCGTTGCTACAGCGCATCTATCAAAACGCATCACTCTAAGCTATAGCAGCACCTGAGCATTGTCCAACCTGTCCAAACATTACGTGTCATGGCGCAAAATTTTCCGAAAAAATACGGCGCACATTGCAAACTCAAGGGCAAGTCTGAAATTCCTCTCGTCATCGAGCATGGCAACGTCGAAATGGTCATGAAGAATCGTTCATGCACTCTAAGGAAGGCAGATATTGTGTGCTCGTCGATCCCCTATGGTCTTGTCAGTGTGTGGTGATGGAACCATCTCCCACTCCCCTTCACCCCACATGGGAACGACACGAAATCCGAGTAGTTGTGCATGTGTCTATGTGGAAACAATGATGCTCGACGCCACATACACGACCTTTGCAACACTGTACGAGTGGCATATGGTTCCAAACATAGGCAAGATCAAGAGGTCGGGGCCAAGAGTCAAAGGGGCCATCTCATTCTTACATGCGAAAGATGCTACGCAGAAGACATACAAAGCTAGTTTACTCAACGGGCTCCTGGTGGGCGATACGCACCAGTGCGTGGCTTGACAGTGGTAAATCCGTCATCGTCGGGCTTTTGCTGCTGTTGTGTCGGGGCTGATGGCGGCGGAGCAGCTCCTCCTCCAGGCGCTGGGCCACTGCCAACGCCACTTTGGCGCATTCGAGAGAAAGCGCCAGGGATGTACCGACCAGATCCGCGACCACCAGGGCCAGCGGCACTTGCACCTGAGCGTGAAAATGGCGACGAGGCACCTGGAGCCGCTGGCGATGGTTCTGTTGGCGGCTGCTGGCCCATCGACATGGGCGTGCGACCCGAAGCTGCAGCCTGGCGGGAGAGGTCACCTGGCCGATAGCGCCGGTTTGCAAACATGGGATCCGCGGCGCCAGCAGACGACGCAGACGGAGGACCACGGCGCCACGTACTGGCGCTCTCGGCACGCGATGCCGCCATGGGAGGCGGCGGCGCAGCACCAGTACGAATGCCACTGCTGCCGCTTTCCATGTACGTTGGCACGCGGTCGTGGATTCGTTCCTGTGCACGCGCTTCCTGGGCGGCTTGCATTTCTGACTGACGTCGGAGCTGTGCCTGCCGCTCCTCGATTTCCGCACGCTTCTGTGCGTCCAGCTGCGCTTCACGCTCAGCATCTGCGCGCTGGCGCTCCAGACGCGCCTTGTCTTCCTCCTCACGTTTGCGTGCAAGTTCCTCTTCTTCCTTTGCTCGGCGCACGGCTTCTTCGCGTTCGCGCACAATCCTCGCGCGTCGCTGTTCCTTCTCCTGCTCGATCAGTTTATCAGCCTCAGCACGACGCTCTTTGAACGCCGCGCGACGCTTGTCTAACACCTTTGCGCGAAGCATATCGTAGTCTGGCATCACAGAGGCAAGCGTCGCCTTCATAGCCAAGTCCGTCTGATGACGCTCGCGGGCAGCAGCGACGCGTGCCTCATGCGCAAGCTTGTGGTTGTCGCGATCCATCGCCATCTGTCGCTCATAGTCCGCAGCAAGCAGTGGGCGCTCTTCTCGGCGGTACGCACGCTCAATATGGTCCATGCGGCGCTGCACAGTTCGAAGACGGTCATTGAGTTCCTTCTTCTCTTTCTCAATCTGCTCAACTTGCAGCTGCACAAGCTTCTCCGTATCGAGCGAAGCAAACTCCTCTTCTGATAGCTTGAGCCCACCGCGCTCCTTGAGCGACTGCGCCAGCTTGCGAGCCTCCTCGAGCTTCGCCGCTTCCATCTCCTTTCGCACATGCTCGAGCTCACGACGACGGGCCTCTTCTGCAAAGCGCCGCTGCTCAGCCTCTGCTTGCATACGCACACGCTCAGCACGCATGTGCGCTTCCTCTTCCTCTTTGCGCCGGGTCATGTCACGCATCAGCTCCTTGCGCCTCTCCATCATAGACTTGCGCTCCAGCACCGCACGGTGCTCATCGTCAGCTGAAGCCAGAGCCCGCTGGATCGCCGCTGTGCGTGCGGCTTGAGCTTCCTCAATGCTCTTCTTGTCGACGACTCGCAGCGTCGTGTCGAGGCTCTCGGCCAGGCGCGCAAGTTGCGTCCGCACAAGCTCTGAAGGTGTGGCCTGCAGGCGGACCGAGTCGGTCTCAACGGCACTCGCTAGCGCAGGGTGCACGTCCGCTGCAAACACATCGTCTTGGAATGTGATGGCGCGCGAAACATGGTCGATTCGAAGACTTACATGGCCACGCTTGCACGCGTGCATGCAGAACTTTTCAATGTCGGCTGCCGTGTATGAATAAGGGGCCTTGAATGCCGACACAAGTTGCATTACTTGATCCAGCTTTACCGAGTCATATACCTGGCTCAGTTGCTGGAACAAGCGCGTCAAGACAACCGAGTGCAACGGCTTGACGTACGTCGCCATGTCTGGGTCCTGTGCTATCTGGTTCAGGATAGGCTCAATCTTTGCGCAAATCGACAGGGGATGGAACTGCACTTCGAGCATGTAGTACAACTGACGCAGTTCCGGACGCACACGCCGTAGAACATTGCAGTTAAGCGCCTCACGCAGCAGGCCTGCACGCGCAGGCGTCTTAGTGAGCCCAAGGAGTGCATTGAGCCGGCCCGTCCGCTGCCGCGTCTCCGAGTCGGACTGCAGGAAGTCAGTGCGGCCCTTGTTCACGTTGCCTGTGCCTGGCGCACTTGATGTAATAACCGGCACAGCCAATGCACTCAACAGGACAAACGATGCCATACGTGAGTTCTCTTCGTCCGAGTGCGGCTGCATGCGGGCAAGCGCGTAGTACCTGTTCCAGGCCGCAGCATGGAACAAATGGTTGTCACTCACCAGGAAGATGCGCGTAAGCTTCTCGTAGTAGTTGGCCATCATCGCAGGCTTAGGTGCTTTCTTCGCAAGCGTCAGCAGGTTGTGCACGTCCTCGACACTGCGGAAGGCTTCCTGCCACAGTTCGAGTTCCACGGCACTATTCAGCTGCGTAAAGCGCGTGTCAAGGTGGCGCTGCAGTGTATCAGGATCAGAGAAGTCAATGGCATTCGTGTGGTGCGCGGATCGCGCCACACTCTGCAGATGCTGGCGAAGCACTTCACACAGGCGGCGGAATTCAGTCTTCCGCTGGTGCTGCAGACAGAAGTGCAGTGCTTGATCAGCAATCTGCTGGTACGCCATCTCCAAGCGTGTGTTATTCTTCAGAATATCAAGCGCCGTGCGGTATGCTTCCCACAGGAACTTGAGCCATGGCGTCACGAGCGTGCGATCCGTGCGGTCGCGCTCCTGATCCTGCGATACACTGCCGAGCAAAATACTTTCTGGCGTTTCACTTTCCTCGAGGTCGTCGACATCCAGTTCTTCGTTCGCTGCGTCAGCACGACTTCGTGCCTCGGCAACCTTGGCATCTGCGTGCTTCAAAAAGTGTCGCGTTACATTCCGGATCGACTGTGGATCCGTGTTTTGGAATGCATTTTTGTACTGCATAAGTGCATCTTTCGCTGCACGACCTCGGCGCTGGTCCACACACAACTCCATGAACCGCTCCATCAGTGGCTCTAGGGATGAGGACGGGCCCTGCTTGAAGCGCCGTGAGAATGTAAACTCATGCAGCGCTTGCAATGCAGCTGATGCCTGTCCCACATTGATCAGCTCCTCAGAGCGTTTTAGTACCGCTTCCGGCTTCACCACGGGCGGCATTTTCGTACGCTCGCACGCCGGTCGAGAAGGTGAGAAAAAAAGGTGGCAGCGGCCGAAGGGTCGTCGAGGCACTTTCTCGGCTCTTTTTCCCTTCCTTCTGCGCTCAACTCTGTTTCCTGGGCCTCAATCAAACCCACTTCCCCTTTTCCACACACACACACACGCCCACTTCGCGCGTGGCATTTTTTTTCCCTGTTCGCCAATACTACATGCCCTCAGCTCCAGTGCGATTGATCTGTGGCCGAGTGAGACTGCGGAAGCAGTCTCACCCTCGGCCGAGTCTTGATCTCCACCCGAACGCCATTATGCGTCCCTGATGAAACGAGTGTCGTCGCCATTGTGGGTGGGCAAGTGTGTATTGAGTTTGTCGGCTGGCTGTAGTAGCAGGCCCAGTCAACGACGGCTCGAACCCAATCACGCACAAGAAGATTGGTACGTTTGATCTAGAATTCAAAGACGGCGTGTCAAAAAGCGTGTGTGATACATGGTCACATCCGTCCAAAGCTATCACGATGTTCCTGCTCCCGCAGCAATGACAAAAAATGCCAAAAGGCGTGCGAAGCGCAAGCAACAACGTATGCAGCCGAAACCGACAGTGACGTCATCGTCGTCATCATCATCATCATCATCATCAGCCTCAGCTCATCGCGCAACCTCGGATACTGGTGCTTCGTATCCAGTCGCCGCTGTCCCATCTTACATAGCACCGCCACCCGAGCCTGTGCCAGCCCCCTTGCCTGAGCTGGATGATGACATGGCGGAATGCTTTTCCGCAGTATTGGAGAAATTCAAACCACCACCTCAAGAGGATGCACCGCATCCAAAGGGCGAAATATTGTATTCCGATGACGATATGTATTCTGATGACGAGCAAGCGCGTTTGCCGAAAAGCACTATGTCCCGCAAAAAACTGCGTGAGCTTCAGCGTATGTCTGTTCCTGAGCTCAAACAGCTTGTGCAACATCCGGAAGTGGTTGAGTGGGCTGACGTGGCATCTCCAGACCCGCGTCTTCTTATCCATCTCAAGAGTTATCGAAATACGGTCCCTGTTCCTTCGCATTGGGGTCACAGGCGTGAATACCTTTCGCACCGGCGCGGCATGGAAAAGCCTCCGTATGAGCTCCCATCCTACATTGCTGAGACAGGCATAGCAACGCTGCGCAATTCTGTCACCTCTGCCGAGTCAGAAAAGACGCTCAAGGCCAAAACACGCGAGCGTGTCCAGCCTAAGCTCGGTCGCATGGACATTGACTACCAGCGACTGCATGATGCTTTCTTCCGATTTCAGACCAAGCCCCCCCTGACTCAGTACGGCGAGACCTATTTCGAAGGGAAAGATGGCGGTTCACGCGCGCGGCATCGCAGGCCTGGCGACTTGTCCGCAGAACTGCGAGAAGCCCTCTCAATCCCACCACTTGCTCCGCTACCATGGCTTATTGCCATGCAGCGCCATGGTCCACCGCCTAGTTATCCGCATATGCGTATTCCTGGCCTTAATGCGCCTATTCCCGAAGGTGCACAATGGGGCTTCCATCCCGGTGGCTGGGGTCGCCCTCCCATTGATGAGAGTGGCAAGCCCATCTATGGCGATGTATTCGGCGAGAACCAGACAGGACAGGAAGTTGTGTTCAGCGAAGATCCGCCTCAACGTGAGCACTGGGGCGAGCTCGCTGCAGACGAAGACGAAATGGAAGAAGATGAGTCTGAAGATGAGGAAGATGAAGAGGAAGAAGCTCATGACGGAGCTGGTGAGATGGAAGAAGACGAAGATGCTCCGTCTATGGTTGATTCGGAAGAAAAGGTACCTGTTTCTGGTCTTGAAACACCTTCAGGTATCCAGTCTGTATTAGCTGGTCTCGAAACACCTGCGCATATCGAGCTTCGAAAACCTGTACTCTCTTCAGCGCCAACATCGGCTTCAACCTCATTGCCCACGAACGGCCCACCTAACGGACCCCCTACTGGGCCGCCCAGCGGGCCACCACCGTCTTTATACCATGTACTACCCGAGCGTGAGGCTGGATCTCAAGGGCGCGGATTCATGGGCAGTGAACACGTGTACGACATAAAGGCGGCGCGTGGCTATAATGCAGATAATAGCTCTACATAGAAACATGTGCTTTCAAGTCTATGATTGTAATCTTTCATCGCCATCCTATTTCCACTCTTGCAAAATCTGATCAGCTTCCCGCATGATATCACTAAGTGTTCGACGGGCGCGAGGCGACTTAGTCGACGATATGTCCTCCGACCTTGCTGCACCAAATCCCGGCGTCTCTGACACAATACGACGCGCATTCTCACCGGCCGCTGCATCGGATCGCATGCGATGAGGTAATGAAGGTGGCTGGGTCGGCGCCAGTAATGCCTGCGGAGGCATCTCGCTCACGGCGCGTGTTTCTTTCAGATCCCGGCGCACACGGCGTGGTGGTAAGGACGGTGGTTTGGCTGCAGGTACTTGTGCGTCATTAGATGTTGACTCTGCCGGAGGGGGTATACGGGATCTTGGATTCGTATGCCGCTGGGGCCGGATCAGTGGCGGTGGTGTCGGTAGATCACGCCCTGTAACCGTTGCCGAGACATGCACTGCGGGTTTCGATGCTACACACCGTATATCACCTGCAGGGATGTCAGTTCGTGAATCATCCCTAGGGGTGGCCGCCTGTGCTTGTGGTGACGAAGCGAGAGTTACATTTTCCATTTGCCTTTGCAAGGCTAACTCCGGTGTTCGTTCTACTGGAGCTGCCGATTGCTCCTTGAATGGATGCTCCGTCCTCGGTCGTCTCGCATCGTTGATTCCTCGAGACTGATCCAAAGATATCTCATGTGGATTTTCCGCCGTTAGCTTAGACGTAACCCACAGGTCCGGGATATTGCTATCCGTTTCGTCGTCGCTCGAACTAGAATTACTGGTCGCTCCGAGACTCTCTGCTGTGTCTTCTAATGAAGCATGATCAGAGGCAGCAGTGTGATGCTCAGGACGATCTTGTGGCAAATAATCAAGTGACCGATCCATTCCCCCAGCACTATCAAGCTCTGGATGAATCCGTGTGGTAACATCACCGTCACATTCAGATGTTTCTGCAGTCTCTTGTGATATTGCCGTTTCAGTAGACGCGCCCTGTATAGATACAGGGTCCTGCACTGATTTATTCGCCCAGATATCGAGCTTGGCATCTGGCTCCATCGGCGTATCCGTGCCCCTTTTTGCAGGGGGTATTGCAGGTGGGGTCTTAGTTGCGCGTTGCAGCCGCTCAGCAAGAGATGTCTTTTGAGACGGCGAAGCTATACTAGATTGCGTAGAGGTCATCGCTTCCACGGATGCCATTAGACTGTCACCAGGCGTTTTTGCTTGCTGGTCCAAAGTATCTTGCACCGATTGTGTCACGCCCAGATCAAACTCCTTGCTTGGCTCATCCTGTAACATTGACTCTGTTCCGGTTGTCGACTCCCCCAAAGGCTGATCAGGTGTCATGGAGTTTGCATCTAACATTTCATCATGTTGAGGTACCAGAGCAGAATGATGCGTGTCGTCTAAATTTTCAGGTATACGTCGTAATGGTCCATCATACACACTGTCATCTCCAGGGCTGTCAGCTTTACCATGTTGGACCTCCAAGCTCGATACCTGCGAGGATGAAGCTGGAGGATTACGTAGTTCTTGGTCCTCGTACATGTGTTTGACCATAACCACAGTTCGATCTTTGTTATAGAATGAATCATCATCTCGAGGCTTTGGTAGCATTATCTTGTCATCTGAATCTTGTCTCATGGTGTGTTTTGTCGCCTCATGGTTTGCTGCTATGGGCGCAGGACACTCCGAATCCGCTGATGTTGACAAGACATTTTCTTTCACCGGCTTGTTGACGACTTGCAAAACGTCTGTATCGCTTTCGGGACACGCGTCGTCGTTTGTGGTTACTGGTGTCTTAGCCGCATCTTGGGTAATGCCCAAGTCTGACGCAGGCTCCCTGGATCCCAACAAAATCGTCCCATCAGTTGCACCTGAATTCTGTGACAATCCCGACTGATCCGGGCAAATTTCATGGTCATGAGCAGGCATCTGCAACGACTTGCTTTTTTCGTTCTCCGCCCTCATGCTTGGGCAACTTTTCGAAATAAAATTATGACCATCATCACGTTGGTCTAATTTATTATCGCGGGATAATACCGAACTGGACAACGATGTATGTTCGGGCTCATTTTGCGATTCGTATATCTCATCTTTCGAATCGAGACCGCTGCGGAACAGCAAGTTTGACTTCATAGGGTTTTCTGAGCCACGTGTTACATCACGGGACATGCCATCATGTTGGTCATTACCGACATTTGCAGAAGCTGCAGTTGGCTTAATACTTTCAGTCAAACCTGTATCATTCTGCGTGCCTTCATGACTAGAAGCGGTTAGGTTTATAACTGCAGATTCTTTCTCGGCATCGTGATCAAGTTGATTTCCCGCCAGGTTAACTGATTTGCTTTCCGGTTGGTTGAAACCAGAGGCAAATTCCTTGTTAAACTCTTCAACAGTGTCTGCATCAGGTACGCTGTTCGCACTCAGTCGAGTCGATTCACTCGCCTCGTCTTCCTTTATAGAAGAATCAGTTCTGCCATGCTGTTGAGCCTCGTCCGGCTGAGGTGAGTCTTTGATCTTAAAACCAGCATCATGAACCAACGTTGCCTGCTTCTCTGTCGCATCGCTACTCTCGATATGAGTGGTGTCTGAAAGTGTGTCGGCCATCTGGACTTGGGAGTCATTTTCAGAGGAAAGATCAGACGTTTTTTTTGCCTCAGGCACGTAAAGTGATTTTTCAGGCCCCACGTCTAAGCTGTCGCTGCTTTGGTTATTATTTGAACCCAGGGTGGCCAAAGTCTCTCCTTGAACAGATGGTACCGCTCTAGCTCTTGATCCTAATTCTGGATGTTGTACCGGTTCTGGTTTTGGTATCGTCTCTTGTGCCGAGTTTGGTTCCGGTACTGCTTCTGGTACCGCCTCTGCTTCTGCTTCTACTACTGCCCTTGATTTCGGTACTGGCGCTGATACTTCCGCTGGTTCCGGTTCAGGTACGGCCTCAGGTATATCATCTACTCCTGGTACCGTTTCTGATTCCGGCTTTGGTACTGGTTCTAGTACTGGTTCTGGCTCTGTTAATCCTTCATGTACCGGTGTCGGTTCTGGCGCTGCTTCTGGTTCTTGTAATGCTACTGGTTTCGGTTTGGGGACTGCTTCTAGTACCTCTTCAGGTTCAGATTCCACTTTTGGTTTAGATTCCGCTTCAGGTTCAGAGTCCAGGTATTTGCTTCAGATCTGTGTTCAGATACGAATCTATTCGGTTCAAGTACCGGCTTTGATTCTGGCTCATGTTCAGATTGAGATTCAAGTTTCGCTTCAGGTTCAACTTCTGGTACCTCTTCAGGTTCAGGTTCGGGTTTTGATTCTGGCTCATGTTCAGATTGAGATTCAAGTTTCGCTTCAGGTTCAACTTCTGGTACCTCTTCAGGTTCAGGTTCGGGTTTTGATTCTGGCTCATGTTCAGATTGAGATTCAAGTTTCGCTTCAGGTTCAACTTCTGGTACCTCTTCAGGTTCAGGTTCGGGTTTTGATTCTGGCTCATGTTCAGATTGAGATTCAAGTTTCGCTTCAGGTTCAACTTCTGGTACCTCTTCAGGTTCAGGTTCGGGTTTTGATTCTGGCTCATGTTCAGATTGAGATTCAAGTTTCGCTTCAGGTTCAACTTCTGGTACCTCTTTAGGTTCAGGCTCGGGCTTTGATTCTGACTCAGGTTGAGGTTCAGGTACTGCTTTTGGTCCAAGTTCTGGCTTTGATTCTGGCTCATGTTCATGTTCATGTTCATGTTCATGTTCAGCATCCAACTCAGACCCCAGTTCTGGTTGGGCTACTCGCTCTGCCTTTGGTTGGACTCCGATGCAGAGACTCTATTCTTTTGCTCTGCGTCAGTAAGCCTGATCTCAGATGTGCATCCATCACTTTCGGCTAGTGAGGGAGAATCTAAAGGTTTATGGCATCCATCAATCTTGGGCAATTCATCCTTTGAAACTTTATCAGTTGTTAATTTTTCGGAGAGCGCATGATCCTCAGCAGTACATTTCTTTGCAAGCTCATTGTCCAGGAAATCCTTTCTTCTAACAATAAAATGATGATGGATGGGCTGGTGCGTATGCTTTTCAGGCTTTATTTCCGATTTGGAGGTTGCGTAAACGTCAGATTCTTTTTGCTCTTTGTCATGTAATCCTACTAAATCCGCAGTTTCTTTTTCTGTTCTTTCAAGGAATGGCTGCTTACATGTAGACGGTACAGCAGCCTCTTCCGTGCTTCGGAGCTTATTTAAAAGCGAAACTGAATTAGTAGCCAGTTGATCATTCGATATGTCAGTGCTCGATGTCTCGTGCAGTCCATCGTTGCTTAGAGGCTTGTTCGCATCCTCTCCAGATACTCCCTTGAATGACATGGTCTTGTCGTCGAGTGCTTTATGTGCTACCTGATCCTCCAATATGTCATTTTTCGAGATAACAGGAGCATCAGGTCGTGTTGATTTACTTGCTTCTTCAGCATTTTCAACCGAAGTTGAGTCTTGCTCTGATGATGTGTTGAGAACATCGTCCGCGTCTTTTGGCTCTGACACATTATCTGACCCATCCGTCACAGATGTACTGACCGGTTGGTCACATGGTCTGTCTTGACTTGCGCGAACCTCGTCAGGTACAACTGGAGCTTCGACATCCTTCGAGGATGGTTGTGCTGCGTCCGAGAAGTTGTTGGGTTTATATTTTGAATCCGCACGGCTGGTTTCGTCGGTGATTCTCGAATCTTCTCCATGCTTGGCATGATTTGCAGTGCTCGGCTTGGACGATGAGGACTCTTGTCGCCGGGGCGCAGGAATAACGCCATCATTGAGGAAAGCATCGGCTTCTTCTTCCGAGATTTTCATGTCAGATAGGCCTAAAGTGCTAAACAATTCATCATTTTTGCGCGTGTTCTCCGTTTGCTCGGTCCGCGCCCGGCGCTCGCTCATAATCTGTTCGATCGGGCGTTTATTTAGTCGCATACGAGGCGCAAACTTTCTAGGCGTGGGTGTTACACCGATGGCTCTGGCTGCTTCAGAAACAAGATTCTTCGAGAGCATAGCATCGGGGTCATATTTTGCAGGTTGTCCAGGTGCCTGAGGTCGATCCTTTGGCAGAATGGGCAAGGGTTTGGGACCATCAGTTTTGGCACGACTGGATGGCGTATATGTGCGTCGAGCTGTACGCGGTAGAGGTTTTTCTAGCTCTCTGAGCAACGCATCGACCTCAGTGTCAGTAATTGTAGTTTCTTGTGGCAGAAACGAAAGGATGTCATCATTGTCTTGCAAGATGCGCACGCTCCGCCCTGGTGCTGCGAGAGGTGGCATTAAGGTGGGTGCGGGAGGGAGCTTCGCATTCGTAACGGGAACTTGCGGTGGCTGCGCTTGTTTAGGTAAAGGTAGACCACTTGCAGGTGTTCTCCTGTCGTTGGTATCGAGACGCAAAAATGCTTCTAGGTCACCAAGTTCAACTGCCTCTTCAAACTCCTCAAAGGTTCCTGCCCACTCATTGTGGACTAAAAGCCCAGGGATCAGTGGATTGTGTGACTGAGAATTAGAGCGACAGATACGCACCTTGTTTCGCCACCGCTTTTTTGCGGCTTCATCAGACGCCAAGTCATAACACACAAAGGGAATCTGGATGCTGTTAAAACAAATTTCTGCAGAGTACATACATTATAAGCTGTCAACACAGTCACATATCTATCGTGTCTTGAGCGTGTAACGGGATTCCCCAGGATGGACGTGCTGAACAGTTCGACCGCAACACTCATCACACTTCGCTCGCGCCAACGTCAAGAGCAACACACACACGCATACTCACAAGTACGACACCCAATGTAACAGATCACGTGACAAGCTCGAAACCAAGGAGCAGGTGGGCCGCGCGTCGCATGGCTTGACACGAGAGGGAGGGTCTAGAGCCATTCATACTTGCAATCGCTGCATTGCTAAAGGCCACATTCCCACCTAGTGATGACGCGTGTGGTTGACATCAATGAACAACGAGGCAGTGGCTTCGACTTTTCTGGTCATTTGCGCAATGCTTCACTGAGTGCGCAAGGACATGCTGTGCCGCGAGCGACAAGCACAGGCACTACGATTGTTGGTTTGATCTACAAGGATGGCGTCGTGCTAGGCGCGGATACTCGAGCGACAGAAGGACCGATTGTTGCCGATAAAAACTGTGAAAAAATCCACTACATAACTGATAGCATTCGTTGCTGCGGTGCGGGGACTGCTGCCGATACCGAATTCGTGACGAACCTGATCTCGAGCAATATGCAACTGCATGCATTGCATACCCGGAAACGTCCTCGTGTGCTTGCTGCTTTGACAATGCTCAAGCAGAGGCTGTTTCAATACCAGGGCTATATTGGTGCGGCACTTGTTCTCGGTGGCTACGACTCTACCGGCCCACAGCTCTTCACAATTGCACCCCATGGCTCTACAGATAAGCTGCCCTATGTGACCATGGGTTCTGGTTCCTTGGCTGCGATGTCTGTCTTTGAGAGTGCATGGCGCCCAGAAATGGAGGTATGTGAGCAATTTTTTTGAAATGCCGTGTTTAGCTGACAGCCTACAGGAACAAGAAGCTGTGAATCTTGTTGTGGCTGCTATTGAGGCAGGCATCTTTAATGACCTTGGCTCAGGTTCTAATGTTGATGTATGTGTAATCCGAGAGAAGGAAACAAAAATGCTGCGCAACTATCGCAGGCCGAATGAACGTGCGCAAAAGGAGCAGAGCTATAAGTTTGCTCGTGGCACTACTGCATTCACGAAGGAAGAAATATACAATATGATTGTGAAAGAAGGTACGTGTTTTCTATCTTCTAACACTTGCAGACGTTCTTCAACTTGATCAGCCTGCAACCACTGGACAAGCCGATGCGATGGAGACAGACACATCGTAGAGCGCCTCTTCATACCACCGCTAAGCCATAGAAATGTGGGCTCTGTTTCAAGTTCTGAGCGATGTTTCTGTGTTTGTAAGCCCCCGATCTGAGCAGTTGCCATCTGCTCCGATCGGTCGATGAAGCAGACCGACCCATGGACGCTTGAATTTGTCGACTTCCCCCGCACGTCCACGCACGTGGCTGCTTTGCACCCACACTATTCTTACTCGCCCGGTTCGCATCCATGTGGGGGAGGGGGTAAGTGTCCGGCGACATATATAGGCTAGGCAGACGTCGTGAGGCCATTCATTGAACATCATTACCTACGACTCGTCTCGCACAAACGGGAAAAAAGGGAGAGGCCGCCATCATGGGAAACTCAAAGGAGCGTGTGTTTGCGGGACTTGTTGGGGATATGCCTGTCGGATCCTTGACGGAAGTGCCGTTGAGCGGTGACACGGATATGCCTGTGAATGCATTGGTCGCTAATGTCCATGGAACTTATTATGCCACAACTTCTAAGTGTACTCATTACGGGCTTTCTTTAACGAAAGGAATTTTAACAGATGAAGGCAGACTGTACTGCCCATTCCATGGTGCTTGCTATAAGGTGATGACAGGTGACATTGAAGATGCACCTGCTCTTGAGCCTCTCAAAACATTCGAGGTCAAAGTAGAAGATGGCAAGGTTTATATTTTTGTGGATTATGAAGCTCTTAATCAATCAAACTGGAAGCCTTGCAAGCATTCATCATCCCAATCACGCTCTGGTCCACATACTGTGTTTGTTGGCTGTGGTGCGGTGACGTTGCATGCTGTTCAAGAGATGCGACGCTGCGGCTATGAGGGTCGCATCACTGTACTTACGGCTGAACCTTACCCTACGATCGACCGCCCACGTCTCAGCAAAGCATATGCACCTGAATTAAAACATGCTCTTGTGCGTGATGAATCTTTCTGGCGCGAGACACTCGACGTTGACTTGCGCTTGTCAAATTATGTGTATGCAATTGACACCAACATGAAGCGGCTAAGTATTCGCGGTGGTAATACCGTGATTTACGATAATTTGGTTCTAGCCACGGGATCAGTCCCGCGCCGCTTGCCAATTGAAGGTGCGAACGCCAAGGGCGTATACGTCCTTCGTTCGTTAGATGATGCTCAGAGCATCACAAAGGCACTCAAGAAGCGCCCATCACCCGAGCTTGTTATTATTGGGACTGGTTTTATTGGATTGGAGATGGGCATTGCTTTGGCGAAACATGCGAAAGTAACGCTCTTGGGTCAGACGCATGTCCCCTTGGAGGGCCCACTAGGTCGTTCGGTCGGCGGTGGCTTGCAAACAGCTATCATGAATGAACGTCCACTACGGTTTTTGAATGCCGTTGATGTGGTTCGGATCGAGACTGATATGAACAACCATGTACGTGGTGTTGTAGTACAGCCACGTGCACGAGGCTCTCCAGAGCTGTTTCTCAACGCAGACCTGGTGCTTATGTCTACGGGAGCAAAGCCGGCGACAGAGTTCTTGCGGAATTCGCCGTCGTTCCCCGATCTTCGAGCAGATGGGTCCGTCGAAGTTGACTCGGCTCTTCGTGTGATAGGGCTACAAAACGTGTATGCCGGTGGGGATATTGCAGCGTACCCGTCCGATACTGGAGTGGTTCGCATCGAGCATTGGAATGTTGCGTGCAACCACGGACGTGATATCGGCCGCACTCTCGCAACCGGCAAGCTGCATCCATACCGACACGTACCTGTTTTCTGGTCGGGACTCACGTCGCCCCTTCGGTATGCGGGCACGGGTGTGGGCTACAATCAAATGCACGTGGATGGCGAGCCTGATGAGGCTGAGTTTATTGCATATTATGCTAAAGATGACCGAGTCATCGGGGTTGCTACGTATGTTTTTCAATGTGACTAACGTGATCAGCATGTGGAAAGATCCAATGATGGTACAAGCTGTGGCGCTAATGCGAGCGGGCAAAATGCCGAAGCTCAGTGTTATAGCGGCCGGTTTGGATATTATGACCTTAACGACCCGTCCGACGCGCAAACTGTAGGGCCGTGGCGTGCGTTCAGTTGTAACTTGTAGGCATAGATGTTACTAAATTGACCACCACCCGCGTCAGGAAATGGGTGGTGACTCGACCGTTGCTTTACGGCACGGAGGAAAGTGCCACGTGGGGAGTGAGCGCGGGCTGCCGAATCAACGACGGCGGTACGAATTGGACTTGCGGCTCGGCCCTTGTACCAACTAACCTTTTTCGCGTTGGTGCTTCTGTTGTGTATTGCTGCACGACGAACAGCATGGGCGCATCCACGCTGAATTTGACGCCAGCAGAGCGTCAGTCATTCGCGCAGCTGTATGCTAAAGCAGATCCTACAAACACGGGCGTCGTGTCTGGCGACGCGGCAGTCAAATTCTTTGAGGGCTTCAAATTACCAACTTTGACACTCGGACAGATTTGGTCGGTTGCTGATGATGGCAACAATGGGTTTCTCACTCCTAATGCTTTCGGTGTGGCTCTGCGTCTCATTGCGCGAGCCCAGCGCGGTGAGAGTGTGAACGAGCAGGCGGTTCACACGCCCGGTGCTCCGCCTGTGTATCAGAGTTCAGCGGGCGTCCCTTTGTCTACTGATTTGGCGTCCTCATCAATTCTTACGAGTGAGGACAAGGCCCGATTTACTCGCATTTTTGCTATGGTTGGCCCAAAGAATGGTGTGCTCAGTGGTGAACAGGCCAAAGACGTGTTCCTCAAGTCGAAATTGCCATATGCAAAGCTTGGCGCTATCTGGAACCTGGCTGACACGAAGCAGCGGGGTGCGCTTGACTTGACGGACTTTATCATTGGTATGCACTTCATCCAAGGCACTATGAATGGCACAATCGCATCCCTGCCAGCGACGCTTCCGCCCGGCCTGTACGAAGCAGCCAGTGAGCCTTCTACTATACCAACCACGCCCATCCAGCCTCAGCACACCGGGGCAGACTCGTACATGGGTGGTGCGCCGGTATTGGACACGGCCACTCCAGCTCGCTCCACGACGCAGCCGTCACCCGTGCTTCGACAAGCACCATCAACGGAGGGCTGGGACATTCTGCCGGCCGACAAAGCACGATATGATGGTTTCTTCGACTCGCTTGATGCAGATCGAATGGGCTTCGTGGAAGGCAATGTTGTTGTGCCATTTTTCCTCCAAAGTGGGCTCGATGAATCTACGCTTGCGCATGTGTGGGATCTGGCCGACTTGACACAAAGTGGCTCCCTCTCTCGCGACGAGTTTGCTGTCGCGATGCATCTGATCAATGACAGGATTGCTGGCAAAGAGCTTCCACAGCAGCTACCAGCGTCGCTGATGCCACCATCCATGCGCTCACAGGCATTACCTCAGGCCGTCGATGTCAATCAAACCGAGACACAGCGGGAACTATTCTCGCTTCTTGACTCTGACGAGCCTCCGACGATGTCCAAGTCAGAGGCTGCATCTGCATTCGGCACGGTGCCCAACACCGTGTTGCCATCTACGAGTATGCCAGCGCCAGAGCCTCCAGCCACACGCTCCCATGCAGCTTCAGCACTCGATGCAGTCGAAGCGGCCTCGTCCCCGACGTCCAACGCCAAACCCCATGCCACATCCTCAAAAAACATTCCCAGCTTGTTTGATGACGATTTCAGTGCGCCGCCGCCTGCTATGCCTACACCTGTGCGTGACGCAAGGCACGAACAGACGGAGGAAGCGCTCACTTCGTCGAACAAGGCGCTGGACGATGTAAAGACACGCCACGCCGCTGCTAAGTCGACGCTCGCATCTCAAGCTACAACGTTGGCAGAACTGGAGGGCCAATTAGAGCAGGCCAAGATTGCATTTGCGAAGGAAGAAACCGCCTTAGCCGAGGTGGAAAGCAAGGTGCAGGCACAGGACGCTGAAATCGTGAAGCTTCGTCAAGACGTTATACGTCAGGAAAGCGAGCTGAGCGCGATCCGAACGCAGCGTGATGAACTCGAGCAGCGGCTCCTGCAGGACCGCGAGTCTGCTCATAGCCTGAAACGGCAACTAACAGAGTTGCAGGAACAAACAATGCAATTGCGTGAGGAGCGGGACCGTCTTGAACAGGAATCACTCAAGGAAGCGGGCATGGCAGCTACGACGAACAAACAGCTTGCCGCTGCACGAGAGGAACGCGATGCGCTTTCTCGGCAGTCTATGCCAAAGGCATCGACGCCATCATCATCTGGCCGACGTATGAATCCATTTGAGGCTCTATTTAGTACGTCGCCAAAGACTGAGGAACCTGATAGGTTTGAATCGCTGTATGGGTTTGACTCATTCACGGCGGCTGGAGCTGGTGTTGCCGCTGCCACTGCTGGTCAAAATGGCTTGAGATCGCCTGCACCCAATGCGGCGCAACTGATGCCGAGGCCAATGCCTCCTATGGCCCACCAATCTGTTGTCAATGAACGGTGATAGTGGTAGCAAGCACGCTGATGTTGCTAACGACGATGGCGAGCAGGACACGTACGGGCCAGAACAGCCAGATGCGATGCAGTTCCGCGATGCAATTCAGTACGATTCAGCTGATCGGCTAGACCGCGGGGATACATCGCGTGATGACATCGATGCGATGCCTCTTCCTGGCGGCTTCCCTAGCCAGAGTGACGGCACAAGCAAAATTGGGACTCGTGCGCCATCAGCGATGACTGGTCCGGGAACCAAGGCGGCGGTACCTGCTTCAAGAGAGCAGCAGGTACCCATGTCAGCGTCAAGTTGGCACTCGCCTGCTTCTGTGCCTAAGGGCAAGCCCGGTATGCCCGTACAAGTCATTGATTTACCGCCACCGGAGCCACGTTCGCCAAACGCTAATGCAGCCGCTATGCCCGCGGCGGATGTCATGGCGTCCAGCATTCCTCCTTCGTCTGCTTCGACGGTTGTTTTGCCGTCCACGTCTGAGCCCCAGACACCCAATGTGAATATGTCCGGTCCAGCGCAAGACGACTTTGAATCAGCCTTTTCTCATATGGGGCTGGCCAATGTTGTTCACAAGTCTTCAGGTCAGACTCAACCGGCGCAGGTCGCCGCAGGTACGCCGCCATCAGCGGCAGCAGTACCCGCAGGCACGTCATCGCCGCATGGTGTCATGCCAGCGTATTTACAGACATCCTCTCAGGTTGTGGCACCTCGCGCTAGGTCGGCATCAGGCGCAGCGGCGGGTGGAACGCCTGGCTTGTCCTCAGTGTCAACAACGACGGCTGTCCCCGCCATGTCCGCATCAATGCCACAGACGGGTGCATCAACACCAGCCCTGGCGACTGCCCCGCGCGATGCATTTGACGATCACTTTAGTCCCACGAAGCCGCTCTCGCCACCGCAGCCAGCCAGTGATCGCGCCCCATCACCAGCCATGCCTGGGGATATCGGGCCGGTGCGACAGCTGTGCCAGATGGGATTCTCCAGGTCAAGTGTAGTGAAAGCGCTTGAGCGAAGCAACTACCGGACGGAGCGTGCCTTGGAGCGCCTTCTTGCTATGCAGAGCAGGCAGTGACAATCTCGTGTGCATTGTCCCAGATAACTAAGTGTGTGATGATATAGAGGCACGTATACATTGTAGAAAAAGAAATTGTGTCACGTTCGTATCGAAGCATGTCATGAAAGCGTGTGTGCGGGCGGTTGGAGGGCGTCTTATCGTGGTATGACAGTGTGGAGAAACTCTGTCACATGACCAGTAAGGACAACACGATTGTGGAGATGGTCAGAATGAATGCTGCTTCGAACGTCTATCCACACCTAGTTCCCCCACCACAAACATACGCGCACACACACCTGTTACGCCCACCACCGCGATTGAAAACCAGCTCGGATCATGGCACGTCTACGCGCAGGCGGTGGTGGATCACTGCGTGCGCTAGGCATGGCTGTGGATCCACGCGCGGTCAAGGTGCGGCTCTTTGAGAAGCTCGGATCGTTTGCTGACGAGTACTGGCAACTACTTGGTGCTCTGTGCACAGCGGCTATCGATCGTGCGGAATTTCACAATCGTGTCAAGGCAAAACTTCCATCAGAGTGTGTTCCACTGCACAATGCATTGGTCTTGAGCATTCTTGCTGAAGCAAACTCAGGTTCATCTGCGTCGGCGGCGTCTGGCACGGGAGCGAGTGTACGGGCTCTAACAAGCCCCATTCAACCCCGACGAGCCGTGCTCAATGACAGCACAGATGAGTCTGATGATGAAACCGAGCCACCTGTTGACGGTCGTGCGAGCCGTGGGCTCAAGCGACTTCGCCATCTATATGCAGGTCTGTCCGACGATGAGCGCAAGCGGCTGGATCAGCTCTCGAAGCAAAGTGCATCCTCCACACATACATCCGCCTCAGTGTGGGCAGGCGCGGGCGCTGAACTACTGGAGAAAAAACGGAAAGAGGATGAACGCCGTCGCGCTGTTGAAGAGCGCCGTCGCGCACGAGAAATCAAGCTGGCCATCGGCGCATCGCACTGGCGTTTGTCGGCGATGCAGACGGCCGCGCAGACCGAGTCGATCCGCTCACGTCTTTCGACAACCATGCAGGAAGCGCTCAAACGCAGTGTGGCGACTCCCAACTGTATTGAGTCACAAGTGCTGCCCGATGTACACAGTCTGCAAGACCGGATGTCACTTTCGGCCATCGAAGCCGGTTTGTCTGGTGGCGTGCATGCACATGCCGCAGCCGTGGCTTTGAGTGCTTTGCATGACTACCTCCAAAATATATTGCGGCGCACCTTTCTGTATACGAAAAAGCACGCGCGTTCCACGGCTGGCGCTTCGCGCATCACCATGCGCGATATCATGGCGGTTTTGGACCTTGCGCCTCACTTGATCGTCGAGCCATTTGGACAAGGCCCATTGGAACGTCTCCTGGCACCAGAAGCATCCACTGCATCACTCTCGTGTAGCAAGGAAAGCATCGATGGCGCAGGCCAGTCTTGGTCCGACGAGGATGCGCTGGCGCGCTTTGCAAGAGAATGTGCAACGACCAAACTGGCGGCCCACGCCGTGCCGCTCGCTGTGCCGCCCGATGCAGACTTTGAGCAGGCCCAGCTGTTCCGACAGCAACAGCAACGCGACGCCGTACGAAACCAGGTGATTCTTGATCAACTAGCGCCACTGCGGCTTTTGGATCGACGCGCACTGAGCGAGTCGCTCGCACATGACCCTAAAATGAAGCCAGCATTATCCACGCCCTTATCGACGGCGTTAGAGCAACATTATCAGGCCGGCCAACATCATCATCACCAACACTTGCATCGCATGCACCGACACAAAGACGAACTATATGATGTAATTGATCCCGTTGCACTCCTCAGCGGCGTTTGTGAATAGGCAGGAGCTGGTTGACATATTGTATGTATGCGAATGATTCAAGAGGGATTGGTGTCTAGCACATTCCAGCGCGCCTGAAGTGCTTCATGCCACCGCTCGAACAAGAGAGAAGCAAGCCGTGAACGTGCTGCAGGAATGCGCGGCGCGTCGCCTTCCCTGGCGGTCGGATCCGTCAACATGTCCACCAGCATGTCGAGATACTCTGGCGTATGACGCCCAAGCTGGCTAAGCAAACTGTGTAGCTGGTGCACGAGTGCCACTGGCGCAAGCTCACTTGCATCTTGACCTGCGAGAAATGCAAGCTGTTCCAGCGCCAGCTGGATTCTCGCGGGGGTATCTGGCACAGGCAAACGTGGCGTGCGCTGCGCTGCACTTTTCGTTGGTGAATCCATAATTTGAGAGCGGGGTGTGACAAATGCGTGGGAATCATGATGATGGCGATGTGACGGCGTCGATGGCTGCCGTGCAGGGGACATGCTAGGTGTGACAGGCCAGGGCGGCTGCAGGGGCGGTGGTGTTGACTCTTCGGGGGTGGTTGGATTGGCAAGAATGGGCTTGTCCAAAGCCGCCGTCTGCGTAGCAGGGACTCCCACATTCAAGCCAAGCACTTTTGACACATCTTGATGTACCGACGGACCCGATGTGTCGAACGCCCATTCGCTTATGACACTAGTGTCGAGCAAAGTCGAATCGTGAAGCGACAGGCTCGTATCCGGAGGCTTTGAGACACCACGTGCCTCAATGGTGCGTCGCACTAAATCCAATGGCCCAGCCGATTCAATCCATGCATCTGTGCGGAGCTGGTGCGCCTTGGCCCTTTCTTTGGATCTCATTACGAGGCAGCGGTCCAGAAAGCGGACCATGCCGGGATCATGCTTCTTTACGTCCAGACGGGGCGGCGTCGCTTTAGGTATGAGAAACATGGCTCGCATAGGATGGTACTCGGACAAGGGCGGTCGCCCTGTAGCAAGCTCCATAATCGTTATGCCTAATGACCAAACGTCGGCCTGTGCATCGTACATCGACTGCCGAATCACTTCCGGTGCCATCCAATACGGCGAACCAACAAGTGTGTTGCGGTGTGATCCGCGGTGAATAAGCTGAGTTGCTACACCAAAGTCGGCTAATAAGAGTGTCAGCAGTCAACACAAGCACCAAAAAAAAAGTGGAACCACGGTAGCTGACATACCTAGTTTGACTTGGCCAGTCCGAGTTAACAACACGTTGGCTGCCTTGATGTCTCGATGAATAATGCCTTGTGCATGTAGATAATCTAAACCCAGGACAAGTTCTCGTGCAATGACAGCCGATACTTCATCAGGTAGGGCACCACCGCGCTTCAAGAGTGATAGACAGGAACCACCATCCATCAATTCCATTATGACCCATAGTGTATATTTCTTCACAAAGCTGCCAAAATAACGTGTCACACGCTGACTGTCCTGACACTGAGCGAGACTGGCAATCTCTCTCTGGATTTCTTGCAAGTCTTGCATGTTAGCTTCACTATCGGCATCACTCGATTCCAAAGCAATCTGCTTGATTGCCACGACATTCGATGTTGGCATGTGAATGGCCTCGTAGACATGACCGAAACTTCCTCGTCCCAGTTTACGCAAAATGCTGTATTGTTCCCATGGTTTATGTGTCCCAAGGGCGGGAAAAGGAACCTGATTAGACTCACGCCGGCCACTCCATCGCGGCGAGGATGCACGTCGATGGCTCATCGACGTCAAAGACCGTCTCTTCAGCTGAGTCCCACCGAGCTAGTGTGACGGTGAATTGCAGCCGCCCATACATGCATGTGGAGACGAATTTCCTCCTTGTGATTCGCCTTTGATTTGCGACTCCAACTAACTATTTGTGGTTCAATGACCACAAATCGTCGGGACGCGTCTCACGGCAACTCCGGCTTACGAGCGAGATCAAGATTTGAACACGCACTCAAAATCTTATGGTTCCATCCCAATGCAAGCCAGAAAAAAAAGAAACAAGCATTGAAAATAAAAACACACACACACACAGACACAATAGTCGTACAGGATTCATATGATTCTATATATACACTAATCAATGGTCACACCGACGAGTTCAGTAGAAGGAGTTTCGGGCGTACCCGAGGACGTATCACGTCTAGCACGACGCCAAGTCGTAACCCAGTTACGGAACGCATACATTGCACCATGACGAGCTCGAACATCATCACTTTCGCTTCTGCTGCGGTTCTCGTTTTGATTTTCGTCCCGATGTTCAATGGACTCCTGCGAGCGTATTTCGAGCACTGGGGAACCACAGCCGCGTTCAAAATAAGGTGGCGGTTGAGACATATCATCAGGATCGTTCATATTCAGAGTATCAAGATGAATTCCTTGCGAGGACAAGGCTCGTTGAAGGCCAGGTAGGGGCGCATGATAAGAAGCCGAATCCGAATGCTCGTTGATAACAGCAGGGCGGACTAGCGGCTCATAGGGAGGTACACGGACCAATTCGCCAGTACGTGCATCAGCTGCAAGCTGCGCAGAGGTGCTTGGCGCATTGCTTGCCTCAATAAGAACGCTGTCTTTGTCCTGTCCGTAAGCAGGAGGCGGTGCTAAAGTACCGACCATAGGTGCAAGCCCCCATTTCTTCACATTTGCTTCGATGAAAACAAAACCAGCTTGACCAAAGTTGACGTGAACTTCAGCAGCGCCATCAGCAGCAATGGTGGGGAACAGATTGTAGCCTTGTAGGCCAATAAAGGCCTCAGGCATTCGCACGCCATTGCGCGTGAAGAAAACGGAGCCGGTTCGTGGGCGGAAACCGACACCGATTACATCGCCCTTGACAAATGGTGTGCCATAAGACTGTGCATTGAATGGGTGATTGTAGCATTTGAAACCGTCTTGGGAGAAAATACCGACAGAATTTTTGCAGTAGCCTGGAAAACGAAATGTAGGGTATGGTTTTGTACTGAGACCAATGGCGATAGTTGTATTGGTCGGCTTTTGAAAAATTTTCGACTCCCAATAGTATACCTCGTTGCTCTTGGGCAACGGCAAGTTGCTCTGAATAGTACAAGCACCGCCCTCCTCAGGCGCCATACCTGGACTATCGGGCAAGAACTGAATCTCAGTGCGTGCAGAGACCATCACACCCTGGTTTGCTTCATATGCGGGATCGAAACTCCACGCACTTACGCCTTTCTCTTGGATCCCCAAAAATTGAGGTATTGTAATGTCTGTGTCCCGGGAAGGCATGGGAGGATGGTTGGAGCACCACCTTTGCGCAAGCTCGTAGCCTGCACGCGTTGCATCGTCCACCTGCTCAAGCCACCGCTGATACGCGCGTTGAAAGGCGCCGGAAGACTCCAGTTGTTCTTCGTAGGCCACGTGGACAGGCCCATCCCCATCCATGAGAGCAATACCAGGCCGAAACCTAAGGATCAAGTACATGACGAACGGCGCGATAAGAATAAAGATCAATGCCACGGCAATCATCAGGAGCGGGAGCAGGAGCAGGAGCAGTTCCGACACCGAGCCACTCTCATTTGGCATGGTATCCTGAAACTGCAAAGCCCGCTGCAAGTCAGGCATGCTCTAGTATTGATAATGGACTCTTCAACAGCGCGTTCTACGGGGCCAGCGGGAGCCAATAGCCGATATGACGGTATTGATGGTATTCCTTCTTTCGTTATGGTAAATGTTTTGGACAAGGGTGAAATTATGTTGATGAGAAGCACGATCAATTTCCCAACCCTATCACTCGCCGCCTTCGGCCATATGCCACGTCTGATAGATCGGTTTGAATCCCTGCCCCACAGTTGGCAAGACGGCCAAGCGCCACACGGGCACGCGCTGGGTAGCGGCCAAGCCAAGCCAAATTTTCCAAATACGTTTATTCCCGATTCTGTTTAAATAGCCAACCAGACAAAACCTTCGTCCGTGCCAGAAAGTTGCTTTACATGCATTATGGGTCTAGTAGGTGCATATGATCTGGGCTATTACTGGAACTATCAAAAGTTGGCCACATGTTCGCCACGTCCTCTCGGACAGACAGGCCAATATGTCGGCCGAAATAAGCGCGTGCAGACGGGGACAGTACGCCGTGAGCAGCAACCGTAAGCAGTTATCCCAGAAACCTGCTACACCTCCCTTTTGTCATCCTTAGCAAATTCGAGGAGAACGGTTGCTGGTGAGTGGAGACGCGTACGACGCGTAGAGTGTCATGCTGGAGGACGAACAGAGCATGCTAACATAGGTAGACATGGATCACGGCCCTCCTGCGCCACCACCACCGCTGGGTGACGAAGCCTTCGGAGCAGTTATCCAATTAGCGAATGCAGCTTCCCGTCCAGATCACGAGCAGAACCACAATTCCACCAATCCCCACCACTTCCACCACCAACATCCCAGTTCCAACAGTGCTCATACTCCCTCCCCGCGCGTTTCCAAGGGCCGAGGAGACGACATGAGTGAAAATCCTCGTTCATCCAAACATGTGCGGATGGAGAACGAATCACCACACAACAGTGTCGATGCCCCCTCCCTGTCATGGGCACCCACTGCGCCACCCGCCTACCCCGGACACGGGCTTGACCACAACGGCATGCCGACGCTGCATCACAGCGCTCCAAGCCCATTTGACCCCACAGCGCATGATGTGAGTGCCTATGGTGATACCTCAGGTGTTCAAAGTGATCAAAGCCGCATGGCGCCACCGCCACCAGCGGTCGCAAGCCCGACCTCGGAGCAGAACAAGCACCTCACATCTGAGCAGACAGGACTCGTCGGCGCGCGGGGGAAGACAGGCATGACGCGCACCCTCAGTACGAGCCGGCGTGCCGAGCAGAATCGCAATGCTCAGCGCGTTTTCCGCGAGCGCAAGAACAAGTACATTGCCGACCTGGAAAGCAAGGCGGCGTCGCTTGAAAGCGCGTTGCTTGCCGCTGAAGAGCATCGCCGCCGGTTTAATGAGGCGATCGAAACCATCGAGATTCTCAAACGCGATAATGACACGCTTCGTGTGGCCTTGCGTGCGCTTGGCGGCCACCAAGCCGTGCCAAATGCACCGGCTCTACCGATCGATCGCCCCGCGTCGCATGCGCCTACCCTACTCCCAACATTTGCACAGCAACATCCTGGTGCGCCAGGCGCGCCTCCGCGTGGTGTGGACCAGCACGATGCCACGCACGCACAGAGCCAAGGGGGCATGCACGACACGGCAGAACAGGCACAGGATCCAGCTACAGCCGCAGCTGTGGCGGCGGCCGCGTCAGGCGGCGCTCCGTACTGGCTCCTTGAAGCGGTTTCCAATGCCAATCAGCAGCACGGTTTTCATGTTCCCAACCACTTCTCATCACAATTAGGCGACAGTGGCATGCCGCCGCCAGGTCCTCCCACACAGATCCACCCAAACGACCCTAATGCGATGCGCGCACGTGGTGGCATGCCACCCCAACGTGCAGAGAGCATGCTGGATCCGTCGCTTGAACATGCGGCACTGGGTGATGCGCCACGGCCGCCTAGCCGTGTGCATGGCGAAGACAACAAGACGAATGACAGTGGCATGGACGCACCTGGCAACCCGGATAATCTAGCGTCATTGAGCGCTGTCGCGGCCGCAGCTGCAGCCGCAGCGGCTTCCCAAAAGGTGAATACGTAAGAGTCTTGTCTGTTCTTATGAACGTTGTTTGTAATTAGCTATGGAGTTTGTTCGAAGAAAGTGCTTCTTGTAACCATGACGTAAACAATTGTGCGATGAACCGCTCTGGTTCGGCCTGAGCCGTCAGGTTAAGACTATCGGCGATTTCAGCCTTGCTTGTGTACACGCGCACAAACTGACGCCGCAGCGTTTGTAGCCGTGCAGGCGAAGGAAACGTATGTAGTGATGGGCACTCGAACATGATGGGAGGCGGTGGAATGGTCGGGGTGAGCTGCAGCGGAATACTCCCTGTCAATGCGCCTCCGTTGGCACGGTACTCAGTGAGCGCCGACAGTACGCTCTGTGTGATGGTATCGAGAAGTTCCAAGCTATTGTTGGTTGTTTTTTTCCGCTTTTGTCGATGTTAGTAGGGGAAGGGAATGAGTGCCCTAAGTGGCGAACAAAATCGTATGCTGTGATACGTACGACAGCTGTGACGGCCTTGGGCGGTTGGACTTGTGCTAATGTCATGGCGTCCCAAATAGCATCAAGAGGTGTCGGCAAACATTCCGGATGATCCGCTGAGCCGACGGATGTCGTAGTAAATAAGGGGCGATGCCAACGAGCTTCTGGCGTGGGCTCTTCGAATCGGAACATGAGCTCGTCCAGACTGGGCAGCGTGTAAGTCGAGAGAAATGAAAAAATTATATACAAAGAGACTGATGGAGCGCGTACGTACCATGCGTCTGTATAGCAAGGCTCGCCATGTGCGCGCCGCTTCGCGTTCCACGCCCGACAAAGATCTTGAGTGCATGCCACATACAGCTGAGCCAGGTGGCGTAAGTGTCACGAATAGTTCCTTGTACGTACCGTTGCACAGCGAAGACCAAGCTCGCGTGCTGCACACCACAGCTCGTACCGAGATCCCTTGATATTCAGTCCTGCCCCACCATCGGCAATGACAATCGCGCTCGTGCTCAATGCACGACGAACCGCGCTTAGATAGGCAGCACGCGCGCGCCCTTCAGTGCGCTGCGCTGGCTGATGTTAGTCATGGAGTGGCACGGGTTTCATACACATACACTCATACACATGTCGGTCCACATGGACGTCGGCATCTTGCACAACACGTACACTCGACAATGTCGGCGAGGACGCGAGGCGCGACTCGAAGTTCGCTCGGATCTCCTGCACGCGTGTTGTGCGGCCAGAGCATGGAAGACCAGTGACGACCAAAAGCGCCATATCACCGAGAGAAAGTCACACGCAGCCAAGACAGGGACTGAAGATGCGTCAGTGGTTCGCTCGTTCGTTCCTCTTCCTGAACGGAGAATGGACCTCAGGCAACGAACCTCCACAATCAAAGCGCATCCCAATTGCGATGCATTTTTGAGCATGGACTTGCTTATTGAACCTGAGCGCCTTTGTAGTCATATCGTCTTTTGCTTGGCATCTGCGTGGAACATTGCTCGTGACGACCCCTCGTCCATATAAAGAGATACATTCAGATTCTCGCATACAAGTGAGATTTGTTTGATGGACATGTGGTGGCTCGGGGGATCGCTCGTACGCGCGGCGCCACACATGCAGACAGCGTGGCGTTGTGCGAAATCGCATCGAGCCTACGTGACAGGCCCCCGCAATGCATGGGACGAGCTTCTGGCTGATGTGTCTCCACAGCCCAATGGCGCCGTCCATGCAGCCATGCAAAAGCCAACATGGGCATCGGAGTCCGTACCGCGCGATGTTCTCTATGCAAATGAGCGTGCAAGCACGCCAAAAACGCTTCAGCAGCGGCGACGCACGTACGATACGTCAGCACTTACACCGTCGGAATCAGCCCAGTTTCGGCGTATATTTGAGCTTCTAGAGCAGGAGATGGATGTGCCGCGCATGCAAGCCTCTTCCTCTGAGCTTGGCGCATTTGCAGAGCGCAATGCCATTCGGTCGCGAAAGCTGACGGCTCGTGGCGGCGGCGTAGGCACACGATTCGAGGCAAGTTTGGAAGGATTGGCAGCGCAAATATCGCCTGAAGAGCTGGATCGCGGCGTCGATCGCCTCTGGCAAGACATTCATTCGCATGGCAGCGCTGTGGATGCCTGGAGATGGGCGGAGGCGCATGTGTGGACGTCAGACACGAGCGCCCCAACGACGGCATCAACGTCGCCGAACATTGAATTGGCACAGTATGGACCTCAGACGCCTTTCTTTGCTCCTGCGCTCCATATGCTCCTGCTTGCCTTCCGAGACAAATTCCACGTGCCACACACGGCGCTCGCAGTCCTCGAGCGGACACGACAACTCGGACCGCATGCCTACGTGCTTGGATGCACATCGTCGCTCTTTGCCGAGATTATTCGCACCCAATGGCTATGTTTGCGCGATGCACAAGCAGTGCTGGCCACTGCGTATGAAGCGCGCGCGGTCGGCATCTTGTCACATGCAGATGGCCATGCCTCATCGCGGGACGATGCAGCACTTCGAACGCAGATCGAGCGGATCCGCAGTGAGCTTCGGGCACGCGTGATGCGAGCAGCCCAAAACCGCACGTTTGTCGAGAAGGAAAATGAGTCCAACGAGACTTTTCTGCGTATGCAAGTAGATGATCACGACATATTGCAGATGGTGACGGAGTTAGGCCGCCTTGTTGGCGGGCGGACAATCCGGTCTGCTGAGCGTACGCCAAACCCACGACCTCGGCTCACGACGTCGGCTCGCCAGAAAAAGCCACCAAAAAAAAACCTAATGATTTATCCCCAAAATCCCCATGCGCTTCTGCGCACTGAGCTGCAACGTACGAAAACTCGTGAGCCCGAGCAGTAGAGTTTGTGAATAACAATGCGATTATAAGTACAATCTTTCTTATTCATTGTTGCTGGCTAAACACGGTACCGTACATGATTGTGTAGTCACCATCGTGATTCTGCCCGCTCATCCTCCGCTCCCCTCCCTCCCCCTTCCCTGATCGGTCCTCGTTCGTTACCTGCATTTGCCTCCACCCCCCCCTCCCATTTCAAAGCCACCGCTACCTCAGTGAACGACCAACGAGCGTTCCGAGCAAGGCGCATGCAAACCAACTCTCCATCGCGCCAGTACACCAGACCAAATGCGCATTCTAAAGCACCCTGCTGATGATGTCGTGTATGCTCTCTCTCTCTACATCACTGAATAACGCCCACCCAACGATGGTGCGCGTGACTCACTATCCAAATACGCTTGTGTGCCTTCAAGCAAAAGGCGCTTGATCTCTCGAATCGCATGCTCAACACGAAAACTCTCGTTGCTCTCAATCAGCAAAGAAAGCTTTGGCGGATCACCAGGATGAGGATCGCGGCCGCGCTCATAAAAAGCACCCTTGTTCGTAACTTGTGAAAGTTAGCTCGCCACATCAAACACACGCATCCAACACGTACTAGAAGCTCCTGTCGACTCAATGAGCATGGCCATCGTCTCTTTATTGGTCACGTTCCAACGAGCCTTTTGTGGAAAATCGTTGATGGGGAAGATCGCATGGAACTTTGTCGCATCAGGATCTCGAGCACGTCGAGAGTTCTCCAGCTCTTCGCGGCGCCGACTTGCCACAGAATTGATGCGCGCAATGACTTCCTGCAGCTTCGACGTATCAGCGCCGGCAAGCCGAGCTGCTTCTAAACGCGCCTGGTTCGCAGCCTGGTCCGCATCCGTGTAGACAGGCTCGCGATTCTCACGCACCGCCTCGGGAATAGGGCCAGTCCGCACCTGGATGTCAGTCCCATTCAGCCGCTGAGTCTCGTCGGCGGCACGCGCGGCCACAGCCTCGGGATCGGCGTCCTCATCCTCAATAAAGATGGACGCCTGCGCCTGCAGAAGGCGCTCGCGACTTGCCTCCAAGCGTTCAAGTCCGCGCCCGCCAAAGCCTGAGCCAGACGCATGTGCCTTGCCTTGCTGGAGCTTTTCCTTGAACTGCGACGCAAGCGCCTCAAGCTCCGGAGGCACTGTCGCCTTGCTCGCACGCAGTGCTGCCACAATGTCTTTGGCATACCGGTCCTGCTCAGGTGTTATGAATGTCACGCATGTGCCTTGGTTCCCTGCACGCCCAGTGCGGCCAGCGCGATGCACATAGTCTTCCAAATGATTCGGCACGTCGTAGTTAACGACAAGCTTCAACTGCTTCACATCCAGGCCGCGTGCAGCAACGGATGTCGCGGTAAGGATCGGCACAATGCCTGCCTTAAAGTCGGCGAGCGTCGTATCGCGGTCGGCCTGATCCTTGCCGCCATGGAGCGACATGGTGGGGTATCCTCGCTTCATCAGCATGTGCATCAGCTCGTCCGCGGCATCTTGCCGGTCCACAAAGATCAGCGTCCGTGCATCTTCATCGTGATGATACAGCTGCCCGAGGATCTCGAGGAGGCGGTGGAATTTGCTCGAGTCCGGTCTGACTTCTACGATCTGCCGAATCTCGGCAGCCACAACACTCCGGCCACCGACAATGACCTCGAGCGGCTCGTGTCGCAGCATTTTGCGCGCCAGACTTTCCATCGGCTTTGGAAATGTCGCTGAAAACAACACTGTCTGTCGGTCCGGCCGGATCAGACCCAGGATCTTCATGACCTGCGGCTCAAATCCCAGATCAAACATGCGATCCGCTTCATCCAGCACCAGGTACGTCACGCGCTGCATGTTTGTCACACGCCCACTGTTGGCTGTGAGCAAGTCGATCATGCGGCCTGGTGTCGCTACTACAACCTCGACCAACTTTTTCATCTCTCCAATCTGCTCAGAGATGGGCGTGCCGCCATAGGCACACGCACCTCGCAGGTTGAACGCACGCAAAAACGGCTGCGCATCGCGAAAGATCTGCACCGCTAACTCGCGCGTCGGGGTCATCACCAAAGCCACCGGTCCCTCGCCTGACTCGACAGGCCGCTGGTCCTTGACATGGCGGAACATGGGCAGTAAAAACGCCATGGTCTTGCCACTACCCGTCTTCGCTACGCCAATCATATCGCGTCCGCTCATGATCGCAGGAATCGCCTGGCTCTGAATCGGCGTTGGCGCCACATATCCGAGCTTCTTAATCACGTCCAAGCAGTTCACCGGCAGCCCGCAATGTGACCACTTGGTGATGGGCGTCGGGCAATGCTTCCCACGGACCGACATGGCATCCAGCTCCACACGAAGCCGCTCGGCATCTGCACTACTCATGGAGGCGATCTCGTCCGGCGCATGATAGAACGCTTTGCGGAATGGCTCGTATGCAATGGCTGCATGGTCGACGGCGGGCAGATGCTTTTTCTTGCTCCCGCGATGAGCGAGTGCCAAGATGTCTTCTGCGCGAATCGAGTCAATATCCACGTCGTCATCTGCGTGCGTCTCGGTTCCCTCTCGCGGCTCCTCGTCATCGCCCATCAACACCTCCAATCCACCATCATGGCCATGCTCATGGCTTTCGCGCTGGACTTCACTTTCTAGTTCCTGCATGTAGGCATCCAGAGGATCATCCGCAGTAGCTTCATTTACTGCACGACTACGTGAATCCTCCTCGGTGTCTAGCGTAATGCGCCGCAATGGCTTGGCTTCTCCCGCATCGTCATCCATGTCATCCAGCGCACCTAAACGGATTCGTGGCTTGACAACACCGCCACCAGAACCCACACCTGCATGGCTCAATCCAGTACCACGCAGTCCGAGCGTACGTCTCTTTGCTGCTGATGCATCGGTTCCTGACGCTACTGCATCTTGCCTCGTACCCTTGTCAGATCCTGTACTATCGTCAGGTGTCTGGCGCTTCTTTGCCGCCTGTTCACGTCGCCAAGCTTCGAGACGCTCACGTTTCGCGCGCTTCTTCGCTTCTGCATCCATAGAAGATGCGTCAGTCATTGCTGTTGGCGCCAGCGCCTTTCGTTCACTGCGACGCCCTACGTACTACAGCTAGTGCGAACCGTCAACGAAGATGAAAAAGCACCGCGGTTGTGTGGAGTTCTCGATGATCTATAGGGGGGAGGTATTTTGAAAAAATAAATAAAATAGTAATACTAAGCGATGCCTAGCGCCATTAGCTCAATCCCAGGCCCCTTTCATGAATATTTCCTTCACGCTTGTTGTGGGGCGTGCAAGTCAAGACGGCCGGGCAATGTAGGCGGAGCAGGGCAAAAAAAAAAAAGACTGATTGGTTTCTCATTGGACTTGGTGAGTGTTCAAGAGCACCTACCACTTTTGTGCCTTGTCATTTCGTGGTCGACATGACAAGTACGCCGAGTCCAGGCTCGTCGACTTCGAGGAAAAACCATGATGCGTTCGGTGATGACTTCATTTCATTCGACATGGAAGATGAGTATGACGAGTCTGCATCGCCACCAGCGCCTGTTGTAGTCGATGATTCCGTACGCGAGCATGCGTCAGCACGGAGCACGCCATGGGCTCAGCATGTGCCATGGCATCAATGCCGCAATGTATCGGAAATGTATGTATGTGTGATATGAAAAAGCACCGGAAAGTTTCTAATACGCACAGGCTCTGTGAGGAAATTCGTACCTATACAAATTGGATCGTCCCGAGTGAGGAGGAACACGTAACTCGGACGATGGTGATTTCACTCCTTCAGCGTGCACTATGTTCGAAATGGCCTGATGCAAGAGTGTACTCATTTGGCAGTCAGGATACGCAACTGTACTTACCGCAGGGTGACATTGACCTCGTCGTCTTGTCAAATGTGATGAATGACATGCCTCGCGAGATCACTCTCAGCGAAATGGCTGCCTGCCTTCGCTCTTACCAGCTGGCAATACATGTTCAAGTACTTGCGCGTGCAAAAGTGCCGATCATCAAGTTCGTGTGCCCATATGGTCAATTTAACGTAGACATATCGATCAATCAGGCCAATGGTCTGCAAGCGTCCAAGTTTGTGAATGGCTGGCTTAAAAAGCAACCGGCTATCAGGCCTCTTGTCATGGTCATAAAGCAATTCCTGCAACAGCGTGCCCTTTCAGAAGTGTATACAGGGGGGCTCGGCAGTTACAGCGTCACGCTCATGGTGCTGAGCTTCTTGCAGCTCCATCCCAAACTGCAGCGTGGAGAAATGTCTGCTGACAAGAATCTCGGCACATTGCTGATGGAGTTCCTCGAACTGTACGGCAAAAACTATGGCTACGATGAGTGTGCTATTTCAGTGCGTGGCCGTGGAAAATACGTCAGCAAGAGGCAAAAAGGCTTGTATGACTATCGCAAGCCATTTATGCTTAGTATTGAAGACCCACATGACCCAAGTACGTGTCTCCTATTACTTCACGACCTTCATTTTTTTTCTCTTTCTATGACTTTACCACTAACACATGTTCGTTATTTTTTTTCTTATTTTTAGGCAGTGATGTCTCAAGGGGCTCATTCGCGATTCTCAGTGTGCGTTCCGCGCTTGGTGGTGCTTTTGATATCTTACACGCTGCTCTTTGTGAGCGTGCGAATGACTTGCAAAACTTTCGTCATCGGCAGCAAACCTTGCGCAATCGGCAGCAAAAAAACACTCATATGCATTTTGCACCTGAGGATGCCGATAATAGGCTCAACATGACATCTCAAATCAAAGAGCCAGAGAGTTTGTTGGGCTCAGTCCTTGGTGTCTCGCGAGAAATGATCCGAAGACGCAACGACGTACGTTACCATATACGGCTAACCCTTGCAAAGATCAAGCAGCTATATGACTCAGGCATACTACAAAAGCAGCTGTATGGCTCAGAAGCTGTACCGCAGCTTGCAGCATCATCAACGTTGGGCTCAAAATTAGATCGTCGTTCTGCTAATGCTAGTGCATCCTCCAGCATGGATGACGATACTAGCGATGCATCTGTTGTCTTTTTGAAGTCCAATCCGAAGCGACGCAAGCCCCAGCACGATGATGATCAGGATTCGTCGTCCGAAAGCAAGTACGGTTCTATGCGGCCAAAAAAGCGCGCTGCGCAGGACCCTTGGAAATCGCGCCCAAGTCTGGTAACGAGTGATTCTGACGATGAACATCTGACATCGAAGGATGCACCGTACGTGCTAGTATCGAGTGACAGTGACGATGCGGCATCTGAACCATCACATCCGCCGGCAGACCCCTCGCCTAGACCACCGACTGCTAGCACGCCCGTGAAATCAACAAGTACTGGAATAAGTATTGCCGGCCGTGCAAAACGAACGAAACTCAGCAAACAGGATCGTTTGCAGTACTGGCACAATAAAGCTCTGGCTCCAGCGCAGACAACCGGCAATGTGAGTCCATAGTGATATTTGCAAAACTCAATCGATCCAGATACCCTTTCCTCTTCCGTCTAAATATATCAGTCTTGTTCATGGGAATAAAGAACAGCAAGGTGAAAGCCTCCGCACGGATGGATTGACAAATTGCGCAAAAAAAAAAAAAAAAATGAATGAATACAAAGACCAAAAAGTTACGACGGCGTGGACTTATCGTAGGCTCGGCGCATTGCGTCCACCCAATCCGCACAGGATGTGTTCCGCGTGCGAGGAAGATAATGAGCATGTGCGAGTACAGGCAAGCGACGCAATGAGCGACCCGATGCACCATGACAATGCCTTGCAAGCTTGCACAGTTGCTGTGCGGGCGTCAATTCGTCAGAAGCATCCATGGCGTCGTATGAAGGAAACGGCTCCGGGGGCACCAAGTCCCACACGAATCAGCTCGAGCACACATGCCCGAAGCATCGAATACCCTGCTTCAGTGCCAGGTAAGCCAATGTACTGACGAATATCTGCGCGGTCGAGGAACGCGGAGTCAATTGAGTCCGACAAGTTTGACGTGGCCATGATCAGCACGTTGCGTCTATACTTGAGCTTATCAAGTTCTGTGAGAAGTGCATTCACAACTCGAATTGAATCACTTGGTTCTGTGCCTGCCACAAGCGAGTTGCGTGCTTTTGTAACACTTTCAACTTCATCAATGAGCACAACCACGAACCCTGCCTCGTCCTCCACAAGTTCCGTCACCATGTCAAAGAGTCGATGCACCAGCTTGCCTGACTCTGAGAACCATTTCGAAAAGAGTGAATGCGAGTTGATGTCCACAAGTTTGACGTGTGAATAGCGCTTTTGCAGTCGGATTGCCAGCTTTTGTGCGAGTGCTCGGCATAGTGACGTCTTGCCTGTGCCTGGTGGCCCATGCAGAAGAACTACTCGGTTCCACGCAATCACATGGAAATCAATGCCTGCATCAGAGAATTCCAGTGTCGAATAAATGTAATGCAAGAGATGTTCTTTCACATGGTCTGAATATACGAGCGTACGCCACAGACCATCAAGAGCATGGTTCGGCAGTTCAGATAGGGTTGCAGCCACTGCATTATCAGCCGCAGCATCTGCATCTCCCACACCGAACTCATCAACATTGTCATGGGGGCATGGCTGGTACACGTGCAACTCCATGTCGACCTCGTGCACAAGCACAGACGCAGATGGTGGATCTGACTCGCCCACATAAATTCGATCCACATGCTCTGCCAAAAATGTGTCGGCTTGCTGCCAGCCAGCCATTTCACTCTCACACTCTATAGGAGCATGTGGATCTGACTCGATGAACCGGCGTACTGCTGCTTCGATGTCCGCCGTGTCGAAAATCTCGATGTCAGATCGTAACCGCACCTCAACATGTACGAGAGATGATGTGCAGCTCGACATAGCCACTCTTTCCTTCCACTCCCCAAAAAGACTTGCACTCTCTGTGACAACACACACTGCAGGCACGCCACAACGCAGAGGCAACGGAAAAAAAAATCGACAATATGGCGGCCGACTGGTCAAGTCGCTGCAATCCTATCCTATTGGCAACGCGACGCGTCAAGGTTCGACACAGGTGACCTGAGAGACGAATTGCATCTCACGTGACGAGGTCTCTCAACACCGAAGCACACCCTCGTTGATCGCCCCTTGTAGTCACGCATAGCGCGGCGCTCAATAAGCCTGTCATCCTGTCTGCAGGCTTGCCTGACTCGCTTTCGGATGCGCCCGTCAAATCGCCAGCGGCTATGTTAGTCAAGACTAGCAGCTAGAGGACTGACGAGTCGGATTCGTGGTGGCAGCTAGTTGGTTCATTGGTCTATCGAGTATGTAAAGTGGAAAAGGTATCACGTACACAGAGGCGCAAAGGTATTACTGGCTGTGACTTTATTGGTCCTCGTTAGCGATTTCAAAGTCAGGGCCGTATGGACGGCTTTTAAAGAATGACTCGTCGAACCAGTTGATACGGACATAGCCGTCTTCACCACCGCTGGCATACGCGTTGCCAGTGGGATGCACGGCCAAAGTGTTGATAGGACCAAAGTGACCAGGAAGGCGGGCGCACTCTTCCTCAAAGATCTTGTGCCAGAAACGCGACTCAAATTTGCCCTGACGTGCACTCGTCGTGGTGACACTCATGGCTTCTTGACCACCACCCATCACGACATACGGCCGCGTAGGTAGAGAAATAGCCGAATTCAGCGGTGTGTCTGTAGCATACGTCTTGATCACATCAAGCGTCGATGCATCGATGATGTGAGCTGTCTTGTCCTTGCTAGAAGTAACGATATAGGTGCCATCCCAGCCGAGCTGCAAGTCAGTGACATTTTCCGCGTGGGCTTTGACTTGATGAATCTCGAGCTCAGCATCAATACCGGATTCACCTTCTTCAGTATCATGCGCATACAAAGCGACTTTCCCATTCTCATGTCCAGTGAGAATGTGCTTGTCGAATACGTCGAAGGAGGCCACAGTCGCTTTGCTGCCCGAAAATGTGATCGTGCGCATGGGCTCCGTCTCCTGCTTTTTCCATGAGGATGGGTCACGATTAATATTGAATACGCGCAGCGCACCACGATAACCCATCCGCTCCTCGGTCACCACGAGGATTTGTGTACCGTGCTTGTTGAACGATACACACTTGGCCGCCGTTGGGAACTCCCACACAAACAAGCATTCACCCGTCCGGACATCCCACAGACGCATTTGGTTGTCGGCAGATCCTGTGACAAGTAGAATGGTTTCCCTGTCTACGTCCACGGACCACACCGTACCATTGTGCCCATTATACGTGCCGAGCCGCTCGCCGTTATGTGAAAACCATACATTTACGAGGTTATCCTTCGATACAGAGAATAGAAGGTCGCCTTCGCGGTTGAACTTGATTTGATTCAGCGAACGGGTATGACCCGAAAGCACAATGGGACGCTGTCCAAGTTAGTACATGTGTTAGGGTGCGCGCATCAAGGAAATCCCGCAACCAGAAGCAGCCAGCCAAATTACTTGCTAGCTCGAGATGTGATGCACGAGCGGCAAGTTCGGAACCATCCGACATCAAGCGGGGATGCCTCGATCCGCCTGAGCTTTTGTGTCTACATACCATACTGATTCGTCCGTGCCCAGCGTCGCAAACGGTACAAACGATGGCGACGATGCAAAAACTAAGAAGATGGGATCACGTGTACCTCGGCCGAAATAGAAGCGTCGACTCCGCGCAAAGGATGCACAACGAAGCGTAGTCATCAGTCGTAGCGCTGCTCCTGAGGCGATTTGAACAAAGCTTCTTCGACTCGGCGTCCATATCGGCTCACCGGATACTTTTGACTCTGGACAGTACAAAATGGGACAAATCTTGTCGGAGCCTATCGTCGACAAGGTACGTTGTACTTTGGGGCGTGCGCCTCTAGGGATGCATGCTTCTGGAGTTGTCGCCATTTCCAGCGGTCCAAATACTAACATGCGTATTTGCTTCCCCATACGATTGGTTTCATCCGGGTGGGATTGTGATATCTTTCTCTCTTCCAACAGCGCACTTCCCAAGATGAAGATGAAAATGTGGCATTTTGCGTTTCTGACATGCAAGGCTGGCGAATCTCTATGGAAGACGCCCACGCAGCTGTCTTGAATCTCTCGAACGACCCCGCAACGAGCCCCGCTGGACGTACAAGTTTTTTTGCCGTATATGATGGACATGGCGGTATGTTTTTGCAAAGCCGCAGACTCGCGTGCGTTTGACTTACACAACAGGCGCAAATGTCGCACGGTACTCTGGACGTACGCTTCACACGCGTCTTCTGGCACTCCCTGAGTTCCAGGAGAAAAACTGGGAAGCAGCCTTGCATCGCGCCTTCCTTAAGACTGATGAAGATCTGCGTATGGATCCCGTGTATGCGAATGACACGTCCGGCTGCACAGCTGTGGCCGCGCTCATTGTGCCGGAACCAGGATCGAAGGGTAGGCGCATGTACGTGGCCAACGCAGGCGACTCGCGTTGCGTGCTGGGGCTTGCTGGCAAGGCCAAGCCTATGAGCCACGATCATAAGCCAGGAAATGCAGAAGAGCATGCGCGTATTTTGAACGCGGGTGGCTTTGTTGAGTTTGATCGTGTGAACGGCAACTTGGCACTGAGCCGCGCTATTGGCGATTTCGAGTTCAAGCAAAATGCATCGCTGCCGCCCGAGAAGCAGATTGTTACAGCCGATCCCGAAGTTTTGTCGCACTCATGGACAGGTGAGGAAGAGTTCCTTGTGCTCGCATGTGACGGTATTTGGGACTGTCTCTCGAATCAACAGGTTATCGATATTGTCCGAAGAGGAATTGCGGAAGGCAAAGCGCTTGATGTGATTACGGAAGAATTGATCGACCGATGTCTAGCACCTGACGCCGAAGTCGGTGGCATCGGCTGCGACAACATGACCCTGCTGATTGTTGCATTGCTAGGTGATCGGACAAAGGAGGAGTGGTATCAATGGGTCAAATCGCGTGTCGACGACAAAGTAGGCCATGAAACACCAGAGTCTGTACCGCCTGTGTTTCGATCACACGGGCAGCAACAACACCAGGCGTCGTCGACCATGCTAGGCGGTGCCGCTGCTAATGCCCAGCACAATGTAACCATGTCTCTGAATGGACTGAGTGGAAGCGATATTCTTTCTGCGATTCCACGAGTTCTCTCCGGTCAAGCTGCCCACGAAGACTTTGATATCCAGAATGCTGACGACAACGACGACCATGGCCGCATCGTGTCAGCCGATGAAGACGAGGCTCCTTCTAAACAGTAATTAGCAAGCGATGAGATGATTGCACGCGCTAAATGTAATTTCTAGCATTTAACGAAGGAGGAGGACAGCTGGAAGAGAGTATTGATGAGAGTATGGGTGAGGTGGTGGAACCAGATGCTTGTGCCTTTCGTGATAGCTCGCTGACCATGTGCAACATGTTGGCGTTAATACCAGGAAGTACATACAATAACCATCTTCATTTTTTTTCGGACGCGTAATATTTATTTGAATGTGTATCTTACTTTAACTAAGCACTACAGTAGCATCACGTCGTAAGTGGTCCGTCTTTGGCTCCTGCATTGTAAATGTACTGGGATACACGTCGCATCAGAATGAACAGTTGCTCAAGGGTAGGTGATGGGGTATAACCTGCCGAGCAACTGAACTCGTACCGGTGTTTCTCAAACGACAGGACCGCCTTGTAATGCAAATAGATTGCAAGCACGATGGCTAGATGCCACAGTTGGTGTGAATGACCAACAATGTCGAACTTCCCTGGCGCCACGCGCTCAGGCCATCGTAATCCGTATACGACGACACCCGCGATGTACGAGAGCAAGCTTGGAACAACAGGTCCGTAGAAGCGAACCATGGGACCAAAGCCATGGAGTACAGCACCGTGCACAAATGGCACAAATCCCATACAAGCCATTCCAATGAACATGGCTATACGAATGGAGCGGTAACTCGGGTCATTGAACCATGCAGACCAAGGCAAGACAGACATTGCAATGCCGACGCCAATGACGCCTATCGTGTAGATGGCAATGAGCCCGGGCTGGCAGTAAAAGCCATTGAACACCAGAGTCTCGAGTGATGCAGCGACGAGCCAAGATATTCCCGTGTAGTCAATGCACGCAAAACACATGAACCATTGAATATCTGCGCAGCCCGCCATGACGTGCCATGAAATTGAGCAGAGCAGACATTTCGCAGCGGCAAGCAAATACATAATCATCATCCACCGATCCGCTGTGGTGGTCGTATCGGAATCAACGGAGCCTGTCAGCCAAAACAAAAAGGACACAAGGAGCAGTCCACTCAAATGCGTATGAATGTTGCCTGTCTCATTGTGAACACGAAAAGCGCTAAGGATCAGATTGTGCCATTGGTCCTTGGGAATAAATCGATATCCGGTCGTGATAAAGTCGTTATTGCGCCACAGCACCGGAAGAGACTGGTAGGGTATGAGTTCTCGGCCATTCTTTGCCAGACGTAGGGCAGCATGGTACAGAGCATCTTCCACATCGTGTACTGCGTGCACAAACTGTGCACCAGCTTCTCGTCCACAGCGCCCAATCGTTTGAAGTGCCTCTTCCACATGTTGTGGCAAGTCGTGTAAGGAAGGTATGTGCTGTGGCAGCATCGATTGCGCATCATGCGCCCATGATGATGATGATTCTCGCAGCGAAGGCAGCGTGACATTTTGGATATGGCCTCGGACAGCCGCGAGACTTCGTTGCACTTCTTCCGACAAATAGGCTGCTGTCGCGGGCATACGGGATGCCCATCGTCTTGGGATTTGCTTCATTTCCGCAGCCGAAACGCTGTCAAAAAGTGTTGGATGTAGGGTATGTACGCGTCGTTCCCATTCAGTCATGAGTGTGTAGACATGTCCCTTTACTTCGCTTAGAGACGACAACTTATCAAACCACTCGGCACCTCCATGTGCCAACGACCAGTCCCGCATCATACGGACCATGGCGTCGTGCGCAGCACTGAGTCTAGTTTCCATGTGCTCCAGCGGGACAAGTATCGAGAGTTTGTGCGCCTGGTTCGCATGTACAAGTTGCTCAATGTCATGAGCATACTCTGCCATGCGCGCACGTACATAAGCAAACCAGTACGGCAATGATGGTGCAAGATCCAATGAGTCTACGATGGAGCGAGTGCTTGCATCGTCGCTTAGACTTGCTTCGCCACTATCCTGGTCGAAAGAAGCGGCACGCTTCAGCGTCGGTCCATGCTTCCGATGAGATAGTGAGGGTCGTTCCTCAAGGGCAGACGTCGTAGCTTGCACCTCTGCCTTTTCGTCTCTCATGTGCCTGGATTGAGCTAATCAACCGCACCTAACGCGTTGCCGCACGCACACACACGCGAATTGGAAAAAGGCAACTTTGTGATTACTATGCTTACAGAAAAGTGAATTTGAAAAAAAAAGAAAATCTTACTTGTCAGATCGACTAAATGTAAAATTGTTGAATGCCCGCACCCACCTTGAGAATGGCTTATAGATGATGACTAGCGACGATACCAAGACTTACGAGCAGACTTTTGTCCACGCGTATTTCCTAAATAACAGAATCATCGGAATTGCCAGGCCTCTTCGTCCCAATCTTCAACAAGCTCCCTGTCATTCTTAAACATTGGGCCAAAGTTGCTGAATCCATCCCTTAGCACAAACACTTGCTGCGACGTCGGTGGCAATCGACCTGCATCAACGGCTGCATCGCGAATTTCTCGATATATACGCGCAGCTTTGGGCCCGCTATTATAAGCATATGTAGAGTCAGGTCAGTACGTACCGCTGTTGTGAGAGTGAGCAATGGAAGACGACTTGTTCGTCTGGACGTTAGATCTGTCCATCATACACACAAACGTGTACGAAAACAAACGTACATGGTTCAAGTGGCTTCAACAATGAGTTGACTCTATCAAGGAACGTAGACGATGGTGCGTGTACTGCGCCTTTGATGTGCCCGCCTTCATAATCGTCGTCTTTGACAGCGTTAGCCCAGCGCCTAGCATAAAAAGTCGGCAACACAAACCTCGAACATCGACGACAGCCACCTTGGCTCCGTCCTCGGTGCGCTTCTTGATATGAGAGGCAAGGACATCGGCATCCATATATGTGTAGGGTGGCCGACACGACATGGATGTGTATCTACACGCAATATACGACCTGGCTTTATGCCATGGAAGCGTTGCCGGGCGGAGCATGTTGGTGGCCTTGAAGGAGTTGTGCAAGTTCGGCCGAAGTGAGATCGCTCGATCAGCGTTTACGCGCAACCCTACACATGCATTTCTCAGCGCCCTTTCGCGTCGACATATTAGTGTGTGAGCGACTACATATATTAGGCTACATCTCTTCATCATTCTCCAAAAGCGCCTCGTATTTTCATGGTAGTTGGCGTATCAACATATACGCCGCCAAGTGAAGCGCGCGCAGATGTTGTACAGAAAGATGTGCGCGAGGCCATCTCCAAGCTAATCGCTTACACAGCACGAGACTTGGGCTTCGACGCCTCGCGCAGTCAAGCTCTCGAACGGTTTGGTGAACTCGTAGACACTTGTACGTTGCATAGAAATTTCTTCTGACGCCAGTTATTATGACACTGTTGCATAGCTGTACACAATACTCCAGCTTGTCGAACAGGAACCAGCCGACAGTCCACGATATGATCGACACGTTTGAGGGACTCGGTCTGTCACTCACTGAACTGGGCGCTTTCTCCGAAACAGTCCGTCGACACGAGGAGGGCGCAAAGCGATACCATATCCAAGTTGGGAGGCCGAAGCGTGGGCATGAAAACTGGGAGAACCCAAGTGCTTCTTTCCTGCCCTCTGACGATCAAAATGAGACTGATAACAATAACGCGAGTTCATCAACTTGGGCCACATTGATGCACGACATTGTGCCTGATCACCTACCGCCGGAACCTCCGCGACATTGCTGGATGTTCACGCCCGTGTACGCGACGGAGGTCCTGTCTGACATGCCTGCTCTACAACTCGTGAATCGGAAACTGGACAATGCGCGTCTTGTAGAGTCATCGCTCCGAAAACTCATCAAGCACACTGATTCCGCAACGCCTTTGAAGCCTTGGGTTTCACAGCAAGCGCCTAAACTTACCGAAGACGGCGTGCTGTCGTCGCAGAAAGCCTGCGCGATGAATGATGCTGATCAGTCCAGCATGTCTGTCGACGAGCCTATGACAGTGTCGGAGCTGGAGTCATCATCGCGAGAGCCACTTACGACAGAATCTATGCGGCATTGGGGAAACAAGGAACGTCACGATTCAGCGCGGCATGCGCTGCCGCGCGCTGTGAACTACAAAGCGGCATGGTATGCATCCTTTACATCGACAGACAGCAAGCTACCAACATCCAACCTATATACAGCGCGGTTGCGTGGAAATATGGACGAGTCATCGCGGCGACCTCGTCGATTTGTCGTGCCGTCCTAGACGAGTTGCCGTGACTTACGCCTTGTTATACCGAATACGCCACATTTCTGAACATGTTTCTTGTGAACATTGACTTTTCGTGTTTCCAATGTCTATAATAACCTATTCGTACAGCAATCAAACAACATCGTCACCTTTGTGTTTACTGGCGCTTCGAGCTTCAATCCGCTCGGCGCGTCGGAAGTAGATACGCTTGATGTATTTCCAAGACTCAACGCCTAAGAAAAAGATGGCCGTGCAAACAAATATAATTCCCCATTCCCAACCCTCTCGGTCTTTGTGCAAGAAGACAATGTGATTTAATCCTGGGATATAAATGATCGGGAAGACACTGATAAATCCCAAGATAACACAGGCGAATAGGAATTTGTTTCTCCATGTGTCAACGAACCACTGATTGTACCAGTGCGCGTCAGTTCCCATGGCAAAAAACGAGCGGCGCATGTGAGTTACCTCCCAAGCCAAAAACAGAGAGAACCATGTCATGACAACGAAGGTGGCACCACGCGCACGGAATACTTCAAGGCAGCTATCATTGTAGCTGTCGTTGCAGTCTAGACCCAAATCTCCACTGCCCCACCTGTATAGGATAAGGGAGAATGTGGCAAGACACAGGGCGGCCATTATCAAACCATACACAAGCAGGTCACACAAAACCTCAAGATTAAACACACCAAAGCGTGACCTATTCGGTTTCTGCTTCATGACATCAACAGCAGCAGCCTCCATACCGAGACCCATGGCCGGAAAGCCACTGGTCACCATGATAATATACAGAATTTCAACCGGACTCAGTGGAAATACAGACAGTCCAGTATCGTCTTTGAATGCCAATCCGATCAACAACACACATGCCTGGCCGACGTTCTGCGCAAGCAAGTGCAAAACAAATTTGCGAATGTTGGAAAACATACGGCGACCTTCTTCCATGGCGTGTCCGATTGACGCAAAGTTGTCGTCTGTAAGAACAATGTCAGACGCATCTTTCGCTACGTCGGAGCCGGCCATACCCATCGCAATACCCACGTCTGACAGCTTCAGAGAGGGTGAGTCATTTACACCGTCGCCCGTCATTGCACAGAAGCGCTTACGGCGATGGAGTGCCTCAATCATCCGTACCTTCGTCTGAGGTGCACATCGGGCAATGACCAATGGAAGTTCCGGCAATTGGTCGATTTCCTCATCTGACTTTCGGTCAAATTCAGCTGCCGTCATCACTAGAGAACTAGTCTTTTCGTCCACATTCGGCGGAAGAATGCCAACTTGCTCAGCAATGGCCTTAGCTGTGCCGGCATGATCACCTGTAAGCATGTGCACTTCAATACCTGCTGTGTGGCAAGTGTGCACGGCATCGCGTGATTCGGGGCGGGGTGGATCATACAATCCCACAAGACCAAGAAACACCATATTAGATTCAACAGACTCGCGCTCGAGCGACTCGCCTTGAGACGCTTCCTTGTCGGACAAGGGGCGATGAGCTAATGCAAGAACACGAAGTCCCAATTTGGCAATTGCGTTCATTTGACTAATGATCATATCTTTGACGTTTTCATTCATTTCTTCTTTACCATGGTCCTCTGGCTTCGTCTGGATGTACCTGCAAGCAGCAAGTACATATTCAACAGCGCCTTTCATCAAGGCGCGATGCTCGCCAGTCGGCTGATATGTGTACGTTACAGCCATGCGTTTGAGTGAACTGTCGAATGGATACTCGCCAATTTGTACCCATTCGCCATTTACGTTATCTTCCGACTTGCCAATCTTGGTTTTGGGCATGTCGAAGCGGAAAGCGAGAGTCTGGAGTGCGCTTTCGGTCGGATCGCCATGGGCCGTCCAGGCATCGGCATCCTCGTCGTAAAACACTTTGGCCAAGTTGCAGATGGAAGTGACTAATAGCATGTCATGAAGTGGCTGGAGCTTTCCACTTAGGTCTTCCTGAGGGCGGCCCTCGCTAGCAACTGTAACACAATCAGATTTTTCGTCATTAGGGCGCAGAGTCACTTCTCCTTTGTGTGGATTGAAGGGCTCATTTGTCTCAGAAACGTCCAAGTCGCCTACAGAAGGAAGCCATATCTTTCGCACGACCATTTTGCCCTGTGTAAGAGTGCCTGTCTTATCTGAGCAAATATCCGTGATGGAACCGACAGCCTCCAAAGACTCGAGCTTACGGACAATGACGTTTCGCCGTACCATCGCACGACTTCCCATGGACATTGTAATGGTCAGTACGGCTGTCAGTGATGCTGGGATCATCGAAAACACCAGTGGCCACAGCATAGATAATGACCTCATTGTCATGCCAGTTGTTCGAGGCAAACACGATGATCGCGAAGATGACGGCAATCACAAACAGGAGTACTGCCAACTTTGACAGCATGATCTGCAGAGGTGTACCGACGTTGAGTCCCAAAAATGCAAGTACATGGTCCATAATGGTCAAAGCTCCTGCCTCGATATAATGGTGAGGTCTCTTTTTTCCATATGCATTGCGTTTGACCTCCCGGATTTTGCGGTTCTTCGATGCACCTTGTAATGCGTCGGCAATTTTTCCAATCTCCGTGCGCATACCTGTGCTGGTTACAAGCACAGTGGCACGACCCTTACTCACAGACGAAGATGCATAGACCATGTTCAGTCGGTCACCGATGCCAACCTCGTCATTTTCAGGCCCCGTGGGTTGGAAGGTGTCCTGGGCGTTCTTGGCAACAGGGATGGATTCACCTGTCAGAAGTGCCTCGTCTGTTTCTAAGTTCATACATTCGATGACTCGGCCATCCGCAGGAATGGTATCGCCAGTAGCGAGTTCCACAATATCACCGGGGACAACCTCAGGTGCAGGAATTGTCATCGAGTTGTGGTCGCGAATCACTGTTGCAGTCGGTGAAGCCAACGAGCGCAAAGAGCTCATGGTCTTCTCAGCTGAGTACTCTTGAATGAAGCCGACAAATACATTGATGCCCACGACGCCACCTATAACACCGCCCTCAATCCACGACGTGATCGCAAGTGAGACAATCATGGCAATAAGCAGGACTAGCGTCATCGCATTGGCTATCTGGTTGATCAAGATTTTAACCGGGCTTACGCTATCGCCACTGCTCAGTTCATTATTTCCATAATGCTTGAGACGTTCTCGTGCTTCTTGGGTTGTGAGTCCCTTGCTTTTGTCGGAGCGAAGTGCCTCGAGCACTGCACGGGCGTCGTAGCGATGAGGGAACTCGCGTGCCTCTTCCTCGCTGGGAGGAGCACTATAAGCTGAGGAAAGTTGCTTGTCGTCGAAAGCTGCGTTCTTTTCGATGCTCGATAGTGACTGAGTCTTAGAGTTCATACAAAAACCAGCAATGATTGCTTGTTGGAAGGAATCTCCTCACACCAAGATCCGTGCGCTTTTAAGTGTTCAGGTGTTTGCCGACGTGGCGAATGCAGACGAGATCCGTTTCATGCAGGCGTTTTAATTCGTTCGTTGTGATTGGTCTATATCCATGCCAAGAAATTTTTTTTCATCGCCACGAATCTCAGTTGGGCACCTAGATCCACTCACAGACTTGGGTTGCAACACAATATGATAATCACAAGTCTGTGTTTGGCTGTTTGGCTGCTGCAACTGCAGCTCACTGTAGTGGCGCAGACTTCGGCTTCGTCGAGCCGCTCATTCTCGGCAACTAGATATTCGAGCACATCGAGAACGGGCGTCTCAGTCTCATCGGCAGCTCATGGGACGTCTTCGAGGAATAGGACGTCTTCATCGAAACCAGCTAGCTCGACTCTGCCTCCGCTTCCAGAAGGGTTCATGAACCCATTGGATACGGGTGGCAGTATGCTTGGAGTATGTACAAAAGATGGAAGCCAGACTTACGCGAAATCAGCAATATCCAGACCGTCCAAACGAAGGCGAGCCGCTGAATGTCATTATTTCTAATACCTCTTCAGCTGATATACTCAAGCCTGAAAGGTTCTTGATCTGGGCTACGTACGTTATTCCTGCTTAAAAAATAAAATATGGGCAATTGTGCCTTTCTTTGTCGCCTCCATGTGATGATGTTTACTGACATGCCAGCGCTCTTGGATTTGGCGTCTCTTGCCTAGGACAGGGCGATCCACAGACCATCATGTATGCAGACCTAGGGTATCTGAATCACCACGTAAAGCAAGGCTCTGCATCTGGTATGAATGGTGTCTTGCGGTGGAATTACGGTTCTCCTGATATTGGAACATGTCGAGAATCCATATCGGGTGGCAACCACATTCGCTGGTTCAGGCAGCGGATCGGCACGACAACTTCAATTTTCCTTACGGTTTCGTACGAACAAAGTCTCGCGAATTTACACAATCTTCAGAGAGACGGGTACAATCGGGGGCGTGATGATGTCGTGCGGATAGCAACTCAAGAGAACGGGATTGAATGGGAAGGCAATGTGTTCAACGCCACAGTAAAATGGATTGAGGCAGGTCGACTCATGAATGCTACTTCAAAAAATATTAGCCATGCTGAAATGGCAAATAAGGACCAACCTGTTGTTGATGGACGCGTGGCTGTGTTGTATGTTAACACTGTTAAACGATCCGACGAAGAGCAGCGCAGCGTAGCGGCGCGTTCCTTGCCTGCCATTTGTTCATCCAGTTTCCTGTTAACAGTGTCCACTGTGCTAGTTGTAGCAAGCACATTTTTGTTATGAATAGAACGATTTTTCTGTAAAACATACCCAAACAAATGATAATATAACTTGGCCCTAACTACATGACCAAAGTTTAAGAAACGTAAGTATCGAGTGATGCTGTCTCGATTTTCCAAAAAAAAGTAATTTAACAAAAAATCAACATTAAAATAATAACCAAATCAAGGACCTATGGGGACGAAACGGCGAGGAGAATGGGAGAGTCGGGGCCTCGATGCTCATGAGGTTCACAAGCACTTCCGATGATCATGTTTGCGATTGACGCACCCGACTTTATGCTTTGACTCGCTCTGTCGCAACAATACTGACAACATTTTCAAAGTCTAAGGCAGTTCAGAGTGGCCCAAGTTTTGCTTAGGAGCCACTCTGTCGCGAATTAAGTTTTTGAGCTCGCGTAGCTCAGGGAAGCCACGACGGGTCTTTCGGTCCCAAATAAGAATGACTTCCGTTGACTCACGTGTGCCTTCAGACTTGACAATCCAAACACGGAACTGACCAGCCGTGTCTGTCGTGGCATGTGGGATCAATAAAGTGGAGGCAATGAACCCACCGCCAGAAGCCTGAGAACAGCTGTCGTCCAAAAATGCCTTCTCAGAGAAGGTGAGCAGCAATTCCGTCTGAAGCCACGTTGCCCGATGAAGCCAGCGACATCGATCACAGTACTCAATGATAAGACAAGGCTTAACCATGCTCATGGCATGCTCGAGAGAAATTGGAGCTTGGATAAGAGGAATTTCCGGCTCCGAAGCACCACTAGGACCTGAGGACCCTGGCACAATACCAGTCGAGGATGCGGCCGATGAGGAACGAGCCTCAGAAGATATTGGGACCACGACATGGACAGGCGTCTGGCCTACAGGAGACGTAGACTTGCTGCCCGATTCAGCGGGTGCAGCTGATGACGCCGGCGCATCGAGCATGTGTGGGTCCTTTTCTTGCGATTCAGACTCAGGCAATGTCACTTGGTCGCGAGCTTCTGTTTCTGGTGGAACAGACGACAAAGTATCGATGCGTGCTTCCTCTTTCGACGGCATGCTATCAGTGACAGCGGCAGTAGCAGCCGCAGCAGCACCTAGAGCCGCACCTGCAACACCGGCGGCGGCCGCGGCGGCAGTGGCGTTAGTGTCATCGGCATGACTACTAGAGCGAAGCAGATCGCTCAATGGCTCTTGATCAGGAAGCGTTTCCGTCGCTAATTCATGCTCAGGCACTGGCTCGGACACATGCTCTAACGAATGTAATGGCTCAGGCGGCTGGGTCTGAGCGGGATGTACATCATTGGCACTCTCCTGTGTCGCAGATGGCAAAGACTCAGATACAGATGCCTCGGCATCGTGTGTGGCCTTAGGCAGTGGCTCAGATTCCAGCGCTTCTGTTGCCAAAGTGTCAACGGGCACGGTTTCTTGGACAGGCTGAGAGTTCTGAACAGACTTCTCGGGCAGTGGTGGAGGAATCTGCGAGTCAAGCGGCACGGACGTATGCTCACCAGGCACTGGTTCTGGCTCTGGCTCTGGCTCTGACTCTAGCTCCGACTTCGTCGGCGGAACAGGGGCCTCAGTCACAGAATCCTCCATTGTCGTGGTCTGAACCACCGTCTCATCAATAAGAGCTGTCTCTGCAACAGTATCATGGATCGCCAGAGACTCTGGTACAGGCACACCTGATGGCCCTGGCTGGACGACCGAGTCCTGGACAGAGACAGGTTCCGGCACAGTTTTATGTAATGGCACATCGCCATGTTGTGTTGCAGGGAGCACGGTCACATCCTTCTCGCCAGGCACTGGGTGAACAGGAACGTGTGTATTGGCTGACAGTCCAGATGGCTCCGACACATGCTCCGTCTCAGGCGCATTTGTTGTGAAGGGAGCAGACTCTTTCCCGGTCAAGTCCACGGGCACATGAGGCGCAGAAACCATCTCCGATTCATTCATGACCGTCTGCTTGACTGATGCTGCATCTTGGTGTGTCCGCTCCGGAACAATGCCTTGCTCGCTAAGATCGCGCAACGTTGGCTCGTGGGATTGATTCTTGATAGGCTCTGTTGCTCGCGTAGACATTCGATCAGGCTCAAGTGTGTCATGACCTGTCATCGGAGCTTCCTCCGCAGTATCAACAGCTGGCAAGTTGCTGGGGAATTCAGGTGGCGTCGCCATCTTTTCCGTCGGTGCGGAGGTAGATGAGAGGACATCTGTCGCTACACTTGAGGGCTTGTCTGATGTAGGTTCGGACGTGCCAATGGGAAGAGACGTCACTGGCTCAACAGTATCGACATCCGCAAGCAGCGATTCATTCTGGTTCTCGTGGGGCCAAGCAGATTCCGACACTGCCCAAGGCGCTGACGGTCCGTCTGGTACGCCCCAATCTTGGCCGTGGTGAGATGGTAACTTGGTGGGCGTGGCCTTGGGTGTACGCTCAGATGCCAGTGCTGAATCCGCAGCGTCTGCTGGCGGAGGCGCATTTGCGGGCGTCTGTGCAGCAGCATCATGGTCTGGACGCTTGCGCAGAGGAGGGCTTCTGCGTGGTGGAAGAGCTGGTGGCACCACTTGAGGGCCAGAAGGCGCCTCCGTGGTTGGCTCGACAGGATTGAATATGGAAGATGGATCGGCTGATGGCGGCTTAGGTGGCTCTGATGAATAACCGAATGAACGGCGCGCTTCCTTCACATTTGGAGGTGTGACTTTAATGACCTCTAGGCGCTTGAACTCGGGTGAGTCACGTGTGTGTGCGGGCGTATTAGGCGCCGCAGATGCTGCGTGCGTTGGGATGTCGGCAGCTGGTGGCTGCTTAGCTGCATCACCTGTGGCCATTAAGGACTTCGCCGTTGGGCCAGTGGGTGCACGAGCAGACGCTTCCATCGGTGGTCGCGTAGGCGGAGCCATAGGGCGAGCCATCGGATGACCCATTGGTGGACCCACTGTTGGACCCATTGGTGGGCCCATCGGTGGACCCATCGGTGGACCAACTGGGAAGCCGGTCGGTGGTCGCATAGCCGGAGCGATCGGGCGAGCCATTGCAGGACCCATCGGCGGACCCATCGGTGATACCATGGGAGAACCCACCGGTGAGCCCATCGGCGAACTCATTGGTGGACCCATCGGCGTTGGCATGGGAGGCCGGATTGCCATACCCATAGGAGCACCTTGCATAACTGGGTTCGACATGCCTTGAGCGAATGATGGAGACGGAGCAGATGCGTACATTGTAGAAGCCATGTCCGAGTGCCTTCTACCCGCCGGGCCAATGTTTAGCGGTTGCGTTTCAGGAAGAAGCGGCCTTGCATTCGCCTGCGGAAGTGACATCGGCGGTGTCTCGATTTGAGAAGGATCCATGGCGTTCGCAGATGATGCGTCTTGGTTTTTGCCAGCAGTCTTTGAGTCCTTCACACCTTTGTTCGAATCACGCTTCGAAGACCGCTTGATAAAGCAGAACAAGTCACGCTTCTTCGGCGATTCCTGTCGGGGTGCGCCACCATTCTTAGACGAAGGGTCAGCCTTCTAAAACGAAAGCCTCGACGGCGTTTTACGCTCAGAGGCTGACTTGCCTGGGGGTGCCGAATTGGGGGGGTGTAGCGAATCGGAACCACGTTGACCCATACGCAGATCCGATGAACCGGGACCATTCGGTGCACCGGGCGGGGACACAGGCCCCTTGAAACCAGGCCCCATCGTACCAGGGCGTGGCTCCATCGCACCTGGCGCTCCTGGGGGCGGCATTGGTGGCCGCATAGGACCACCGCCCATAATCGCCGATTGCGAGTCCAGCAGACTCGGTGCGCTTGTTGAGGGCACCATATAGCCAGCGCCGGCAAATGGCGGCCTCATACCCATAGCATCTGGCGCACCTGGCTGTGGCACTGGCGGTTGCGGTGGCACCGAGACCATCATGCCCGAAGGCGACATCATGGTTCCCATGGGTTGACCGTACGGTGCACCCGCATAGTTCATGGTTGACGGTGGCGCATTCCAGGTGGGGCTCGTTGGCATTGGCATTGCAGCATTCAACTGCGGCTGAGCATAAGTTGACATCAGCGGCATCGAGCTGGAGCCACGCATTTGTGAATTGGTACCTGTGCCGGATGGTGCCCATGGCTGATACATATTTGGGTCATAAAATGCTCCGCTTCCGTTGCCTGAAGTGCCAAAGCCAAGTCCTTCGTTGTATCCCTGTTGAACATGAGGTTGCACTTTGCCCATATCCGAAGTCAGCTCCGCAGGGTACGAATGTGGCGCCGACTGAGAAAATACGTCGTTGGCAACACCCCCTTCTGGCGGAGGAACCTGGCGCTTGGCGGCTTGCTCACCATCCGAACTTGAAGGAGCGTCAAAGGGCATCTTCTGCGACGCAGTGCCAACAGATGCTGGCATTGACACGGGCTCATGCGTCACGTGCAAGTCCTCGTTCAAAGGAGCTGCATGCTGATGCGCATAAGGAGCAGTGTTGGAGTGGAAAGCATCTGAATCATGAGGGGGCACAGACTCACGTGCATGTGCCTGGGCCGCCACGACTGACTCACGACCGTCTGATGAATTCGTCTCGAGCGACAAAGGCATCGATGCGCTCGGTGGAATGGACGAAGGAGCCTGAGCATCTGGTTCAACAGACGCAAGGGACATGGACGAGGCGTTCATTTGGGAACGCGGCTGTCTCGGCACCTTGCGAACAAGCGATGGTGGCTCAGGTGCGTAAATCGTATAGGTCCCTTCGGGCACCCGAGCAGCTCGCTGTTCCGCCAAATCACCTGATCTGACTGCGCTGCTCAGCGACGCGGTTGATGCTGCATTTCGAACTCGCATCTGAACACCCTCCGCGTAAGGAGGCACACCGTCTTCAGGCACAAACCTTGCACCGTTGTTAGTAAGTGTGGCGCGCGACGAGCGAATCGACAATTTTTGAGGATTTCTGTGCTCCTGCTGAGTCATTCCAGGAGACACAGCAGCTGAGGAGGGAACTTGGGCCTGGGATGCGGGAGCTTGCGAGAAAAGCTGTTGCGGCGTGTCTAGTGACGCAACGGGATCCAGTGCTGAAGCAATAGGAACGCTCGTGCCCCAAGACGACATTGTATGCCCGACAAAAGGCGATTCACGCATGCGCATGGACGGCATGGATGGGCTGAAGCGCAGAGAGCGTGTTACGCTCTTGGGACTTGGGCGCCGAGGACGTAGCGGCTCGTAAGGAGCAGTTGGAAAAGCCGATTCTTGTGATGCAGCCAAAGGTGCTTGCCTTGGTGCCTCTGCCTCCTGCGTATCTTGTGGGCCAGTATGAAAGGGCGTGTGAGACGTGAATGAAGACTCTTCACCAGGCAATTGCTCATAGGCCTGGGGATTGACGCTATCTTGCTCCATCGTAGGCTGAGACACCATTCCCGTTTGCGACATGGCGGGGTACTCTGTCGCCTGGTCTGTGCCGCTAGGCACACGTGCATCTGAAGGAGGAAGATGCTCTTCGACAAACCCGTCCCGATTATTGCTAGCACATAAGGGCTGCGATTCTTCAGCGCTCGGCTGGTCATTTGTGGGGATCGAAGTAGGTACTGCTGATGGTAAACCTGACGCTGAATTTACGGAGCCAGTGCCTCCCTCAGTCGTCAGATTGTGTGTATCAACTTGACGACTTGTTGCTATTGCCTGCGGCTTGCCGGCAACTTCACTGGGTGCAGCAGCAGCAACGCCTGGGGCGGATTCCGCAGGGGCATCTGTGTCAGGCACCGTCGCTGGCATGGAAGATGGCAATGGACCGGTATGTGCTGCCACCGCTGCCGCTGGCTCTTGCTCTGGTTCGCCCTCGGACGCAGCCGAAGGTGCATACTCTGGAGCTGAGCCAGCCCCAGCAGCAGGAATAGCATCACCCGGGGCAATAAAATCTATATCATGACCTTCATGGTTCTTGCTTGATACATCCAGTGTTGCCGAGGCCCTCGCACGATCTTGAGAGCGTGGCGGGATAGCCGGAGCCTGGCGACTGTACATGGCCATGGGATGAGAAACCGAGCCCGGATCGTCACTGTCCAAAAACTAACTCACTGTAAGCTATTCTTGTCGCTTTAGGAAATTAGATCTCGCATCAACAAACACACGATCTTATCACGTGATAGTACTCGGGTGTGACGATCGGTTGGACAATCGTTGTTACTCCACCAGCACGGCCGAGAGAGAGACAAACAGACCATGCTGGTCGTACGATTGCCAGCGCTGGCCGAGCCGCTGGAGCTGCCGCGAAGAACGCAGGATGATGCTCGGGGGCAACGAGTATTCTCTCGCAGCTGCACTGTGGGCTCATGCAAACCTGATCCGATGTCTGAGCTAGCAGCGGCATCTCCATCAGCTGGACCCAGTCCTTCAGTCGTCGACGCGCCCTTGACAACCAGGCTGCCTTACAACGTGCCTCAAGACAATGACATCCAGATACCTGCATACGCACGCATTTCTACGCGCGCCGAGCATGACCTGCGCCGCTTGTATGAGGCGGTTCGTCAGGCGCGTCGTATTACTGTCGTGTGTGGCGCAGGAGTCTCTGTATCATCGCCAGCGAATATACCCGACTTTCGCTCGGCGTCAGGCCTTTTTGCCACTCTAAAAAAACGATACCCAGAGAGTGGCTTGTCGAGTGGCAAGGACTTGTTCGATGCACGCCTTTTCCAATCAGAGAGCTCGACGGCATTTTTCAATTCGATGATCGCCGAGCTGAAAGACTTGTCTGACGCGGCGCAGCCCACGCTATTTCATCACATGCTCAAGCGCCTTGATCGAGAGGGGCGGCTTCAGCGCGTGTATACCCAGAACATCGATGGTTTAGAAGAAAAGGCTGGTCTTACTCTTGGCTTTGGTTCACCGGGCGCGTCAATTCCCACAAGCAAACGCAAGCGTGAGCCAGTGATGCGGACACAGTCACGACAACATCTATTTGCTCGGTCGCAATCCGATTCATCTGTAATGCATGGCTCATCGACACAGGACCGAGGTGCATGCCAACCGCTCTTTCCGCGTGCTATTCCCCTCCACGGCAGTCTAGCTAGTATGACATGTGTGCTCTGTTCACACAAGTTACGCCTCGAGCGGAATCAGACGCAGGCTGAACAGGCGTTGCATTCTCTGCACCATGGCGAACCTGTGTGGTGCGAACAATGCGAGATTACGGACCAACTACGCACCGAAGCTGGCTTGCGATCGCGTGGGATTGGACGAATGAAGGTCGATGTGGTCTTGTACAATGGAGAAAACGAGACAGCCGAACACGTAGGGGCGTGTGTGGAACGTGACTTGCTTGGCCTGCGCGATCCGTGTGAGCCAGACGTGCCGGAAACACCAGCCGAAACACGCGCCCGTGAGCGCCGTGAACGTCAAGCCAGAGAAAGTGCAAATCCAGCGGATGCGGGGCTCGGCTTGAGTGTCTTGTCCGGCGAGATAAAAGCTGAGGATGCTTTGGCCAGTGCTTTTAATGAAGAGGCGACAGACCCTGCCGTTGTCGAGCAGTCTCGCCGCCCACGCCGACTCAAGCCCTTGCCGCCCGATTTGCTTATTGTCGCCGGTACAAGCTTGAAAGTGCCTGGAACGAAGCGCATTGTGCGTGAGTTTGCCAAAGCATGTCACTCTCGCGATTCTGAACGGAAAAAAGAGCCCCCTGTTCGGACCGTATACCTAAACTATGACTTTCCTTCAGCGGCAAGCGAATGGACCGGGGTTTTTGATATGTGGGTTCAAGGCGACGTGCAGCAAGCTTCTGTAGGCCTCTGCACACCTTTGGAAAGCAAGGCAGCTGCAGGCGCAGATCCGCTCGTTGAGTCGTTGGTGGCTCAGCACTCATGGCATGCGTACCCACAAACGCCGTCCCTGCAAGGGTCCAAGAAACGTTTGGATTCTTTCCAAGAACCTGTTTCTGTCTCTACTCCAGCGTCTTCCTATAAGCGACAATTGCAATCGCTACCTCAGTCACAATCTCTGTCACAATTGCAATCGCAATCGCAGTCACAGTCACAAGCACAAGCACAAGCACAACAGCAATCGAGAAAAGTCTTGAAAAAGACTCCTGTCGCCCAACTCGGCATGGTGTCTGGCAAGCTGAGCTCATTCTCTGCGAGCCGCACAGGGAAAGCTATCGATATTCATGAGAATCGCTCTATCCGTGCGCAGCCTCAGCCACATATACAGTCAAAAGACAAACAGCCACGAACTTAGCTAGAACTACTCTCCTTCCATGACGCGCGTAATAACGAATAAGGAGACCCCAAAATAGTGGAGAATGTGCGCACGAATGCTCGGTGCGGGGTGGACACGAAAGGTTTAGTCCCACGTGTTGCATGTCAAAAGTCACGTGGGACGGATCCGATCTACTCCGCAAGCGCCCGGTCCATCACCAAGAGCCGCCTTTCCCATTATACGTATACTCCGTTACCATGTTCGCTATTCGTTCCGTGTTCCGGGCAGGTGCTCGTGCCGCTGTACCTCTTCGTACATTTGCAACTTCATCTTCGCGTTTTGGAAATACTTTGTTGTTTGTTGAGCACAAAAATGGCGCCATCAACCCTGCTTCACTGTCGGCACTGACGGCTGCTCAGAAGCTTGGTGGTGAAATCCACGCGCTCGTGGCAGGATCCTCAAAGCACGCAAAATCAGTTGCTGAGGCTGCTTCGAAGGTGAATGGAGTGTCAAAAGTGCTTGTTAGCACATCTGATGCGTTCTCGGCCCTCTTGTCCGAGCCAATTGCGCCGTTAATCCAGTCGCTTGTCAAGTCGAACTCATACTCGCACGTTGTGGCTGGTCACACGGCTGTGGGACGTGATATCATCCCACGTGCAGCTGTGCTTTTGGATTCGTCGCAAGTGTCCGATATTATTGCCGTTGAGGGCGAAGACATTTTCGTCCGGCCTATCTACGCCGGCAACGCGCTTGCTACGGTCAAGTCGAAGGATGGCGTAAAAGTCGTGACGGTGCGTGGTACGGCCTTTGATACTGCAAGTACCGAGGGTGGCAATGCCTCAGTGGAAGAAGTTAATGCTGGTGAGGTGCCGCAGCCAACGAAGCTCGTGCAAGAAAAGATGAGCGAGTCAACACGTCCAGACCTGGCCACGGCTCCACGTGTTGTTTCCGGTGGTCGTGCGCTCAAGTCGTCGGAGGGCTTCGCCAAGTACATTGAGCCTTTGGCTGATAAGCTGAATGCTGCTGTTGGTGCTTCGCGTGCGGCCGTGGACGCTGGCTACGCGGACAATGCTCTCCAGGTTGGTCAGACGGGTAAGATTGTGGCTCCTGAGTTGTACGTGGCTGTGGGTATCAGCGGTGCGATTCAGCACCTCGCTGGTATGAAAGACAGCAAGACGATCGTTGCGATCAACAAGGACCCTGAGGCGCCGATCTTCCAGGTGGCCGATGTCGGTCTTGTAGCCGATCTCTATGAGGCTGTGCCAGAGCTGACAGAGAAGCTCTAAAATTCAACAATAATAAATGCTGAGGGGTATACACACCGGGATGCACGTATTCTGCGCTGTCACACACACACCCTCTCTCCGTCTCTTTCTCTTTCTCTTTCTCTTTTCTCTCTCTCTCTCTCTCTCTCTCTCTCTCTCTCTCTGTCATCCACTCATACATCACGACCAATAGAAAGCGAATAGTAGGAGATCTGATGCCTGTGTAGATAGGTCTATTTCCTCAACACATGTGTACGGGCGGCTTGTAGGTCGAAAGCGTACGGCGGTCCATGGAAACCGCGAAGCTTGTACCACGTGCGGACGCAGCGACAGAAGATCCATATGACTTTGTTGTTGCATGGCTCGGCGGCCAAGAGAGAGGTGTAGTCGTCGCCGGTACAGCAGTTGAGGCTGCTGCTGCGTCGGTCAAATGCCACACACCAACCCGTGTCGTCTCCTCATCGTCTCGAGACGCCTGGTATAGCAGATGCACGAGTTGCGGCGTGACCGCACCGTCCAAGACACGGTGGGGAAGAGGCACTTGAGTTGTTTGGACACAACATGACATAGAGGACAGATTCACATGCGCCGTACACACCTGAGAATCGCATATGTACATATGAACATGGGCACGAGCGCTTCGTGCGCATGCCCGCGTCACTGGACGTTGCGAGTGAGCCACGATGGACGATGGTGAGTCTGAAGGCACGGAACGCAGAGCATCGTCCCGTTGCAAGAGTGTCGATGGCACAGACCAAGCATCGCCACACGGCCTAGACTCTACATTCGTATGCATGAGCGCCCCTGACATGATGCGAGCAGCCTCTGCGCCCACATGCTCGAAACGTTCGAGCAACGTGCATGCATCACCAGGCAAAGCACGTGGCCGACACGTCGACGCCGGGCCTGGGAACAGCATGGGCGAATGAAATACATAGCGCCACTGGTCATCGGTAGGATGAGTTGCACACAGTGGCGGATCAGTGTCGAGCCAGGCAAGAGCCTCCTCGACAGTCGCCAAACTGTGAGCAGTCGGAGCACATGGGTCAAAGCCGATGCCTGCTTCACTGTCGTACGAGACAGTGGGCAGTTGAAAGAGCGGCTCTATGTTGGCATGGACGTTACTTTGGCTCTCGTCTTCGTCGACGTCACCATTGTTAGACGAATCGTTAGCAGCTGATGCGCCGCGTGAACCATGGACAGATGCTGTGGGTGTGCTGGGAACGCCGAGGAGAGCATCGAGTTCAGGCGCAATAAACCCACGCTGGCACAGCTCAAGTACACTCAAAGTGTCATGATGGACGACGACCGCAGGAGATATGTCGCCGCATTTGAGTCGTTCCTGACGGTCTTGCTCCATGCGCCACCATTTGTAGAACTCATCAAGAGCGAGAAGCTCACGCTCAACCTGCTCATGTAACGCTAGAGCAACACCATGACATGACTGGATGTTCTTCATCAAGGGGGCTAGCTGTGGCGACCCCGGCGGGTACCGCGTGGACCAAGCAGTGCATCCATGCCACTCATTCAACACAATGAGCATGCGCTCGCACGCCGGCACAATGCCAGTGCTAGCAAGACGACGAATCCACTTAAGCCCACGCTTCATGTCGGTTTCCATGGCAATCATGGTCCCTTCTGTGAGTTGAGCGAGCAGCTGCTCACATGCTGGAGAGGCATGCGCCGTGGTCAGTAGTGTCATCCATTCCATAACGATGTCAACGCCGTGCTTTCTAGCGAGGTCGTCCCAGTAATCATGCCATTCCGACGCTCGTGGACGGACATACGAGGTCCAAGCATGCGAGGCATAGAATGCCGCGTCCAAAGCATGCGCCAGACACGTTGAAAATGCTGTCGAAAGACGCGCCAGATGCACAGTGGTTGCGTCCCATGGCAAAGGGATGTGCTCGATCTGCAAGAACGTCGATGTGTGCCTAGATGCATCAACAAGAACACTAGCATGTCCTTCACTTGCAGCAACAGACAAGATGCGATGCGATGTGTGTGTAGAGGCTAATGGTACAGAGCCATTGAGCCATGCATGCAACATACAGTCTTCGGCGCACAAGAGAAGCGAGATGGGCTCATCGTTGGCCAAGAAGACGGGCACAGAAGCCAGGACGCCTTTGCCATGTACACGGTCTGCACTGGGCGGCTCGCCCGCAGGTTTGTGCCGTTGAGTCGAGCCGACCCAGCGGCTTTTTTCGCCAGAAAAGTCCTGGATAGGCATGAGAGGCGCTAGATGCGCTAGCATATCCAGAGCTTGTGACTTCGGCGAGCAATTAGGCAAAGGAATCCATTGCATCGCACAATGGAGAGGTGCGTCAGAACATGGGGTATACAGCGTGTGAAGGACGGCACCGTCAAATACAGAGTATGTGAGAAGGGCCGTCCCATGCTGCGGGGTATTATGCACGACGCGTGTTATGCTGATTCGCACTGCGAGGCGCTCGCCATCGGGACTCCAGCATAGACCCAACACACTTACGCTTTCCACAGCATCACGAGGCAGTGGTGCAGGCGGCGGCGGTGGTTGGATGGTGACATCCCACACGCTGCTGGGTGCTGATCCAAGACGCCAGATACAAAGCCGGATTGATGGGCCGCGCCGTACACCTTGCACCTGACCCGTAGCTGCGGGATTCGCTACGCCCATACGACGCGCCTGCATAGCTAACATGCGCTGTCGCATCGCTATTTGCGCTGGTGTGAGGCCTGGTGGACCTGTTATAGGTGCAGGAGGTGCATTATCTTGGCTCAAGAGAGCCACCAGCTCCATGCATGGATTGCACGCAGACGCGACGAGGTGCGATTCTCTAGGTAACGGTACATGCATACGTGCCAGCTGGGAGGCTCAAACGATAGTAAACCGTGGGGAGAAAGGTAGTTGTGTGCACGCGGTGCAGAAGCCGACAGACAGATGAAGACACTGGAGAAGAAGCAACCGGACGCTGGGTCGTTACAATGAGGGATGGGCGTTTAGAAACATGACAGGATGCAGGTGGAGATCGAGACTAGGCGTGTGCAGCGGCATTTTCTGTAAGTGGAGGGAAAACAGCATGGGTCGTCACAAGCCTAAAATGCGCCAAAAAGCGTAGAGATCAAGGCACGAAGGGAAGGCACCGGTCGATCAAACAATGCACCACCACTACAGACCAACAAATGCTCGCGCAGATGCCTGTGTCTCTATGGATCGATGTCCGGCATCTTGCTCTTGTGTTATTAGCCCCAACTCAAGACGATAAAGGAGGGCACGATACAGGGCAGGATGTTGTGTCACAGCACGTGAATGAAGCAAGCGAACGAAACTGTTACAAAGACAAGAAGGGTGTACAAGAGATAATGTGTCAGTTACGATGCAGAATGAAAAAGGGGAAAGCAGTCATGCCTTGCGAGACGTGACCAGCTCAGCCAGGTTCATATACGTACGAATTCCATGTGAGGGCCTCATCGAGCTCAGCTGCATGCTGCCGAAAAGAAAGCAACGCTGGCATGAGAACAGATAGATCTTTTTTTTCGGAAACAAGAGCGAGAAGCGCTTGTGCCATGGCGTGACACGTCTCAGACACAGCCGCCGTTGAAAGGAGCGCCTCGAAGTCGGGCTTCAGATGATTCAGACGAAGGTGACCAGCATCTCCAACGCGTATGCTAGGGGTGTTGGATAGAACAGTCACTTGCTCACGGAGATTGTTTAGAGGGTCTTGGTCGATGTCATGAGCTCGCGGGGAGCCGGTGTCGGTGTCAGTATCTGAGTCAGAGTGAGTGAGTTTTCCAGACTCAGGCGCAGTATTAGGCACTGCCTTGCTGTCACTTTGGATCAGATTCAAGGAGATAGTGTCTGAATTTGCATCGGTATGTATGTCCGCGTCATTTGTTCGACCAGCATTGCGCTTCGCCGTTGGTACAAGAGATGGAGGAACATGCACACCGAACGCAGCGGCACAAGCATCTCGGGCAGGACGAGCACGTTCCTCGACACGCCGGGGCACATGAAGAAAACGTTGCAAAGAAGCATGGAGCGGAAGTAACGGCGCTTGTGGATACAAGTAGCGCCATTTGATCGCATTTTTTAAGCCATGAATGGCTGGATGGTAGCTCAATGTCGGTGTGTACCAACCCTCAGGATCGCCCTCATCATCCATGTCCATTAGGTCCATCTGATCAACAAAGGCGTCCATGGTTGACTGTTGCTCGTTTGTCGGGATCGTCGGGTGCTCAAAGATGGAAGCACCTGTGCTGGTCATAACTCGATCGAGCGGTGGGAAGGCCACACGCTTGACGTCGTCACGGAACGGCACATGAACAAGATAGAATGCATCGTACTCACTCTCGATGAGTGGCGCAAGAATACACAGCTTCGGATCAGCGTTTGGCCGTGTCACGAGTCGACATAGCGCATATACGCCCTTGACAGCTGCCGCCTGAACGAGACTAGAAAGCGCGACTTGAGCGCGCTTTGACGAGGGATGCGCAATGACATAATAGGTCTCGCCCATATGGTACTCACGACGGTATGTGCTCGCACTCACGAAATGCAAGATTTCAAGGCCTGCTTCCGTTGGCAAAGCTGGAGGCGCGTTTTCTAGAGGCACTAGTGACGCGCCAAGTTTGTACGCGCGTTGAATGAAAGCAGCACATTCTTCAGGGAGGGGCGTCACATTGTCCATCTCAGTATGTGCGGTGGGGGGAACAATGGCATGACCAGCCTTATGGACCTTGAGCAAATCGTCCGCACGATATAGCAGGCGCCGCGATTCGACATGCCGCTTTGAATGCATGTCGTCTTCCCCTTTCATCACACGCCGTGGTGCCTGAGGGCGCTGAAGTGCCGTCGCCTTAAGGATATGCACAGGGATGTCCAACGATGCCTTCTCAAAATCATGTACGTTGCCAAAGGAAAGAACGGTGCGTGTTGGTGCTGAGGTGGACATATGCAGGGTAGGAGCCAATGCATCGCTACAAGCTTTGGAAAGGGGCTCCATTGCACTCCCTTGCACATCTTCGATCATGTGGTGCCAAAATGCCATATTCGGCAAATGCAATTGGGCCATGGGGTTAGAGCCGTATACCAGAAGACGGAGGCTGGTGTTGGTGTGAATGAGTTTACTCCGGATCAATGTGGCCTGATGAGGATCAGATGGCAACGCTCCATTGGTGACCAGATACACGATCCTCGTCCATGATGCAGAGGACTCCGCACGTGCATTGTTTAGGACACTTGAAAGTGCCCGAGCTAAAACGTCCAGCGCTTCCCTCGTAAGTATTTCTGAAATATATATATGTATATATCAAGATTCACGTACGCTCAGACTTTTCCGCAACAGCAGGCGCGGGACGCAGTGCTTGCACAGCATCGAGCGTCTCCAATGTAGGACGTGCTGCATGCCATAGTAGACGCATGCCTCGCGGTTGTGAAGGGCGGGATATTGACGCCGGTTCGTCAACCCCAACATCGTCTTCGTCATCCTTGCCACCCTCTCCTTCAGCTCCATAGGTAAATATGCATACCTTGGCTGTAGCAAGGCCACGAAGCATCAGCTCCATGATTTGCATACAAACGAATAGCTGGCACTGCTCGAGATATGTATGTTGCTGATCGGGGTCTTTGGTTGCCATATGCTGGGACACATCTATTACAAAGGTCACTAGCGTGCGCGGCTTTAACTACAAGGCATGAGCTTTGCCTCTTATTGTGTGACACGGTAGAGAAAGAGAAAGAGAACGTACTTTGAATCCAGATGACATGACATTCAAGGCGTAAGAAGAATGAGATCCAACATATGGGCAGCAATAGCGCCCTCCTCCTTCGAACTGGCTGCGCGATTCAGCTGCGATCCAACAGATGGGCTGGTCGATCAGTCAGACCCAGCACTGACGGAGAATGCGTTCTCTGTTTAACTTTTCTGGGTGCACGCGCACTTTTGGCACGCGTCCGCCGCCAACGAGCCGGAACACCCAAAATCGAGTGTCGCAACACCCCACGCATAACACGAACATCACACACACACACATACACCCCGACCAGCCAGGGATGATTCACGTGACCTACCTCTCCCCCACGCCTGCACGCGAAAGACATGGGGGAAAGAGAGAAGGGGCGGGCGCCGTTGTGGAGCAGAGGGGACGGATGGCAAGATCAAAGTTTGATGACGAAGGACTGCGGCTATGTGCAGAGCAAGGGAGCCACGTCGCGGTCCCACAAGGCATCCCAAGAGATCGGGTCGGAGCCTGGAAACGGGGTATGTGAGCCTGGAGGTAACGCTGGCATCTGAATGATGCGCTCGATACAGGATGCAAGACCGGCAGCATCAGAAAACACATCGCCATTTATGTCAGGTTTGATAAGCTCAGAAAGGCAGGGAAAAGATAAGGCACACACACGCAATCCGCAGCCAAGCATGTCAACGACTTTCATGGGCAAATCAAGGCCGGACGAGCTCGTGTGCAAAGAAATGCCGACGTTGGCAGCACCCAAAAGACGTGGATAGTCTTCGGCAGCGAGCCATGCCGTTTCGATGCGCACATGCCTCCATTGCTCTGAGCTCGCACGTTTTTGCATGGTCTTTTCAAACGCCGCACGCAATGGCCCTTTGCCTGTGATGACAATGCTGAGAAACAGTGGCTCGTGTTGCAAACGAGCACGAGACTCGTAGATAGAAGCAGCATCCAGGAGCATATGCATGTCTTCATCGGGTGTCCAACTCGTACTTGTCACAGCCAATGCAGGAGTCGGATGGGAGCGCATCACGTTCTTGCCCCAGATAGAAGGGCCTGCGCGCTCGAAGAAGGCATGTGCTTCTGTGGCTGAAAGTCTAGCAAAGTGCGACGGAGGACGATCATGTAGCACGGCCGTATGCCCACGAAGTTGCCAATGGCGAGCGAGATGCTGCTGCATCGCATGCGTGACAAACAAATGCACGTGGGCAGATCTGCCGAATATGCGCTCGAGCAACTCCGAGATGCGCACGAGAACACTGCGTGGACCTAGACGGAGAGCCAGGAGTGTATAAGCCAAGTTGTGCCAGTCGAGAATGAGTCGACTGCGAGTGATAATGCGTGCGCACTGCACCACCATGAGCGTGGGAATCGCTGGCGGCACCTGTACTAGGACAACGGCTGGCTTGGGCGTGAGTGCCACGAGAGTAAGCCAGAGCGAAAGTGTTTGCAGAGGTACCTTTATCAGCGCCACAAGAGGAAACAAGACACGAGGTAGACGTGAAAGAGCAGTCGGCACACCCCACAAACGAACAGCGTGTACGGAAGGCGCGCACAGTGTCTGTGGCAAAGGCGTGTCGAAATAGCCTGCCACATACACTGACCAGCCGTGCCTGACGAGACTTGCAATGTGGTAGCACATGCGCGGACTACGCGCTACATCCCCAACTACTACGACCAGAGCAGTGCGCGGCTGCACGGGTCTCATACGCATGCAGGCGAGAAGAATCACTATGCCCAAAAACAACGTAGACCACCACATGGTTGTGGAGTGCGAACGAGCAAGCACGAACGATGTCTATGTCGTATCACGCACCTCACGAGGCTTGTGTGCTCCGGAACACGTGTGTATATGTGTGTGTGTGTATGGTAGAAGAACGAGAGAAAACGCGCTAAATGGTGTGCATCCCCATTCCGTCATGGCACACAAGACACGTGCGTAGCAAATGAAAGAACGCGCAGGTGGGGAAAGTAGCAGAATCTCCATTTCTGCTTGGCAACCCCTCCCCTCTCCTCTCCTCTCCTCTCCCCCCCCCCCTTTCCGTCGACTTGACCCACGCAAATTGACACAACCCTGACTTCGAGTGGAGGACAGGTCTGTGTGAATTGTGGGCAACGACCACGTGCAAGCGAATCGTTCAACGGATCGCGACGTGAGTGTGTGCGTGTCGTCAGCCTCCAGTTGGTCGTGTCATAGTGGGCTGGCTTGGTGGGGGAAGATTGTTCCTTCAGCATCATGTCAGAGATGAACGAGGCATGGAACCATTGGGAGCAGGAAACCATATCGCACGTCTTTGGTATTACGCTGGACGAAAGAGAGGCTGCATCATCGTCGCTTGTACATGTGCCTGAGTTGCAGGAAGAACTTTTGGCAGAAAAACAGAGCGACTCACAGTCTGCCGTCGTAGCTACCTTGGACATGGCCGATCGCATCCTGATCGCGCGGCTCTCACTTCCTGATGCTCCGCAGACAAGCTGGGACTATATATTGCAAGCATGGATTCGCTGCCGTCATGAAGAGCAGCGGTTACAGTCACACGCGCCACCGTTGGTTTTTCTGCCAGAGGCGCTCCATGCTCTGCAGCACGTGCGCGGCCTGCTCATAAGCTATGCAGGTCTCCTTCTTGATATGCCAGATATGTTTCCTCGATGTGAAAAGCATGGCGACATGCTAGGACCACACGCCCTTTCCCCGACGCTTTTAAACTTGGCCGCAGTTCACGACGACACGCCTCTACCTACGGTGTGTGAATGGATGGCGGTGCCCCCTTCTCTCGCACCCGTCTTTCTGGATGAACTCATTGTCCGCTTTTCGCAAGACGATAGCCTTGACTCTGTCTTGGGTCGAGCGATGCGTGCTTTGACGCAATACATCCTCAAGCCACCCGGCACGTCCTCCGCTGCTGCATCCACATCAGCAAGATCGCCACAAGCGTCTTCTTCATGGCCATTGACCGCGACGGCCAGTGCAGCTTCGGCCGCCACATCGACATCGACTCAGAATGCAGACTTGAACGACGTCCAAAGTGTACTGGCGCAGATGCTGGGCCTGCCAGATCCACGTGCGCACGGTTCCTCACAGTTCGCACCCGCAATGCCAGCTCCCGAGGGAATGAGCATTGCACAGCTAGACTGGCAGCCGATTCAGATGGCTGTCGTAGCCGCCGTCGAGCACAAAACCCTCGCTGCAGCGATGCCATTTTTCTCTTCCTTCGCACCCACAACTAGTGCACCCAACATGGAACGAGAATCAATCCTGGGCCCCTTGCTGCGTCTCTCGTGCTTTGCGGATGCATTCCCATCCATCGCAAGGGACTCTTTCAGCCACGCTCGCTCCCGCTCGCCGGTGGAGCTGGAGAACAGCATGAGCTCTTTGCGCATGTCTCTACGGGTCGTGCAGGCGTCGAACTTCCGCATCTTCAATGCACTCGTCCGCGCAGGCCCTGAGCCTCGTGAGCGCGTGCTGGCATACTGGGGCGATATTTGCCAGCTGAATGCGAAGCGCGGCGCGATGCAGGTGCGCGCACGCGAGGTGGCCACCGATGCCTTCATGGTGAATGTGCTGGATGTGCTGCTGCGCTTTGCAGAGCCGTTTGCGGAGCCGACATGTAGCAAGATTGACCGCATCGATGCGACATACCTGCGTCGGCAGAAGCGCTGGGACACCTCGTCATTAACGCGGATCCTGGCAAGCGAGACGGAGGGCATGCAGTGGATGGCAGATACCCCCGAAACCGAAAGGAAGAACGTGCCGAACTTTGTGACGGACGTGTTCTTCATCACGACGCGGCTGATGAATGTGGCGCTAGGCAAGGCGCTCCGTCGCATCGAACACCGCGAAAAGGAAATGGACCGTCTGCAGAAACGCATCGACGAGCTCGAAAGCGAGCAATCCATGTGGCAGGGCATGCCACATGCTAGCACTGTCGAGCAGATTCTTCAGCGCGCCCGCACACAGTCTGACAAGCTGTACAGCGAGGTGCTGGCCGCACAGACCCTGCTGATGGAGCCGGAGTTTGTGCAGCGCACGCTCACATTCGTGAGCTTTACGATGGCGTGGCTCGTCCGTCTCGCTGATCCACGCAGTTTGCATCCGCACACCACGGTGCAGCTGCCACTGCCCCAAGAGGTGCCGAACGTCTTCCGCATGCTGCCGGAGCACGTGTTCGAAGACGCATGCGATACGGTGCTGTTCTACTCGCGGCGCAAACCGGACGTGCTGGATGCACCTGCGCGAGAAAGCATCACGACGTTCTGTACCGTGTTTTTGTCGAGCGGCTGGTTCATCCGAAACCCATTCCTCAAGGCCAAGCTTGCGGAAATGCTCTCGTACAATGTGATGCCGTACGGCGCACTATCCATGGGTGTGCTGGGAGATACCATCAACAACCAGCCCTTGGCGATCGCACACCTAGTGCCAGCCGTCATGTCGTTCTGGATCCAGGCAGAGTCGACCGGCTCCAACACGCAGTTCTACGACAAGTTTAATATCCGATACCATCTTGCACAGGTGTTCAAGGCCATCTGGGACAATGTCGATCACAAGCGACAGCTCCATGCACAGGCCCAGGATCATCAGTCCGAATTTGTCGTATTCATCAACCGACTGATGAACGATGTCACATTCCTTTTGGACGATGCGCTCGACAAGCTTACCGAGCTCCACGCCAAGCAAGGAGAGATGGACGATGTCGAGTCCTGGCAGCGGCGTCCCATACACGAGCGGCAGGAGTTCGAGGGCATCGTACGTACGATCAAGGCGCAAATCAGGAGCGACCTGGGTCTTGGTCACGAATTCCTCCGCTTGCTGATCATGTTTACAAAAGAAACGAGTGCATCGTTCATGATGCCTGAGATTGTCGACCGACTAGCTGCTATGCTTGACTACAATCTCGATGTTCTTGTAGGCCCACGTTGCCAGGGACTCAAAGTCAAGGATCCGAAGGCCGTGGGCTTCGATCCACGCAGCCTGCTGAGCGAGATTCTCTCCGTGATTCTCAACCTGGCACCTCATGAAGCGTTCGCCGTCGCTGTGGCTCATGACGGCCGCAGCTACAGTCGCGAGACATTTTCCAAGGCCGCCAGTATTTCGCAGCGCCACATGCTTAAGAGCCCTGTGGACATTGATGCCCTCGCCCAGCTTGTGGACCGTGTGGAGAAAATCAAGGAGCGAGAGGCCATGGAGGAGGAAGACCTAGGCGAAGTGCCTGACGACTTTCTCGATCCACTTCTCGCCACCATCATGCGTGATCCTGTCCGCCTTCCGACCAGCCGTGCTGTTGTCGACCGCTCTACAATCAAGGCTCATTTGCTGAGTGACGGCACGGATCCCTTTAATCGCATGCCACTGACACTTGACGATGTCACCCCCGCCGACGACGTGCGCGAGCAAATCGAGTCTTGGATCCAAGAACGCCGGAGACAAGCTTCTTCATAGAGATGGTAGACACGGAATCAGGGCACGCCGCCAGCGCGTGCCAACGCCAACCCCACATTCTCTCTTTGTCTCCTAGGCGCAGGGGAAGCATGATTGTGCGTGGACAGGCTCGGCCGAGAAATGCCGCTCGCTCGCTAGGGCTTTTTTTTGTCGACATCCTCGCTCAGCTCACGTCTTCTTGGACTAAAGATCCTATCATGCGATTCTACGAAAAGCCGTTGCCGGACACTGACGAAATCGTCATGTGTCAGGTGCGGCAGATTGCCGAAATGGGTGCATACGTAAACTTACTAGAGTATGACAATGCGGAGGGCATGATTCTGCTCTCAGAACTTAGTCGGCGACGTATTCGCAGTATTCAGAAACTGATTCGTGTGGGCCGCAATGAGGTCGTTGTTGTCTTGCGTGTCGACAAAGAGAAAGGTATGTTGAATCTGTCTGGGTCGCAAGGCCTTCCCTCTTTTTTTTTTTTTTTCTCCTGGCAGGAACTAACGCGGCAGGCTACATTGACCTGTCCAAGCGCCGTGTCTCGCCGGAAGACGTGATCAAGTGCGAGGAACGTTACAGCAAGTCCCGCGCTGTCAACAGTATCGTGACACATGTGGCTCACAAGCTTGACTACCCCTTGGAGCAACTGTATGAGAAAGTCGTTTGGCCATTGGACCGCACGTATGGCCATTCATACGATGCATTCAAGCTGTCAGTGACAGAGTCTGGCAAGGTGTTTGAAGGTATCGAGATCGAAGAACACGCGCTCCGCGAGCTGCAAGCAAACATTGCTCGTCGATTGACGCCACAGCCTGTTAAAATCCGTGCCGATGTCGAAGTGTCTTGCTTCGGATACGAGGGCATTGACGCTGTGAAGCAGGCTCTCAGGGCTGGCGAGGCAGTGTCCACCGAAGCGATCCCCATCAAAATCAAACTAGTCGCACCCCCTCTTTATGTGCTGGTGACCCATTCAACTGACAAAGCTGGCGGTATCGCTCTCATGGAACATGCCTTGGAAAAGATCACTGAAACCATCGAGAAGAGCGACGGCAAAATCAATATCAAGATGAAGCCCAAGGCTGTCTCTGCTGTCGAAGATGAAGAGCTTGCTCAGCTCATGGCCCGCGTCGAGCGCGAAAATACCGAAGTTCAAGGTGACGATGACTCGGGCGATGACGAATAATCACGCGAACGGTTCTGCATGTATAGTAAGGACTCTATAGGGCTACTGCGTATGTTCCCGTCACTTCTTCCCTTCCCCTGTTACAACCTGCACGTATCAGGGACGTTTTTTTCTCGTCCTGTGTTTCTTATACGCCTCATAATCCTTCCCGTCACATATCCAAGCCATCTCGGTGGGTGATTATGTCGACGCCAGTAGATCGATCTGCTCTTTCGGTGTAAACAACCCCGCAAGTCGTCTGCTAATGTCGCGCATACTTTTCTCTTCGGACATTTTTGATACACGTCAGAACAAACTCTGATTCATCTGTTCTCTGTTTTACCATTGCCTTGGACTGGCACTTCGCACCCTCGCAAGCGCACACTCAACCATGGAGATCAGGCATGATGTCCGTCACGTAACAGGCCGTGTATGTGTGTGTGTGTGTGTGTGTGCTTATCTAATTCTCTCGACCGCACTTTGGGCACCACTGTCTGCCTTGGTCTGCGCACCTTTGGTCTGCATCCAAGCCGCGTGGAAAAAATCGATCGCTGTCACTTCCACGCGTCTGGAGCTCATCACCCCCTCCATCCGTCAATATGGCCGACCCACAGGTGGCATACGCACAGGATGAGTACGGCAACCCTTTCATTGTCGTGCGCGAGCAAGGAAAAAAGACACGTGCCCAGGGCACGCAAGCCATCAAGGACCACATCCAGGCCGCACGAACCGTGTCGAATATACTACGGACATCACTAGGACCCAGGGGTCTTGACAAGATCCTAATCAGTCCCGACGGCGACATTCAAGTGACGAATGACGGTGCCACCATTATGAGTAACATGGAGCTAGAACACCAAATTGCCAAGCTCCTCGTCCAGCTCTCCAAAAGCCAAGATGACGAAATTGGTGACGGCACAACGGGTGTGGTCGTCATGGCCGGCGCCTTGCTGGAGCAGTCGGAGGCGCTAATTGACCGAGGCATCCACCCCATTCGTATTGCAGACGGGTTTGAACGCGCGTGTGAAATTGCTGTCGCTGCGCTTGAGAGGGTCGCAGACAAAGTCGAGTTTGATCGAGAACATATTGACGAGCTACTCAAGGTCGCAGAGACAAGCCTCGGCAGCAAGATTGTGTCGAAGGCGTCCAGCAAGTTTGCGCGCATTGCTACGGAAGCCGTGCTGTCGGTGGCAGACTTGGAGCGAAAGGACGTCGACTTTGATCTCATCAAGGTCGATGGCAAAGTGGGCGGAAGCCTGGAGGACTCGACGCTCGTCAAAGGTGTCGTGATCGACAAGGACTTCTCGCACCCACAAATGCCACGAGAAATTCGCGATGCTCGCATTGCGATCCTCACATGTCCCTTGGAACCACCGCGCCCCAAGACGAAGCACAAGCTGGACATTGGCTCTGTTGAAGAATACAAACGCTTGGAGGAATATGAACGGACCACGTTCCAGAACATGATCCAGAAAATCAAAGACTGCGGCGCAAATCTCGTCGTATGTCAGTGGGGCTTTGATGATGAGGCAAACCACCTGCTTCTGCAACAAAACCTGCCGGCCGTGCGTTGGGTTGGCGGCCCGGAACTTGAGCTGATTGCCATTGCTACAAATGGTCGTATAGTTCCTCGCTTCGAAGACCTGAGTGCCGACAAACTAGGTCGTGCTGGCCTAGTACGAGAAATGAGTTTCGGCACGACACATGACCGTATGCTTGTCATCGAAGAGTGTGCGAATACACGAGCCGTAACCGCATTCTTGCGGGGATCCAACAAAATGATCATTGACGAGGCCAAGCGTGCGCTGCACGATGCCATGTGTGTAGTCCGCAGTCTCGTCAGGGACAACCGCGTCGTATATGGCGGTGGTGCAGCGGAGGTCTGTGCGTCCATCGCCGTCGCACAGACGGCCGACAGCATTGCATCGATCGAACAGTATGCGACGCGTGCATTTGCCGCAGCACTGGATGCCATTCCGTTGGCACTCGCAGAAAACAGTGGATTGGCCCCTATCGAGAACCTCGCTATGGTCAAAAGCAAGCAAGTGACAGAGGGCGATGCTCGCTACGGCATTGACTGCATGGGCGTTGGTGTACGTGTACTGCGTTTGGTGTGTCTGACTTGCAGAACAACAACATGAAAGAGTGTCATGTCTTTGATCCCCTCGTTTCGAAACGCCAGCAGCTCCTACTCGCAGCACAGCTCGTGCGCGCCGTGCTAAAAATCGACGATGTCGTACGTATCGCACAGATGAGGAACACTGTAACTCACACGCCTCGCCCCTCTCCAGATCGAACAGCATGCGTTGGACGCCGAGATGTAGATCACGTGAGTATGCACCATCCCCTCCTGCGAGGCGTAGGTTCCCAATGTAGTACTGGGTCAGGCGTAGCCAGTAAGATTGCTGGTGGCAATGTGCGCGTGTGTGTTTCCCAATGGTAGGCGGCGCCTGGTTTGCGCGTCGTTCGATTCAAAATGCAGATCGGACGCGACGACAAATCGACCTCAGTAGTACGGGCGTCCGCGTCGTTGGTAGTCTCGCACAGACTGCACACATAGACGTACAAGTACATCGTCATGTCAAAAGAGGAACGCAAACGTTTTGCTCCCGAGGATGCAGAAGTATCGTCCGAGGAAGATGTCGGGCCAATGCCAGGACCCGCTGCTGACGGTGAGTCGGAGGCGGAGCGCATCAAGCGGCGCAAGACGCTACAACACGAGAGACTGTACATGGACCAGCTCCCATGTGCGGATCGGTATGTGAAGTCACTCATGCATCGTGATACGATCAATTTCGTCCAAGTAACGCCCCACACCGACTTCATCATTACGACGTCCGTCGACGGCCACGTCAAGTTCTGGAAAAAGCAAGCATCTGGCATTGAGTTTGTAAAGCATTACAATGCGCATCTGAGCATGATCGTGGGCGTAGCTACGAGTGCAGATGGCGCTTACTTTGCAAGTATCGCAGCAGATGGCTCTGTCAAAGTCTTTGATGTCATCAATTTTGACTTGATCCATATGTTTGAGCTCCCTTATACCCCCCGGACGTGTGCGTGGGTGCATCGGAGAGGGAGCGTCGATGCGGTCCTGGCCATCGCGGAGGAACACAGTACGGCGATTCACTTCTACGACGGGCGCGGGAGCGACTCGACACCATTGTACTCGGCTGAGCATGTGCACAAGAAGCCTTGTCATATTCTCACGTACAATGAGCCCTGGGACTGCCTTGTGTCGGCAGATGTGAGTGGCATGATTGAGTACTGGCATCCGCGTGAGCCGTATGCAATTCCACAAGGTTTGTTTTCGCTCAAATCCGCCACAGACTTGTTCGAGTTTAAAAAGACCAGGTCGGTGCCCACGACCTTGTCATTATCGCCCGACCAAAAGCAATTCGTGACAACATCCATCTGCGACCGGCAAGTGCGTGTATTTGATTTCCAGCGAGGCAAGCTCCTGCGGAAGTACGACGAGTCGCTGACGGCGATTCAAGAAATGCAGCAAGCCGATACGGCCGTGTATCAGCTTGACGACATGGAGTTTGGGCGCCGTCTTGCTTTGGAACGTGACATCGATGCATCGTCTCTTGCTGGCCTGGCCGATGCTACGGCGAATGCGACGGGCGCTAGCACGATGAATGCAGTGTTTGATCAGAGTGGACATTTCGTCATTTACAGTACGATGTTAGGCATCAAAGTCGTGAACCTCAAGACGAACAGAGTCAGACGCCTCCTTGGCAAGGATGAGTCGATGCGATTTATGCATTTATCGTTGTTCCAAGGCATCCCCACCAAGAAGCCAGCGACGAACATTGCTCTTGCTGCATCTAACAACCCATTGGCACAAAGTGAGCAGCGACAAGATCCAACGCTCTTCTGTACAGCATACAAGCGCAATCGGTTTTACATGTTTACGAGAAATGAACCAGAAACAGACCCGAACTCGAAACTTGCCGGTCAAGACCGAGATGTATTTAACGAAAAGCCGACTCGTGAAGAGCAAGCGATTGCAAGTGATACACCTGACGTCAAGAAGAAGCAGGTCGTTACGTCGGCTATCCTGCATACGACTGCTGGCGATATCCACCTGCAGTTGTTTCCCCATCTCGTGCCCAAGACAGTCGAGAACTTTGTCGGACTGGCCAAAAAGGGATACTACAATGGTGTTATTTTCCATCGCGTTATCAAAAAGTTCATGATTCAGACAGGCGACCCTCGCGGAGATGGGACAGGAGGCGAGAGCCTCTGGGGTGGTGAGTTTGAAGACGAAATTACGAGGGAACTTCGACATGATCGTCCCTACACACTGAGCATGGCAAATGCTGGCCCCAATACGAATGGGAGCCAGTTCTTCATTACCACTGTCCCGACTCCGTGGCTTGACAATAAACATTCAGTATTTGGACGTGCTACGAGTGGTCTGGATGTCATTCATAAAATTGAGCATGCACCTATCAACAGATTTGACAAACCTAAAGAAGATATCCAGATTTTTAGCATATCTTTGCACGGATCAACATAGTATCTAGTCTTTAGTGTTCTTTTCAAGGGCAGGCCCCGCGTCTTTCCCAATCGCTTCTTGTCTCATTCTTGGGGATGTAATGAACCTATCGCCATGAAACTTTTTTTTCCTTCGCAGAGCCGCACGCATTTTATGTCGTTGTGTCGTAGATCTCACATTAAAAGCTTGCACTTTTCGGTCCTAAGGCCAGCTCCTTTCATGACAAATCGTATCACTCCATACAGTGTGTTGCGGCCACAAGTTTTGTCTCTATGCGCGACGGTTGATTTACCCCACCGTCGCTTTATCCATCAGCTAGCAACACGATGCGCCTCCACATGGCTGGACGCGTGTTTTGTTGTTGTTTATAGCATTCCACATACACACACGCTCGGTGGTTATGGAGCTGTGGCGGCCCGCCACGTTAGGGCATCGCTCGGTCCCTATTGTTTGGGCATCGTATCCTGGAAAAGAGTACAGTTCCAAGATCTTGGGTGATCTGCATAAGACGCCAGCGAGTGTCCAAGTGTATAATGCTTACATGTATGACAAACTGCGAGAACGAAGCAACGACTGCGGGTTGGGACTCGCTCAATTTTCCCATCACAATCAGCAACGCCGTCTACTTCGCGCAAAATCGGATTGCTGCTTGAGTTTGCGAAAGTATGCAGATTTCCGAATGGAACAAGAAAAAGGCTTGGACGACAGAATCCAGAATGCCACTGATGTCTCGAAACTGTGCTGGGAAGCGAGTATGGCTCATGCTGCACAGCAGTACGTGCTGGCAGCCGTCTTACTGCGCCGCGCATCAGAACTCGACTCCGCAGATGCTTGTGGTACGTTGTCGAAAATGTTCGGTTTTGGAATATGCCAATCGAATGTGCTTCTCTTTGAACGGGACACGCTGCGGGGCATCGCGTGGGCCATCCGCGCTCTACAGTTACTTGTTTTCGATATGGAGAGATGCGCAACGGATCAGTCTTTGCAGCTTTTAAATCATATGCTGCACCTGCTTTGCACATTGATGTGTGCACCGGAGTCACTGCAGTCTGTCCAGGTGCACGATGCCCGCGCCGATGTATCTATGCCGCTTCTACTCCTATTCCCTCGTTCGTGTGAGCTACTGCATCCAGATGCCCGCTTAAAGAACACGATACCCAACGAGCTCACGCGAGAGTCATTTTGGACTGCATTACGAGACGTGCTTTGCAAAGTCAAAGCGATCCCCTCTTTGTATACCAATGCGGAACCAGCTGACAGTGTGTCTACTGAACAGCACATCTCGCACGTGCTTGCCCATACACTGTTTCTTGAGTCGTTTCTTTTAATGCGGATGGCTGTTCTTGAAAGAGAGAGCGCCTACTTACACGAAACGTATCATACATGCACGCAATATTTGCTCAGCACACGTCAAGAGCGCGAACTCGACACATTCGCCCAATTGCGATCTGTGGCATCTGAGATCCAGCAATGGGCAGCGCCAGATGTCGAGCGAATACCAAATACTATATTTGACGGAGCAGACTTTTTAGCCATGAGACATCGTGTGTCTAATATCTTTGTGTTCACATCCAGGCCTCTTAAGGAAAAATCCCCCGATGTTTTGGATGGTCGCACGAACCAGCCTCGATTGAAAGAGAAGCAAGAGCCCCGGGCTTTCCGTACACCCGGTACGGTCAATGCATTGGAGACGACCCTGCAATATATTCCACGCCTCACACCGTCGAATGTTTCTTCTGCTGCTTCCAAAGATCATGCCTTGAGTCACAAGACACAGCGCTATTCTGGCATTACTACGTCCAAGTTGCGGGACGTGTCGACTGGAATGAGCCGACGTTCCGTCTCAGCCGACCACGCCAAAATCCAACAGCACTCTGGCAAGACTATGACTGCAGATGATGTTTCTTATTTATGTCGCATGGACGAGCCCTTACAACCTCGCCTTCGTCGGCGTCCATCAAGTATTGTTTCTGTGACGCCTTCGCACACGTGCTCCACGAACGGGTCTGCTGGGACCCCTGCACCCACTACAGCAGATACAACGCCGATTTCTTTGCACTTGCGAACGGTATCTCCAACGCTCACGCCTCCTCTCACGGACTCGGCTCATCTCCGTATGAAGTTACGACGGCAATCATCGCAGGCCTCTCTCCGACAGAAAGCAGGACTTAAGTAGGGCTCATAAGTCTGCTTCATATTGTGATTATTTAGATCATCGATCGATGAGTTCTCCTAGTTAGTACAACGGTTAGTATATGTCGCTCTCATAAGCCTGGCTGTGTGGCGCCGACAAGACCCGGGTTCGACTCCCGGATTGGGAACGTTTTTATTTGGACGGCTAGATTTTTAGGAAATTGACTTTTTGAATGACTATATTTGAAGGACGGTCCTTCAGGAGTACATGTTCAGTTTCGTACGGTGTTAATATACATGGTTATATACTCATTTTTTAGCGTAACGCGCTTCATATTCCTGTGTGTTGATGCGGTCATGGACGCGATCCAGAAACTCCTTCCTATGCAGATACCCTTTGACATCTGCGAGTCCGCTCCCACCCCCATGTGTTTGTGCCTCCAGCTCCTCACGCTCAGCAGTAGACATCGTCTCTTTACCTTCGGTTTGCATGATATTTCCCTTGTAAGCTTCCCAGTCCAGTTTAGACTTCTCAAGAGTATTGAGTTTGACGGGTTGTGCTGTTATGTCTGCGCTCATGTCTGCTAAACGACTCTTGCGCTTTTTTCGCGCCATCGTGCCGAGTTGAGATGCACGCTTCTTAACCGGTCCATTTCTCTCGATTGCTGGCTTATTGGTCGTAGACCGACCGGGACTTGACCCACCTGGAGGATGATGTTCTCTTGCGACCGAGATGACGTCTTGCTTTGAGTTCATGTTCGTGTTAGATCGTGCAGGAGATGATTTGGGTACTAATGCATCGGGCTGTTGTGTCTGTTGCTCTTCGACAGACGTTGGGTGTTCATGATGATTATTGTTCCCCACCTTCGAGTCCGTGTGTGGCATGCTGGCATTGATACTATACTCCTCGGTTAGCACACGGCTGTGCCTGGTGCGGTAAAACGATTTGTGGAGTCCGACCGAAAATAAATCGGCTTCCATGGAAATTTCCCCAATTTCAGCGATATCTGCCAATGACGATGGAGCAGATAAGACATGTCATTTGGAGGCGTAGCATACATGCGCCGAATTCACTCATTTCCCTACCATGTCCATATCGAATCCAAGCGATAGTGCACCGCATGGGGAACCCGCATCTCACGTAATGGATCAATCTGACCGTCTACAATCTTTACCAACCGAGGAGCATGGCCATCCACCGATATCAACGAACATTGCCCTGGACCTCGCACCGCCAGATTTGCCACAGCCACATACCGTATCCCCTGCGTCATTATTTCCATCAAATCAATTGCGCCGCGATGAAAATGCAAGCGAGGAAGAACATGCAGGTGCAGATACAAATGAAAATACTGAAAGACCAGCACAAGACGGGCCTTTTGGATCAGACATGCCACCTATGACTGGCGACCATGCTTCTACAACAGAGAGCGGCCACCGACGAAATGAAGCGGTTGCCACTGATTCATCAGATGAGTTGCCTGGGCGTAGTCTATGGACGCATTTTACCCAACTGTTACAACGAATCCATGACTCAATCACACACGTATCTGGTGACAGGCCAGTCGTGCCGTTGCACGAAGAAAGCGAATACGAGCGTTCAGAGGCTCGAGAACACGAAGCACATGATCAATCCGTTGGAACTGAAAATAGTGCACGGAGCAATAATTCGCTGGATTCACAGGAAGACAGAGCGAGTGATGTTGCGGTTCATGATGAGCCACACAGTCCAAGCATCAATCAGCCAGCATCACACCAAGAGACAGACACTAGGGTCCAATCGGAAGCGCCACTCGAAGATTCTCATGCTTCACCGCAAGAAGCACCAGCGAATGGAAGTACACCCGACTCAGTTGAGCACGACCGGACTTCCCATGAACAGACATCTCCCCACTTGTTGGTGTACATACCATCTCACGCATCGCCATTCCCTTTCAGTTTCTTGTATGATACCACTGCATGTATAGCATGGCCCGTGCTTGAACGTGCTGAGCAACCAGTGTCAGACACCAATGGAGAAAACGCCGACACGCGTACTGTTCATGTGCTTGGCATGCCTTTCCACATCTCCATTACAATGCGTCCAGCTCCGCCAGACGAGGTTCCTGACATTAACAAAGCACGAACGTACGTGAAAGAGCTCGAGGTCGTGGATAGCGAACTCCGGATGCGCATGATCCGCTTTGGCATGAGCGATATTGGCATTTATGGAGTCGTGGACGACATGTCCAGCCAAGGTCAGTGTGTAATGGGCTGTGGCGTGTGCCTGGAACCGTACCCGACGGAGGACAAGCCGGCCTGGTTCACAGAAGGAAAGCCTGGCGAAGATGAGACAGTCGTTGCGCTACCATGCCCAGGGTTTCCACACTATACATGCTCGCTGCCTCTTTGACTGGCTCTCCAAAAGGGCCCCTAGCAAGTGGACTTGCCCTTATTGTCGAGCGCCCATCAAGGGCGATGTGTCGACTACAAAAGAAGCCATGCATACAATTGGTTTGCGCGAGCATGTGCGACAAAAAGAGCGCGAGGCAGGATTGCGGTGCGACGCACCTGCCTGTCTACCGTACGATTCTGACGACGAAAAACATCGCTCGCCTTTGATTCAACTTATGCCTTGTCGACATGAGATTCATCTTGATTGCTTGTGCATGGGCATGCGCATCGAGATGGCACAGGCTCAAATGAACTGTAGCGAGATACAAGGGGACCAAAGCTCACGACACGCCGGTTCGAAAAAAGAGACAGGTAGGGACTTGGAGAATCCCGACGAGGAAGAAGATGCAGCGGATGATAACGAATACGCATGGGCCACATCTTCCACAAGCCTGTCTACAGGTATGCATTCTGACTCATCTTCTCTCGACCAGGACACTATCGGAAAGTGGGTCACATGCTCCGCATGTCGAAAAGATGCATGGGCCCGCTTACCTCGACGCAGACAGCCACGGCGCATGCCGCGATCTGCATGTACGAATCTTTCCTCGTAAATATGTACTTTATCTGACACATACTATTTCTAGGCTTTGGGGACTGGGTAGTTTTTCCACTAACGTCTCTTTACACCAACGCGTCAATCGGGCGTGGCGCTCTGCCGGTATCGGTTACTGGCCAATCAGCGCCCAACGCTTGGGACGTGCGCATCGATCGTCCTTTTCTATGCCACTTCTCGGAGGTTGCACGTGTCCAGCGCCAATAATCAGGGTGTGACGGAAACTATCAGAGCCGGAGTGCATTGATCAGGTCGAACAGACGCTGACTCATTCCAACCATCTGTTCGAGCCAGCGAATTCGTCCCTATGGCACCCGCTGCGCGAGAGCCCCCCGCGCCCAAGGCGAACGCGCAGCCAGTATCACCTAGATCCTCTGCCCGACCGTCTAGTCAGCTGTTCACCCGCCGCGCCACGGTTGCAGGACCCAGCACCAGTCATATTACGGACAGTTCGGATCGATCGAGCTCTCGGGATGGACCGCTGGACGAGCCAGACCGTGGAGAAGCGCTTATTCGACAACGAATTCGCGAAAGGAAGCGTGAGAAGTGGCTCAAACATCACGATTACCAAACAGACGTGCCTCATTCGTTCTTGTCTGACGGTGGCAATAGCCAAGTGGCCCCGTCATTTTCTACTCCTGCGCATGTGGCAACTTCATCAATTCGCGATCATGGAAAGAGCCCTGATGTGTCGCGCTGGGCTCATTTACCTCGTTCATCTGATAGACTGCGCCCGGGCTTGGACGATGATCCCACGCTCCAGACACATTCTGATATTTTCGGCACTGACACCGCTTTGAGTGTCGAAGACGAGGACAAATATGCGAATGAGCATGGCACCGATGACGGTCATCATGATGATGGCGATGGTGAATATTTCGATGGCGAAGATGACGACGACGAAGACCTTGATTTCACAGTCAAAGACCGACAAGACGCACTAAACATTGAGCATCCATTTGGTTTGCCAATTTGGAAGCCAGCGTTGTACAAAAAGTCACGTTCGATTCAGCGCACGGCTGATAATGCACTGAAATGTACACCTGGATTGCGTACGAGCCGGAGCTCAATGTTGGGAAATGTGGTTTGGTTGTTGTTATTTGGCGTGTGGATAAGTCTTATCTGTTTCTTTCTCTCAACTCTTCTATATTGTGTGCCTCGCGGCGGTTTTATGTATGCACACACCTTGTATGGACTTGGCACATACATCTTGTGGCCATTCGGCAATTATATCGAGGCTGAATGCTCGCATGCTGATGGGCATCGACACGGTCCATGTCGGTTGCCGACGGTCCACGAGCATGAGATCAAGGACGAAGAGGACGAGAACCTCGAGCATGTCGACACACAGCCTAACAGTGAGTGCTCGCCTCTTACTGCACATGGTAACTCTGCTCTATATGGTGGTGTGCAAAATGACGAGGAAGACGGGCATTTGTCAGAAGAAGAACGAATTTTGCAGGAACGCAAGCTTTATCACTATGTGTTCGACGAAAATGGAAATGATATAGGTGTGCCTTCGCGCATTGGCGGTATTATCGCTTATGGCCTCGTATATGGGCTTGTGCTGTTTCCTGTACTAGGCGTTGTGTGCGTGCTGTGCTGGGGACTAGTTGTCACGATCCCGATGGCCAAGCTTACGTGGGTGCTAATAAAGAACTTGGCGTCCCAGCCTCTTGCGTTACATTTCCGGTCACCACTTCAAATCGACACGCGTGTCTTGAAAGTGAAAAACAGCAGCGATGCCCAGAGTATGCTCCACCCTGGACATATGGCACCCTTGCTGAAGCGCAAGCATCGGAAGAAGGGTACATCGAAGCGACGAAGTGTGATTTTGGTGTGTTCGTACCGTGCTATGGGGCTAGAGTACTTCAAGTACACAGTCGGTGGCGTCAATATCGTATTTATTAACACAATTCCATTCATATTCCTGACACAAGTTATGTTCTATGTCTTGCGGCCATATTGCCGATCGCACGGCATCACATCTGGGCTTTGGGCAACGCTCTCGAACGATGCGCTGATCTTCATCATGTCGCTTGCGAGTGTGCTACCGCTCTCGTACTTTATTGGAATGGCCGTGGCGAGTATCAGCACACAGAGCAGTATCGGAATGGGAGCGGTAATCAATGCGACATTCGGCTCAATCATTGAGCTGATTCTCTATAGCATTGCTTTGACGGACGGCAAGGCAAGTCTGGTCGAGGGCTCAATTATTGGATCGATATTGGCTGCAGTGCTATTGATGCCTGGTTTGAGTATGTGCTCAGGAGCCACGCGACTCAAAGAGCAATCGTTTAATTCGCGCTCTGCAGGAGTAACAAGCACTATGTTGATCATGGCGATCATCGGCATATTGACCCCAACGATCTTTTATCAAATCTATGGCAAGTTTGAGCTTGATTGTTCGGGCTGCCCTGATGATGTTACAGACGTTAAGGATCGTTTCAGATGCGAGAAATGCTCATATGAGCACATCTCACCCTTGGCTGACCCGTTTTTTCAGACTAATGTCAAAGGATTGATCTATGCGTGCGCTGTGATCCTTCTTTTAGCGTATGCGATCGGCCTGTGGTTCTCGCTCCGTACTCATGCGTCACAGATCTGGAATAGTACGCCAAATATTATGCAGCCGGAACCGTTGCCTCCTCCTCTGCACCGGGCATCCGTGTATAAGCGCCTGTTTCCTCCTCATGAAGATGCAGCGCACCTGCCCCTTCATCACGATGGACAGAACCACACGGAGCAAGATGAGTCGTCCTCGCGCGTTGAGAATCAAACGGCTAATCACACCAGTATCCCCGCTACCGATGGCTCGCATGGTGGCTCTAGCGAGACGCAAGTCCACAAGTCTAGTAAACCGAGACCTTCTGACGACATTTTGCTCGATGCGGCTGCGCGAATGTATCAGTACCTATTCAATCAACACAAGGTGGATGATCCTGTTCAGGGCAACGAGGATCACCTTCATGCTCAACAGCCGGATGCCAATGGTAATGGGGTAAGTCAAGGTGGACATGATGCTCCCTCTTGGAACCGCTCTACTTCACTAAGCGTGCTCCTGGGATGTACCGTCATGTATGCGATCATTGCTGAGATCATTGTGGATCTGGTGGATGTCGTGATCGATGGTTCTGGCTTGTCTCCCAAGTTTATTGGTGTCACACTGTTTGCACTTGTGCCGAACACGACGGAATTTATGAACGCCATGAGCTTTGCAATGAACGGCAATATCGCGCTCTCCCTGGAAATTGGCTCTGCATATGCATTGCAGGTGTGCTTGATCCAGATTCCCGTGCTTGTCGGGTTCAGTGCCATCTACAACTCTTCATACAAGCAGCCTATTGGTGACATGGCTTTGCATTCTTTCACACTAATTTTTCCTCGCTGGGACATTATTTCCATCTTGTTCTCAATCTTCCTGCTCACATACACTTATAACGAGGCACGGAGCAACTACCACCGCGGCAGCGTTCTGATTTTGGCCTATTTGGTGCTAATTGTCGGCTTTTTCTACGCGCCCAGCGTCGACTTGGATGACCCTGCTCAAGAGAAAGGCAGGCGCGTTTTCGCTTTGTAATGTATAGATAGGAGCTAGCTAATGGATTCGTGCTGGGTGGGCCTAAGTGGGTATTGGCATAGTCACTGTACGCTAGTCGTAGTGAAATGCTGAAATTCATGAATATGAAATATGATTACGTAAGCACGATGATCCCAAAAAAAAACTAGGCGCTGGCTGCATAGCCAGCACTACGGTGCTCGTCTCGAGGCGTGAGTGTAGTGCCAAGGACAAGCTGAAGCAGCGCAAGCAAGCCTGCATACTGCTTCCCGCGACGAAAAAGATGGTTAACGATAGTCCTCCCAGAGGGAGGAATTACAAGCGTTAACTTGTAAAGAACAGATACTACACTTGATCTAAGCCAAAAGGCCAGAGAAGGTGAGGTTCAAGAATTAGCAAGAGGGCGCATTTAAATAGTTTTTCGTGTGGATAAAATTTTACAAATTGCTCGGCTACTGGCCACAGTGTCGAAGGCCGTTCGTTGATCGGATATGACTAAACGTATGAGGTAGTGCTTTCGATCATGCCGTTAAGAGGTCCAACGCCTAGAACTCGCTTTTTTTTTTTGACAAAGATGGTGCGTGACGAAAAGGTCAAAGTGGGTGTGCTAGGAGCCACTGGCACGGTGGGCCAGCGCTTCATCCTCCAGCTTAGCAGTCATCCAGAGTTTGAGCTGCATGTGCTGGGTGCAAGTTCGTCGTCTGCTGGTAAACCATATCATGAAGCCGTAGCTGGGCGCTGGAAGCAGGTGCGACCGATTCCCTCGTCGATTAGGAACATGATGGTGCAAGAATGCGAGCCCAGTGCATTTGCAGAATGTGGTGTTGTATTTAGTGGGCTTGACAGCGGGCCTGCTGGTCCTGTTGAAGCGGCCTTTCGCGCAGCAAACCTACGCGTGTTTTCTAATGCCAAGAACTACCGACGCGATCCACTTTGTCCCCTTATTGTACCACTAGTGAATCCGTCTCATCTCGAAATTATCCCACATCAGCGTGCATCTCAGTCGCCACAACTTGATCGTGGTTTCATTGTAACAAATGCCAACTGCTCTACGACGGGTGTGGTTGTGCCGCTCAAGGCACTGGAAGCGGCCTTTGGTGCCCTGGATATTGTCATGGTCCAAACAATGCAAGCAATCAGTGGGTCAGGGTATCCAGGCGTAAGCTCACTCGATATTCTCGACAACGTTGTTCCATATATTAGCGGTGAAGAAGAGAAGATTGAGTGGGAAACTAGTAAGATCCTTGGGGGTCTCAAGGACAATAACACGGCCTTTGATCTGCATGAACAGAGTCCAATCCGCGTGAGTGCTCAATGCAACCGAGTGCCAGTGATCGATGGGCACCTTGCATGCGTCAGTGTAAGTTTCAAGAAGCAGCCACCGCCGTCGCCTGAGCAAGTTGCCAAGGCCTTGAGCTCCTACGAGTGTGAGGCCCAGTTGTTGGGCTGTCACAGTGCGCCTGTGCAAGCCATCACTGTGCACATGGAGTCTGACCGACCTCAGCCACGTCTTGACCGTGAGTGGCAAGATGGTGCGGGTGTGAATGTAGGCCGGATCCGACCATGCCCAGTGCTAGACATCAAATTCGTCTCGCTAGTCAACAACGTCATGCTCGGCGCCGCCACAAGCTCGGTCCTTAATGCTGAGATAGCTCTCAAGAGAGGCTATTTGTCGTAAATATATAGCTAATTATCCACCCAAGTCTCCATATATGACCTCGATATGTCGATGTTAACCGTCTGCTGACGAAACCTTTCTTGCTATTCATGCATCTGTCACACAGCCCTGACTTGCGTTTGATACGAGTCGCGTGTATTTATACAAGCCGCCCTGGTTGACTGTAAGAGGCCGGGGTTGCCAAGCGGCGCGGCGCTGCGCGAGCTCCTCGTCTGAGACATTGTTGATCTGGATCGAGTTGTTCACCGCATCGATAGTGATTTCATCGCCATCCCGCACAAGGGCAATCGGCCCACCCTCTTGTGCTTCGGGAACGACATGTCCAATCACGAAGCCGTGCGAACCGCCGCTAAAGCGGCCGTCTGTGAGGCAAGCAACGTCGTGACCGAGACCTGCGCCCATGATCAAACTCGTTGGCTTGAGCATTTCAGGCATCCCTGGACCGCCCTTGGGACCTTTGTAGCGAAGTATCACCACAGTCTTCTCGCCCTTTTTGATCGTCCCTTGCTCGACAGCATGCACCATGTCATCTTCCGTGTCAAATACGCGTGCTTTCCCTGTAAATTCGAGACCTTCCTTGCCTGTGATCTTGGCAATAGCACCACCGGGAGCTAGGTTGCCGTAAAGAACACGGATGTGGCCTGTACGCTTGATCGGCTTGTCGATGGGGCGGAGAACATCTTGGTCCTTGGGCATGGGACCGCGCTCTGCAACCCATTGCTCACAGTTTTCACGCAGTGTTCGACCCGTTACAGTCATGTGCTCACCTTTCATGAGTTTGTTCTCAATCAAGTAGTGTACAACGGAAGGAATGCCGCCCAGTACGGTGTGTACGTCTTCCATGACGTACTGGCCACTTGGCTTCAGATTGGCAAGGAACGGAGTTGAATCACTCACGCGTTGGAAGTCATCGATAGATAGGTCTACGCCCACGCTTCGGGCCATGGCGAGCAGGTGCAATACAGCATTCGTCGACCCACCCAGCACCATCGTAAGTACCATTGCATCTTCGAATGCGCTGCGCGTCATAATATCTCGCGGGCGAATGTTCTTCTCAAGCAGCATGCGCATCGTTGGCCCAATACTGTCACATTCGGCCTTCTTCTCGTTGTATTCGGCAGGGAAAGAGCTACTGCCGGGTAGTGTCATACCCAGCACCTCTGCACATGATGCCATGGTATTGGCCGTGTACATACCACCGCAAGCACCTGGTCCTGGGCACGCATGACGTACAGTGTCGTAGCGGATCTTTTCGGCATCGGGCGTGCCGCCTGATGCCAGGTACTGTCCGTAACTCTGGAACGCGCTCACAATGTCAAGTGTACCTGTGATCGATCCGCAGTGGCCAGGGCGAATCGTGCCACCATATACCATAATGCCTGGACGATTCAGACGGCCAAGTGCCATGAGCACACCCGGCATGTTCTTGTCACACCCTGGCACCACAACACATCCATCAAGCCAATGGCCACCCATGCAGCTTTCAACGCTGTCGGCAATGAGATCCCGACTCGGAAGCGAGTACGACATGGCACTGGTTCCCATGCTAATACCGTCAGACACGCCGACTGTGCCAAATTGGTAGCCTGTCAGGCCGGCCCTGTCGAGAGAATCTCGAATTCGCTGTCCAACGCCCAGCAAGTGCGCGTTGCATGGGTTGCCTTCGTACCAGACACTGGCCACGCCAACCATGGCACGTCGTAAATCCTCATCTGACTGGATTCCGTGCGTGGCATACAACATTGCCTGTGATGCACCCTGATCTTTTGGTTGCGTTATCAAGCGCGAGTACCGATTCAGATCACCTGGTGCTGGGCGATCCTTCTTTGCTGTGGTGCAAGCACATGTCGTCGACATGCCACGGCCGGCACAGCTTGCCATTACGTTTTTGGCGATTTGTTGACTCCACGGTCGCATGCCGTGGTACAGATGTTGGTGTTGCTGTCTATGGGAGAAAGGGAAAATGTGGCCAATTCGTGTTCAATGGGCACAATGTGAGGGGTGATAGATGTACAAGGCGTGTCCCTCTTACATTGGCCCAGCTGCAAGTTCATGCATCCTTATCTATACGTCTGCTTCGGATCGGTACATCTCTCTCCACAATCTGCATACTGCGTGCGCTCATCGTACGTGTTGGAACGTAGAGCACCCATTAGAAGCACGCGTATTTGTCACATCTCGATCGGCCGAGACAGACAGGGCGACAGAGGTGGCGGGCGGCGTCACGCCAATCCGCATGCCTACTCGCACGAGCGTTTCGATGCACGTATTAGAGTTGATGAGCAGGTCGTCGTCCCAGCGGATGCGTGCACCATCAACGAGAAGTACCAGTGTACTGCCCCCGAACTTGAAGTAGCCAAGCTCGTAACCCCGCTTTACGTGCTGTTGTGGTGATACGGTCAGAATGATGGAGCCGACCATCATAGCGCCAATGGCAACAAGATACACGTCGCCGAAGTCGCGTGTGGAAATTGGGATCACGACGCGCGTGTTTTCGCCATAGACATCAATCGCACTGCGAATCGCCATGGGATTGACGGTATAGTATTCGCCACTGATCCGAGTCATTTCGCCGACGACACCATCGACGGGTGCGTGGAACCGGTGGTAGTCCTGTGGCGCAAGCCGAAAGATGGCGAGTGCAAGGCTGGTCGTATCCGGCCAAGTTTTCTGAGACACCTTACCGCCCAGCAGCTTATCTACTGAAAACTGGCGCCCTTTGATCCAAAGCTGCATCGCTCGATCAACACGGTTGAATACCATGAGGCGACAGTCTGCACAGCTCACCATGCAGCCGGGATTCCCTGGCTCAGCGAGGGGCCGAAGCTCCATTCGGATTCGGCGGCAGAAAAAATCATTGAATGTCGCAAACGAAGAAACTGATTCCACCATTTCATTCTCGTCGATCCCGTGAAACATGACAAACGGCTTGATTGCTCGCACACTGCTTGGGTGATCATACTTCGCCCCTTGCTTCAGCGACATGTTTCGGAGCATGCGGCGTGCGCGTGCCCCCTCCATCCGACTCTTTGCTCCCTGGTATAAGAGTCGGATGCCAAGCCGCACATACACCTGCATTTTTTCTTCCACTAGCTGGCCACTTATACGGTCCTGCACCAGAATGTTTGCACTGTTTGCACCGATTCGGTATACGCCCTGGCTTACCGTGCGAAACATATTTGTATACCACTTACGGCGCGCCTGCGTTGCCGTCACAAAGTTCGAGACCATGATGTCGTCCACGGCGCGTCCCTCCTGCGACGAACATAGTGCAAGGTGTGCGACGATATCACGCTCATCTGCATGGGACAAACGGGGCATGTGGCACAAGGGGCAAGCTCGCAGACGAATCACACGCTCCACATCAGGTGTATCGTCGGTTTCTTCAGCTTCCATGTCTGGTGGCAGCGTGCACGCACGTCGTTCTGTCCACGGCTTGTGCAGTTCATCTTCTAGTACCCGCACACCCTCGTCCATCGTAAGCTCGTCTCCGAATGGTTGCTTCCCAAAGCGATTGAAGAAGCCCAGCAGCGTCTCAGTCGTGAGTGTGCTGCCGAGACTCAGAAGCATGGTTTGCAGCTCGTCAATGTCAATGCCACCAGTGTCATTGGTATCATACAAGCGAAGCATTTCCCGCCAAAAGCGCCGACGTAGCACTGCGTATGGTCGATACACGGCGTCCAGCTGCAGTCTCGGTCGCGCTTTGCCTTTACCAAATTTGGCATCCTCATCATGACCCTCGCGTTGTAGCGGCAAGTCGAACGTGACCATGTGTGACGCATCGTTCTCATCTCCTTCATCCTGTGATAACGTGTCGTTTGCCGTTGAGTGCTTGGTAGCATTCATAAGCGAGCTTATGTCAAGGCTTACTTCTCCCACATAGTCGTTCGACGAGATATTATCCCAATCATACACAGCACAGCGCACACTGTAGCTCATTTCACGACTGTGGACATGAAAATAAAGTTTCTCACGCCAGTCAGGATTCAATGTATGACGGCAAACACGTGTGCGAAATACTTTGCGATTAAAAGACACCACCACGAAGGGATCCATGTCAAACGACGTATGCGTCAAGTTTTGCCAGCGGGGCAAGTCGCGTGCACCCTTAATTTCCATCATGACAATGCCCTGCACGCCATGGCCAGGATTTCCCCAAAACGCATAGTCATGCGGCGTAAGTCTGGCCACCCGCTTTGCATCTGACTCTTGTGCTATTCCGGATTGACTGGCTGAATATGATCGTGGTCGGAGCTTTGCCAAGCCCAATCGCCTCGCTCGAGGTCGCCACGAAACGCGTCGATTTTCACCTGTCTCCACTGACAGTGTATCCGAATCGCTCAAATTCACAAAATCGACAATTGGTGAGGCTGTCGAGACTTTCGGCTCAAGGCGCGGTCGCTGCACTGGCGGCCGCCGTCGTATCAATGCACCGCCATCTCCAGTAGGGATGGGCCAGGACTCGTCGCCGTCACGATTGTTCAAACCAAGGGCATGCATCCCTGAGAATGGTGGGCCCATGGGGGAGGCCATACTACCACCATCGTCAACGCCATCGCCAACACCAACACCTCCTATCCCATCATCTTCGCCATCAGCACTCGTTTCTGAAATACCTTCGTCCACGATATCCTCATTTTCTTCCACCATGCCCACAGGCTCATTCGCCGGCAGCAAGTTCATGTACTGTTCCAAGTCTTGCTGGTCAATCGGTTTAAGATGCTTCTCATCACGCACAAGATCCAAGCTCACCAGCAACCCGCTGTGCAAGAGGCCCTGCTCCGTTAGGATCGGCAGCCACACAGACTCGCATGCCAGCACAGGGTCCAACTGGCTAAGGGTATATGTACATTTGCCTGCGCAAACACGATCCTTCCCATTGTCTAGCCAAACAGTAAATTCCAGCGGCCCTCTCTGTGGCACTGAAGCGCGGCTAGTATCTTCATTCTGTGTACCGAAATTCGTTCTAGCCGCACTGCCCTTAGCGCCGTTGGACGCATCACTCGCATTATTTGTGTTAGAAGAAGAGCCCCAAATTCTTCGGCGCCCTAGGCCCATAAACATGCGCTTTGATCTCAGAAGCACACCCACGCTCTCGCTGCCAGCCTGGGACAAGTAAGGTCGAGGGATCTCCATAATTTTAGTTACATGCCCAAACTCGAACTCTAGCTCCGTCCGAGATTCACCTACCAAGCACGAACGGCGACTTATGCCTCCATGAAGGTATACAGACACGATCACATCGGCATGATTTGGCATTGCGTCCAGTAGTCGCAATCGGTGAATCTCCACTTGCAGACATGCGGCTAGGTCATCCTCTGCACGATCCCTGGCGGTTGTCCCTTCGTGACAGGGTGCGTTCGCTGAACACGTAGAGTTTACAGCGTCATTACTGGGCTTCTGCATACGTGCACGACCATGCAAACAGTGTGTCAATCAATATCAGACGCGTCTGCTTGTACAAAGATTGTCCACTTTGATGATGCGTGGCTTGAAAATGCACGAAACTGTTTTGCCTTACAAGAGAATCCCACCCACCATTGTCTCAACCCAGGAGTACGTGCTCGTATCTTACCTCTGCGACAATGCTATGCAACAACGGTTCCGGTAGCTCAGCGGTAGAGCGGCAGATTGCAACAAGCAGTTATCTGCAGGTCGCGAGTTCAAGTCTTGCCCGGAACTCGTATATCTGGATTTAATTTTTACTGACTTTTTGCTAACCTAAAAGTGGAGAGGTCAAATTTGCAAGCAGCATTGAGGCATGGGTCTGCCATATCTGCTACATTGTTCAAGTGCAATGAACGAATCAACTACTTGGCACTATCGCTGATGATGTGCAGGGAATGGATTTTCCTTCCTTGCCTTTTCAATAGCTTCAAAGAGGCCCTTTTCTTGCACGGCTCGCTTTTATGTAAACTGGTCTTTCTGTTCAACGTACCTTTACACAAGCTTGGTATTCATCATATATTCGGCCACAATCATTTTCATACCGTTCGCGCAAACTAGCCAATGCATTTGCTTGTTTTTTGGAAACCGACAATTGCGACGAGTTAGACACCGTCCGCATGTCTGTTCGTGCTCGGTTCGAGTTATCGTCGCCATTCATGTTGGAACTGACATCAAGGTAATCTCTAAACCATGCGTTGAAGCACTGGTCATATTTATGTTTGGATGGTGTACAATCAGCAGAAATGGAGTTCATTAACCCTAAATCTGGGATCCGATTGTTATTTGCATTCCCGCTACTCATCTTGGCGCATCCAAGTGCCAAGGAATTCAAAGCTCTGTCTAGATATCAACTCAGATTCACATTCCTCCACGACCCAAGTGCAAGAGTCTAAGTAAGACGTTTGCGCGCGCGCAGTTCAACCGTCATATTTGTAAGCAAGCACACATGAAGAGACAGACTTGTTTGGGCTTTAATAGACGTCTTTTCTATGACTTGGTAAAATTACATTACATCTAGCTCACTAAGAATACCATACTTTTCACATTCGCGCATCTATGTAAGCACCAAAGGCAGCAACAACGAACTAAGAGTGGCTTGTGTCAGTAAATAGCGATGGACCCGCCGAAGTCAAACAAGCTTAGTGTCGACACGTATTCCCATCCATCATATAGGAGCGAAAGACTTTATGGTGATGGTATGGTTGTTCGCATTGGACATTGCCTAGATTTGAACTATGCATTATTGTGAGACTAATCACCTGGAGATTGCGACGTGTGACACAAGGCGTTGTTCTTCTTCCAAATCCCATACGTACATTGTTGTTGTTCTGGTTCAAGTTACAGTGGGCAAACGTATGGACCCACTGCTCATGATGCATGGAGCTCTCCACGTGGCGGAACCATGCGTGATTGGAAAATGTACACAGCGCATTCGTCGATTCAGCCCCATCCATGTGTTAAGCAGACGAATAATCAAAGGGCATTTTCAATCTTTGGATAGAGGGGGCGTGAACGGAATATTTCGGACTTGAAATACACATTTGTGTCTTGAGATCAATCTGTCCTCCTTTTCTCCCTTATCACACAACATGGGTTTTTCTGACGGTGACGCTAAGAAGGGTGCTGGTCTGTTCAAGACCCGTTGCGCTCAGTGCCACACCACAGAGGAGGGTGGCCCTAATAAGGGTTAGTGAAACCGATTCATCTCCGACTTGGCGCACTAACACGCTTCCAGTCGGTCCTAACCTGCACGGTATCTTTGGCCGCAAGAGTGGCCAGGCTGAAGGCTTCAGCTACACGGCTGCCAACGTGAACAAGGGTGTGACATGGGATGAGAACACCCTATTCGAGTACCTGGAGAACCCTAAGAAGGTACGTATTTGCTATGCTGGTCTCTTTTTTCGAATTGCATACTGACACGTACGCAGTACATTCCTGGGTATGTATTGCCTGAGTGATAGGAGCTCCTTTTGGACACTTCGGCGTGGCGATTCGGTGCGGCGTGGTACTAACGACGGACGTTGTTTTTTCTTGATTACTACAGTACGAAGATGGGTACGTATTTTGAAATTGTGAAGATAGTCGTGACTTTGTCTAACTCGTGTTCAGCATTCAACGGTCTTAAGAAGGACAAGGACCGCAACGACCTTATCACGTTCTTGCGTGAGGCCTGTTAAGTGCGGTCTGTATGTGCGTAGTCTTGTTGTCGAACGCATTCGTAGCATTTGCTCAAGCGAGCATAGTAAGTCTATTTCTACTGTCTTCTCTATATGAATGGTGTCTGTCTCTATCTTTGCGAACAGATTAAGTATGTGTGTCTGCGTCTATTATTCCTTGGTGATGAGACTATGTGGGATAAGAGCAGTCATGTTCACATTCTGACCATCATGAACCTAGGATTTCAGCGATGTAAGGAATGCCTCGCCATGCTCGTGAGCTTGTAAGTGTTAGCATCGGGTTGCAAGGCTTTAGACCAACCAAAAATAATTTCACCAAAGTCATCTCCAGTAGCCCGATTCGCCTGCCACGATCCCGGCAAACGACGAATCGAATGGCTGTGCTTTCGCACTAATTTCTTTCTTTAAACCACATCTCTAGTTGATTAACGATCGGGTGACTGAATACGATCTATTTTGCACTTGCGATTTTCCGGTTTGAACAGCGTTTGGATCAACGGTCACCCTAATATAGACGCGTAATAAGAGGCTCAACAAAAGGGTCAGCGCCGTTCCTGCTCTATCATCGCGTTTCTTTTCGTTTTACGTGTGGCCTCTCTGATCCCACGCTGCTCCTTGCGGTGCGACTTAGACCACCTCCTGCTTTGGTGCCAGCTTGGTAATGGTCCCACCAAGCGCACCGAATGGAAGTGGCAGTTCTTACGACCAGCTACTGAAGCTGCCTCCCATACGATCTTTTGAGCCGACTGTTCCGTCATCAATGGACTTATCCTCAACACCTCCGTGTCGGTATCCAAATAATTCGCCTGGCGGATCCTCATCCAATGCGATCGCGCCTGATGACAAAGCTTCATCCACGTCCGACAAACAGCAGGTTGATGCAACTACGTCAGGTCTATCTCGACCGCAACTCCCGCCGTCTCTTAGTGCTCCTTCCTTGCCCAATTCACATGCATCGACGCCGCCCTCGCCACCACCGCCGGCGCCTGTCTCGAACCTGCCCTCACATCATACACCCTATGAAAGTGCACCAACACCGGTCCGCGCGAATCGTTCGAATGATTCTTCTCAGTCACCTGCCTATGGACCTTATGCACTTCCCCGCGCCCCTGGCATGCTTCCCTGGCAAATGTCATCCTCGACATCGCTGGATCCCAGTACTGTCTATGCTCTCGAACGAATCCATTCGGCCTCTTTGGCTTTGCATGATCACGTCGGCGAATTGCTACGCTCGCAGTCTGTAACTTCTCGCCAGGACGAAATGCATTCGTTTCTCCCATTTGTCTCTGAGATCAACCACGAAGTCCGGGGCTTAATGTCTACGCTCGATAATCGCGCAGGCCGCGAGGCGTTTGACATCGCTCCCTATTATCCCTGGCTTCCTGGCAGCAATGCAACACAGTACTGGTCGCAGAACATCCGAGATGAGCGAGGTTCAAAAAGGATGCGTTGTGAAGACGATAAAGACGGACATGTGCGCCGCCGCAGTTTGGGTCAACATACGAAATCGGAGCAGCGTCTTGTTTCTCGCAGTGATTTGCGTCCATCAAACAGTACAGATGATCTGATATATGCTGCTCGTCTTGGCACTGATCACCATGGATTCTCAAGCTCATCCAATCCCAATACTCGCTCAGATGCATCTTCATATGCCTCTGCTTATGGAACTGCATCTTCAACGCCCTCCAAAGGCTCGCTTGGGCATGACACAAGTGTCTCTGTTCAGCAAGCATACGTACCCAAATACCGAAAACGAAGTCGCGCACCAGCACCTGGTGTGTGTCATTCTTGCGGCAACGGCGATACGCCAGAATGGCGCCGTGGCCCGGATGGTGCTCGAACACTATGCAATGCATGTGGCCTGCACTTCGCGAAGCTCGTCCGCAAGCGAACCCTTGAGTATGCGAATTCCGCCCCTGGTATTCCTATCCCTCCCGTTACTATTGCGGAGCTGCGTCAATCAACAAATGTGAATTTGAACTCGCCAGGCGTGATTCAGGCTGATGACGAGCGCGCTCGAATCGCTTCGAATCAGTCGTCGTCTGCAACTTCATTGACGCATGGTCGCTTTCCTCCGCGGTCTCGCAGTGAGTCGGTGTCGTCGGCTGTTGCGACGCCTTCTTCAACGGTGTCGCGCGAGCATGTGTATCCTGAGCCTGCCGTGTCAGGCTCAGAAACCCAAGAATCTTTGCCGTCTAAGGGCGGGGAGGAATCATCAACTGATGTAGTTTCATCTGTAAAAACTGGAACACCTATGTAGATTGTTTTTGTAAGTTAGTTAGCAAGCGAAGCCTGCTACTGTATTCCTTACACGTTCGAAAACGAGGAGGTTGTATGGGACTACCGGGTATGGTTGACTGGACTACAGAGACTAGTCAGGCTCATGCAAAAAAAAGCTGCACTAATTGACTACCAGTCTCGACTTGGACATAGTTGAGGTCAACCGCAGTCCTACATGGCGTAAACTCTGCACGACCTGACAAGCCAAGCATCCAGGGCCATACCTAAACATGTATTCTCTCGCATACAGCACGTTGAACGGATTAAGATGAGAATCTTGGGATGGGACATTGCATGTCGAATATATTTTGGAGCAAGCGCTACGGCGCAGCTACGAAGTACACCTGAGAACAAACTGCCATACAAAGAACAAAAGCAGGTGGCCAAGAGGCCGCGGCCCAGCGATAATGACCAAAAAGCCCCGTTAAAGATATCGTTACCACAAAGGACCACCGGCTTACATTGCCGTACGGCATGGGCGTGTTTAACGGTAGCGACGCAGCTGGAGTGTCTGCCTCTTGCGGTACGCGGCACTGCGACCACCGCCAATTGTGTTGTTGAAGCGGTGACCCTTGCCAATACCACGGCTCTTCTTGCCAGCGCCTGTGAGACCGCGACATTCACGGTGCTTGTGGACAGCGTCGACAATCCAGTTGATCCGGGCATCGCGGCGAATCGCCTTGTGGTGCGGGTCAACGCAAATAACCTCAAAGTACTTGTAAACACCATCCTGGTTCACCCAGTACGAGTTCAAAACGCGAAGGTTCGATACCTTGCGGCCCACGCGCTCTTCGGCAAGAGCGCGCAGCGAGCGCTGTGGCTTGAGCTTGTTCACACCCTGGTGAACTGGCTTACCGTAGGTAGCACCCTTCGGAGCATGCTTCTTACGGTTACCACGGCGCACACGCACACGGTAGATAACGTAGCCCTGCTTCGACTTGTAACCAAGACGGCGCGCCTTGTCTGGACGCGATGGACGCGATGCACGGTGGACCACATTCAATTGACGGTACTCCCAGCAACTAGACACAAACAAGTCAGTATCCCGCCATTACACAACGTCGTCCGAAAAATGTACGTACCGGACGCGCAACAGGAAGCGGAGTACATCGCTCTGCTTCTTCTTGTACAGCTCTTCAAGGTACTTGTAGGCACCCATCTTAATAGCAGTTAGTATGCGTTCACGCCCCAGATACACGAAGGAAAGGCCCCACCGCTAACGACAGTAAGAAGGCACTTTCCTGTGACGACAACGTACCTTGAGAGTCAGAGCACTGGGATGGTAAAGAAGTAAGCGTCTAACCGTGGCCTCCAGCGTCCTGCCGCTATGTCCAGACACAATTCAAGGGCCTAGTAGGGTCTTGGCACATCATATGCATAACAACACGTGACGCGGTTCTGGGTATTTTGTAGTTTTAAGTGTCGGCCGAAGGAGAGAAGAATCTGCGGCCTTTGGCTGGCAGGGAGTGAGTTAGAGCACTCGCCGTTGAACCTACGGTCGTTTGTTAACGCAACCACCGACGCCGGTCACTTCAAGATGGTATGTATTAAGCGACAGTGTGCTTTACGTGTACACGGGTGCTAACACAGTCAAGCCATTCACAAAGACAGTGAAGTCGGACGCGTACTTCTCGCGCTACCAGACTAAGTACCGCCGCCGTCGTGAGGGTCGCACAGACTACTACGCTCGCAAGCGTCTTGTGTCTCAGTTCAAGAACAAGTTCAATGCACACAAGTACCGCCTTGTCGTCCGCTTCTCAAACCGTTTTGTGACATGCCAGATTGTGTACGCCAAGATCCAGGGTGACTGTGTGTTTGCGCACGCCAGCTCGCGCGAGCTTCCGCGCTATGGTATCAAGCACGGTCTGAGCAACTGGACAGCGGCATACGCAACTGGTCTGCTTGTGGCGCGCCGTGCTCTTAAGAAGCTGGGTCTTGACGAAAAGTACCAAGGCCAGGTTGAGCCAGATGGTGAGCTTGTCCACACCGAGCCTCTTGGTGATGACGAACCCCGTCCATTCAAGTGCTACTTGGATGTTGGTCTCAAGCGTACGTCGACAGGTTCGCGTGTCTTTGGTGCCATGAAGGGTGCATCAGATGGTGGTATCTTTGTGCCCCACAACGCTCGTCGTTTCCCTGGATACGACGTTGAGTCCAAGGAGCTGGATGCTGAAGTGCTCCGCAACTACATTTATGGCGGTCACATTGCTGAATTCATGGAGTCTCTGGAAGAGGAAGATGACGAGCGCTTCAAGAAGCACTTCTCTTCATACTTGAGCGATGACATTGGCAGTGAAGATATTGAAGAGATTTACGAGAAGGCGTACGAGGCTATCCGGGAGGACCCAGACTTCAAGCCTACGGAAAAGACGAAGGACTGGGCTGCTGAGTCGAAGAAGTACAAGCAACCTAAGCTCACGTACGAGCAGCGCAAGGCCCGTGTCCAAGAGAAGATCAATGCTCTTCAGGACACTTTCAACCTGGACGACGAGTAAATTATCTTCTCTCCTGTCATGTCTGTCAGGGCCTGTTAATGGCTTGCAAAACAATTGCGCCATCTCTCGGTTGTATTCTATAGAAGCATAGAGATTTTGTGCAATTGACGAGGATACTCTCTTGCTTTTCCATTTTGTCGGTCTTATGGTATGTAGGATACGTCGTATCGTGCAGCGAGCGTAATTTGTTTGTCAAAAGTACTGTTATTACTGGGCAAATGACAGTTGGAGACTAATTGCCCGTCAAGTACGTTTGTAGGTGATAAACCACATTTGTGCGGGCGCTTGGCATGGCTCTGTCAATTTCTTCTCTACCCTTTTTAGACATTTACCACGCTCAAACTTGACGTGAACGCGGCAAGCTTTGTTTCTCCAGCGCTGACCAAGTAGGCTATGCCGAACTAAATATTTCTTTGGGCCCCACTGGGTCCTCGACCAGAAAAACTAGGGACTTTGTGCTTGTCGAGCTAATCAATTTAGCCCATGGCACATATCTATGCTCCGTAAATACAGACATGCGTCTGTGTAGAAAAAAAATTAAGCGTCTGGAGCTCCAAGCTTAAGCATCTCTATCACCATGGAGGGTGCATAATCGAATCTGCGTTTATGAAGGAAAGGACCTCACCTGGCCACGACTGAACCACAGGTACAGTAGTGTCTGAATTGAACATTTAGCAATTTTTGGTCATACCTATCGGCGCTGACGTACAATGTGACTGCGACACGTTCAAAAATCAAATTTTGTTTGAAAGCCAACACGAAGCTTGTGTCTGGATATAAGCAGTACGACAGCGTCAACGCCATTTTGTCTCTCTAGATGCGAATCCGCAAATCGGGTCAGCTCTTAAATGAACGTGTTTAAATAAGGTGCGCAATTAGTCAGACATGCTTCTTTTGGGCACTTCGATCGATAAACAATACTATGAACTAACTCATAAAGCATTAAGGCTCAATGTCGTCTGACCCTGCCAGTCAACAATTTTACCCATGCGTTCCATGCTCGCCTACGTGGCACTGGCCATTACTATGGTCAAGTCTATAATTGCGAAGCATGATCAAAGCTATGCTAATGTGACAGGCACTTCGGCCACAACGTTTCCAACTGACATTGGATTCGGGGGTGAGCAAGTGTCTGGTGGTGCGCCATTTAACGCCATGGTCGACTATATTGGGTCGGACCACGAAGACGTCGTTGAAATGCGCTGGCTTCCAAAGAATGAAGCTCAAGATAACGCTACTTGGCAGGACCTTTGGTTCAATCTTGGTGAATTTGCTCCATACCATCCCGCTAAACAGCTGTTCCCCGAGATGCTAAAATATTCCTCTGTGCCAAAGCATTGCAATATCAAGCAAGTGCATGTGATACATCGCCATGGTGCCAAGTATCCTGACAAGGGACACAAGTCAGGTCCCGGCAATTTTGCCAAGAAAATTCGCGAACAACGAGAGAACGGCTCATTGGATGTGTCTGGGGACTTATCTTTCCTTCAACACTGGGAATATAAATTGGGACAAAAGATTTTAACGCACCAAGGCTCAGAAGAAATGTTCAAGTCGGGCGTAAAGCATTACTATGACTACGCCCAATTGCTGGAGAAGTACAACAAGAAACCTGTGTTCCGTACATCTTCTCACAGCCGTGTCCTGGATTCTGCGCGCTACTTCGGTCTAGGTTTTTTTGGCTGGGATGCTTCTGAAAGGTATCATCTAGAGGTTCTGACGGAAGAGGATTACCAGAACAATACTTTGGCACCCAAGAATGCTTGTAGGAATGCCGACAATGATGACTTTATGTTCGACAATTACTTGAGCTCACAGTGGCAAAACATATACCTTGAAGCGCCCCGAAAACGCTTGCAAAATAACATCCGGTCCCTTACGTTAACAAACACTGACGTTTACAATATGATGACGGCGTGCCCCTACTTGACAAGCGGCATTGGTTTCTCTCAGTTCTGCAACTTATTTACGAAGGAAGAATGGGAAAACTTTGAGTACGATCAAGACTTACAGACTGTTGGAAAACATGGTTTCCAAAACCCGACTGCACGCGCTCAAGGCATCCCGTATGTGCAAGACCTGGTGTCGCGTTTGCAGAAGCGCAAGTTCCAAGGCCCCGTGACTGCTCAGAACATGACACTTGAGCAGAGTGGCACCTACACGCCGCTTGATCAACCTCTATACATTGACTTTTCACACCACAGCGTGATTTCTGGTATCATGACGGCATTGAATCTCACTCAGTTCAAGGAGCGCATGGATCCCAAAAACCCAGATCCTCATCGCAAATACCGTACAAGTCACGTCACTCCCCTTGCGATGCGGATGGCTTGGGAAGTTATGGACTGTTCTGATCAAGGCAATAGTGAAACTTTTGTTCGTCTGAAGCTGAATGATGTTGTCTACCCGTTGGATGAATCAAACGGATGTGAGAAGCGAAAGGATGGCCTGTGCAAGTTGGAGAGTTACACGGAATTCCTTGATAAACATGCATACAAGGCATCTAAGTTCGATCTTGCCTGTTTTGGAAGGAACGGCACTGATTTTAACATCACTGGACCGGTGACAGATGGAACTGTGCCGGATGACGCAATTTTGTGACGAATTGGTGGTCTGATGTGTACAACCATACCATCTAGATGTGTCCGGACCCTGTGTGCCTGATATTTTCTTGCTTATTCATGAACATTTACGAAACAAGACCGTAATCGCGAACATATGTTGGGACTCGTGTTCACAAGTTGTAGGACTCTAGTGAACTTGAGCCTTTCTCTGATGCAAAATAGTCACTTTGATTTTGTCCTCCATGGGTCTCAGAAGTGCACGTACTGAATATTTTTTTTCAGCTCGCCCTGGCGGGAGGGGGTTTATTTGTACCGATTTGAAATTTCCGATGCAATCTAGGATATGGCCGTACGAATGCTGTTGATCGCACGCTGGCGAGGTTAAAGAACTCTTTTTTTGTAATACCATACACAGGATTGAATATTAATACATTTAGCGTTCAATGTTAGGATCTGGCACGGTTCTTGGTGATAGTTCGTGACTAATTGGACCTTGAAGTGATACTATCTACCTGATTATTCGCTTAAACGGCAAAAAAAAAAAACTAAGAGAATTCAAAGTACTGTCTCGGCATAATTATGCGCCTACGAGAAAACATACATGGCACGGAAACACGCCAAATTACTCCATAGCCCGATTTTTAGACATGTTTCCTGCTCATCTGTCACCACATAATCTGCGGATTGCCACGTCGCCTTTCACACAGTAGCTACAGTAAATGAGCGTCTAAAAGTGGCCTTGATCGACGGGTTTTGTTGCGTTGAAGTCCGTCCCGTTCTTACCAAAACAAGTGAGGTCAAAGTTTGCCTCTTGAATAACGCGATCTTGCAGATGATTTACAAAGTCATCTAGCTTGCAAAGGCCATCCTTGCGTTTTTGGCAGCCTTGGTCTTGATCAAGTGGAATCACAGCTTCATTCAGTTTGACTCGAAGGAAATCGGTCTTCTGACAGTTCCAAATTTCAAAAGCCACACGCGCACCAAATGGCACAATTCGACTAACGCGGAACTTTCGCGATGGATCAGGTTTGGTTGGATCAAGATGATCATTGAGCTGTGTAAAGTTAAAGGCAGTCAAGATGCTCATAATCACAGTGTCGTGCGAAAAATCTGCATACAATGCCTGATCAAGGGGGAAGTACGTCGAGTTGTTGTCGAGCGTCATGTTCTTCTCAGCCGCCGGACCCTTGAACGAATCTTTTGTGGCACGACGGAAGAATTCTTGGACCCATCCCAGACCCATCGCTTTACCCTCGGGGTTCATAAAGCCATTGTTTCCTTGGAATTTGAGATCATTGCCATACTCGTAACCTTCCCATTCCTCCTTTGTGAATAAATTACAAAAATGCGAATAGCCATAACCGACCGTTTCATAAGGACACAAGGAAATAAGATCAGCCATATGGCTAATTGTCAGGTTGAAACCATGCAAATTTCTCTGGAACCGATTTAGCGCGTCTTTAAGATACACTTTTTGCCATGTCTCGCGCATTTCGCTACCAAACTTGAATGCCTTACCATTCGGGCAAGCGTACTTAGGCTCAAGTGTATTGTTTTGGTGATCCGCTTCGAGAATAACTTCCATATTCATTTTATCGGTCGCATCCCATCCAAAAAAGCCAAGTGTCCAGTACCTAGCTGAGTCCAGCATACGACTGCTGCTAGTCGTTCGAATCACGGGTTTCTGCTTGATGTTGTCCAATAGCTTGCCATACGAATAATAGTCTTTAACACCCGCATCAAAAAGCTCCTGAGCGCCCTGATGAACAAGAATCGCTTCTCCAAGCGTGTAGTTCCAGTTATTCATGAAATCCAGTTCTCCCGTCGCTTTAATGGAACCGTTCTTTATTCCATTGGCGATCGTATGAACCAACTTAGGCAGGCCTTCATTCATACCATCGGTGGGGTAACGAGCACCATGCCGATAAAGAAGCTGTACCTGCTTAAGCTCGCATTCTTTAGGAGCTGAGCGATAAGCCTCGGTCTCAGGGAATAAGCCCTTAGCTGGGCGCCAGGGTGTGTAAGGGCCAAGATTAGTGAAAATGTCATCTGGGGAGGCCTTGTTTTTTTCAGCATCCTTCGGAAGCCATCTCATCTCAATGCCATAGTTTTCTTGGAATCGACTGGTGTCCAACGGGTCATACTCGGCATTCAACGGTGTCTTTCCTGTTGCCCTGTCGCCAGCTACTCCCACGTCGGTGGGGAATGTGACACTTGATGTGCCTGTGACGTTTTTCCAGTTGATCTTTTGGTCGGAAGATGCATAGGCGGACAACACAAGTACACCAGCAGCTGCCAGTCGTAGCATCATGGTAGCTTTGGTACTGCTAAGCCTACCGCCAAGGCGCCCATGAGTCCTTGTTGTTATGGTAGTAACTCGCTCGATGCACGTGTACCGCATCGCATTACATGAGTGGCTCGATATATGCCACGAATAATTTCAATGCTTTCGAAATTGTGCAATGATATGCCTAAGAGCAACATAGGAAATGAGAAACAAGCTATTCTCCACTTGATCTTCGGCTTGCACTCTGTTTGAGGACATAGGGCGTTTCCACCCCACACTGGTTCGAGTGATCAAGGAAGAGCACATTCGGTGTCATTTTCAAGCTTTTTGTCTTCAAAGATGTGTGCAGTCTTTCATATTGACGTCTGATTACTTTGATTCGCTCATATGTTATGACGCGCCCTTGCTGTGATCAAACAGATAGCGACTTGACAAAAGAATGACATGTATGCTTCGTGTTGGGAATGAGTCGCGTTGCGCATAACTACATTTGTTTTCAGATATGGAGGTCAGTCATGCTCTATTTAATTCTGAACCCCGTTTATGCCAAATTTCGATAAATATGCTGTTAAAGCTATTGCGCCTACATATTGAATGCCTGTGTGTTGAAATGGGTGATGCGTTGTACCAATGCAATGTTTTACTTCGACAACTAATCTCTATTTGTAGCAAAGGCGATTCTCGTGCATGTAAGAGTGAAATAGGCTTGCATCATTTCTTTGATGTTCCTATTTGTAGTAATTCCATGTCTGGCCACACCGTATGGCTTCGAAAATATGTATTTCGGTACTCTAGCGGGTAAGAACCAACTAGTTGTGACAACGTAATAGGATAGAAGCGTTACACCCTGAAAATAAATTCACGAATGGTCAGGATTCTAAGAGACATGGATTCAGGTAGCTAGTTGGAACTCCTGGCGCCAGTATTGCAGCGAGTTCGAACAGTGATTACCATTCAAAATTATAGCGAGCGCATACTAGAGCATCCATGTAACCGTAAGTCACAGGGCATATACTATTGCGCATTGAGTTGTGTCAATCTGCTGAACGAGCAGCGGCTCACAAAACAACTGGTTACAAATGCGCGCGAACCGTACTATCACGTGACGTGCCCGGCGTTCCGAATTAGACCGTAAGGACAGTGACATGTTGTTCGTTTCTAGCTACATCTCTACAGAAATGGTTGCTCCTCAAGGTGCCAAGAAAGCCGTTTCATGGTCTCGGATGTACGTCTGACATACGCCTTGAACATGCTAACATTCTCAGTATGCCGGTCGAGGTCTATCCAATTGTGGCCATCACCGGCCTGGCTGTTTGTGGTGCTTCATGGTACCTGACTCGTCTTGCGCGCTCGCCAGATGTGATTTGGGACAAGAAGGTGTGTGTTATCATAATATGTGGAAAGGCTTATGCCAGAATAACCCCACTCCATGGAACAACATCGAGCAGGGCACTCAGTACAAGCTTATGAACATCAACGTACGTCGCTTGACTTAAGGAAACACTATGACTGACGTGTGAACAGGGCGAATTTGACAAGGTGTACAAGCGTGACCGTCTTTAGTGGAGCTCGGTGGACTACTAAATCAATCTTCATCACTCTTCTACGTTTATCTGTGTCTATGTGTACCTTAGTACACGTATGGGATGATGCGGTATGGTACTAGCCGACACTATCCGTTAGTTCATAAATGTCACACAGCATACGTACGTAAACGTCCCAGCTATTCGTCGCAATTGTGAAAACGATGAAGTGCATTTGTGAGAAACGCTTGTCAGCATGGATGTCACGGAGCGCATTTTCTGCACGTACTCATTGCCATACTTCTTCCGACATGCATCGTCGTCACGTAACTGGCGGTGCCATAGTAGCACGGCAAAGTATATCACGTAGAAGTAAGGAATAGGCGTGCTGAAGCCACATGGCAAGCACCATGCCCAGGCCATAATCCAATCACCGAAATAGTTGGGGTGTCGGCTCCTGCCCCACCAACCAGATGTAAGCAACTTGCGACCGGACGATGTCGTCATAAAGTCGAGTCCTGCAGAACATTAGCACGTATCAATACACAGACATACGTTTCGGATTGCGTCCATGGCGAAATTCGTTCTTCTCAACATTTGCTGTGCGGAAAATGTAGTATCCAACGAATTGCACCGCAAGAACTGCCAAAATGCCCAACAAGCCAAGATCCACTGGATGGAAAGCTAGGTAACGTGCTTGCAAGCAGTATGTGAATGGCAGCCATGCGAGATCACCCACGCTGAGCATGAACCCAAATCCATCGGTTGTGATATCCATTTGCGAGAAAATCGTAGACTCATGAATAAGTGAGTCGATGGTGTACCAGGCGTGGAACAGAGTGACAAGTGCCATGCTATCGCTGAGCCGGCCAAATGTTGTCCATTGGTGACAAGCACAGCTAATGTCAATCAAAACCCAGAGCAGAAGTCCAGGACGGAGTTCATTGAATGTTTTGATATCGAAACTGCCGATTCGTGGATTCAGTTCACGACCAATAAACCAGTCAAACAGGACATTTCCACTATTTCCGCCCAGAGCAAGCAATTTGTCACCACGAAATGATCCCACATAAACATAGATTGCTTGTACAATTGAATTGACAAAGGCTGCACTGAGTAGTCCAGGGAAATGGTCGTACAGCAGGGTGAAAGAAGCCGGGCCCTTTATCGCAATGATGGCCAAAGCAATCCCAAGAGCAAGAGCACCCGTTTTTAAAGCATTGATTTTGTATGAGAGCTTTTCGCCTGTGCGAAGCGGCAAGCCCTGAACCCAATCGCCAGGAATCACATACCACGCAACAACACAATACAGGTACCAGGAGTAATACAAACCCCACGCAACAGGATCCTGGAAGCTATCTAAAAATTGTTTTTTCGCGTAGCTCCAAAACCCTGACGCATTCGACAAAGGCAACCATGCAGAACATCCCATGTCAGCGTTGCACCCAAACGTTAAGTAGTACATGGTCAGTGGTACGGAGACTGTAACAAATAGAGCGCCAAACACACCGCCAAACTCAAGTTCATGTGAGTGGGGCGCTAGTAATTCCCTGTTCGCTTTCTTGTTCGTTGAACTCATTGCCATAAAGACAGGAATGGTGGTACCAGTTGATGACGAGGACTCGCTAACGACTAAAATATCGAATTATGCTCAATTCCGCTCCCTTGGTTTCTATCTGCTTTGACATGAAACACCAGATCCTTATTGGTCCAAAGCCAGTCTCCATATCGGTGAAACATGGACAGAATGAAATATAGGGCATGAATCATAGAGGTGCATTTAACCTGTCCCATAAACGCACGCGGTGCATAACTTTGACTCTGCACGGTCCAACATGAAAATACCTGTCACGGCCGCGTTAGCGACGATACTTTTGGTGCCCTTACTGGGCATTTCTTTTGCATTTGCAATACCCACAGTGTATCAAACCCCTTTTCATTATAACGAAAACCCAGAAAATACCCAGTTTTCATCGAATGAACCAGCATACAACGTGTCGGAATGTCCATCACCAGAAGCACGACCGGTGATTCGTGTCGCTGTGGTTGGAGCCGGTATTTCCGGGACAAGTGCCGCTTACTTACTATCAAAGGCTCAGAAGCATTTAGATAAGGTGAATGCGTATGGTATACCGGGATGTAAAAACGTGACATGGCCAGAGCGTGTGCTTGTGACGGTGTATGAGCGTAGTGAAAAGATCGGTGGCCGAATTCAAAGCATCCATCCACTGGACGATCCAAAATATCCGCCAATTGAATCAGGTGCTAGCATATTTTCCGAGGTAAATGCGCATTTGGTTCAGGCATCAAGTTCGCTCCATCTTGAGCGAACACCGCGTGAAATGATTCCTAATGGGGGCTATGGACTTTGGAATGGCGAAGAAATGTTGATTGACAATTTTGGTGGAAGCAAGTGGGATCAATTACGTCTATATTGGAGATACGGTTTTAGTCCACAGACGACACTGAACCTGTGAGTTATGTTAGCTCGATTCCACGGATGCTGACTATGAACAAGAGTGAACAAGGCGCTATTTAAATTCCAGCAGCAGTATTTTCCGACCTTTCTTCTTAAACGGGAAAGAAAAAGCGCGATATCAAAATCAGGTTTTCCATGGGGCTCGGTCAATAGCTTTCTTCGGAGCCTTAAATTGCACGACACAAGTTCTGAAAATGCTCGAGACTATTTTCTGAGCCAAAAGGTATCGCCAGGCTTTGTGAACGAAATGATCAATGGAGTTACTCGTGCAAATTACGCGCAGCAAGTGAATCAAGTGCATCCTTTGGTTAGCATGGTAGCTATGGGTGCTGTAAACCAGTTCAGTATTCAGGGCGGCAATGCCCAGATCTCTAAGCGTTTTCTCGAGCAGAGTGGGGCATCGATTCGAACGGGCCTTCGTGGCGATGTAACAGGATTGTTGCATCTGCGACCATCGTCTTCTACGTCGCCTTCACATGCGCAATGGTGGGTTGGCACACGCGATGGACACGGGGAAATTTTTGATGCTGTGATAGTTGCAACGCCATGGCATGATTCCCGGATCACACTTCTCGATACAGATCGCTCTGTTCCAATGTATGAGATGCAAAAAGTGCATGTCACAATTGTTGTTACTGATGCTTCCCAACCGAGCCACGACTATTTTCATTATGGGCCATCCTTCAAAGTGCCACTGACGATCGTCACAACTCCTGCGCCTGATCGATCCGCACCAGAGGTATGTATGTTGCATGATGCTGTATGAAACAATATCTAATATTTCATTAGTTCTTGTCATTAAGCTATATTCGGACGATGATGAATGTTTCGTATCAGGGGAAAACGTGGCATAAGCTTTATGTCGTAAAATTTCTCTCGCTTGATTCAATGACGGACGACCAGCTCAAAACCATCTTTCATCGTGGCCATGTTGTGTGGACGTCACGAACTTCATGGGCTGCATATCCTCGACTCGAGCCCAAATCCAATTTCGATTCCTTTGAAGTGGCCGAAAACTTGTACAATATTAATGCCATGGAACGTTGGATCTCCACCATGGAAACGAGTACTATTGCAGCAAAGAATGTCGTTGCACTTGTACTGCAGAAGTGGCTAGGTGCTGGTTTCGTTCTCGGGCAACGTTGCTCATGGGATAAAACATCCAAGGTATGGCAATGGGATCAATGGGGATGTGTGTAGATTGGAGATTTATACAGAAAGTGGGAAACAAGTGAATATGCAAAGCTGTGTATTCCGAAACTGAGACCACGCACTGACAACAACGAAAGTAGGAATAGCGACAAAAATAAATAAACATTCTTACCTACGAAATTCATTTGTGCTTTTTAGAAAGTAGAACGCGATACCTTTTCAAGCACGGTTTCATACGAAACTTCACTCAAGTCTGTGCCCTGGATCTCGGTGGCGATGCCGACCAATGCTTTACGGAGAGCATCCTTCGATGAAGCGTACAACATCTTCTGTTTCACCTTGGACTCATCAGGCGACCTGTAACATGTGTTAAAAAGCTACCCAAGCACGCACCAAGTGAAAAAGCAAATTTTGTTGCGCTTGCCCTCGTCACCCTTCTGGTACTCGAAGTCGTAGATGGCATAACGGCATTCCGCTGGTGGAAGCTCGGCAAGGAAGTCGTCGTAGTTCGGAGACTCACTTGTCTTCGACACCACAATCTCAGTGTTGTCTGGTGACAGAGTATAAATAATGTACTTGGTCTTCTTGCCTAGCTTCAAAGACTGGAATTGTTCGAGGCACTCTTGGCTAACTTTGACTCCTGAAGACTTTCCCAATCAATTAGTGTCAGAACCATGCTCACAACAGCTAATTTCATCGACCGAGTTCTTTTAATATATACGTACCATGTTGAGCGGATGCAAAGCCACAAAACTTTGAGACGAGGTGTGACAGTCGCGTACGGCACTGAGATGCACCAACCCGTGCTCGCCAGCGGACACGAGAGGGCTCCACGTGATACTTAATTCCAGCCAGAATGGGAACGCTTAACACCTCTTGGAGTGTTCGTGAACAACACAGCCCCTTAGAGGCACACTCTCAGTCCATCCCGAAAGAAAACATCTTCATACACATTGGCACCGTGTTGTAAGCACTCTTGTAGTGGTATTCTATAGCCCTCAATTGGTCTGCCCGTAAAACAAGTCGATTTTCACTTATCAAATCGAGATGAATCCTCAAAATTTTAAGCGGGGAAAAAGTTGTGGCCAGCCGGAATCGAACCGGCGTCTCATCGGACTTGTTGCGATGATCGAGAGATCACTCCACAACGATACGTACTGACCACTATACTATGGCCACATATGTCCATCGCTTTTCAAATGAGACTATATGAATTTACGTGAACAGAAATGGGAAGAACAAAAGGTTGTGGCCAGCCGGAATCGAACCGGCGTCTCATCGGACTTGTTGTGATGATCGAGAGATCACTCCACAACGATACGTACTGACCACTATACTATGGCCACCGAGATGATTGTCCGGCGCGTCTTAATGTAAATCAACCCTACATTTCTGTAGAGAAAACATAAGTGATCTATCGTGACATTCTGTTGCTGCACATGACTGGCTGGTTTTGCAGTGAACAAGACTAAGCAGTCGGCGGTTTCGCGTGTGCGGTGTGGCTGTTGTCAACCCTCGGGCAAAGGGCCAATATTCTTTGCCTTGTTCCTTTAAAGGTTCGAGATCAAGACCCTCTTGATCCCTATACCATTCCGCTTCACGAAAAACGTTCGAATATGACTGAACTCCGTCGGAAGTTGGTAATCGTCGGTGATGGTGCCTGTGGAAAGACTTGTCTTCTGATTGTTTTTAGCAAGGTATGTTGTTAGTCGATCGAGAAGCCCGAGTAACAGGCGCGACGTCCCTGGCTCAAAAGTGCTTGACGTATCTTGAACTTTTGTACTAACGCTGTATTTTTCTTTCATCTACCATGTACAATAGGGAACCTTCCCCGAGGTATGTGTTGAAAAGCTAGTTGTATAGATTACTCACGCATGTAAACAGGTTTATGTTCCAACAGTGTTCGAGAACTATGTGGCCGACGTTGAGGTAGACGGCCGCCATGTTGAACTGGCTCTTTGGGATACGGCTGGTCAGGAGGATTATGATCGTCTTCGTCCACTCTCGTACCCAGACTCTCATGTGATTCTGATTTGCTTCGCCATCGACTCTCCGGACAGTCTTGATAACGTCCAGGAAAAGTGGATCTCTGAAGTTCTACACTTTTGCCAAAACTTGCCGATCATTCTAGTGGGCTGTAAGAAGGATCTTCGTCGCGACCCGAAAATCATCGAGGAGCTTCGCAAGACCAGTCAGCGTCCTGTCACACCAGAGGAAGGTATGGCAGTGGCTTCTAAGATTGGTGCTGTGCGCTACCTAGAGTGCAGCGCCAAGACGGGCGAGGGTGTGCGGGAAGTCTTCGAGCATGCCACTCGTGCTGCACTCATACAGAAGCCGCGCGGCAGCCGGAGCGGCAAGTCTAAGTGCCTTGTGCTCTAAGCTGAATGAGTTCGTCGTATTGCTATATAATCATCCAGAGCTTCTGGCATGTCTGTTGCCTGTATGCAATGCTTTTTTCGTGCAATTTCAGAAACAGGCTTCCTCGAACCTGTCTGCTACAAATTTCCATCGCTGGGATGTATGATATATGTAGGCAGGAACGTTTGTAGTCATTATGACATGCTCTATTCGAGTGTGTTTGGAGCTTTATTTCACTACCTTTCAATTCGTTTTATTTCGAATACAATCCCATGGAAGTACTGGCCTCTCTGTGCGCATCGACGTGCATCTACCTTGAGCCCTTGTTGGCTGTGTTTCACTGGTTGTCCTACCCTAATCTCAGAGCCTTGTTGTTTAGTCTACTGGACGCGCTGGGATTTCATGTGAGCTTGGTGCCAACGTTTGGCCTCGTGTTTGCAAATAAATTGGGATTTACCTTGTTTATACTGACATAACCCACAGAATCATTGCTATTTGCCACCGTGGCTCTATCCCCCACCCACCCCCCTTACCCCCCTAAAAACATCAAAAGTGTTGCGTGACACGTGCCATTACGTCCACCTAGGCCTATACAATTAGCTGATTTCGTGATAGGCTAATTGGAGCAAGGTTCTTCTCCGCCAGCGTTAGGCGAAGCGGCTAGCAAGCTTGGACAATGCCTACCTCACCGTTCATATGGGCCCCCCGAATTATACGGACGCGGAAGCCTATTGTGATTTTGTGCATTGCCATCCTTGTTTTGCTGGTCCTGGTGCCGCTCCATTTGCATTCGAATGTGTCGACCATATTGAAAGATACGGCAGCGGAGCTGCATGAAGCACATTGGGCGGCACCATTCGCCGGCTTCTCACTAAATAAACCAACTACAACTGCGGCAACTGTCCCGCCCAAACCGCACGAGGATCCGTCTCTCACAAATCGTTGCTCTAGCGCGATGCCCGTGTATGATGCACAAGGCAACCGTCGTCCACTTGTTCAGTATGCGATTATGATGGATGCCGGCAGCACAGGGAGTCGGATTCATGTCTACAAATTCAACTACTGCAAAGCGTCCCCCGAGCTAGAGTTTGAGCATTTTGATCATATCGAACCAGGTCTTTCGTCGTATGGTGCAAATTCGAACGCGGCAGCTCAATCGCTTCGCCCTTTGCTTGATAAGGCTCTAGAGATTATACCATCCTCTTTACACCGTTGTACACCGGTGCAACTGAAGGCTACGGCGGGTTTGCGTCTACTTGGACCCGAACATAGCACAGCGATCATCGATGCCGTGCGTACCATGTTGGCGGATTCGTATCCATTCCCGATTGCAGATGGTATCAACAATCAAGGCATGCTTACCTCGAACGGCGTTGAAATTATGGATGGACGTGACGAAGGCGTATTTGCTTGGATCACGGTAAACTACCTAATGAAACTGATCGGTTCTGGAGGGAAGAAAAAGACAGCCGCTGTTATGGACCTGGGTGGCGGCTCGACGCAAATTGTGTTTGAGCCACAACTCCATCCCTCAGAACCAATGCATCCTGGCGAGCATGTGTATGAACTCAAAAACTTTGAGAATGTCTCGTTCACACTATACCAGAATTCATACTTAGGATTTGGCCTTAAGCAGGCTAGACAATCCGCCAACTCGCTAGCCGCTTTCACGCACCTTACGTCACATCCCGATGCAGTTAAGCACTTGGACGACATCTCTGCGTGGGACAAGTTTACACCAGAATCCACGTTTATTCCCAGTCCTTGTTACGCAGCGGGTACACAAAAGACGGCGAAAGTCGCTATGGGCAAATCAAAAGGGTCGGAAGTGACCATGTTGGGTACCAGCGGCGGGTTCCGCGCATGCCAACGCCTAATCGAAGTTATGATGGACAAGGATGCAGAGTGCTATGCGGCTCCTTGCTCTTTTGCCGGCGTGTACCAGCCTTCATTATCGCAAACGTTCAAAAATGCGGAAATTGTGGCGCTGTCGTACTTTTATGACCGGATTGCTCCTCTAGGCCTTGGACCTACGTTCAGCGTTAAGGAACTCGAGCAGCTGGCTGTACGGGCATGTTCATTGCCGAGTCAATGGAGTTCGTTTAAATCCCCGGCCTTTAGCCCAGAAGCGCTCAGCGAATTGCAGAAGCGGTCCGATTACTGCCTCGACCTCACATACATGCATACTTTGCTACGTTTGGGCTACGAGCTAGAAGACTCGCGCAAGATTACACTTGCAAAAAAGCTGGGTAACTTTGAGCTTGGATGGGCTCTTGGTGCTCAGTTAGCTGTTTTACAGCAGGGCGTTCTCTGCAAGTAGTCCTTCTAGTAGAGCATGGTAAGAAAGATACCTTAGTTAGATTCAGATTTCCTGAGTCGTGCCTCTGTGGCAGCGAGAATAGCCTCTCGGCTTGGTTGTGAGCGATCTTTTCGATGATGTGATCGACCGCTGCCGGGGTTGATTTTGTTGCTGGTGGCCGAGGGTATGTTTCGTCGTTGCGTGAACACAGTCCCATAAGTTGTGCGTCGTACCGACTGGAATCCGTCCGTGACTAGGCGACGTAGCATGTCGGGCGCTTGAAGACGTGGACTCACATACCGAGCAATAAAGGCAAGTAGTCGAGCATCGCGTCGGCCGTTGGTCGACCGAGGTGGGTCCTTGAGATAACACCAGAGATAGCCTGCGGCGATTCCTGTGCAAGCCTGAAGCAACTCAGAAGGGCCGCCCGTAACAAGACTAAGTGCCATAGTGGTAAGCGCCATGTATTTTCCAGGCACTGTGAGGACGCCCATCAAAGACATTCGTGCATCGGGCATATAGGTGGAACATAGTGCCTCGTGAACGTGAGAGGTGACACACACGTACCGTGAGGGCGCACATGAGGGGATGAAACAAAAAGATAGATGAGAGCGGATAGTTGAATGCCTGCCGTTAGCCTCGCTGATTTAACGAACCAAAATCAAGCATCCGATTCCGAACAGAGACCAAATATATTCGGCGTTGTCATTGAGAAAGACCAGCGTCTCAATTTTTTTCGACAAGTCACTGAGTAAAGTCGTAAGTACTAGTACAGAATAACATACTAAAAAAAGATTGTATTGTAGATCAAAGGGAAGCCGAGTCCAGCAAATAAAAACGACGAGCCAAGTCGCCACCATTGCCACCGCTTAAGAATTAGAGGCCAAATCAATGCTACATCAAACGGGCTCGTTATTTGCAAAGCACTTGGGAGTGTCGTGGCTGCCAAGCCACCAAGAAGGGCCCTTGTAACGGGTGGCATTGACTGTCTTTTAGCATGAACATCGCATGTCGACGCTATCATCCCTCACGTACATAATCTCCATGGTCTTTTGGAAGAGGATGTCGGCTGTGGAGAGAACGAATTTTGCGTCGGATCCGCCCAAATTTTGCGGAGAAATTCCACACCCGACGAATCCAAAGCCTGCCTCGAGCAGGGGTTAAAAGTGTGAGGAACCGAGATTCATTCATTTTTATGACCCTCAATCATGGCATCGGATAATCAAATCTCCACCATTATCTCTAAGTTCGAGCTGCAGAGAGTCCTGTATGAGGATCCTCGATCAAAGTTATGTAATGCATTGGGCGTCTGTCACATAGATGACAATGAAGTACCAGCGCTCCTGCTAATGGAGAAAACGCACTACACGCCGGCACTGTATGAGACACTTCGGCAGGGCATCGCATCTACATTCCCACGTATTGAAGTCATTGGACAAAATGATATTTACGTCTGGTTATTTGGATGGGAGCAAGAGGAGGCGTGTCGAGAAGCAAATACTAAGATGACTCTTATATGTCCAGCGTCAGACGAGCTCATCGCCAAATACTCGGCACCGCAGCGACGCATGCTGATTGAGAGTCCACACATGTACAAGGCAGTGACTAAGCCATGGATTGACTCGATTCCTGCATCCAAAACGACTTGGGTTCATAATATTCTGGAAGGCCATTCAGAGGCAGACTCAGTCCTTTATTCGGATCATGATCCACGACACGGTTTCGTGATCCTGCCCGACATGAAATGGGACCGACGTACCTTATCTTCGCTGTATCTTGTAGCGATTGTGCGCGATGCATCACTCACAAACCTGCGCGACTTGAGAAAGGAACATATTCCTCTGCTCCGCAGCATTCAGCGTGCCGGTGCTCAAGTAGCGCACAACTGTTTCGGACTGGCAAAACCAAGTGAAGACGGATCATCTTCTCCGCTCCGATGCTTTTTACATTACATGCCAACGTATTTTCATCTTCACGTTCACATGCTATCTGCAAACTATGTGTCACATCCTGGTGCTTTGGTAGGCCAAGCGCAACTGTTGGACGACATTATCAGCTTGCTTGAACTTGGCGTGGACTTTCGTGAGCGGACACTCGGCTACGCTCTCGCTGATGGCCATCCATTGCTCCATGCGATGCAAATGTCGGGGTTCGCTTTATAGCAAAATGACAAAATCTCTGATTCAAAATTTCACTCTAGCAAAAGACAGTGAGTGCCATTCCAGACAAATTCGAGATGAAAAGCGATGCGATATTATCATCACAGGCTTTATATAGTAGTCTACAAGCAGCTATCATTGTCTGACCTTATAACTCAGTCGGTTAGAGTGTGGAGCTAATATCTTTCGATAAGCTACTCCAAAGTCGCCAGTTCGAGCCTGGTTAAGGTCATAACCGTAATCCTTTTTTATTTTTCTAGACGATAAAGTTCTCTTATCGCTGTGGTGACACTAGCTTCTCAATACACTCAGTTTCCAGGGTTTCCGTCATTGTATATAATACAACAGTTTGCTATAACTCAACGTCTCGATGATTATTTCGATTTGTCACAAGTGTCGGTATCTTGAACGCAAGAACTTTCTTCCGACAGGCGCGTATCATCTGTATTTGCCTTGCTCTTGTTGTCTGAACGCGTGTCAGCCTTGCGACGCACAATCCCTAGCGCAGACGATGCCTGATTTCGTTTCCGCTTCACTGCGGTGCTAGAGCGTGGCTTGATTTTTGGAATGGCAGGTATCGAAGAGTGATCAGGTAAGGAATTCGACGACATAGCCTTGGACTCTGTGGCACTGGATGTGAGTTCTAAGTATGACTGAGCACGTACCGACGGAATTCCTGCAGCTCATTTGCGTCCTCGCGGCGCTTTTCTTGCTCACGCCATTTTCGAGCGCGCTCAATTTCAGCTAGAAACTGCGACTCGCTTTCATCCAAGCCGCGGAAGTGATTTCGTAGCTTAGACATTTGTTCCATTTTTTCATCCTGGAGTGCCTTGGCCTCGCGCAAGCGTTCGTAGAGCGGGCGTGGATCATACGATTCGTCTTTGGGTTTGGGTGGTGGCTCTTCGCCTATGCGCGCGTACGCTTCCTGAATCTCTTTCTCCCGCCGTTTCTGTGCATCGCTTAGATCTGCTTGAGAGACAAATTTTGGCACCGAGCTAGGTTGCATGGTCAGTTGATCACGTCTATTGCGTGTCGTGATATAACCTCGCTCAAGCGCTGGCCCCAAATCTGGCGTGGAGCAGCAAATTTGGGCACGTTTTTTGACCTTTGTGGAACAATGAGTCGTTTCGCCCCAGTCCCCAGCTAGCCTGATATATAAGGTGCAGCAACGGTGGAGTGATGTAAAGTCAAAATCGTGGGCCTTACCTCGAGAGATTGCTGAGTCGATCCATGTCGTCGGACGTGGATGACGATCATGAGTCATCACAGCTAGTACGCTTTGAAAACTACCATGAATATGTGGCCAAACAGGACGCGTTTCTTACATACGTGTTACATGATGACGTCGACGAGGCCCGCAGAATCCTACCAAAGTTGGAGGATCAAATACAGACATACCAAGAACAAGCATATCTTCTGGATCCATATTTAGAGCGTCTGGTTCTTCCGCCAGCGCGCGTGCTTCGCGAAATGATAATTGAGAATGAGGGTCAAAGCAGTGCAAGGGAACCATATGATGATGTTTCGACAAAGGATGCATCCATGTATCCTGTGGCGCGTCTCTTGTACGTATATACGAAGGTACGCGGCTACAAGCTTATATCACGATTTTTGCCGCACAAAGTACAAGATATTGTGCCGCTCTTGCACCAACTTGAGTGCATGCACGCGTCGCGACCACCGTGGGAGCTTATATATGTGACTCTCCTGTGGCTCTCGCTTGTGGTGCTGGTACCTTTTCCTTTACAACGAGGGACTGGTGCATCAATTCTCGAACGCGTCGAACGCGTCACTCGCTTATATGTATCACGTTCAGGGAAAGAGCGCGATGCGGCAAGCATAGTGCTGGGTAGGCTTTATCGACGCCGAGACACGCCTAGTGTTCTGTTTACTTCTTTCCTAACGTGGTCGGAGCAGCAACTCACGGAGACCGCTCGTATGTCTTCCTTTCTTGCGACAGGAACACTGCAGACGCTATGCGAGATTCTCAAAAATGCCGATGCTCCTTTGGTTCAAGAACATTACGATGCAATTCGCCATGTCTTGGCTACATTCCGCACGTTGGAGCAGGGGCGCAATGGGTTAGTCATTCGATATATTGTCAAGCTCGAAGGGCGTCTGGCTCTGCACCTTCTCTCTACGGCAATAAAAATGCGTGCTGGCGTTATCGATGCGAACTTAGAAACTCACATCGATACTCTCATGCAAGCATTGGCCTACTCCGACTCACGCGTTCGTTACAGTGCTGCAAAAGGTCTGGCTCGCATAAGTGCATGTTTACCAGCTGCGCTCCGTCAGCAAATAGTGGTGGCACTGCTCGATATGCTTGCGGAGCATATCCTACCAGACACCATGCCTAGTGCTGCGCTGTCATCCGATGAAACATTCGATTTTCAGACGTGCGAAAAACTGCGTGAAACCGACTTGCATGCCGTGTCAGAGTGCACATGGCACGGGGTTTGCCTCGCATTAGCGGAGCATGTGCGTCGTACGTGTGTACCATCGAACATGTATGTGCGCGTCATTTACTGGGTGCTAACGGCTCTTGCATTTGACGTGCGACGGGCCACCGGATCTACCGGGACGAGTGTGCGCGATGCGAGTTGCTACGTGCTGTGGTCTCTTGCCCGTGCACGGGATGCTTCATCCACGCTTGGTCCTTTTGCACCAGCCATTGCGCAGTATCTCGTTGTTTCCATCACACTGGATCGCGAAGTATCAATTCGACGTGCATCGAGCGCGGCCTTTCAGGAGTGGGTCGGCCGCACGAGCTGTATTCCCCATGGGATTGACATATTGCGTAAGACGGATTTTGCGGCCGTGGGCCCGCTTCGGCATGCGTATCTTGATTGTGCGCCATACATAGCCACATGGCCCGTGTACCGCGGCGTACTCCTGCAACACATGATGCGAGTTTCGCTCACTCACTGGGACGCAGCGATTCGCGTCCTTGGTGCTGAAGCAATCGGCAAGATTGTGTCGATGGACAAAAGCGCTGCCTCCAGTATCATGCAACATCTCATGGCTCGTGTGCAAAAAACAAAAGACCAAACACTGGTTCATGGTGCATTACTCGCGCTGGTTTCGCTTGCTCGGGTCGATTCGGTGCTAGCTCCGGAAGCGTCTCGTGCTGCGTTAGAAGTCTCTGCGTCCATGCTGTCGTTGTCGACGCAAAGCGCCGCAGCTGTCTTGGAAGCTGCATGTCGACTGGTGGCCCTTGCTGCATTGCCGCTGCAAGTGCAGCATGTGTCAGACGCTTATCGAGGGAACGTATCCAAACTCCTCCATATGGCTCTAGCACGTCCGGAAATAGCTGTTCAAGATGCTGCTGTTGACGCCATCGAGGCCTGGAAAGACGACGAGCAGGTAGCACATGCATATGTACGTCGTGCGCTCGATACATGGACCACGTTAAACGACGACATGCAGCGGGCGGCCGCCAAAGTCATGGGTGTTGTGCCAGTGCGCCCCGAGGAACAAAGCGCGCTTTTGTGTGCGTGTCTTGATCGACAAGCGCCCTTCTCTTCGAAGCTACGTGTCGAGACGCGGTGTGCCGCGGCGGCGTCGCTTGCTCGCTTGTGTGTGCAGCCTACTGAAGTCGTGCGTGTATTGCAGCAGGGTCTGCACGACATGACGACTGACCAGCGCGGAGACGTGGGATCTTGGGTTCGTCTAGCTTGCATGGATAGCTTGGGGCATGTTTTTTGTGACTGGGATGTCGACGTGCCAGCGTTGGAATCTGCATGGGTGGACATGGTCGGCATGCTAATGGAGCGGATCGACGCAGTGCGTGTGAAAGCCGGGCATATCGTGCGCCGCGTAGCTGATATACATGCCACTGCATTACCGAATGGCGAAAGTATTCTTGCCGTCGTGGCTGAGCCTGAAGAGCTTCGCAATGCACCGTATGCATTCTCGGTGCTAGTACCTTTGATGAGCCTTGAGCGATATCGGGCTTCATTGCTGTACACGCTCTCGCGTACGATCGGCAGTCGATCTGAGATGGCGCTTCGTGAGGCGGGGCAGGCATTGGTCGATTGGGCTCTGACTGTGCCAGACGAGTGTGTACACGACATTCTTGTGCTTTTACATCACCGCGCCCAGGCACATGTTCGTGAAAACCGGGTGTTTGTACCGATTCTTCAAACCATTCTGCTTCTTCTTGATTGGGACGTGCATAAGCGTAAGAGCGAGGACGTAAATCGAATGTACGTGACGCGCGCACGCGTGGAAGGGAGGGAGGGGGTCGACTTTTGGATTCCTGGGGGCTTGCTTACCTGAACGACAGTCTCGGAGATATCGTCCGCTTGGCATGCACTCACATAGCCCAGATCAACAGCGTGCCGCGTATATTAGTGGCAATGCGCATGTATGTTTGCTCTGCACTTTGGAAACGTTGTGGCTCACCACCAGCTGTATGCATGGCGTACAAGTGCCGTGTATTTCGACACACGCACTTTCGTATTTGAGCCAGTGTCTATCGCATCGGTTCCCGACCGTGCGGATGCACACGAGCGAGCAACTGTTCTTACTAGTCCAGGAACTGTCGATATCGCACAACACATCCGAACTGGAGACGCAGCTTCTGACCGCATCATGGTATGTATTCTTCCAAGATCATGGGAACTGGTGCAAAGGAAGGCAACCCATGTGAGAGTTTCCGCGTTGGGCCAAGCCGTGTGACCCACTCGCAGCCACGGTCACCATGGCAAACACGCAAATACATCTCTACTTTTATGAGGATATGCCCCTCTCTCTTTCTCTCTCTATGTATTTTCTTCCTCACCCGTCTCTGCGCTCTGACATGAGCGAATACGCACTAACAACACAGGGCCATGGCATCACCAAAGGATCTTGTTGAGATATCAAACAGCATTATACATGGTGTCAAAGACATCTTGGCATTCCACACGAGCGACACATAGCATCATAATTCCGTTGTGCTCGTCGTTCTGTGCGGTGTGTAAATGTGTGAGTGTACCATCATGACTGCACACGGAAAAAGGCACGCAGTGTGGATCTTGCCTCCTCATATTGTTCCTTGACATTATGGAGCGTATCTTTGAGACGCAACAGGGCCGTGTCAGGGTCCAGTTGTGTTACTCCATCCGGTTCATGACACTTTCCGTAGTGTTGGATGGCTTCACAGCTGTCTCGCACTTTTATGACGCCAACCGCAGCTGACGAGCCTTTCAAAAAGTGGCCTAGAGTAGACAATTCCTCCAGCGATTTTGCTATCCTGTAATTGTAAGTCCCTCCGTCCTTGTCGACATACAAAGCTCCATCCATTTTTTGAAACGTCGATTCTGCCTGCTCAAAATAATTCCACACGAGGCTCTGGCTGAACTCGCGGTCATCTTCATCCATCTCTAGAAGCTGCTCGAACACATCGACATCAATCACGTCGTCTGGCAGCGAGGATACATCGTTCTACACGTGTGAGACGCCAAGGATCTTTGCCGATATCATAACACTGGACGTACAGTGGATGCACTCATTCTTGCGTGGATCAGCCACACAGTCTATATGTGTCGATGTGAGAGGACCGAGTCGTTCGCCCCATCGGTGGGCAAATGCATGCATGCGAGGCGCCACGTGGGGTAAACCTCCACGGGCCCAGAGATCGTCGAGCGTGGCGCGCGTCACTGTGCACCACCCTCGTTCATCCGTCGTGAGCTCCGATCACTGCGCTTCCTCGAGCCGGCGTGCCAAGGTTGAGTCTAGCGCGCACGCATTAAGAGCCTAGTTATTCATCATGGTGGAATCGATGAATTCACACAACCCGTTCTTGGCGCATGTATCAGCTAAGCCGACAAGTGAGTCGAAGGGTAGTGCTCTTGATGATCTCGTTGGTCTTGACTTGAGCACGCCGCAGCCAGTGGCGGCCCCGGTGTCGAATGAACTACAGGCCAGTAATCTGGGTGGAAATGTAGATGGGATGTCTGGTGACATGCCTGGTGGTTTTCAAGACCCCGTATCGCCGGAACAAGAGCGACTTCCCACGACGCCACTGCCCAATACCAAAAACCCTTTTCTGTCCGCAGCGGCTCCCACAGCGCTAGTGTCAGCAAGCCACTCTTTGCAGGAGCCCCAGCACGCATTTAATTCCGCGGTGACTGAACATACATCTTCTTTTCTCCCCGAGGACGTCGGCACCAATGATCCGGATGCCGACGAGTTCCAGGATGCAGATACGTCTCTGCCGCGCAGAGTCTCCATGAAGGATCCGTCGTATTTTCCAGAAACATCCGCAGGGATGATTAGACCCATCTCTTCTGCAACAGCAGCATCCACACTATACGATGCACGCACCTTGACCGCCGCATCTCCGTTTCCCAGCACTACAGGGCCGTTTGTCGCTTCCACATCGTCAGGAGCTGCATCAACGCCAATCAATGTATTGTCGTCCCCTGAGAGAAGCCCATTTTCCGCACCTGGTATGCGGGAAGGTGTAGTCCCCTCAATGAATCCCTACGTTCAGCATTCTACTCCAGCCGACTCACGCACGGGCTCCTTGGTTCCTGTTGAGCAGGGTGTGCCGGGTCTCGGCCAGCCTGTGGCAAGCACTCGTGCTGGTGTGGCGCAGCCACTAAGCTATATGCCCTCACTGTCCTCTTCTTCCACAGCCGTGCCTGTAGGCGTGCGAACACCGATGACATCAATCCCGGCTTCGACCACAGGTACCCAGGGGTCGTCGGCGGCCAACGCAGATACACAGGCCCAAATTGATGCAGATGCCAAGCTAGCACAGAGTCTTGCAGCTACGAACATTTCCGATGAGACACAGTGGTCTGTGAAAGACATCTTGTGGCGTGGCCGCAATACCAAGATCATCATGCAGAATGCAAATGGGCCATGCGCGCTGATAGCACTGACGAACGTGCTGCTTCTCCAGAATCAAATCAAGATCACTCCGCCGGACCGCCCCGCTGTTTCGTACGCATACGTCTCTGACATGCTGGCCGACTATTTCCTGGAGCACAGTACTGGGCGCGCCGATGCAGTGGAGCTCAGTCATGTGCTCAGCACGCTGCCAAAGCTGCTCCATGGATTCCAAGTCGATGTATTTTTCGATCGCCCGACGCATTTTGGCTCCGACATAGGTGCGGATACCTCTGCGGAGCTCTCTCTGTTCCGCATGGCAAATGTACCGCTACTGCATGGCTGGCTACCCGATCCATCGGATGCTCCGACATGCGAGGCTTTGCAGCAAGTCCGAAGCTACAATGGTGCGACGGCCCTGCTTGCCCGCCAAGATGCAGGTGACGCGGCTGATCTATCTGCTGCCCGCGTTGGAGACTTTATGCGTATGCACGCAACACAGTTAACGCCGTGGGGTCTGCAAGCTTTGTCTCAGGAACTTTTGCCTGGTCAGTTGGGTGTCCTGTTCCGCAACTCACATCTCTCGGTGATATACCGCAGGCGTGTCGATGAAGGCATGTCGTCATCGCCCCAACTATACATGCTCGTGACAGATTCGGCTTTTCTGATGGATGACCGGACGGTGTGGGAGAGCCTGCAAGACACGCGCGGCAGTGACACTCGATTCTATGATGCTGACTTCGAGCGTGTAATGCGATCGGAGCGCGAGTGGGGTGTGACGGCTAACGGCCTAGGGTCTGGCACAACAGACGACTATACTCTGGCACTTCGCTTGCAGAACGAGGAGCGCGAGCGTGCACGCGCAGTTCAGCGTGCACGCCGCATGCATGCAGATGTATATCGAGACCCACAGCGCAGTGCCTCTACACCCACGGGATCGTCTTCCTCGAAAAAGTTTTCCAAGATGATGCCTAAGATGCGTCGGAAAGAAGGCGGTGGTGGCGACAGCGCTGACGACGGCAAAAACTGCAAGGTCATGTAGGATGTTTAGTTAGAGTATGGTCTCGGAATCGTGCTATCAAGGAGTTTACGCGAGCGAAGCGTGCAGGAATCCATGAATTATGTGTTTAAGAAAATTGGCCAACCTCATGTCGTGGCAGGTGCGCGAAACGCCGGCTTGCGACATGTACCTGATCCGCCATGGATTGGCTCAACTCAACTCAGCTCAGCTCGGCTAGGCTTGGCTTGACTGACTATGGAACACGCGTTCACGTGAGCCCGGTGCGGCAGGGACGACAGATGCTTATATAAGACTCTCTGCAGTAACGCACCAGGCGCGGCGATGGCTCGGGCGCTTTGACTTGAAAGGGTTGGGTGAGTCGAATGCTGGGCGCCTACAAAGCCAAGCGCGGCGTCCAAAGTAGTGGGAAAAGAGAGGAAGTAGGCAAGAAAAAAAAATCCAGCACTAGGCACATCCAACACACACGACGACGATGACAGACGCATCAGAAAACTTTGACGTGATCCTAACCAAGTACAAGACGGCAGGCGAAGTTTCTGCCAAGGCCATGCGCACAGTCATCGATGCTGCTACGGAGGGCAAGACTGTGCTGGAGTTGATGCAGATCGGTGATGAGGCAGTGGAACAGGGCACAGCGTCCGTTTTCAAAGACAAGAAGATGTCGAAGGGACTTGCCTTCCCCACGACCGTCTCGATCAACCAAGTGGTATGCAACTATGCGCCGCTGCCTAGTGACGAGGCATCGAAGAATGCGCTCAAGAGCGGTGACGTTGTCAAATTCCAGCTCGGTGCACAGATTGACGGCTACGCCACTGTGATGGGCGAGACGATCGTCGTTGGCGCAAGCGCGCAGAATCCAGTGAAGGGCCGCGCCGCCGATGCGATCAAGGCTGCACACACGGCAGCGGATGTGGCCATTCGCCTGATGCGCCCTGGCATGCTGAACCATGACATTGCGAAGCAGATTGAGCAGTCGATCAAGGACTTTGACGTGCGTGGTGTCGACGGCATGCAGACGAACCAGTTCAGCCAGAATGAGATCTCAGGCAAGAAGAAGATCGCGTTTGGTGGTGATGGCTCGTATCGTCCGGATGCATGCAAGCTTGAGGAGAACGAGGTGTATGGTGTGGACATTGTTGTATCGACGTCGCCTGAGGGCAAGAGCAAGACGGACGACAACTTCACATCGATTTTCCGCAAGACCAATGCCACATACCTGCTCAAGATGGCCACGTCTCGCAAGGTGTTTTCGGAAATCCAAAAGAAGGCGGGTGCCTTCCCCTTCAACCTGCGTGCACTGGAGGATGAGAAGCGCGCTCGTATGGGTGTGCAGGAGTGTGCGAACCACGGACTGTTGACACCCTTCCAGGTGCTTGTGGACTCAAGCTCATCGGCGATTACGGCACAAGTATTCTTCACCGTGGCTGTGAATGCAAAGGGTGCGATCCGTTTGACGCCTGCTCCCTCCTGGTATAACGCCGAGAAGGTGCAAAGTGAGAAACAGGTGACGAACGACGAGATCAAGTCGCTGCTGGCGACAAGTGTGCGTCAGACAAAGAAGAAGTCGAAGAAGACGACGACGGATGGCGCCAACCAGAACGAGAACTAAGGTTGGAGAGCCAGCAGTCCATAGCGCCGTGGTTATGGCCGTTGGCACTTAGTTGTACCTCTTGGTCGAGAAGGAACGCGACTACAAAACTACGTTCGTAGACATGTATGGTATGATGCATGCATTTGACAGCAAATGATTAGTATACAGAGGACGAAGACGCACGCGTTGCCCACGCACATGGCTGACGAGAGGGGCTGGTGGACTGGCCGTTTGGGCCAGGCTTGCCGTCACGCTAGTCTCTCAGCTGACTTCCCTCAATACGTGCAATGGCCATGGCCAGGAGAGCCAAGTTCGTTGCTGTCACATCATCCGGGATGTGCTGCGCGATATACGACTGCCATGCCAAGGTCCACTGCTTGAGTGGTTGCACAAACCGCTCATACAACCGAGTATACTCACGTTCGTCGCGGAAGCCCGTGTAGTTATGCGCGGCATCACGAACAGCAACATAGTAAAAGAGGGAGCAGCACTCCTGCAAGTATGTTTGGTACTGGTGCAGGTACGTAGCGAGCTCCGTCATCTTTGTGTCCGACCGTGTTGTCGCATCAGTCGGGGGATTCGGCCTTGCCTTGGGCATGACAAACAGTCCGTCATTCCATATGCGCCATAAGCGCCCATCACTCACCAGACCATCCGTTTGCACCTGAGCCTTTTCAAGCCGCTCCAAGCGCCGGGACACAATGTCCCGCACAAGATGCACGCTTGCACCACGCAGCGGCGGCGGTGTTGTAGGCGACATGAATTCACGCACAAGTCGCAGTGTCACATCGTCTGAGCTTGCATCCCGCACGAAACGTGTCACTACCTCAAACGCCCATTGCCGAAGGCGCGCATGCGTACAATGCGTGGCGACCATGGCAAGCGCACGCGCCGAGTACGTGATGCTGTCATCGTCGAGCACGACTCGCGGCCGTGTCTCGCTCGGTAGAGCCTCCACGATCCACCGCAGGAATGTCACGATCGCATCACACAAGAACCAGTCCTGCATGCAAGCCATCGTGCGCGGTGGCGATGGCACGTCCAGTGGACTCAAGCCAGGCACAAGTGTGCTCGGCAATACACTTGCAAAACGGTGGCATAGTTCGCGTGCGAGCTCGGCACTCCAGCGCTGTGGCGATGGCATGGTGCTGCTTCGCTGTGTTGCCGCACGGAACCGATCACGCACACGGCCCTTGACACGCACCATCAGCGCTTCGTATGCAAGCTGATGCACGAACAAGACAAAGTTGCGCTGGGCATGTGGATGTGGTAGCGGTGCCACAGCCGTGCGCGAAAGGTCCGGCATGCCAAGCGCGCGTGTGCCAATGTCGGCGTCGAGCTGCTCATAGGTCTTGCGCACTATGTTCCACACAGTCACTCGGCGCGAAACCGTGTCGAGATTCAATGTTGGCTGGGCTAGCAGCGGCACTGCCTCAGTGCGTTGCACCGAATGGTCGGACACAGGCAGACTTGTTGATGCGGCTGCCTTGTCGTTCGTCAGAGTTTCTACACTCGTAGAAAGCGGCAGAAAGCGCACCAGTTCGTAGAGCGCATCCCCTAACACGCAGGCAATGTCCGGCCGCTCCGCTTCGTCCACGCTGCGAGCATGTGAAAGCAAACTGACCATCAGCTCACACAGAACCACGGCTGCCTGCGTCGCGAGTTCTTCGTGTGTGTCACGCTCACGCACCATATCAAGCGCCTCGCACAACACATCACGATACAGCGTTGGGTAAACGAGGCCCAGCACCGAGTCCAGCAGCGGTCTTGGACGGCGTGTCTGGATCGCTGGCAGCACATCTGCGAGGCACTGCAGCTGGCCCAACACAGCTTGAATCAGCATCGGTGCATCGCGTGCTAGCATAGTGACGGCATCGATGTCCGTTTCATTCGGTGCATCCTCACGGGAGCGCCACGCAAGGCTGAGCCGCTCCATCTGCTCCTGGAAACCTAAGCACATTTCTTTCGCACTGCTGCACGAGCTAAACAGCTCCAGCACAGCCAGTGCGACGCTGCCGATGTTGGTGGTCTCAGGTACGTCGATGTCGGCAGCACTCGTTGGCGCATCGTCCGCGCCGACAAGCGCGAGTGTCGGGCCCAGCACGTCCAGAGCACGGAAATTGCACTCGGCCATTTGGCGCTGCAGCGCGTCTTTGTGTTGGCTTTGAAGTGAGACCTGCAATTGACGGTACAGCCGATGCACGAGCATGTACAGCTGGTGTGCATGCTCGTTGTTGGTATCAGAGCGACCAGGTGTCATCCGACGGACAAGCAGGGAGCGGCATGTGCTTTCAATGGCATTCAGCGAGGTATCAAGTTCATGGGGGCCCATAATCTCAACACTACGCTGCTCTGGCGTAGCGGAGCTGCTTTTTGCGCGGCTCGACAGACTTGCTGGACTTGTCGGCAGCGTCTTTACATCCTTCGTTTGCCATTCGGGGTGTCGGTCGCTCGCGTTTACTGCGGTGTGTCGGTGTCTACTAATGCTGCTGTCGCTCTTGCCCGACTCACGTCTAAGTGACTCTTGCTTCAGGACGCCGCCGTTGCTCAGGGCGCCGCGTACATATGGCAGTGCACGAGCATCCGACACATAAACTTGCACGGCATTGGACCTCGCACTCGGTGCCTTGGACCGGGAGCGTGACGACGCTCGGGAGTGCGTGTGTGAGCGCGCTCGTGCTGGCGGCGACGGTGATACAATCTGCGCTGGTGGCAATCGTTCCACTCGGGTATCAATGTACAGACTGGGCTCTTCTGCGCTCTGGCGCCGGATGCTGTGGCGTGGCGACGCAGACGTTTGCTTCGTAATGGGCGCGAGGCGGTTCTGTAGAGCCGCAGCAATTACCTCCGGCGCCGGCGGCTCTAGATCCTGGAACATGGGCGTCTCGGTACCGCTCGGAAATGCCACCACCATGTAGAACACCAGCATGCGCAATGGACCCTGCTTACCCGACGGACCACTGCTTGGTGGTTCCGACATGTCCTTGGCCCTCGGATTTACAGCTCGCGCCGGAAGCTTGACCAGTTCCTCCGTCGTTGTGCGCTGGCCAAACAGGGACTTGATCGTCTGCATAACTTGCGCCAGCGTGCCAGGCTCCTCATCCTGCAGAAGCTCAATGACACACTGGAATGCACAAGCACGCACCGCTTCGCTCTTTGGCACAGCTTTTGTCGGCATGCGCATCGTGCCTGGTTCATCGTACTTGCCAGCGACTGCTAACGTATGATACAAAATCCCCGCACACCGAAGGCAGTATTTGATGAACGAAAGCACTCGCCGACTCGGCTGCAATGACGTGTTCAGCAAAGTGATCATAGAGAAATCGGGCCCAATCGGCAGGCGCTCATCATGTGACGATGCCAAGTCTGCCGCCTCATTCGTGAGCACCAACGGCAGCACCATAGCATGCTGTGGCGGTGCAGGGACGAAAGATGTGCATTTTAGCTCACGTCGGTGCCGAGAATGTTGGTGCTCAGGCTTCGACTGGATACGCTCAGCCAGCTGCTCAAAGTAGCGCATACGTCGTTCTGGATTCAGATCCAGGAGTGCTGCCACATCGTTAAGCAGCTGCGATGGTGGAAGCGTTTGGAGCACTCGCTTTGCGCGTGCACCCATCGACGCAGGCGACGTGTGCGACGTGCCCAATGGGTATCGGATGCCAGAGAGGCAGCGAAGTAGCGTCACACCACACGTCCATGCATCCACTTCAGGGCCCCAATACGAAACGCTGCCAAGTGGCTTGGACAGCGCTGTGACGATTTCCGGGCAATGAAACGCTGGGCTTCCGCAACACGTCGTAAGCTTCGCATGGCTCCGGCTAAAGTGGGTGGCCAGCCCGAAATCTAGCAGTTTCAGCTGCAGCGTTTCTGGATGCACAAGCACATTCTCTGGCTTTACATCTCGGTGACATACACGTAGGGGTTTGTGAATTGCATAGAGTGCAAGCACCAGCTGTTCAAAGACTTTCTCCGCCGCATCGTGGGGAAGCTTGTGGGCGGAGGATGTTGGCGTATTTATGTTCATACGCCCAATCAAAGCTTCTAGTGTCACGTATCCATCCAAGAACTCTTCCACAAGGTAGAAGTGGCCAGGCGTACGGATAGTTTCAATCACACTGACCAGGTTTGGATGCGGTGGTATTTCCGCAAGAAGTGTAGGCTCACGTAACAAACGTGTAGCAACCAGCTCGTGATGCGGGAAAAGTGGGGTGTGTTTAATAGCATACCGCTCGCCATTCTTCATGGCCAAATAGACCGTCGAGAAGCGTCCGCGACCCAGGGTCTTGGGCAGAATCGTATATTCACACAGTCCCCAATCCAAAAGCCGGTCCATACCTGTTACTTCTACAGGCTGCGTTGGGCGCTGCAGAATCTCTTCAATGGGCGGCACCACATCTGCTGCTGTGTATTCCGCTGTCCGGCGCGCCTGATGCATGTCAGAGCCAGGGCCAGCGGCGGAAGAAGAAGAAGCAGGCGATCTGTTTTCGTCTGTCGCACTTGCCTGTCTAGCAGACTGTTCTTCGTAGCGTAGCAGCACATTACTTCCTGCACCACGAGTTCGATCCCATTCTTCGCGCTCCCGCTTCGCTGCATTCGCTTGCTGAGCAGCGATATAGGAACGAGAGTGCCTTGAACGGGTGGCTGGTGCCTTTGTTGCGTTGGAGTCGATGGCTGCTGCCATTTCAGCGTTTTTGTTCCTGTTGTTGGCCTTCAGCTCCGCGCCGTTCGGCCCCCTTGCTCGTCTTTCTTCGTTCACATTTTGTGTGCTTGTGCTCACTTCATGAGGCATGCGTTTCGTATTCTGATCCCTCTGTTCTTCAGCCTTATTGGGCGCTATCCGCTCTAGCGGATCTTGCATCCAAGCCTATCTGCACTCACAAAGATTCGTCGTTGCTCTTTGTATGCAGTTACAGAGCCCTCTGTCAGACACACTGGTCGGAGTCGCGCATGTCTTTACATTCTCTACCCCATGAACAACGCAATTGGTTCTAACAATTGGAAAATTACCCAAGCCTACAATAAATCTGTCATTTTGTTGATGAACTTTTTTTAGATTTTTTTCTCGAATTTCGCGAGTCTTATCACACACACACACACACACACATGAGGGAAAGCTAACCCAATGAGAGTCGTTTCTTGTTTGCTGCGGGCATTTAATGGCTCTTGATCCAGACCTGCCATACATCACTTGATCGATTGTTGGGATACAAGCCTACTGTGCACATCGAATGATAGGAGCTGGCATTAAGTGAATAGAATAAAACGTCCCAAAGAGGAATAAAGTGTCTTGAGGGTATGTTGACTAGTGGAACAGGTCGCCGATGCAGAGGTCTCAGCCTTGTCAAGGAGACCGGCTTATGTTGTAGGCGCGAGACATTTGAACTGGTGAGCGTGACTTGTTTAGTACTCGGGAGAAGCTCTCATCTTCTTCTGTTTCACTGTTATCATCGTTACGCTGAGATACAGGTGTGCAAGTACTGCATGACGAAGGATGGGGTGAAGGCGATCGCGATCGAGTACACGTACTACATGACGCGGGATGACTTGCATCTGAGTCTTGCGACGAAACAGACGGTGATCGTCTTCGTCTTTCATGTTCACGGTATGCTATAACATCGTCAGCTATGCCGCGCTGTCGGACCGACACCTGTTCGTGAGAGGCTGTTGGGCGCCACTTCGCACGCAAGTTTAGGATCTTCTAACACTTGTGCGCGAGTGGGCCGCGTCTTGTATGGACGCGGATTCTTGCACTCATAGATAGCATGCCCAGGTTGCTCACACCTTTGGCAAACGCGCGATGTGCCAGCGCCCGTGTCGCGCGTCAACGGTACTCGCGAAGGAAACATCGTCGGTGCCAAGTGGAGAAGTTCTAGCTCTCAGAACTTGCTTGATGGAAGTGGACAAATGCTGATCTAATCACATCTGGGGGCCGTGCGTTCGAGATGATTCTAGCTCTCGAAGCCCTAATCGAGTGCCACCTGCACACACCTATATTACGCCCGACCTCAGTTTGCCACCAACGCTTCCGCTTTCTTTTTTTCGAGCATGGTATCGGTGCAAAAATGTCGAAATGCACCATCACTGGTGCGTTACCACCCAGGACGCATAGCGGCAGGCATGCGCATTGCTGCGCCAGCCACAGTGTCTGGTCGGCGCGTGAACCAAACGGGACTACTTTCACGCACGCTGTTATCGCCGCGTCACTTGCACACTACAGCGTGTCGTTTGTTGCCACCAGGCGGCGGGTTTCCTGGCATGCGAATGAATATGCAAGGCCAAGAGGCCCAGCCCGGCGAGACGCTAGCACAGTACTCTCAAGATCTTACGAAATTGGCACGCGAGGGGAATGTGGATCCTGTGATCGGACGTGACAGCGAGATCCGTCGCACAATTCAAGTCTTGTCGCGTCGCACTAAATGCAATCCCGTGCTGGTTGGACCTGCTGGTGTAGGTAAGACAGCCATCATGGAGGGGTTAGCTCAGCGCATCGTCAACAAAGAAGTGCCTGAATCACTACAGGACAAGCGCGTGTGTGCATTGGATCTCGGTGCTCTTCTTGCTGGAGCTTCATATCGCGGAGCGTTCGAGGAACGATTTAAAGCTCTCTTGCATGATATCGAGGCAGAGCAGGGGAAAATCATCGTGTTTATTGACGAACTTCACATGTTGCTGAATCTCGGCAAAGCAGAAGGCTCTGTCGACGCTGCAAACATGATGAAGCCCATGTTGGCCCGCGGCACTCTGCAATGTGCCGGCGCCACAACGTACGATGAGTATCGGAAATATATCGAAAAGGACCCAGCTCTGGCGCGTCGGTTCCAAAGTGTATCCGTACTCGAGCCGTCACCCGAATCCACCGTTGCGATTCTCCGTGGTCTTCGTACTCGCTACGAGGTACATCATGGTGTAGGAGTAAGTGATGGTGCACTCGTTACGGCCGCAGCTTATGCATCACGGTATTTGACGGAGCGTAAGCTCCCAGACTCTGCCATCGATCTACTCGACGAAGCCATGTCAGCACTACGGCTTCAACAAGAAAGCAAACCCGAAGTGATTGAGACACTTGATCGAGATATCCTGACATTGCAGATTGAGCTGGAGTCTCTGCGTCACGAAAACGACCCTTTGTCTGTGGAACGCAAGAAGGTCGTGGAGAAGGAGCTGCAAGAAAAGCGCCAGGAGAGTGCCGCACTGACTTCTTCATGGATGGAGGAGCGCAGCAAACTAGATCGTGTGAAGGAAATAAAAGAACAACTCGAACAATCCCGCATCGAACTTGAACGTGCAACTCGCGAAGGCAATTTCCAGCGTGTTGCTGAGCTGCAGTATGGGCGTATTCCCGAGCTGCGTCGCGAGCTTCCTAGCGAAGAGGAGAACAACGATGCATCAAATAAAAACATGCTGCACGAGCGCGTGACGAGCGACGACATTGCTGCGGTGGTCGCCAAGATGACAGGCGTGCCAGTGCGTAACCTGTTGCGCGGCGAGCGCGAACGTTTGCTTGGCATTGAAGACTCGCTCCGCGAACGCATTATCGGTCAGGATGAAGCGCTTGCCTCCATTGGTGAAGCTGTGCGTCTGAGCCGAGCAGGGCTTCACTCCTCGAAGCGACCGTTGGCATCATTTATGTTCCTGGGCGGCACAGGTGTTGGCAAGACAGAAGCAGCCAAAGGCCTTGCGCAGTTCCTGTTCGATTCAGAAAAGCTGGTACAAATTAATTGCTCTGAACTGAGTGAGCCTCACTCTGTCTCGAAGCTTGTCGGCGCGCCCCCCGGTTATGTGGGACATGAAGATGGTGGACAGCTCACGGAAAAGGTGCGCCGCCAGCCGTACTCAGTTGTTCTGTTTGATGAAATTGAAAAGGCGAATCGTAGCATCCACACGCTTTTGCTTCAGGTGCTCGATGAGGGTCGCTTGCAAGACTCGCAGGGCCGACAAGTCGATTTCCGCCAGACGATCATCATTCTCACATCCAATGTGGGAGCCGACGTTCTGTACCAGCCAGGAGCGACTGATGCGACTGGCCATGTCACCGAAGAGTCGCGTGAAAAGGTCATGGCGGATGTGCAGCGAGCCTTCCCACCTGAGCTTCTGAACCGCCTAGACGAGCAGATCGTTTTCAATAACCTCGCACCTGAGACGCTCCATGGTATTGTGAACATTCGATTGAAGGAAATTGACGCACGGCTGCATGACAAGCGCGTCACGCTGCGTGTGGATGAAGCTGCGCGCAACTGGCTTGCCAAGAAGGGTTATGACCCTGCTTATGGTGCACGTCCGCTCAATCGTCTGATCCAAAAGCGTCTTCTGAATCCACTGGCTTCCAATATCATTCAGGGTAAAGTCCTTGAGGGCGACACGGTAGAGGTTCATGTGGACGAGTCGGCGAATGCGTTAACGCTGGATGTGCTGACTGGACCACATCATGAAGCTGATGCTAATCCAGACGCTGCCTCTGCACAGTAGACATTGGCATGTCAGACACAGCCAACTCGACATCCACACTTTGCCATAACAGCCTACCTTTTTGTAAAAAAATGATCTACTTGCTTCCGATCGTCCACGCAGTATATAATCAAGATAGAAATGAACGCACGAAAATCAAAAGCAACAACACATACATACATACACACATACATAGAGTCTGCATACCGTGTCACACCAGCACATGCGTGCCTAGGCGGGGGCTGGCCAGATCTCGAGCAGGCGCTCAAGCACGGCAGGCATTTTGGTGTATGGCACAGCAAGAATTCGACCATATAACGGCGGTTCAAACGTTTCTGACGCATCGCGCGGTGCAGGAAAGCGGAACGTGTATGAATGGGTCGCAGCCTCACGAATAAACTCGTCCTCAGGGTGGAACGATCCGAGTCCGTCATCATGTTCATTCGTCACGCCAGGGCGTTTCTTGTTATGAACTTGCCTGCCAAGCGCAGCATTCGCTGCATCAACAGGATGTGCATGCTTCCCACTGGCCTTGCGTTTCCGGGCACCAGCCAAGCCTGAAGGCTCCTCATCATTCCCAGTGTCATCGGCTTCATTGCTGTCGCCACGGCCTTCGTCCAGGGCATCTGCCGAAAATGCGCGTGAGAAAAATAGCGCATGGGTCGGTGCAGGCGCCGACGTCTCGGCCAGCGTTTCTTCTACTTCAGCGAGAAGCATACGCAATAGGGGCGGCATGACCTGGGGCGGCAAGTTGATCATGCGTTCATGCAGGATAAACAGAATTGGCCGGTTTTCAGATGAACTCAGCATCAGGTCGAGCAGCGGCTTCGCCGATGCCGCTCGGCTCAGTTGCGACTTGAAGTAATCTTGCACGAGTTTCGCTGCTTCTGTCTTGGCGTCAAGGGTGACGCAACTCATAACCGCATACGGGTCGTGAATCTGCTCCAAATCATCGACCTTGACGACCGTGCCGATTCCACTCGTTTGCGCGAGGTTAACAACATGGTCTGCCAATACATTCAAATTTAACTGTGGCGCGTGCGTGTACCATTGCTGTTGGAAGAGGCGCCTCAGCGCTTGTGTGTCGATCTCTGAGGGTGCTTGGAAATCAAATTCCACATTGATGAACTCCTATTGCCCCGTCTGTTAGCCGGCTAGCACACCGGGAGCGGGCTCGCACCGCTGCACGTACCACATCTTCCTCAGAGTCACTTGTTCCTGCGATTCGCTGCTCCTTAACTTGTATGTCTTCCATACTTCCCATCTCTTAGCCTTGGACTCGGAGGGAGCGGTCAGGGGGGCAACACGCTCTCTCAAGCCTGTCTCTTCGCCCAGTAGCACCAACCTTGTGCCTATCAAATAGTAAAACCTCGGCGCTTTAATAAATTCCTTTCCTCCACATGTTAACGACGTAGTCGCATAGCTGATTTCCATGCTTGTCTTCCTCCACACCGAATCGCGATGGGGTGCGCGGCGCGGCCGTGTCAAGCTGGGTGAGAAAAAAATCTTGGCCGCTCAGCCACGTGCGGCGTGTAACTTGGGTGCCGCATTCTTGCCTATCACATTCGGTCTTGTGAGTCTCGCGCGTTTGAGCTGCAGCTCTCCCCTACTAGGGACTGCCGCGCCCGAGGTTTCGCCATCGCCTCCTTCCCACGCAAGCCGACCATTCAACACGCACCCCACCCGGACGAAGTTGCCGCCTCATCATCGACGCACAGACTCGCCGCCATGAGCGACAATCTATCGTATTCACCGCTGGGGGGGCCTAGGTCCTCGGTGGTTCAGTCTAGCCACTCCGCCGGCGGAGTCCCTGCCGCTGCGACGCGCTCTTTGTCGACGCGTTCCATCCGTCCTGCTCGACCCGTATCTGGTGCTGCACAGACAAACATTACTTTGGGATCGCCTTTGAATGCATCAAATTCACCACCTTCATCCTCTGCAACATCAGCTCTTGTCTCTTCAGACTCAGCTGCATCCTCGGTGTACATGGATCCGTCGTCAACAGCCCCTGCCCCACTGTTCTCCGGTCCTGCGACATATGCGCACTCACCAAACTATCAAACCTCTACTGCAGCTGACGAAGTCCCAGTGGGTACAGGGAATGGTATCTTGACTCGCGTTCCACAGAATCATTGGGGCTCGTCGTCACCACCGCCTCTAGGCGTCGCATCTAATACCCAACAGCAGCCACTACCACAACAACGACCCTCTTTCCATGCACCTCCACAGTCAAACTCTCATTTCTATCCTCACAATAGCATGGCTGCTCAGGTTCCTGCAGTGCCGGGGCCTCAGCCCCTTTTGCCTGAATCGTTTTCTCAGGCTCCGGCCTCGACAAGCGGCCCAGCGGTAACGACAACTTCATCGACGTCTGGGCAGCCATTGAGCTCATCAGTGCCGGCATCCACGCAACTCTCTGTCAAATCCAACTCTACATATTCGAAATCACAAACACCTGCTCTTTCGAAGCCTGCGCCATCCACGCCATCTCACCCACCCAAGAATGCTGATAATCGGCCTCGTGGATTCCGAAAATTTCTCGCCATGATGACCTGCTCCTCATCATCGTCAACTGTCGAGATGGCTCTTGACGGTCATCAAAATACTTCACCGACACAGCCTGCCAATCCTTCTTCACAGCCTCGCACTTCGTTACCACCTCCTACCACCCAGCCGTCCGTTGTAAAGGAGCCGACGTCTATGCCTGGTCCAGCCCCTGCAGGATCCAATCCAAGTCCGAATCCAAGTCCTCGCACAAGTCTTCAGCCTCGCCCATATTCTGGGCTACAGCCTGAGACTGCTGAGCCTCATTCTGACACCGGCCACACCCAGTCCATGCTGCGTGTGCCGTCTGTTATGAATCGAAATAGCGTGGCCACATCAACAGCTACCTCCCATTCAAGCGAAACCGATGACATAAACCAAGACGTCATTACTCAAGTGCCACAAAATGGATCTATGATGTCGATGGGCATGTCTGACCCAGAGCTGGAGCAGGAGATGTTTGCTGAAGAGCAGAGGCTGATTCAACAGGGTGGCACGGGCATACCGGTTGACGAAAATGGCCAGCCTTGCCCTCTGTTAGCGCAGGTGTCTGCGCTTGATGCGTCGCGGAAGTGCCTGGTGCTGGATCTCGATGAAACGCTTGTGCACAGTAGTTTCAAAATGGTTCCAAATGCGGACTTTGTTGTGCCGGTGGAGATTGAGGGCATCGTGCACAACGTGTATGTAATCAAGCGGCCGGGTGTCGACGAGTTTTTGCGGCTGATGGGGCAGATCTATGAGGTGGTCATATTTACAGCGAGTCTCAACAAGTATGCTGATCCTGTCATCGATATCCTCGATATGCACCGTGTCGTCCGTCACCGCCTGTTCCGTGAGTCATGCTACAATCACTATGGCAGTTACGTGAAGGATTTATCTCAGCTTGGCCGGCCCTTGCATGATACCATTATTCTCGATAACTCGCCAGCATCGTATGTCTTCCACCCTACGAATGCCGTTCCAGTGTCGAGCTGGTTCAATGACCCACACGATACCGAGTTGACCGACCTATGTCCTTTCCTTGAAGATCTATGCTTTGTGGATGACGTTCGCATTGTCCTTGATGGCTTTATTGACGTGCCATGAGCATAGCTGACTTTCGTTTGTTGCTCTGTCCTTTGCACGAACGCCTGCGGTTCAAGGACAGAAAACCCGCAGCCACCTCCCTTTCGTTCGTTCGTAATGAATGCTTTTGTCACGTGCCGTAGATCCTCTTGTTACTTGTCTACACGCATATACTTGTGTGACTTCCTCCGCTGATTCATTGACTCCACCAATGCCGTGCCTAGCTTGTGCATGGACGATTTCGTAGACCGCTTGGCTCAGATATTGTTGCGCGAACGAGATGCGTATGTAGACCGAATCACGGATGAATTTTCCACCTCTACTCCTGTCCTCATGCTTACGATACAAGTCTTCCATCTACGCGTCGTCTCCTCGTCGGTATCGCCGGGATCCCTGGCTCAGGAAAATCAACACTGACCCAGCGTGTCGCTGAGAGAGTCGTGGCACTTCGTGGGCCGTGCTGTGCATGGGTCGGAATGGACGGTTGGCATTATTCTCGATCCGTATTGGATGCGATGCACGACCCTGGAGAAGCACACAGACGTCGTGGCGCTGCTTTCACTTTTGATTCTGACGCCTTTGTCGCATTTGTTGACAAGCTGCGCCACGACGGCATGGTGCGACTTTCAGCGCCATCGTTCTCTCATGCTGACAAAGATCCAGTTGAAGATGCTATTCAAATCGAGCCTTCTCATACAATCGTACTACTAGAGGGCTTGTACTGCTGCCTGAATGTCGAACCTTGGCGCCGTGCAGCTGAATGCTGGGATATCCGCTGGTTCGTCGATACGCCACACAGCGTGGCCCGAAAACGTTTGATTCAACGACACGTCGAATCTGGCATTTGTCCAGATGAAGCATCAGCGGCATGCCGTGCGGACAACAATGATCTACCGAATGGCGATTGGATCCTTGCACATTTGTTTGAACCTGTAACACGATGGGATGCGCCTACAATGTCATCTACATAACTCTTACAGCCCCCTTGCAGCTGCTTGGCATGCCTTTAGCTGCTCAAGGTAGTACGAGCAAGTGTTCATGTCGTTTGTCTTCTCGAGACACTCGATAAACTGCTTGCTCTGCACATCGCAGTTGATACCTGTGTTTTGCTGTTGCTGCTGCATTGCAAACTGATCGTTGTAAGGTGCAGCTGGCGGGGGCACTTGCTCAGCAGGTGCAGGTGCAGGCTCTGCGCTTCTCCCGCCAAAGAGGAAACTACTGATGCCATGTCCCACAGACTGTCGCGGTGGTCAGTGTACGGGCGCCATACATACCGAGCCGACAGCGACGCCAGCAGCTGTAGAAGCCATCTTTTGCGTAAGTTTGCACATCATAGGAAAGAACATACCTGGCCAAACAAGCTTGGGCCTTGCGATGCTGTTGTGGTGGGTGCTGCATGTTGCTGCGGAGGATGTTGATATTGCGTCTGTGGCGCGGGCGCAGACGCGGGCGCAGGAGCAGGCGCATACCTTGACGACGACGGCGTCGACATGGTGTGCATACCACGCGACCCTGATGGCGCCGCAGGGCGCGATGCAGGGCGGGCAGGTCCAGATGAACGCGATGAACGAGGCATGGTAAGCACGTTAGATGGCGGTGGCGGACTAGACGTAGCCCTCTATGTACACACGAGATCCGGGGCTGCGTCATCGACCTCAGCATACTGCACGTGCGCTCCATGGCCGATGGGTCATCTCGGCCGAATCCGATACGCATCTCAGAAATTTTTTGTGGTGACGTCTCCGTAGAAGTGCAAATTTCATACACGTACGTCAGTGCGTGGGCGTTGGGAAGCCACGATGGCCGACACTGCTCAGGTGCATCGCGCTCATCGCAGTGCCCAAGCAGGGCCAAACTCTGCGAAAGCGAAAGGAAGAGAGCGTCATGCTGGTGGATTCAACCCCAAAGTATGTACTTTGTATGGACGCTGACCGTAATTCAGGCCTTCATTGCAGCTCATCCGTTCGCGGCAGACAAACATATCCGACACAAGGCTCAGCTCGATCAACAGCGCTTGCATGTTCCACTTGTTGATCGCACCCCAGCGAAGGAGCCACCACCTGTGATTGTCGCTATTGTCGGGCCTGAGGGCGTGGGTAAAACTACTCTTATGCGCAGTCTTATTCGTCGCTATACGAAGCACACTGTCGCCAACATCACGGGACCCGTGACTGTAGTGAGCGGTAAAAATCGTCGCATTACATTTATCGAATGCAACAACGATATCAATTCGATGATCGACATAGGCAAGATTGCCGATCTGGTGCTTCTGATGATCGACGGCAGTTTCGGGTTTGAAATGGAGACCATGGAGTTTCTGAATGTCCTGCAGGCACATGGATTCCCCAAGGTTATGGGTGTGCTTACTCACTTAGACCTTATCAAGAAGACGCGCATTCTACGGGCAACAAAGAAGCGTCTGAAACACCGCTTTTGGACAGAAATATACCAGGGTGCCAAGCTGTTTTATCTGTCTGGCATCATCAATGGTCGATACCCTGATACAGAGATTCAGAATTTGTCCCGATTTATCAGTGTGATGAAGTTTCGTCCGCTTATTTTTCGCAATCAGCACCCATACTTCCTTGCTGACCGTATGGAAGAGCTTACACCACGTGAGCTTGTAAAATCGAATCCTAAAATGGATCGCACTATCACCGTATATGGATACTTACGCGGCACACATCTTCGCAATAAGCAACCTATTCACATTCCAGGCGTGGGTGACCTGGTTATTCAGTCGATTGAGCGTCTCGCTGACCCGTGTCCCCTTCCCACGCAGGAAAGTGAGCGTCGCCGACGATTGAGCGATAAGCAAAAACTAATTCATGCTCCTATGAGTGATGTGGGTGGTGTCATGTTTGACAAAGACGCTGTGTACATAAATGTGCCCGGTCACTTTTCTAAGCGTGATGATGCGGACATGGGTGAGGGTGAGCGGATTGTCATGTCGCTACAAGATTCCAACACTACCTTGGGCGATCGAGCGGCTCAAAGCGAGCTCCGTCTTTTCGATGACTCTAGTGCACCTGTTTCCTTAGGTCGCGAACGCCGCAGAGCTGCTTTTGGCGATGACATGGAGCGAAATGGAAGCGGCGATGATGAGTCGGAGCAAGAAGAAGAAGATGACGCGGAAGATGTGGATGCTGAGGAGGAAGAAGAGGACGATACCGGCGGTGGTCGAAGCATGAATTTGGCTGAAGATGAAGACGATGAGCAAGTGGAGGAAGTTGCGTATGCAGAGAGTGATTCGGACCTGGGGGATGCAGAAGAGTCCATGTCTGCTTGGCAGACGGACTTGGCGCAACGTGCGCAAGAGACGGTGCTTGAGAATCGGCGTCGACGGCGTGATTTGATGCGATTGATCTACGACTCCGAGCAGACGCCCGAAGATATCGCTGCAGGGAGAGACAGTTCTTCGGTACCTGAAGAATCCCTTGGCGCCGAAGATGACTTTCTCCATATCGTGTCGAATGAAGCGCCAATGACGTCTGTGCCTGTGCCGGAAGAATGCCGCCCTCAAGTCTCGCTTGACCAATTGAAGGTATGGGCAGATGACAATAAGCTTGATTCGATCCGCCATTTGTTCATCACTGGCAACGATGAACCTGACGAGGCCAAGGCACTTGCTGAAGATGGGGACGAGGCTGAGCCTGAGGCTGATCAGGAGGATCAGCAAGATGTACAAGATGAGCAGTCCTCGGAGGAAGCAAGGGCACAAGCGCTGGCGGCGAAAAAGGCCGCGCTGAAGCGCAAGTTCGATGAACAGTATGATGAAGATGAAGACGAAGACAAGGATGATTGGTATACCGAGCAAAAGAAGGAACTGGCTCGCCAAGCAGAAATGAACCAGCAAGAATTCGCAGAGGACGACGAGGACACACGCGCCAAGATTGAAGGATTCCGTCCAGGGACTTACGTGCGAGTGGAGATTGCGAATGTGCCATGTGAGTTTGTGGAACACTTCAATCCAGCGTACCCGGTTATCGTAGGTGGGCTCTTACCGAATGAAACATCTTTTGGCTTCTTGCAAGTGCGTATTAAGAAGCATCGCTGGCACAAACGAATCCTCAAGACGAATGACCCATTAATCTTTAGTCTAGGCTGGCGCCGCTTCCAAAGTATGCCGATCTACACCCTCGATGACGGCACGCGGAATCGCATGCTCAAGTACACGCCAGAACACATGCATTGTCTCGCATCCTTCTATGGACCAGCAAGTCTACCGAACACAGGATTCTGTGCATTTAACACGCTCTCCTCGGAGACGCCTCATTTCCGCATTAGCGCAACGGGCGTCGTGCTGAATGTCGATGCAGGCTCTGGCGCATCCCATAAAATTGTGAAAAAGCTCAAGCTCACAGGCACTCCAGCTAAGGTGTTCAAAAACACGGCATTTATCAAAGATATGTTTTCATCGCCGCTGGAGGTTGCCAAGTTTGAAGGCGCGCAGCTCAAAACGGTGTCTGGTATTCGCGGTCAGGTCAAAAAGGCACTCGCCAAGCCCGAAGGCCAGTTCCGTGCGACGTTCGAGGACAAGATCCTAATGAGCGACATTGTATTTTTGCGCGCCTGGTACAATGTCGTGCCACGTCCATTCTACAATCCTGTCACATCGCTTCTCATGCGTGGTGACACAGAGCGCGAGTGGCAAGGCATGCGCTTAACGGGCACTGTGCGCAAGGAAGAAGGCATCAAGACACCACTGCGGATCAATTCGACATACAAGCCAGTGGAGCGGCCCGAAGTACGCAAGTTCAATCCGCTTCGTGTGCCAAAGTCACTTCAAGCTGCACTGCCATTCAGCAGCAAACCGCACACAACGAGGGCTCAGCGCAAGCCTACGTATCTCCAGAAGCGCGCGGTAGTGATGGAGAAAGACGAGCGCGACACTGTGGCTCTCTTGCAGCAGATGCAAGCTGTGCAGCATGCGAAGCAGCAGAAGCGCACTCAGAAGCGCCAGGATCGCATGGAAGCCAAGAACAAAGAATATGAGAAACAGAGTGCAATGGATGCACAAAAGCACAAGGAGCGTATGAAACATATCTACAAAATCGAAGGCCAGCGCGAAGCAAAGCGAGCCAAGTCCAGTTAGCTATGTCTCCAGCGATAGTCATTTGTAGTTAGTCGAGCCGAGCCGATGTGAGAACATA